TATTTAGTATATCCCGGACTTTTCTAGTCTTTTCACGTACTAATTATTATCGCGGAAGCCGAAGGTCTTAGCATAGGTAGATAACTAGTTATAGCCCGTGCGTAGCTACGTTAGTAGGTACGCCCGACCCCTAGGCAGGTTCCTATATAACTTCTAGGTATAGGCCGCCGGTAGGGTGCTATTAATTTTTCGCTAGGATATAACTTAGGCGAGGGGCCAGTGTAAATGAATACTACTACTACTACTTCCTATATATCAAGAAATAGTGACCTATTAGTCACCGGGAACTAGGCGGTCTTCTAATCAGATTATACACTACTATAAGTTAAGTATATATATACCGGGAATAACTATCCTAGTCAAGAGTAATATTTCATTATAGCTAGGGGTAAAGTAGATTTACTAATAGAATACTAGGGGCTAGTAACTTAATTCGTTTATTAGCTAGATTATATAGACGGCTTAGGGGCGGGGCGATTCAACGGGTAGTTAACCTAGTTAAACTAAATTCTAGGTAAATAATTATTTTTTATAGTTATTTAACCGGGATAGCCTTATAGGTTTATTTAATTATATTAAGATCTTAGAGAATTACGATAGTATATAAAACGAGTAACTACTAATAACCGTCTTAAACCTAGGCTAAGTAGATTATTTATTTTATCGGATCTATACTCTACTCTCTCTACTATCACTTAATTACCTATTTATTATTATAGTTCTCTAGTTACTCTATATAATAAACCTTTAATTAACTTAACTAGCTATCTATATTCTCCTACTAAAAATTAATTTTCTAACTTCCTAGCTAATTAGTTAACTAAAGTAGTAGCTAGCCCTACTTTTTTATTTTATTCCTTTTATTTTATCTCTCTATATATTTTATTAATATAAATCGTATTACCTAAGTAGCTTATATACTCTACTTATACGGTACCCCCCCTCCCGTTAGCTTTTCTAATAATAAAAATATCTCCTAAAATAGTAAGATTATAGGAATAAAAGTAACTAGTATAATAAAGTCTAGTATTATTTTAAGGGTAATTAATTAAGTTATATAGATTTATTCTTTAAAGCTAGCGCTCTTAACTATTCGCTCTTAACGTAAGTCTATTTAAAATAATTTAATAATTACGGTCCCTTAATATTTTTATTTAATAAATTATGGTTTTCCGCTTTCTAGCTATATTTTTAACTAGAGTATAGCTAGCTATAATTCTACGTTTTCCTTCCTCCTATTTTCTCTCTATATATATTCTATTAACGTAAGGGGTATTACCTATATAGCTTAGACTCCTTATATTAAAATAACCGTCTTCTAAGATCTTATAAATAAAGGTAATATCTAGAACGCGGCCCGGTATTAAATTAAAGGCGGAAGAATAAGATTAGTTAGCCTACTCACTAATAATATAGTGACGGTTTAGGGCTAGTTTACCTTTAACTTTAAGGGCTGTACACTAGTTAGAAGAATCACGGCTAGTAAATAAGCCACCACTTTTTATAGAGATATAAAAAGTAAAGTTTTTAAGACTTATGCCTCTTTAGTGATCTCTCCTATATATATATATATATACATATAATTTATTAACGCCCGGCGGCTAAGCCGAAAGGGTAACTATCTCTGATCTACTATATATATTATAATATATATAGTACTATGTCTCCTCCGAGCCTATATATGAAGCCTTGCAATATATATCATCTTAGATGTCCGTATCGCAGCGGATCCTCGTGGGTTAGTAATTTGGTTAGTAGGCTGGCTTGAAGGCGCTTCTCCAAGTGTTCAATATCCTATTTTCGGCAGTTGAAGCGCGTCTACCGTCAGTAGACCGACACGCGCGTCCGTCCTCTCGAGCCATATAGAAAGTTTCGTATCTGCAGTCCGCCCACCTAGTCTTCCCATTATATGCTGCGCCCCGCGGATTATCAAAACCATTTCTGCTCGTTTCGCAATCTCCTGGGAACGAAACTTCGCAGCCAGAGTACCTTAGGGCTGTAATAATATATACACGACTTCCTCAATTTCGTATTCTATCATTTGGCATTATATCATTCAACGTTGGAAAGAGAACCTTAGATACAGTTATAGCCACGCTCCTAGGATCATAAGGCTCGACAGACATGCAAATACCCCAGAAGCATACAATTCGTCTTAGGAGCAATACGCATGATAGGAAATTGTGCATTCAATGTTTAACTATCTGTTGGATACGTATTAATTGCTATAGTCGCTCCTAGGGATAGCTTATAAGCTTCTAGGAACATAAATACGTTATATCAGAGATATATATAGAGTATATAGGATAAATAGAGATATTATTTACGGACTAATATAGTGTATATAGATTCCCCTAATAGCGAGGAAGCCTATCTCTTTTACTTCCCCGTACTATATCTTTTATCTAGATTTAACTATAGTGAGTGGTTTATAATATCGGTTATTTAACTTAAGACACTATCTACCTCTACGGATACGTAAGACCTTATAGATAACTCTACGGCTCCTAGGAACTAAATAAGGCTACTCTAGGAGTGAGTAAAAATCTTCTAATAAAGAATTCTCTAGAGAAGCTAGTACTAGCCGATATGATTTTCTTATATTTTAATAAGAAGCTTTCCTTTAGAAGCTCCTCTAATTCTATCGTAGTAACCGCGGACCTTTAGAGGGAAAGATTCCCACTAAGAAAATATAGCTTATAGCTATTAATATAGTAAAAAGTTTAGTGGTAACTATTCGATTTATATATAGTCTAGGGATACCGGCTAATTAATAAAGATATAAAGAGCTTTTAGGTAGTGAAGTATAGTTACTTTCGTAAATTACGCCTAAATTTATATCGTATTATATAAATATAAATATAATAGTTACGGTATATTATATCTAGTAATACCTACTAGATATTTAGATTAAATTATAGCGGTATAGCTATATAATAGTAATATAATAGTTTTTTATACTATAATAAGCTAGCTATAATTAGTTTTTATTAGAATACGATATATTACGTATCCGCTCGTTATTATCCTTTTACTCTCTAGTATAAATAACGACTTTCTTTCCGACTATATTCTTTTCCGGAAAAGACGCCTTAAGAGAATTTATAAGGTTAATACTTTTATTTTATAGATTAGCTATAGTGATAAGCCTATTACCGGAGTTTTAAGTAATATTACTATAGTATTATAGGTAGGGAGTTATTAAAGAGTATAGTTTCTATTATTCTCGAAAAGTAAATTATATATAAATACTCTATAATTAGTATATAGTAGACTTAGTTACGATAAGCCGTCCGATTAGCCCCTAATCTAGTATATCGCTAAGAAAGCTCTAAATCCTACTAGGTCTATCGTAGAAAGGCGGTATCTATATCTACGAACTAGGACCTAATCTACCTTAGGGTTAGTTTCTAGCCCTTAAACTTAAGTAGCTTTCGTTTCTCTTTTAAGTTAAGCTTCTAACGGGGCTTACGAGTACTTAAATTACCCGGATAATTTAGAGGGGGCTTTAATCTTATCTTAGCTCTAGTAAGCGGGATACGGGCTTTACTATTATAAAGGGTTTTATTTCTAAGTGCTATTTATATATAATAGTACTCTTCGCGCCTCCGCTTTAGTCTTTAATTACTAGGGGGGATAAAAGAATCTATTTATAAAGTCTTACTTAGCCTCTTATATACTTCGTTACCGGTATAATTTTCGTTAGATCGTTTAGTAAGCTTAGAATAGATAAAAGGTTCGTTCTTTATCTTTAGTTTATCTATAAAGAGATCGGATAAGTTTAGTTAAATAAGTACTTATTTATAAGGCTATCTTCCGTTCTCTATATCGAGGCTAATAGGTTTAAGAATCCGAGGATTAATAATATCGAGACCGGGGGTAGTTAGTAGGGAGCTAAATAAAGAATCTACTACTAAAAAGTAAGATATAGCTAAGCTACTTCTATTATATTTACTTAAAGTATTACTAAGACCTAAACCGTAGTAATACTTAGGATATTCTTTAGCGTAGGAAAGTAATATAAGAATAGGTATAAATATATAGTCTAACTACTATTTATAGTGTAGAAGCGGATAGCGGTAAAAGCGGAGTCTCTTAGGCCGCTCCTCCGGTTCTATTAAAAATACTTACGCTTCTATCTTATAGATACGCTTTCTCTTTTTCGGAAGCTTTAGATTTAACTATATAGCTTTATTTAGCTTATAGGTATTATATAAATAATATTAAAGGCTACGCTTATCCGTAAAAGCTTAACTATATCTATATATTATTTTCGCTCCGGACCCTTAGTCTCTAAATATATACTTCTCTTTAATATATTACTTTAGATTTCCGCTTTTCGATTATTAATTTAGTTAGTCTTCTAGTTCGAGATCTAGTTTTATATCCTATAGATAAAAAGGGTAATAGCCCGGCCGGATAACTATATAGCGGTAAATAATTACTTCGTAGTACTATAATTCTTATAACTAAAGATAAAAAAAATAGTAAGCTCGCTATTAACTTAATTTTAACTATTCTATATACTCGTAATAAAACCTTAACTATAATTCTAAGACTTTAAGATCTAAAGTAATCTTACGTTAAATATAGTTATAAATATAAATACTTCTAACGGGTTTTTTTAGATTATAGATATTAGTATCTATTTTAGTATTAGGTAAAGAGATAACTTACTATTTAATTTTTTTAAAGTAATCTCTAGCGGGGTAGCGATCTTAAATAGGGCTTTCCTATAAAAGGTAAGCTACCTTAAAATCGCGTTTATAATAAGCTTTTAGATTATCTATAAAAAAGAGTATCTTATTAAATAAAAGCTCCCTATTAGAAGATATTAATATTAAAATATAGGCGATTTCGGGTATAAATAAGAATTAAGTCTATATAAAAATATTATTATTACTAATTACTAGCTCTTCTTTACCCTTATTAAGGATCCTTTAGTCTCGTCTTTCTCGTACCTAGTAGTTCTAGTATTACTTTAGTTCTATAAGACGAAGTTAAATTAAGGCCTTTCTATAGTTTAACTTCTTAGTAGCTAAAAGCTTCTTATCGTTACTTAATTCCTTAAGTTACTTAATCTAATATCTAGTATCGACGAGTTCTAGTAACTATAGGATACTCACTTTAAGCTTAGCTAATAATTCCCCTAGAAGCCTACGTTTATAGAATTTCTTAATATCTTAAAAGTACTTAATATAATATAACTATTTTTTCTCCCCTAAAATAGCTAATACTAGATTAATCGGAGAGTAGTATAATAAATAATTTTTAGGGTATATCTCTATATCTTTATATCTATAAATCTAAGATATTAAGATAGAGCTATAGTTTTCTACGCCGGGAATTAGTAAATATACTCCTTAAATAAGCTATAAGCGTAACTATATTACCTTTAATAATACTTCTAAGATACTTCTAAATTATATAAATAGTTATATTCTTACTATATCTAGCGGTCGTAACTATTCTACGTAGTAACTCGTAAAACCGCTTCTTATAGAGTAGAATGTCTTATAGACTATTAGCTATAATATTTCTAAGAATAGGTTTTTTAAAATATTTATCCTTCTAGTATAGTTTTATAGGCTTTCTACTTAAAAGGTTAAACTTAGTAAAATCTTCTATTATTTTAATACTAAATAAAGTACTATATTAGAGGGTAATAGATAAGAGTATATAACTAGATATAAATTAAGGTCTCTTAATATTATAAATACTAATTCTAAACTTTAACTTTTAGTTAGCGAGTAAGCTCTTAATTTAAGTTAGTCTTTTCTAGACGCCTTTTATATCTAACTTATACTATATAGTCTAGATTTCGATTCCTTTTAAGCTACTTTTAATTAATTTTATACTCTACCGTCTAAGATACTATAAAGGATAAAAATAAAAATAGATTAATATCCTATTAAGTAATTAGCTATATATAATCTCTATATTATAATACTCTTATATCGTATTTTAGGCCTTTTTTATTTCTATCCTTATAAGGTAGGATAAAACTACTAATCCTTACTTTAGTAAAAAGATATAGTTAAAGAGCTAGCGTTATTATAGTCTTAAGTAATCTAGGTATAAATCGGCGATAATCTACTCGCTATATAGAAGATAACACTCGGAGAAAATCCTTCTTAGTAAAGCTATAGACTAGATCCTCGATATTCTTAATTATTCCTTTATTTTCTATTAATATTCTTTTTACCTACTATACCTAAGTTAGTTTAGCTTCTATTCCGGAATATAGAAAGTAAAATCTATATAGAGGCTTATACTAGTTATCTCTTTCCGGTCCTCTAATATAATTTTAATTTATATTTTTTCTTTAAATCTACTAAATAGTCTCTCTATATAATTAAGAACTAATATTATTACTAGCTATTTATTTTTACTTTTTTCTCTTACGCCGAATAACTATACTACCGGAGAAATTCTTTAATAAGTATATAGTCTAAAACTATATAGCTAGGCCCTAATTTATAGCCTTTAATTTAATATAGTATAATAAATCTAATAATAGATAAGTAACTTATTTATTAGATATACCCTATATATAAGTAAAGGCTAACTTACTTTATTTAAAGATTAATAGTATAGTAATATATCTTTTTAGTTTTAGGTATTCTTTTATCTTTCTCTTAAATAGAATCTTTATCTATATAAGCGCTAAAAATATAGCTACTCTTTTATAGTTATTTATAGCACTTCTCTTTAACGACCTTATCTTAATAAATAAAGAAGTTTTTTCTACCTATAGCTAGATTCTTATAATATATAAAAAAAAAGGTAAAAAGCTAAAAGGATAAAGTAGAAAACCGATAAAGCTATTTTATAGATTTAGAGTATAGAAATAGTTCTAATTTATAACTTATAATTAACCTAAAATTTACTCTTATATCGCCCTATTATAGATAAGCTTAGTACCTTCTAATTTTACGTTATCGTATTTTAGTGCGTTATTTTTTAAAGGAGAAAACGAGACTAAAGGATCGCGTACTTTAAGAAATCGGGGTATAGTAAGAAGTAAGGGCTATTAAAAAGTGATCGTAAAATAAATAATATTATAGGGCAAAGTGCTCCTTTAGGTATAGACTAAGCGTAGACTAAGTGCTTAATAGATAGCTCTAATTAGTCTAAGTAATTAGTGAGTACTTAGTAAGTAATTAGTGAGCGATTAGTGAGTATCTAATCATAATCACTAAGCGCTTAGTGAGCGCTCATTAGACCTCACGTCTTAGTCACGTGATGTAGCTGAGTAACTCACTAAGTCTGAGCCCGGACTGAAATTTACTCAGTGAGCCTGACTCTGAGCGCCCTCGTAAAAGCGGCGGCAGCTAAGATAGGAAAGCCCCACCCGGCAGAGGAAAAATGGTACGTATAGCTACTTATGTACAGAGTAGTGGGATGCGAATTATCATTCTTACGTAGGGTCCCGGTCTCTTCGGCACTGAAAAAGAGTGCAAAAAGGTATATATGATTTCGAAGATTACAGTACAGAGTCTACTGACACCAAATCCCTGCCTCGAGTACCCACTCACAGACGAGCTTTGGGCGCTTTACTCTTCAGCAAATCCCTCAACTGTCTGCGCAGAATCTTCCCACTGGGCGACTTGGGAATCTGCGAGAGGAGATGGATGCCCCCGCGCAGACGTTTGTGATTGGCAACGCGCTCATTTAGCCACGACTCAATGCCCTGGAGAACAGCTGTCTGATCTCTCTCCTTGGCGTGGCGAGTCAGAACCAAAAAGCCGACCGGCAGCTCAGTGGCCTTCTCGTCTACCCACACTCCAGTAACAGCTGCGTCTTCAACGTCAGGGTGATCAATCAATTTCCCCTCCAATTCGCTGGGAATGACCTGCAGACCCTTATACTTGATCATCTCTTTGATGCGATCCTGGATAGTGACATATCCATCTTTATCAATAATCCCGATATCGCCCGTGCGGAACCACCTCAATCCCGCCTCATCCACGTGGAATGACTCCTGGGTCGCTTTGTCGTTGTTGTAATAGCCCATAACGACGTTCGGACCACGACACCAGATCTCAGCAGCCTCCGTGGATCCGTCAGATGTGACTACTGCATCCTTCATAGTCTCTGGGTCCACGAAGCGAAGCTGCATGTTTGGCACGATGCAGCCCACGCCGGTAGTCCGCTTGTCCATGCGGTCATTGGGAACGGCCGTTGCCATGGGAGAAGTTTCCGTCAGACCCCATGACTGGGTAACGAAGACCTCCGTCTTACACATCTTCGTGAATTTGGCTTCGAGGGCAGCCGCCAGCTCAGAAGTAAGTGGCGCAGCGGCGGACATGATTTTGCGCACACTGCTGAGATCGTACTTGGCGACGCGTTCATCTTTCACCAGCATCAAGGCGACTGGTGGCACAACGGACAGCTCATCGGGGCGGTATTTCTGAATGCAGCTGAGGTAGAGATCCAGGTCGAACTTTGGTAGGATGACTACCGTGGTTCCCCACGCCAGACACTGGCACATGAACAGGTTCAGGCCGTAGATATGGCTGAATGGCAAGAATGCAATGGCGGATGGTCTGGTTGGTCGCTGGGATGGAAGGCCGGAGTCTAGCATTTGGAAGCGCCATTGCTGGAGGTTTGAAGTGATATTCTGATGAGTTGTGATGACGCCCTTAGCTGCGCCAGAAGTCCCCGAGGAAAAGCAGATGAATGTGGGTTGACGATCTGCCTCGGCAGGGTCGATGGTGAGGAAATCAGCCGGCGCAAATGTGCTGGCGAGATAGTTGCATGTGGGTTGACCATTTACCGGAGCTTGGCCATCTATGAGGATGACCTTCTCAACAGATGTCCCCTTAGCTGCTTTTTGAGCAGTCTCCAGCAAAGATGAATGAACGATAATGAATTTTGCCCCGCTGGTCTTGAGTTGAGCATTGAGCTCCAGTACTGTCAATGCTGAACTGGTTGGAGCGACGATTGCTCTGGATCCAACAATTGCATGGCATACAATAGGGTAATCGATTGTATTTGGACTGAATAATGCGACAACATCATTAGGCTTGACACCTATACTTTGCCTGAGCCCATTAGACAAAGCACGCGTGCGTTGCATCACATCTCCAAAGGTATATTGCGCTCCGGAGATAGCATCAATGTATATAGGTCGGTCCAGAGGTGTATTAAAAGGATTAGAGAAGATATAAGAGACCAAATCCACTGATTTGATATCCAGATCTGGGTATGGCGAACGGTAAATCGTCGACATTTTGGATGATATGCGCTGGAATCGATCCCAATGTGGTTTTCCGGCCTGATATCGATGTTCAAATGGCGATGTTAAATAGCAGTATCCAACGCTCAATACACCAGCCGGAAACAAAACTCGGCATTGGAGCCCCCATACGTGTTCCGAACCACAGTGTGGGCCCCCGCGTTTTGTCCCCGCATTGCACGCTGATTGGGCTGGTGCTGTTGCTCTTCGGCCTTCGGTCTGAAAGGGATCCTCGGCTTGATGAGCTCAGCAGAATGATTTTGGGCTGCATTGTCCAGGGTTTAGACTATCCATTCCGAGGAAGGTGTTCCTGATAGTGTAAACATGCAATACGAAGTAGATCAGGTCCCTACATGTATGTTGTACAGAGGCATCTGACGTCACACATGGTCAGGGGCATGTTTGCTGTGTTTGCATGTTTATGTTTTGCCCTGTTTGTCTCGCTATACCCCTTGGCCATCTGCGCTCGTATCGGAATGGTAAACGACTAGACCAAGGTCTATTTCGTCATGATTCTCCCAGGTCGCTCTCTCATCGCCCGCTCTATCATCCGCAATGTCCAACATCCCACACTGCAAGCCCAACCCTGCGGGGTGGATCTGACCCTGAAACGCGTTCTCAAATGGAACTCACCTGGCATAATCGACTTGGATAACAGACTTCGGCAGACGGCTACAACCGAAGAGATCCCATTTCCTTCCCCCGAAAACAAGGATGTCAAACCATATCTAGATCTCGCCCAAGGTTCCTACCTCGTGGAGTTCAACGAAGCCGTCACCGTTCCTCTGGATGTTATGGGCCAGATCTTCGTGCGCAGCTCCTTATTCAGATCCGGTGTGACTATAGAAGCTGGGGTTATGGACAGTGGATATGAAGGGGCTGTCGGGGCCTTAATGCAAGTGGTCAATCCAATGGGGTTGCGGGTCTATCCTGCTGCGCGTCTGGGGCAATTCGTGTTTCACCAGATGAGTGAGAAGGTCGAGGGTTACAACGGGGTTTATCAAGGTATGACAGCTTTGAGTTAGTACATCCAAGAAATCTGGGGAACTGGGCCGATGGCCTCTCTTTAAGAAACACATCCTTTCTGAGACAAGTGTTTTAGCTCCAATGTCCGACTTGGAAGAGAAGTTCTAGTAGATTCTAGGTAGCCCATGTCCATGGGGTATTGAACATTGGACTCGTGCAAATGGATGAATCATTTCAGTGGCTTATGAATATAGAGCTCAACTTGATATCCTAATGGGAACATGGCGTCGTTTACAATCCGGTACCATATCTGGACATGGAAACTAATCAATTTATCAGTATGGGATCCGTGTAGCAGCAAGGCTGACCTGAAAACAAAGTAACTGACCTATTGCAAAGGCTTGAAGATCCCCTTTCTCAAAGCCATCTCCTGAACATCCTTCAACCAATCCCCACAGCGATACAGCGGGGTCTCAGGGTACAATCTGGTTCCTTTGAGGGTCACCTGGGCCCGCGGGGGAAGAACTGCTAGACAGCATTCCTCCCGGAACCTATCCAAGTCTTGCTCCTCAATGGTCGCAATTTGCCTCTTGGAGTCAGGCACATGCTCTGGCAGCACCTCCGGGTTAGGTGTCTGCCTGGGTGTGTAGTCCATGCCATTTAGGATGGTTCCAGTGACGTGGTGTAGCCAGCCCCTGTCTTCGACCGGCTCAGTTTCGATGTAGATAGCGATGTGGTTTCTCTGGGCGCCGATCGACTCTGTGGTAAAAACCTTGAATGCCATGATTGATGATTGAGACTAAGTAGTATTGTGTGGAATGGTATTTGAGTGCGGAGTCCGGACTTTTAAGTTGCAGTGGGCACAGGTGTTTTCTGTGTTTCGCACTGCTGCGCAGTTGCGGCGCTTATATTGCAGTCTTGCCTGAGATCAAAGGCAACGACACTTCTGGCGATTTATCGCCAAAGATCTTGTCAAACATGTTTCATGCATTCCGAAACCAAAGAGAACATGTATTATTTTGCGGTGAAAGAATTCGTGCCCATTATTCTCTTTCAAAATATTCAAGGCCGCGAGACAAAAATCGATTGACAACAAACATAGTCATCCACTTGAGGTTGGCTCGCAATAACTCCAACCCGAACTATACGTAGGAGGTCTGATAAATGGAACAATATAAAGAGCTCACCAAACAGTATGAAACCATTCGGTTTCTTCCACTCCAGCTTTTCTTTTGTGCTACACGCAGCCAATACATCAAGAAACACCCGTTTGTTCTTTCTTCGATCATGCATACCGTCTCATAGTCAAAACCGACATGGTCAGCGCGGAAACGTCAAGTCAATATCTGATGACCTTCGCTGGACTCGAGGGAAATGAAGATCTGGATTTCAATAGACAGTGGAGCCTCAGATGAAGGGCAACGTATCCAATTAATGTTACTCGCATAGTCAAAATCACGTTCGTAGGCTAGATTTGTTTGAGCAAGATGTACTATATCAGGATGGATGATTAATGAGGAGCTGGTTAAAGCAACGGCCTGATCAGATGGAGAAGCTAACAAACATACCTAGAGACCCAATAAATCCCTTAGATGACCGTTACTCTGACGTTACTCCTTATCCTTTTTCTTACGCGTTATTCCATCTATCGTCTAAGCTGCCTTTTGGTCGTGATCTTTACGTCTATAACCACGTCATATAACCGCGTAGAATGCTTCGTTTGATGGCCTTTGATGGACTGGAGGAAACGATTGGTCTACACCTCGATGGAATATAGAGTATTACATTGACATTGCCTAAAATATAGTCGAATTGCTTTGCTCTAATAGCAAAATCCCTTAATACCTTGCACGATCTTCCTAATAGTAAGGTCAAAGATATTTTCTATCCCCTAGGCCTGTTTTGATAAGGTGTACTATACCAGGATACATGATTGATAAAGAGCCAATTGAAGCAATAGCTTGATTAAGTGGCGAAGCGGGCAAACATATCTAGAGACGAACGACTTTCTCAACTTCCCGTTACTCTCACGTTACTTCTCGTCCTTTTATTTTCACACTTCCTATCTATCGTCTAAACGTCTTTTAGTAGTAGTGATTACTACTATAACAACGCAATATGGCCTCGCAGAATGCTCTGTTTGATGGCCTTCGATGGTCTCGAGGAAACGCTGGCTCTCTACCTCGATGGACCGTGGAGCCTCGGATTGACGCTATCCAGAAAACGGTGGAATCTTTGCGCCCTAACAGCAAAGTCGAAGTTACATTCCTAGCCGAGGGCTGTTTCAACAAGGTGTACAACACCAAAGTCGACGACGAAGAGCTTATCATGCGGGTTTCTTTGCCTGTTGATCCCCACTACAAGGTCAACAGCGAGGTGGCGACGATGAACTGGGTGCGTCAAACCACAGATATCCCGCTCCCGGTTGTTCTCGCATACGACTCATCCCAAAACAACAATATCGGGTTTGAATGGATCCTGATGACCAAAATGCCTGGAAAGCCTTTGGCCAAAATGTGGGCGAGTCTTTCACCCATTCAGAAGTCCAGATTGGTCAAGAATATCGCTGGATACTTTGCTTGTCTCTTCCAACACCAGCTACGGGGCATTGGGAACATTCATAGAACCCCGATTGGGGCAGAGAATGCAACATCGAGCGAGCAAACCACACCACTATGCCATTCTTCGAAACTCGGAGAAACCGATAGCTCTGATACACCCGAGGACAAATCGACGACCAACCCTGTGCCTGATGTGGACCGGATTGTCTCCATGAATTTCATCTGGTCGTCGAAGGTTCATCGAGATGTCAATCGCGGTCCCTTCCACTCGGCCCATGATTGGATCCAAGCTCTTTTGGATCTCAATGAACATGCTTGTTGGACGACTCTGGCAAATGCACCAAACTCGTTTCTAGAAGAATACGACGAGGACGAAATCTACCGTGCCACGAAAGCACAGGAGGCTATTCAAATGCTCAGACCTTTGATACCCGAAATATTCCCTCCACGAGATCCAAGTGACGACCCTGAGCCTTCCGTTATGCTACACAAAGACCTCCATTGGTGCAACATCCTACTCAATGATGACGGCGAGATCAGTGCAATCCTAGACTGGGAATTCGTCTCCGCCGTGCCCTTGTGGAGAGCGTGCAACCATCCATTGCTTTTACAGTGTCCCGAATATTACGATCAGCCAAGCGTGGAAGACTACGCACAGGATGAAGATGGAAAGGTCGAAGAGCTCTATTGGGTGCATCTGGCCCGGTATGAGTCTACCCTCCTGCGGAAAATTTTCCTTGAGGAGATGGAGAAGCTGGAGCCGAAATGGGTTGAAATTCACAACTCGACCCAGCTCCAGAGGGAATTCCTTTACGCTATGATCGATTGCCAACCGGATCGCTACGTGGACGAGATTGGGGAATGGGTCGAAAAGCTCACAAAGGAGAGAGAAGGAGGGTCCGTGGGAATCTCGAGTGATATGGTGGATGAGCAAAGGGAGGCCTCGTAGGCATCCGACATAAGGCAGGAACAAATTGAGAGCGAGAGAGAATTTGAGGAATCTGGAGACAGGACATTCAACCACATGAAGGGACAGACTTTTTTTTTAATGGAGAGAGAAGATTTCACATCAAATTTCCATGTGCTGGTTTAAAACTCGCGGCTGGGTTTTTCATAGTGTAGACTGGAAATAGTTCACGGTGACGAGTAATGAAAGCGCCCATCACGGTCAGGCGATGGACTCTGCTTTGATAAATATAGTGAACAACTCGGAAAGGTTCAACAACGAGATATATTCTCTTCTAGCACCTTTTCGACGCTCAAGCGCCAGGATCATTTAGCTAGGCAACTGATGTTAATATCACTCTAGTTTGGGTTTCACCATCCTATTAGGGAACGCTCTGTGGAAGGAAAACACTTACATTGACACAAGACCATGCGGCTCAATGGCCTGAAGCCGCCAGCCATCCGAGATAATATATGATATAGTATAGAAGAGATCATCGGAGCTCATCACACGGCCGAGGAGGAGAGAGAGGGTATGATGCTCCAAGAACACTCTGAAGCAAGATGATGTATAATATAGCTGCAGGAGGCCTGAAATCTAAGGCGAGGGGCACATATGTATCTCTTTGTACGTCCGCATATGCATACAGCCAAATTTCAATGGATAGATATCACATATCGCTCATGAAAAATATAGCTACATTTTGTTCACACTGAATAGAAAGTTCACAGCACAATTGAGCAAAGGATCGGAGGCAACATAAAATATGGAATGGAGAAAAGTCAGAACGCCTCATTGGCTTCCTGCCAGGTATGCAATATGATAACTAACAAAATCCATCGTGGAGGGCATGTACCTAGGACCTCGGGATAATAGATATGATTATATCATCCTGGCCTGACAGCCCAGAATTGATCAGGACTGGAAATTCATGTTGTAGCCTCCCGTCTTTGGGTCCTGGACGAACTTGAAGTTGTCTGTCGATAGACCGAATGGGCTTAGGATACCGTTTCCGAGCTGTTTGAAATTAGTTCCCATCTTATTTTGTGTGACACTGCAGAAAATACTCACTTCCTTTAGCTTGCCCATCATATCACCCATCTCCTTCTCCCGTGCCTTGTTGATGCGCTCGGGTAGTTCACGCAATGCCCGCTGTACAACTCTTTTATCGTCGGCCGGGAGATTCTCGATCGCAGAAAGTGCTTGATAGTCTTCTGAGGCGCCTTGCAAGCTACCCCAGCCACCAATTTCGGTCTTTGCCTTGGCCCGTCTCATGAGGACTTTGGCCCGAAGTCGCATCACCTTGTTTCTCTGCTCATCCTGTTCCTTCAATCGTTCCAATTCCTCCAATTCAGCATCTTCATCATCTCCAGATATTTCAACAACCGCCTCTGTGCCTTTACTCTCTGATCCAGATATTTCCTTGCCTTTTGACTCGGCCCCTTTGTCCTGGGGGATTGGAGGGATGATCTTATCCAGCCGATCGACAGAGACAGTTGCGGAGTCTACAGCCGCCTTCCAATCCTGTAATTTCAAATGGCAAGCAGCGATATTGCTGTGAATTATGGCGACATCGAAGTCAAGGTAGCTCGGGCAGGAGGCGAGGGCTCGATCGTAACAGGAGATGGCTTGATCATAGCTTTTGGCGAGAAATAGCTGGTTTGCCTCAGACTTGATTTCGTGGGCTTCCTTCAGGAATTGCTATCAGAGAAAAGACTGGAGTTAATGTCTAGTTCCGATCATAAGCTTAAACAAACATCATCACGACTCACGGCTTCCTCCTCCGGTGGAAAGTGTGCATCGTGGAACACATCTTCGTCGCCACTATCATCGGCATCAACAGGAGCACCTTTGCTGTCGCGCTCGGGAAATTTAGAAGAATTGCTCATTGTGTGAAGCACGCCGTCGAGCGAGAAACACCGGATGTTGCCAAGGGTGCAATCACGGGACTGATAACGATTCTTCCCCGCGTCTTATCGAACCATCGTCAACATCCCACTCTGACGCCGGTAAAGAGAGCATACAGTCATGGCTTCCAATAACGAGTGAGTAGACCATGTTCATGTATCGCTGTTGTGGTTGGATATCAATTGACTTGATTGGCAGCCTTCCCCGCATCCGAGCATGTCTCTTTGACATGGACGGGTTGTTGATTGACTCGGAGGACTTGTACACCGTGATTACGAATGAAATCCTCGAGAAGTACGGAAGACCTCTCCTTCCCTGGTCAATTAAGGCGCAGATGCAGGGTCGGCCCGCACCGGAGGTTTGTGTCACACTACACTCGCCTTATGTACTCGTATGCTAACGCCATCGTCAGGCTGGCAAGATCTTCCATGACTTTGCCCAGCTCCCCATCAGCGATGAGCAGCTGAATGAGGAGAGATCGGCTCTGCAAAGGCACTACTTCCCACAGTCTCAGGCGCTCCCTGGTGTGCCGACTCTATTGTCCAATCTGGCTTCGACCCGGTCCACCGATGAACCTGTATACATCGCGCTGGCGACTTCCTCGCACAGAACCAACTACAAATTAAAGACTGATCATCTGACAGAGCTATTCTCTGTGTTCCCTGAGAGCAATAAGGTTCTCGGCGATGATCCACGTATTGGTAAGGGACGAGGCAAGCCTCTCCCCGATATCTACTTGCTTGCGCTGGAGACCATCAACGAAGACCTGCGCAGCAAGGGAAAGACTGAGATTAAGCCCGAAGAGTGCCTTGTGTTTGAGGATGCTGTGCCAGGTGTCGAGGCTGGTCGTCGTGCCGGCATGCAGGTCGTCTGGTGCCCGCACCCTGGTCTTCTCGAGGCGTTCAAGGGCCGCGAAGACGAAGTGCTTGCTGGAGCCACTGGCTCGCACAAGGAGGAGGAGAAGTCCGATGCCGAGAAGGAGGCAGAAGAGCTTCAGGCCTGGCGTGTGCAGGGCGCTGGCAAGCCCGGCAAGATAGGTGATGGCTTTGGCCAGATCTATTCTACTTTGGAGGATTTCCCGTATGCGAAGTATGGCATTCGGATTCCCTGAATATCGCTTCTAGTTATATGAGAGATAAGTACATATATGTATGCAGTAAATTGGGCTTGGTGTTGGATTTCAATATGTGTCATATGCGATTAGCAGAGCGGCCTAATAGAAAACCATCCAGATTTCTTTGCTATTTTTGATGAAGTCAGCGTTGCTTCTCGACAAACTTTTAATTCCTCGGCATCAGGCGGTGCCCTCCTGTCAATGAAAATGATGGCCAGCAGACTTTCAGACATTGCTGTCTTGACTGGCAAGGGACTTGTATTCGCGTGCTCGCTCCTTGCAATTGACTTCTGTGTCCGTCATCGGGAGGACCTTTCATTTGCGATTCCAGACGTCCCGCTGAGTCCTTGATTCGACAATTCCAAGACATTTGCCAGAAAAGAAGCTACGTCGTATTCTGAAATGATCGAAGTACACATATTTGCTTTGATTTTGTTCCTTCAACACATTAGATAGCAGGTTGTGGATCAAGATTTCCATCCCTCTCAGTCAGAAATGGCATTGACCAGACCTTGAGGGAATTGTCAATCTGCCTGCCGTCCTTTCCGGAGATGTCTTCGTCGGAATCCTGATCTAGGTCGAAATGTCGTTGTCCAGAGCAAGTCGCAACAACACTTCCCATAGGGTGGAAGATCGAACTCGTTACGGCATCTTGGATACATGTCAGCACTGCCATCCACATCACGTTGAAGGTCAAAAATAAGGATGGACGGGAAGAGAGTGAAAACTGACCATCATGAACCTTGAATTCCCAATCGGGATCCTTGCCCCCTATACAGTGTTCGGGGCTTTTCCAAACCCTCATAAACCCATCCGTACCACCAGCCCAAACCTCATGAGATCCATCGGGGCCAGATGAAACAACATCAATTTTCATGCGTTGATTGGTTAAAGCCTTGCGCCCGCGCAAGTACCCAAGCATTTGACCTGTGACACGGACATCATAAACCAAGATGCCATCACTCTTACGCTCAGCAATGTAGAGATACCTACCACAGGGGCTCCATGCAAGTTGTGTGACTCCTCGGCCTCCAATATCAGCGTTCGCTGGTGTCTTTGCGACGCTAAAAGTCCCAAGGAGTTCACCGGAGCCATTTGAGCTGTAGAGTCCAATATGTCTGGTGAAAGTGCCCGCAGCAAGGATTCCGTCTCCACTCGGGTTCAACGCCAACGCTGAAACTATACCCTTCATGCCAATACCACCGCCGACGATCTGCTTGCGCTTGCTGGGTATAGTTGGCATGGAGGATACGGGGCCCTGGGCTCCCGTTCGAGACACGTCGAACAGACAAATCAGGCTATCTGATCCTGTGAGGAAATGGGTGCCACCAAGAGTAGATGGGTAGATCATTGAGTGTGGAGTTATGAATGCTTCTGTCATCGGATTCACCAAGGAATAACTAGCCACTGATGCTGGGGCCAGGGCCGAAGATAGTCGGATTGGATGATCCCGAACAGATGAGAGGAATAGAGTAGTGGATGGATCTTGAAGATTGTAGAATGGATAGATTGCAGTAGCATAGGTCGGTTCAGCTGAGGGGAGAGTTGAGTATGGGGACAACTGGTGGACAGGCTTATCCTCCAGTAGATCTGGTGGTCTGATTGTGTGAGTGACTGGAGTCAATCAACCACGGAGATGATACGTGGACTTACAAGATCCATGTTCTAATAGAATGATCCGCTGAATCTGTCAGCAGAGTAGTGCCATCTGGAGTCCTGTAAACCACAAGGTCAATACGGCGAGAGCAAATATTGGTGCAATAGACACTTACCATTCGGCGTTCTTGAAATAACCGAGATCAGAATTTCGACCGCGAGTTTTATCATCAAGGCCTGCCTCAGACTGACCTTGGGCCAGCGAAGACGCGCCCAAAGACTCTCGTGATGTATTGGATGGGAGTGGCCCTGTCTGATTGTATCGTGTTGTTGATGCGACACATACTGGCGCCCACTCCCTGACATTCTCGTCCGCCATGATGGGGGAGATCAACTGAATGAACAATACAGTTGCCTCGCAGTCTTTTGATGAACGCTATTAGATCGATGAGGCCATTTTTGTTCCAAGTTTGACCAGTATTGGATGAGAGTCTTGATTGAGTTGAAGATGCAAGAACTACACAACCTTGAGAATGAATGCGGTCCTTGGTATGGCAACGAGTTTCTCAATGAACAATGGCAATTACACTACATATGTAGTTTTAGAATATCAGATATTATTGGTCTCAAAGATAGGTATAAATAGAGGACTTGGATACTATCGTTGTGTTAGTTCCACTGGAAAAAGACCGGGTCGGATAAACCTAGAGCCGAGCAGCTTCACGCATTCCGCAAATCGCATTCATCGCGCAGCTTTAATCCTATTGAAGGAGCCCATTGATAGGTTCCAATCAAAGCTCCATTTGAATTGTTTGGTTGCATTCCGAATCATGTTTGCTCCCAAGACATCTGCGCCTGCTACAGGCGGACTTTCCCCTCACCACGAACTCATTGTTGTTAGTGCTCCTTCTCATCTTCGTCTCTGATCACACCTATCAGACTCATTCGCTATCCCTTGCTCTGATTCGTTCCATCGCTACTTTTCCCAGTATTTTGTGCTTTGTGGCTTGCAGACTGGGCTAGATCTTGTTGATCCCACACAGAAAAAAAAAGCTAACCGCAACATCCATCAACAGCGGCGGCAACACAAACACATCTGCAGCTACATCCGGCGCACCAAGTACTACCAATCTCTTCGGAAACGCTGCGACTTCGACAACACCAAAACCAGCAGGGGGGTTGTTCAGCACTCCAGCTACAGGAACCACAACACAGGCGACCGGATCCAACATGTTCGGAGGTCAACAACAGAGTAGCACGACTGGTGGCAGCCTTTTCGGCGGCGCAAATACTACTACTACTACTACCACACAACCTTCGGGGACAACTAGTCTGTTCGGTGGGCCGACTGCTGGCGCTGGCACCGGCACAACTCAAGCAACAACAGGCGGTGGTCTTTTTGGCGGCGCGTCTACAGCACAAACTCAAGCAAAGCCGGCATTTGCTGCTCTTGGTGGTGGTACTTTCGGCAGCGGGCTTGGCACAGCATCAACAGCAACCCCAGCGCCTCTATTGTGAGTCTCTCTGGTGCTTTTGCTCGTCTCGTCTCATATATCAAATTCTAATGCTATACAGTGGCGGTAAGAACGCAACCCAAACACAGCAAACTCAAGGGCCTACCCTCTCTCTTTTCGGCCAGCCAGCTGCCCCTAAGACTACGCAACCATTACAGCAGAGCACTGCTACTAGCACTGTGATTCCGGGCGTCAAGGTTGACGTCAGCAATTTGCTACCCACCACAAAATTCGAGAGCTGCGCCGATGAGATTCGTAACCAAATAGAGGCTATTGACAAACATATCCTCAACCAAATGAAGATGTGCCATGAAGTTGGGGATCTCCTACCAACCATCGTGCAGCAGGGTGCCACAATTCCCAACGATGTTGAATTTGTGCAAGGAAAACTGGAGACCATCCAACACGCGCTCGAGAACGATGCCAGTGATATCGATGGGCTGCGCAGCCTTGTCGCACGGGATGCGGCCGAGGCCCAAGTTGCCTTCCGTGCCATTGATACACTGAAGCTCCCTCTACAGTATCAAACAACTGGTGGTGGATGGTGGTCTGTGCAGGATCAACAGATTCCGGAGCGATCCATGCGCTCAAGCCGCAAAAATACGCTGGCCCTCCCTGACGGCGTTGAAGGCGATGCCTCCGAGACTGACATCAACGGTGTTCCGGTCAACTTGGTCGATTATTTCTCTCATCGCTCAAAGGAGATGAAAGGAGTTCTTGGGAGATATACAGGAAATCTTAAGGAGATCGAGGACCATCTTCATGGTGTTGAGGCTACTCTCAATCGCCAGATCAGCGACTTCGTGAGCTCCAAATCTCGTGATGCCGCCGCAGGAACTCCCAGATCTACTACCGCCGATCTTGCTGCGGTGCTCACTGATGTCGAGGCTGGCATCATGGGCGTCGCCACCCGTCTCAGTAATGTGTCGGAACAAGTGCAGGATCTGTCAATTGGGCAGCAGTCCCTGGGCGATGGGCGACTCCATCTGGGATAGTTTGGGGGATTTAGCGAGTTTGATCTGTATTTTTATGGAAGCTGATCTTCAGCATGCGAAACATGACATCCCGCAGTTTATCTGTCAATCCCGAACTCCTATTCCTCTGAACATAACTCGTAGGTCTGTCTTGAATGTGTTGGGACAATCACGGGGAGACCATGGATCCTTTCAGACATAAACTTCTTTACAATCCTTAATCCGACGTACATACGTCTTCAATGCTCTATGATAATCCCTTCTATGTGCATGCAAATCCACAAGAGATTACGGTTACTGTTATTAATATACCTTATATATAATAGTCATGTTCCCTAGTAATAAAGAATATATATGATAGAAGATAATCCGTGGTTTCAGTTCTTTTAATAGTCCAGAGACCCGACCGCCGAATACGTGGGCCACATACAGCCACACCCCATTCGAATAGCAAGACCGCAAAACAGCCTTCATATCTCTGTCGCTCTATAGACCATATTTCCTCTGCGAGGTGGGGCTTTCCTATCCTAGCTACCGCTGCTTTTATGAGGACGCTCAGTGAGCGCTCACTGATTACTCAGAGATTCTTCGGCCTTTGAATTGGTTACGTCTGCGGTCATCAAAATACAGAGTAAATATGGCCTTATTACAATCGATTGAATTGAATTTAGTACCATGATAAGAGGTGGTATTCTGCTAGGCAAGGGGAAAAATAATAAAAGAACTCAAGCAGGGAGATCTCGAATAATTCCAGCTTTCTTCTGCGCGACGTACAGATGGGCATTTCCGGGCGCTGTGGCAAAGAATAAATGGTTACGCATGGCCGCCCCTGAGAGGCGTGCATCTCCCGGGCTATCTGGCTTCACAATAGCAGTCTCTCGAAACCAGGGGGTAAGTGCCACAAAAGCAGAAGTGAGAATTTGCATATCAACAAATATCAGAGGCTGGAGGGCCTGGCCATTAGCGGTATTTATTGGCGTTGCGCCTTGCATGGCTGGACCGTGGAGTACCATATCGAACTGAAACGCCAGGAGATCGGACATGAAGACAGTAAGCACGTTGCTTCCAGTATCATTGCAGACTAAGAAAGGCCGTGTCAAGTGTTCGTTACCGCCATACTGGGGAGGTAGCCTAATCTGGGCATGTAGCTGGTTTGTGTTAGTTAATAACCTCAAGTCATCATTGATATAGCTTAGATTGTGATATATCTGGTGCATATGGAAGGTGTTCGAAGAAGGAAAAGTTTCCGATCTCGACTGGACCATTTGCTGCGGCTAATAGTCATAAAAATACGACATATGATTAGCCTGAGACTATTGATAATACCATATAGGATTATATGATATTTGCCTGTAGTTCTTGTTGCTGGATCATTTGCTGATATTCTAACGTCTAAAGATATCATTAATATGAACCAGTAAAATGGATAGCTAATGGGTTGATGGATATTGAAATATACCTCACACCATCTCATCGCGTTATTGGGTACCGACTCATCTTCCCATGGGTTCCTCTCGACTCGTCGTCCCCCAACAAGGTAGATCGGGGGATCACCTCGTTGGCGTGGTCCAAGCTCGCCATTCTCATATAGGCGAATGAGAGCTTCAACATTCACTCGCTGGGCTTTGCCAAAATCAGTCTGCAGAAAAGCTTTGAGTTGCTCTACTCGCTCCGCGGGGTGGAGGATGTAGGGTATCAGACACGCAGGACTGAACTGAGGATGTGGACCTGACATATTGAAAAGCGTTTGGTGGGAGTGGTTAGTGAAAGGTGAAACACGTGGGATTGAGGAAAAGTGGTGGGGCTAGCTTAGCCTAGTCTGGGTTAGCGTGTCACCTGTTGCAGCACGTGAGCTAAGCCGTACAGTGGCACCGCAAAAGTCTGTGACCACCCTTATTCACCGCTATTTTCTGCTATGATTCTGCCGCACCAAAATACTCTATATGGGCCCTAATTATACAGATGGGAATTTTTGTAAGGGGCCGGTTAATAGCTATCGACGACCTCATGGCGCGTTTCCTCGGCCCTTACCGGAAAATAAATCTAGCCCCACTGTGAATTTGCCTCCTAGCTGGAGGTGAAATAACTACAGTAGGATCGACCGCCATATTAATGACTCCAGCATTTTGTTGAGGGGGTAAGGGTCAAGAGCGTTGATGAAAGACTGCATTGGACGTGGTACATTTTATTGAGGTGACCTGCTGTCTTAGCTGCTCAGTGAACAAATCAAAGTACTTAGGTGATGCTCACTGAGCAAAAAGCGACAAGGGGTGAGTACTAAAATGGGAAGGTAAAGCCAAGAAGTGGCAGAGGAAATCAAGTACATAGGTCTGGACTTTTGGTCTGGTATAGTGGGACCTGATTGTAATATTGGATGTTGGAGTGTATGGTGGCGGGCACCGCGTCGCGCGAGTTGTAGCACTCGGCCGGCTGTGTGAAATTGGTGTTCATCATAGTAGTAGGTGCCATGTTGACAATATAGGTTAGATGTAGTTCTAACAAAGAGGGAACAAGATTGTATGTCTCTGTCTCTATACGACCGAGTTGATAAGGAGTCGATGAGGTATCACCTCGAAGAAACTTCTTGTTCGTCTTAAGTAGATCAGTAAATGTACATACCATCTCTGTAACTTTCAACTCTGGGACAGCCGATTGTTGAACTTTGCATTTCCATAACTAAGTGCTATCTGTACCGACAAATAAAACAATTTGGGGTATCGAAATGGACGACCCGATCACCGGACTTCCATACCCAAAACCCCTCGGGATTATTGCGATTCTCAACTATAAAAAAAAAATGCACGGCGCAAAGGAGCGTTTTGGCTACGATTTCGACCATCCACCCAATATGGATCCCCTGAATAGAGGTCGCGCTATCGTTGTCAAAACCAAGAGGTATATGGCTGAAGGCTGCCAAAACTTGTACCACTCTAGAGGACATGATAAAAGAAGATATTTTGAGTTACCTGCCGAGATGAGCAAGCTTAGTGAGATATACTGTACTTGAAGGATTGGATTGTTGTCTGTTTCTCCCTTATCGCCACCGACCGAAGGTGGATGTTTTTACCATTAGCCTAACAACCCTCTTTTGACCATAATCTCTTAGCCATTCTTTCTAAAAGCCGTTGCACGGTTTCTGACCTTCTCTGTCACAATTTTCTCTTACTAAATTACATTGGTTAGGTCCTAGGGGATATACACAGGCCAGAACGGCATCCGATTCAGCAGCTGCTTCGTTCTCGCTATTCACCTTAAAAGCCCAGTTTTCCCCATGTCCTCGCCCCAACAAGTACACGACCCACGACCTAAATGGCTGACCCAAAAGCGCAATCCTTGCACGATTTTGCAATCCTCGCCATAATCAATGTCTCTGTATTGCTTTACTTCTACCTTTTTGTGATCCATTTTCTGCTCTTCTATTTCCCCTCATCCCCTAGAGGAATTTTAGACTCCCTGTCCGTGCTAGTTTTTGCGTAGGTGTCATCATCTGGTTTTTACCATGACCTGGTGAGCCCCCTATTCAAATCCACACCACTGCACATAGATATACTATTAGGCTCTAGGTGGACGATCGGTTGCGGCTAAGTCAACTCAAAACGCGAGATGCCGCCCCTCTTGCGTGATCGCCTCTGGTGAGATAACCTAATCTCAACCTCCACTGCCGAGAGTTCCGTCGATCATTGCACAACGGCTCTCGGCACGAAGTACCTGGCTATTACACATATGCTCAAGCTCCTCGACTGGGATATCTCATCCGAAACAGCGGTGTGAGCGCTGTAATACTTCATGTGAATAGCATTCCTGGCTTCTGAGTTCATTCGACGGGGATGGCAAATCTTGCCATCAATAGTCAGCAAGATTGCGTGCTATGGACGTGCTATGGACGTGCGGGTCTCACTCTTCTTCATTCTGGGACCAATTTGATGCCAGATTTCGCCTGAGGTGATCCATTCGTCAAATTGCGCCATCTCCGTGAACTCCGGGGCATGCGAAATCTATAATCAGTCCACAATTGCGTTATCCGGGGTTGACTCACTCTCCACTTCCACGCTTGACCGTTTTTTTTTTGGTTTACGGCTATAAAGTGCTGCTTTCCTCCTCTTTATCTAGTTAGCTCTATCCAAACTTAGTTTTATACTTCCTCGATATCAATCTCATCTCCCCACTCGTACCTCTGGTGTCTCATTTGGTCCATTTCGTCTTTCTACATCCCAATCTGGTATCCATTGGTGGCATCTTTCCAAATGGCCCCATCACTAGAAGAGCCCGTGGTCACTGTCACCACAAGTCCGGCGAAGTTTGCAGTCCCAGTCGTCACGAAGGGCCTCGTCGGTGATAACAAGTTTGGCTATCAGCCAGGCCGCACACCAGTCACTCAACACCACAACTATGCACATGAAGACTTCTTGCCTTCATTTCCAAACATCCAATGGCCTCCGCTTGAGCAGACTCCCTACGAGGATAAGGGATTGCGAGGAGATCCCAAGTTCCGGAACCTTTTTGAGAGATGCTACAGCAGTCTTTGATTATAACCCGAAGATTGGCACCGAGATCCACGGCGTTGATCTCTCAAAGCTTGACGATGCACAACGGGATGACCTCGCCAGGTTGATTGCATACCGAGGTGTTGTCTTCTTCCGCTCTCAGAAGAACTTCGATATCGAGGCCCAGCGTCAACTAGGCCAATACTGGGGCAAGCTGCACAAGGTAAGCCATTTCACTCGAATCGAGTTGTTTGAGGGTAAATGCTAACCATTCACAGCACGCCACCACATCTGTCCCACGGAAGCAAGGTCTCGAGGACGTCCATGTGGTTTATACTGGAGACAACTCCGGTGACAACCGCGCTCTCTTCACACCCAGCTTCCTATGGCACTCCGACGTGACCTATGAAATTCAGCCACCATCCTATACATCACTCAAGCTTTTGACCGGCCCGCCCCGTGGTGGTGGTGGTGACACTTTGTGGACCTCGCAGTACGCTGCCTATGATGTCCTCTCCTCCCATATGCAAACATACCTCAAAGGCCTCACGGCCCTCCACTCGGCCGACATGCAGGCCAATGACTCCCGGGCGTTGGGTCGACCGGTGCGCCGGGAGCCCGTCACCACTGAACACCCTCTCATCCGCACAAACCCAGTCACTGGATGGAATGGGCTGTTCTTCAATCCGGGCTTCGTAACGAAGATCGTCGGCGTCCCCGCCGCAGAGAGTGATGCTATCATCCGGTTCCTGAGCGATGTGATTGCCACGACCCAGGAGATGCATGCGCGCTTCTCGTGGAATGAAGAGGACGTTGCACTTTGGGATAACAGGTCCACCAACCACAGTGCTTCTTATGGGTTCACGCCACACCGCCGTCATGCTGTGCGCGTCGCAGTCCATGCCGAGAAGCCTGTGCTGGAGAAGTCTGGGAGGTCTCAGGAAGATGAACTCAATGCTTTGTATGGACTGCCGGCAGTCAACAAGGATGGTTCTCGCCAGTCAAACTATAATGACTAGGTTTTAATCTTGGCGGTGTCTTTCTTTTCTTATTTCCATGGCAATTAGCGAGATGTCAAAACTAGCGGAACCATATCAATATCCTACCAAATACATCCTTTCTATTCTCACCGATACATGTGTGCATATGTGTAGTATTTCTTGTCATATTTGCTCTTTCTCCGTAGGCTCGAGTTCCAATCCTATTGCTCTGGGTGTAGAGGAGTGTACTTGCCTAATACGGAAACTGTTCGTCCCTCGTGCCTTCCCGATTCGTCCAGACCTCCCATCCATCGCGACTTCCTCGCGAGATCAGGTTTGCCCTTTTCGTCGTTGCCTCGTCCATATTTCCCCGTCATTCCACCTGTTCTTCTCTTTTCCTTTCTCCGCCTCTCTCGTCGCGTATCAACATATCAACATCATGGCCTCCCAGAACCCTACTCTGCTTGAGTACGCCAGGTTTTACAACATTGCAGAAGACTCTACTCGTTATTGTCCTCTTAACTATGTCGATGATACCTGCGAGCCAACGCCTCCTATTCCTCCCATCTTGGGTCTCAACCGTGAAATCCCCGAAGAACGTCTGAGAGAAGTCGACCGACGCTTCTGTACCGAGCTCATGTTGGACAAAATCCCCACAAAGACTAGTGACATGGAATTTCTACGTGACTGTATGAACATTGATATTGAAAACAAGAACATCTGGCGTGGTATTCTTCCTGATGTGAAAACATCTGATTCCACCCCTGAGCGTATTCTTTTTACACTCGAGCAAGAGAAAACCCTCTCTTTGCCTGAGTTCAACCCGGCTTCCTGTCAAGATCCGTTCTCCCCTTCAGCCAGCTTGCAAATGACTCCACTCCCCCCTCCGTCGCCGTCTCCTAGCCTTCCTGTTGGCGTGATTATCCCGAGTGGACCTGATGTGCACCACGTTCCTGGCTTGTTACGTCCAGTCTTTGATCAATTCAATTCGGATGATATGCCGCACGACAGCAATATCGCCGGGATGACTGTGACTGTCAATACAGCGGTGGAACCCCAGGATACCAACCCGGCTGCTCATCTTGCTGGAGATGCCTTCCCCATTGTAGGCCCATCAGGTGAACCGTTTCAGTTCGTGAGCATCGAGTCGGATCCTCTGCCCTTTGACCCCGACGAGGAAAGTGAGGATCAGAGTGTCTCTACATCCGAGGTACGAGGTTACCGGCTAATCATTGATGCTCGGGCTAGCTAACACAGGATATAGCAACCTACCGAAAATGGATCCAGTGCATTCCCATTTGAGGACGCCGCTACGCGCACACCTGCGATGTTCGATGTCAGTCTATGCAACCAATCTCAACCAGCCCTCCATATTGTTTCTTCCAATCTAACCAAAGAGAAAGATTCCTCAGGTCCCAGACTTGACTCCTCGAAAGCGCAAATGCCCGGACTGTTGAAGGAAAGGAAAGGACATAATGCCTTTTTGAAACCGGGGTCGGATAGTGTCATGGCCCATGCAAAGAAGGGAATTCTGTCAACGTCTACCCATACGATTCACGAAAGCATGTCGGTCACGCCACAGATTAACTGCTCCAGTTCATCTCTACCTCTCATCGGAGGTAACCAACGCAACCCTCAGCTAGCACCTGTCTCGCAGAATACCAAGGATGATGACAATACTTTCAATGCTTCTGACAGGGTGAATCTCACTATCACTGCGGCAAATAAGACGTGTACCGTGGCTACCAGCCCCTCCCAAAAGGAAGGGTCACGCATAGGACTGGAGGATAAGTCAAATTCAGCAAAAGCAAGGAATGACTTGTTCAAACCTCCACAATGTCAACAGGCTGGTCCTGCCGTAATCTCGACCAAGACCTCGGCAAGATGCAGTGCACACTTCAGTGGTCTTGGGTCTTTGTCCATGTTCATGGAAACTAGAAGCAATAATGGATCTAAGTAATGTAGCTGTTAACCACTACAAGTATCTACTGCATGTTCTAGGTTATCGAAATCTGAACTTGGCTACATTTGACAAGACAGGCTTGCGACACATACCATCCAGTATCTAGGTAGATAGCCTTGGGAACAACCCCAAAAACAGAGAGGAGATGATCAGGGCTGCGATCACCGACTACCTAACCCGGCATGAGCATACGGGCAAGGAAAGCCGCAGTTAATTTTAAAAATACAGTGGACAAAGACATGCAAGACCCAAGGCCAATCCAGCGCTTCAAAAACTCATGCATGCAAAATAGAAAGACAGGCCAAAATAGGAGTACCACAACTGGCTGATATCAAACAATCGAATGTCAAAATACCACTCAGTCCCAGCATCCTGATTCGCTAGATTTTTTGTGTTTTTTTTTTTCTTGTTCGGTGTTCTTGAGATCGTTGAAAATGGTCAAGCTCGTCACGTCGCGTCGATATGATACACGTCATGGGTCGCCCAATCATCCCAGTCGCGATTTTACAGCGAAATGGGATTGGAGTCGACATGACAGAGGGGTTGGATGGGCGGCGAAACAAAGTCGAGTGAGAAATAAAGTTTTGCAAACTTATTTACTCGGTGATCTTGGCCAGGATGCTAATAGATTTGTCAGTCTTGTTCTCATTGAAATTAGATTGAAGGGGGAGGAAACGTACTCGTGATCGCGGAAGAGAGTGTACTCCTCCTCGCCGACCTTGATGGCGTTACCACCGAACTGGAAATAAACATGTTAGCATAGAGTTCCGTATGATTATGCGCATGGGCGCGGAAGAAGTCGATGGGATTGATTGAGCACATACCTGGGGGATGAGGACCTTGTCACCGGCAGCGACACCCATGGGGAGACGCTTGCCATCACGGTCCAGGAGACCGGGGCCAACGGCGAGGACCTGAGCCTCGTTCTGCTCCTTAACGGCAGCCTCGGGGAGGAAGATACCGGAGGCAGTCTTGGCCTCGGGCTTGATGCGCTGGACCAGGACGCGGTCCAGGAGAGGAGCGAGGGACTTGATGTTGCGGAGGACAGACTAAATAGATTGAGAGTTAGCCAGGCTATTCTCTATCACATAACTGAAGCGAACTGGATTTTCGCGCATTGCAGCTTCTCGGGTACCCGGGCTCGGCTTGAGGGAGGAAGAAAAAGTTGGGCGTGGAAGTGCTGATAGCTCTTCCGGATGTTGGGGAAACAAGGATATTTCGGTTTGTCGAAGGCACCGGAAGATATCACATACCATTGTGAGAGAGAATGAGATTCCTGAGGAGATCGTGGGTTGAGGATGGGATGGAGAAAGGAAGAAGATGGAACTGGTCCGGGGGACGAGGATCTCGACTGGAGAAATTTCCAGAATGCCAAGACCGAACCATGAGCTTCTTCCGAACAACAATCCCTTTGGACTCGCGTGAATTTTCCGGGATTATTGCTGGAGATGATTTATGTATGTTGGTTATTTATCAATGCTTGCGTATTGGCTACTATTCCCTACCTCTTTACATGGCCGACATAGCTGTCTACTCTCGTTCCCCTAACTTGGAGCTTTACTTCTGCGAAGCCGGAAGCTTCAATTTTGTGATTTGTCAATTGCCATTGCCCTTTCCTTTGTATGCATGTAACGCCGTGAGATCCGAATATTCCGAGGGCGATCCCGAAGCTACTTTTACCGGGATGCGAAACCCATATCAAACTACCATCTCCGGCCGCGTCCCCGTCCCCCATAACCTCCGCGCTGATCGTATCCACCGTAACCCATTTGACCCTGGCCTCCTTGGTTGAAACCTTGGCCCTGGGGCTGTCCACCGAAGCCAGGTTGAGCCTGCTGACCACCACCAGGCATCATGGATTGCGCGTGCTGCATGAAAGCCATGGGGTCCATGGAAGACGGATCCAAGCCCTGGGACATCATGCTTGCCAGCATACCTTGCATCATGTCGGGGTTCATATCCGGCATACCAGCCATACCAGCCATGGGCGGTGCAGCAGTAGCTGGAGCAGCGGGGCCCGGTGCACCAGGCATCGGGGGCATGCCCATACCCATGAAGGCCTGCATATCGTCCATTTGTCGCTTCTGAGCACCAACTTCTTGTCGCACTCCTTGTTGTTTGATACAGTAGCCCGCCCATGTGAACTCATCGAATCCGTAGTTAAAGTAATCCGAGAGATCTGACCCGGGTCGTCGCCAAGGCTTGTCATCAGATGGGAAGTCTGCATCCATGTCCGTCGACATGATCGGCTTCCCTGTCATGGGATGAATAGGGTTTGCATTGACATCGATGGTTGAGCTATGGATAGCGGGATAGGCAGAGCCTGGCTTTTCTGAGGAGGGTTTCACGGCGGCTGGCTGTCCGGGTATCGGGGTCGCTGTTTCGTATCGAGGGATCGCGGATGGCGTCGCAGATCTCGTTACCCCGGATGAGTCGACGGATGATGGACGTTGTGGTTCTTGTCGCAGGGTTGCATGGCGCGGATGGGAGCTATAAACATGAGCAACTGTGCAGGGTTCGCAAGAGCAGCTAACTCACGGTTCGGGAGCGGGTGCGCCTTCGGGGGCCTCTGTGATAATATTGAAATCGTCCTGCAGATAGTGTTAGGGTAGGTCAAAGTCAAGATTTGAGAAGCGGAATGCGTACATCATCTTCCTCCTCCTCTTCTACCTCATCCTCGTCCATGTAATCGTTCTCCTGTGGTTGACCTGGTGCATTTTGTTGGTGTATCTGCGATTGTGTTGTCGGCACTGCGTCCACGGGATCATAAAAGTCATCTTCTTCGTCGTCCATGATTTCTTGATTTCAAATCCACGTGAATTGCTGCAGAAAGTTGTATCAAAGAGGATCGAGATTGCAGGTTGCGCGCATGGCAGCCAAGTTTGTCTTGTTTGCAGCGGTGTAGCTTGCCGCCGAAGAATGATCAACTCGTGGCAATCGAATTGGTGCGATTTAGGCCTTAGTTAGCTAAATGAGCATAGATTGGAAAGCGAAATAAACATCCAACAAATTCTACATAAAGGGGATATGGTGATAGTATTACCGTGATCCTCTACATCGAAGTATCGTTTGTTTGAGCGACGCATATAAAAGCTACCTCGGACTTAATGACACCATTGAAAAGGCTGAGGGTCGGGATGCAGTGGCGCTACATATAGAAGTTTACATATTATGGGAGATCCAGTATCTCTCACGTACCAAAGCCTTGGTTTGTGTTTGCAGCCCCTGTCATTTGTTGCTTGAGGGCCATGCCAACTGTGTCTTAAGTATAGCCCCGGATGCATGATATGTAGCGATCATGAGAACTTAAGATTTTTGCGATCTCGGTATGAATGCCTAGGATCATCCACCACGTGAAAATCTGACCATTCCCTCTCGAAATTGGAAAATCTCATATTAACTTACCAGGGTTGTTCAACAGCCCCAAGGCCGGGACTATAGAAACCAGCGGTCACGTGCTGGCACCAAGACGTCACCGGCATTGATTTGAAGCTCCCAATCCTCCCACAACACTGGTCAGATCTGACGGCCAATCTCACAATTCGAAATGGCAGAAGAAGAAGAGAGCCACAGCTCTACTCCGCGGTCCTTCGCTGGTCAAAGCGTCTCCGCGGAGGAGATGCTCAAGGAGCAAACCGTCGGTCTCGTTCACTTGTCCGACTTTCGCAAACGACGCGCGGAGGTTTTAGAGCAGAAGGAGCGCGAGGCGCATGACAAGTCGCTAGGACGACTAGCATCTGGTAATTCAAGAAGCGCAACCCCTTCTGCAGGAGAAGTGACTGACGGGTAAGTCAAGAGTCTCAATTTCGACCTCCGGCCATGAGCTGATCGCAGCGCCACAGGTCACCGTCCCCCCGGACTGACGCCCCTCCAAAGAAGAAGAAAAAGAAGGCCTTCGCGAAAAGCAAACTCTCCTTCGGTGACGACCAGGATGATACAGGGGAGGAATCTGCGGCGACCCCACGCGACTCGAGCGTTTCACGGTCAAGTTCGAAAACACCTGCGGATGATAACGCTCCACGACGCATGAAGGCCAACCCGAATGCACCCCCTCCTCCCAAAGCTTTGACCAAGGCATCGCTAGAAGCTGAAGCGCTGGCGCGCGAGACTCTCCGCAAAGAGTTCTTAGCCATGCAGGAGGCTGTCAAGAATACCGAGATCCTAATTCCATTTGTCTTCTACGATGGGACCAGTATACCAGCTGGGTCAGTTAAAGTCAAAAAGGGTGACCATGTTTGGTTGTTTTTAGATCGTTGCCGCAAGGTTGGCGCGGAGATGGGCGTCCGTGGTGCCAATGGCGCATCGAGCGCAAAGAAAGACAATCGCCGAGAATGGGCACGCGTCAGTGTTGATGACTTGATGCTTGTCAAGGGCGAAGTTATTGTTCCTCATGTATGTCCACCCTATCAATGTCTTGTCTTGTTGCACAATTACTAACGTATATCCAGCATTACGAATTCTATTACTTCATCGCCAACAAAGTACCGAGTTTCTCACGCGATGGCGGTCTCCTTTTCGATTACTCTGATAAGCCTCCCGCTACAGAAGCACCAGATGATCCGCTGTTCAGACCTAGTGACGACAGTCTGGAGGGCGCCGATAAAGACTTCTCAGAGACCAAGGTCGTAGATCGACGGTGGTATGAGAAAAACAAGCACATTTACCCAGCCAGTCTGTGGCATGAATATGAGCCTGGGAAAGAGTTCCAAGAGAAGATGACTTCGACACGGCGGGATGCCCAGGGAAACACATTCTTCTTCTAACTCGAGCCTGAAAATAAGGCCATAAAATAATCATGATAATGGACAAATACCAAAAGATTTCATTCCTTCCCGGCGGTTGCTTAATTATATGATCTTGTAGAGGGGGAACTGGACGATATAGCATGTAGCGATATCACCTGCTTAGGGTAATCCGAACCTCGCCATCCCCCAGTTCCTCTTCCCTCTCCATACGGGACCCAGCGCCAACGATATCATGGATTTTTCTCTCAGGTGCAATTCCCTCAAATGCCGGGCAGAGTTGAAAGAAAGAGCAGTGGTGACAACTTGTTCGTATGTTGCTTTCTGATCGGCCAGCTTGACTGAAAGACTGATGGTTCTAGGCACATATTTTGCCACGAGTGCGCAGATAGTCTTGGACTTTCTCATCCAACTACAAGCAGTCGGCACTGTCCTGCTTGTCAGACAGCGCTCATCAACCCAGATGACGCCGTTTCAACGATTTTGAATCCAACAGAGGATTATAAGACAAGCGTGTTGAGTGGGCTGGATCCGAACACAATTATGGAATGTGCTGGTCGCGCACTTGGGTTTTGGGCATATCAAAGCACACAAGAAATGTATGTCTCATTTTCTTGATGGAATTACCCAGGGCTGATGCTCAGGCAGCTTCTACCAGGAATACCGCGCGAAGACTCTCACAGAGAAGTACGCCAGCTTAAATACACAAATGGACAAGATCATTCACAATGCCAACACGGAGATAATGTCCCTACAGAACAAATTGACGGGTTGGTTAGACTCAGCTACTATTTGCCTTGAGATTCAACTAACGTCTCACCCCTAGATATGCAATCAACCCAAGAAGATCTCCAAAGAAAAAACCAGGAACTGAATGATATGTACCGAGACAAGAACAACAAACTAGCTCAGATGACCAATCTCTATAACCTCCTCAAGACCCGTGCGATGCGGTCTCGGATGCAAACCGCCGCCTCCGACACTGTCTCCCAGGCCCTATCGTCCCTGAATGCCCCTCCTCCTGTCTCAATTCCTTTCTCTGACGCCCTACCAGTGCCTTCAGTCCCGAAAAAGCGGCATCCCAAGACCCCCACATTTCCTATCAACAAGGATGGAGTAGAACAGCTTCATCGGCATCAAAGAAGCGGCACTGGTAGTTCGAAAAGAGCCAGGACGCAAACACCTCTCGAAGCCGCGATGCCACCACCTTCTCGGCCAAATTGGAATGAGCGAAATGGTATATATTGGCCCTTACTGCGCAAGGTACATAGACTGACCTCTTTCTGAGTAGGCAAAGGCTTGAACCTTGCTCCGCAACATCGTACTCGACTTCCACGTATCTCTCGAACGCCGACTGTTTCATCCGAGTTGCCTCCTGGAGATGCCATTACGCAGCGCTTTGGCCATTGAGGGTTCCTACACTGATAAGCACATTCGTATAAATATCCACAGAATTTCTATATGGGATTTTTGACATACTATATCTTTTGCCCTGGTATACTTTTCGAATGTCAGTCCAGAGTATATTTGAAGTTGCCTCTAATTCTGGAAGTGGCAAGAAACAGACTTCAGTTTGCTGTCGATTGTTCTGCTGGAGGATGAAGGCATCTTAGATGAGGATATGCAGAAGATCCAACGGTCTCTGGTCCAAGTGGCGGGCTGCTTGAAGGCAGAACCCAACCAACAGGCAATGCGGGAGGCTATGGATCAATGACACCTGGGTAAAGAAGCTGGAGGTCGCATTCGGCTTGTACGGACAAAAGAATCTGGCTGACATTGAAGTCACTATCTTGTTGGTCTTGGACCTTGGCTGGCGGGTGTCGTGTTTGATCTCAAATTTCATTATCGCAAATCACAGTGGACATTGTTTTATGCTATGTTGCATTTTAATCTTATCAGGTTCTACCAATATACGCTCAGGTGTAGCTGTATATGGCAGATGCTGCTACACACGGCTCCATAACAGAGCTGCGCCATGAGCAATATCTCGTCGCCATGACTTCAACTTATACCTAAGGCCATAGTATCCAAAGCATCACGTCACCTGGGCACATAGATGTGACGGCTAGTCACCTAATTCTGTCTAAACATTTCATCTCCATAAAGGGATGTCCAATAATGTGCTCAAGCTTGTCGAGATTTTATGTGTGGCTCTGCCGCGTGAAACACCCTTGGTGCCTACATACCTATTGAGTACCAAGAAAGTGAGTTTATCAGATCTATGAATACATACACTAGAGATATATCTTTGTCTCTAGTTAAGAATATATTTGTATATAAGTTGTCTCCCTCATGCAATCTCAACATCCTGCAGCTCCTTTGTTCAAATCTCGCCCTCGAAGATAAGTTTCAACACAACACCACTGACAAGGACTATGCTACCTAACGTACGAAAGTCAATTAAACCAGAACCAAGCAAGGTAAAAGGAACCAGAACTATCTTATGTTTTGGCTTTTGCGTCATTGTTCCAAAAAGCCAGGTAGAGGTGACACCCAGCCACGCACCAACCCAAATAAGCCCAATAGCCTTTTGCCACCACGGAGGTGTACCGTTAGTATTCTGGGAGCCTTGCGTCCGCTTCCAGAGAGCCTGAATGCCGTCTTCAATCATGTAACCGACAACGAATGAGAGGAAGAAAGATATCGCCCCAGACTCCTGTATGGAGACATTCCGTAGAATGTCGAATATAGCGTGCATTAGACCGGAGAAGAAAAAAACAATGAATACGTTGGTATAACGTTCCAAAACTGACGGTCTAGGGAGCCTGAGTACATCACGCGCGAGGAAGTTGCTGAGCGAAGTCAGAGGCAGTCGCAGCATTTGATGCCAGAATTTCCTATCAACAGAATCAATATCATATCCAACCGATTCAACGAGCATAATCATAAAAGCTTACCCCCAGAATCCCCGCAGCGTATATGCATCTCCCATCCGCCCACAAGATGGGGGACAATTCCATGGAGAATCTCCCAGACCCACAAAGATGATCGATGTGACGCGATAATAGAAGCTGAGCCCGATTCGAGTCACGACAAACCAAATAATAAGACTCGGAAAAATTCGTTCCGCCACCAATTGTCTTAGATCCCATTTAAGTCCAGGAGAAACTGGTACATTCTCCTTTTGATCTAGACCCTTGCTTGAAGCCATGGTAGATATAATATCTAGAGCCAAAAACTGCCAGACAGCAATAGCAGTCTCGCGAATCAGAAAGCGACCTCGAGGAATTACCTTCGGGTCTCTCTTGGTGTAGTACGCTGGCATGGGCGGAACGTTTTTCGCTTGTCGGGCTGTATTCACTGCGCGCGTGCAAGCTATCATCTGAGCTGATTGGGCCAGACGAGACAAGAAGCTCTTGGTTTTGCCATTGGAGTCAACGAAGTCGGGTCTGTCTTGAGGATTGATCAACAGATAGTCGGCGGCCGTGAAGATGAAGGTAACAGCATGTCCGAGGAAATTGGATGGTATAAACCCTGGAGTCGACACAGGGTACATCATCTGACACATAATCCATATCATACACGGTATAGTCAGATAGCGGAGAGCAGATTGCTTGGGCGTTGTGGCCAGGACCACAGAGGGGATGAGACCTTGGAGGACGCAGAAACCGAACAACCGTCTGTTTGATTGATACTGGTCCATGGTGGTTGGGGATGAGACGAAGTCAAGATCTTCCAGTCCCTCATTTTCAATTTCACCCTGGGGGTCCGGGTGTACTTAAGGACCGAGATCGGGCTGGTATGCATGATATTAATTGGCGAGTCGGGCGAGGCATCCACCTATGTATGTATCTGGAGACCAGTGGGTCCTTAGCCAGGTAATATCCGAGTTCGCAGATCGGGCATCGGCCACGGAGTAGACGAGTCCATATTTTCACGAGTTGATCGGATGTAGATACGCTCATATGACCAATCATTGTACACCTATTCTGCCAATGGTGTCTGTGGCGGTGGTAGGCCATTGAAGGCGTTCGGAAGCCGATATCAACCTGCATCTGCAGACCAACCGCATTTGGTGAGGTCTGTGGCTGACGCTAAACCTAATCGATCCACATATATACGCCCGATGCTAATTTATGCGCATAACATATACGCCGTAGTGGCGCAGGCTTATATGTAGGTGCTTGATATGTTTACCGCGCAATATAGTCACAACTTATCTGGCATAAGGCAACGTTACAACGAAGAGAGTAGCATTTAATTGATATGAAACATCTAGAGAATGCAATATGGTATGGCATTTAGTCTTTCGCCTATTCTACAATTAGTTAGGGATTGGTCTGGATAACATCGGCCAGTATCATGTATGTTTTGGTCAACACCCTTCACCCAGGGAGAGTGCATGTCACCCTGAGACTAGTGCGGGCATTAACACTGCACTTCATTCAACCGTTTAGTAAAAGCGGCATAAAGAAAATGAACCAACGTCTTTTGCCAAGTCTCACGTACTGATGCTTGTTCGGAAGGACTTGAAGAACCAAATTCTGACGGAAGTTCTAACTGGGGCTCTCTAAGCTCTTCCGAGTGAGGATTACCGTAGTTCTGGAAATGTTGTGGTACTCCAGCTCCAAGACCAAGAGGAAGAATGGAAGAATGTTGCCAATCAATAAAGCTAACAATTTCATTTGACTTGGATACAATGTCAAGAGCTTTGTTCGGCTGGAGATCCGAGTCTCATATTACCGGTCGATGAAGCGCTGTTCCGGCACTAAATCCAAGAAAAGGTGCTAACCTCAGATATTCCAAGAGATTTCGAATGGGATCAGACATGCTCCCATTCAAGGACAAGGGCCGTTCCCTTTTCTCGCTTGGTGCGATCATGACGCTGTAGGTTGGCACTGCTATTTGAGTCATCCGATCAGATCGGTCAATCGACCATTCGATGCGGCCAGTGGCAGGTGGTCGGTGGCCACTCGCAACACAGAGCACAGGTTTAGATTAAGTATTGCCTTGAACTAAGGCCTTGGATCAACTGAACTCCAGGTGGATCCGGTGTTTCTGATTGGGAACTGTATCCCGTCCATATATCGATGGTGCAGGCAATGGGAAGATGCTGGATGTGCCTTGGGATCTCCATCCCAATGACTAGCAAGATATGATGGCCCTTGGTCGTAGGGAGTAGAGAAAGTCTACCACTGATGGTCAAATGAAGGCTCACGACTCCAGGCAGTTATTTGTGATACGATTGTAGCAAGAGTGAGTGTCTGTATATAGCTGCTCATGGCAGAAAGACAGACGTGGGAGACAGCCGCCAACATACCGTTACCATCGTCTGTGTTGCTATATCCGGATCATGAATGGAAACCTCAAATTATGAAACAAATTACACCATTTTTGTTTCCTGGATAGATAAAACAAAAACGGAAATGAAAATGAAAAAAAAAATTGAGGGGCTCCTAGCAGTCCTTTCTCGGTAGAAGACTGCGCGAATCGAATCTGGCACCAGTCCCATTTTGGGACAGTCCCTTTGAGGCAGGACATACCCTTTTAAGGAAGAGCAGGACGTTTAAGCCAGGACAACCACACAGCCACCGGTCGGAGCCGTCGACAGGGCAGGTGTTGTCCTTTTACTTAAGCGAACCAGGGCAAACATACTTCCCAATCGGGAAGGTGCGTTCATGCACCTCCAGGGCTCTTTCCAAAGTTTCAAGTTACCCAGGTACATAAGTAATGTTTGCTATAAAGATACACCTCCCTACACTAACTCTGCAATACAACATCTTCACTACTAACCTTTGGATTCCATAGCTGATCATATATCACATATACAGGGAAACGTTTCCTTCCTTCAGCCTCGACAGTTGTCTATCTCCCATCGCCAGCTTCCAACATCACCCCAATTCAGCTTCTGGGTCTTCCAGACTGGTTATGTCACACATCTCTCTACTTCCAAGCTCAAAAATAGAAGTGGGTAATACTGGGGGGGGAGCCTATCCTCCACCTCCAGCACCCACAAACACCACCAAAACCACAGCATACGCAGCAGTACATGCCACAATATCCTTTGGCTCCGAAGAGGTCATAAACAAAGCTAATGTCACAGCAACAACAAGCACGAAGCAGGTTGTTGTGACTAAACTGGTAACCTGCGAGGGATACAGCACCATGATCAACATAGGAACAATCAGCGCGAGTCCGCCCCCAAGTGCCATCGACAGCCGTACCCAAAGTCTTTCTTTGGCCAGTGAGATCTCCCGATCCAATATCCCTGAACTTTTAGCTCCCGCAATGCGTATTCTGATATTCTCGGTAAGTACCCCCAAGCTGTTGGGTTGTTGCTTGGGCCTCGTCGGATGGTATATTGGGTACTTCGAGCTTTGAGCGCAATATATCAATCTGCCTCATCATATCAACGACCTCTTGCAAATTGACATTTCCGAAGATCCAGCTAGATTTTGCACGGATAGCATGGTAATCTTGTATAGCTTTGGCTACTCTCACGTTAGGTTGATCCTTTCCTGGTATTTTGCAACACTCACAATGTTGGTCTATATCCTTGCGTATCCTGCTTGCTGCCGCGTCATCTAGGAAACGGGTTTCATCTAGTTGGCTGCGGTGCTTCAAAAGTATGGCACGGGAATATAAGACATTGTATCGATATAGCCGTTCAATGCACAATATGTCATGTGGAACCTGTACGGTTCGCTGTCCTTGCCAGATATCGTCAAGGAAGAGTGCAGTCTGGGAAATAAGGAATTGATCTCAGTTGATGGCTTTCTTAGGTTTCTGCTACTCACGAAACTCATCCAAGGAAAGTAAGCTTCCTCGGGCCTCCAAGTACTCCGTAGCGAGTATGAATATACTCCACGGCCATGCCATTAGTCCTGAAGCCAACTTGGTCTCTCTCGAACACTTGTTTCGTCTGGTCAACGGAAACATGTGGATTCTTCAAATCATGCGGCGTCGGGATACAATGTATCAGACTTCTCCCTCAGTCCATAACCTCCTAGCCTAGTTTCCTTCTTAGCTTCATCAGCCATCTTCATGATACATTTCGACGTCTCTCTCAGTAGACCCTGACACAATGTATAAGATGAATTCTCTTATGGTACGCGGCGACATATGGTCTGTGATATATTTCCTATCACTCTAGAACGTATGCTGGACCCGAAGCAATAGAGTATTGACAACAGACAAGTCTCGCTCTGTCGATCATCGCAGAACCAAAGAATATGGTCCGGATATAGCAGTATAGATGCACTTGAAGTATACATAAGATACTTGTATATCTCCAGCAAGCACAGCCGCAGCACAAAGCCTCCCTGTATTAGACAGTTGGCCACGACCATCGAGGAACCGACCAAGGTCATGATAAACGCAACTTAGGTGCACACTAATAAAGCGCCTCTCCCGCTCTAAATGTACTAGTCCTCCTTCTATATACAAGTCAGGCAATTCCCGCTCGGCCGATGCTTGGCTTGGCCCTAGTCTCGGGGCAGCGGAAGACATCCCACTCTGGTTTGGTTCCCCCAGGTCTAGCACGGTCCCTACTTTATCTTAAAGTTGATCTGAGGAGCTGACGGCTCTGTCAATCCGGGGTGCAGCGAAGCTGGTGTGGAGTCTGGTGCGGGAGCTTGTTTTCTTCTCCTGGATCCTCGATTTAAGCTTATCCAAAATTACATAGGTATTGATATGTATTATTTACAATTTGATTCTTGAGCTTCATGTTTCTTCTTTCCTTTCTAGCTTCGGATGCACACTGTGACAATTCGCACACTCTACCTAGGGAGGTACGGAGGACTGTAAGATAAAGAGATCATCTGTCTAATATGTGTTCAAGTATGAAAGAGAAAATCAGGGACAATAATTGCCTCGTATCATTGATATTATCCGACGGGACATCACACGATCTAAATCCCCCGGTAGTGAACATAGGAAAATGAAATCTAATCAACGGAGAATCATGTACGTCGGCACCAGAAGAACCGGGTCTTTTCGTCCGGGCGGGAAGTAACGCCATACCCTCAGCAAAACAGGACAGACGCCGGGGGGACATCCACATCCGCAGACCCCCGGAATCCCGCAAAAAACAAGTCATATCATGCCATGCATTATACCACAAAACCGATGCAACGGACACACGCTGCAAAGAAAGAACAAACATCAAAGAAGGATTAAACTATTTATGCGCCGAATTCCTTGACGTCGCTCTTCTTGCCCTGGAGGGCAAGGGGCACGATGCCACTGACGTGCATCTCGGGACCGTAGACGTGCATGTCCAGGCCAAGCTCGATACCGACGGACTTGATGTTCTTGAGACCCTCCTGGTAGTTGGGACCAGCACGGCGGACCCAGATCTGGACCTTGTGCTCGTTAAGGACGGGAGCGACCTCGCGGATGGCGCGGATAACACCCTTGAAGGTGCTGGCAACGTTAGTGAAGTTGGCAATACCACCACCGATGAAGAGGACCTTGCCCTCGGGGTGAGTAGGAGCACGCAGCATCAGGTCGAGGACGGTACGAGCGTAGTTGAAGGTTTGAGTCTCGGTAGGAGCGCCAGAGTACTCTCCGTAGTTAGCAAGCTCGCTAACGAAGCCAGCAGAGGCAATGGCGTCGGCGTAGACAACGGAAGCACCACCACCGGCAACGAGGGTCCAGACACGGCCGCTGGCGTTGAGGACAGTCAGCTTGAGGGAGGCACCGGTCTTGGCGTCCATGTCGGAGATGAACTTCTCCTCCTTGGTCAGCTCACGACCGAAGGGAGCAGGGAACTCCATTGGCGGGCCAGCGTCAATGTTGACCTTGCCATCGGTGGAGACGACGGCGGGGGTACCAAGAGCAGCAGGGCTGCGGGCAACAGCCCACTTGGTACCGCACTCGAACTCAGCAGTCTGGTCAAGCTTGGCAGCCAAATCGAGGAAGTGAACCTCGGCGGAGGTGGCATCGGCGTTGGGGATGACAACCAGGGGGTTGATCTCGAGGTAGGTGAACTGGCAGTCAACGTAGACGGCGTACAGGCGAGAGATGAAGTCAACCAGAACATTGTGGACACCCTTGGGGACCTTGCTCAGCAGGGTCGCGGCGATCTCCTCATTGGAGGGGTACTGCTTGAGGTTGACGGGAATCAACAGCTTCTCAGCCTTAGCATCGACATCACCGACATCGACACCACCTTCGTGAGTGAAGAGGATCCAGTCACCCTGAAATCAGATTGTTAGACTCTTTTGGCTCTTTCCACACCCGAGTTTGCGGGGAAAGCTTACCTCACGGACGGAGTTGATGTTAATGTAATATTCGGTCTCCTGGGGGTGGGGAACGAAAGGCTCAACCAGGAACTGACGAAGGACACCGGTGATGGTCTCAACCAGGACATCCTTGGTGGCACGAGCCTCAATCCACTCCCGGGCCTCAGTCCAGGTCTTGTTCAAGGCGAGCAGACCACTCTTACCCCGACGCTTGATCAATTGATCGGGTTTGGCAACGAACTTGGCTCCGGGGGTCAGAAGCCAAGGGTAAGAGATCTCAGCCTGGTCGAGGACATCCTTGACAGCCTTATCGTCGGGGAAGTAAAGGGAGGCGAGGCGAGCAGGAGGGTTGTGTGTTGTGGAAGGAGGGAGAGGGGGTGGCCTTGATCACCGGGGCGCGAGTGAGGTGATAGTTGAGGATGGCCTTGCCGTCGGCCTCGAGGATGGATTTGGCGGACATGATGTGTGTGGATGGAGGATTGAGGAAAGATGGGGGGAAAAAAAAGGCACAAGGGATATTTTGAGCTGAAGGTAAGAAGAAGGGGGAAAAGGTGAGAAATGGTCTGGAGTGTACGGCGTACACCTAAAAAAAAATTGTGCTGGAGATTACAGCGTACAACTCGGCAGGTCCCACTGTTGAGGGACAGGATCAGAACGGAAGATCAAAAAGAAGGTGGGGGGCCTTCGTTGGGAATTCTCCACAAAGTATCGGGTACTTCTGATGGCGCCACTGTTTGTACCTATTTCGAGGTACTCGCACCCCCGATACCGCTGGATGTTTGGATTTCTGTTGAGCGGTACCTAGGTTAGACCGCCAGAACAGGAGACGATCTGTACATTTTGGGAAGCATGATATTTCGTATTTCAAATGGGATGGTGAATCACATACCTAGTCTACCTAGGTAGATCCAGTATAGCTTCAGTACTGAATCTTGAACCGCCTGAAGACCTTCAATGTCAAAATTACCAAAATTACCGATGACAACAACCCTCAAATGCCGTCATGAACATCCCCCATATTGTACGGAGACCCCTCCGTACGGCTCCGGGGAGAAACAGGCACCAACCAAACGGGGTGGGTACAGTATCGCCGGTACCCGGTACTTCGCGGACTGCCAAGTGTTGAGCTGTGCGGATCCAGCGGTCTGGGACGAGCTGTACGGTGTATCTGCGAGTACTCCGAGTAATTCACCCCGCGGATTTTTCTCAACAGCTGCTTCTTTTGCCCCTTCTCATCCTCTCGATCCTCTTCTCCTATCTCATCTCCTTTTTCTCCTTTTTTCCTCATTATTTCGCATTGAGCGGCTTGTTTAACGCATAAAGTGAGTCTCTTCTGTTTTTTTTTCCTCTCTACTCTTATCCATTGCTCTTCCGCCCCTCCGATTTCCAACGGCCTTCTTTACAATTGCCGGCACATTGGATAATTGGCTCAGCATCCAACCCGCATGCTAATTACAACCTAGATTCATCATGCCCTCTACTACCCTCGCCCCCGGCGGCGTCCAGTCTGCCAACGATAACATCACCCGCTTCGCCCCTCCCAGCCGTGTCATCTCACCTCTCCAACACAGCCTTTTCCACAACAAGACACGATGCTTCGTGTAGTAAGTCATGGATCTCTGATTCCATGGTCATGGTTCCAGACTGACTAGAACAGTGGTATGCAACCCCGAGCCGTGCAGGGCATGCTCGACTTCGATTTCATCTGCAAGCGCTCGACTCCTTCCGTAGCGGGTATCATCTACACCTTCGGTGGTCAGTTCGTCAGCAAGATGTACTGGGGTACCAGCGAGACTCTCCTCCCCGTCTACCAGGATGTTGAGAAGGCCATGGCCAAGCACCCTGACGTTGACACCGTTGTCAACTTCGCCTCTTCCCGCTCCGTCTACACCTCCACCATGGAGTTGATGCAGAACCCCCAGATCCGCTCCATCGCCATTATTGCCGAGGGTGTGCCTGAGCGTGTATGTGCTTCGCTGTCCCCCGTGTTATTCTGGATATCATGCTAATTATCACCAAAGCGTGCTCGTGAGATTATGGTCACTGCCAAGGAGAAGGGTATCACTATCATCGGCCCTGCTACCGTCGGTGGTATCAAGCCCGGTGCGTACAAGATCGGTAACACTGGTGGTATGATGGACAACATTGTGGCCTCCAAGCTTTACCGCAAGGGTTCCGTTGGTTACGTCTCCAAGTCCGGTGGTATGTCCAACGAATTGAACAATATCATCTCTCAGAACACCGATGGTGTGTACGAGGGTGTTGCCATTGGTGGTGATCGTTACCCCGGTACCACCTTCATCGACCACTTGCTCCGTTACCAGGCCGAGCCCGAGTGCAAGATCCTTGTGCTGCTCGGAGAGGTCGGTGGTGTTGAGGAATACCGTGTGATCGAGGCTGTCAAGAACGGCACCATCACCAAGCCCATCGTTGCCTGGGCCATCGGAACTTGCGCCAGCTTGTTCAAGACCGAGGTTCAGTTCGGTCACGCCGGCGCCTCCGCCAACTCCGATCTCGAGACCGCCGTCACCAAGAACAAGGCCATGCGTGACGCTGGTATTCACGTTCCCGAGACCTTCGAGGACCTGCCCCAGCTCCTCAAGGCTGTCTACGATGCCGAGCTCAAGAAGGGCTCCATCGTCCCCGCCCCCGAGCCTGTTGTCCCCAAGATCCCCATCGACTACTCCTGGGCCCAGGAGCTCGGTCTCGTCCGTAAGCCCGCCGCCTTCATCTCCACTATCTCCGACGACCGTGGCCAGGAGCTTCTCTACGCCGGTATGCCCATCTCCGATGTCTTCAGAGAGGATATCGGCATTGGTGGTGTCATGTCTCTCCTGTGGTTCCGCCGCCGCCTGCCTCCTTATGCCAGCAAGTTCCTCGAGATGGTCCTGATGCTGACTGCCGATCACGGTCCCGCCGTTTCTGGTGCCATGAACACCATCATCACTACTCGTGCTGGCAAGGATCTTATCAGCGCTCTCGTGTCCGGTCTGCTCACCATCGGTTCGCGTTTCGGTGGTGCCCTGGACGGTGCTGCCGAGGAGTTCACCAAGGCTTTCGACAAGGGTCTGAGCCCTCGTGACTTCGTGGACACCATGCGCAAGGAGAACAAGCTTATCCCCGGTATCGGCCACAAGGTCAAGTCCCGCAACAACCCCGATCTCCGTGTCGAGCTTGTCAAGGAGTTCGTCAAGAAGCACTTCCCCAGCACCAAGCTGCTCGACTACGCTATCGCCGTTGAGACTGTGACCACTTCCAAGAAGGACAACCTGATCCTCAACGTCGACGGCTGTGTCGCTGTCTGCTTCGTTGACCTCCTCCGCAACTGCGGTGCTTTCTCCCCCGAGGAGTGCGAGGACTACATGCGTATGGGTGTTCTCAACGGTCTGTTCGTGCTCGGTCGTTCCATCGGTCTCATTGCCCACTACCTCGACCAGAAGCGCCTGCGCACCGGTCTCTACCGCCACCCTTGGGACGACATCACTTACCTCCTCCCCACCCTGCAGAAGGGCGGTGCCGAGGGCCGTGTCGAGGTCAACCTGTGATTTTGTTTGTGACTTTTTGCAGCGCCGTCCGCTGGCATATAATCCGTCCGTTGAAGGCGGTGGAGTTCGGATGGTTCATCCCTTGGTTTTTCTTTTCTTGTGTTTTCTGAGCAGTTATGTGTATCGATGTACTGCATCCATGTGGCATGACCAAGTGGACGGGTTGGCACCTAAAAAGGGTGCAACCCGGCTACGGATCTGATTTAATTCGTTTTACAGTAGATGACTAGACCTCTTTGGGGAATAATGAACGTGCTATTGCCGCATGATGTGTTTTCAATTTCAGTCTAAAATGTGTACGGAGTATATTTTAGGGTATATGGGTGGAACTCGCTCAAGTTCACTGAAGCCCCGCCCAATACAAAACGCTGTTCTTAATGCGAAAGTGATATGAAGGACCTTTCATTGAGAGCCAGCAGAGAATCAAAGCATTCGGAACCGATCCATACAACCCTCCCGAGAGCCTTCCTGAAGTCCAAAAGTTGTCTCCAAAGCTGAGCCACCCGATTAGGAAATATCCTTATCGCTTATCAATCGCAATCTTTTCCAGTCAACCTCAGCTTCAGGACTTTACGTTCTCTACGCAGCGCACGACAGTCATTCCAGTTGGCACATAATCTGGGCAATATAGGAGTACTGCTTCAATAGCTCCATTTTACAACCTCAATCCCAAGACACACCAGCATCAACATCATTCAACCGCACCACAACACCGCGTCAAAATGGTCCGTCTCAAGAGCCGCTACCTCCTCGTGGACATCCTCTACCCAGACCCATCAACCTGGCCCGCAGCTCCAATTTCAAAGCCTCACAACCCCCAACTAGCAATCCACTCCCCAACCTCCGACGCACTCACCCCAGGCTTCCTAGCCAAGATGATCCGCGAGTCCGTGGCAGAGCTATACGGCGATTGGGGCATTGGAAAGCTAGGCGGTGCATCAGCAGGCGGAATAACCAGTACGTGTGAATATAAAATCCAACCTCGCCTACTTTACAATCCTTGCCCGCAAGAACATCTACTAATTAATCCAAATAGTCAAATACCTTTCGCCCGCTACTTCCACTGCGATAGTCAAATGCCCTCGCGCAGCCTTCCGCCTCGTCTGGTCTGCGCTCACTTATATGTCCGGCGTGCCGGAACCTGCCAGTGGCTTGAAACGCTCGGGGACTGGCCGCGAGCGCGGGTGTGTGTTCCGAGTGATTCGGGTGTCTGGGACTATGCGCAAAGCGGAGGAGGAGGCTATTCGGCGCGCGAGGAGGGAGATTGTTAGGGTTAAGGATGCGGAGGAGAGGGGGGTTCTTGAGGGATTGGTTGGGGGTTCTGCTGTTGTTGAATCTGTTATGGATGAGAGTGAGGATGAGAGGATGGGTGATGATTGAGCGAACGAAGTTAGTGTTTTGATTGTACATTTTAATGAGATACCCCAAAGTTTTGGTTCAGGTTATGCATGTGTATTCCCGGCTATCGTACATTGATTATATCATATTCGACGTTCAAATTAGGTTACGGAGAGGTTGGAAGATCATTGCTTGCGGCGTACTTTCACGCCGCTGTCTGGCATCTCTCGCTTCCATTTCTCCAGTTCCTCGTCGTAAGCGTGTCCGTCATCTTCGTCGTCTCCGCCTACTGCACCAGTGGCCTCGACTTGGCTCGCTGCATTCCGTATACGAACCTCTTCTTCCAGATCTTTCTCTTCCTGCTCGTCGTATGCATCCTTCGCATCGACCCAGCGCTCCTGGATATCCCGAATATCCATTCCACCCATGCCCTCGCGAACAGCCACCTGCCAGACAGTATCATTCGCGCCCTCGGCGGGACCAAATGCATAGCCGGACGCACGGTCGATGGCGTGTAGCAGACTCATCATACTCTTCTTGTCTTCGACGGCCAGCGTTTCGAAGCCAACGAGTCCGAATTCCTCAATTAGATCAATAATGGTCTGGTTCAACGCGCTGAATTTCTCGTGTGAGAACCGCGAAGATTCGCTTCCTAGCTCCGGGAGTAGATATGACAGGTCTTGAACTTCTGTGTAAAAATCTAAATTGAAGGGCAGCGGGGCGTAGTTGGCGAGGTTGTCAATTTTGGTGAGGACGTTCAGGTGTGGGAGGTCGAGTTGGAGCATGGCGCGGAGGGAGAGGAGGAGGGCGGAGATGTACATTGAAGGTAGGGTCAGGGTATAGGAGTCGACCAGGTGGATGACAATCAACTGTTTCATGAAATATTTGATTAGATAACTGTGGTTTCACTGCGCCTGACAACAATGTGTATAGTCACTAACCCTGATGCCCATCTTCTGGATCTTGAAGAATATGTTTCGTAATGAGGAGTGGTGTGTGAAGAGCTCAACTTGGCCAGGGCAATCGAATAGAATATAATCGTCTGAAGATTTATCAAGATAGTCAGTAACTATCCGCACATAAGATGCTCGATAGACATACCACCAAGCTCTTTCAGGCCCTCTTCCAACCAGTCGAAGTTGTTTTCGAGCTCTTCGAGTGCATACAACACACCACCATTAGGACCCAGTTTGTCCTCCTCCATGATACCCTCTAGGGTAACGAGGTCACGTACGTCCAGCGCACATGGATAGGATGTCTTGTCGTTAGCGGGGTCAAGATTAACAACAGAGCATTTCCGGCCAATTGCGCCCAGGAACTGATGCATGCCGTTGCAGTACGTAGACTTGCCGGCACCTGGCGGACCAATAACCAGCTGGGCAAAGGGCATCTTGGCACTTGTCACTGAGATATGAGGCGTTATATGTCTGTACTGAGAATAAATGATGTCAAGCGGTTTGCTCTTTTTTTCTTATCGATGCGCGGGGAATCAAAGGGCGGTGACGATGGCAGAAAAGGCAACGGCCAAAGGCGCCGGGGAGCTTGCGAGTTGATCTCCTACAACTCCGCACAGCTCCCCCAAGATGGCTTCTCGTAAGTAGTCCCTCCATATTATGCTGTCTTGTCTTATTGAATCTGCTTCTAATATTCGATTATAGATCAATTTACCGTGGCGTCCCCTCCCACGGATGCTATCTCGGCGCTGAAGTTCTCCCCCGACCCCGACTCCACGCAGATCGTCGTATCGTCATGGGATAAGAATGTATACCTCTATGATCTACGCGATGAAAATGGCAAGGTTGGAGAGGGGAAGCTACTACAGAAGTTTGAGCACCGTGCGCCTGTGCTGGATGTCTGCTTCGGCGAAACCGAGAATGTGATCTACACAGCTGGACTGGACTGGGACGTCAGGAAGTAAGTTTACTCCCATTGGATCCTATCACTACCAATGCCATAATTTAGGTCCATAGATGATACTGACTACTAAATAAATAGGATTGACCTTAACACCGCCGAACAGACCGTGCTCAGCAGCCACGAAGCCGGTGTACGCCATGTCGTCTACAGCCGCGAGCATAACATCGTCATCTCCGCCTCATGGGATTCGACACTGCACATCCACATGCCCGATGCTGGCGCAAACCCCGACTCCCTTCCAATCATCGTCCCCCTCCCGTCGAAACCATTTTCGGTTTCTGCAACCGCCACCAAGTTAGTGGTCGCCATGGCGTCGCGCGCATTGCACATCTACGACCTCAAGGCACTCGCCCTTCTCACTGCACAAGCAGACAGCACATCACCTAACGGCAACCGAGTCGAGGTTGAGCCCTGGCAACGCCGCGAGAGTAGCTTGAAGTTCATGACCCGTTGCGTTGCTTGTATGCCCGATGACGCTGGCTATGCCTCATCCAGCATTGAGGGCCGTGTTGCCGTCGAGTGGTTCGACCCGTCGCCTGAGTCTCAGGCCCGCAAGTATGCTTTCAAGTGTCACCGTCAGACCGCTGAGGATGGCGTCGACGTCGTCTATCCTGTCAACGCATTGGCTTTCCACCCTGCCTTCGGCACCTTTGCCTCCGGTGGTGGTGATGGTGTTGTTGCTCTCTGGGACGGAATTTCCAAGCGCCGCATCCGCCAATATCAAAAGCACCAAACCAGTGTCTCAGCTGTGGCGTTCAGTGGCAATGGCCGCCATCTGGCAGTCGCGGTCAGCCCTGGATTCGAAAACGGCCATGACGAGGTCCCAGAAGGCTCCGTCAAAATTTATGTACGGGAGCTGGGCGAGACGGAGGCCAAGGGCAAGGGCGCGAGATAAATCCAGGCCACCCAAGTCTTTTCCTTGATCCTACTCCACTTGAAACGAAGCGTTCGCCCAATCTTGATACCACAATCCAAATCTGATAAAACAATTGCAAAAGAAGAAAAAAAAAACAATCACAAGCTTTTGCCAGTTCACATACATACTGGTATCATCTATGTTATACGTAGTCTCATATAGTCCCCTCCAACTCCAACCACTCAGCCTCTCAGTCCAGATATTTACTCGGCCTTGCGGACAGCGACTGACCCATCAGCCATACCGAAGTAGGCCGCAACGGGTCGCTGACCACCAATACCGCCGGCAGCAGTAGCTTGAGGTCCGGTCAAACCACTGAAGATACCGACCTCAAGAACACCCGAGATCTCATTGATCTTACGAGCCAACACCTCAACCGCCCACACACCATCCTCGCCGTTCCCGCTCTGGCCAGCCTCAATATCAGCCTTGATCAACAAGGGCTTGAAGGGAGCATCAATGAGGAAGAAGCCCTGATCGGTCTTGAGAGGACCCTCCTTGGCAGTTGCAGAGGGGCGGATGGCGGGGTTGATACTGCCAAGCTCCTTCAGCTTGGTGATAACGCGGTGGGCAGCGATCGGAGCGACCTCGATGGGGATCGATTTCCAGTTTGTGAGGAGACGGGGTTGAAGCTTGCGGTGGTCTAATAGTGCGATCATGAGTCAGTAAATATGTTGTGGTTGCGAACAATAGAAAAGTTAAAAAGAGCGTCCGCTCTACTTCCGCTAACCCGAATAACTACAATCGAGCAAAATGAAAGATCATATCCGATCAGATCAACTCACCTGCAACACAGATAAACTCCTTCGCCTGCATGGCGACGATCTTCTCCTGGAACAAGCATGCACCGCCGCCCTTGATGCAGTTCATATCCTCGTCAACCTCGTCCGCGCCGTCGAAGGCCACGTCGAGAATAGTGCCCTGGGGGATGGCATCGAATTCCACAGCAGTGAATCCCGCATTGATAATCACCTGCTTGGACTGGTAACCAGTGGGGATGTACTTGGTGGCAGAAGTGTCAACGCCGAGGGCCTTGATCGCCTCGACGACGTACACGATCGTTGTACCACTGCCAATACCGACCCAGCGGGCATCCTTGGGGTAGTGCTTGTCAACGGCGACCTTGGCGGCAGCGCGCTTAGCTTCTTCGAGGGCGGACATGGTGGATTGAAGTCTGAGACTTTGGGTGCGAGAAAGTGTGGGGAGGGTGAGTCGACGGCAAAGAAAAGAGGGGAGATCAAACGGGCTGAGTGGACCATGGATCCCCGTTGGAGACTCTTTTGCTTCTTTTGCTGACTGGCGCTGCGAGAAATGAACAATAAAGATCAGATCTCACAATAAAATAAAATAGTTCTGCACTATAACGTCACAGTTGTGGGGTTTGGTACTGTGGCAATTGAGCGGTGGCACTTTGATCGATGACAGTGGCCATGTCGATTGTCCATAGACATCCTACCGGCTTATACTTGGGGATAACCAGAAATTGTCTTATAAAACCCAATATTGTGTGAAATTCTACGTCAAATCTCCAAACTAATGACTTACAGCGACTTAACCCTTCAGCTTAGGAGTGCAACAAGACCAAAAGAACAACCTCAATCTCACAAGCAAGCGTGGTGCCTCGGCCTCTCGCCAAGCAAACCCGCTTATAAGAGGCACAGCATTGGCCACGAGTTCACTTGCTCCGTATACCCACCTCATCTCGGTGTCAGGTCTCCATGGATATGTCAATCTCGACTTCAGCATGCCTGCTACTAGGCTCACTGCCCTTACTGGTCTTCTCAGAATGGAAATCCAGATCACACATCGGCACGGGGGTATTCAAAATGCTCTCTTCGGCTGCATTCCTTAGCAGCCCATTACTCCTCCCATCCACAGAATGGTCAGACTATTGCCGCCTCATCACCATCGGCCTTAGCTTCTCCCTAATCGGTGACTTCTGTCTCATTCCTTCGCGACGTGAATTCCATGGCCTGGACAGCAAAACCCCAACTGGCAAACCAGAAGCGCAAGGGAAAGTATCGATATCGTTCCAACTCGGTATCGTCGCCTTTGCGGCAGCTCATATAGCCTATACTATGGCCTTCCTACAGGAGTCCCACGAAATCTCCTGGCCGACTTTTGCCGCTACGCTCGTGGGCACTCTAGGCGCTGCAAAATGGTTAGGTGTTATATATCCACCGCCGACTTTCTCACTTCAGACCAATGTATTGGATCTTGGTATTGCTCCGGATATGAAGCCTTTGGTTTCGGTTTATGCGCTTATCATCGGCGTGATGTTTGCTGCTGCTACGTCCACGTCCCCGGTTGTCCCTGCCGACTGGTTGCATTCGCGAGGCCTGGGAGCTGTGATGTTTGTCGTAAGCGACCTTTTTGTTGCGAAGAATGCGTTCGGGAAATCGTCGGCGGCGAGGAACCGTGGGTGTCTCAGCATTTTTGTGGGTTATGCGCTTTATTTCTGGGCGCAAATGGTGATCGCTGGAACAGTGGTGGCCTAATGGTGTGCATTGGCCTACACTGAGCCGGGAAATATTCTATTGGGATATCCAAGGCATGACGGATCATTATCACCAGTTTGGGTTCTTTATTTGATTTGTGAATAATTCCGAGGAGATCCGAGGTCAGCTCCATTGTTTATGTGCGTGCACCCCCCTACACATATGGTTTGAGGCTTTGACCATTGCCAAATGCAACGATGGGAAGCGACAACAACGCACGTATTTGAATTATCTAAGAGTGGAGAGTCACAGCCGGGGCCATTTATTGTACATAGCTCGCCTAATTGAATTTCAAGTTACTGGCTAAGCTAATGGCTGTCTCGTACCCCGAAGAGCCCAATATCAGTGGTTTACTCAATCCCTTCACACCTGGGGAGAATCCCAGCTCAACAGCTAGGTAGGAGTATCGGAACCCGTTGCTGGCTATCAAAAACCTTGTTCACTGCAGACTTTCTTGACAGCTGGTATCAGTTCATCTGCAATCCATTAGCTTGGGAATTCCTCATTCAGAATACAAAGGATCATACTCAGAGCAGTTCTCACGCCACATTTCTGCAGGACACACTCTTTGCCAGCCTTTTGCACTACATCTGAAACCATGCAAATGCAGCGGAAGTCATCAATGCCACAGCTGGTTTGTTCTCTGACGGCATGGTCCATACAGTCAAGTGCGCAGTTGGGAATTTGGGACCGGGGTGAGAGCGCGCCGTGTGCACAGGCAGCGAAGGCAAGGGTGAGAACGGCAAGCTTCATTTTGAGATGGAGGGAATTCCTTGTATCGATCTTTGAAAGGGACCGGGTGCCACGAGGAGGAGTGAGCTCGATGGAAGCTGGACTTAGGGCATTGGATGGTATAAGTATTTGGTTCACTAGACCCTACCGGTTTGGCCAAGGTGTTCTCTCTTTCTTAGCCTGCCTTTCAGATGTAAGATCTATGGTGAACAATATAGCGTGCCTTAATATTGTTCTTTTGGCGCAAACTCCAAACCGAGTGGTGTTGATCCCTGTCGGTCTCGTTTCAACCTCGTTGTTCATAATCAGGATGCGCTATAGATTTGAAATCGAGCCCTCCATAGTCCCCTGCATCAGCTGGAAGTGGGTCAAATCCAAGCTCTTATCATTGGCAATGTCTTGAGCTAGCATGAAGCGGACAAAAGAATAGTTCCCTGCACATACTTATACTCCCTGGTAGCCTCTTTGCTAGGACTGTCAAAGGATTGGGTCATTTTGCCACTTGAATTCCAACAAGCCGTCAGCTTTTTGCGGCTTTCATAAAGAAAAGCAATTTTATTCGTGGTAAATTGCCTAAAGGATTGTCAAAAGGGTAAGAGAGGTTCCAAGTAAAGATGCATGTATGGAGGCTCTCGTTGACGCCTTGATTATCAGGCCCCAATATGCGCTTACTAAAAATAGTTGCGCATCAACAAGTCAACATCCACTGCTCCATCAATCGAGCTCTTACGTGATTGGAGAACAAAAAGCATAAACACAAGTATCCCAGGTAATCACACTGGTAGTGGTCTGAGTCTCATTCGAAACAAAGCCCTACGACCTCCCCCGCATTACTTGATATCCACCATGACGGATGCCTTCCCCGCCGCCCTGACTGGGCCAACCTCCAAGGAGCGCAAATATGATCGTCAGCTCCGCTTGTGGGCGGCAACTGGCCAGCAAGCACTTGAAGATTCCCACGTTCTGTTGGTGAACTCTGATGGTCCTCTCGGTCAATACAACACTGGCGTCGCGGGTGTTGCGGGCGTTGAAACGCTCAAGAACCTCGTACTGCCTGGAATTGGTGGATTCACCATCGTCGACCCAGCAAAGGTCACTGAGTCAGATCTAGGTGTGAACTTCTTTCTGGAAGAAGAGTCATTGGGCAAGTCTCGCGCTGAGGAAACCTGCCGGCTATTGAAAGAACTGAACCCCGATGTGCAGGGATCTTACTATTCCAAGGTGTGAATGTCCGAGCCTCCAAAAACAGACGACCTTATATTGACTTCTGAAATAGCGCATTGAGGAGTTGCTCGTAGACCCTGGCTTCTTGCCCAAGCACAAGCTGGTGATCATTTCTGGTCCAATTAGACGCTCGACCCTGGTACCTCTGACCCAGGAAGCAAAGCATCTGGGTATCCCTGTGTTGTACCTGCATTCAGTTGGATTCTTCTCAACCTTCTCGGTGCAATTAGCGGCAGAGTTCCCCATTGTTGAGACACACCCGGACCCAGAGTCAACCCAGGACCTGCGTCTGCTCAACCCCTGGCCTGAGCTTGTCGCCGCCGCAGCCAAGCTGGACAATCTGGAAACACTGGATGATCATCAACATGGTCATGTGCCCTATATTCTTCTCCTGCTTCGATTCCTGGAGCAATGGGAACAATCCCACAAGGGCAACGCACCAAGCAACTACAAAGAGAAAACCGAGTTCAGGGAATTTGTGCGGTCCCAGACGCGGACTTCTAACCCAGAAGGAGGCGAGGAGAACTTCGATGAAGCAGTCGCTGCTGTGCTCAAGACAATCTCACCTTTCAGTCTACGCAGCTCGATTCGCGAGATCTTCGAGATGAACGAGTGCCAGCAACTGTCTGCGAAATCGCAAGACTTCTGGCTCATTGCTTCAGCCATTAAAGCCTTCCATGTCTCTCACAGCGTCTTGCCTCTCCCAGGCTCCCTACCAGACATGAAAGCCCAGTCGGCAGACTACGTCTCACTCCAAAACATCTACAAAGCCAAAGCACGAAAGGACGTGGAAGAGGTGACAGCCACAGTGCGCCGGCTAGAAACCCAACTCGGACGCCAAGCATCCGCAATCCCAGATCGGGACATCGAAGTATTCTGCAAGAACGCAGCACACATCAAGGTCGTGCGAGGTCGCGATATCCCACAGATCAGCATCGACAGCGACGCCTCAACACTAAACACTATCCGCAACCAGCTCAGCATGCCCGACTCCCTGATCCCGATATTCATCGCAACCCAGATCCTCGACTCGGTCGTGGACGAAATCCAATCGAGCAACCAGGAAGAAGAGCGGTCTGTTAACGATGAGGGGTTGTGGAACAGCCACACAGAACGCATCCTTGCTCTGCTGACCGGAGCGGATGGGTCCGCCGTTGACCCGGAGGCGCGCGCGCAGATTGCCAAGGCAATCAAGGAGCTGCGTCGTGCTGAGGGTGGCGAGTTGCATAATATTTCTTCGTTGACGGGCGGTTTGGTTGCGCAGGAAGCGCTGAAGGTTATTACTAGGCAGTATGGACCGCTTGATAATACTTGCGTCTTTGATGGGGCGAGAAGTAGAAGTGAGATGTATAGGTTGTGAGTGAAGGCTGGTCTTTGCTATGAACCTTTTGCATGCTTGCATTACACGGGAATCGGGATAATCATCAGATCCATGAGGACCTTACTCAGAGCATGTTATGATTTATGATTCTGTGATATTTGTGCTTTGTAGACTCCGGTCTGGAGAGATACCTAGCTATGTAAATGTCCCGTTCATGAGGAAATGGTCTAATATAGTAGTCGTACCTGAGTACATGCTGTGGGCTGTTCCATCACTGAAAATTCTAGAGCAGTCTCAGGTTATGGGGGCTATGTAGACTGACACTCAAATGTGTGTAGCCAGAGCACGCCCCCAACAAGATGCGAGTGGCGTTTGTTCAAGCCGGTGACAGGTGTAGACATGCTTGCGAGAAGACCCGTAATTGCTCGAAGCATTACGCAGAGCGTCTCAGCCCCCGAGATGACCTAGCACCGAGCATAGATGATATGGCATGGACATCCTCGCCCGAATCCATACTCGGTGCTCAATCCTTCTGAAACAAAGACGGGACGTCGAATTCACTTTTGGATGGGTTTTCCAGCAAGGGGCCGTATTCGTCCAAGGAATCGATAGATAATCGAGTATCTCAGCGCTTTCTCGACTTTTGGTTACGGTTCCGCTTGAAACCCTGAGGACCACCCTTATTCTCATAGAGCTTCTCCTTCCCGAACGCCGAATCGGCCACTCGCAAGTAACTTACGACACCCTGGTCGACGACAGCCATGATCACATTGCGATATCCATGACGCAATCTCATGTACATCATGCGGTCCATTTTCTCTCCGCGTGGGGGATCAAGTGGTGTGCTTTCGAGCAATAAGCCGAGTTGCGTCAGTGTGGGCATGGTGGTTTGATCTCGTGTGCTGACAACCGCGATGCGGAACTCTGGGGGTGGTGGCGCGGACTTTTTAAATGGGGTCGAAGGCTTGTAGACGTGGAATACAACGCGGAAGGGTGGGGTGGTGTCTAGGGGATGTCTTTCGGTCGCTGTGACTGGGTCATACCAAGGGATTATAGCGAGCTTGCGGTATACATCCACTAAAGCGATTTTGTTAGCAAAAGGACCAAAAGCCATATTCGTAGATATGGGAGAGTCACTCACTATAATGACGTTGAATGCCAGTGCCAATGATAGGGCCAGTCGCCGTAGAGGCCGTCGAATGAGGGTCATGGATCCATTTGAACAGTGACGCAAGCATACCAGCCAGACCGGGGCCATGAAGCTTAGATGGTGCTGTTTCAGTAGCATCTGGGGCATCAGACTCCTCCTTGATGTCATCGCACCATCCAGGAGCTCGGATGAGCGTATAGCCCAGACGCTTGAGACCAGTGTAAACGGAGTATCTCTCAAGTGTCAGACCACCCCGACCCATGAAGCATGCATATGCAGCCTGTAGACTCATAGGGATGGAGAGGTCTTCCTGGTCTGGGCTTGCAGCGGACCCAGACGGGCTAGGCCATCTAATATCTAGACTGCCTCTCTCGATAAGATACAAGGCTTCCTCGGGGAGCAGCCAGATACGGCTCTTTGAATCTGCTTGGCCCATTGCCTTGAATAGCTGGCCCTTCGGGTTCGGCACGTAAACGCATGCATCGGGGGAGATCCTAGCAGACCTTGGCGCAGGCCTCGCGGGTCCCGGGGTGGATTCTGAGCTCTTTGCATCTTCTGCGGCAGATTTTGGTGTCTGAAGGTCGGCTGGAGCGACATATCCTTCCGGTGCGTAGAAAGCTATGACGCGATTCTTGGGAGTATGGATGCGGGGGTATGAGAGGGCATTGTGCATGGCCTCTCGTGAAGCGGAGAGTACATCGGCTTGGTGCTCTGTCGGGTTGGGTTCGAAGTCTTTCTCTCCGCGGCGCGGGATGTTGGGGGCTGACTCGGCATAGCTGCGGAAAAATTACAGGTAAGCAATGGTCATTTAGCGGGCAATTGAGGCCATTGGGGTGTTCGCCATGTCAAACAGCTCGTGCTCTCGTACAAATTCTGGTTGTTCAGGAAGCGAAAATCCTGTGTCTCATCAGACAAGTCGACCTCGGGAGGTGGTGCGGCATTAGAAGGGGCGAGAATAACATCCTCATCTACGTCCGCCATAGTGAATATTGTTTAGAAAATAAATGAGAGGCTGGAATTTCGCAGTCCCGGGGAGTCAGAGGGGAGAAAAGATGCGCTTATCGATAAGCGACGGTTTTTGGCCGGCAGAATGTTGAGCTCCACGTTCTGGGGTCAATCCCTAAGCTCCCCAAGTTTCATTCCAATTCATGACCGTTATGATAAGGCATTCTAGCAGCAATTACTTACACTCACCATCGACGATTATTCTTTGGGCATACGGGAGTGCCACAGCATGAGAAATCTATCCACGATTAGGAGTTGATCAAGGCATTACTTACTTAGGCACCTAGGTAGTATGCAGTGCATACTAGGCACTGCAGCTGGGCACATAATGTCTCCAGGAAAGTCCAGCTTATATCTACTGTCTGGATGACTTCGTAAGTCATTAAGATATTTTTTGATTTTTAAAAGTATATCACATAGACAATAACGCACTCTTGGAGAGTTGGGAATGCTTAAGTGCAATCAAGCTACGGAGTTGTTTACAAAAACATAAAGAGAAGAAGAGGAAATATGTTATTCAAACCATGTATTGATAGAAGACTTGCTTGGTTTCACCACGATGGCTACTCATCCTGATCACCACGTAGAGGTGCAAGTCATGATCAGGTGTTGCATACAGGCCCCATGCAACTGGGTCAGACTCCTAAAGCGCAAGGTGTAATGAAGGAATGGGGTCAAGGATCGGAGGAGGACAAGGATAACCAGGAAGAAGGACCGTATCCACGCTCAAAGAACCTTGGAAGTGTCCGTGAACTAAGGCGCGCTTCGTGTCGAGACCAACCCCTTTGAGATCCCTATCCCCTAGGGGAAAAAGTGGGAAACCCTCAGATTGCTCTTCATTTGGGGCCGGGCAAGTTAGTGGCGGGCAGTGAAGGAGTGGGGTCAAGGCTTGGAGAGGTAACAGTGGAATCCGCAGGCAGGACGGGCTGTATCCGCAGCGGCCGAAAGAGTGTCTTCCCCGTGTGTTGAACACAAGGCGCATGTTTCAGCACGTGTCTCCTTGGCATGCTTCGTGACTAACCTTTCCTGCGGCACATCAACAGTCCCTAGAAGGATACAAAGTGGGAAACATCCTCAGAGAGCACTCGTCATAGGCGCCAGGCAGATAAGTGACCGGAGGAATTAGGTATGGGCAGAAAGATGAGAAAGGAAAGGAAGGGGGACGGGAATACATGCAAAAAGCGGAGTGGAGGGCAGGGGAGTGGAGAAGGAAGGGAAGAAGAAGAAGAAGAAACTGGGGGGAGGAGAGGGTATTTATGTGTTTGGGGAAGGCTGAAGGCGACGAGAGTCAGCAGGGTGGGCGACGAGTTCTTTCCCCAACAGGAAGGGACCTGGGTGGTGCCTTCCTCGACAGAGGCACATATGTTAGCTGAACTCACGTGGGTGGAAAGGAAGAGACATTTGGAAAGCTCTGGTCTATAGAAGAAAGTTATATACAATGATCTAGTCTTGATAGCTCTCCAGAACTGCTTCAAACCCCCAATCAAAGCTTTGCCGCAGGTGACAAGAGGTGCTTCATCTCAGAGTTGGGGTATTCCACATTTTGAGACGAGTCAGGGCGCTGTCGATCCCAAGCCCATTTCTCTGCCAATTCGGGCGCCAGCTCGCCCTCAAGCATTTGTGCGATATACTTGCCAAGCACAGGGAAGAACTTGAAGCCGTGGAATGAACCACAGGTTGCGACATAGAGTCCCTTGGAGGCGGAGTGGGGAGAAATAATGAAATCAGAGGTTGTAGTAAAAGCGTCCCTGTTCAAACATTAGATCTCAATCGTCATGCTGGATGTTGAGCTTATAGTACTCACCAGCAAATCCGGTGTTTCGTCATCTCCCAATCTGCACTCTCGGGTCCATACCACAGATTCCTAGACTCGACAATATCTTGCTTGAGAGGTCCAGGAACCTTCCACTGGTTATAATCGTGTGTGGGGGGTGGAGAAGAGATATAGCTGCCAGGCAAAACCTCGCGAGTGTTTGTGAAAATCTTCGATCCCCACCACTTGAGCTCTCCATCCTTCGTAGGGGGAATACTACCGATAAAAGGCTTGCCTGTTGACAGTTAGCGGAATTTGTGAAACAAGATCAGAAAACGTACCCTCTTCGGGAGTATAACCCTGGAAGCCGACAGGCATATCCTTATACTTCTTCAGCTGCTCCTTGCTGAGCTGTGCCATTCCAGTAGTAATGCCAGCAGCCAGAATCCTCTCTCCAGCCTTAAGGCCGGGATTGCCACTCTTTGCAGCACTCCATTCTAGCAATGTGGGTGTGAAAGCTCCAGCTGCAACGATCACATGTGTGGCCGACAGGGTCTTCCCGGACTTGATCTGGACACCAGTACAAGAGCCGCGGCCATCGAATTCCAAAGTTGTGACATCAGCTGTCACGTACTTGACACCCAATTCCAGGCACTTTTTCGTGACTGCTCGAAGAGCATCCCCAGCGGCAGCCCAGCCACTCGCTCTGTTCACGAGAACCTCTTTGACGCCGGTGTAGTCAGCATTGTCAAAGATTCCGCCGTAAAGCTTCCGGGCCTCTGCAACAGGTAGGGCAATAATATCGTTATGACGACCAAGCTCCTTGTGATGGGTGATGACGTTTTGCGCATAGTCGCTTCGACATGTCCAGTATACCCCAGTCTGGTGGAAATATGGCTGCCAGAGCGGATCGGACTTGAAAATATCTTGAGCCTCAAGAGCTAGTCTGCAGTAAATTTTGTCGTCGTAATCGGCGCGAACAACTTTATTCCAATCCCATGATGCTGCCACGCGGGACTCGGCATCGTATGCATCGCGGTCAACCAGCGTTACCGACGCATTGGGATATTTTTGGATGAGGTGATAGGCAGTTGACACACCAAAAACACCAGCGCCAATAATGAGGTATGAAGAGTTGCCTGAAGCCATGTGGAAAACGATGTGATGCAAGTAAGTCTCGACGGTTACTTGATAAGATGGTGGACTCTTTCTTTATACTTGCAAGCTTGAGCGGGGAGGGAGAACTACAGATATATGGCAACTCTCCGTGTTATACCCAGATTTCCACGGAATTGATCAGTAACTTATCTATTCACTGACACTTAGAATTGACACTTAGAATCGCATGGCTTGAGGAACAACAACTCCGGTCTCGCCTCGGAGTACCTATGCAGGTACGTTGTGTGTATATCGGGCGGGGGATCCGATCAAGCCGATCACATGAGGCCTTAAACTGACTGCATCAATCTTGGAAGTTCAACACTTTAAATCCGATTAGGAAGGGGAATCCCTTCGTCGATCCATGGACGAGGCCTTCGATCCACTTTTTCCCCACGGGCACTCTTGTTTATTCCTCTTTGGGTTTAGTGCTGCTGACACGGTTGGACGCCCTAGGCTTGTCTCGCAGATTGTCAACGCGTTTTCCGTGGGAAAGTGATGCCAAGATGGTGCCTTTTCCGCCGGCATTCTGTGCCTTGTGTAGAACTATTGAACAATTTGGAATTCACAAAGCCAGATTACAATGATGTATGGGGACAAAAAAAGTAATAGGAAGACATCGAAAGACATTGTGGTCTTGGCTTCTATATGACGTCTTTGGATTACTTTCCATGAAGCTGACCAGCGTCTTTTCTTTCAAACAGGACTGTCAAGGTCTGTCATATAACCACAGACCAGTCTCTCTATCATTGCTTTTCCAAAATCACAACCTTGCTGCCATAATCAGTCTTGAAGGGGAACTGCAGACCAAGGTTCATCAATGTCGCACCCGAGTAAACCGCACCACCATCGATCTTGTATGAAGACTGTGCATCCAGTCCCTGCAATCTAATGCGCGGCCAGGAATGATCAATATTAGGAGCGAGCTGGTAGACAAACAACACAGCCTGCTGACCATCCTCAGCAGTATACAGCACAGCAGGCCAGTTCGAGTCCTCTGGAAGGTTCAAGCGCCACATATCACCGGTGAGCACAATGGGGTTTACTTTCTCCGCGAGAGCAATGAGCCCCGGCAAAGCAGCTTTCTCTTCCGCAGGCATTTCAGCCGGGTCGAGTTCCAAGCCAAACGACCCGCCCATCATTGCGACATGTCCCCGGAATTCCACCGGCACTGTGCGACCAGTCTGGCCGTTTGGCACGGCAGACAGATGGGCACCCATCGCGCTGGCCGGGTAGGCGAGCGAAGTACCGAACTGGATGGTGACGCGCTCCACGGCATCTGTGTCATCTGATGTCCAGATCTGCGGGAAGTACTGCAGAATACCAGGATCGAAACGGCCACCACCTGAGGCGCAGCCTTCCCAAAGCACATCAGGGAATTTGGTTGTCAGTTCGTCGAACACGCGATACATGCCCAGCATGTAGGCATGGTTTGTGGCAGGGGAAGGAAGTTCGTGCATGCCCCGGTTGTTATCCCACTTAATGTAAGTGATGTCTGCACTGTTGAGAAGATCGGTCATGAACTTGATGATGAAGTCTTGGACGGCGGGGAGAGCGAGATTCAGCACGAGCTGGGTGCGTGCCTCGGTGCGAGGGTAGGGTCCTGCGTGCAGAACCCAATCTGGGTGCTCTTTATACAGAGTGGATTTTGGACTTATCATTTCGGGCTCGACCCAGATACCGAAGCGCAGATTTGTGGAGGTGTTGGCGGCTTTCAGATTTGTTACATTCTTCACAATAGGGCCTAGACCATCTGGGAAACGCGCAGGGTTCGGCGTCCAGTCACCTAGTCCAAGAGTGTCGGAGGTTCGTGGGTATTCCTTGCCGAACCATCCATCATCCAGAACGAAGAGCTTGGCGCCTACTTCGGCGGCTTCCTTTGCCAGGTCGAAAATCTTGCCCTCGTCGAAGTCGAATACTAATCCTTCCCAACTATTGAGTAGCGTAGGACGGTCACTAGTGGCAAATTTGCTCTTGATGAGATGGTTGCGGTACAAGCGATGCAAGGAGCGCGACATGCCACCAATGCCACTATTAGAGTACACGGAGACGCACTCTGGAGAGGTAAGGCTTTCTCCGGGTGCCAAATTCCAGGACAGGTGGTTGGAATTGAAGCCTAAGAGGGCACGTGTGAAGCCCTGCGAGCCTTTCTCGACCTCCACCGAGAAGGATCCCGTGTACACAAGCGAGAATCCCCATGCCTCGCCATGGGATTCGGTGGTAGTGGGCTCCACCAAGGCCAGGAAAGGATTGTGGAAGTGAGACGAGTAGCCATTCGTACTTCCAAAGCTCTGAACGCCGTATTCGACCTTTCTCCTCTGGCGCTGAGCTTCCCTTGCCCAGTCTCCGCGCAGACTAATCATGTCCAGATTTTCAAATGGCAAGTCCACACTCAGACTGGCCAAAGATTCGATTGTGATATTCGCCTTTCCATGGTTGGTGATATTGACGCTACGCGCGATGGCATCATGCTTGGGGAAGATCGAGTACGAGAGGTCGGCAGCAACATCACTATACTTGTCATATAGATGAATGACCAAAGTGCTGACATCCTCCTCCGATCCTGTTGTTGCCGGCAAACCAGACAGCGCGGGCTTGCCGGGAATGATCTTGTGCGATTTGTACTCGAATTTTGACACGGTATATCCTGCGGACTGGCGAATGCGAACAGCAGGAATTCGAAAATCCCCTCGTCCTTGATCTGGAAACTCGCGGCGCACACGGCCTGAGGCACCATCACAACCATTGACCTCATTGACAGTCTCCAAAGGGATATCAGCTCCGACAGAGCCGCCGAAGTGATCTCCTAGGAGATCACCAGTGATATTATCCACATGGAAACGGTACGAAACGCTTTTGCCATTGAGGGCAAAAGAAGTGCCATCTGCCACAATCGCTGTAGATTAAGTTGATTAGATTTGCAGTCCCATATTGAAGGATTTTAGTCAGTTGTCAGTAAATAACTCACGTTTTGCGCTCAGGTCCGTAGCCATAACAGCTGGGGTTTGTGCAAGTAGAGCTATGAAGCTCGTAGCTAATGCAATACGCCTTGAAAGATGACTCATTTTAGCTGCTGTTACTCTCTGGCGTTACAGACTCAAAAAAACAAGCCAAAATCCAGAAATGCATACCTTTGTATCTCTATCCCTAGCGTGAGGGGGTTACATCCACGGTGGTGAATAACCGGTCGATAGCTCGGAGTATATCAAACTCAAGCAACACTGCAAGTCGGTATCGATTTCTCCGAAAAAAGACAAATCCCTAGTCCGTTGAACTGTAGTAACTTCCAAGATGCCGATCACCAGCATACTTGGTATTGCTCAGCAGTATATATGCTCGGGTGGAGTATTGCGGGGTGCCAACGCGGAGGAAACGCCGGGGAAACTCCGTGTCGCAGGCGGTTTTGAACGTCGTTGATTGGGCAAAGAACCTCTTCATTCCGCCTCCGATGAGCTGTAAATGTCTTCTAGATCCTCAATCCTTCGAAGTGCTCCGGCAATGACGTGTCTATCTCAATTGCTATGAGAAATGAGATTAGCAGAAGCCTGTTCGGCCTGCCGGTAAATTGATCATTTCCCAGTCAAGCCAGGCCTGACTCTCATAATGTTAGTAAAGATACCAGAGGACGCGAGGTTCCAGCACCCGGTCGCTCGTGTATGTCTTGTTCTGTCCGAAGTGTGGCCTGCGATCGGAAGGATATCCCGGTGCCAAAAACCAAGGCCTCTTTCGCAAAAGAAACAATACCTATGGGGAATATATCATTATCTAGAAGCGTAAGATGCTCTCTACCAGATCAATCTCTCTGCATCAAGCTAGTGCATTCTGAATTTCCTCTTCCGAGAACCAAGTACCATGCAAGATATATATATCCGGGCCAATTGCCCGAGAATTTGATGCACGGGATTCTCGCTTTATCGGCACGGTAAGCCCGCTCATATTCGGCCCGAATAAAACGAGAACTAGCAAGAATAGTCTCTCGAATGATTCTTACTTTTCAAGTTAAAACCCACGGGAAAGAAGGAAGACATACGCTATATAGAGTAACCTAACCAACCTTGAATGGTTCTGGGTAGAGTTTCTTGATCTAATTTGTAAGAACGACATTGGCACAGAGAGAAGTTCTCGTCGGCTTAAAAGGACACAAGGAGATACTATCAATAGAGCTAAGTAGTAAGGACTAAGTTAAGTTGAAGCCAAGATCCACGATCTAGTTAACCCCAGAGGCGGTGACGAGGGCGGTCAATTGGATTTTTATATCAAATCAATGCCCCTCAACAATTCGGCCAAAATAAGCAGCGTGCTCGTTTGTCAATTATATAACGACCCAATGGACGAAAGCGCTCAGAATATCGTTGACTATAACGAGAGCTTACGCAAGGTATATATCTCACCGGTATGTTAATGAAATGCAGAAAAGTGACAGAATGTAGATATCAAACAGCCTTGACAATGCTCTGAAGACATTTGGTGCCTCCTCGAGGCAATATCAGATCATACTTGGGATGTTGAGAGAATGCTTGCAGGATATCGAAGAGGAAGAACAGAAGCAGAGCAAAACCCAGGTGGTTGATGCAGACATGCTCAGTATGGCGATGGGATTTTTGAAGATTGGGAAATGAGCATGGCAGGCTTTGGCAACATTTGTGTGGATTTGGATACCCCTGTCGATTTAGTTTGATGTATTTAAAGCGAGATATGTCAGCGGCATGTGTTGAAGCGATTTACATTTCAAATGATGATACACGTACATGGCCACGAGGATAGATGAATCACGACTCGATCCGTATAGATAGTATGAATACAAATTGTATCTTCATTGGGACAGATGTGCGGGCCAATGTGTAGATAGAAGAATCAATAAATGGTCACGACCAAGCACATGTATGCACGGGGGGATACACTAGGGAAATGTCGAGGTAGATAGGAGAATCTCCCTCTCAATAAGATATCCAAAACACCCCATGATCCCGGATTTGAATGACAAATAAACAGCCAGCTTCCTGGAATGCCATGCAACAAACTCCAAAGTGTATGCAATCGTAAGACATGTCATGAGATGGCGTGGTCGCGGAGGAAGCCTTTGATCTCCGCACTCGCCGGTGCATCAAAGATAATGGCAGCCGTTGGTGCCCGTCTGTGGGATTTGCGCGGACGATCCAGCCGGTCAGGAGCTCCGATGCCAAGAACGGGGATTTATTAGGTATTTTCATCATTGTTGCTCTGAATTGAAGACTGGCATCGTCCTTCTCAGTCAATCAATGGTTTCTTCTGGTTGCCGACAATAGCGGCGCCTATATGGCTGAGCGCGTTGGGGTCGTTTGGTCGTACAATGGCTGGAAGGGGTAGCATAGGGTTATCCGGGTTGACATGGGCGGCATCTCGTGCGGCTTGCTCAATCGCTTCCATTTCTTCCTTGCAACCGGCGTGGTCAAGAGGGCAGACTACGATTGGTTGTCGGATGGTAATGTCCCTTGCGGAGGTTAAATGGGCCTGTTGGGGATTAGTTTTGGAAGTTCCTATGGCCAGGGCACCAAGGGAGGAGACTAACTCGAACTGTGAGGTAGTACTCAATTTTATATAGACTTGCTGTGGTTGTGAAGCCGCTCACACCATACGTTGGAAATGCCGTCCTACTCCTAGGCAGTATCCCCTCTGCGTCGCGCATGTCCTTCGCAGGGAATACCAATCCCAGGTTTGTTAAATAGCCCGATTGGGGAAGTTTCACGCCAATGCTCTCCGTCTTCTTGGCTATATTCTTGCTCTTGCGCTGAGGCTCGTCGCCTTCGTGGTTATAGATGATCTCTTCGTCTATCCCAATTGTGATCTTGCTGATGGTCACTTTACGCGCTTTGCCCATCCAGCTCTCATTCGGTGACAGCTTGACGTAGACGCTGACAGGATCGAGAGGACCGTAGGACCACCGGGGTAGTGAAATCGCTAATGTGACCAAATGATCTGATACACGCTCCGCCGACTCGGGACGATTGTACATGCCGAATGTGGAGAGTGTGTCGTAGCGCGCAATGGGGACCGGAAAGCTATATTTGTGTTGCTGTTGTTGCCCTTGTTGGACCGTCACCACCATTTCATAGTATGTCTCGGCGGTACGACTCGATAGCTGTAGACTAGCTGGCGGAACACGCCGAGAGGCATCGCGACCACCACGGCCAAAAGGAATGAAGAGAACAAAGGGCAGATCCATCGATATTACTTCCTCGTACTCCCGTCCGGAAGGACATCGAAACAGGAGCATTTCTTTGCCCACAATATCCGTGATCTCCTTCCGTGGCGGAGCCAGGCGTTTCTTTGTGACGGAGTCGGCCGAAGGGTGGATTGTCTCGCGACGGAGGAGGGAGATCGTGACGAGCGAGATGTTGACTGGAGCTGTAATGCCAGCGCAGGGTCGGATTTCGACCTTACCCTCAATTCGTGGCTTGGATGGTCAGTCAATGGGGCCGGGTGACCAGGGGGGCCAAACTCGTCGCATGTATCGCAGGGCGCTTACCATGGTCGCAGAGATTCCCGGATATCCGATCAGAAAATTGCCATTTGCGGGGCCTGAAACGCGCACGAAGGCGGCCATCTCGAATCAACCGTGCCTGTCGCACCATGGACATGCAGCGGAGGATAGTCGAGTTGTGGGGAATATGCGAGTGGACGGGATCCTTTCGCACGTTTCATAAGGGTTGAACGGCGTTTCGGGTTGAATAGGAGGGTACTCAGGGCCGGAATAAGAATTTGGAGGGGGAGTTTGCTCAGGCAGAGTAGTCCAGGTGTTGAGGTTCGAAACGGTGAAGAGCTGAGCTTTCCAACGTCCGCCGAGTTGTGGTGGGGAAAGCTGAACCGAGCCCCCAAGAGCCACACTAAGTTACTTGAGCCTCTACTTTGTACGGCATTGGGCCTATTGTACTTACTCATGGATTCTACCTGAAAGGGAGGTAGGCCGATCTGCCAGATCTGGGAGATCGGCCCAATCTGCCCACATTATCCCTTGTATATGTACAATGTCCGTGGTCGCCCAAATCCCAATGTCATCATCGTCATCACACATACGAGACTACCCTAGTACCGGACTCTCCGGAGCTGTAGATGTCGTGAGAGGAGAGCCATTTATATCGAGGCGGAATCCTGAGAGGATGTGCTCACGTCTCGGTCAAACAAATACATGCCAGTTCCAGATGCAGAACCATGGGCGAGGAAATGGCGGTTGCACTGGCAACGGATTGGAATGACATCGCTTGCTCCACCCTCTTCCTCCACATCCTCCACCTTCTTTCAGATATCGCATTCACTTTACTTCCAACTTCTACATCTTGATCATGCCTCCTCGTCGCACAAAGAACGGTCCTGCAAATGGCCCATCCGGGCAGTCGACCTTGTCCTTTGGATCCCAGGCTCGAGTGACAAAGCCAGTCACCACACCTTCTCATAAAGCCAAGGCCCTAGACTCGCCGGCCCTATCCGAGAAATCCGCCTCTGCTACGCCGGAGCCCCAGCAGTTGTCGGTCACCCCGACCGAGCCCTCCAAGCCCCATGTCGCAGAGCTTGTAGTACGACAGCAAGCGGCAGCTGAACACCAAGCGCCCCAATCGGAAGAAGACAAGCGGGCACTGAAGTTGACCAAGCAAGACATCTGGCGATACTGGCAGCCGCAAGAGAAGACACGCAAAGCACCTCGGGGTAAGTCAAGTGTGCGATAGAGGTCGGAGGTAAAACAAGAAGCTAATTCGACTCAACAGCCCACCAGCAAGGTCTGGATGTGGAGGAAAAGATCCTTAGGCATTTTGATCTTTCGAGTCAATATGGAGTAGGTCATCCCAGCATGGCTCCGGAATCTCTTGTCTAGAAGCCATCTAACATCCGACTTTCTTTCTAGCCCTCCATTGGAATCGCTCGAGTCAAGCGCTGGAGACGCGCAAACTTACTGAAGCTGAACCCACCGATCGAAGTCCTCACCGTTCTTCTCAAGGGCAAGAACACGAAGGAACGAGCCTATATTGATGAATTGTTATCATGATCTCTGGGAAAGAAACTGAATGAAGTGGCGTTGGTCAACTTGCATGGATTTGGCGTTTTTTGGGCGTGGGAAATTCATGAGATACGAATGACACATGAGACTTCTGGGGCTTTCCATCGTAAAATGAGAGGCTCTCATGGTTCCTGTCGAGGCTGAGTTGGTATGATCCAATATACGGAGTACACCATATTGAAACCAGGCCCTTGCGACGTTGTTTCCCAGCCCCCGAGGGGGAAAAAGCACATGTGGAATCAAACAACTTCCACAGTTTCACCGCAGAACCATCGCCGGAAGCTCGCGGATCCTGGTCGGCTTCAATGGAGAATTTCATGTGAACTGAGGTATTTCTAGGACTCATCGATGATTCATCTCCCTGTGCCAGATTTATTGAACCTACACCCTGACAGGGGCTTCGATGATCAAACCGTTGGCGGAGGGTCTTCAGCGTATACGAGGCATTTGCCCGATGCGACGAAGTGCCTGATCCTGGAGGGGCCGCTGATCCCAATTTAAAAGCCTGTCATCGAGAAGTTGATTCTAGGGTATCGTGCCGAAACGGTTTACCCATCCAATCGTCGATCTGCCATGTCTATAATTATCTTCACTTTTAGAAGATCAGAGAATCACAATCGGAAATTTGGACGCAGAAACAGGGCGAAATAATCAACGCCATCTCATTTCGGTTCAGAGTGCGATCTTCCAGGGTCCGTGTTCAAAGTGACAATGGGTCTGTCCGGACCCGCCCCCGCGATGTTGGAGGTTGCTTTTTTTTCCCCCAGACTCTCCGTGGATATGATGTCTGCGAGTGCGAAAAGCTTGGGATCCTTAGATCATAGTCAATCCGGAGTCTTATTGGATATTATTTGTACAATCCAAGTTAGTCATGTACTCCGTACCCCGTACTCCGTACGGGGTACCAGAGTTGCTTTGACTCTCAACCGTTCTCATTCGCTGCACCCTGAAATGACCCCTAAGCCCAATGGAGATGTTTCGCCCGTCACGCTCTTTTGCTCTTTCAAGTGCACGGTCAAGTGGCTGGGCACATAGTCTCGCCTGCCCTAGGGCTGGGTGGCGACGCTAGTAGAGGCCTCGTGCCATGTGATGGGTGCTTTTTTTTTTCCTCCTTGATCTTCTTGATCAACCCCACGCCGTCATTACCTACTATCGTTCTTGGCGTTGTGTTTGTCGCGCACAAAGGCGAAGCTTCTGGTCCAACCAACGTCCTAGTTGGGCGTGGGCCCGCTAAATGTCTCACTTTGGCTGGACTCCGGGGACCTTTGCAGCCCGCTATCGTCTCACGTCGGCCCGCATGTCCTCCATACTCCATATTCTGCGTTCCGTTCTCTGTGCACAGTGAGCACAAGTAGTCAGGTGCGGACTTGCCATTTGATCCCCTAGCCAGTGTATTCAGCCGTGCTCCGTACTCCGTACGGAGTATGCAGGTACGGAGTAGAGCTCTCCACGATCGACTGATAGCTCTCGGAGGTTCACCGGCAACTTGGCGAGTCTGCGGTTATTTGATTATCCCAGGTCATATTGCATAGTTATGAAGCCCGATGCAAGCCTAGAGATCCAATGCCGATGGTTTTCGAGGCCTTGGGCCTTTGTGCATTTCCCTGTACGTTCACAAGGTCAAGTAGTCCAGTGCCTAGGTTTCAACGGTATAGTATTGGATATCAAGTTTCGTCACAGGGTTTCCGATGTCTCCTGAGTTGGGGCCTCTGAATCAAGGAACCAAGAGGGAGCCCGTGGGTTACTCCAAAGCCAATGGCCCCTTGAGATTAATTGTGCACCGGGCCAACGCCCAAGGCGGTCTAGCGCGATGCTACATGGCGTCCATCGCTCTTTCCCCGGATTTTCCGACTTGACGCCAATACGCTGCCCGTACGGAGGCAAGTACGGAGTAGGCATCCAAGTACCCAATACACAGTCCCTCGCCCGTCTCTCCCTGCCCCTCTTTGTATCCTGTACAGCGGACACCCCGTTTGGGCCACATCGACCAGGTGGCTGTTCTTTGGTACGTCATGGAATTCCTCTCCTGTACTCCGTACACCACACCCTGCTTTGGAGCCCACATTGGCCTGCCTTGACTTACACAGGTCTGTCTACAGCTGTACGACCCAATATGGATTGCAACGGGTAAGTGTCCCGTACTCCATACTCCACACAAAGTACGGAGTATGGACTGTACGGAGTACCGTCTAGACTAAGGGTCTAGTCTGACTCGGTGGAAATTAAACCCCGCCAACTCCATTCAGTTGTCTGACTAACTGCAAATGGGAGGTCCTCGACAAAAAAAGAACCTTGCCACTGATTCAGCCTTTGGTGGCTTTTTCCCCATTGCTACTAGTATAGTCTCGACTTGGCACTGCGGGCATACGTACACCGTACGAGACATCCGCATCATGAACCCAACCTTCCCTGCTCTAACGTTCAATCGGGTGCGGGCACCCAGAATCCGGCGTCAGCCTTTTGGCCTTGGCCATACATTCAGCGGTCCGGGGCCCCAGTCCGGTGTAATTACGGATCTGAGTCAACCGCGGCCCTGGCCTGCTTTGGGGTAGATTGCCTCCCATTAAGCATGCGGAGACATGTGATGGTCCCACGCGCCAACCTTCAGTGCGACCCTGTCCAGGGGTTTCTCCATGGAGGTGGAGAAGAGAGTGACTGGCAAAGCTTATAAAAAGGGCATCACCCCATCCAAGGCCAGACCTTTTTCTTTCTTCTCGACAACTCATCCGCATTCGCTATACTTGACTGTCTTTTCCGACACGCCGTTTCTTAATATCAGTTATTTCAACTCAGTTATTTCGTCAAGATGAAGTTCTCTACCACCCTTGTTGCTCTCGTTGCTGCCGGCCTCGCCAGCGCCCAGCTTCCTGATGTTCCCGCTTGCTCCGTACGCATTCCCTGACGACAACGATCTATCGAGGGAACGTCTCCACTAACACTCACTTTTAGCTGAGCTGCTTCGTCACTGCTCTGTCCAGCGACGGCTGCTCCGAGCTCCTCGACTTCGAGTGCCACTGCCAGAAGACCGAGCTCGTCTCCAGCATCACCCCCTGCGTTGAGAAGGCTTGCGAGTTCGAGGACCGCGTCGGTATGTTGATACCCCACTCCCCTGAAGCCTCAACGCCACTAACCTACTCTCCCCAGCCGTCTCCAACGCCGTCACCGACCAGTGCAAGTCTGCCGGCCACCCCATCACCATTGACCCCATTGAGAGCGAGGGCGGCTCTGCCACCACCACCTCCGAGTCCTCCTCGGAGACTCCCGCTCCCACCCCCACCGAGACCTCCGCTGAGCCCACCCCCACCGGTGAGGAGTCCACCAGCGCCGAGGAGTCCACTTCCACCGCTGAGCCTGAGCCTACCGCTCCCACTACCAGCGGCTCCGCCGTTCCCACCGGCTCTTCCGGTGTCCCCACCTCCACCCCTCTGGTGACCAAGACTGGCACCGCCGCTCCCTCGGCCTCCTCGCCCGTCTTCAACGGCGCTGCCAACGTCAAGGGCAACCTCGCCGGCGTTGCTGCCCTCGCCGCTGCTGCCGCTTACGTCCTGTAAATATACCTATACCTAATCTGAGACGATTGTCGGTCTTTTAAGATCGGCCCGGTTTAAGAGATCGGATTTGTTTCCTATTTGTTGGACGGGTCGTTTTGAGGTCCGGGAATCGGTTGTCTCGCTGTATAGTTGACACCCTTAATACCATGCGCATCTCGTTTCATCTTTAGGGTGAGACTGCTGCTTTTAATTTGATTTATGACCTTTTGAAGATTGATTGCATGGACCTATTCCAGTAGACTGAATGCAGTTCTAGGGCAGATCTTCGAGATCTTGATCGTAGATTTCATTAATATCTGGCGATGCAAAAAGTGCATCCACAAATAGCAACAAGAATATATACTACCTTGGGCTGACTTAACGAGACAACGCAGAATTGTATGTTGATTCCTCGGCAACCTCAGGAGTTCATGATAAGACCAATGTGATTGGATCGATATCGTTATTTCTGGATCCCAACTAGAATGATATTCACCCTCACCTACTAGAAAGGGCTAGTCGGATGATTCACATGTTAGCTGATGAGAGACATAATCTCTATGATAGGGGAGTGATCATGAGAGACAAAACCATTTCAGGAAGTTTAAGATGCCCAAGAGGCCTTAGAAGCCCAAGGGCAGGTTAATTGACATAGGCCCATTCATTGTTCCTCGTGGATCGGACGATATATAAACTCAGTAACCTAAAGGGGGGGGCCCAACAAAGTCCCGAGGCTGCGCTACTTAGCATCTTGATATACAACTTTTTTTTTATTCTTTGATTCTAGACCTTGCATCACCCGCCACACATCCTAAATGTATCTTTATCGCCTATTGAAATCATTATTCAAAACGGGAGGCTCAAAACCCAGACTCCGACCTCTGCCCCGCGCCACAGGACCCCTGATCTGCCCATACAAAGTAAGAGCGCACAAAAGTCCCTCCTTTCGACCTTTTCTCCAAAAGAGCCTCCAGTCCTGACAAACCTCCCAGGGCCCATCTGTCCTCCTCTCCCCCCAATACAACAAAGGCTCTGCCTTCCCCGACAATGAGCGCACAACGTTCAAGCTCCACAGCCTCCTGCCGCCAAACATCCAGACTCTGGATGAACAGGTCCAGCGCGCTTACCAACAGTACCAAAGCAGGACGGACAATCTAGCCAAGAATACTTTCTTGGCGAGTATGAAAGCCCAGAATGAAGTGTTGTACTACAAGGTTTCTGACATCATCTTGCATGGAATGTGTCATATTTGCAGACTGACAGGGGATAGCTCTTGCAAACGCACCTCAAGGAGATGTTTAGTGTGATTTATACGCCGACGGAGGGCGATGCGATTCAGAATTACTCGCGGCTGTTTCGAAGGCCTGAGGGGTGTTTCTTGAATATCAATGATCAGGATTCTTTTGATGAGTATCTTGCTACCTTTGGGTCTGCGGAGGATGTGGATTATATTGTCGTTAGCGACGGCGAAGAAGTATGTATATTTCTGGTTGTGTTTTGGATGTTTGGGCTTACAGGTTTGCTACGCAGATATTGGGCATCGGAGACCAAGGCGTCGGGGCCATTTTGATCTCCGTTGCTAAGTTGGTTATTACCACGCTCTGTGCTGGGATTCATCCTTCGCGACAACTTCCTGTTGTTCTGGATTGCGGAACGGATGTAGGTTGTTCTACTTCTTGGGATTTCAATATACTGACAATGCGTGCAGAACGAGGAATTGTTAAACGACAGACTTTACCTAGGTCTACGACAGCGTCGTGTCAGGGGAGAGAAATACGATGAATTCGTGGACAACTTCGTCAAAGCTGCTCGCAAACAATTTCCCAAGGCTTACATCCACTTGTAATACTTCTTTTTGTCGAATCCTTCGAATCCTTTGAACTACAGCTAACGAGCGACCAGCGAGGATTTCGGACTAAGCAATGCACGAAGAATCCTCGATAGATACCAGGCGCAAATACCCTGTTTCAACGACGATATCCAAGGCACAGGGTGCGTCACACTCGCAGGGATGTTAGCCGGTCTTGAAGTCAGCGATGTCAAACTGGAAGATGTACGCGTGGTAATCTTCGGCTCTGGAACTGCCGGCATGGGCATCGCCGACCAAATCGCAGATACCATCGCGACGGAGACGAAAAAATCCAGAGCTGAAGCATCGAAGCAGATATGGTACGTATCTACAATATTTACAGAAAAAGAGATACATCGTCCCTGACACTATCTATCCAGGTGTCTCGACAAACCCGGTCTCCTAATGAAATCCCACGGCGACCAGTTAACCGATGGCCAAGTATCTTTCGCACGAGACGATGAGGAATGGTCAGATGAGGGTCGAGATCTCCTTTCGGTTGTTAAGAAAGTCCATCCACATGTGCTTATTGGCACGTCTACGAAACCCGGCGCGTTCACTGAAGATGTCATTCGAGAGATGGCTGAACATGTAGACCGTCCGATTGTCTTCCCGCTTAGCAATCCGACACGACTGCATGAGGCAAAGCCGCAAGATCTCTACGAATGGACTGAAGGGCGAGCTCTTGTTGCTACGGGTAGTCCATTCCCGCCGGTTGAGTACAATGGTGTGGAGTTCGAAATCGGTACGTACTCGGATCTTATACGAATGAATATTGAGTGTATTAATGGAGTTGTAGGAGAGTGTAACAATTCAATGTGTTTCCCGGGGATCGGTCTCGGGGCAGTCCTCTCACAGTGTCGTCTCATTTCGAAGAAGATGTTGGTTGCTGCAGTGGAAGCGTTGAAGGCGGAGTCACCGGCCCTGAAGGACTCGAGTAAACCGCTGCTCCCGGATGTGCAGGATGTGCGTCAAATCAGTGTGGATATTGCTGCTGCGGTGATTAAGTGTGCGGTGGAGGAAGACCTGGCGCAGGCGGAGGGCATTCCTACTACTGATAAGGAACTGCGAGAGTGGATTCAGGCTCAGATGTGGGAGGCTGAATATCGTCCTTTGGAATACGAGGAGTAACTCAGACGGAGAGTCTGTTTGATACCATTGTGTGACTGACGTACATAGATCGCAGCGGACTATTAGGAGCTGGGTTTGAATTTCATCGTTTCAAGTAGACTCTGCATAGTACGATCTGCATGTACAGCTAGTATCTGGAAGATTTCCTGTCTGAAGAATCACCATGCGATAGAGGACAAGCTTCTACCAGCCATAGCAGCGATACAATTCCCGAATCAAACCCGAGGTCCTAATGTAAATGCATTATGTTACAACATGTTCAGTAACTTCAAGCCATATGTGACCCACGAATTGAAGAAAAAGCTAAAGAAACGCAAATGAAGCAAATTGAAAATCGACCATGAACATTCATGGAACCCATAAACGCATAAATCCTCCAACTTCCTGGCGACAAGTCACGCAGCTGCTGAAGTTATTCATGGCAAGACTAACGCGACAATCCTCGCAAATGCACAGACAGCGACAGGGCCAGGTGATGATGGCTCGTGGGCTGGTCTGGCAGACTACACAGGGTGGGCCGTTGGGACCGAGACCCTCTGCGCCAGATTCCCACGTGCGGGCACCAGAACTGCCTGAGGTCTCCGAGCGACGGGAAAGGATGAGCTTCTCGAGGATTTCAGATTCCTCTTCCGCAGTGGGTTTCCGTCCTTCGGATTCCGACTGCATGGCGTTTAACTGATGCAGGCGAGATGAGAAGATGATCCGGGATCTCTCCCTTTCAATTTGCTGCTGGTAGCGACTGCGCGTCATGATCTGCGGGCCGCCCTGGTTGGTTTTAAGATGCGCAGCTAGGATTCTGGCTTCTTCTCTACTCTCGCGATCGCGTGGGTCCAGAAGACGGGCGAGGGTGCTCATGTCAATCAGAGGATCTTGGAGTGGTGGGCTTGATCTATCTGCGTACGGCTCGAGCTGGGTAGGAGTACGACGACCGTCTTCGGATGGGTAATCCTCCCATTCAGACTGCGAGGCATTGGTAGACATAGATAGCACACTTGTTGTGTCAAAGTCGTCGGAAGGCGGGTGGTAATCTGAGGTATGATCTTGGTTTCCCCAAGCACCACCAATTTTCCACCAACCGTACAATCTATCATCCAACCGACTCTCGTCCGGGCTCATCCAGTCCGGCCGATTCGCGCGCTCTCGCTTTCTCATTTCAACCTCCACGTCAAAGTCGTGGTCGCGGGGAAGTTCGAGTTCTCCATCATCAGAGAGGATCCAGAAATCCAACGGCTGTACTTGACTCGCTGTGCTACTACTAGACTGTCGTCGACGGTGACCAACAAGGCGTTTCAGCCACATTGGCCGAGCGGTAATTCCGAATCGATCCAGCACATTGCTGAGCCCGAACGCGATCCACCGAAGCATTAGCAGGGAAATTGCGCGGAAAAACGACAGCACATGCCACAATCTAATAGATACTCGGACTGCGCCAACTCCCCCAAGCTCCGCTCGAGAGCGCACAGCACGAGCACCGTTCTTAGGTTTCTCGAATTTTTTCTCGCGGTTGTATCCACTCTCCCAATCACCAGATTGGTCTGGCATGTCGAAACTTGAGAAACCCATGGCTTCGATAGGCCGGGTGTTTGGCTCGCCCTGCCATTCCCCGAAGGACGAAGATCTCATTCTCGAAGCTTCAATCTCAGAAAGCCGGTCCTCTTCTAGCCATGTCATTCGCCGCGCAACGACTGCCTTTCCCTCGTTCAAGAACACCGCCTCACTTGCGGCAGTCAGGGCGACATAACCGATCCGAAGCAATGTGGTGTAGAAGTCTTCGTGTCTATTGATGCGAATATTTCTTATTTGATTCGAGCCTTGCATGTTCTCGTGCGCCATCAGGAAGCGGTCGTATAACGAGACGGGTTGATCTTCCGTGGGCAGTGAAACAGCGGTGATGGTAAGTGCCAGCGTGTATATTGAAAGACAAATCACAATACCACCCAGTAAAAACATATGAGGGATAAATCCCACGATGCAAACAGTCGGAAACTTGAGTACGCCAGTTTCAATGCTGACGGGCGGGCCGCCTTCTAATCCCCATAGCATAGCTGCCATGAAGCAGGCACCCCAAAATGCGGTATTGAACAATCTGTATTTGCTCTGCTTTCCGAAAACTTCTAGTATGTGGGAGGTGGCGCTATTGCAACACGATATCAATGCAATGAGTAACAGTTCCGGCGTGACATTCATGCGCTCCAAGACTTGGGATCGTGTGAGAAGTTGGAGAACCGAAGTTGAAGTATCGTCGGACCCAGCGGAAAGCGCACTGAGGGGGTTCTTTTGGGGAAGGCCGAACATGCCTAGTCCGATCGATTTACTGATCATCGACTCGGCTTCCGCAAAGGCGATTGAGTGTTCAAAGATAGACATCCCCGTCTCGGTCATCACAGGCCTGCCCTGCAATGCGCACGATAGTGTTTCCACAAAGTGACTCAAGCAAAGGAGCATGAATGTCGGCCAGAGTAAGGAAAATGATCCATATGGGAGCTCAGAGGAGGTTCCACGAGCCATGTTCACAGCATTGCACGACCTTTCATCGGACTCCCATCCTAAGATAGTAGAACTCAGCGAGTAAAGAGCACCTCCATCACTGGAGTAGTCGAACGGAAGTTGTTTCCCGGGGTATCCGTAGCGCATTGTCGAAAAAGAAGGCGATGTCTGACATCGAATCCCACGGAGAAGTCCAACAATTTGAGAAGTAAAGAGAAGTATGGGGATCAGTCGGAGAGCCGTGCGCCTTTCCCAGCCTAGTCGGAGGTGTCGCCGTGTAGAGGCATAGATAGTGATTCGGTTGAGGATGAGCGCCTAGTTCTATTAGCATGGCGAGTATACATGTCCACGGCGGGAGCGCCTACCTCCACCAAACAGGCAAATGACCAAAGACTTGTCAGGTAACTGAAAAAGCCACCTAGTTTCTTGACAGCACCTAAGAATTCGGCAAGATAGTAGCCGCTCTCCTGGGTGGCTGCTTCGGCAAGCTCATTTGAAGCCATGTTCACTGCGTGTGTTGCTGCCGCGTTATCGGCTGCAGCCACTGCCGCTGGGCCAGCCTCACCCCAAAAGGATTTTGTAAGAGCTTGTATTCCAGTTATTCTAGCAAGTGTGTGGGGAACCGTTCGGAAGGCAAATGTCTCGGCGTGTTGAAAGGCACGAAGGGGAGAGGTCAAGAGTTGATGCGGTAAAGAGGAAATTGACGAAGTTTCGGGCGATAAAGTTGTAGTATTCATATGCTGTATCAAAGTCGGACTAGATGAGGTTGGTATTGTGGAGGATTCCACGATGCCTGACATGATGGACCTGTGTTGCGGTGTTGCGGTGTTGTACGGTATGCACCCTTATCAGTGATCCGGGGGAGATGCAATCAGCCCTGGAAGGCCAGTGCATGCGGAGATCGTGGACACGGGCAAGTCCAACGGTCAATAGTCAAATGATTGGATGACAAGATTGAAGACCACAGTGAGCACCGCTCCTGTGAACTGCATCCCGCAAACCAAAACGTACGATGAAAGAGCGGGCTTCACCATGGCGGGCACTTCCCGGGCCTGAGGTCATTCCGATCGCTGAGTAAGCAATACCGAGGCCCGGCCCACTTCCAAGGCAGGAATCCCAGTGTCGACCTACGTACGAACACAGGTTGTTAGGTGTTGAAGGGTCAGATATGATAGACTAGCCGATGGAAAGATGAGCTATGGCCTTGGATTGGCCTCCATGGAGCAATAAGGTGGGATGGCTTTACAACAACTTGCTATCATTCTCACTTGACTACATGTAGATGGTCATAGTGTTCAATTATGTATCCTATGGTCCAAAGCCCTGAATCAGTGGTAGTCTGACAAGCGCGCAACCATTGGAAGTGTTGATCTACCATCATCTTTAGACAATTCGGCCATGGAGGAATAAACCGCTTGCATATGCTCAGATGGGATAAGAGAAAGTATCCGCGAATATCTAGAGTGCTGAGAAAAAGAAAAGGAAAAATCTCATGTTAGAATTATTCTATCCCATAGAATACAGGTCGTGGCAGAAAGGCACGACCAGGCCTGTATGAGCCAGTCCGGAACTCCTGGTGGTATTATCATAAAAAGTCAAATGTCTTATGTCGTGGCGCCGTGAGTCATTGCAGCGATGATGAGAGCCGAGACACATATACCTGACGCCTCAGTCAGCAAGGTGAGAAACCTTTGCAAGACCAGAAGCTGAAGGCACCAATGTACGCATCAAACATCCAAGTAATCGGCAGCCATCAAGAGTTCGAGGCATAGCTCAGGCGGAATATCCATGTCCGGAACGTTCGCTTTGTCCTTGTGCTTTTCATTATAGCAAAGGTATTCGCAGACCTTTTCGATGACCATGCCACTGGAAAGGGGGAGACAGTCTGTCAGCAAGTCTTACAGCCAAAACATGACACAACCCGAGTAAGACATACGGGAACTCATCGAGCACACAGCGGCCGGTGACACCCTCAGAGAATTTGCCTGTGAGTGGTTAGTGAAAACCCGTGCCGCGATGGATTTTGAATCCACGTACTCGAGGGGTCCAGCATGCGTCGGATGGTCCCTGAGACACAAGCTACATTGCGGGGGATGATGAATTCAAATCCATCGCGCGATACTAAAGTCACAAATTCAGAATTCGAAGATCCCGACATGATTGACGCGTCTTTGCGTAGTTGTAAGAAGTTGGGAGTTGTGGAGCGAAAGAGCCTTTTGAAGGTGGGCAGATGGTCCGTGCAGAAGCTGCTGTGACGCACCCGATGTCGCGCGTTGCTGGGAAGTCAAGAGGACGAGATAAAACAACAAACCGAGCGATGGGACGTTTAACAATTCCATTGACTCGCTTTCGAGCATCACACTCGTTTCTTCGTGTCTCATCAAGGCCGATCAATACATGCAATGTTGGCCATGTCAACGATCAACGATTGTCAAAACATGCTTCGTTGATATATACTACGCGAGCATTCTCATCTCAGCCCGAGAAAAGCAACAATGACATTTTATTTCAGCCTGGAAACCGACTTACCGGGCGGAATTGCATGATTACTGGCGGCACCTCCGGTATCGGCTTCGCCATTGCCGAGAGATTCCTCCAAGAAGGAGCATCGACCGTAGTCCTCGTAGGTCGATCTCAAGCTCGCCTAGAGGAAGCAGCCTCAAAACTCAGGTCTCTCACCTGCACACTCCCAGATCTTGACGAAAGCAATGGCGAAGTCGCAACTCGAGCCCCAGAAGAAGACAGCCAGCAAGACAGCCGAGGAAAGATTCGACTACTTGTGGGCGACGTCTCAGATGTTGGATCATGGATGCGTGAGCTCGAAAAGGAAATGGTAAGCTATCTCAATTATCCTAGAGGAAATTTTATCTAACCATCATCCAGGCAAATGTAGATATCCTGGTCAACGCAGCAGGAATCTCGATATCAAACATACTCGCAAGATCTGAGCTGGAGGATATCTCCACAATCCTGCGTACAAATCTCGAAGGTGCAATGCTCACCTCGCGAGCTTTAGTTCGTGCCTCTATCCGGAGCCGGATACGCAATCGGAATGATACAGCAGCGGGGAACAAGCCTCCATCCAAATGCATCATTAATGTCTCCTCTTTACTCGCACTCAAGGGTGGAACTGGTGCAGTTCCGTACGCTGCTTCCAAGGCTGGCATTTTGGGTCTGACAAGATCATTGGCCGTCGAGGCCTCGGCTTCGATGAAAGACATTGTCATCCGATCGAATGCTATTGTGCCTGGGTACATTGAAACGCCAATGATTGCAGGTATGCCAGGTCCTTCTTTATTGTCGGTGAGTTTGCTGATATCAACCCTGTTTAGATTTCACACCCAATGAAACGAATAGACTAAAGGATACCATCCCTCTTCGAAGATTTGGGGATCCGCGTGAGATTGCTGATGCGGCTGTCTTCTTGGCCCAGAATGAATATGCTAACAATTGTGTGCTTAATCTCGACGGTGGACTGAGTGCTGTTTGATTGGCCTCGATTGAGAGATGTACATACTCTCAGGGGAGCAGTTTTGTATACAATATAGATCGCATGTAGTCCGAAAAAGGCAGGGTATGAACTTCTACGTAAACACAAAAACAAAATCTTGTTCAGTTGCAATCTATCAACTTTGGAGAACACCATGTTGAAGTTAAAAAGGAAATCCATAATGCGTTACTATGTCGCTATGCGGGACATGCTCGTTGACCTTGGATTCCTGCTGTCCCCCTTAAATGAAAGCAATTTCGCCTTTATGCCATATGATACAAAAGAGATTCTTTTAGAAACAAGGGAAACAGAAAAAGAAATGAAAATGCAAGAATGGTGGAGCAAACAATATCAGGATACACCTCGAGCACAGTGATGGATGTCAGGGATACTGTGAGGTGCCATGTTAAGCTAAACCTGCTTTTAGCGTTCAATCATCAATCAGAATTGCACCTTCCTCGTCATCGTCAAGAACGATAGCTTCAACGACATTTGAGTCTGGGATAGGTGCGCTAGCGAGCCGTTTGGCATTGTGGCTGGTTTTCTCCAGTTCATCAGTTGAGTCTGCACGCTTGCGCTTTCCTGTCTCAGTCGCATCATTGGTACCCAGTTCTGCGGTTGCGATATTGGTAACTGGTGTAGGTTCGGGAGATGGCTTGGTAGGCTGTTTGGGCTTCAGGGGAATTTCAATCATATCGCATAGTTTCGCAGGCTTAGAGTCCGGGGAAGATGGTCCACTTCTGTAGTTCAATCAGTAATTTACCCAAAATTCTTGGAACGATAGTGGTTACCTTTCAGTGATCAGCAAGTCAAGGTTGACTCGGGTATCTGTATCGTTCTCATCATTGACGGTGATGAAGCCATTGCTGTTTATGCCATAATCAGACAACTTCCTCGTCAGATTATCAGTGAAATCCAAGTCGTAAATCAATTTGCTGTCTACTATGAGAGATATCTCTTCACCATATCCCAGTTGGCCCTGAAGAACATCCTGGACGAGGTGTTCAAACGTTGCTAGCTCAAAGTCAACCTCCACCCGAGCCAACACAGGGGAACAGGCAGGACAATCAGGATTTGGGGGATTTAATGAGTCTGAATTGATCGCACGAGCACCGGATCTCTCTAGGAAAACCTTCAGAGACGATGAAATGTTAGAATTGATCCTAGTGTCCACTCTTATTCAAGGGGTCTTACCATTTTGGCGTGCGACAAGTCGTTTTGGAAGACCTTGAACGACTGCAGAACGGATAGTGCAGCTGTCATAGCATTTGTGGTTGCAATGGCAGGAATGATATTGCCCGCCATCTCTGGAAATATGTCAACAATGAACACACTTAGAGGGAGCATCATCAATGGTGAACTCACGCTTGATATCAAATTTAGATTTTTGTTCGAGGTGGAAGATCGCAGCCCTGAGGTTAGATGTTGCGGTAACAAAGTCCAAAGTGTCTACATCATCCTTATCGAATGTCAGGATAGGGGCGTCTTGATTTGGGGGGTTTTTCGCTTGAAGCTCCTTCAGGCGATGACCCAGGCGGTTCAGACTATAATAAGTTAGTCTCTGAGTGTATTCACTTGCCGTGGAAAGGGATCGGAGGGCACGTCCTACCTATCCTTAAAGACCATGAAGTTCTCCGCCAATGTCCACACCTTCTGGTCTTGCATACAGATGGTTGAGGGAACCGATGCAGATTGTTCTTGGATTTGAGCAAAGTCAAGAAGCTCTGGTGGCGCTCGTGTCTTCCACATCTCCTTCAAGCCCTGTAATCGTTCGATGTCCTTTCGAAAGACTTTATCGAACACCTTCAGGTGCGCTTCCTCAGTGCCAATCAATGCTCGTAGCTCTTTGAAATCCAGAGCTTCCCGGCGCAATTCCTCAACCTCCTTTGCTAACTGGATGTCAGTTTTGGTGTGAATTCACAAACGAAAGCAAACGAACCGTTTTCTGAATCCACCGTTGTATCCACTTCCGCTGCCTCGTCTTCGCTATCTCCAAAAAGTTCCCTACTCAAAGATGAGCATGAAAACCAAATATTGTTGGGGGTTTTTGTCTTACGGAAAGAGGAAGCTCTTGGCCCAAACGATGCAATGAATCAGCTGACTGGGGCTACTGCGGATCGTACACACGGGGAACGACTTGGGACTTTCTTTCGGGGTACAATCATAGCACTCGGTTTCAGACTAGTACATCGTGCGGTTAGTAACGCTCAACGCCATAGGAGATGACATCGTTGTACGGCATACCTTTTGAATCACCTGAACTTGTCCATTGAACCCCGTAGTTCCGCTTTCAATCAAGGGGACATTGGCTGCAAGGCACATCTTGTTCACATGCCGTCTTGCGGCGATATTATCCAGCGCATTGAATACGACCTTGAAGGACCCGAACCACGAGATGTTAAACTGAGGATCCATTATGTTGGCATGGTAGGCTTCGAGTTTCGCGTCAGACCGGAAGCTTTGCGCAACCTCTTTGGCAACCTATATGGAAGTATCCTTGTATCAGTAACCCATATCACTGATAGCTAGCCACTTTGCTCAATGTGAAAGCGCGACACCGGACTTGGGAGGGTTCGCAAGGGAACGGCGCAAGCGGGGATTGTCGGTCGGACATACCAAGGCCTTTGATTTCTTGATATGCTCATGTCGGAAAAGAAACTGACGGTTGAGGTTGCTCAAATCGATTGTATCGAGGTCGATGATGTGGATTTCGCCAAACCCAGTAAGGACGAGGTTTTTCAGTAGCTCGCAGCCGATGCCGCCTGCGCCGACGAGAAGAACGCGTGACTATACATGATGAGAGAACCGTCAGTATTCACCTGTAGTGCCGCGTAACTTAAATGTCAGGATTGCACGCTCGCAACATTGTCCGTACCTCTTTGAGAGAGCGGGTGAGGTCCACCCCGAGGGAGCGCTTAAGAGAGCTATCCCGCATGGCGGGCAGTAGATTATGATCGCGATCAGGTGTGGTGGTATGTTGGGTTTAGAAAGACATCGCAGTCGCGCGAAGGAGAGGGCGAAAGAAGGGGGGATAGGTTCAAGGGGAGCGTGCAAGTGAAAGAAGGAAGCGCTGAACCGGAAACAGTGGCCGCGCAGATTGACGATGACGGCACTAACGAGGAGCCTCAATTTGGGGGTCACCGTCCCTCCCCCACTTCGTTATTTGCTGCTGACGTCTAACAATTTACATTTAATAGGCTCGTAGAACGGAATTGGCTTTTCTGCTGGACTTCCATTGATCTCCCCGTTTGATTGCCCTTACATTCCAAGGTTCCCTGCCGCTGTATACATGGCGCACATGTACTTAGCCGCGTCTCGATCGTCCTACGATGAAATTCTTGACAAACACAAGATCAGCCTCAGTTGGATGCACAATTAACGTGGGAAGATATGATAACCTTGAATACTACTATGTTATTTATGTACATATCCTCATGGATATCTCTGTTGGCCAAGTATCAGATCTACCGATATGCAGATGAGATCACCCGGCTTCAAATCCCCAGATGCGTCTGCGTAACGACAAGGCCGACCCCCCTGGGATACCCTATAGCTATAAGTAGAGACAATCAAGGGACTGCTTTACCATATCCGAAGCTTTTCAGGGTCCAAAACGTTCAAGATGCACATTGCCTGCGCTATCGGGCATTGTGCCTGCTTACATAACCCGTGACTCTATCCATCTAGAGGCGGATTTTCGGTGTGGCGAGAAAAGAAAACACACAGTCAAGGGTATATTGTGTTCAAGTCCTGTCATATCCCACATTGGGTTGTCTTTGTCTCATCAGATCTGAACACTCAGTTGGAGTGGAATAGTTGCCGAGATCGCGTGGTCTAGCTTCTCACCGCAGATCCTCCCAGGCGATATCAAAGGAGATACCCCCTGATCTCCAAGATATTGATATTGATCTCTCAATCTCAAGTCCAAACAACACAGTCTAAGATCATCATGCCGTCATTGGACCCTACTCCGGCCCAGAGAAATGATCAAATCGAGGCAAATTCCGACGATGAAGCGGATCCGGAGCTGGTAGAGCTTCTGCGCCAGCATTTCGGACTGGGCGGGAAACCAGCTGATGCCCCACCAGATACTAGAGTGCTCGAGGGGGCTCAGTATATCTTTGACAATGCCATTGATATTGCTGTCAGCCACGAATACACCAAAGAGGCTGCTGAAACTATATGGCGTCTGATGCAGAAGAAAGAATATTCCACACATACATGGTCGGAGCATGAACTGCACCCAAAGACCAAAGACGAAAGCACAGTCGATTTCATCTTCACGATGGACTTGTTGAACTTCAGTTTCTGGTCTGCGGAGGAGGAAGAGCCAAAGCGTTTCTGTATTGAGTATCGTGGCAAGTTGTGGACTGGCTATTGGAGTCTGGTTGCTGCATTACAGAGAGCCCTCGAGGAAGGTAGGTCAATCATTCGAATTCGTTCGCTGAAATACAAATGCTAACCGCAGCCTCAGGTATTCCAATCACAACTCCTGACTTCTGGGTGGACGAGGAGAAGTGCACGGACGAGGTGCTCAGACATGTCTTCCGATCTGCAACAGATGAAGAGATCCCGATGTTCAAAGAACGAGTACAGTGCCTGCGTGAAGCGGGTGAGGTCCTTTGCGAGGTATTATCTCCCGACATCCTCAATGAGCTATACTAACCCGTGATGAAGGAATTTGGTGGTAGCTTTGTAAACTGCATTGACAGTGCCAACCTCTCCGCTGCAGGACTGGTCAATCTTCTGACTGAGAGCTTTGCCTGCTTCCGCGACGAGACTATCTTCCACGGAAAGAGAGTGCGACTCTACAAACGTGCTCAGATTTTGGTTGCCGATCTCTGGGCTTGTTTCGACGGCGAGGACTTTGGTGAATTCCACGACATTGACAAGATCACAATGTTTGCAGGTACGTCTCTTGCAAACCCTCCACCATCCCCCCGAATCTAACCTTGTGTCTTAGACTATCGTATTCCGCAGATGCTGCATCAACTGAACTGTCTACGATACGCACCCACATTGGACAACCATATCCGTGATCGCAAACTCATTGAGCCAGGTTCAAACTGGGAGATCGAGCTTCGAGGAGTCAGTATCTGGTGTGTTGAATTGATCAAACGTGAGATTGAAAAACGACACCCAGAAGTCAAAATGAGCGGCAGAAAGCCCTCTATTAAGGGTGTCTCAAACGATAACGAGAATAATGAAACTGGAAACCCAGATACGAACCTGGAGATCGTGGAAAAACCGCGCAAGACATATGGGATCAATGCGATTCTCATTGACTTCTTCTTGTATGATACGATGAAGGGTTTGGAGGCGGAGAAGAATGAGTCTATTCCTCATCACCGGACGAGGAGCATTTGGTATTGATTAGGTATAGACGGACATCTATTTTGTCATTGGGCGCATGGATTGGGAATGTCCAAATGGTAATTCGGGAAATTTTGATTGCTCTGGGAGCGAAAGAATATAGTACTCCAGAATATAGACATGGCGGAGTTGGAATATACTTTAGCTTACTGAGAATGAATACATAGAGAGCGCACAAAGCACATTGAATTCATATATTAGGGTATCAATTAAACTAGTCGGCTGCGTCCTAGAACACACTGTCATCGTGAGACCGTGATCAAGCAGCTGCACCTCCAATGCGAGCCATGATATCCGCTTTCCAATCCACATATTCCTCCCGACGGTCATCGCTCAGCCAATCCACTCGATCCTGCATCATCGTCCCCAGGCCGGGCAAAAGGCCACCACGTGGGGCGTGATCTAATTGCGAGCCACGAGCTCCATCCCCGCCCGTTGTGCGTTTTGGGAGCTTGACACCCCGCAGTGTCGCATCCTCCTCGTCCAAGTCTTGGTAGGACTTGCCTTCCTCATCTTCACCAAAAAGCTGCCCGGCATAGGCAATGTTCTCAAACCATTCCTTGCCGTTGGCCCAACCATGCTCCATGATAAGACTGATCCATTGGTCAACATCGTCGCGATGCCTTCGGTCATTAGCTTTGAGCCCAAGGCTGTTCAGTGCCGTTTGACGCATCTCAATGAATGTTTTCTTGTCCATCTTCTGTGCTTCAATTTCCGCCTCTTGATCTGGGCCTGGATTACGACGACGGGCGAGTACCAGGAAATATACTGCCACAACCAAGGCGTATACCAGTTCTTGGAAGTCATCATCTTTGTCAGAGCCATTGATAGACACAATAGGCTCCAGAAAATTCAAACTCTCCCTATCCCATCCCTCCTCGTCGTTGGACATGCTCGACGTGATATAAAGGACAGAGGACACACCCGCAAAGATGTGTGGAGGAAGAGTCCTCGAGATTGGAGGCCTCGACCAGGTATTTGTGCGCGGAGCAGGAGTTGAGAGAATCTTGCATACAGTCCGTATAGCTGTCATCACCCAAGCAGGCGCATCTGGAATGATGGTTGACTCATGACCATCTTGGACTCGGGTGGTTGTAGGCTTTCTTGCCGATTTTGATGGACTTTCTAGGCGATTTGCCGTGCTCATGCTTCGTTTCAAGGGTGTTGATTTCGAAGGTGTGTTTTGTAGTCCTCGTGGTGTTGGAGCGACTGCCTTAGAAGGGGTGTTCCTGGCTGCCGCGCCCTTCTTAGGTGTAGTAGGCGTTGAACCAGCACGCGAGGGTGTTCCGGGAACTGACACACTCGCTGATCGTTTTATACCAGCTGAACTCGCCGTAAGGGATCGATCAAGGTATGAATAGAGCTTTTTATATACGCGCGGCGGACATGGCGGGTGTCCGAGGAGTGGAGGAAGTTGAAGAGTCCGAGTCAATCTATTTGTGGCAAATACAAGCAATTAGCACAGCAATTTCAAGCCAATCGTAAGCAAATCTCATTTAGGGACTGGTGCATACCTTTTGCAAGCGATTTCTGCACAGGCATATGGTCGAGCGATTTCCTCTTCGGGCTTCAAACTACTTGAGAAGCTCCGGGACTGTGCAACTAGAGACATTGCATAACTGAGAAGTTCTTGCGGGAGGTCATTGGCATGAGTAGGCACCAACGTGCTCAAAGCCTGTTCCACCGGCCGATTGTTCATTGTCTTTGGTTGTTCCTTGATTCAAGTTCGCATTGGCTGACGAAGGGAGCAGATAAGATATGGCTATGCACAACCAGCAAGAATATTGAGAGGGTAAGATTCAAGATCAAAGCTTCATGAGCCTGCCAAACTGCCTGGTATTTAAATTGGCTCAAGTCCGTTTGTTGTGAAGGGATCAGATAGACATTCAAACAATAGATCTGCACCTGCGCGGCGATGCGATAAGAAAATGCTGACTCAGCGCTATAATGCGCCCGCTCTGGGGTGGACGCGGTCAACTTCAATGCCGCTAGTTGGCTTCGTATCTTGCATCCCAACATTGTTACCTTGCACAATCTTTCCGAAATGTCTGTCACTGTAAGTCTACATATCAGAAGCTTCCCGAAAACTATTCAGCTATTCTGCGCCCTCATACTAACTACGGCCTCAACAGTTACATACCACCCAAGGCGACCTGAAGGTCGAACTTTTCTGCGAAGCAGTGCCTCAAACTGCGGAGAACTTCCTTGCCCTCTGCGCATGCGGCGCATATAACAACACCCCATTCCACCGCCTTATTCCGGGGTTCATGATCCAGGGCGGAGACATCTCTCTCGGACCCGCCGCCCAGCAAACATCCACGAAGCCAATGCTCAACTTCGAGATCCCCAAAGGCGGCACATCGATCTACCACCCATCAGCTATGAACCAAGAGATCCACCTTCCATCGCTGCGGCATAATGCGCGAGGCATTTTGTCCATGGCATCTCGCCCGGTGAAGGACAGATCAGCACCGGGATCGCAGGGCGCAACAGGAGCGACAATTAACGGAAGTCAATTCTTCATTTCGTTTGTGCCAGCGCCACATCTTGATGGTGCCAGTACTGTGTTTGGGAAAGTGTTGAATTTGACTGCCCAGGATGAGGGCGGTGATGTCCTTACCAAGCTGGAGAAGGCGAATGTCAAGGTCGACAAGAAGGGAAAGGTTTCTCAGCCTAAGGAGGGTGATGATTTTGAACAATTCAAAATCAATCATGTTACCATCCACGCCAATCCGTTCGCCAAGTGATCCGTTCGATACGCAAGCCTTTTTTTCCTTGAGAGCGCGACGACCTCCTACTATCGAGGTCCGCATGCCACCAAATTGGATATAGGCTATAGACTAGACTGGAAAGGCTCTCGAAATCTTTTGTCCTTGGTCTAAAGCAGAAGGACTCGCTTCCCAACCATTCAGCCAGGGCTAAATCCCGATATCTCTTTGGGGGTCTTATGGGACCGTCGTGCAAACAACACTATGTTGCACCCCCCAACGAATGCCCCACTATGCTAGAATGACTAGCACGCATCGTGTCAACCAGCCAGACTAATATATTCTCTCACATGACGTCGTTCAGCATGCAGTTCACCAGTCAGCTCTACGGGGGATATCAAAAGAACGCAGAGAAATGGCAAGCGAAACTACGCCGGGATGTCAAACTATCCAGAAATGTCAATTATTACTATATCTTGAATTAGACCAAGAGATCCGAAAGACGATCTAAGTACAAATCACTTGCTTCTTATTTATAAACCTCGGATTCCATCCAGATTCGTCCAACCCTCCCCCAGAACAAGCAAATCCTGCAAAATTCTAACTTGCAGCTCTACTTTTGTTTGATCAGAGTGTGATGCATAATTCAAGAATGACAATGCTGAACATGACATCAAAAACCGCAGGATCTGAATGCTTGCTGGTGCTGCTGCGATTCCAAGATACGCCTCCACAAAAGCTGTTGTGCTCTCCTGCATCTCCTTTCGCGTAAGACCATACTGCTCACCCGTTCGGCGCAACATGTGTATAAAATGTCCCAAATCTCGTTCCGGCACCCCAAATGGCTCTCCGTTCTCGTCCAGAGAGCAATGCAGTGTCGTCGTGTCGATCATGGTGACATGCCCCGTTGCATGGTCATAGAAAAAGTTGCCAGGATGAGCATCCCCGTGCACGACAGTGGTACGTGGCCGGTTGGTAATATCGCGCTTGCAGTTGGCAATAAGTTGATCCATTTGCTCGGAGAGTTGGTCGACATCAATTCCTGCGGAAAGAAAGACATGCTTGTTCAGCAATGACTGCTGGACTCGCTTTGTTGCTGCATTGAAATACCAGTCGAGATATTCTGTGCCTGGTCGGCCCTCAACGCTATGGCTGTGTAATCTGGCCAGGGTACGTGCGACCGCCTGTACGCTCACCGTAAAAACAGATAGCATGTCTGTTCTCGCAGGCCCCGATGGCAGGCGGCCCATCTGCACCATGAGCTGATAAAGGGAGACTCCGGGGGCCACCTGATACGCAACTACGCCAGCTGATTTTCTATCCCACGTCATCCGCCCAACGGCCAAGGGAGCGGCAGTTCTGATATCACACTTGTTCTGCAGGAGGAGCCATTCCAGACTTGACAGCTCCTCTGTGATTCCGTTATCCAACCCGTGGATGAAGAGTTTGATCACGGCAACGACACGGCCTTGAGATGTGTCACTGGATACCAACGATGACCCTCCATTGGCAATATCATCGTTAGCATAAGCAAAGAAAATGATAGCCCCAGAGAACCCCCCTAGGTGAGTAGGATCAAGACCCCGCAAATTGACAGGACAGCCCACGGCAGCAGAAACATGCTCCTCTAGCGCTGTAATGGTGGGGGCTATTTCTGGAAGACTTTGTACAACTTCATCGGCTTGTATCGAAGTCGGCTTTCCACTGCGATTCCGTGTCCGTGCTGCTCGACGCATAGATGAAACCACGCTCATTCCAAGTGATGGCCGTGGCAATGATGAGAAGGCCGGTGCAACGCTACCATGAGCCATTTGCACCGTGTCTCCCTCAGCCTCCATCGCGGAGCGAAGCAAAGCTTTGGCGGCATGTTTCCAGGAATAACCTCGCATGATCCGCTGTAGTGAGCGGGCATGCCGTCTAGTTTGCTCCGGGTAACATCTCACCTGGTCGATTCGATGAGCCCAGACGGCCACACGCTCGCTTGTGGGAGAAGGTACAATTCCGTATGTGCTCTCGTCCATTACTACGCAGGCCTGACCAAGCTCTGCTGGGATGCGACTGCGATCGAGAGCAAGCTGACCGGCGCCACTTTCCTGCGTCACTAATATAGGAACACCTAGCCCGGCGACTTCAGTAAAGATCATCCCAAATCCTTCGTGCATTGATGGCATAATGACTAGGTCTGCGTTGCAGTAGAAACGCGAAACCGCGTTAGGGTCATCGGAGAAGGGATGCAACCTGACAAGATCTGGCATGCCAGTCATTTCATCAACCATCTGCTGCCAGCGCCCTACCTCTGCTGCTGGAAGTCCTAGGACGTCCAGGGAAATGTCATTACCAGCAAGTGCGATATTGCGCACGGCGTAGACAGCGTCATCTAATCCTTTGGCGGGATCATCCGCTCGACCAGCGAGGAGAACCCGAAGCAGATCATTCGGCTGACGCAATTGCGTGCAGGCGTCACCCGTACGCACGCCTGGAACTAGCTCATGGAAGCGAGGCCCCATCATATTGAATCTAGGACGATTGCATTGGCCCATCCACTCGCGTTCGCGGGCTTCGGTTGTGAGGACGGGCCCGACTCCAACAGCCAAATCCGCTTTGGGGAGAATCCTCTCGTCGAGCATCGCCAACCGAGCGGCTTCAACATAGCCTAGCTCGCGTGTTCGTCCATACCATCTCCACGCGACATCGGATTTCCTTAAGGCACTTGTGTGAGTGATGAGTGCGAGCTTAGCTGTAGGATACCATCTCTCGCGGATCAATGATGCTGCCGTGCTAGAATATCGCGAGTGGCCGATGACGAGATTGAATGGCGATGGATGGTGGTGATCAGGAATTGGCAGGCCATAATCCTCTGGCTGATGTACCTTTGCCACATAATAGAGGAGGGCGCTAGAGTCGTCTCCTCTGGAGGGAATACAGACCACTTTAGCCCGACCATGCGCCGATGATGCCAGTGTGTTTTTGACTTCATTCTCTGGCTCTACCATGAAAAGCGTGACTGATGCATTTGGAATTTCCGATATGGCCTTGACTAATTCTTGATTCAGCAGTGGGAGGCCTCCTTTACCTGGACCACTCGCATTGGCGACGACGAGTACTCTCCAAGGATTAACTTTTGCCGGAGAAATGCTCAGCAGGCGCTCCCATTCAAATTTGACCTTCTCGCTAAGTTGCACGGCCTTTTGTTCATCGGATGATACATGTTGCTTGTCCACAGCAGACCATAGTCGAGATAGTTGCGTGCGTGTTTTGAACAACCGGGCAAGTCCTTCATTAATCGGAACACCCTGCGCCTGATATGATTTCCAAAATTCCAGCTGGATCTGGGCAATATCAATCTCGCTCATTCCGAAATCCCCGGCATACTTTCGCAGCCGCTCATGAAATCCTGCCGCATCCATTTCAGCCGGTCCAATAGGCCTCCCGCTAGCATCCATCGAGCGAGACAGTCCGCCATAGTCGATCATGGTGATTCCATGAATGGGATCCCAGAAAAAGTTGCCTGGTGAGGCGTCGCCATGGAGTAGTGATGCTACACCATCTTCTCGCGAGTCATCAATTGCCCGATCGACCAAAGATGCTAGCTTCTCTATTTGATCAGACCCAATTGCCCGCTCGTATTGCTCCCGAGATGGGCCCTGAATCTCTCGGACCCAATCTTGCAGCTTTTTGCGGAGCCTATCAACGACAGACTCACTGGCGCTGCTCCATTCGCTACGTTCTCGGTGCAGCTTGGCCAATGTTGATGCCACTCCTTGGACGGCTGAAACCAAGTCCGCCATCAATCTGTCAAATTGATGTTTCAGGAGATCATCGGTAGAAATATTTGGAGATTGGTTCTGGTGTGGTTTGTGATTGATCGAGATTCCATGGAGCGCGCCGCGAATAATATCATTCATCATTTCCCTTGTCTCGTCAGGGCATGGTTGCTTTGCGATCAGTCGCAGTGTGGAGACCCGACCAATATCACGTATAATTGTGTTGATTGCCTTACCCTCTGCGAGCTGGTAGACAATCACTCCCATGGGATCTCCGGTGTTCTCATCGCGCGTCCTGCCTACACCGAGTGGTCGGGCAGCAGATGGTGGATCGGAAAGAGATAACAGCCTCCTGTATGCAACGAGTTCCTCGAAAAAGTCTTTATGGCATGCTGGCGGATACACTTTTGTAACAGCAAGGGTTTTTCCCGGGTGGCTGCTGTCCCGAACAAAGTAGATGGAGCAGCCGGATTGGCCCTCTGCCCCGGAGGCTTGAAGACGGTGTAACTCGACGGCGTGGCCGAGGACAGATTCGACGATTGCACTGACGGAGTCAGTCTCCGGTAATGCGGTTAAGGTGAAATTGCCGTCATCTTCTTTCTGAATGGTAAGCTTTTCGAGAGCAGTGGGCAAACCGCCCTCCTCCAGCCTAGCGCACTCCAAGGCGGCCATAATTGTCGAATGCAAAGATTGAATAGGGAGACAAGATCTGGAAAAAATTAGGGTCTAAAATTTTACTCTGTGCCATGCGACTGTAATTGACAAAAGGATGTCTCACTTAGCTCAAGCTCAAGGTACAGAAATCAGACAAAGACGAACGACACAATACCATGATCTTGCTTCAGCCGTGCCACCTTATGCAACACCAGTACAGAGCGTCGTGCGACTAGCCCAATCTGCATCAAGATAGATATGTTGCCTGGATCGTGCCCTCGGAAAGGGAAATCGAGGTAGGGGGCGTGGCATAGTTAGCGTGCTCCTTGAGGTAATGCATATTGAGCCACCAAAAACGATGTCCACACTTAGGGCGCTAAAGGAGAGGTTCGAGTGGATTATCCTGGATTTCCCGTATCTGCAGCACCAATACAAGCTAAGTCTGTTCAAATCAATGCCTGGGTGGCTGAAGACGTGACAGGCACAACGGAGCTTCCACTTTACCCTCGGTACGGAGGACTCCGTAGGTGTGACGTTATTTGGATCCCAGGTTGTAAATTCGCAAGGATTGGCCGTAAACAACAGGTAGGGGGTGAACAAGTACGTAATACTCGGTCTTTATGAGTACATATGCAGTACAGTTACAGTATCAAACGAGTGTACGGAGTACGTAGGTATTCAAATCAGGTAGCCACAGAATGAGAGGTAGAAAACTCATCTCAACAAGCAAGTACTTGTGCCTAATTCAGGGCCAAAGCGTGTGACACCCCTGATTTGCCCGCCTCGAAACTACTAGTGCATTGCGGCTGAAGAAGTGTGGAGTTGAGCATCTCGGTAGCAGCTTGGGGTTAAAGTGCATGAACACCTCTCCGATAGGGTTAGCACCGACCTTGGGACGATCGACCCACCGGAAACCATGGTTCTTTCCGCCGCGCCATTCAAGGCTAAAGTCAGTCCCTGAACTCTAAGCCCTCCCCCGTATCGCTGACCGAAGCTCGACAATACGAATCAATTTGCTTTTTCTCATGAATGCTGCAATACAATTGACAGGATGATGGAATATGTGCCTTGGGTCAGAACAAGGCTGGTGTAATACACATCTAGCATGCTGAGTTGCATTTTCTTTGCTTAACGGAGTATATGTATCTGTATTTCGAGTATCAATAGTTCGGGCGAAGGTGTACAAGGAGAAATCACAGACAAGCTGTAGAGTATTCATTGACTAGTATGTACGGAGTACTTCTTACCTCATACTCCGTACATACTTAAGGATTACCTACAACATCGAATTTTCATGTTCCACAGTTCATGTCCCCCATTTAAGCAATTCATCACGCGAGCGCTTGATTTTCAAACTTCCCACCCCACATTGACTGGACTGCTACGATGAACAAAGTAAAATATATAAGTATATACTGAAAGAACTGAATAAAGCCAGAGGAAGAAACACAGACGGAGAAGGAGGTAGAAGAAAACAGATACATTTGAAACCCGTCCACCGTAATCCGTAATATAAACACAGTCCAGCCATGGACGTATCCATTGCCGATGAAAGTTTCCCTGTCTATTTTTGAAAAAGAAATTTGTACGGAGTACTCCGTAATTTGCGTCCTAATCGTTTCTAGTTCATACATTAATTCTTCGGATTACTCCGTGTAGAAGAAGCTATCCGCCACGGTCTACGGAGTATACGGCAGTGAATGGAGAGCCGGAAAATTTGGGTTTGGATAGTACATACGGAGTATAACTTCAACAATGATAATGAGTATTTCTGACTTGCTCAAGAGCAATTGTGATGTTTTCCTTGGTTGGGTGTTCTGTGCAGCATTGCCCGCGGGCTTAAAGACCATAGAATCTTGGAAACATTTTGAGTTGTACACCAATTGAGCACCCTTTCATATTCACAGGGTGAACTTGAAAGATTGTACGTTTTGGATGTGCGGTATGTCTCTTTATCTCAGTAATATTAAATGGTGGATTTCCTACCTACATGTAGATATTCCCCTTCGATTTTCCCCATTTGATGGGGCATCATCTACGGAGTACTCCGTACGGAGTACAAGTTCATTCAATATGACATCATAGAGCCTAACATAATGATCTATGTAAATCTCTGAATCCCGGTGGCAATTCTATGCAGCAACAGGCCCATAATGTACATGATCAGCACGAAGATCGACAGGCTCGAGGTTGGAAGTAAGGTGTTTCTGAATCTTCTACGGAGTACGGAGTGACTGTTGCCATATTTCGCGCCTCGGAGGATTCTTTCTTGCCTAAATCATGATTCTCTGCTATACTCCGTTTTGACGTCGATTGCTGCTTTGAGGCAATGTGTCAGAGAAAACAATTGCCTTCTAATTGGCTATGTAGGCTAATTCTAGGGTGATTTGATGAAAAAGATGCCATGGCCCCAAGATCCACAGTTAATAGTGAAGGGATAAAAACTTGTGTGCAGATAGATCAGCTTTGCAAGTGTCTGGGCAGCCACCAATGGGCTTTTAACAACCCAAAGTCTCGGCCCGCCCTATGCAAGGGTGTGGAATGGGTGGCAGGGTTCCAGAAAATGAACTGCAATGACCAGTCCGGAGTACTTGATTTAGAGTTCGTCAGATATATTGGTTGTCAATCATCCAAAGTCGCACAAAGAGACCCCTAGGCCAACAGGATATTGTTGCTCTGTACTCCGTACGGAGTTCCCCGTAATCCGTCGATCCTCCCCTCCGAGGCTAGCGAACTTGCTGCAATATTCGTCAAACATGCATTGATGCGCAACAGGGTGTAGGTGGACTGGCCAATACAGTGGCGTTACTAGTCTGCATCCCGAGGCTCCACTGATTGTCGCCCTGATCGAAATGTGGACATCCGACTGCTCGATTGTTAACTCTCAGGCTTTCAGAGTCTCGCAAGCAACACCCCACATGCGATTCTTGTTCGGAAAATCCATTCCTCCTCTTCAATTGGCGAAAGACAACTTTGGGTCTCACTGACATTAGGAGCTTGCGGTCATGGATTCGTCTATCGCTGCTCATGAATTGCTCCGACACCTTCGCTTCGGGTATCCACCGGTTCTGCTCGTCGTTCTTCTTGTTGTCTTTTTGGTCCATTCCTCCCAGGTAGCTAAAAATGCCGGCCAAAACAGCAAGGTGCAGTATGGGCCTGGTGGAAAGCCACTGCCCAAGAGAACCCGAGTGATGATGGCCGCAGCTCGAAATTTGCCTGCCGAGCTTGCGCGAGATAAATCAAAACGCGGGTTTGTTTGGCTGAATCTCTTTGTTCTTGCAACTTACATTGCAGACGCATCGATTTATATGACCCACGTCATAATTTCGAAGTCGGAGCAATGGTGGTGTGGTCAAGCAGCGGTGGTGAGGCTTCAGTTGGAATGGTCAAGTTAACTCAGAGCTGATACAAATGCAGTTTTTTGTGGTGGGATCTTTCTTTGCTCACATGGTCATCTTCATCTCTCTACTCGATACAAATCTTGCGCCATCAATTGCACAATTTGTCCCGTGGCTCTCAGCCATTCCATTCGAAGTGGCGATTCTCTCGACTTCAGTCTCAATCTATACTCATGCCCACCATGAACCGACCATCGATGATCCATTTGGGGGGAAATTGCGCACAAAGGTTACCTTTTGGGAAGCATTGGAGATTACTGCAGGCTCTGTGCGCGTACTTTTGCTTACACTTCTGACCGCGTCGTATATTTTCAAATTTACCGGCAGACTTCGTACCTCTAAAGAAGTCGAAAATGCGACCAATGGAGAGGCTACTAGTTTGCTTGATTCGAGAGGTAACGCCAACTCCGATGATAGTGATACCTCCACCGATGGTCAACGAACCCCCGTTGAAGAGGCATGGGTACGTCCCTTGACGACCCCATCCACCAATTGGATGGAATATCTGAGTGGATATTCTCTTTTCTTTCCATACTTGTGGCCATACAAGTCTTTGCGATTGCAAATTGTGGTCGTAATTTGCTTTGCTATCTTAGTTTTGCAGCGAGCGGTCAATATCCTGGTTCCATTCCAAGTGGGAGTGATTGCAGACTCGTTATCTTGGAATGAAGGATCATTGAATGTGCCTTGGATACCTATTTGCCTGTATATCATTTATCGCTGGCTTCAAGGCAGTCAGGGTTTCCTCGAATCGGTCCGTTCAAACCTGTGGATCTCAGTCAGCCAGTACGCATACATGGAGTTATCAACTGCTGCATTTGAACATGTTCACAACCTAGGATTGGACTTTCATCTAGGTAAAAAGATGGGCGAGGTGCTCTCTGCTCTCACGAAAGGCAGTTCAATCAACACATTCCTGGAGCAAGTGACCTTCCAGGTGTTGCCCATGTTCATTGACTTGGCTATCGCCATTGGATACTTCCTAGTTGTCTTTGATATCTACTATGCACTGGCTGTTGCTATCATGACATTCTTCTACCTCTATTCAACTGTCAAAATTGCCTCCTGGAGAGCTAATATGCGACGACAAATGGTGAACGCGTCTAGGCAGGAAGACGCCGTCAAGTACGTTTTTGTCCCTTGTTTTTCTCAATCATATTCAATCTAACAATACAAAAGAAATGACTCCCTGGTCTCCTATGAGACTGTTAAGTATTTCAACGCCGAGGAATATGAGTTTAACCGGTATCGAGGAGCGGTCTCGGACTACCTCCGAGCGGAATGGCATTCTCTCTTCGCGCAGAATCTGATGAATGTGTTCCAAAACGTCATCTTTATGCTCGGTCTTCTGATCACATGTTTCATTTGCGCGTATCAGGTCGCTCGCGGTCAACGTCCAGTTGGTCAATTTGTGACCCTACTGACCTACATGGCTCAACTCCAAGCCCCATTGAACATATTCGGTACTTTCTACCGATATATCCAGTCCGCCTTGATAAACGCGGAGCGTCTACTTGAGTTGTTCCGTGTCCAGCCCTCTGTGGTGGACGAGCCATCTGCGACACCGCTTGCCGTCTGCCACGGCCGAATCACTTTCAACGACATCAAATTTTCGTACGATACACGACGTACTGCCCTTAATGGATTGAGCTTTGATTGTAAGCCTGGCACTACGACGGCTCTGGTAGGAGAATCGGGTGGCGGAAAATCAACTATCTTCCGCTTGCTTTACAGATTCTACAATCCGAACGGGGGAAGCCTTCTCATCGATGGCCATGACACCCAAGACCTGACCATTGACTCAGTCCGAAGACATATTGGTATTGTACCACAAGATACCGTTCTCTTCAACGAAACTCTGATGTACAATCTCAAATACGCCAATCAAACCGCTACAGATGAGGAGGTCTACGAGGCCTGCCGCGCAGCCAGCGTACACGATAAAATTATGGCTTTCCCAGATGGTTACCAAACGAAGGTGGGAGACCGAGGACTGCGCCTTAGCGGTGGCGAGAAACAGCGTGTCGCTATTGCCCGGACCATCATCAAGAAGCCTCAGATCATTTTGCTAGACGAAGCCACCGCTGCGTTGGATTCGGAGACTGAGCAAAATATCCAAGAAGCTCTCTCTGTTCTGTCGCGTGGGCGCACTGTGCTAGTTATCGCCCATCGGCTGAGCACGATCACCACTGCCGATAATATTGTGGTCTTGCATGAAGGCCGTGTGGCGGAGAGTGGGACGCATGAGCAGCTATTGGCTTCTCACGGTCGGTATACGACGATGTGGCAGAAGCAGATTCGTGCGCAAACTGAATCTGTGGGCTTGGGGGCGTTGTCAGACAAGGCGTAAGTTTGTACGGAGTACATTGGGAACCATTCAGTCTGTTGGACTAAGCATAGAGTGTCCTAAAGTTCATAGGGATTGCAAGGATAATGATGTTCTTTTTGGCGAAGAGAATAGAGCGTCATTACTACTAGATGCTGTTTTCAATCATTTCTTTCGCTTTTAACCGAGTTAAGACAACCTTTGACAGTCTAGATATCTTTTTCTTCCTGCTTGTCAGTTCCTGGTCGTTTCGTCATCACATCTTGACATGGGATCCATCTGTCCTCAAGCCGAATAAGCCCGAAAACAGATCTTTGTTTGGGAAAAGATGCGTGCAAAGGTCTGGACTAACACAGTGGATAATTGGCCCTGGTCAGTGTCATTCGTGGACATACACGGAGTGAACTCCCCTGAATGTCAGTAGTACCTAGACTCCATACGAAGTACTCCGTACGGAGTACTCATCACTGTGATGACTCCTGCATGAATAGATTGACCCTCTTGCAGACGCAGATCAATGCAGGACAAACACTCTATCAGTCTTCCTATAGGTGAATCATATGGGGGTTCAGCTGGCATACCCGAGTGCCACCTGTATCACCTCAGGTCGTCTTTACATACAGAGTACCTGTCAATACCATGTCCACTTTATTTCTGCAGTCGGTCTGTACGAATCGCCATTTGTTTAGTGTCGCCTACCTCTGAATATTGAAACACCGGAGGTGAGTTCTGATTCACAGAGCCCAAGAAGCTCTAGTAACTTCATTCAGAACTGTGTGCACTGTCTTTGGGAACCTTTCCAATCTGTTCCACGCCGAAGCCTTCAACTCCCAGCGACCTTTCTTCTCAAATGAATTCCGAGACATGGAGCGCATTCTTTGGCTTGACAGCCTCCGAGGCATCGCGTCAGCTTTGGTAGTAATCCACCATTCAAAGAGCTCCGAACCAAAGAGCGTCGTTGGGTTTTTGACCAGGTCATATTGGGATGAACCGCCTGAAGAGAACCGTCATCTCATCCAACTTCCGCCGTTCCGACTGCTCTTCAATGGCCCATCGATGGTGGCTTTGTTTATGGTCATCTCGGGCTATGCAATCTCCCTTCCTCTTCTCCGATGTCGAGAGGACACTGAAGCAAGCAATGCCGGTTTCTTTCGCCGTTTATGTTCTGCTGCAACTCGTCGGATTTTCCGAATATACCTGCCCTCGATCGCAATTCTGTCCTTTAGTCAATTTGTGTACTTCTGTAATGTATTTCCGTGGGAACCTGCTGATGATTGGCTCGGTGGACTGAAGCCCTTGACGGCGCCATGGGCGCATATCCAGTATGTGCTTTCGAGAATAGTGCATTTGCTGGACATCAGCAATCATCAAGTCGACATCAATTTCGATCATAATCGACCAGATATGAGAACCATCAACTATCAACTGTGGACGATGCCGATTGAGTTTCGTGGTTCTTGCGTTGTTTACTTGTTAATATTGACCTTTTCGTTTTGGAAACCACGACCTCGATATCTTGCACTGGCAGGTGTGGCGCTATATTGGTTTTACATGGGACATTGGGATCTCTTTGCTTTTGTTGCGGGAGTCCTTCTTGCAGAGCGACACGTTGCTTCAGAGTGCAAAGCCGACGGAGAGATCGCATTATCCAACTCATCCCTCGAAGCGCTCGAGGGTCAAAAGCCTTTCACATCTTGGAGGAAACTCACAGACATCCACTATCTCAAACAGCTTTGCACTTCAGCCAGTCTCATTCTCGGGCTCTACTTCCTTTGTATGTGCGGTGCCGACCGCTTGTCGTCGGAATATCAATGGTTGGCGATCTTCCAGTCTCCCGAATGGGACAATGCCGAGATGATGCCTCGGTGCTGGAGAAGTGTCGGGGCAGTTCTGACAATATACGCAATCAGCAAGTCTGTGCTGCTTCAAGGTCCACTCAGCTCCCGCCCGCTGCAATACTTAGGCAAGATCTCATTCCCGCTGTACCTGATCCACCCCACTGTCTATCTTGTTCTCAAATGGCTAGTGCGGGACTTCTTGTGGTGGGTACTGACGCGGACGTCATATCCTGGAACAATTGAGGCGAGCAAGCAGATTCTGCCGTTCTCTATGACATGGATGGGAACCATGCTTGTCTTGGGAGCTATCATGGTGGTGGCATCCGATCTGTGGAATCGATTTGTTGATATGAAATGCCTGGCACTCGCAAGAGGATTCGATAAGTGGGTCTCTGCTTAGCGGCGGAGAGTCAAGAGCCATTATTTATCTGTCATAGAATGCAAACATCACTCATAAATGGGTTGAAAGATTGAAGAACCCGGGCAATCAACGGCTTTTGGAAAGCCAGTTCAGTACATCACTGTCGAGAATCTACGTATAGATAGGAGATAGTGGATAGTAGATAGAAAAAAAACTTTTGAGGACCTATTCTCTATCTGCCTCGAATGATTGAAGATTTACATGACCACAGCAGAAAATTACACATCAGACGCCGTTATGCAAGAACCCCAAAGAATCGTGAAATGCATAAAAATCATCAAGAGAAGCGCAACTGACAATATCGTGCATCGTCTTTGTTTACTCCTTCTTGGAATCATCAGCGGTCTCCGCATCTTGCTCATAGCCCTCGGTCTTCATGTCAGTCAAACCGAGATCGTCATCCTCCTCAGCACTGCGGGTATACTCCTCAGTGGTGATCTTGGGATCGACAGCCGGGCTGCAAATATCCTGAACGTAACTTGAGGCCATTGGGTCTTGCAGAGTGATGGTGAACGGAAGCTCGCCGTCGATAGCTTGTTGGAGACGAGAGAAGAATCGTTGCCACTTATCCTTATCGGAGGATTCCATGCTGTCACCTCCAGAGTTCGTGGAGTCATCGACGTCGAAAATGTTGCCCTTCAATTGATCCTTGATCTCGACTGTATAGAAAGGTTAGAATGAGACATAAGCTTATAAGTAGAAAGGGCAACGAACCTAGCAATCCTTCAACGGTAGTGAAACGTCCACCGAGGGTTCCAGGCTGAACCTCCAGATCCAATTCAGGGCTAATGAGGGCAGCTGTATCACTCTTAAGAATGTCGCGTGAGAGATCCACTTCGTCGTTCACCTGAAGAGTGATGCGCTTGCCCTTTTCAGGGACCTCACCACCAGTCTTAACAGCAGAAGACTTATAGCCGCAGTGTTCACAGTTCGTACCGAACAGCAGGACGTCCGTAAAGTAGGGGATATTAACTTTCTTGATGTTCACCTGGGCCTCCTTGGAACAACCAGGACACTCGGCGGGAATAGAATAAACCTGGCCATCGACAATGTCAAGGTCCTCTGGGTCACCAGCACCGGTTTGTGCAGTGTCCTCATGGTTCACAGCTTCTGCGTCGGCAGCGATGCCCAACTCTTCGTTCTGTTCGTGTGTACGTGGGTATTCACGGCGTGTGTACTTGTTGCCACGATCAGTGCTGTTGGGTGCAATCCATGAGTTTCCAGTGAGGTCATCGAGGGAAATGGTGAAGGGGAAGGCTTCCTCGCGATCCAGGATCTTCTTAAGACTAGCGATGATAGGCACAAGGGCCTCGAAAAGCTCAGGAGCCTGATCCTTGCGAAGGTCTTGCTCTCCCGACAGGGTTTCGTGAATAAGTTGAACCACTAAATATCACGAGATTAGCTGCTGAGAATCGATTCCTCCTGCACTGGGATTTACTTACTGCCTTCCACGTTGGTCAGCTGGCCAGTTCCCTTGGGGACCTCGATCTCCTTGCCGAGCTGTGTAATGAGCTTGAAGTGTGAGACATCACTGCGGATGACTTGGCGCTAAACTGGGTGTTAGCCCCATAACCGATATAAAATATTTCGAATTGCCCGTACCTGCATATCCTGCTCATTCTCGACCCTGAGGGTGTAGACTGTTCCGCGCTCCTGGATCTGGCCGGCCGATTTGATGGAGTTGTTCTTGAGATAGCAGTGTTCACATTCGAAGCTCTCAAGAATGATGTCTCTGAAGTAGGGAACTCGGAGCAAAAGCAGGCGGGTGACTCTGATCGATGCGATTGCAGGTTAGCAAGATGAATTAAAAAACAAATTGTTAACGTAGTAAAAACAAACCCTTGTTCATGACAGTTCATACAGAGACTTTCGATACTCATAGCACCTGTGTCATCATCGCGTTCAACAAGATCGCCGGGCTTTTGGAACTGGGACTCGAACTGCGACTCAAGCGCATCGTTGTCGGCTTTGCTAACTTCGGGTTGGTTGGTCATTGTGTATGATTTGGGAAGACCAGTAAATAAATGAGGGAAAGAAGACTTCAACAATCTACGGTAGACAGAAATGAGGATCACACGCCGTGCTGGAGCAAGAAATTCTTATCGCAAAAAAAAATGATCGGAGCCACGGGAACATTCCTTCCTATTCTGCGCGGGGCTGCCCCCGCCGAGGGGCAGCTGACAAATAGCTGACATAATCTTGCGTTTGGGCCACTAACTTTATTTTGGTGCTATACAACGTATGATGTCGCAGGGGATGCGTATACTCATGGTTCCTATTGACCTTCCTCGTGTCTCAATTTACAGATAATCTGCAAAGGTAGTTAGCATAGTCTTGGGATGAATGGTTCAGGGAGACTTATAAAAAAAAAGGTGCGGCCGTTTCCACTACCGAGGCAGAGGAAACGGCAGTCCACCCGTTGTTACCTGACCAGCAACATTCTGCTCCCACGTAAATACCATCATTGACATAATGCACAGTGCTCAATGACAATTCAATAGTTCCTTGTTGGCATGGAGATCGACCGGTTCCCCTTTCGTCGCTTTTCAGTTCACTCCGAGCTGACAACAAGAACGAGCCTTAGCCGAGAACGCGTAGCAGCAGACGAGCATTGCAGACAAGCCAAAGCTTTGATCCTCACTCAAGAGAGGTCCCACAACACTCACTGCATGATGCATGCACGTTGGAACCGACCAAGGACATCGTCACGGTGTCGACTGGAAATGGGCTGATCAAGTAAAGCGTTCGGGTGATAGGAACCGTTCGTTTCTCCAACCAGAAATATTGCGATCAATCGAGAAATAGTAGGGCAAGTATCAAATCCAGGCATGCATACTTCGAGAGTTGAGGAACGCCTGGAGCAGGTTGCAACGAATGAACGAGATCTACAAGCCCGCGAAACCCACACAACTTCGCAGAGACAACCCAAACTTGACCGAAACAGAGTAATCTCAACCGAGCTGACTTGACGGTCATCCATCTCCGCATTTCCAGTCAATTCACCATTGCTTCGCCGCTATGATTTCATGATCATGAAGCCGAGTCTCATGTGTGTGGTACAGTACCCCTTGGGACAGGTTTTTGTTTCCTCTCCCAGTTGACCAGAAGATCTCCCAGGAGGGCATGATGTGAAGCGGACAAATAACATCCGGAAAAACCGCTTCCTTCTTCCCGAGGGAAGGAACAATGATGGGTGTCATTGCTAAAATCGGCGTCCATCAATCTATTCGCAAACTACTTCGCAAAGAGATGGTTAACACGATCGGTCAGGATCTTCTGGTGAAGTCGAATCGATGGCTGGTGCCGTGATACGAGGTGCCTAGCCGCCTGTGAGGCATAAGGAAAAAGAACTCGAGAAGTTGGAACGCAGGGGCAAGATCCCCAGGGATCCTGGGATAGGAAATATGCACAGGAGCAGACAGTGGGTGCTGACAGAATCAAGAGAGAACACAAGCATCCAAGTCCGAAAAACAACAAATGGTCTGGGGAGATTTTCTACCATCCGGAACGAGACAAAAAATCGCAATCCTCAATGTGGTACTGAGACCAACATTGAAGAGTTATAGGTCAACATATTTAAAGAACCTCGCTACAACTTCAACTGTGAAAATGCCTGGGCAATTTTCAGGGAGAGGAATGTTGATTCCGGCGAGTGGATTCTTTGAATATGCTGGCACTATAACTGTGTGTAAGGATATTGTTGTGTTCTAGGCGTCAAATCTCTGAACCAAACAATCTGATGTCCTAGGATATTCGGCCTTGACTGTCACATTCAATCGCCATCTGGTCGCGCTGTCGTGATTGCTCCTAAAGGTGACATTCGATGTTGGATGTACCCGACATGTTTCACCCGCGTTCTCTTCTCGTTGAACTGATATCCGAGGCATAGGGCGACCATCCATTTGTGACCGGCATGCAGCGTCCAGCATGGGTAAACCGACGCGCTCTCCAATAGGATAACACATAGTAAACCGTCTTTTGTGCCCGAAGGCTCTGGCTAAGTCGAATCTCTTTCACGTCCATAGACCATCACAGTCCATTTCAGCTAATCGTATTATCCGGCATGCTCGACCGTGAAGCTCTGTCTGTGAGGACAATGAACCGAGTAGGGCTTAGGGCTTAACTCCAATATCTTCTGCGCCGAAACAGAACGAGTCGTCGAGGACGAATCATAAGGAACGGTGCACCATCAAAGGCAGCAGACGAAAATTGGTGATCTGAAAGGGTTGATCTGTACAAGTGTGCCTGGGAAGGCAAGAGACTCAAATGGCTCCACAATCAAGAAACAGTAGCGGTACAACTCTGGCGCATATGAATAGGGAGTGGGTCCAATGAATGCCGCATTTTCAAGTTAGACTCATAAAGGCAGAGAAACTTTATATCGCAGTCTGAAGTCTCTGGGAGAATGATGTTGAATGAGCTGTGGGTAGAGTAGATGGTGTTGTTGACAACAATAACTCCTGGGGGTTGACGCGTCTATCTCCATGGGGGCAGTCGCGCTGGGTCACGAGACACGCGCGAGCACCACGTGACCTTTGGAGTTCTTTTCTATTACGTAATCAGTCTACCATACCCATGTTGCCAAACGCCAAAGCCCAGACTGATCGTGATTCTTCATTCACATTTTAAAACTGAGCACTGATGAGGCCGATAAGATAGCATAAATCCAGCATGATAGTATTTGATGACCCTTCATGATGGGAGGTTTACAGAAAACCCGCGAATGGTTCGCCATTGCCAATAACTTCTTGGCCCCAGTTCTCGATCGAGGTATGCACGTTTGAGATGGTCTATATTTGGGACTCAAGTGCTAATGTCCTCGAAGATCAAATCAAAACGAGCCAAGGAAATTCGTTGCTACAAATTCTCTGTCAGACTTCAGCAGATGATGATGGCCTTGCTAGTGATGCAGCGAGACCAGCAGTTATCGGCAAGGCCTTAGATATATTAACCAATATCCATCGATCTTTCCTTTTGGATGAGGACAAAGATGTATCCCATCAAGCATCCTCCGAGGTTTTTGAAGACTCACCAATGGAAGACGCGAAGCGCCGTCGGATGCTACATGCATTGCTAGATCTGATTTCCTTGGAAGGAATATACCCTTCGCTCTCCTCTGGTGTTGGTATTCCACTGCAGCAACGCGTGATATCGGTGTTGCCAGCGGGTGTCATTGCAAAACAGACTCAGACGGTTGCTAGCAGTGTACCCCATGACGAGCCTCTTCTGCGTCGCATCATCGACGTTCTCGTCGACATTCTCTTAGATCCGAGACCAAGCCTCCAGCCGATCATCCGTGGTCGTATCTTGAGTGATATTATCAGTGGTATTTCGGATCTTGCTTTCAATCCAAATACGGTGGCATCATCAGATCGGTCCGTCTATCAAAAGGCATTGGCCAAGGTTATTCACGAGTATGTTCCCGATGATTTGTCTAATATTTCTAATTATCGGATTAAACACTAACGGACCACAGTACACCTACCACTGTTCTACTACCCACTCTGTCCGCCTTTCTTCAGTCCGACACCACAAAATGGTTCAAGTCGACTATCTCCAGCCAACTCTCGCATATTCCACTACGACCTGGAGGAGTAGTGCAAATTATCATGTTCATTGCATCGCAGTTTTCTCCATCGCTAGGTCAAGAAGCGCAGGACCAATCAAGTGGGCCTCGTTTGACTGTCCAGGCTATCATGCAAATCTCACGCCTTCTGTCATCTGTACCGTCATACGTTGATCCAACACTCTATTTTGAGACGATTGCCCCTCAACTACTGGCGTTAATAGATGGTGATGACCCAGACTTCCAAAAGACTGCATCATATGTCGTTGGCAATGGAATCTTGGGGAAACGTGCTTATGGTGCTCCTGGAACCATTGGTCACTCGATCTTCGTGGAGCCGATATTCAATGCACTTACCGCAGAGCTTGATATTGACTCAAGGCGATGGATGACTCGCTTTACCGACGTTGAGGGCTCTATGCCACTGTTTGCACCCGAAAGCACTGCATCCAATGTCTTAGTTGATAGTGCCACAGTGGACTTGGCCCTACACAGATTGAGATGTCTGGCATTGCAGCATCCGAATCCGGGTCTCGTGAAACGCATTGTATACCCCATTCTTCTTCCATTATGGGGCTTGGTTTGTTTCTCCCAGGAGGAACAACGGACCTCATTCCATGAGAAAGCCTTGCCCCTGCTTCAAACTTATTTCGGCATATCTTTGGGGATCCAGCCCCTGAAAAAGCTGGTTGATAACCTTCTGTGGGATGGAGGTACGAACTGGACGTACAATAAAGACTCCGAGGCTGGACTTGCGTTGCACAAGCGGAGCGGAAAGCAAAACGACCAATCAAACCTGTTGCAACTGATCGATTCTCTTCAATCACGCACGGATCTGTTTGTCAGTCTTATTGGCTCGAATCCTAGCAGCGAAGAAATAATCGGTGACATATTCCTGTATGTCAGTGAGAACTGGCTGGTACAGCCCCAAGACTCTTCCCGGTCTCGCAATACACTAAACATTCATGCCATTGGTGAAAGTGACAACATCGTCCAGAAGCTTGTCAGTGCCAAAGTCGCAGAGAAGCTCCTTGAGGATTTCAAAGAAGCCCTTACTAGACATCCGCTCCGGGTTCTGGAACTTATCAAACAGGTCATTGATGGGGAGCTACATAAACTCAGCGCCCAAGCAAGAGCGACGGAAGAAAGACTGAATGGCAAGGTATCATTGTCATCTTTGGCCAATATTGTGGACACAGAAGATAAAGACAGGGAAGTCTTGACAAATGACTCATCCGAGTCGCTCTCAACCGCTTTTAGTTTGCTCTCTACACTTCTTGCATCGGCCGAGTTCTCTACTACGGCTGAAATCCAGCCCCTTCTTGGATTTCTCAAAACGGACCTTGATCGGTTAATTCCCCTACTTCCTCCTACCCTCTCGCAACCAGCAACAACGTCGTCTATGTTGTTGGAAATTCACCTTGAGACACCCGATGAAACCGCTGTCAAGACAATCCCAACCCATGTCTTGGATCTTGACACGCATCGCAAAGCACTTGCCAACCTAAACTCGGAATTACCACCTGTGCAGGCAGAAGGTCTGTCTCTCATTTCGAAACTCATCATGAACTCGTCACCCGTCATTGATGTGGGGGCAACGCTCTCGCTTATGCTGTCCCTCATCACTGACACCTCGAGCGTTGCTGCCAATGAGGAATACCTATATCTTAACGCAATCAAGATAGTCGGTACACTGGCTTCACGCCATCCACGTACAGTGATCAAAACTTTGGTTGAGGAGTATGCAGATAGGAATGAACAAAGAGGACTGGACGGAAGACTCAGGATTGGCGAATGTCTCCTGCGAACCGTCCAAGACTTAGGAGACGCACTGGTTGGCGAGACAGCGAAGGTCCTCGGTGAGACTATTGTTGCCGTTGCAGGCCGACGTGGAATTAGGGCCAAAACTCAGCAAACCCGCAAAGCACAACTTGCCATCGAAAAACGTAAAATGGAACGCGAGAAGCGGGAGGAAAAAGAAGCTACGCTGCCTGAAGGCTGGTCTATTTCGTCGGGTGTCACTCAAGCTGCCTCCGAGCTCGATCTCACGGGACTGGATTCCGACGACGAATCCCCGGAGCAATTAGCATACGCCACTAATGTTGTTGCTGCATGGGCTGCCGGTGCCTCTGCAGATGACGCCCCTGACGACCTTCGTATCCGCGCATCTGCCATATCTATCCTTGGATCAGCTATCCAAATCAACATACTTGGTCTCGGGCAGGCGATCCTTTCATCCGCCGTCGATCTGGCACTTGCCACTCTCACCCTCGAGAGCGAACCTGAGAGTGCCATCCTCCGCCGCGCGAGCGCTATTCTCATCCTCGACATTTTGAAAGCCCTTGAAACAGCGCGGGAGACGCGTGGTCAGGATATCGGATTCGGCTTCTCGCTATTCGACGACACAGCTTCGAGTTTTGCAACCCCACATGGGCCCAGTGAGCAGGCACAGTCAACTATTGGCAATATCCCTGCTATGCTACGCACGCTCGACTTTGTTGAGAGCCGCGAAGCGGATGGTCTTGCACGTGGTCACCTGCGTGCTTTGATCGAAAGCTTGGAGGCTTGGGCGGACAAGGCGTTGATGTGTGGTATCGGTGCCCAAGACGGCCAGGATTCGTTGACTCCGAGATTTGGACTGGGTGATAAGATTGCCGGTCTGGACATTAACCCCCTGCCATTGGAGGATACTGGACGTCCACGCATAGAGGAGATTGAATAATTGAATAATTCAAGTTCTGCTTGACATCTAACAGTTATTTTCCCCTTTTTCAATGCGTGTTTTACAACAGGTATGAATCAGTAATCTCCAAAAAGTCAAGATATATGTACAATAATCTCACAATGAAAAATCAGCTTGTCATAAACTACATGGAATGTATTTACGGCCTCCGCCCACGATGTCAAAAGGTAACTCTCCCCTTATATTTCACTCTGGAGAACTTCAAACATAACCAGCGAATCACCGTTTCGAATCACCTGGTCCCACAGCATCATTGGTCTAGTGGTAGAATTCGTCGTTGCCATCGACGAGGCCCGTGTTCGATTCACGGATGATGCACATTTCTTTTTTGTCTTTTTCGCTCGCCTCCCAGGACTTCACTTCATTTTTTTGCCTGTGGTTCGGACTGTTACGATCATATGTATAGCATTTAGTTGATCCGCCAACTGGATGGGTATGGTTCATCTGGCCTTGAGAGGACCTAGGCCATGTATGAGGATCTATATCAGGTTACATTCGATAGGTAATTCAATAGATAAAGTAAGTAGAACAACTCAGGACCTATTGACAGGCATTCGGAAACCGTTTTTGAGGATGCTTTTAGAGACGTGTTTGATACTACTTCTCGTCCTCTAGGTGGAGGAATTGAGATGATAAATATTTGGTAGGAAGAAGTGCCTAAATCAACTATGAGAATGAATGAGTTGCAACCCTACATTATCATGATGGTCACTATCGCCTCATACTGGTTTTAGTTGACTAGTGATGGGAGACGATTTACTCGATCCACATATACACGGAGCTTTTATATCTAGACAAGTACGAACAGTGATCTGTCTATAACATGACGTACTATCACTTCTGCTTCATCCTCGTCGTTGATCTAACTTTCTGCAAGTCCCGCGGGAGCTAACTATGGATATATACATGGACCAAGTGCAGATCGCAACTGAGACTAAACATCAACACATTTTGTGGACACAAGCTAACTGAATCATATACATTCAAATTAGAAGTGACAAAGTATAGCAAGTTTGTTTTATACCGGACCGCATAGCTAGCAAGTGAAATCAAAGACAAAGTTGAGAAAAAAGTATAGTCGGAAAAGACAGTCGACAAGTTGAATGTCGCATGACGATTGGAAGAAAGCTCATACGTCTCAAATAAACTGAGCTAGATGTATGGAGACGAAGTACAAGGGTTGCATAGAAAGGGCAGAGGTATTCCGTGAAGTCCTTTTCATGGAATATTAAGCCTGGAAACCAAAGGTATCTCAGACCAAAGGCAAAATTGCCTCAACTACGTACTAAAAGAAACCATAACCTTATGTACACACCTGTACCCGCGTAGGGTGACATGAGAAAAAATGTAAAAAACAGAATTTGTAAAATGAGATCCCCTAAAGCCATGGGAAAGATCCCATCTTTCATCTTTCATGTATCTTTTATGAAAAACCGGAGATCCACCGACCACATCGAAGCGCCAATTCCACCACAACCATCGTCAAATCCCCAACCATCTTCGAACCATTCACTATCTTCACTGTTCAGGTCACCAGCCATATTCAAATCACCAACGATCTCCCGTATGCTGAGCTCCGCCGCGGCCACGTCGACCTCCGCGACCGCCTCCACGTCCACCGCGACCTCCACGTCCACCACGGCCGCCACCGCGGTTGCGCTGGAAGTTCTGTCGGTGCTGTTCACGGCGAGGGCCGGCTTCCACCCGAGCCTGTCGTTCCTCCTCACTCAGAGCAAACTTGTTCTCGATCTTGATGAGATCGCAGAAGGCAGCTGTCTGGGGGTTGGCGTATTCGCGAGGCTGCTCGTGGGTGTTGATCGAAACTGCAGGGTCATAGACAGGCGCAGTCAGAACAAAGTTCTCGGGGATATCCATCAGACCAGCCTCAACAACGTGTTCCTCGACCCATTTCTCTTCCTCAGCGATGCGTTGCTGGTAATATTCATATCCCTTGTGGGCAGGGACAGGATCGTTAGGATTGCCACCCAGTTGGAGTTCATCAGCAAAGACACGAGTAATCGCCAGCCACTCCTTGTCATACTGGAGTCGGAAGGGACGCTGGAACTGAGATTCCTTTTGCTCGGAAATTGGCGTAATCTCCAGCAATTCGACGAAAGGATCGTGGTTGTGGGGCTTATCCAAGGTTAGGAACCGAGTCATAGGATTCTTAATCTCTTGTGGAGCCGGAAGATATTTGGCGACAACAACAGGTGCAGGTGGCTGGTCAAGGGTGGTTGGAAGGTCGTTGTCCAGGACACCGACCAGATCATCATCACCGGTGGTCCACCATGAATCCGGGGTGTTGCCTTTACCCCAATCAATAGAAATATCTCTTTTCGGGAGCGCTTTCTGCGCAGGCGGACTGCCCATGCTTGCAGAGCTGCTAGGGCTGGTGGCAAGACTGATCTTGTCGGCGTTGTTGACATCGTCGTTCATATTCTTGGTCGTCTTGAAGGTTGGCGGAGAACGTCGCTCAGAAGCCGCATGAACGCTGGAACCACTTGGAGAGCTGCTCGCAAGATCAACCTTATCGGTATTATGGACAGTTTCAGTGTGGGAGACATCCCGGGGGACGGGCTTGAGATCATCGCCAATTACCCTGTCGATCGAGCCACGATCCTTTTCGGACGGACCATCCACGCAGCATTCGCCCATAACACTGTTTCTCTGGCTGGCCTTGGTAAGGTTCTCGGTCTTTCCATCATCGAATGAGGCACCTTCGATCTTTTCACCGTCGCCACCACGCACGAACTTCTGAATGGGACCTCCAGCAATCTTGACGCATTCGTTGAACTTGACATCCCGCGGAGGATCTGATGCTTTCCTCGCCCTAAATTGGCGCATGAAAGTAGCCCCATCTGCCAACTCGAGCTTTCGGGCGACATTCCCGAAGTTCTGCCAGGCAGCAAGGCGAGACTTTTCATCACCGGTAGCAACACCCAGTAGATTTTGACCAGCAAGAGCGCTACTGTTGAGATCACTGCGTGGTACAGTTGGGGCAGGGGCAGGAGCTGCAGGGACAGGAGCAGCAGTCACAGTATCGGCGACATGAGCTCCACAGGGGTTGGCCGTGTCGGGTTTAGTCGGAGGCACACTGTGGTGCACTTCTGCAGCAAATCGAACATGTAGATGAGCAGAAAACCAATGAGCAGGCCGCAGATGGTTAAGAACCTCACGCGCAGCAATATTTCCGAGTTTTCCAGAGTCGGAATCGGCCTGGAAGCCTTGCTTTTTCCGGAACAGGGTCTTGTAGTCTCCAAGCTTCTCGACGCCCTTGGGCCAATCGTGGGATAGGCCGACGTCGACTTGGGTTCGAACCTGAAGTAGTTTGCGTGCATCCACCTCTCGGACATGGTAAATTGAGGAGAGGTCATCCCTGTTGTACGGAAGACGCTCATAGTGGGGCTTGCGGTAGTCATACCCCTTCCAGATGCCGGACATTCCAGAGATGCGGAGAGATCCCAGGTTGATAGTATTGGCTGCGCCCAGATAATAAATGTTGGGGGCCGCCCAACCGCCGTAATGAAGCTCAAAGAGATGGTTGCTCGCCTCATGGTTACCTCCGATGAAAATCGTCAGATATGGAGCAACACGAGCACCGCTGTAGTACTCGTGAAAATCTCCAATCTGCTTGAATTTGTCAGGCACGGAGATGCAAGTCGCATCATTAGCATTGCGCAGAGCCTGGTTTAATCAGTCAACAGTGAGCTCAGTTGGATTTTGACATGACACAAAACCCACCTGGAAGTCGCCACCAATGATAAGGAGGTCGACACTTTCCCATCCCTTCGCGCTGGCCTTTTGCTTAACAGCCTCGTAAATGTCATTGAGGCTGCCATGGCCCTGTAGGATGGTTAGCAGTGAGCTTGTGAAGGACATGCCTCACATGACGTGGGGCTTTGCATCCATGTAGTTTGACTTACGCAGCCTTCGACAGCAACACGCAGAGTCATCGTGGACGAAAACACTAGGGTCGATGAGGTTGGAAGGTCAAATCGTCAGAACGGAGAAACAAAAGCCTCTGACAAAGTAGTCTTAGAATTGAAAAACCCCGCTGCTAAGCCAAGAAGACCTGCAGCAGACGAACTTCCGAAAGAGAACAGCGAACAAAACAAATGAAAGGAAAGACGAAGGATGGAAAGGGTGAGGAGGAGAGATGTAGATGAGAAGAAGCCGCGGGTGGAGCTTGGGGCTTTTAAGCTCCCGCGCGGCAAATCTCTTTTTTGTCTCCCATTGTACCTATTGTCCCTGTTTGCCCCCCATTGAGTCGACAATTGTTTTGATTCATCAATCACACTCTATTGTCTCTCAATAGACGATGACTCATACCGATTCCTATTCGTTTCTCACCCAGGCAGCCGCGGCTGTCCCCCTCGGTTCATCCACATCGGCTCATCTGCTGGCGGTGCAGACTCGGCTGCTCCACGATCAGTCAAAGGCACTGAATGTCCGACAGAAGAGAGATCATTGCGGAGCATGTGGTAGCATTAGAAAGCCGCAGTACAGTAAAGCTACCGAGGTCAAACCAAAGAAAAGCAAGGCCTTAACAACAGGACCAGTATCAACGGGTGTTACAGTGTATAAGTGTTTACGCTGCCGCCAGCGAACAGTACTCCCTTCTCAAAAGATTCCAAGGAATCTTGTCTCCAGGTCGTCATCTAGAGCAGCTACAGTTACGTCCACCCGAGAGTCAACTCCTGTAGGGGTTGACGTGAAACCTCCGACACAGGCCTTGACGGATTCTAAGCAAGGCGAGAACCAAAGCAGCAAGAAGAGAGCTAAGACACGGAAACAAGGTGGGCTTCAAGCTCTTCTGGCCTCCAAACAACGGGCCCAACCGTCGCTCGATCTGTTCGATTTCTTGCAATAGAGGTCGCACACGTGATACTGTTGCCAGATCGGGTCTAGCGCGGGGTTAGCTTGCCTACAACTGCCCGTGACGGTGACCTCAACACAACATCTCAAGCGTGTGTCCGTCGGGTCAACCTTCATCTCTCTCCAGCCACCTCTCCCATCATCTACCCCGTGGTGCCACAATAGTCATAATGTCAGCATACTCGGACGATGAGGAACATGATCCCCAAGCGGATGAGCTCCGCGAGACCGCTCTGGTCACTCTCGAGGCACTGATCAGCTCCTGCAACAAACAGATGCAACCGTACATAACAAACACTACCAATTCGGCTCTTCGATTCCTAAAATATGACCCAAATGTCGCCGAAATGGAGGACGACGAGGAGATGGGAGGCACACAAGACGATGGGAGCGAGGATGATGCCACCGAGGAGCCTGACCTGGAAGACGACGAATTCGAGGACTTTGAAGAGGAGGGTGGCTATAGCGATGTTGATGATATGAGCTGGAAGGTACGGCGGTGTGCTGCCAAGCTTCTTTACACCGTCATCTCTACCTACGGTCGTGGTCGCTCTGCAGACGCTTCAGCCCTGTTCCAGCAGGTTGCCCCAGCTCTGATATCTCGAATCAGCAGGGAAAGAGAAGAAAGTGTGAAGCTAGAGGTGGTGTCAACATTGACCGCCCTTGTCCGCAAAATTGGCGAGGGTTCGATGATTGTCACATCTAATGACTTCCTAGAGGCCGTGGGTGGATCAAAGAATTCTCGCAAGCGCAGACGCCAAGATAGTGATGCATCGATGATTGACTTTGAGCCAGGCGCTGGAACCTCGTCGGCGATGGACTCCCCTGCTGCGCCCTCGTCCCCAAAGTCTGGTTCCCAGGCCGATTTGGCCCTCTCCGTGCCTTCCATTGTACAGAACCTCGTCAAAGTGTGGAAGCAGGCATCGATTCCCTTGAAACAAGCCACAATCATTCTTCTAAAGAGTCTTTCCTTAGTCCGCTATGGTGGCCTTGCAGACCACCTCCAACAAATTGAAGACCTCATTGCAGATGCTCTCAAGACTTCATCTTTGTCAGGAAGCACAGCAGCTCACACTGGAGCTGCTGTCAGTGCAGGTACTCTTCAAATCGAGACTTTAGGACTGGTTGCAGTCATTGCCGAGACTCACCTGTCCGAAGCCCTGTTACCATTCCTGATCGCTCTAGTGCCTGGAGTTGTTGGAGCAGTCAACGACCGCAACTATAAAGTTAGCAGCGAGGCTCTAGGTGCAGTGGAGCAGATTGTGAAAGCTTTCACCCCTCCGCGCGTGTCTGCCAATCCCTCCGATGTTACGCTGCAGCTGCACAAGCTTTACGAGGTTGTTCACTCTCGAATCACCGACACAAGTGCCGATCTTGAGGTCCGTCAACGAGCTATTCATGTGTTCGGTGTCATTCTCGCACGCACCTCCGGAGAACGGGGTCTAGAGTTCGTTTCGTCTGACATGCGATCCAATGGGTTGGCTGTATTAGTCGACCGGGTGAAAAACGAGACAACTCGTTTGTCCGCTGTCCGTGCCATCGATGATGTTGTCGTTCTTGCCAAGCGTAAGCAAGATGTTTCCGGTGACTGGGCCAACAATGTCGCTCTTGAGTTGGGGTCGAATTTACGCAAATCGGACCGTGCGCTGAGAAGCGCGTGCTTGGAAACTCTTCGAAGTCTTTCCATGAACTCAAACCTCAGATCTCATCTCACTCCCGAGACTATCACAGTGCTCGAAAATGCTGCCTTGCCTCTTCTCGCTGCTGCTGATTTCCATACACTCACGCCTGCGTTGATTATCATCGCTAAACTTGTCCCCGGCAACGCAGATCTTGTAGTCAACAGTGCTTTGATCTCATCTATTTGCTCGATCGTGACCAAACCACTTGTTGGGACCGTTCTCAAGGCACTCTTGCTCCTAGTCAAGGTCATTGGCGACGAAGGTGCGGGTGCTAGTTTGATGCAAAACCTCCTCCGCGACGTAGGAATCACAGGGGATTCATCTGTGGTTGGCAGAGCTGTGGGCACCCTCCTGGTCCATGGTGGGTCAAATCTCGGGGTTACAATGGAAGATTTCTCGACAGAACTGAAGACTGCACAAGACGATAGCCGAAAGTGTCTTGCCCTTGCCATCCTAGGTGAGATTGGGCTGCGGATGGGCCCAGAGTGCTCATTGACCCCGGAACTTTTCATTCCCCATTTCCAATCCCAGTCAGACAATGTGCGGCTGGCCGCCGCCACAGCTCTCGGCAATGCCGCCGCCGGCAGTGTCAAAGCTTATCTCCCAATAATCCTGAATGGCTTGGAAAAGTCGAATGGTCGAAGCTATTTGCTCCTCCACTCGGTACGGGAATTACTTCAGCATCCTGAGGTTGTCCGGCCGGACCTTGCATCATCAGCCCACAAGTTGTGGCATGCGCTCCTTCTCGTTTCCGAGGAAGAGGACAATCGTGCCGTGGGGGCCGAATGCGTGGGTCGCTTGGCACTGCTTGATCCTGTCGCTTATATCCCTCACTTCCAAGTAAGTCATGTTCTTTCTCTTCATTTTCAATACTAACACCTCTATCATAGGAGTACTTGGCCAATACCGACTCGGCTGTTCGTGGAGTAGTGATTTCGGCATTCCGTTATACCCTTGCCGATTCAAGTGACGCTTACAACGATGTACTGCGTCCATTGATGGTGCCTCTTCTGACCAATATGCTCAGCGACAGTGATTTGGGCAACCATCGTCTTGCGTTGACCACTCTTAACTCCGCAATTCATAACAAGATGGCTCTTCTGCTTCCTCATCTCGATGAACTGCTGCCAGCTGTTCTTGGTGACACGAAAATCAAACCAGAGCTCATTCGCGAGGTACAAATGGGTCCATTCAAGCACAAAGTGGACGATGGACTTGATTTGCGCAAGGTCAGTAGTACATGTCATATGCCATAGATTTCTACTAACACTCTCGGTTACAGAGCGCCTACGAAACTCTTTATGCGTCGCTTGACACCTCATTCTCCCGTACTCACATGGATGAACTCTTTGATCGCATTGTCGCCGGTATTGATGACGAACAGGACATTCGTGCGATCAGTAATCTCATGACATCTAAACTGATCAAGATTGTGCCAGAAGACACCGAGCGACACTTGGACGCTCTGTCAGAACATTATACTTCTGTTCTTTCCTTCAAGCCAAAAGAGAATGCCGTCAAGCAAGAGCTAGAGAAAGCCCAGGAAGCATCCCTCGGTATCTTGAAGGTTACCAGAGAGCTAAATAAGGCGTTCCCCAACGCGGAGGCATCTGGTGATCATCACAAATGGAAAACATATATGGAGTGGGTTCGGCGGACTTTCTCTTCACAGTTGTCGACTCTGGAACTAGACATTTGAAAACAAATGTTTTTCAATATCTACATAGTTCGATCAACCTCGGCAATAAGAAGCATAACTACGGGGCATTTGTTTCGCATAACATAGCTTACGACCCGACTGAATGAATCAAATACTTGAGTATCTTTACCTACATTACTGTATCAAACCTTTTAATGTACCCGGAGAGCAGCTCTACTGAAGGGTGATGGTCATTCTCTGGGGATGCAAGATGGCCTAATATCCCCAGATATACTCAAACTGGGCACAGGTATACTGCTGGCTTCAATCAGCGGAGCCAGCATCATGAAGCATAAGCAGTTTGGCAGCTGGTAGAGAAGTGTTATCATTTCTGTTCGTATTCGTTGAAATATGGTCATGTCTTTCCGTATGTACACTGTGCAACCAGCCATAATCATATCCCGTAAACCCTCAGCTTAATTCATGGGCAAAATCATCACTATCCCCTTCACACTTCCTCTTTGATCGGGACTCCCTTAGATTCCAATTCTTCAGGGAAAGGCTTGCGAGCCCACACACGACGTCTAAATAAAAGGTCAGCACATCAGTCTCCCAAAACCATCCACAGAGTCCGCCCTAAACTTACGCTCTTTGGAAAATATGATACCGAGGATTCTTAATATCCTTCCGCATCCTAGCCAAATAGACAGTCACCTCCTCCTTCGACCAAGGATGCGGCGCCCCAAAATGTGTAAGCAGCCACATACACCAGCCCTCCATACCACTCATCCAATGCTGGAAATTGACCACACCTGCCTCTTTAAATTGCTGGTCCCGAGCCCACGGCCCAATAAGCCACTGATATGTCTTCTCGTGGACATCGACGAACCCGGCTTTCTCAATCGCCGCCTTCATCGTATCGAGTGTCCTTAGGGAACGACCGGCTCGTGCGCCGCACGCGTGCGTGATCGGACCCCAGGTTCGCAGGACGCTGTCTGCTGGGAGACTGTCATCGCTGCATTCGATCGTGGGATCTGCTTCGAGTTGTTCGATCCAGCCTCCTGGGCGTAGTGCTCTATGTAGTCGATGGGGATTAGTGGTTTGGGTTTGCGGGGCTGTGGGAGTTGATCGGAGTGGCTTACTTGTACGAGCTTTCATACACGTGATCCCATCCCGCTGTGTCGAATGAGCCGATCATAGAGCGCATGTGGATTAGGTCGAGGGGGTCTCTCCAGGTCCATTCTTCGAGGACGTTGTCGACTTCGAGGATGCAGTTTGGGGGCATCCATGTTACTGGGGGTGGGAAGAGATCGACTCCTCGGATATTGGCTAGAAGGTATTAGTTATCCTTTTTATTTGGAGGGGAGTTGATGGTGACAGCAAACTCACCGGATGGAAACATATCGGCGACATCACTTGGTCACTTAGGATATGTTTGATTTGTTGTATTAGGGGGAATGGGATTGTTTGACTCACATGGCCCAGTCACCCTTCCCTGTTCCGAGATCAAGAATATGTTTGGGATCCTGTCCGATTGGCGCTCTGAAGAGCGGATTTTCTCTGGCAGAGTCTAGAACGAGAGCAACCAAATGGCTGGGATTGTTAATTACATGCATGGGGAATGGGTTGGATTGTATATACCCAGCTTCATAGGACTCGAACGCTTGCTCATCGGACGGAATCCTAACGAGTATAAGTTGAGGGCCCCGCTACGGGTAGACAATGGACTCATACAAATATTCTTTGCTACTCAACGTTTGATACCTACCAGAGATAAGCAACAGGTCAAGTGAGATACACCGTGGAAACATACCGTCTGCCATTCTCCATCATGCCTTGATAGATTGAGGATCCGATAGACGTCGTCTCCCTGGGATTGCATTAGAGAACAGTAGGAAACAATCGGACACACGGCACTTACGACTGCCAATCATCGCCATATTCGGCCACATAGACATCCGGATCCTGATAGTTATTAGCACAAGCGGAAAGTTCGCCTATATAGATGCACATACCACTGCGATTTGTGGTGAAGCTGCCATGGTTGTATGGTCTCGAATTGCAGTGAAGAGGATGAAAGAAAGAGGTAAAGGGGGTTGTTCGGATTGTCAACGGGATTCTAACGGGTTTGCGCCGGTATGCCACAATCCTGCGGCGTCATTGATGTTTGGGATTGGCCGATGCAAAGCCCTTGTGATGCTCCACAGCCCATTCCCAAAGAGGATTGGTGCAGTCGTAGCCACGTTGTGCGGAGGCTCCCGTTGGCGATCCTTGGATTCACCGATGCAGGCACCAAGTACTAAGTACATCCTGGCGATCCTGTCACTTTTGGAGAAAAGTGTTTTGCTCCTGAATTCACACGGAACGGTACGTTACAAATGTTTCCTTGGTGCAATTGATATAGACAATTTGACCGATAGAATATGTATAATATCCATAATCTACATACGGAGTACGGAGTAGATAGACGCATCGAAGCCGGAGAATCAGAAAATTAGGAAGGTACATATTTCAAGGGTCCGAGGGCTCAGCCGGCCGTCCAGGGCCCACTAGCCCTATGCTGTATGGGTAGAGCTTTGATATGACATTTATTGCTTTGGTGGAACATGAGAAGGATTTCCCGCTTCACCGATTTTCTCCGATTTATAGAAACGAGCCGTGACTACGGAGCATTTTAGCAGCCGTTACCGAATGAATGAACAATGATTTGTACTTTGTATATTGTAGTGTGTACTTAGCAGGGATATCTATTCTCTCTCAAAATTCCGACTTTTGCAACATTATTCAAGGCCCCACAAAAGTATCTAATGCCGGCTGGCACCTGCACAGGGAGGGGTTTTTATTTCTTCACGCCTGTTTTTCTTGGAAGCAAAAAGTACATGATTGGTGTAATCTCTGTACCGAGCAAAGTACCAGTTGGCTGAAGCCACAAGACCGAACTCAAACCCCGCCTACGATACAGGAAGACTTCTGCGGAGCCAATTGCAAGACACTCTCGCATGGGACCGAGGCTCACTAGAAGTATAGTGTGGAGTGCTACGGAGTAGAGAGTATTACACCCGGGGTTTGGCTAAAAGTACGACCCGGTAGCCCCACTGACTAGGCATTGGGACTAATGGCAAGGACATATCGCATGATCGATGAGACATAGGATGTAGGCGGAGTGGAACCGTATTTTAGGGAGCGCCTTTGCCTTCGTAAAGGCAGCGAACCTAGAACAATGACGTTATGGGAGGGGTTTGGGACATACTTCGTACTCAGTGCTAGCTTGAGCTGCCCCGGGATTGGTTAAGTGCTCTTCTTTGCTTGCGCAATGTGCACCTGCTCAAACATACTTCGCTATATTGAAGATACGAATGCGATATAATGTACTCCGTAATTGCACTAAGATTGACATGGTTCATGCGAGAGAAAGATGAAACGCTACTAAACCAACAAGATTGGGAAAGGTAGGAGCGGAACCTGCATTCCATGCGGGTTTTATTGTTAGCAGCACCAGGGAGGTGGTTGACTGGAGAATAACAAAGGTTCGTTGCTTGAAGGTGAGCGGAGATGGCTTGGATGTTCTTAGGATATTGTTTCATGGGTGAGGGATGTATGCAAAAGTTGAATAAGACATGGCAAGATCAAGGGTTCTAGGACGAAAGCATGATTTTTTTACTACTCCCTAAGTCTCTAGATAGTGACTGTAGTGTATATAAAATTTCAATTTCATCCTTGAGTGGTCCAGACGTTGCTATCTTGGAAGGTCCAAGGTATAAATTGATATATAGAGACAGGCTCTAAAATATAAATCAATCAGAGCAGAGCACTCGCCACAGGAACCAGACATATACCAAGAATAAACCATACAAATAACGGCAAGGGTATGGATTTGAAAAGGGTAGACCTGGCCCAGAAGCGGCCATGAAGGACCTTGCCCAGGGCCTGCGACCTATGCTGATCTGGAACACCAGATTCAAGGTTGAGTAGAGCCTCGACTGCCTTGGAAGACCCAATCTCTTCCGCTATGGCCAGGAGATGTTGGATTTCATGATGGTTGTTTGTTACAGTTGCACCGGCTTCAACGAGGAAATCCGCAACGTCGGAGACTCGTCTTCGGATAGCGCTGGCTAGCACAGTGTCCCCAGAGAGGTCCATGCAGCCAATGTGACAGCCATGGCGAAGTAGTATCTTGGCCATATCCCTGCTTTTTGATAGATGCAGTGGCCTCCGCCCATAGATATCAAGGCAATTTGGGCTGAGGACTCCGGCGGACAAAATCATGTCCACCACCTCGGTTTTATTCTCCATTACGGCCTGGTGCAAGAGGGAAAACCCGTGAACTGGGTCGCGGAAATTGAGATTTGCTCCTTTTCTAGAAATAATATGCTGGATTGGACTCCAGCCGTGGTGTTTTGCAAGAATCAAAGCGGGCACGTCTCTGATGATATCGGCTGCAACTGAGGGGGGAGATTTGTTCAGCCCGGGGTATCGGAGAGCCAGTGAGTCTGCATAACCTTTGTCCTGGAGAGCAAAAAGCAGCATGGAAGCTGTATGACCTTGCTTGTTGGAAATATTAGGATCAGCACCCAGCTGCAGTAATGCCTCGATAGTGGCACGAGCAAGGGGACTGGCTGATTGGCATGCGTGATGGAGGGGTGTGCATCCCGCTTCATCCAACGAGTTGAGGCTGTAGCGTGAATTGTTTGACAGTTTGTCATGTAACAGGAAAATCACCGTTGGATGTGCATTTGCGCTCGCAAGGTGAAGAAGCTTGTTGGGGAATTTCAACTCTATCTGACTGCAGCGCAAGAGGGCTTTGACAGTGTTCGCCCGTCCAAGCATTACCGCCAAGGTTAAAGCGCTTTGTCCAGATTTATCCAGGATGTTCGGATTGGCGTTGTGCTCGAGAAGTAATGTTACAATCTCATGGCAGCTGCCTTGCAAGCCGTATATGACTGTGTTCCTTCGCATAGAAGCTCTTATGGCCTGCATAATGGCTGTACGTCCACTCGCATCCTGTAAATCGACATCTATTGATTTTTCATTCAACAGTGTTTTGACCGCTGCAAGGTAGGGACGTTTCGCTGCACAGATGAGAGCTGTTTGACCACGCCAACCGATCCCGGCGTTTATATTTACTCTTTCACTCCGCAAAAGCATCTGTGCAATCTTAAAGCGATTGTCTTCGTTTTCGTTGTCATTGGGCAAGAGATTCGCCCCCGGTAAACCAAACATAGCATCGAAAAGTGTGGCATCATCGGGCACTGCCTCTAATTCTAGCAGTTTGCTCACCGCGTCGATCTGGCCCTGGACGCAGGCGTATCGCAAGGGGGTCCTGTTATATCGTCGATCACGAATGTTGATATCATCACCCTCGTGGACCAATCTCTTGATAAACCCTGATATTCCAAACCAAGCACAAATGTGGAGGCTATGAACACCGTCATGAATCCAAGGGATCGAGATGGGAGGACCTGTTCTCTTCACCATTCTAGTCCACAACTTGATGTAGTAGGTGTTGTGCACAAACTGGAATGCATCTTGCTGAGCTGAATCTTCAAGTTTTAAACAAGCCTCCTTGACGTGCTCCCCCCAATACTTCGAGGCATAGGGCAAGAAAGGGTAATCTTGAGCTTTTTCACAATGGTTCAACGCATCTGGGTGCTTCAGGTATGTTAGGCAGATCTTTGCCATCACAGCATGCGCCTCTCTCAATATCTCATGGTCTATCCTGCTCAAAACTTTCCACATAGAATGGTGAAAAAAGGAAAGCCATGAATTGGCCTCGTCACCCCTGTCGATTGAGAGTAGTCCATTGCATGCCACCAATATGGGCACTCTTTTGTCCAGGTTACATGGCTCGATTAGACCCGTATTACTTTGCAAGGCCAGTGCATGCGTGAGCATCTTCAGGGTCAAGTGTTCGCGTGCTGAGTAGACCAAGCCCAGCGCGTCCTGGCCCAGTCGATTTGTACGGCCCGTTGACTGGTGGCACTTGATGCTTTCCAGTTTCTTTCTAACATGCTGCACCAACGAGTCGTAAGGAATAACTTGTATGTTGTCAATCAGGTCCTGATCTGTTGCCGCTGCAATATCGTTTTGCAAAAAATCTTCGATCGAACACTTGGCCACTAGGAAGTTCCCCTGTGCAAGTTCTGCAATCCGGCGGGCAATAATGTCCAGCAGATTAGGCTTGTCACTTATATAGCGAGCATTGCTCGACGTGATGAAGGCAGGAGCCTGATTCAGCCGTTCATCCATTGGCTCGTTGGTAGCCTTTGGGCCCTGGATGACCGAATTCAGTTGATGACGACAATAATCCTCTAGCTCATCCATTTCAGCCTGAACTTCAACCTCACCACATTGCATTTCCCCTTCATGGCTTTCGGGGCATCTCAATCCTTCTTGTCTGCATTCCCCACACACGTCGAATTGGCCGTCCTCACAGCTACAATTGAAGTATAGGGCAACGTCCGTCCTTAAGCAGACGTTGCACTGTATTGTATTTTCCCTTTCGGTGTAGTTTTGGGACGTGGTAAGGACACTGATCTTTTGACGTTTCGTCACGAGATACATGGGGTAATCTCGGACAGCCTCGCATACACTCTTGCTGTAGTTTTCTATGCCATCAACGACAAGGTAGGTTCGTTCGTATTTTTCGAGCAGGGTTTCAAAAGCCTCGCGCTTGATCTCGGTACTCGGCGACTGTTCTAACCCATAGCGGGCATAATGATCCTCGACTAACTGGGGTATCTCGCATGACGGGTCAAACTGGATCAGCTGTTTCAGCAGACTGCCCGTCAGGTTTTCGGGAGTTTGTTCGGCTTGCGGATCGTCATCTAAATAGATGTAGAGGACAGGACGCAACGGAAACATTTTCTGCAAATGATTCACTATAATAGCACAGAGATAGGTCTTTTCCATGATGTCAGACGGGTGTCGATAGATTCCATTTATAGGTTTTCGGGGTTATTACTAGGTACCTTGCCAGTGCCGGTAAGCCCATAGCAGTGGAGTCGCCAGCGTGCCCCATCCACCCAATGCTTGAACTGGTCCGAGTTTAGCAGCCATTTTCCGGTAGAGAAACGACTCTCCAACAAGTTACGCTGCTTCTTGTGAAAATGAAGAGGGGTAATCCAATCTAAGATCATGTTCCGACGCGTGATGTCATTCGTAGCCTTGATCTGCGTGATGTCTTGCTTTACTGAAGTGACCGAAGGGGGTATAGTTAGCTTCAGGATGATCGGAGTTCATTTAGTCTTTGGGGGTAGGTAGGTACTAATTCACGCACGCTCTACAAAGATAGCCGCCAGCTCTGTCCCATCCACTTCCTCTGGCGGAATGATCCTCAGAAGATCTTTCGCATATCCCGCTGCCGTCATCGCAGCATAGGGCTGCCATCGATCGTTTTTATGAGTGTCGGCATAGTCTGAGATGCCGCGTATGGTAATACACGGAATGTTATTCATGAGCCCGGCAGCTTCCATCTCGAAGCAAATCACATTGTGGTCCTGACGCATCCGGTCTCGGACACGAGCAGATTTCATCACCACATCGGCAGAGGCAACGAGGCCGTAATGAACTGAGGGGAGAGCGCGGTCGCCTCGATCCACGGTCAGGCTATGATCACATTCGTCACAGGTGATCTGCCCCTTTTGGTGATTATAGTCCGACCGAAACAAACGGTCGTGCTCGCGGCCGGGAAAGCGGAAGTGGGGGTTTCCGAACTCTTGGAGTTTCGCTATACCCTCGTTGATGAACGTTTGCATACTCCCATCTCCCAATCCGTGATCGCCTCTGAGATTCCCCGTCGCAGAGATCAAGATCTGCGCCGGCCTGTTCAGATGTGATCCCATATAGTAGCCCCCTTCGTGTTCGCCGCTCAGGTTGTACTGGAAGACCCCCCTAGAATCGGTCATCACGTTAGACTTATAGCATGATGGTATGAGGAATGTGTAATACGTGTATGTCATACATACCATGATCACCTTTAGGCTCGCTGACGACCACATCACCCAGCCTGATATCATCCGTCCCCCCGTACACGTTAGGTGCATTTGTCGCACCGCCGCCGATGCCCACAACGAGTGAGAAGCGGATCTTTGGGAAGGACCGGACGAGGTTAGTGGCCACAGTTGCGGCCTCGCCCCTCCCCGCGGTAGTCGCCTTTACGACAACAACGTTATGCTCCCCCATGCGACCAAGAGTGTATGAATTCTGGTCCTTGGGAGTAGGGAGGAGCTGATGGGTTTCATCTAGCATAGCTCTGGCACTCAAGAGCTCAGTGTGTAGAATGCAAACCCATGCCACCGTGTAATCCTCACGCTTGAGCTTTGGTCGCGTGGTAGAGGCCATTTTTGTTTGGGAATCGATATAATATGGAGAATATTGTGACTGAGAACGTGTGTTTCTTTGGATAATCGTGAGGACCTCTCCTCGTTTCCTAAAGAGTCGCACTCCTCATCTTCCAACAAGCCTGTGAAATTTCTGATGTTCAGGTCAGTACTCAGGACGGCCCCCTACCATCCACAATGCAGGGGTCAGGATTCAGCCTCACTTTACCCAGGTGCAGGGTGCTCAGACTGCAAATTTTGACTCGACGGTGACCGTCCATCAATGGGAGACCGGTATTTTGATGACTTGATTGATGAATGTGAACACGAATTCACTGCCCAGGTGGCTTGCATCGATGGTCTGCTCCCTGGCATTTTGATTGGAGATGGGGGAGTACCTGTAACCTCAAATTGCGACTAGTGATCTATCTGCCCACGGCTAGGGGTTCAGGCTCGAGTTGTATGCACATTTACCTACGGAGCACATATTTATGTACATGTTTATGTACAACATACGGAGTAGGTACGGACGGAGTACGGAGGATGTGACAGCGTGAAAATCTGACAGGGCTCAAGGGATGATCTTTACTCCGTACAGTGATTGTTATCCTCCGCACACTATTCGGAGGGGAACGCCCGTCTCACATGAGCACGTGTAGATCAAAGCCTCAGTAATCTATACGGTATTCTACAATAGTAAGTCCTACCTGTGTACGGAGTACTACCTAGATAATCGATAAATATACATGATAGTTGGGGTACGGGCCACTATCTAAAATATGCATTCGGGATCCCCCTCCGAATTGAGAGGGTGTAGGTACTGGGCATGTACTCCGTAGGTAGCTCCTCCTGAGCCAAACGTACACCCCTTTTGTTAATCGTATGTAACCCCAACTGCCTGATGGACCAATGAAGATCCTTCCTCAGAAAAAAAAACTAGCACACCGGCCTCACCCTCCATTTCACGGTGAGAGCTAGCTGATTCTAAGCCGGACATCCTAGTATATTTTACCTCAATTTTATGCAGGGAGCTACATACGGAGTATAGCTAGCTGATAACAGGTACGCTGTACGAGGTTACGGGGGACGGGAGTCAGCAGATCTGTCTATATTGTGCTAGAATATAGAAGTTGTAGTCTGGACTCCGGAATCGACCCTGAAATTGCCTCTGAACATCTCCATGACATCCGGATATTGGTTCTCCCCTCTGTCAAATTGGGGACTCAATTCCAGCAGTTTCCATTGCAACATGATGCGCTGCGTGGCATACCACAAATGTAGGCCAGATTGCGTATCAGCTCGCCGGTACCTAGCAGGGATGCAATCAAACTGCATGCGGATTATCACCAACAGCCCTGGCTCATGGGAGGCTGGTGTCGCCTGGGGCTGAGTCCTGCTGAAACGAGCCTAGCGTTGATAGCCCAGAAATGGGAGAGTTGGGGACGGCACCCAACACATAGAATTTATATAAATGAAGAGAGAGTTACTCCGCATATATCCTCCTTTTCTGCTAGAGACAGTTACTCGGCATATATCCTCCTTTTCTACTTCCCAAGAGCAAAACATCAAGGTACCTAGGTAGCTACCTACCTACATAGTTAGCCGAGCTTTGACCATGCGGCTCGTTGCTGCCATACTCTACCTGCTTTCGTGGATAGTGCCGGGGGTGTTGGGAGCGCCTCCCAGTACCACCACCAGCACGTTTATACCCAACCCAACAGTGTGTGGGGACATTGTTCATGGTCGAGGTACCCATTCCTTCTTTCAGTTATTCCTTCCGTGCCTGCGTTAACAACAGTGAAGAATCTTTTCATGGAAACGGCCTGCTATTCAACGCAACAAAAGTTTATGAGTGCCTGATCAACGTACCCTTTCACCCGGCTGTCGGTACTCGACTGATCAAGTACATCAACGATACCATCCAATTCCAGAGTACACTTGCTTACCTCGCACATCCACCCCCGACCTACCAGCAGCCGGCAGTCGACCTATTAGCTGGCTTGACAGAACTCCAGCATTGGATTGACCAAGGGCTCTTTGCAAACGAGTACGAGTTTGAGCTCGCACTAAATAGGCTGATATCCTCGGCGCATGATGGTCATCTCAATCTGCATGGCGGTATGCTGGAGAACTTCATATTCGCCGCGCCGGTCGACATCGTATCGGTGTCGTTGGATGGGTTGGAATTACCAAAGGTTTATGTTGCACGTATGATCACCATGAGGGAGAAACATTGTCGGCATTAAAAGACGGGAACTGACCACCCTACAGATGATTTGTTTCTTAACCAGAGCCATCCCAATCTTTGTACAGGCCCTAACAAGAACGAACCTGCTGGTTGCTGGGAACCATCGCCTATTATCAGTATCAACGGCCAAGATGTTGTTGACTATCTCACCGATTTTGCCGCTTCAAACTCTTTTGGCAATCTGGAGCCTCATTCGGATTGGAATATGCTCATGAGAAGTGCCGCATTGGACAATCAAGGATATCTAGAAGGATTCGCCGCGGCCAATGTTTACGCTGGCGACAAGATGGACATACAGTTTGAAAATCATACTGTGACTCCTCCGCTCCCATGGATATCCCTCTATTACACACAGCTTGAGACGGGACCACTCGAAACTGGCGGCGACTTCTACAATTTCTTTGTACTAGGCCGGTACCCGGCTTCCTTTGACTCTCATATCACGAACGATACTACAGATGACACAACAGCAATCGACTCCCCCCGGGCCGCATTGGTTCTATATCTGAGTCAACACCAGCCCCCTCAGAAGTGCGTGATGCGCTATCTCTCGGGGACACCGCACCTTACCCCCCCTGGTCGATGTCAAAATGGGGACTGGCTTGGAATTCAATGGAATGTCCTTGCGCGGATATTTCCTTTATCAATCATCATTAGCGGTCTTGGTCATACCCTCCTTTTTGTACTACGGAAGCCGTGCGGAGACATTCAGCGATACAGTCAAATCATTCATACGACTTAGTCGCGAGGCAGGGCTAAAAAAGGTCGTCATCGACGTACAGCAGAATACCGGTGGGGAAGTCCTGCTAGCCATCGAAACATTCAAATTGGTGAGATAGCCCCGTCCAACTTTGGGTTTCATAAATTCTGATCGGAGACTTGGACACTGCAGTTCTTTCCTACCCGTGAACCATTTGTAGGAAGTCGCCGTCGTGCTCATCCCATGGCCGACGCCATGGGTTCTACAATCACGGACTACTGGGATCATCTTGACCCAGTCAGTGGCAACTATACCCGGCTATCTACAAATGAATGGATCATCACGGGTCGCATCGACGCTGAAGCTGGCCAGAACTTCACCTCATGGCAGGACTATTTCGGACCAGCCAGTACCTACCACGACGATAGCTTCACGAAAACAGTAAGAACTTCCCTTCACGTATAATTGCGCCGGGAGTCGTGACTAATACGCTAGAGGGGGAGTACAGGAGCAATTCAATCTCACTAGCGAGATCTTTGGCTTGGAGGCACTCGGTATGGTGGTAGACGGCTCGGAAACGTCACAAGCGGCTTTCGCGGCCGAGGACATTATGATTGTGAGTGGCCACCACATGTATGGTCCATTGGGTGACGGTCTACGGCTAACATAATCTCCAGCTCAGCGACGGTCTCTGCTCATCGGCATGTGCCCTCTTCATGGAAATGATGCACCACGAAGCCGGTGTACGCACGGTGGTAGCAGGGGGTCGACCTAGCTATGGGCCGATGCAGTCACCAGCGGGCACTCGCGGCGCCTTGGGATATTCACATTCTAGAATGGACACCGATATGAAACTGGCAAAAGACCAGGACCCCTCCCTAGGAGGCCGACTGCCCGACCGAACACTCGATTACTACCTCACCTACGCGAGCGTCAATCTCCGTGACCAGGTGCGTCAGGACGACAGTGAACGAACACCCCTCCAATTCCTCTACCAGCCAGCCGACTGTCGCATTTTCTACACGCCACAAACCTGGTATAACTTCACCAACCTGTGGAACCACGCCGCAGACGCCATATGGCATAATCCCGCGCTTTGCGTTCTGAATTCCACTTCTAAATCCACGCGACAAGTTCCGCCCCCTCCGCCTCCACCCCCATTCAAGCCTCTTCCTCCGCCTGACAAGACGGTAGATGCAGATCATGCTGCATCCCACTCGTCAGTTGATATCGAAGATCCGTCGAACGATATTCTTGGAGGCTCGCCACCTGTCAGGGACATTCAAGGCATGAAATGCAAGCGGGACAGTGATTGCAAGGGCGGAGGCCGTTTCGTCTGTCGCGAAATTTGGGGATGTCCTGATGGCTTCCCTGAATTATTCTTCCAATGTACTTCGAAGTGTTCCTTCTCTAAGATATATAAGACCTGCCAATGTCAAAGGCTACAGAGATACGACAATCGACAGACATACGACGATCGACAGACATACGACGATCGACAGACATACGACGATCGACAGATATACGACGATCGACAGACAAATAACAATCCTCGAATTGGATACACCCGGTTTGAACATCCCGGCTACTGCCAGCCGTTCCTTGATCGGTGCGATATTGGCTGCGGTATCTCGGACCATTACGCCAAGTAACTGCAGCCATTGACTCGTCAGACTCCCGTTCCTCCTAATTACTGGCGGCATACAGCAGAGTTCTATGGCAATCGCATGCTCCGTGATTTGCTATGGGGCCCGGCAGGGGACTAGTGGTGGTAAATTCTGAGTGAAAATAGGTGCAAGAAGCCTTGTGGATTGCGGATTGTGATCCAATCAGCGAGGTTGGTAGAGATCTATAGAGGGCGGAATGGGAGAAAAGGCAGAGGGAACAGGGAAGCCATAATGTAGGAAGAAAATAGAGTAATGGAGGCGCGGGTTTGATATTCTGGGGGTTCATGCTGACCTCTCTGTCTGTGTAATTTGCACAAGCTTTCCTCAAACCATGTAGTATGGCTTCACCATAAGCTAAATGGGAAAGTAAATGGCGCTCGGGAACCTGGTCATCCATCGAGGCCGAATATTTGGCACATCTGGAAAAAGTAGAACAGATTAATTTATCACAACTTCCTGCTCATGGCATCCAGTTGGTAAGATGGCCGAGTTGGTCCAAGGCGCCAGGTTAAGGTATACCTTAACTCCACAACTAGCAATAGTTTCCTGGTCTCGAAAGGGGCGTGGGTTCGAATCCCACTCTTATCATATCTTTTTGCTTCCTTTTTTTCATTTTGGGGTAGAATGCCTCGTTATCACCAATGAGACTATTGCTCGATCCACGGATGATGTACAATTCTTTTCACCCGCGTTCCGCTGGACGATACTCAAAACGACCACTACCACTACGGAGTACTAGGTTGTGGAACAATGTGAGGAGTGCAACAGATAATATATTATAGTGTTATGATGATAAATTCATTCGTTCGATACATCTCGCTTTAAATATATGCTTTCATGCGGAATAGCGTCCCAAAGCCAGCTTTGCCAACGACTAACGGTGCTGCATCGGCAGTATACAAATCCACCATGGAGAGCGGCCCTCGCGCTGTCCATGAGGCTATCCCCCTGGGTCCTCGCGTATTTTCAACCTGAAATGTAAGGCCACACATCGGCGGGCAGTGCAAACAAGACAAAATCTTATTTGGACTACCGAAGTATTCGATTCTCCCAAACTGCTCGGGCTTTAGACAGAGCGTTGAGCTGATGGCCTTGGATTTCACTGGCATTTGCTTCCAAATGGTCCTGAAGAATTGGGAAGATGCAAAAAAATAAAAACAAAAAGAAATGGACGGGCGGCGGATTGAACGCCGGACTTTTCGCATGCAAAGCGAACACTCTACCACTGAGTTACGCGCCCAATGTTCTTGTTCGAGGGCACGGGTGAGTCGCCGTATTATTGCTTTCATTGAAGGTCATTGAGATATGTGCAAGCCTAGTGGCCGATCAATGGATGGAGATATGGACAGAAAGGAAAATGGCTTGCCAGGATGGGTGGAATTGCGCTCAGTGTGCAAATATGGCAGCCCAAGGAGAAAGAAGTAAGGAGTTATACATCTTTGCAACCGGAAGAGGCCTTCGTCAATTCGGAACGCGTCGCTGAACCGCTGTCGCTGGCCTTCGCATTGCCTCGCATACGCGGCAAAGATACTTTGATACTAGGTCTTAATCTCAAAACTATCCAGAGGGGGCTATTTGGTGCTAAGCCTTTGATGAATAGGGTTCATTTATGCAGGCCATATCGATATATCTAGATACATCCCTATTGTGGCAAAATGATGCGTTGAATTCTCGCGTTCAACAATTCTATGGAAGCCCAAGCTACCGCGCGTTTCAAAGCTTTGCAACAGAGATTGCATGCTCCATCAACAAAAAGCTCACCCCGGAAGCTGCACAGCACAGTTACCCAGATCTTAATTACCAAATCGAAGGCAATTCTCCGCTCGAAAGTCGTGAAAGCCTTTCTTCACTGAACTGGAAACACTCTGGAAGCCCTGTTTCCTCCCAAGCCTTTCCAAGTGCAAGCTGAGCGACGGCTGGAGCACATGTAAATATCCGTGCCATACCTGCCGGGCGTCAGCATTTGGACGATCTGAATCTAGTTGAGCAAGGAAAGCACTTACCATGTCCATTGAAGCCAGCACAAATATACTGCCCAGGGAGAGAATCAACTGCTCCAACGAAAGGAACAGAGTCAGTAGTCATAGCAATGATACCGGTCCAGGCATGATCCAAGCCTTCGCCATGCATAGCAGTATGAGATGCATATTCAGGGAACATATCTCCAAAGCTTCGCAGAGCGTCTTGGGCAACCTCCTCACTGTATGAAGTGTCGTCGGTGCTGAGCACCCCTTTCCTTGTTTCAGCACTCATTGTCGGGTTTGATCGCGATACACCCAATATCAAAGTGCCATCTCCTTTGCGTTGAATCAAGGAGTAAAAGTGAAGAAGGCTGTAGCGGAGCGAGAAAGTATTCTGCAAGGCTTTCTGTCCCACGAAAGCAGGAACGGGAATGAGAGAGTGAGCCTGGGCACGGTTTGGTCTGATGTATGCCTCCAATTGCGGCAAGAGCAAGGCGGCATGGGCATTCGTGCAGTGGATAATTTTCTCTGCTGCTATTATTCCTCGGGGTGTGTGAACATCCCAGGTATCTGGGGTGGTAGCGTGCCGTTCAATTTTGGTGGCAGGGCAGAATGTGAACAACTTCGTACCCTTGGATATTACTGCCTGGAGAAGGAACTGCGCAAGCTTCGCGGGGTGACTTGATCCTGCTGGCCACTCATAGGCTGCTACAGCTCCTGGAACCCTAGTCTTCTGCTGAGCTTGATCTCCCTCATAGTATTTGATGTGCGACGTATCCCCTCCTGCTTTCTTAAACGCTTCCAGGCTCTCTGCCTCATAAGCTGCAAACTCGTGGGTCATGCATACGTCAAAGGTTGTCGTCAAATTGAAGTCGCATTGCACGTTATGCTTTTTGACAAATTGATCAACTCTTTCCAAGACCAGTCGCTCATCTCGGATGATTTCCAATGCTTGTTCTTCTCCGTGCACCTTTGAATAAGCGGTATAGCCCCTGAACGCATCTAACCTGGCATGTCAGAAGAGTTCATGGAGTACTCCGTACATCAGTTCCGAATGGGATCACACAGACCTGGTCGGATATGTCCAGCATTCCGTGAGCTTGCGCCACTTGCAGCCTCGCGAGCCTCGAGAATCACGATATCCTCAGCGTTTACCCCGCGTTCGATCAGTTCGAAGGCTGTTAAACCACCTGATATTCCAGAGCCTACAACGACGTACTTTGACTCCGATGGAACCTGAGTCTCGGAATTGGCCTCCAAATTGGGATAGGCTCGGGTTGTTCGTTGCCAGTAACTCAAACAAGGGGTGGGATTCGGCAAGCTTCTACTAGATCCATTTGAAGGAACCAACATTGTGAGGGTCTCAGATAATATGAGAGTATATATACATAGAAAGCACAATACCCTGGTACATACCGAGTGCCTCAAATAACCACGCGATGGCCTCCCAGGATTCTGGGTGCGGGGAAGTACGGGATTCTCCTATCGCGGACTCTGCCCGACCCCCAAACGTAGAGATTTTAGCAGTTGACCTATCTCCCGAAGTGGCGGATAGTTGAGTGCCAAGATAATTTCGCAAGGGGATCTCCCTCTGGTATGTAAACCGAAGTATCTCAGTCACGGGAGCCTCCAAATTCCCGCGGTGGCTACCCCCAACAGGGCGAGCTACGATTGGTGCCCATGTTTCTTATCACGCGCTCACCGCACAGGAAATAGTGTCGGATGTGCATTCGAACGTTGCTCCAGTCGCATTTTACCTGTTATCTGCGAGGGGTCATGGGCATGCACGGGCTGATCACCGCTCCGGCGTGTATATAACTGGCTCGGGTCCCGGACAGCGTTGGCTTTGTTTTGCCTGTCACATCGCCTGGTAATGGTGTCTTTCAAACCGTTCCGTCGCGATGCGTCGACGGACGTCGATATTCGATCTCCAGATGAGAAAGCTTTGGTCCGACGCCTGGACATTTGGCTGATGACGTTCGGTTGTCTTTCGCAGGGTGCGTTGGGCTGCAGAATTCCCCTCGCAGATGGAGATCGCCGAAACTGATTGCTCCCCAGTCATCAAGTATCTCGATCAACAAAATATCAACAATGCTTATGTATCTGGCATGAAAGAGGATTTGAACTTGGTTGGAAATGAGCTTAATCTGTGCGTCAAAAATATTGACTCCCTACCTACATGCGACTTGCTAATCACTCGTTTCTCGCCAGGTTCGGCACATACTTCAGCGTCGCATACTGTATCATGCTGATACCCTCGCAAATCATCCTCACCTACGTGCGACCAAGTTACTGGCTCCCGGGGTTGGAGGTTGCTTGGGGTCTTATGACCGGGTTGATCGCGATGACAACAAACGCCAAACAAGTTTACGCGCTCCGTGTGTTTCTCGGTCTATGCGAGAGTAGTTCCTGGCCAGGCATGATGACTCTATTCAGTACGTGATTCCAAGGCGCTCGACAACAGCCCGCCCAATTAACCAACCTTTTAGTGTACTGGTACACACCAACCGAGCTAGCCAAACGAATGGGATTCTACCACTCTTGCCAGGCAGTCGGTCAGATGATGTCCGGAGCGATGCAAGCCGCAATTACCAAGACACTCGATGGACATGCTGGACTAGCAGGTTGGCGCTGGCTGTTTGTGATCAATGCCATCATAACCGTGATTTGGGGCTTCGCAGGATTCATCATGCTCCCCGATCTCCCGAACCGGCCCAACCCGCGCGCGTTCTGGTTCAAGAATGTGCACGCCGAGCTTGCTATAGAGCGCCTTGCCCGTAACGGCCGAGCCGAGCCGAAGCGAATGACATGGTCAGGCGTCAAGCGCACCTTCGAGGGATGGGTCGTCTATTTCATTGCAATCTTGTATACCGCCACAGTCCTGGGAACATGGGGATACAGCTATTTCACTTTATTCCTCAAATCTCTCAAGAACCCCGACGGCAGCCCGAGATGGCCGATATCGATGGTCAACGCCATTCCCATCGGCGGATCCGCGATCAACGTCGTCTTCGTATGGATCTGGGCTTATCTATCCGATTACTTCCAAACGCGATGGGTGCTTATCGTCGTCCAGGCGGTTATTGGAATCATCCCGTGTATCATCATGAGCATTTGGATCGCGCATCCAACGACGGTTTCGGTATCTGCTGCTTACGCATCATATTTCATCGCTTATATTCCTCTCGGCACGGCGCCGCTCATCTTCGCCTGGCTCTCTGATCTTCTCCCCCAGGATCCAGAGGCTCGGTCGCTCATTGTTGGCGTCGCTATCGCTGGTTATTATGGCATTTCCGCCTGGTCGCAAGTTCTTGTCTGGCCTGCGTCCGAAGCTCCATTCTATAGATATGGATGGCAGTCTGCTTTGGCATTGCTAGTGCTTGTGATTATCATGACATGTCTTTTGAGATATATTGATGTACGGTACCTCCTACCGAAGCGTGAGGAGTTCCGGGAAATTCTAGCAGACAATATTGTTGCGAGTAAGGGACTTTTGACGGCTGGGTCTGCGGGTCAGACCAATGCTTCGCAGCGAGAATATGGAACCTCCAAGGGATCAGCTACAGCAAGCGTGAGTAGAGCTTAGACGATTCGGGTTTCGACCTGGATATACATTCAAGTTGATTTGCTTCGTCTCCGGAAATGATATAGATTGCAGTCTGAGCAGCTGATTTACCTTTATCTGTTAAATAACTATTCTGAGCCTCTTGGGTCTGTATGTATTCTATACATCAGGCTGTCTAGACCATTTAATGAAGAGGAATGAAGAATAACGTCAAGCAATATATTAATAAATAAACCGGGTTATTTTTGTATGTTAAAATACATGGCCCGAAGGCACATGTCAGACTTCAGAAGGTTATATGTAGACGATCATTTCCATCTCTTCTCTCGGTCACTTCCCACCTCACCAGAGAAGCATCTTAGTATTTACCAGTGGCAACAACTCAATAGTAGAGAGGGTTCTCAGGATCAGTAAGGTCAAAGATCACACTCGAGTGAGGCTTGGCACCACCCCGATTGGCAAATTCCTTGTTGAAGTCAATACTCCGGTTGAAAGAAAGACTACCATCCTTGTTGAGATCGATATAGTGCGCCTTGAAGTCAGCCGGCGTATTGATAATGCCGATATCTCCAGTCTGGACAAAGTAGTCCGTAACAATGAGGTGTTTCTGGTCAGGAGTGACCTTCACGTAATGGGGTCCGACAGTGGGCTGGTCCTCATCGGGGTCATCGAGACGCTTGATGTTGTCAAGATCGCTGATGTCCAGAGCCGCAACGTGGTTGGCTGTGGTGAGAGTGGCGTAGAAGAATTTCCCGTCTTGGCTGATGTCGGAGCTGTTGGGTAATTTGTGTTAGGAAGGGGGAACTTTTGTGTGTTGAGCCGTTGGGTGCTTACTAGATAGCAATGGTATCACGGGCCTTGGGACCGAGGTCGTAAAGTTCCTCGATCACACCTTGTTTACCGTGGGCATCTTTGCGCAGAGGGTAAATAACCCAGAGTTGACCGAGGTGCACGGCAGTTGCGATAGCAGCAGATTCGGGGTGTCCGGGGATGAACTTGACGTCTTGGATACCACCGCCCTTGACAAGCTCACGTTAGCCAATGCATGGTCGTGTTGTGTAAAGGCTATACATACATTGGGAATAGTCAAAGTGCTGAGAATTTTTCTCGAGTCCAGATCCCACAGACGTAGGGTATCAGCACGACGCACGCCAAGGCTGGGCTTCAAAATAGAAATTGGCTCCACGAAGTCAGAAGTCAAAATCAATTTCTTCTCCCAATCGATGCTCAGTCCGTGAGGGGAGAATTGCTGTCCGAGAATATTGAGGGTACCCTCAACATCCTCGGGCCATTCATGGATGATGTTGAAGTCGGCATCGGTCTCAACGAGACGACCGGGTGAAGTCCCCACGGCTGAACCCATGTAGGTAATAAAGAATCCACCATCTGGCTTTGCTCGGACCTCATCCGCAACAGAGGCGAGAATACCGCGGTTACTTTTCAGGAATTCCGGACGGTATGGATTGGAGGTATCGAAATAGAAACCGGTATCCTGATGGAAAATAAGCTGTGTTTTGAGATGAAAACAAGGAAAAGAGATTCATACTTGAGTCTTCAAAAGGGAAAGCAATCCACCACCCCAGATGGTCTTCCCATCAAGGGACGGTCCAAGATGGTGGGGATCATTACCACTGCTAGGTACATCAGTCACCCAAAGAAGGGTGCCGAAGGTATCATCATCCAAACTGTAGGTTGCGAGGAAATCTACCAGTGACGGTTAGTCTCATCAAGAACCGATGCTCGTTGGGTGTTGATCCTTACCCTTGTGGAACTTGTCAGCGGAGCCAGTCCAGAAGTAGCCAATTTTCTTTGGCTTGATATCACTCGGGGTGAACGGAGGGCTCTCCAGTGGAGGAGTAGGGATTTGCAAAATAGGCAGAGGAGGAGCATTGCTAGTCAGAGGCTCAGTCACCCCAGGAATGGTGGGAATGAGAGGAGGCAAAGAAAGGCACTCCCCGAGAGCAACTAGAGACGCAATGGAAGCAATGAAGGACTTCATCCTATCGGCGAGAACTGAGAAGGACTGCGCTGGTTTGTGAGCACATTTGCGGGAAATTTAAAGACCTTATATACTCAACTGCACCTTCATTTCGTCTCCAATGAAGGACCATTCTGTCCGTCCCTGGATAATCTCGACACCAGGAACATATAGCACGCAACAAGTTGGATTTTGAAATTATGTGTGATCTCAAATTCCTCAAGGAGCGATTGATCTGCGCAATAGCCAAACATTTCCCGACTCGGGGATCTGATCACCAAAAAATGAATCCCGTATCGAGGCTTCGACCGCAGGTTCAAGTTGTCCTCACCGATCCCAATGTTGAGGAGATGTCGTGATTGAAGTTAATCCAGAATCCAGTGATTTCAAGTTCGTGAGATCGATAGTTCGAACTCAAAAATGGGGCTTAAGCAAAGGCCACTCAAGTACCAGTGCTGAGACTCCCCCCTGGCTATGGCTACTGATATGTTGGTGGACGAACGGATGGTGGAACTAGGGCTAAGGAGACTCAGGATTACCGCAATAGGAAAGGACCCAGTCACACTTGGCATTGGGAATTCAAGCTCAGAGGTCAAAGCGAAGCTTACCTTTCATGTTATGGGGGCTAGTAATACTTCTGATGCTCAGAGAGCAAAAACCAAGCAATGATCTGCGGCGGCCAAGGAGCTAAGACATGTGGGATCTATGAATGTGTACTCATCCGCCGTGCCGATGAGGTGATCCAGGAACCTCCCGGGCCCATTCCTCGCTTTTTCTTTTCGTCGAGACTAACACCACTCCACCAATACCTGTCAGATCCCTAGATCGACTGTTGAAATTCCTCTATGGAGATTGCAGCACACCCTGTGCCGATTTCGACATGATGCCAAGAATGTTGTAATAACTCATCTCCCTTCGGACTCGTTCGCTCACTCGTCACTCCAAGGTCAATTCATTGAAAGAATCTCCCGCGGAAAGCGAGATGGACTCGAATTGCATCACATATTGGTTATCACATTTTAGTTTATACTTTATGCCAAATCAATGAGCTTCAGTTGCTTTTTTGGCTGATCAACATTGCAAAGCCCGGGCTCAAGAAATGGTATGCTGAGACTGATGGCGTCCTCGGATCTATTCGCTGTCGCAATTTCCAGAGGGGGTGAGTAAGTCTTGGGAAATTCATATATAACCGGGTTAGCCGCACGGTTGAATGGAAACACCACAGACAAATCTCCTTCCTGTGAACATTCCTTTGCTGAATTCACAATGAAGTCGCAAGGCCTCGCGCTTTTCGGACTATTTGTCTCTTCTGCCTTTGCAGTTCCTGGAGTAAAGAGGCATGGGGATGGCAGCGACCAGCCGATTAGTGGTGCCAAAGGAGCCCCGATCCTAGGTATCTCAAACACTACCAGCGCGCTTGATCAATGCTGACAGTTTCCTCCAAATAGGCGGAACAAACAAGGAACTTGATCTCCAGAACCCAGACCAATTCCGCCCGCCCAGTACCGATAATGGCTTTGTTCCCAATGTCAAGTGGAGCTTCTCTGAATCTCAAACCCGACTTTTCCCAGGTGGTTGGTCTCGAGAGCAAGTAATTCAGGACTTGCCCCAGAGCCATGATATTGCGGGCGCTCAGCAGCATCTGAAAAAGGGCGCTATTCGCGAACTACACTGGCACCGCACGGTTAGTGGCCAAAGCTATACATCTACTGCGGCGTAATACTTATTCTTGTATACAGGCCGAGTGGGGATTTGTCTACAATGGTTCCCTCCTGATTTCCGGCGTTGACGAGAAAGGCAGTTTTACAACTGATGTTCTTGAAACTGGTGATATTTGGTATTTCCCAAAAGGTATGTGATTGTAAGGAGGCTGCTGTGCACGCTCTAACTTTGCAAAGGTGTGGCGCATAACGTCCAGGGTCTAGACGAGGAGAACGAGTATCTCCTCGCGTTTGACGACGGTGACTTTGAGAAGATTGGGTATGTTTCATTAGCCCCTTCATAACTTACCATACTGATCAGGAAGAACCACCTTTATGGTCGACGATTGGATTACCCACACCCCCCGAGACGTTCTTGCAAAGAACTTCGGTGTTGATCCCAAGGTTTTCGACTCGGTCCCCTCCAAGTTCCCTTATATCCTCAATGGCACAGTGAGCAAGGACCTCGAGAAGGCCCCTGAGGGTAACTTACGAGCTGACAATTCCTACGTCTACCACACCTACAAACATCCCTCGGAGCCTGTTCCTGGCCATGGTGGAACCTTCCGCAAGATCGATTCGACAAACTTCCCGATCTCCAAAACCCTTGCTGCTACAATTGTTGAGCTGGAGCCGAAGGGACTCCGTGAGCTCCACTGGCATCCTAATGTAAGTTCTCGAACGCACATCTGTGAGAAGCAGCTTTGTTGACCATTACCTAGGCCGAGGAATGGCTTTATTTCCACCAAGGCCATGCTCGCGCAACCGTCTTTATTGGTGATTCCAAGGCCCGGACTTTCGATTTCCAAGCAGGCGATACAGCTGCCTTCCCCGATAACAGTGGTGAGTGGAATCTCCCCGAGATCTGGATTCCTGCATTCGAGTGCGCGCGCACATGCTAAAATTCACTCAAGGTCACTATATTGAGAACACATCTGAGACCGAGAAGCTTGTTTGGATCGAGCTATACAAGAGCGACCGTGTCGCCGATATCTCTCTGGCTCAGTGGCTGGCTTTGACTCCTGCTGACACTGTTGCCAACGTCTTGAATGTTGATATTGAAGTGATCAAACAGATCAAGAAGGAGAAGCAGGTTCTTGTTCAGGGCAAGAAATAATGTGCCACTTCTTATCAAGTACGTGGCTGAGCTATAAGCCAAGGACCGAGGGCTATTCTCCGAGGCTACCCACACAAGCTATAATTTTCTTATTTTCTTTTCTTTCTATATCCATCTTGGACTTCAATATATAATTATACCCTAATCTACCACAACCGGAATTTCCTGACTACTTGGTAATCTACTCCATCTATGATCGTGAGATCTCGCCAGGAAAATGCGAGGAAAATATAAAGATCAAGGGAAGACGAAGTTACGAAATCCTATGGTTAAGCGTGCCTTCCTAAATAGGAAGGCAGGATGAGGTAGGCAGAGGTTAATGCGCAGTAAATACGTTGGTGAGGAAGGAGCTATCGCCCAAAACGAGATAATAGTCAATCGCAGCACAATGAGACGATTACCCGCAAGTATCAAAATCACCATCCTAACCGCACTCTTGACAGCCAGATTCCGGCCCGAGTTGGGGACCGGCTTCAAATTTCGGCCGGGTAAATCATGGTGACCTTACAAGCATCGATAGATTTTACACAGGAGGTCTAGGTAACCCCCAAGACAATGACCTAATACTCGATTTACCATGAAGCTCTACATAAACTTAGTACACAAGTACAAAAACAACCACACGAAAGCCTGATATAAACTAAAAATTAGCACATTTCCAAAAGAAATGCCGCACTTGATTCCATATGAAACTCCAATAATGCACTTATGCTATAAACCACCAAGAACCAAGCCTGCCCAAGCCCACCGAAGGACCAAAACAAACCCCGCATACACGCCACAAATAATGCTCCGATCCAACGCACTCCTGGCGTGATCAAGATATCTCAATAAAACAATAACAAATAATACAAACTAATTTTTAATCGCCTTCCTGCGCAGTACACCCAGATTCTCCAATCTGTCCCACGCTTTATTCATATCGGAGGACCCCTCGCCCAATGCTGGCCGCAGGTCTAGGCCGTCGAGGGTGTGGAGGGAGCCACTTGTGCCGGCATAGAGCAAGAGCTCCAGAACTCTTCGGCGTAGACGTGTGGCTTGGTCGAGGTGTCTCAAGTATTTCACGTCGGCTTGCGGGTCGGCAAGCGGGACTGTGAATGGGTCGTTGACTTCAACCTCCTTTTCTGTCTTGGGCTCATCTCCCCTGGTAGCCTGGTGAGAGAATTGATCATCGGTACCAAGCTCAGCTAGCGCATCAGAAAGATCGCGGTGATTTCCTTGATGACGGACAACGGCTTTTTCTTGAGCCTTCAGCTTCTTGCGATCGGGATTGCCACTCCCAGTCACTGCGGGAGGATAGAATCCAATGGTCAACGGGTTCCCACGGAGATCAAGTTTGCGCAGGGAACATGCAGTCCCCTTTCCAGTTCGACCTAGCCGACTCAGGATTTGACAAACCCTCCTCATTCTTGATAGGCGGTTGCCAACGATCATCAGTCTAGCAAGACAATTCATTCCAACCAGTGGTTCAACCTCATTAACCGAGTTGAAATTGAGGTTCAAGACCTTGAGATTCGGGAAGCTCAAAGCAAAGTCATTGGGGAGACTCTTCAGTGAGCACGCGGCTAGATCGAGTAGTTGAAGTCGTAGGAGTGGAGCAGAGGGGCAGACACTCCGGGGCGAAAGTTGATTCGATGATAAGAATAATTTGCGAATGTCCTTGACTAGTCCCAAATCAATATCCAGCCTGAAGTCGAGGTCGTTCTCTGTGATCGGTGTTTGTTCTCGCAAAGACAGTACCTCAAGATTATGACAACTTTCGAGGCCAGTAATCGTAGAAAGGTGGTTTTGATCAAGGTAGAGAAGGCTCACAGAAGGGAAAGCACGTGCATCCAAAGTATCCAAATGGTTTTCGGAGAGCTTCAGAGCGCGTAAGCTGATAAGGGAAACAGGGGAGTCAAACTGCCTAACCTGGTTCGCACTGATATCAAGGGTGACAAGTGACGGAAGCCAATCGATATTCCGAACTGATGTCAAACAGTTGTGGCTTAAGTCCAGATCTCGAAGACGGGTCAACTCAGATCCTTCGAAATCCACCGCAGTGATTGAGTTGTTGCTCAATTTCAGACTTAACAAGCCATTCAGATCGGAAATCCCGTTGATGTCGCGGATCTGATTGTCATTCGCCTTTAGCTCCCGGAGATGGATCAAGCTCGAGAACCCATCCAATGTCTCAATGTCGTTTCCTGAAACGTCCAGATATTGCAAATTGACCATGTGACCCCAGGGAGTGAGGTTAGACAGGCAGTTCCTGGAAATCTTCAGGGTTCTTAGGGTTGGAGGAATGCCACTCAATTGACCAATATCGTTATCCGAAACATCCAACTCCTCGAGGCGAGGACAAAATTCATTCAGCTTGTGCAATGTAATCAGCCCCTTCTGGCGCAACACGAGACGACGCACATGTTCCCAGTAAGGCTCATATGGCTCGACATCGGTTATATGCTTGATCAAAGCTTCGGTTGCCAATGCGAATGTTCCATGTACTTGGCGCAGCGAGGAAGGATTTGTGCGTTGAGCCACATAGCTCATTTCAAGATTCAAGGGCCGATCGCCTTGATTGACGGTAAAGTCTGCAAGTGGACTAAGATGGAAGCTGTAAGTCGTGTCAAGCCCGGCGCTCTGGGGAGGCATCAGTGAACGTGCTGCTGACGTTTTCGCGGGCGTCTCTTCAACACGAAGTGATTCATTCCGACGGATGAGGCTTTTCTCATCGACAGTCTCCTCGTTCCTTTCTTCGATTCTTGAGATGGGACGGCCAATAAATGGCTGTCCCCCTACTGAAGTTTGACGTCCTGTGGGAGGAACGGATGTTCGTATGGAATGAGTTTCATAGTCTGCTTGAGTTGTATTTTCATCTGGCACAATTCCGTGGTAGGTGTGATTTGCGTTCGGGTCGGACTGCGCAGTATGAAGCTCCTCCCGAGAAGATGGGCGTGAAAGAACCGGCGATGTGAGACTGACAGTTGAGACACGAGATTGCTTTCCTTCAGATCGGAAATTTGTGGAAGACAATGGCTCCGGCTGCTGGGCTTCGGAGTTTCCTCTTTCAGACAGTTTCCTCTTTGCAGTCTCGTCGGTTCCCCATGATGTAACTCGTGTCCCTGTGTTAGGGACACTGGACGTGAAGCGAGTGAATCTAGATTGGACGGAGCTTGCGCCAAGAGATGGACCTCCATCCCTCGTGTGCGGTCGGACATCAGACTTCTTAGGGGATGCATTTGTAGCCAAAGGACTACCGGCCTTGCTTCTCTCTCGGTCCGTTAAGGTATCCCCTTTTGTAGGAGAACTGAGATCGTGAACTCTCATCATCTCCTGGAGCTCATCCACACTTAGATCGGGGATATCTCTGAATGGGTCATCTGTTTCCTCGGTAGGCTGGAAGACTGGTGCCTTTGGTTCTTCCACCTCGTCTTTCACCCATTGATTCTTTGAGCGGTCATACTTGAACCCATTGACCTCGTTAGGAATGAGATGTGCCACGAGGTCCGAAGCCAGCATGCCCTTCACTTGAGAGTTTTGCGAAGAGCCTGTGGGGGCCGAGGTAACGCTGAAGCCAGACATTTGTGTGTTGATGGTCATCAAATCCTGGGCGATGTTCTCAGCCATGTCATCGGCCATGCCACTGGTCTTTCGTTTTCTCGGTCCGTGAATTCGGATGTTCTGTGAGTTTGGTTCGCCAAGCTCAGTTTGGCCCTCATCCTGGCGATGAGAAGCATGCAAAGACATCTCGCGATCATTGGGATCATCTTGCTCTTGATATTTCTTCAGATGACTGAGAATCAATGGGTTCAACTCCTTCACCTCCCTCACCTTGCGAAGATCTGTTCCGTCGCGACTCGGGGGGCGAGAAAAGGCTTCCCGGGTGGATTCGTCGTCGTAGCTGAAGTCGTCTTCGCTTTCCACATCAGACTCATGCACGCTTGTCAATGCAGCCGCACCCCGTCCTTTTGATCTAATCAGATCCATTATCTTGGTGGCCTCGTTCAGGTAATCCTGGGTGGTAATGGATCCTTTTCGGGAAGTATCGCTGGCGCCAGTAATCTTCACTAATGGAACGTCACCATCAAGCGAAAATGAATCGGAATAATCATTATTATCGAAATTAGTTTCGGAAAAATCCCTGTGAGACGCAATGTGGCTCTCCCCATCGGTTCGTATTTGGCTTGGCGTGGGTGTTCGAGGTCGCTGCATGGATTGAGAAAAGCCCGGCGGCGCAAGATAGTCACTATTTTCGAGTTGTACACCGTGCTGCATAAGGCTTCGTTGCAGAAGCGACATGCTGTCGCCATATTTCTGAGGGGAACCGCCATTGGCATTGTGATATGGCTCGGCACTGTTGTTCCTCATGATTGTTCGGCGCCGTTTAGGGGTGGGGTCCATCCCTGGGGCTCGAGGTACTCGCTTGACATCAGGCGCCATGTTCTCCTTGTTGTTCGGGCGAGTTCCTTGCCGCAAATCGTCAAAGAAATCTTGGCGCATCCAGGCAGATGGCTTCCGAGTGAATCCCGAGCTCGCTGACCTGCTATAATGAGAAAACCCTTGTGAGGCACCGCGAAGATACTTTTGCCGTGTTGATGATCGCTTGCGCGAAGATGGACGCGACCCAAACCCTGCGGCAGCATCATATACTAGTTTGTGCTCGTAGGGGCTGGTGTCCGAGAAATCGAATTTGTCCAGCTCGCCACCTCCAAACTGGCTGATTCGCTGTACAGCATTACGAGACCCGAGACGCTCGTTTCGCCTAGGAGACATATCTTGCAATGATTCATTTCTTGTATTCAAAAAGCTGCGGCTTTCACCCTTTCTCCGCGCTTCCTCGGAGGGCGAAGGGGGCTCTTCTCCTTCTGACGTATCGCTGAAATTATCTTCGAACTGACTCATACGCCGGAGAAGCCTATTATTGGTAAACGTATCGTGGTCACCGAACAACTTCAATGGACTCCCTGATGATGGCATCTTGGACTCGTTCTCCGCCCCTGCCGTGGAAGGACGGACGTGAGACGAAGAGGGACGCGGTAGACCAGGCGACCCAGTGTTGTGAGGAGGATTAAATAAGGGGGAACTTCGGATTTTGGAGTTGGCGAGGAGAGTGGGTGAGAGGTGGTGCGAAGGAAAGGGCGAAGGGGAAAACCGGCGAGGGAAGGAGCGATGGCCTCTGCGGCTGCTGAATTCCACTGTCCCCATGGACAGATCCTGGGGCAGAGAGTGGCTTGTCACGTCCAGGAGACTGTCATCTCGGGGAGACGCGTCAGGGCGAGGTTCGCTGCGGTTGTAGAAAAGGAAGCTATCGCTGGCTGGAGAGCCCGGGCGACTTTCGTTATCGATAGACAGACTTTCCAGCTTGTTGGTGACCTGTTTCAGCGCGGACTTAATAACCTCTGAGGTTGCCTTGCCATCAAGGGTGTTGTTCCGGGAAAACACGATGGGTGTGATTCCCTCATTGCGCAGGTCCTCCAGCCCACTCGCCGTCCGTAGCTGTGTTTCCCCCGCTTGTGAGGACCCTTCCTGGGCCCAATGCACGTCCAGATGCCCATTCTTCTCCCAAGGAGCGCGATTGATGGTCTCTTGTGGTGATTGGTCGCCATTCTCTCGGTCGTGTTCATCCTCACTGGCGGCGTGTTTGGGTTCGTCGTCGCAACTATGGTGCTCGTCTTTATCCTGCCGCGACGGTGTGTCGGTGAAGTCCCATAGATTATCGTCCTGCTTCGTAAATGGGGTGGACCCTAGTTGCGTCGCGGCACCGGGTGTGGGTGGCTTAAACACACTTTCGAGTCCGATCGGCGCAAACAGATCCCGTTGCTCGCCAGCAGCAATTTCCCCGCGCACGAGTCGCCTGCGCCATTCTGGTGTGCCTTCTTTCGTTTCGTTGTCTTTCTTTGATTTGATCTGAACCGTACCGTCCAGCTCCGACTGGATGGAGGCGTTGGAGACGTTTGACACCGATCGTAGAGGGGAGCGCATATCCATGGCGGAGTGCCTGCGGGTGACACCCGGTGTGGGCTTGGGGCTGGCCTTCGGACTCGCCCAACAATCGACTTTTGGGTTGGCCTTGGGGGCAGGCGTAGTCGTTTTGCCCGGAGCTGGTGATCGTGGTTTCCGGGTTCTGGGTGTTCGGGGGGTCTTTGGTGTCGGGGGTTCTCTTCTATGAAAATGGCATGGGCGGGTAACCTTTTTGTTGCTCCCTGGTGATTGTTGCCCTAAGGATCGTCGCGCAGGGACCGGAATGCGACTAGGAGTTCCCTGCTGGCTAGTCTTAGGCGACTCAGTGAGAGATGGTTGAGTTGGGATCGGACTGATGGGCGCTGGAGATGGCCAGTCATCGGACAGACTGTCGAGCCATGGTTGGTTGCTCATTTTCAGTCTTTGTTATGATGCCGATACGCGCGCGTGCCGGGTGTAACAAAAACCTTGAAACACAGCTCAATCCAGCATGGAGGCATGGATCGGAGCTAATAAAAGATCAAATTGAGAAGAACGGTGGGTAGAGACAGTGCGGAGATGCGGTGTCCAGCCCATCCCCACTCAAGCTCCTTGTTTACGATATCGTCTTTGTTTACGCTCTCACGGCGGCTCGTTAACATTGCGACCGGTTGAGATCTATCAAATGTATATTCTATACACTTCACCCTAGTTTTCCACTATGATCAGAAGAATCTGTCCAGCGCCCTTGGAAATATCCCCCGGGCCCCAGATTCAAGCAAACTATTGAGTCTCTTGGAAGCCTAATGCGCTGGCTAGTCCCACTTGGTCTTGCTTTGCTCTTGGGCATGACTTACTCTTGGGTCCTTGCAAAGGGCAATTGAAGTCCTTCAAGTAGGCCAGCTAATTGAAAGGATGCCCAGAGGCCATGGATTTCATTGCGTGATGTCTTTATATGAAAAATATTCTCGCGCGGTGCCGCTCCCACATACATATATATGCAAGGATCGCCATCGAGAGAGAACGCCATATATTGGTTGAAATTACAATGTGGATGCAAATTATTTACTGTAGTCAACGCCCAGGGGCAAAGTACTTCGAGATTGCAGCGAAATTAATAATTGGAATATTGCAGGAAACCCAAATATGTATTGTTCGTGTCTAACTCCTAGGATATTGTCTCCCTCAAGCATGAATGGTACAGTAAGAAAACATGAGATAACGATCGATGACCTTAAACAATGAGTCTCTCGAAAGAGTATTTGCCAACGGCCTTACGGCGCAAGTGTCCAATCTCACGGCTGGTGCGGTTCTTGACCTCACCAGTGGACTTTTTGATCTTAGTGCGGGAAACGTCCTTGGAAGCAGCCTTGAGCGAGAGCGGGAGCATTTTGCCACCGGCATCGCCTTCGTAGCCATCCTCTCCCTCACCAGGCCGGGTGAAGACCATCAAATCAGCACCATTGAGTTTCTCGTAGCGGACCAGGTGAGATGGACCCGAGGCCTCGGCATCCATCTTGGCCAGGGCATCCTCAGAAGTAGTTGTCTGGGTATCGACCTGGTCTGCGAAACGAAGATACTCGCACAAAACACCCTTAAGGTGTGTCGCCTCTTCGACTCCGGCAAGCGCGGCGGCAATCTCGGACTTCATGTCCGTGATCAATTCCATTTCGCGACTAGCAGCGGCTGTGACCGAGTCGGAGTCCTCAAAGTCACCCGCTGCCGGGATGGCCGAGATCCAACCGGACGGACCAACAGCATCCACAGAGGCAGTGAGGAGATCAATGATGATATTGAGAGAAAGGGCGGGGGTAATTTGATCGAGAGTAATAGGTGTTGGGGGGTTTTCAGTGAAGCGAGAAGTGTAACCTCCGGTAGCGAGAGAAAGGCGGAGGTGGTGGACCATAGAAATGAGTTCTGTCCGCGAGAGATTGGAGCGCAGGGAATGAACGACAACTGGGATGGGCTGCGAGTGGATCTTTTGGAGGGAGGTGTTAAGACCAGCGAAGATATCCTTCAAACTTGCCGTTTCGGCACCAAGCTGTTTTGAAAGCTCTTGTGTAGGAGTAGCGAGAACACCACTTGTGATCGCGCGAGCAGTCTCCTCCAGAGTGCCGGAATGGGAACGCGCCTGGTTCAAGAAAGCCTTAAGGGCGTAAGCCAATTCGTCTGAGGAAATAAGAGTGGGCCCTTCGAGGACTTGGTTGACCTGCTTCAAAGAAGGATCTGAATCGAGGAGAGCTTGGATGAACGATCCGGTAGGGAATGTCTGCAGAATACGTGGCTTACACGCCCGACGGAGGGCGATCTCAACGTTGTCGAGAGACAGATGACCCAAGCGAATGAGCCAGTCGCAGGTAGTCGGGGGCCACATGGCAACACGGAGTTGAGATGAAGCGGACGCCGACACTGTATCAATCTTGGTTGATTCCTCCACGGCGAAAATTTTTGAAAGCAAGAAAAGAGTGGCCTCAGGGTTGACATACTGTCCACGAACAGGAAGTATGGTTGAAGTCTCGGAGGTGTTGAAGTACGTCAAAACGGCATTATCAAACAAATCAATGTTCTTTGTCTTGGTCGCTTTCTCGATAGTCTTCGTAAGCTGAGTCCATTTCTCAACCTGCTCTGGTGAAGTGAGACGAAGGGAGGCGATGTTCTCAGTGCGGTGTTTTTTCGATGCGATATCCCACTGTGCTCCAGAAGAACCAATACCTCTACCGATGGCATCAATAAGTAAACTATCTCTTGAGCGCTTGAGCGAAGAGCTGGGCGCACTAGGAAGAGAGCTCAAGTCAAAGGCAATGAGAGTGTTTCCCTTAGTTGCGACGGCAATTCCAAGTTTGGCGAAGTAGCTGATGAAGTTTGTGGAACTTTCTGGAGCAGATCCGGTGCTCGACAAAATATCACCAGCGGGAATACTGCGCTGCACAGAGTGGTACTGGGTATCATAAACTGCCACAAGAGACTTTTGTGCTCCGATCACGGACTGTGGTGAAATGCGCATGATAGATGAGAACTCCTCATCATCAAGGACAAATTGCGATGTAACGGAGGGCGAATATTGAGAAAGGTCAACATTGATGAATCCCTTCTCAAAAGAAAGGCTCAAACCAGCTGAGCCAGAATGGAAGCTCCATTGCATAGCATTGCCGTTGGTAGTTTCCAAGCCGCTAGCATCAGGAATATGGAACGTTTGGAGATGGCGCAGGCGCTGACTTTCGTCCAATGGTGACTCCGACTTCGAATGCGCCGGAACGGAAAACATTTGAACAACGATATCTTTCAGGGAAATGCGCTTCATGTTCTTTGGCTGCGATACTAGAAGCAAGATAGATGGCTCGTTGGCGCCGGTGGTGGTCAGATCGCCCAGTGCCAAAGAAGCCAAATCCTGTCGTCTTTTGAATAGAGCCTTCTTGGCATCATCGAATTCGACCAAGAAACTGGATTGGACATTGTGAGTGGAGCAGACCTTGGCAATCTCGCTGTGCTGAATGCTCCATCGCTGGGTCTTCAAATCAGACGACAGCCTACGCACACGACCATCCTCGTGGACTGCCAAAATATCGAATGGGTCTGTTTCTCCTTCGGCATCGGTACTAGAGGGGACAATGCCCACAAAGGTTGTAGGGCTGGTCGAGTCGGTAACGGTAGTGGATGAGGAAGAGATGACCGGGGCGCTTGAGCCGCTACTGCCGATCTCCTCCACAAAGCACTTGATCTGGTGTTCAGGCTTAGTGACCGCAGTGTAAGTCTGCCTTCGGACTATCGACTTCTTCGACAGCTTCCTGCGAACTGAGCATGGGCGGCAAGAGAAAGTAGATTGCGGCGGGACGGCGTAGGAGGTCACAAGCTTGGGTGTTTGAACCTAGTGGAAATTAGACTCAAATATAAAGGAAACAACACGGCAAATGTATCATAACGTACGTTATAAATGTTCACGGCTTCTCCGTCCACTGCAACTGCAACTTCATATCGCTTACGCTTTTTCGCATCGGCGAGACTGAAGACATCGCCGATACGTGTTTTGCCAGTAGAAGCATGAAGGGGGCGAGGCAATTGCGCCAGGACTGATGGAGACTGCAAATCCATGACGAAATGAATACCAGGAAACACAATTTGCTTGATTTCCTGTCTCTTCAAAGCGTATGATCTTTTTGATGCAGACCCATCCAAATTGGAAATCTGAAAAATTTTCGGGGTTACGTCGGGCCGGGAATCCACCCCTAGTCTATATCAGGCCTAGCGGGGCACAGATGGAGCAATCAGCCTGACATAAGCAATTAACGCGCCCCCCGGCCCTTGCGCGTCGGACGTGTTTGAAGCTATGGAAATTGGCCTCAACTTGATTCTTGATTCAGACAGTTGCTTTACACTTGACATTTTTACTCTATCCTTTCAATGGTATATCTGAGTTATTATTTGCTCCCTGGTCTCTTCTCAGGGATCATCTGACTGTTTAGCGCATGAACATTGTATCCAATCTACCGATGGCTATGGGAACCGATGAACAGCAGGTCATACATCCTTTCTTCCGACAAGGTCAGAATGTGTCCCATAGCCGCAGGTGACCTAAAGCTTACTCTCTCTAGAATTTGGAGTCTCCGCCAAATCTACCCCCATTGATAACACCGTCACGGAAGTGAATACCCACGCAAATAAGCCTCCATCGATAAGCAGCCAAAGTTCTGTCTCTGAGCAGGAGACCGAGGACCGGGAAAGTTGGAATAACATAAAATTCAAAAACAAAACCGCGAGCTCGGTGGATGTTGAGGAAGACCCCAACGAAAGCCGGAGAAAGAGGCGAAGAACGGATAAACCCCAAACAGCCGAGGCCACCACCATTTCAGGTGCAGGTCTCACAGGATGGCTCGGCGTGACCACACCCGCGCCTTCGTCAGTCGATACTCTTGAGCCTGAAACCGATTTGTCTCTATCTCGCCCTCAAGCTCCGCCGGCGGAGGCTCAACAACCTGCGAAGGACATCCAACCATCGACACTGGTCGATAATGAGATACCAAAGGGTCGGGTTGGGCGCACTTCCGCAAGACAAAAGACTTTGCGGTTGAATTCTAAAGGGGGTTTCTTGTCATCTCCTGCCACCAGCCCCCCTCCAGATACAAACAAAAACGCGACAGGGAAGCGCCGGAGGCCGCGAAAGGGCGAGCAAAAGATTGTTAAGATCAAGTATAGTGTTGGCACAGAAAGGGATCTGGGGAAATTGATTAATGACATCCTCGATGGGCAAGTGGTTCATAGACCCGCTCCCACTGTGTCCTCCTCTCAGCCACGCAAGACGAAAAGCCAAGCTCGAAAGCCCACGCACCCATTTTTCAATAAAAAATCGTCAGAAAAGCCTGGATCTACCGTTCCTATTGAGTCTCAATCAGAATCCGCAGGTACGAGTTCGAGTGTGCCTCTAAGCGAAACTATTGCCGGGGCCTCGGACAAAAAGCGGATTGTAGCGGCCTCGGGAACTTCGTTTATTAGGCCTGCCCGTCGAGTCCCCAAGTTCCTCGAATTGATCGATCCTATCTGGCCACCGCGAGATCTTGTGCATGTCAGAGATGTTCACCCGCCTCCAAATATTGACGATCGTGCCTGGCACATTCCCCAAGATCGAAAGAAGTCGAAGATCGCAGCTATCTCTGTCAGAGATGAAGAAAATGTACTTCTAGCTGGGACAGCCGAAGCAAGAAGGATTGCTTGCTTGCCTAAAAATGAATATGATGGCCCAGCTGTTCTCCGACATCCCGCGCGACATGTCGCCAGCAGCCAAGTCCTGCAGACAGCAATGGAAAGACAAATGTCATGGTCTTCACCAAACCGCCAATTTCCTTGGAACTCGTCTAGCCCAGCCCTTGCCAGACTTCGGTCGGCCCTACTCACGTCAGTTTCGGCGTTCGATTGCGGAACGTACGAACCACAACTTTGGACGCAGAAGTATGCCCCTCAGTCAGCTGAACATGTTCTTCAGCTTGGTCGTGAACCCCAAGTCCTTCGTGACTGGCTACGGCATCTCAAGATTACAGCTGTGGACACGGGCAAAGCCTCGAAAGAAACGGCGAAATCAAAATCAAAACGAGAGAAAAAAGCGAAGAAGCGCCAAAAATTAGACAAACTTGATGGCTTCATTGTATCAAGCGGAGATGAGGCGTCTGAAATGGACAATCTCTCTGGCTCAGATGATGAATTAGCGGGTGGGGTGACGACAACACCGCATAGGACAGTCGTCAGGTCAGGAGATATGGCACACGGAGTGGAAAAGAGTCCAATGGCCAATGCGATTCTTCTGAGTGGCCCGGCGGGCTGCGGTAAAACCGCTTCCGTTTACGCCGTTGCAAAGGAGCTCGATTTTGAAGTCTTCGAGATCAACCCCGGAAGCCGACGAAGTGCCCGAGACATGCTGGAGCGAGTCGGAGATATGACACAAAACCATCTTGTCCATCTTCTCAATGAATCCGAAAATCCAACAGACAATGGCAAGGATCCTGCCAAGCAAAACAAGCTGATGAGCTTTTTCAAAGGCTCAGCCTCAAAAGCTAGCAAGCCGGTCTCAGGGTCTGGCGAATCAAGCCCTAAGCCAGACACTGTACCCAAACGACCTCGGGAGCAAAAACAGTCATTAATTTTGCTTGAAGAAGCTGATCTCCTCTTTGATGAAGATCGCCAGTTCTGGACAGGCGTCTTGACTCTCATCAGCCAATCCAGACGACCGATTATCATCACCTGCAACGATGAGAGTTTAATCCCGACCCAGGACATGTCTCTTCACGCTATACTACGGTTTCACAAGCCTGCTCCCGACTTTGGTGTCGATTACCTGCTTCTGGTTGCCGCTAACGAGGGGCACATGTTAAAGAGGGAAGCCGTCACCCGACTTTATCAAGGATCTGGAATGGACCTTCGAAAGTCACTGATGGATCTGAACTTTTGGTGTCAGATGGGTGTCGGCAGCGCGAAAGCAGGCTTGGATTGGCTGCTTCCCAATTGGCCACCAGGATCAAACGTGGACCATGATGGGGATCGGCTTCGAGTCCTGAGCCTCAACACATATGATCGATATATGGGCTGGCTCAACCGTGATATGCTGCTCGCTCAGGGCTCATTGGATGAAGAGACGGAATTAATTCGCAACACCTTCCAATGGTGGGGCCTCGGTTTGCAAGATTCTGAAGATATGGCCGGGAAGAGCGAAGTCGAACTTCTTCCATCTGAACAATTCCAGTCTATTCCCAGGACAACAAAACTTGACATGCTGTCTCGGGAGGCGGATTATTATGATATGAGAAGTTCCCTCGATATCCTTGGTCTCAATCTGTCCATGGACACGAACAAAGTAAGTGTGATCAATACATCCGCAGAAACATCAGCTAATTAGTTACCAGGACCCCGTTGATATCTCCGCACCACCACCCCCAGAAGGATACAAATCCAATTATCTTGACAGCTACCCCCTCCTGCACACAGATCTGCGAATCGAGTATTCAGGCCTCAGTGAATCCATCGGCGCCACCTTCGATGCATTGATAAGCCGAAATTTCCGCCCCTCAACCACCGAGGACCTCGAATCCGTGTATGCAAACCGCGCTCTGAGTAAAACCATTACCTCCGCATATCCTCCGCAAACTCCCCCATCCACTGTATTCCAATTCCAGCGCATCTTTGAACCCATCATGCGCGCAAACTACTCAAATCCCACCCCAACTGCTCGACATGCTCCCTCATTCGAGAACGGAATCGCACCGATTACTGAAGACCTGGCCCCGTACATCCGTGGCATCATGGTCTTCGATGGCCGCCTACACCAATACCGCGAGAGCTTGTTCGCGCTCACGGCGCAGGAACACGGGCGCGGCGAGAAGCGATCACGCACAACGCGCGCGAGTCGCGCAGCCCTCGAAGGAGGCGATAAAGCCTCAACGCGCAAAGAGAGATGGTTCGCTCTTGATACGCCTTACTACAAGGTGCAGAACACTGCAGGGCCGGATTGGCAGCAGGTTTTGTTCCAGATGGGGTACTTCCATGTCCAACCTATGGTTGAGGCATTTGTCCCGGGAAGTGACCAAGTTCCAGGCGACAGACCTGTGTGATCCAATATAATATATGTATTTATGAAAACGATCTTAAGATAGATGTTCTAGCTGCCAGTTTTGAAATGTATACCTAACACCATTCAACATCTTTGCTGAACAAACCTATATCCAATTATTGCCGAACCACACAACCTTCCAACTGCAGGACTATGTCTCCCACTGGGGACAAAGGAGAGACGGGGGATACCGTCAAAAGTGGCACCTCTCGTCGCTCCGAAAACCTTCGCTTACTCCAACATGCCTTCAAATATAAATTCTTATGAAAAAAATGATTAAAGATTGTTCGCTATGCTGGTATGGCCTAAGATCGCTCCAAACATTGTCATAAGAATACGGAGACATTGAACAGAGTAAGAAAAACCCGGCAGCCATCGCCCATAACGAAAGATGCCACAAATCGACGAAGCTGTCCTGACCAGCAGGAACCTGTACAAACGCAAGTCAGCACTACAACCGAGTATACGAAGCCCGCGCAACTGAACCCAAGCACCCACAGCAGCAAAAGAATACATAAACTCTCCACAATTAGGACGCAACTCTACCCGACGCGACGGGCTTCGGCACCTCGGGCCCGTTGAACTGCGCCATATGATAACGTCCGTGATCCTGCTTGAAATCAAAGAGAGAGTCGTCCGAGTCGCGCCGCGATGAAGGATATGCGTTTCCGTGGGATGGTTGTCCGTCTTCGGCGCCGAATCGTTGTGTCGCGTAGCGAGCGTAGAAGCCTGACTTTCGTTTGTGTTCTTCTAGATCTTCGCGGTCATCGCGGGCCATGCGCTTCTTGTAGAGGACTATCAGGACGATGATAGCTATGAGGAGGAGGCTGAAGGTGTTCGGGGTCAGTATTTGGGGCCCTGGTGGTTCTGTGACGAAGTGGGATGATGTGACGTTGTGCTTACACCCCTGATATAGCGGCTGGAATGCCGACCGTCACTGCTGCGCTGGTGGGTTTTGTGCAGCTGGACATGGTCTCGTCGCCATTGCAGTCCCGGCGGAGGAGGGTAAGGAGTGTGGATGCCATCTTTCCGAATTTGGATTATGGATGTATAGATGATAACGAGAGTGTGTTGACCTGTAGAACCGGATAGTAAAAGAGTGAAGGGGTTCGTGATGGTCAGATTGGAGTCAGGGGATAAAGGATCGTGTGGGGGAAGAAGATTCCAAGCGAACACCCGAATCTTCTAAGAGAATGTAAGTGGGAAAAAAAAAGACAGGGAAATATGCAGTGCACCGGAAGACCTGTATCGCTTGTTATGACTGTTTCCAATGCGGAGTATAAGACAGTCGACGATGTTGATTCGTCGCGATGAAAAGGGGGTGGCTTGTTTCGTCGAGTATGGGGTTACATTCCTTGCTGTTTAGGCCGTCCGGGGCTATTTTGGGCGTTAGTCTTGGGAAGAGAAGCTTCATGCGTACAAAACACGGAGTACGGAGTATAGAGAAGTCGATTGTATAGAGAAGATCCTATCTCCAATCATCTTTCTTAATATTGGGGGTTTACCTTCAGGGATTGCCAGTTCCACTGCCAATGTGTGATTGGCCTTGTGGAATAGTCCATTTCCCCAGTATTACTCCATACAAATCAGTATACTCCGTGCTCCATACTCCGTACTTCGTACATGTATCGAGCTACATTCTGATGTTCGATCTTTGTCTCATGCAGGCACTGCACAGATGATCGTGGAAAATCGCCAGAGCCTGCGCACGGCGCATATATTGACACCTAAGAAAGAGGGCCACCAGCGCATTGGGCTTTAATCTATTTTTATACTACAGCATATATGTACAGGACCGGAAATCTCAATTATCGACAGGCTTTGCAGCATCCAGCTTGGCCAATACCTCACTCTTGGGTACCTCCTCACTCCACTTCTTGCGAGGGTGCTCAAAAGTCGACCCAATCCGACCATACGAGATACCGCCCAGTTGACCGACCGGCCGCAACTTCTCCAAGTCAATGTGACTATAATCCTCGTTGGCCGTGCCTTCCTTCACCCAGAACCGGGTAGCTTTGATGAGAACAGTAGCGGCAAGGCTCATTCCAGGCTGCTGATGATCCGTGAACTCCTTGATGTCGACGACCTTGCCTTCAATGTTGAACACCGACTCTGCAACTCGGGATGGCTTCACTGTACTTGACGGTGCCTCGTGCAGACCGGAGACATCCCACTCGGACACACCGTACGGAGCATCGATCGAGGTCGCGTTGACAGCCTCGATCATATTTTCGGATACTGTGTTGATAACACACTCGCCGGTTTCCTTGAGGTTGTGGTAGGTATCTTTAACCCGACCTGGTCGAGACGAGAAGCCCACAATGAACATCGGGGGATCGTGGTCGATGACTTGGAAGTAACTAAACGGGGAAAGGTTCTTTTCACCCTTGGCATTGACGGTACTCAGGAACCCCACAGGTCGCGGCGCAATCCCAGAGACAAGGAGACGGTAGTTGTTGATCATGGGACGATCTGGTGCGTAGGGGTCGATTTCATGATGTTTTTGCACCAGGCTAGCTCCATTGTCGGGTACACCTTGTCCATACTCCCAATTGGGATTTGGGGATTTTGTCACTTCGATAGGCTTAGAGTGATCAAAATCTGGACGTTGGGCTTGGAGCTTGTCAAAGTCGCCTGCGTCTTGGATGATTTTGTAATTCTTTTGTGCCGCAGCGGTTTCAGACTCTGATGCCACGGCTGCTGCCGAGGAAATCATTCGTATCTGGCTCGATGAATGAGACCCAATTCGAGATGTAGATATGAAGGTCGATTTCCAAGTCCTAGATGTAAGTTAGACATTGATGTGTCCAGAAATGGTACACGTACTGGTTGGACACAAATCGTCCAATTGCTCTTACGCGAGTCATGCTGGAAAGAACCAAGTGGTTCATAAATAATAAAAATATAGATCAATGCAATTGTGATTCTTGTCTTAACCTGATTAATAATTCTTTTTGCCCGTGAAGACCGAAAAAAAAGTCGGAGGCCTTCCGATACTCGGGATCTCGATCCGACACGATAAGATTTGGGTCCATCACAACAGCCCTATCTTTTGCTACTCATCATATATCTCTGACTACATCTAGATGATGTATGTCACCCTGATCTATGGCCATCCAATTATCGACGCATGGGAAGTCATCAAATTCCTGGTGGGAATTGAGAACTACCTAGAGAAACTGAGAAGTATGATACTTGGCCTAAACACGCATGCTGAATGCAGCCGAGTGGTGTTGATGGAAACAGCTTGGAATTACAACAGCTTATTTCAGACAGCGGGCCGTATCCACCGTCTTGGGCAGAGCCAGCCGCAGAAAGTATGGCTGTTATTCCACAAACATGGGTTGAGGCAGTACCGGTATCATATAGGAATGAAGGGAGACGGGTTCTTATGATCTGGTATCCAATGAAGCTCAATCCCTGTTCGTATGGGCGAACATTGACTAGGAGTTCATTCTATCAGCTCCCAGAGTTCGATGGCGGAAATTACCGCACGATTATATCTTTGTACAAAGAAAAGGATAGGTTTATTACGGGGACAAGCGGTCTAGATATCGATGTATTATGGATATTGCATGTCTGGGATTGAGGTATAACGAGCACGGAGTAGGCCACTTGCCGATCAATGATTTAGGCTCGATCTTGACGTGAACCTTGTTTGATGCAATAAAACCCTGCAAATATAACATAAAGCGGATATAACCATATTAAACCCATTGTTTTCTGAATCCCAAGACTTGATTGCCCAATCCTTCACCAATACCCCTGACGCATTGCAAGTGACCATGGCTAAAAAGCATCAAACCCCCACAGATTGCATGATTCCCTCCACATCTAACTGATCTGCAAGATCCAACAATTCCCGCGGCGGAAGACTGACTGATGGATTCAGTGCCAACATATCCCATTCAAATTCGTCATGATCGAAGGAATAAGCCTCCTCACTGATTTCATTGCCTCCATCCAGATTGACTGGGGGCAAATGGTGAGTGGACAATTTTGGCGTCAAAGGCGCGAGTATCTGCTCTAATTGCTTGAGTTCAAGCCTTCGAAGTGGCCCAGCTAGGTTCCCCTTGGCAATGAGTTTATCTAGTACACACTCCAAGCTCTCGCACCAAGTGTCATTTGAGACGAGCGAAGGGGCAATTGAGCGGATCAGGTATAGAACAAACGCAGAAGATGAGGCATCTTCGATTTGGAATGGTAAAAATGCGTCTGGAAATTGAATTAGCTTTGTTGCACAGTTGGATATATTTGGTCTATCATACCCAGCAAATCGTCATCAGCTAGAATACGAAGAGTTTGAAGAATAGTCTGAGCGGAATCCGCGCAGCATTGTAATAAGGACGCAACGGGTTGTGTCAGGCTTATTGTTTGGGATGTTTCTCTCTCTGTTCGTTCGATATGCATGTGGAGTGCGCACATCACTAGCGGTCTTGTCGTAAGTACCACACACTGCATTTGTTAGTTCATGACAGCCCAGTCCTCCGGAGGTAACCCACATGATGATGGGCTAGCATCAGACGAATCGCCATTTTCGAGGCACGGCTGATGAGTCCATGGAAATTAGTGTTCAAAAAGTCCGTCAAGTCATAAGAAAGTGCAGCCATGCTGTGAAGAATGGACTGTGTGCTGCGGACTAGTGTGTCATCAGATTCATTGCCAACCCCATAAACGGCTAGGCTTTGGTTAGCAATCAGGCCGCGGAGAATTCTCTAGAAACCTACTCGTCAAAATCGTAGCCATGAGCCGCGAAAGTCGAACATGCAATGTCAGGTTGACATGTTCTACTGAGTCGTCCATCTCTGCCGGCAGCCGGACAGTGATATCTTCATCTCTGATTGAGCTGGGTGCACCAATTGAAGCAGAGAATTCTCGATCTAGCAGGTAGACCACCCAAAAGATTATTCTGGATCGTTTTGAGAGCTCGGGTCCACATATTTCCTCTGGTACATGTCTGTGTATCCCTTCAATGATACAGCCACGCAAGGCTTGCCCAATCTGCTGACATTATTAGACAATCGAGTACAATTGAGAACAATAGAGAACGAAACTACCCACATGCTGAAATGCCGCCCTTCTCATATCAATTGATTGAAGATACACTGCTGCTAGGCTAAGTGCCTGAATACAGCTCAAAGGGTCTTCATCAACTCCTGACAAATCGGGTAACAGTGCCATCGCTCGGGACGCGTATTGATGCCCAGGGGTGTGCCAGAAACGGTTCTATGTGTTAAGAAAGCTTTCCCGAACGCCAAAACAAGTAAATACTGACAGTACCAAGGTCTCTTGGCAGCAGCCTTCGCTGGTGGATCCCGGTAAAATTCATGCAGGTCTTGCAAATAAGCAGTCTCATCAATCATCAAAGAAAGGAAGCCAAAATAGAACTTGACTGTGCTGAATAAAAACAGTGCATAGTCCAACGGTGGGAGGTTGGTGACATCAGGTACTTCATCGGGAGGAAACGGTCGCCAGTTCAACCTGAAAGCCACGCCATCAATATGAAACGGGTCTGGCGGGCAGTTCGATTCAGGAACCTTTCTGCCTATCAAAGCGAGAACTCGACGGCAAAAGGACCATGAAGATGTTGGTCCCATGTACCCTTTAAACCCGGATCAGTCATGAGAGAAGGTGGGGGATGGACTGAGCACTCACAAAATCGGCCATCCGGGGTCTGTGCAAAGGAGGGATCCCTATCAACCAGAGGATTCTGAGAGAATCTTGATCTGTCGGTAACTTCTTCCGCTCTATTGTTGATTCCTTGTCCCGTTTGGGATTCTTCTTGTATATGCAAAGGATGCTCTATCCCCGGAAGAAAGCTATCAATACGAAGTCCACTCACTCAGAGATTGATCACTGCATACGTACCATTTGACATCGAGCGCCATCCAATATCTGCTTGGCTATCTAATAGTTCACTCGACACCTGAGGAGTTGGTGGGATATCAATATCTTCGTCACTCATTAACAGTGCACCTCCATCGGAATTGCGATTATGAAGTGCTGTAGATGCGTATCTCCCAGAGCTTCCGTTTCTGGATATCTGCTCCTCTAGCTCTCGCAAATAACTATCATGCATTAGCTCATCCTATATAACCAGGATGCAGATACTAACCGTTCCGACACAGAGACCCGCACCTCCTCCACCGGGAAATGGCAGTGCTTGTTTCTCCGCGCACATCTCGTGCAAGGGCTAAACCCTGAGCACTTGACCTTCATTGATCGACATCGCTCACACCTTTTTTTCAAGAATTGTAAGTTATTATTCTCATTTGGCTAAGTGAATCTGACTCACGCCCTTTGGCACTTCTTCGATTTTGCCTTGCCAGATGCCACAGGCATTCCGGATTAGGGGACCGAGATGATGTATAGAGCAAATACGAAGCTATTCTGTGCTTCCAGCTGACTTTCCGATACCAATTGTTCTGCAGGGTGCGGGGTAGAGATGAGAATGCTGATTCTATACGTCGGGATGTGCTTCCGACTCTCCTTATCGGAGATAACAGCGCATCATTAATCATAGCCCATCACATGATTGGTGCGACCCTAAACGGATTGACTTTGTTTGATCTATTGGGTTTAGTCTATGCATGATCTCCAAGGCAGTGCAGAGTCAGTAATCCTATACTTTGATTCGCTCGATTGTGCATCGGATGTCTGACTCAAATACAGCATATACTCGGACTTTATCCGACGATCCTCCGCCACAGTTCACGCCGCAATGCGGTGACCATGTGCTGCGTTCGTTCCACAGCCCCTCGATTCTCAATTGCTCGGCGGTGCAAGTACCCCATACACTCACCCACAGATCCCCAAGGCATACACTTGAAGGCTTTTGGTGCAATTGACTTGCCAACAGATGACTCCTTGAGAGCCTGTTCGTAGTTTTGCACAAGTTCACAGCCGAGTTCGTCGGCCATGCCTTGAATCTGTCCGCATTCCAAAATAATCGTAGGTTGATGTGCGAGAAGCCTCTGGCGATGCGTCGCAATTGCTTTAGTTGCACTTGCTACATTGTGTGTAGCGAGGAAGAGAGCAGCATTCGGGAATGGAAGGTCCCCGCTCCCGGCAGGCATTCTTCGGCAAAGCATGGTGTCTGCAACAAGATTGTATGAGCGGTCCGTGTCAGCCTGTGTATCATGGATGAGAGAGCGCGTCTCATGTTCGATATACGCCCCTCGAACTAATTTGATACCCAGAGCCCATCCCTCTTGTGCGGCTAAGGTAAGATGATGGTCGAGGTTCGCCTTTGATCCCTTGAGATAGCCTTGAATAGTATTGTAGATAATCGGTGTCCTTGTTCTGTTATATTTACGCATCATCTCAATAGCCCAATCATCGAGTCCGTTTTGCAAGACTTGTTGCTCTGCATCAAGCCAGAGTCGTGAGCCTTGCTTCTCTGTTTCAATGCAAATTTCATCCACAGCTTTTGCCATTGCCGCGGGCATGGACTGACGCGCTGTCATTGCGTCTACCGCGATAGGACCCGCACCTGTCAATCTGAGAAACGAACATGAGTTTTTATCAGACACACATTCGGAAATCGACTTACTTCACGCCAAGAAAGTCACCCGGGCCAACCATACGCAACGTTTCCAAAGTTCCATTCTTCCATTGTTCAATTGCCTCGTAGCACTTTTCACTGTACTGTGAGTTGCCAGATTCATCGGCTGAAAGCATTTCGCTATGATCCAAAACAACCTCTTTCGAATATCCCAAGATGACACCCTGGTACCCAATCTTTTTTATGTCTGCCACGGTTTTCGAAACCTCGGTCTTATTTGTTCCAGCACAAAAGTGGTCATAGACTGTCCAGCGAAGAATCTTGTTCAATAAAAAGTTCTGGTCCGGGTTTAGAAATGGAGATTTTGATGTTGAAATGACGCCCATCATTGCTAATGCGGGCTGTAAGAACATTTTGGATGTCATCAAAGAAGTCAGAACCAGAGATCGTAGTAGAATTCTAGTCGGCATGCGCGCCATAGGTGAGACCTTGACGGACTGTTCAATTGCTGGTCCTACAGCAACATCGTGGAAGTGGGATTTTGTGGAACGAGGTCGATGACAGACTAAAGAAATTGGCTTCTGTATTGGGAAGCCATGAAGAGCTCTCAAAGAAGTAGATCGAGACAGCATTATGGATTGATTATGTAGGAATGAGGGATAATTGCAGAGATGTGCCGAGCTTATAGAAATTTGACGATGACACCAGTTTGGTTCGACTCGGACGGCAGGCACAGAACTCCCTTTAAAGCAACCGGTCTTTCTTCCGCCGTGCCTCTTTTGTGATTCACAACTGCCCAACCATCTGCTTACTGACAGTCAGTTGGTCTTCCATCGGAGGATGACTCCGATGGTGGGAGGGGTTCGCGGACCAGGAATCCTGTGCCGCGATGCCAACTCATCGCTGTCTCCGCAAGGCTTCGTGCTATGATAAGACAGGAAGGCAGTTCTGTACGCTATCATTGCTTGGAATCAAGTGGCGGTCAGTTCTAGGTTACATTGTCAGTTTACATTACGTTGCTTGAATGAATGTGCGGATCGTCGGTGAGTTCATTGTATATTGCTGCGGATGTACCTTTACAACTACTTGATACCAAGCCTTCAAGTGCCACTTGCTATGAAACTGCAGTCGAACGGTGGTAATAGAGGCTACTTTCACGAATGCATGGTACCTCGAACAATATCAAAGTGCAAATTGAACTTCTTCAAATGCATAAATCATGAGTTATGAATAATCCTATCTCTACTTATACTTCATTAGAAGGGTATGTGACTTTTTCCAAAAGCACAAATTCCTCTTTAATTGTGCGAGTGCTCACAAAACGCTGCAAATGAGCCATGGTGCCAGTCTTATCGTTTGTACCTGAGTCCCGGCTACCCCCAAACGGTTGCTGAGCCACAGCAGCACCTGTGCATTTGGTATTTAGATAGAGCATGCCTGCCGCGTGCTTGAGAATGTTCTGGGCCTGACGGCTAACATAGGGGTCTTTGGCAAAGATACTGCCAGTCAATGCATAACGAGAGGTCGTGTCAACCAACTTCAAAGTCTCCTCCCATTCAGCATCTGGGTAAACATAGACTCCAAGAATAGGTCCAAACAGCTCCTCGGACAGAATCTTGTGGCGAGGGTCAGAGGTCCGATATACGGTGGGATGCACGTAATAGCCCTCTTTCTTCGACGCGTTGCCACCAACAATGAGTTCCAGCGCTGAGTCACTCTTTGCCTCTTCAATAAAATTGTTGAGCTTGTCAAACGAGCGCTCATGGATAACTGGGTTGATAAAATTGCTATAATCTTCGACATTTCCCACTTTCAAGGCCTCGGTCTCTTCCACCAGAACCTTCTGGAACTCGGGCCATACAGATTCTGCGACGTAGACACGGGAATTTGCAGAGCACTTTTGACCTTGGTACTCAAAGGCTGCTCGGATGGTGTTCAAGGCCGCGCTTCGCACATCTGCAGATGGATGAACGATGCCCCAGTTCTTGCCACCAGTTTCGCCAATTACCCGAGGGTAGGAGTTGTAGATCCCGGCACCGATACCATCGCCAATCTTCTTTTGAATGCCTCTGAATGTCGCAGTGGCACCTATGAATGTCAGAGCCCCGAACTCGGGTCTCTTGAGAATAGTACTGGTGATTTGCTCGGCATCACCGGGCAAGAACTGGATCACATCCTTAGGCAGACCAGCCTCGAGCAAGATTTGGTGAAGCAACCAGCTAGCATGAAGAGCAGAATCAGAAGGCTTCCAGACGACGACATTGCCAAGCAGCGCAGCGGGCCCGATGAGCGTTGCTCCAAGTGCTGTAAAGTTGAAAGGAGCAATGGCGTACGTGAAACCTTCTAGCGGGCGGTACTCCATTTTGTTCCAACTGCCATGAAGCTGGACCCTCGGTTGTTGTGAGAACAGAGCCCATGCCTCTTGGATATAATGACGGAAGAAATCGGCTGTCTCCGCAGCCGCGTCAATTTCTGCTTGCCAGATGTTCTTTCCTTGGCCGAGCATTGTGGCTGCAACTATATCGGAACGATACTTGCCGGTAACAAGCTCGGAGGCTCGGAGGAATATGGCGGCACGGTCTTCGAATGGAGTAGCTTCCCAGGCAGGTTTTGCACTGAGGGCTGCGTCAATCGAGGCATTGACCTGCTCGGGGGTGGCGGAGGCGTAGTTTGCAACGATTTCGCTGTGCTTTGAAGGGTTTGGTTGAGCGCGGGATTCCTTGGTGGTAGTCTTTGTGATCGTGTCTTAGTTGAAGATCCTCAGTCATTGTTCGTTTTCAGTACGTACCTCTGAGCCATTGATGATAATGGGAATCGTCAGAGGGAATTGGCCCTTGAGCTTCTTGATAGATTTGGTTAACTCAGCTCGTTCAGGAGAGCCTTTGGCATAGTTGAGCTGTTTCGTTGTTAATGAGAATTGCTCCATTCGCTTTGACAATGCTCACCATCTTTTCGTTTTCAAACTTGGGAGGGCTCAACATAGTCAAGTATCTCCGTAAAGACCCATTCGGTGCACAAAGCTTGAGGTAGCGAGGCCTCATTGATCGAACAACCGTAACAGGAAGCATATTGTGTTGGAAGAATTGGGAAAGAAAACAGAGTCAATGATTTTTATCAACGTTCCTAGGAATTATTTCTGGTCAGGTAAATTTGGGCTCAGAACCAATCCCTCTTATTGGTAGCGCATCTATTAAATATAGCTGATGTTCATGCATGGGCTACGTATACTAGTCCATCGGATGCTCCTACCGAGCAAGAAACTCCCGACTTGTGTATGTATGTAGCGGACAGCATCTTTGGGGCACATGAATCTTACATCACATTGTATTTGGGGTCGTTAGAACGTTCCTCAATCGACGCTGCAAAGCCATCGGACCAGGAATCCGACTTTCGATCATGGAAGCGCCCGGTCACCCAATGGTCTGTTCTATAAAAATACATATCGGCATTCTCTGCGAAACAACTCCACAGAACCCTACATAGTCTCGATCCTCAATTGTCTAGAGCTTTCTAGCTGATATCCAAGTTGGATATTCAATATTACCTAATTCTCTTGAGACTTCCAAGGTTGCAAATATCGGGGAACGATCAGGAGATGCCGGGGTCGATGTATACATGCATGGTTTATATACATGTCCATGAGCCATCCCAATGCTGACAGTGGAATACATTGCTGGGTAACGATAGTGATCGATGAGAACTGTGGATTAAATGAGAACATTTGAATTGAGCAAGAATATCAGCAATCAAACACGCAGTCAACATGAAGTTCAGGTCTGGCAACGTCGAACGGATGGGGTGATAAGGGCTCGATGTGGTACTCCGTATAAGGTAGCTGATACCACTTGCTTGGCCCGACTAACCCAGTTTGGCGCGGTACCAGTGACACCAGGGTTCAAGCTGTTATCTCTAGGCCCTTGATGACTTCGCCTCCTCGATAACCTTGGAATTGTCAAGTGCTGTTTCTGTATTGCGTCTTGTTCTTTTTTTTGAAGCCGCGGCATTTGTACAATTTGGGGTAGAGAGCGATTCCTGTGAATTCGTGCGACCAACCCCCCCTCGGGAGCTCCGCTTGATCGTCAACATCGTCATTGCCATCACCTCCACACCTGATCCCGCCACCTCTTCGGCGCAACATCACCCCAGTGCGGCTTCCTGATGTCGTTGTTCGGGACGTCTCCAGAGGATCCCTCTGCGGGTGATTCTGCTCAGAGATCCAAATCTTCGTTGTTTGCTGATGAACCGGCTACGGGCGGCTCGTCGCTATTCGCCGACGACGACGGCGACGACAGTTCCTCTCCCTGGAACATGCAAAATACTACAACGAAGCGGACTGCTCGACGCGACCTGGTTCGAACCTTGCTTCCAACTACAGATGTGCCGGAAAGCTACATCGACGCATACGATTTGATTCTGAACAGTGGAGACAGGGTGGGCTCCGGTATTGGCCTGACGTCGGTGCGGGAGATTCTCTCGAGCAGTGGGCTGACTGCGACCGACCAAGGCAAGATCTTGAACCTGGTTGCTTCCAGCGACCACGAGAGCTTCAATGGACTCGGTCGTGGCGAATTCAATGTGTTACTGGCGCTGGTTGGCCTAGCACAAGAGGGCGAGGACCTCTCCTTTGACGCAGTGGACGACCGCCGCAGAAGTGAGCTGAGTTTGCGCGTTTAACCTTTTGTTATTATAACAATTTTCCTAACACGAATTCTATCCAGAATTGCCCCAACCGAGGGCTGGCTATCTCGACCGACTACGAACGACCGGCGACGCGAGCTCCGAGCAACCATACCAAGAACCTGCTACTCCGGCTTCCCAATCTTCTACCTTGCCAGAGCCGGTTGCGATACAATCGGAAAGGCCACGGCGAGAATCATTAGACGGATTGGATGCCGACCCATGGGGCAGTCCTCAATTACATCGAGGGCACAACCATGAAACGGCAGGCACCGAGCAACCTATATTGAATGGCTTCGGGAGCGTGCGTTCAACGACAAACGCCTGGTCTACTAAGGTGACTGCAGATACAACACAAACCAATGAGGTTCAGCGGGAGAGTTCCAATGGCCCGACCGAGGCTGCGCCGCCTAGCAGTGCTGGGTCTGGATGGGACCATAATAATTTTAGCGCGTCTGGTCCAAGCGATCAGAGCAGCTTTGGGGGCACGGCACGTCCCGATCTAAGTGGCTTCGGTCCTCCAGGGGATGATCCAAGCAATATTGCACCACGGCGTCGGTCTCTTGGTCTCGGGCGATCGACAAACCCGCAGATCGAGGAGACCGTGACTGTCACGTTGCTGCCAGAGAAAGAGGGATTGTTCATGTTTCAGCACCGAAACTACGAGGTCAAATCTGCACGAAGAGGTAGTACGGTCATCCGGCGCTATAGTGACTTTGTTTGGCTATTGGATTGCCTGCAAAAGCGATTCCCTTTCCGGCAATTGCCTCTTCTTCCCCCCAAGCGGGTTTCAGGTATGTCAAACGCGCATTGAGCGTACCTACTGGCTTACTCACCATTATGAAGTCAATGGCGCTCACCTTTCAGCGGACTCATCTTCTTTCCTCGAGAAACGCCGGCACGGACTTGTTCGATTCACCAACGCCCTCGTTCGCCATCCCGTTCTCGGCCAAGAGCAGCTTGTGATTATGTTCTTGACGGTTCCAACAGTAAGCTCCGCTCTTTCGGCTCTTGGGCATTGAGACCAGTGACAAAACGCTAATGTGGGAACAGGAGCTTTCAGTGTGGCGAAAGCAAGCCACAATATCAGTGCAAGACGAGTTTGTCGGCCGTGTTCTCCCACCGGATCTTGAGGATTCGTTACCCGCTACTCTTGACGAAACGTTTGAGACGGTTCGGAGCGGTGTTAAGCGTTCTGCCGAAATCTATATTAATCTTTGTACTTTGCTTGAACGACTTGCTAAGCGTAACGATGGGTTGGCTGCTGACCACCTCCGGTTTTCCCTCGCTTTGCAGTCCTTGACGGAAGTCACGAAAGACACGTATGCAGTGGATACCAATGATATTCCGTCTCTTAATGAAGGTATCACAGCTACCGCTCGGCACCTCTCTACCAGCCAAAGTCTATTGGAAGACGAAGCCCGAGGGTGGACCGAGGGGGTTCTAGAAGATCTCAAGCGGCAACGTGATTGCTTGGTCAGTGTGCGCGAGATGTTCGATCGGCGGGATCGGTATGCACGGAACAACATCGCACAGCTAGAACGGCGTATTGAGACCAATGAGCGGAAGCTGCAAGATATCCGTGCCCGACCTTCCGGCACTGTCAAGCCCGGGGATATTGAGAAGGTTGAGGATTCTATCTTGAAGGTGAGACAGCCCATTTCCATGGCGCCCACTGTGATACTAACCCTGTCGGTGTGTTAGGACAAAGAATCTATTGTGCAGCAGCATGCCCGGGGGGTCTTCATCACAGAATGCATCCGGGACGAACTTATCCATTTCCAGCAAAGTCAGTATCATATCAGTCGCCTGCATCAAGACTGGAGCCAAGAGCGTGTCAAGTATTCCGAATTGCAGGCCGATAACTGGCGTAGCTTGAGTGATGCAGTCGAGGGTATGCCGACGAGCGTGTAGCTGCCCAGGTGGGCAGCATTGGGCCTCGTCAGCCAGGTCGTACATACCAGCCCCCTGGCGGACTTGACAATTTTATAACCATCTTTTTGATGAACGCGCGGGATGCGCAATCTGCATCCCATTGATCGCATCTTTGCTTGTTGATTTTGATGATTTTTTTTTATTCTCCATTTTCCCCCGGAAATACGCATGTTTCATGTTGAGTTTTCAGCATCGAATTCCCCCGAAGTTTCTGATGTGTCCCTGTTTGATCCGATTCCCAATTGATTCCTTTGATTCCCAAGTTTGATTTTACTCTGTATTCTATGCTATATAGTCAAGACGGGGTGGGGTGATGGGGAATCTCACATACCAACACTGGCCACAGTTAAGCCTGAGAAATGATCCCGTGACCGATCAATCTAGATCCGATAGCTCACACGAATCAACTAAGAAGTACGACGTACTCCGTACTCTGAACTCCGTACGCCGTACGCGATGCCCTACGCCCGGACGCCCCCACTCACCTCACTTAGGACGCCACTGACCCAATAATCAGCACGATGATCCTGGCCCTGGGTCTTGGCAATTGGCAGGGCTGGCGATCGGGAAGGATCCAGTGACCATACGTGACCGGAATATTACCCTGCACCGATCAAGTTGAGACATATGCGGTATGCAGGTGTAGTATAAACTGCCAATTGTCCCTTCTTTTCTTCTTATTTTCCTCTCATCCAAGACCTCTTGATCAGTGCGCACATCCTCCTCCGCCAGCCAAGACCATTTCCGCTTCCGACGTGGGTCTCGCAGGGCTCGGCTGACGAATCCCGCCGTTTCCAAGAATACCTCGTTCTGGGCAAATCTCCCCCACGCCTTGGACTCGCCTCTCTCTGCTTGGCCAAGAGTCTTCCAAGACTTTGACCGAAACTCCCCTGTGCTTTCGTCCCATTTTTTTTTCTTCCTCTCTTCCAACCCCCCTACCTACACTTTCCAGGCCAAGCCCGAATCTCTTTTTGACCTGTCTGGCTTTCGCCTCCACCCCATCGCATCCCCCCAAGCTCTTGGCCAGTCTGCGCCCCCCGCAAAACCTGCACTGCCAACCCCAATTCTTGTCGGACGTGCGCTTCGATCGCGATCAAACCCTCAGCCCTACAGAGCTCGGCAATTTGGCTTTCCAATTATTCACCAAGGCATGAAGAGCTACGCGGACCAACGAAGTTCGAGGGCGGAATACATCCGGTAAATCGTTTGCTGCGATACGAAGCGCGCTACGAAAAATAAATTAAAAAAAAGAATCCAAAAGTCCCCAGAATAATTCAATCGGTGTGAGATCTCCGACATCTTCACCATGGCCTGGGATCATCTGGACATCGATAAGCCACATCTGGCTTACATGATCCTAGGAGGTTTCACCGGCCTGTTCATGCTGTGCTCCCTGTTCGTCAAGGAGAAGCTTTATATTGGCGAAGCCACTGTAGCCACGTTATGTGGAATCATCTTCGGGCCCCATGCGGCCAATCTGTTCAATCCGCACGATTGGGGAAATATCGATAAGATCACTCTCGAGTGTTCCCGAATCGTCCTAGTCGTGCAATGTTTCGCCGTCGGTGTCGAGTTGCCCAAATCTTACATGGAACGTCACTGGAAGTCTGTTTCTTTGCTGTTGATCCCTGTGATGACTTGGGGTTGGCTTATCACCAGTCTATTTATTTGGTGGATGGTACCCCCGTTGAACTGGCTCGAGGCCCTGGTCTGTGCTGCGTGCGTCACGGCTACTGATCCTGTCTTGGCATCATCTGTTGTCGGTAAGGGAAAGTTTGCCAAGCGTGTCCCCAAGCATTTGCGTGATTTGCTGTCTGCAGAGTCCGGGTGTAACGATGGCATGGCGTTCCCATTCATCTACCTATCTTTTTACATCTATCACTATCGGCCCAATGTTGGCGAGGTGTGGCTCAACTGGTTCTGTATCACCGTTTTGTACGAATGTATCTTGGGTGCTATCTTCGGCTTCACCATTGGCTACCTTGCTCGCCATGCGATCAAGTTTGCCGAGCGCAAAGGATTGATTGATCGTGAAAGTTTCCTCGTGTTCTACTTTGTGTTGGCTGTGTTTTGTGCTGGTTCTGGTGCTCTGCTGGGCATGGACGATCTGCTGATTGGTTTCGCCTGTGGTGTTGGATTCAGTAACGATGGTTGGTTCACGGAGAAAACCGAGGAATCCCATGTCTCCAACGTCATTGATCTTCTGCTTAACTTGGCATACTTTGTCTACTTCGGATCCATCATTCCCTGGGAGGACTTCAACGCCCCTGAGCTGGGCCTCACTCCTTGGCGGTTGGTGGTGATTGCCATATTGGTCCTATTTTTCCGACGTATACCAATCATGCTGATGCTGAAGCCGTTGATACCTGACGTTAAAACTTGGCGAGAAGCTCTGTTTGCAGGACATTTCGGTCCTATCGGTGTCGGCGCTATCTTCGCCGCTATTCTCGCTCGTGCGGAGCTGGAACACGATACCACGCAGCCATCACCTGAAAACGAGCTTCCATTGCCAGGAACTAGCAACTATTATGTTGTAAGACTCATCTGGCCCATCACTACTTTCATGGTCATCACGTCTATTCTGGTCCATGGTTCATCTATTGCCGTGTTCACTTTGGGTAAACGCATCAATACCTTGACCATCACCCTGTCCTACACCCAGGCCAACGAGGATGGACCTTCATGGATGAACCGTCTGCCTCGTGTGCAGTCGATTGCCAAGGGTTCCATGTCCTTCCGCAAGACGGAAGATACAGATGCCTCCTCCGACGAAAAGCTACCTGAATATCCTCCCGGTACACTTCCGCCTATCGGCATGCCTGGAAACTTCCTACGTCGGCAACGTGATGAGGACATGGACAGTGAGTCACAAGGCCTCGAAACATCTCGTCGCAAGCCCTTGCGGAGACGTCGCCGTAAGCGTGCTACCGGTGGCGGTGGTCCAATCAGCCAGTCTGCTATTATGCCCATTTCTCGGCGAACCGAGGGTGAGATTGAAGCCGAGGATGAGAAGAAAGAGCTTGAGGAACGCGACCAGGTTGAGCGCGGAGCCTCTCCGCCTCATGCTGAGCGTGATCGCTTCGGCCGTGAGCCAGAGTTGGAGGTGTACCAAGAGGGTCGCAATATGATCATTGAGGATGAGGAGGGTAATGTTCTCAAGACCGAGGATACCTCTAGACTGACCCCAGAAGAGAAACTCCGGCACATTGAGGAGCAGCGCAAGCGTCTGGAAAATGACCGGTCGGGTGAATTCGCACAATCTCAGAGTCAACCCCACAAGAAGGACGAGGGAGAAGAGATCAAGCGCGCTGTCGAGGAGAAGGCTTCCACATCCTACGGAAACGCTCTCAAGAAGTGGACCAACTGGACTGGACTTGGGAAGGATCGCGCCGCAGAACAGCCAGGCAAGAAGGCAGAGAAGCGTCCCAAGGCTGAATCGGCAAAGCCCAAACCTCGTTCAGCTCATGCATACCAGTTCGGCAACACTATTATTGTTGAGGATGAGGATGGTGAAGTTATCAAGAAGTACACACTACCCGGCAACAAAAAGACCGAGAAGGGAGACAAGGAGCCTACTGACCCTGGTCAAGCACCTGTTCGTCGTGGTCTGACCCGCATGGGTACTTGGTTCGGCATGGAAGAAGAAGGCGAATCGTCCCAGGCCGCTCAGGAAAAGAGGAAGGATGATGACTGGACCGCCGACGATGGTCTCCGATTCACTCTGGCCGAGGATCCCGATGTCAGCTCCCACGGCATTGGCCACAAGGGCAGACGTATGAACAAACAGGAGTTCTTCCAGCAGATCAAGGGTTTGGACGCCAAATCTCGTCGGGACGTGGTGCAGCAAACCGACGCACCCGCACCAGTCCAAGCAGTGGCCCAGCAGGCAGCCAAAGAAGAAGCCAAGACTGAGCAACAGCAAGAGCGCCTCTCTGCCGCCGCCGCTGCCGGCGCTGCTACTGGCACCATTCCCGAAGAAGACGCCGACGCCCTGGAATCAGAGTCCGTCACCGACAGTGATATCAGCGACGACGAGTCTGACGACCGTCGGGGTTCCCCCAACGTTGCTGCATCACTCGCAAAGTTCTCACATGGCGGTAACTCCGCCGCCCAGGAACGTCGTAACAACCTCAGCCCAGCACCACCCCGTACCCGGGACCGCGCTCGTCGCGATTCCGACGACGATGGCACAGAGCGTATCCCACCTTCACGTCTCCGCCAAGCTGCTGGTCTGACCGCGCCCCCGCGCCAGATCGACGACGACACAGGCGAGACCCCCGCCGAGCGTCGCCGCCGTCTGGCAGCCCTGGGTGTGGAGGGTGACGACTCCGACAACGAGGATGGTTCCGATTCGGACGATGCCGCCGTAGAAGATACAGACATCGACGACAACGATAACGGCGCCAGCCAGACGAACAAGCTCCAGCCCAGCGAATCGCAGAAGCAGTCCGACGACTCTCCATCCGGATCTACATCCGGCTCCGGCTCCCAGTCCGCCTCCCGCACCATCCCCCGCGTCTCCTGGGGAGGCGAGAAGGGCCGTGAACTCTAAGCGAGACCATGATATATAAAGTCATTAAGTTCTGACTTGCCCCTATTCTTTATTCCTAATACACTGTCAGAGATGACCAAATCCACGTACATTGCCTCCGATGTGTGTCCCATTGCTTTTTCCTCGCCCTTTTTTTTGCTTCGATATCCATGTATCTTCTCATTTCCGCTGTGCATACTATTGCCCTTGCATGTAATGACAATGACCTCGCTTGATTGCCGTGATCGACTTTGCTCATTTTACCGTGTCGATATGGATTACTTTTTTTTGGCTCGCTGTGTTCGCGAGAGCGAAGCGATATTTAACTATACAATGCATTCCTTACATGATCATCACCTTCTCCCCGTAGTTCGAGGATAAATATCCCAGAGATATAAGAAGGACGTAATAGTAGAGGTAGATTTCTATAGCTACGATATATCCGAGCTGAAAGAAATAACTTGATCTACCAAAGACCGAGGTATCGAACATAAAAAACCAGCTTATAAACAAGCCCAAAAGCGTAATTCTAAACTAACCCTCCCCCCTCTTACTCCATTGAACTCTGTGGTCTCATGATACCTCTCCCGAAGAACTCACTTACAACGCCGAACCGATCCCGCGAACGAGATAACTCGCCCTTGAATAATTCATGCTGGTCGGCTGAATCAACCTGTCTCTGCCGGATAGCGCGGAGGGTTGCATTCGTCGGCGCACAGACGGGACATTGGGCGTCCTCGTCGAGGTTGTTTAGACAGCGCTCGTGGAAGGAGTGTTTGCAGAGGAAGTGGACGGTTGGGAGGTCAGTGTTCCGCCGCAGGATTGGCAGCGACGGGATTGGAAGACGACCGGTTGGGTGGTGAGGTGGTCTAGTTCTTGTTGTTTGGTTGCGGTTTCGGATTTATAGCTTGTGATGAGACGGCGGTTCTGGAGTGGGAATAGGGTTAGATTTGGGTATTGGTGGCTTAGGAAACGGCGTTTGGGGGAGTGTACGTACGGTTGCGATTTCTTTGCGCTCACGATCGATGTTGTCGCTGAGGTACTTCTTGACTCGGCCCATTGTTACAACTGCGTTGTTGCTGAGTGCTTGGATTACTTGCAGTGGGGAGAGGAGGCCATCTTGATTGATGCGTTGCAGGACTGTGTCTAGCTCGTCGCCTGCTTCTTCGAGGATTTGTGGGCTCGAGGCGAAGTAGGTTAATGCGTCGACGTAGAGTTGGGGCTCATCGGGTCCATAGCGCCTCAATGCTTTGATTGCACCCTGTGTATCTTTTGCTGAAGTGAATGAGCGGAAGATGTCAAGGCGGAGGCCCTCTTGCTCACGGACAAGGGTTGATCCTTCTCGGAAATCTGACAGGTCGGACAGGAGAAGCACATTAGATGTGGAGATCGGGATCTGAGAATGTTAGATATGCAGGTCGATGGTAAATAGACGGCGGAAATAACTCACGTCTTTCCCTTCGATTAGGTTCTTCGCTTTTGTCTCCCATTCATGTTTCTCGGCAGCATCCTTTTGCCCCTTTGCTGTGTCTAGGTACATCTCAAACAGTGTTGTAAAGAGATCAATCTTAGCATCCTTTTTCAGATCCGGCTGCTGCACCAAAGTCTCAAGGAAATCGATGAATTCCTTGGGGTGATCCACAAACGCAGAGAATGCCGTTCGCGGTTTAGGGATGTCATAGTCCGGAGGAGAATCTTCAACTTCATTTTCATCGGTCACCGTTTCAGCGGGTTGAACCGGTGGCTGTTTGCTGGTGCCCACCTGCATGTACCGCAGCGGAAGAAGCGCAGCAAGACTTTGCACTGTGCTAAGCGTCTGTTCTTGGGGCTCTGATGACTGTTCCACCTCTGTGCGTGGCCGGTACTGACCAGAGTAGTAGACCTTGAAAAGCTCGGATGTCCGGTCAGGGCAATGAGTTAACAACACTCGAGCGTATTTCATCAAATTATGATATGCCTAGCACATATTAGCTCGTTTCTTGCGTATGAAATGATCGACACATACCACCTCAGGATCCAATCGCCAAATGTATTCCACTGCCTCGGCATATTTCTTGGAATCTTCGATAAGAATATCAACGACCATGTCATTCTCGCCATGCTTTGTGGCGAGATAGGCTGCTTGCTCATAGTACCCGCCTTGTCGGCACATAGCAATAGCAGTCTCCAAATCAAACTTAAGCTCACCGGGAGCCTTGATGAATGAATCTAGCTTGGTTGTGTCTTTAAGCTTTGCGTAGCAGTTCAAGAGGAGTGTTGTGTGATCCACCGTGGCACGGCCGTGGTCATGTAGTTCTTCAAGATATTCAATCAAATTATGAATACGTTGGGTGTCCAGATACTACATCATCAATTAGCAGGACAACGAACTAATGCTGAATCATGATCGTCACTAACCTTGCGAATAACCTGAGACGGTTCGGTGTTATCAATGGCTCGGAGATACTGCTGCATGGCTGTATCATAGTCTCCCCCGCTGGTACAAGAAGTCACCATACTTTCGATAGATGGCATTTTGTTGCAGCGGGTCAATCCCAATCTTTTGCGCAAGATTGATTGCAAGTATATAGAGATTGCGCTCGTATAAAATTTCAAGCTTTTGCTGGAGAGTCTTCTCCCGATAACGGAAAATCTTAAAGTTGTTAGACAAAGCGCCCAGCACGACAGAGCACATTCCCCTACCTTTCCGTCCGTTGTAAGAAGAAACAAGTCGCCCCATTCCATGAAAACACGTTTCATGGGCGAAACCAGCGCTTCGCTGTGTGCGATGAACTTGAGATCAGTATCGAGAAGCGTAAATGTCGTCGTGCCAAACAATTCCTCCGCCGGATTAGCAGTGTATTTCCTTAGCGGATCTGACTTCCCAGTCTCAGCCTTGGGCGGACAAACGAGAGCCACATAATCACGAAAGGCATCAATAGACGTCTTCGGACCTTCGAATGCATAGCTCGCACCACGACCGCGCGGACCGTACGTGAAGACCGCCTCCTCGCGGGCAATCAAAACATCCCCACTCTCTTTATCCAGTGTCATGCATCCCAGGCCGCAGCCAGTATCCTCCAAGACACGGGCAGGCTGACCCTGTCCTCGCCCGGCGATAACCAATGTCAGGATGCGGCTGGTAGTTGAAATGTAGAGAGTCGTGACAGCGCCAGTCTGAGTTTCAAGTCCAGTAATCGGTTCCTCGGACTCGAATACAATCCGTTGTTTTGCACCGCGGTCGTGGATCAGGTCGCCTCGGATGATCGTTACGGATCCGTTCGCGAAACCGACTGCTACTTGTGAGAGGTCTTCGACAGCTGCGAAAGCAGAGATCTACACCATTGTAAGCATTTGTCTCGTATTCTGTCCATGCGAGGGATAGACGCACCGGGAACTGCCTCCGGGCATTCTGCACGGGGACCGTTGACAGACACCGCGGGCAGCCATCTTTCTTCTCCGTATCCAGCGCCCAAACCTTCAGTACCGGCTCATTAGAAAGATCCTCTGCAACGGTGACGAGTAGAGCGGTATTGTTTATTTGTCGCATATGCGTAATGGAGCCGGTATCGTGAGCCTTGAACGATCGCACGGTGCGGAAGCCTGAGGAGATAATGTGGACGAAGCCATCGGTAGTGCCGACGAAGAGGTTCGAGGAACCGGTGCAGATAGTTGAAAGGTCGCTCTATGATTATGTTTAGACACGGTGTAGGCTGGACAGAGGGAATGTCGAAGCCTTACATTGAAGACCGAGGAGCTGTCCTCTGGTAGCTTCACCGGCGACACGTCGATGAAGTTGAATGCTTTCCACTATTGTATCTGTTAGCTTCACTCCAGTATCTGAAACTCCAAGCCTCTTACTGATGTCAACGCCATCTCGGCTCGCCATTGACTGAGATGTGCGGCTGGAAGGTGACGATGCGGTCCGGAGCTCTCCCCGCTGGCGCTCGGACCACTTGGTTCCTGACGTCGATCCCCAACACACGCAGTCTAACGAGGCCAGGTCGGACTGTGCCTCCGGTAGTATTACATGTGGTATATAGTATTTTGTACATTTGAATAAACCGATATCTTGCTAAGTTCTGTATCTTGACTAGGCTAATTAGTATGTGAACAGACTGTTGGGAACCGAGATAAGTCGCTTTGCTAAAGTATGTATGGCTAGAATAAGACATTGAAAGTATTGATATATGCTTGAACACTCCAATGGAATCCAAAAAAACACTTCATCTCCAAGCTATGAACTGGAAAGCGCTGTACGCAGTGAGAAGAATAAAAGCAGAAGATATGAACCAGGGAAGTCATCACAACATCAAGGAATTCTCTCTATTGAGATAAATCCATCAAAGGAGGTGGTTGGGGTTCGGAGGTAGGGATAGTCCTGGGATTCTGGTTTGTCAGACCAGTGTCTTTCATGAAATCGAAACTTTGTTGAAGCCAACTACCAGCATCTGCGATCGCCTGGCTCAGATTGAAGGTTTCCATTCCTTGATGAACACCTTGGCCATCCTGGCCTGTTGTTAGTGTCGATCCGCTCAGTGTGAATGGCAAGGATGCATCTGTGATAGATCGATGAGTGGGGTGGTGATCCGGTTGTTGAACCACCGGCTGTGGACTTGCTTCCCCTCCACTTGATTGGGACCCAATAGTGTGATAATCCTCATCTCCAGAGGTAGATTGAGTCTTGACAGAAGATGACGGACTCCCAGAATTGGCGGTTCTCTTTCGCTTAGAACTTCTCGTCGGTGAGCTTGAGCCTGGCCTGGATGCACGCTGTCTCTTTTCCGTGCTGAATGCGTAGGGCGTAGCTGCATCAAGCATAAACTGCGTGTTCATCTGCGTCATATTTCTGTTTGTGCGATTCAAGCTCCGCTCTTGACCAGCTTGCTCAGTGCTGAAGTTGAAAGGTGTAGCTGCATCGAGCATGAATTGCGTGCTCATTGCCTGTCTCTTGTCCGTGCTGGTAATCTTTATGCTCTGCTCTAGATCACGTCGAATTGACTCTTCCAAACGATAGAATGGAGTGACATTCATTGGGTGAGTTGAACCGCTCGGTGAATGCACAGGTCGGTCGTGGCCTGGTGTTTGATGGTTGTAATATTCAGGGCTATCCAAATCGTCCTGGAACGACTTTTGTGCATGTAAAAGAGCAGCCTGGGTCGAAAGCTGGGTATCAAAGCCTGGTTGTGAGTCTAGTTCAGAATTTCCTTTGGGTAAAGCCGTTGAATGAAGTGAAGTTACCCGGTCCGACACACCCAAAGGTGCAGGCACTCGTTGGGCAGAGGGGAGATCTTCACATGTGTTCTGTTCTGTTGTAGCCTCTTCATTTGGTCCAGAAAGTTCTGTATCTTGATATGTCGAGGTATCTTCGTCGTCCATGGCATCATCTTCCTCCGGAATATCCTCTAGAGCCTGTGCTTCTGCAACATCATGCTCATCTGCGAATCTAGTCTCTTTTGACATAGTTTTGTGGCTTATAATTTCCTTTTCAGAAGACTCGTTGCAAATCACTATCTCTCTGTGAACAGAGGGCTCAGGTGCAACAGGGTCCAAAGGTATATTTCTGACCGGACCGGCAGGGGCAGGTTCAGCAGTGGTTTTGTCCTTCAAAGGGCTATCCGCCTCCAAAAAAGTCTCTTCTTGCAAGATACTCTCATCCTGCATAGGAGAGGTCCGTTCTTGCTGACTAGAATGATCACGGGGCCATCTTCGATATTCAAATCTTGGCAACTGAGATGAGGAATCAACAACTCGGAGAGACGCTTCCTCTGACATGTGCGTTTGCTGAAACTTTTGAAGGGGAGATAATTTGGGAATGGTAGGAGCTTTGGGCGAAGCTGTCGTAGCCGTTTGAATGTTCTGTGGAAATGGATGTGCGTTGGTGTTTATAGGAGCAGTCAGAGTAGTCTTCGCCATGACAGGTTTGGCAGGGTGTGATTTCATTGGGGATCCAGGCGTCTGTGGGACCTGTACATGAACCACGCGGGGCGCAGGTCGGCGAGCCTTATCCGAATGGCGAGAAGCGACCGACGTTGTTGGCGAGCTCGGCGGTTCGAACTTGGTGAAGTTCATAAGTGTCCGATCCTTCCTCAGCCAGTCTGCTGTTCTGGGATGGTTTATTGACCGATCCTCCACGGCCAAAGATTGTTGTTCCGTTGATTTCGCCGGAGACCGTCGCGATGATCCAGGTTGCACACTACGCGCCGGCCGGGGGGTAGACTTCCTGGAATTCCCCCGTGATGGTTTAGAGGGCGAAGAACGGTCCGCGGTGTGTACCGAGGCTCCAGGAGAGTCGAAAGACGACGGTGGAATCTCCGCGCGACGACTACTGACTGACAAGCCCTGTCGATGTTTTGAAACCCGCAAATCGGTTTCCTGGACCACCCGCTCGGGGACATTCGTATGTCGATTTGACAACACTCTCGCCGATGATGCGCTGGCTCCACGAGACCTGTTCTTCTTCCAGGGATTCACCCATCCATCATCAAATGGTCCCCTCAGCGATGCAGAGAGGATTGAAAGCGGTTTCCCCTGCAAATAAGACTGTGCTAACTTCTCCACCCGCTGGCGCTTTGCAGCACGGGCAGCGCCGTCAATCTCTTCATCTGAGGCCAGAAGGTCATCTGGATCTGTTTCAAATGGAGATATCTCGCATGACTCTAGCGAAATCGGGGACACGGGCCGCGGGTATGGCATTGGGGGTTGAGCTTCGAGCTTCGAGCTTCGAGCTTCAGTTGTTGGGTGAAGCTGTGGCAGTCAGACGCTGCGGTGGAGGGACTGTGGGCGGGCGCTTCAGGTTTATATTCATTTCTAGTGAGAAAGTGAGTTGTCCATGTACGATTGAGACTGCAAGGCAGGTTTGTTTGCCAGAGATGAGGTGTTCTGCCTGCCCAACGCGCAAACCACTTAACGCGTTGATGGCCGAGCAACCCCAGGCTCAAGTGGGGAAATATTATGTCATCACGTCAGTACAACAAACATGGTGTCTGTCATTTTACCAGAGATAGGTTAAGTATTTACATATCTTAGTATAAGTAGCAATTTCGGTAGTCGAACTAACAGGTAAAAAGGACAGCCGAAGAATGCGGATGTAAAAAGCAGATGGCTATGGAAAGATAGCTATAACTAGATCAATAGACACAGGTTAAGCCTAATGGCCCAGCAATTTCTGATAGTGTTGTATCAAAGGGTAAATCATATTCACACGAAGACTCTGAATAATCGAACACTGAGCGAAAAGATGAACGTTAAAGAGAAAACCACACTATAGCCTCAACCATCACACTGCAGCAAGAGCAAGACAGGGTAAAACCGAACGCTAGCAAGCAGGGAAGATGACATGACATGAGGCAATTCGTCTATGACACAGAACCGAAGTCGACAAGCAGGGTATCAAAGGCATTACGCATGAGCGAGAGCCGAGAAAGCCGGGGTGCGGTTATTTGGTGCAGATACACATGCTGTGATGGAATGTGGGGGGTGAATTGCCTTGGATAGTTTATTCATGATACACGCGCGTGAATGGAAAATAAGAGTTGAAGAGATGAAGAGATAGATATCAAAAAGCATTCAAACAAGGTAATGGGGGAGGTCATTAAATGGTCATCAAAACGGAGTGCTCAGTACGCTCCTTCATTCGCATGGCTTGAGCTTCGAGAGAGCGGGCCATCAATTTCGTCACTGAAGATGGATGTTAGATATTTGGTTGGTCTGGTTGAGATTGAAGGGATTATAGGAACTCACCTGGCCAGACAGCAGCTCTCTCCAAGAGACTGGCTGTCGCAATCAATATTTTACATCCGTATCCGCCTTCCACTGCACTGGGCAGCCGTTGCATGGCACTCAGCGCGGACATGGAAGTGCTATTTTGCACGTGGCGCTGCATCTTTGTTTCAATACTTGCCAGTATCTCCTTAATCTTATCCACGAGCTTGCAATCTTCATCTTCGAGCAGCATGACTCCTGGTACTTGAGTCAAGTCGGTGTCATCGCGGCCCAGAATACCAAGGTAGGGGCCCACACGTTCCTGAACAGTTGTGATCCACTCCGCAAGTACCTGTGCACAATCGAGAGCGCACATGGCGCATTGGAGAGGCAGCTCTCGCGACGAAAACTCGGCATATGTGTTGCCAAGATGATCAGACATCGAGATGGAGTCTGCAGCGTAGAAAGCGGCTTTACGCAAGTGCTTTTCGCGCCTCGATTGGCCAGTCTTGTAGATGTTGGATAGAGTCTGCATAGGCTCGTCCTGCGTGGGTGTCCTGGAGATTGCTAGATCTGAGACACCTAGGTCGGCGATCGAGTCTCGTCTAGTATCGAGATGTCCAGTGAGAGATGGGTCAACAACATCGTTGATCGAAGCATCAGGGTGCTGGAAAACCTCTGTACCCCGTGCAAGCTCATCTGCCACTCCATTCCAATCGCGTTGCCAGAACGCCTCTTTGCATCGTCCTAGATTGACAAACAAACGGACATATGCCAAATCGAGCAGTGGAATGCTGTCTGCAGACAAGGGTCCAGCTCCGAACGGATTTGGTCGCTCTAGGCTGTGGACAGGGTTGCTGGCCCATGCTGCTTGCCAGGCTCGTAGAGCGGGCTCAATATGTGATTGCATGGCATCTGTCTCCTGAGCGGTCCATTGCCGACCCATGTGCCTTTGGCGGGTTTCCCAGATGTAGTTGTGAAGGGAGTAGATAAGTACCAAGCAGCCAAAAGTACTTGGGCGGTTTTCAGGATTAGCCAGGTCGTCTGCATTGTAGAACAGGTTCGCCGATTGACTCTGTTCTCGTTGGCTGGCAGTCAAAAGAGAAGTCAAAGCAGCCGAAAACGGCAATGTTTTCTTTGTGGCCGTTTGACCGCCCATCCTTTTCCATACCTGAGGTGATTCAGCCGCCCAGAGGTCTTCTTCGCAGGGGAGATCCAGACGAATTTCGGAGTTTGTGAGTGCCGGAGCATGGTTGTAAGCCGAGACGAGAAAGCTGGAAAGAACGAAAATGGCGTAGAGGGTGCGTTTCCGTTCCTCTACAATCTTCCAGTTCAACCAATCTCTTCGCTCTTTTGGTTGACTGAATGACGAAGACATCCAGTTCTCCGTATCATCGGATGTATCAGCTCCGTTGGTTGCAGGAGTAAGATGATCTTGTGGCAGGTTCTTAGGATCCAGGTGTTGTGTCAATTCGGCTGCGCGAGCCAGGCTAACCAAAGCAGCACAATGGGTGCTAGCAATGTCTGCGGATGTTTTGTCACCGCAAATATGGCCGTATATCACATTCAAGAGCATTGCTTGTACTAGCCAAAGCGGGGTATTGTGGACTGAGTTATCGCGCGAGGAATGAGAACGATTGAGAGCAGCAGACATGTCAGCTTTTCGTCGCTCTTCAAGGTACAATTGAATCATTCGTTTCGCAGCTTCGAATAGATTCTTAGAGGCGGTAGATTCGTATTCGTAGAGGGCACCGATGGCGGCCATGGAGAGGATCAAGCAGCCCCCGCCTCCAGCGACGCCAGTCGAGCTAAGATTAAGGTGTCCGCTCGGCGTGCGCAAATTGCTGGTATATTCGGGGGCTTGGAAGTTAAGGGTCGGGGTATGAAGGAACGGGAGATGGGGGTGAAAGTAGGTGATGTAGGCCGAGATGTAGCGTTGCAAGTCCGAGGTGCTGGGCAGTTGACCGGGGCTGTTGAAGCCAGTGGAGCGGGCGAACAGCTCACGACTATTGAGGAGTCCACTTGCGGGCTGGGAATACTTGCGATGATTGAGGCCAGTGGGAGTCGACATGCTCGCTAGTAGAGCCTGTCGTGTGGAGTCTGTAAATGTATCCGTTGAGAGGGAATGTTCATTTCGAAGGGCACTATTCGTGAAAGGAACGTTGAGAGGATTAGGAGATTCTCCGTTTGTTGCCAGAGAGGATGAAAACATACTCTGCGAATGTCCTCCCATGATGGGCTGGCCAACCGAGGTCATAGATGGAGGTGTGGCATACGTCTCAGCAAAAGGATTCTGGGCCATTAGAGACTTGGGCGACACAGTCTCGGGGGGAATCCCCATATCATTCAAAGTTGTCGGAGAAAAATCGAGCGCGAATTGGTTGGCCGCGTGGTGTGAAGGGAACGGGTTATGCCAGCCGTTAGAGATGGGAATGCGATTTGGGCCCTCCAGCATGGCCTCGCTGATTCCGCTCTGACTGCCCGTACTCATTGCTGAGGGCGAGGACTCGTCGATAACCGAGTCATTGCCATTTCCCATAGCGAGTCCCGCATCGAATCCATTCATCCAGTCAAAGTTTATGTCGTCGTCCATCATGGGATCGGCAGAGGGTGGAAGTCCATTGTGATAGTGGCCAAAAGGAGACGAGGGCGAATCATTGAAGCCTTGCGGGGAACCTGCGAAGTGTAATTGTGCTGGGTTGATGGTGCTACCATGGCCCATGAGCATACCATCAATACCCGTATCAAAGGTCCCATAGACAGGAGCAGTCCGAAGACCACCGGACATATCCATGGGAAGCCCGGATGTCTCGATCTTCGCGAGACCGTTCATCGGAGGGTGTCCAGAACTGAATCCCCTATAATCCATGGTTGATCCCATTGAAGAGCTAAGGCTGGCATGGTATGAGTGACCCGATTGGGTGGGCGCAGATGACGGGTTACCGGCACCGGGGATACCCAATGCTGCACCATCAACGTGGCTGATGGTGTTGGCCCTGGGGCGCATTGAAGTGGATGAATTATTGGCAATGGAGTTCTTGCGCACGCGACTCGCACCGGGTGCAGCGCCCGTGCTCTCACGACGACCGTTTCTCGGTCGAGAAGACGGCGTTGTGGTCATATGCAACTTCTGCTGGTGTCGCAGGAGCAGATCTCGCCGAGCGAAGCATCGTGCGCAGTCTGGACACTCGAAAGGCTTCTCTTTGGTATGCGATCGCTCATGGCGCTTGAGGTGCTCCAGTCGCGCAAATGAGCGACCGCAGGTAGTGCAGACATGGGGCCGAGGCTTGTCTGTTTTAGGGGGTGGGATACTACCATTGGCACCCGTTTGACCGTTCAGGTCGGTCTGTTTCTTTGAATCTTTTGGAGCTATGGAGATATGGGTAAGAATTGCACACGGGGAGTAGTCTCAACCAAACTCACCAGGCATATCTCCCGGGATTTCGTTGATACTGGCGAGATCGACCACTTTGGGGCTATGATTCTGTTCTTGTCCGACCATAGCATCCAATAACATCCTAGTTTTGCAAGACTCCTGACAAACCAGAGTATTGACCACTGGTCTCGGCGGGAGCGAGGCTAATTGCAACGTGCGGGGAATTGCTCAGTGGGAAAGGTTGCGTCAAGCGGGGGAGGATTGAAGATTCGTGTCTGCACGATTCTTTGTTTTCTGGGTTTTGGTACAATGTGTCGCATTCACGACTGTTCCACCGAATGACATCAAGTCAGCATGTCTCTCATATGATGCGTAGAGGGCGCTACGATAGCGACCCAGGGTACCGAGGTAGTCTAATCATGAACTTTGCCATAAGATGAATGAAGGGAACCCACCAATCAGGGAAACAAATTTACAGTTCGTCTATCGAGTGATTCGTTGCGTTCCTGGGAGTTGGGTTGAATGGGGATTCGAGTAACAGGATAAGAGGACCTGTGGCCGGTGTGGATTATGAGGCTAGTGTTGACGTCTTAGGTCGGCAACATCAGCGAATCTATCCAACGGGGATAATGGACAAATTTATTTTAATCGAATCACTCACATGAGAACGGTCGAAGCTAGCACAGTGACTTTGCTTTAAACACGGGCATCCATTGAGGGAATTGACCTCACAGTCGGAGCGTTGGAGTGGATAGACCGGAGATAACCGATGGAGTGTAGATAGGCAATTGTTGATAAGCAAAGGACCACACTACAGAGTCAAATGATGAGAAAGGAAGAGGATGATAGGAGAGAAGAAGGTAGTTGGGAAGTTCGAAATTGCCTCCGAAGTTGGAGTATCGAGAGTTCTACTCCAGCGAAGGTACCTGGGCTCAGGGTACTTACATACCGTGGTAGTGGCAGTAGTGGCGGGTAGAAAGGAAAGCGGAAAGTACGGGGGAAGTACCGGGGAAGTACCCACGATAAGAGGGTCCGAGTGTAAAGGTACACCGGAGGTACATTCACGGCGACGACCACTCAGGGCGATGTCAGGCCCAGACAACCACGCAGCAGACGGACAGCAGACGGACAGCAGCCGAACAGAAGACGGTACCGATACAGCACGCAGAAGGTGGATCCAGACACACGGGCTGGCCCTCTGCGCCAATAATCCCCCCACGATTACCCAAGGTGATACCAAATGCGGCGTAGACCGAATCTTACAGACACGCACGGTCTACTAGATGCCCACCAGTTCCTGGCTCTAGTTATCGACGAGCGTCATTGGTTGTTTTCCAGTTGCTTCCTCGGAATTAGCGGCGTCACGCCAGACTTCACTAGTACCGTGTCTTTGGCCAGTCTTATCGGTTTCAGAAATAGAGCAGAACTAGGTACCTAGGTAGGTATCTCATATCAGAGCTCTGCCTTTGTAGCCTCGCGATATGTGGAATGCAATTGCCTGATCGTAACATTTTGATGTTTCAGGATATCCACGGAACTCAGCAAGTCGGTAATTTGGGGTCCGAAGGGCGAAACATATGATGAACGTACCTAAGGTAAGGTGCACAATACCCTGGAGTGTATATAATACAAGGCTGCACCAACCAGAGCCCAGACTATGATTCATTTTAATGGATTTAATTCCTCTCTATGGAGTAACGTGCCCTGAGCATTTCGGGGGTGGGTCCGAGAATTACAAATGAGGCATAACAAGCCCATACACATTCATAATCACCCTGTAATATGATTAATGTGATTAATAGGACTAATAGGATTAATGTAATATGCAACCTGCGGCAAGACCTCGTGACACGCTCCTCTGGATTCAGGTAGGATCGTCCTGGTTCTGTTGAGGGCTTGACTCTTTGGAATCTTTGGGTTGAATTGTTCCACTTATTTGTTTCGTTTTGAATTCCCCTATGTGATTCCCAAGAAAAAAAAACCCGCATCCACCGGGGGCTGGGGCGGAGGGTTGTGATTCAGCGGCCGGATCCGCTAAAAGCGAGGCCATGCGCCATTTTTGTGGGGGAGACCAGGTCCCAAAAGGGTTCGTGTGGGGGATTTCCCAATTACCCCAGTAACAGTCCAGGAAATGGGAATAACACGTAACATGCGGCTGTTCTGCAATTGGACGTGCCGGGAAGGGATATCCTCCGGTTCCTTATTGCCCATGGCCTCAGGTGGCGAGGGAGTTTCGCTTTGATTTTCTGTGATTTTTCTTAGGATTTTCCTCTTTGGATTTCCGTTTCTTGGCTGCCCCAGGATTTGGTTTGCTTTCCCCGGAATCTGCCCCTTGAGCGTTTTCTAGAATTCCCGTCGCTGGATGGCCTCACTGCGCACGTTGCGCCACGCCGTTTTGAGTTTGGTCGCACGGAACGAGGCGAGGATGGGACCAGCGGAGATTCTATTGGGCGTCCAGCCGACCCAACGCCCGGATCGGTGTCGGATCTAGAGTTATGATGACAACCCGCTACTTGCTGACATGGACTGCCTTGGGATTGTTTGCTGGACTGGTGAGATGTGAACGAGGAGGACAGTGGTCACACGGCAATGACGATACGCTTCTTTGTTAACATCTCCAATCTCCCTCTGTCCGAATCTCGCCAGTTCTGGGGGGGATGTTATAGGCTCGCACGGACATCTCATATGCAGAATCCCCCGGACTTGACAAGGCACTAGTCAACCTAGCATACTATGTTGTAGAGCGAGTCTAAGAAAGCCGCAGGTGACCTGAGATGAGTCAAGGGTGACCGGGCGACAAATGAAACAAGAGTACCATAAGCCATCTTCCCCAGCTCCGACGCAGTGAGCTGTCTTCAAGCTGCAGTGCTGGAATCGATCAGCCGGGTCATTAGTGCGGCGTCGGCCGATTCTCCAGACGATTAGGGAAATAAGCTGCAATCAAAGCTCTGACTTGCCCCTTGAGAACGTTGGCATAGAAATCCGGCCTATTTCCAATTTGTTTGCATTCATGTACTCCGTACGGAGTATGTGGAGTTGCAAAAAGGGACTTGAACCATATCAATATAATTGCCGTGTTGAGGGCTCGTAAGCAATATATCCGATCTGTCCGAAGCGAGCTAGGTTTGGATGTTCTGATTGAACCGATACGATTCGATTTTGACAGACATATGTCTCAGCTAGAGACACTAGCACCACTGTACAACACCCAACCTCAAATATACTTCACCGGTGCTGGGCATACGGAGTACTCCGTAGCCAGCACCAAGTTACGCAGTGCAACACTGTTTGTATACGTCGTATAGCCTAAATAGACCATTTCAAAGCCAAGTAATAATCTGGTCCGGGCGTTTTCCAGCTCCTATTACCAATCAATTTCACGATGGAAGTCCAGGGGCACTGAAGAAGTGATCGCTTTTCCGTGAGCTCGGGCATACGCCGGCAACTCAGGGGCAGGCGCCATTAGCACCCATGCAATGGGATCTACCTAGTTGCCACAAGCACGTCTACGGTTCAATGTACAGAGTACTGCCTCGTATGTTGTACAGGACACTGCCGGCCAACAGGGACATCCTTGAATAACGAGCGCTCATCCATATAGTTGTCCGTTGAGCCGAGTGCATCAAACGTTATTTTGTAACCGCGCCTCGCAGATGAACGCTGTTCCGTGTATTGGATGTGCAAAACATTCCAAGTATAAACACGGGAGAGTCCGCTTTCCATACTCCGTATAACATACCTAGGTAGTAATAATAAGACATTTCAAACACAATGAAACACCGGATTGGACAATGCCTAGCAGAATGTATCCATAAATTCTCCGAAGCGCCCACATCCTTGCCCGGCGTGTCACGGGGCTTCGTAGTGGCCCATGCTGCGCGATGGCATCAACGCGGGTTGCGGACTTTACCCCCTGATCGGACTTTACACCGTGCCTGTTTGTTTTGTTTTTCCGTCTCTGTCGGATATCGCACCCGATCACTTCGTTTTGACATCTGTGAAGAATGGCCTACAACATACTCCATACCGAATCTACAGACGGGGATACGATGTCGTCATTGGCCTGACATGCCCAGGTGCTTAGATCTTGACGGCCTATAGGTAACCTTCCTAATTGATCACGCTGTTTGTGATCAAAGTGACATGCCCATGAATCGTGTTATCGAAATACAACTTAGTCAACTATTCGCCTCTCCAGCTGCAATCTTATGTGATTCCACGGCTCGCTGTGGGCTGTCTCGCCTTGTGCGTCATCATAGGTCCACACTAGATGGCAATCCAACAGCGTGTCGCCATGGATGACAATAATGACTTCGGTCGAAACACCCGAGTATACATATGCAGTTTCACCGTTTGAACCCAAAAATGAGGAAGATCAAAAAGGCACCAAGCACCTCCCACTGTCGTCATTCCAGATCGAGCAAAGGACGTGCGCCGAGCAGCACCACGCCACAGAGATCAGCGGCATCAAAAAAAGAAAATAAAGGCCTGGATAGCAGTACGGAGTAGGTGACATTAAATCATGCCCTCGAACCAAGGACTCGAGTGTTGCAGAGGGCCAAACATGATAGCTTGGAATGCAAGATAATGATGGAACCCGTAGAAGCATAGTGGATTGCAGAAGATAAGGCTGTGGAGCCTCCGTAATTTTGGAAGCTCTCATGGAGAACATAAGCGGCGACTGTTGTCGTCCATTGATTCGCAGGCGCCGCCGTTCTCGGCCGTGTGTGCCTGGGCGGATACCATGACACTAGTGATAACACGAGGTGGCTGATACGGAGTTTTGGATTACTTCTGGATAGAATTATTATGACTACAGTGTATATTGTCGATAACAAATCGATCGCAGCATGGGCTACGGACTATTCTGTCCTGACGTGACCTTTGCGGACAGAAGGAAGACTACGGAGTACCTCGGATGCAGATCGAAGAGGCTACTTCTATGCTGTATGCAGGAGAAAGATTCGGGCAAGGATTTTCCAGACCGTACATATAAAGTGAGGTACTCCGTACAAGAGGAATACAACAGGTGCTCAAGCTCACAGTCTGACTGGGCGAGTCCCTGGCCGATCAAAGTTCAGTGTGGGTGTAGGGTGGGATGATACAGGCTACAAGCTACCAATTGCAAGGCTTTGCCGATGCGTTCGGACCTACCTAACAGCAGTGCTTTGCATTTGGGAAATAACCAAAACCAGTTGTGGCGATACCTAGAGTTTATCCTGCGCTAAAATCGGACATGAAGATGTTATATTTAGGATTTTAGACCCAGTACACCCCGTAGACCCCATAGAAATTAATATTCTTAACAATCTGTAGTTAGACGAGTATATATGCCTCTTCCCTGAAATTATACGATCCCTCACTATGTAGATTCGGTGATAGGCGGGAGACATGGCGCGACTTTCCGATAAGAGGCTCCTAGCACAACCTGATATCGGAGATATTCCACCGGAGAAAAGCCGATGTCGCAAAAATGGAGCCATTTTAGCCTTCTACTTCGTTACCTGGTCGCTGTGCATGACTCGAAACGTGACAGAGCAGCTAGATCTGGTGTGATTGACCGGTTGGCTCGGACGTGCATTAGCGGTAATTATTGCAGGCACGATGACGGGGGACTGTGAACGGAAGTACTCTATCCCACCAGCAGATTGGATAGGAGCAGACCTCGCCGGAGTGGGCGTAGATCAAGCGATCGATTGATTGTCCGAAAGGTACCTTGCGCCAGTAGCTTCAGGTCTTGTCACGGTATCAGTGATAGACACATTGTACGGAGTATACACACGACCAATATTCTTCCCAACTGACTCCGATGTCTCGAGCCGAGCAACACAAGCACAGCACTCTGTCTGACATTGAAAAAAAGAAATGCGCTCAACGGATTTCCCGAATCCATGCATGTCATACCTAGGGCGTCAATCTACTCCCGCCACCTTCCCCATGACTGATGCCATGGGATTTCCAATCTCCCTCTGTGGCAGCGTTCGAGTGGGTCATTTCACCTGGTGCAAAGGGGCCATCAAATGAAACAAAAAGAAACATCCCACATCGCCACGATGCACAATCGCCCACACGTCTCCATAGTCGATCTTCCACACAATCGACATTTTCCTAATACTCCCTTATATTGCTGCAACAATAATTCTTCCATCAGTGCCACAGAATCCCGCCGAATACTGGAGTCGACGATGTAAACAACCTTAAGCACTATACGCCGCAACAGCCAGACCCAGGATCATTGAACCGACCAGCCATTCGTCGCACCCGAGTCGGTCCCAGGCCAAGTTGCGACATACCTAAGTCACGTCACATACAAGTCGCATATGGACCATGTAATTAATGGCGCATTGGCGATCTGGCACGGTCCGTTCGGTGGCAGTAACCTGGGTTAGGTGCAGATGATCTCTGCTAACAGGGTACATCGATGCTCTGCTCATTTGGCTTTTGGGGACTTGATGCTAGTAGGCGAGGACAGGCAATTCCGTAGGTATCTGGGTGACTCCGTGGAAGTAGTGTTCGCCAGAAATGCGGATTCCAGGGGTCACTGCGTGTGTATCACGTTGCTAAGAGATGTTTTGCATTGCATTGCCCCTCCCCCTCCTGCGATAAGTCGGCCGTTTATCGCTCGTTTGGCCTCAGTTGATGGTCTGAGGCGGAATTGAAGGGGTTTTCATTCCGCGTTTTACTATGCTCCTTAGTGTCTGGCTGAACTGGGAAGGCGAGAGTGCCTATCAATTGACCTGTCAATGCAAAAGCAGGGGTCAAGATGGGACTATTTTAGAGGCGCTTGCTGTTACTGTGCAGGCATGGGGCGAAAATATGTCTATTCACTATGCCAGATATAAAGACGATCTTTTGGTTCACCCTACAACTCCGAGCACAATGATAATGAGGAGCAAAAAATCCACAAAATTCGAATGGTATATGAGCAAGACGTGGCACATGAAATTCCCGAGTCGATCGGAGAGTAGATACACTTCTGTCGTCTAGACACTGATCGTCTTGAAAACACTGTAAGAACGGGGTCTGGTTAGCTTGGTTCATAAACTTGGCATCAAATATTACAACGTACCTGAATCCACTGCTGCCGGTCGCCATCAGCGTACCGGGCATCTGTGCCTGCCAGTGAACCTCCTTGACAGACTCCATATAGTGCACGAACAGCAATTGCGAAGGAATATCCACCATGTTGGCCTGGCGGCTCTCTTCGTCATCCAGCTCGACAGCCAGATCCCAAAGAGTGACTGTGTTGTCTGCGGATCCAACGGCCACAACACTGTCATCCGAGGGGTGCCACTCGATACTAGTGACGGGCTCCTTGTGGAAGTCAAAGGATGCGACGGGAGTAGAGGTGATCTGCGCAGAAGGAGCAGCCGCATTAGGCTTCCAGTGACGCAAATCCCAGACTGCCCACTGTCCATCATCGGCGCCGGTGGCCAGAAGGTGAGCGGTTTGCTTAGACCAGCTCATGACGTTGACGTCGGTGTTGGAGACTTGGACATCCACAGCGGGCTTGCGCGACTTAGATCGCACATCCCAGACCTTAACGCTACCGTCACTGCTAGCGGATGCAAACACGTTACGCTCGTTAGGAGACCACTGCAATTCCTCAATCGAAGAAGCGTGGCCTGTGAAGGGTCGGGTATCGGTGACCCAGCCGCCGCCCTCAGTGCGAGTGGTGGCGTAGATCAATCCATTGTTGTCACCAGTCAAGAGCTTTCCGAGAGGCTGGAGCGGAGACCAGTCCAAGGCATAACCTTCGGTCTTGTGCATGCGCAGAGTGGAGAGAGGCTTAGACGCCGAAGGGGGGAGGATGGTGCCTGGCACATCGAAGCTGCAAAGGTGGGCGGTAACATCGTGGATGACGACCTGCGAGTTCTCAAGCCAGGTCGCGGTAAGAGTTTGCGGGGGCTTGGAGTAGTCACCGGACTGGGAGGGGGTCTGGTGGGAGCGAATGCGGTTTGTTGTTGAGCCAAGCGGGATCGACTTGTGCTCGAGAATGGGCTCGCCCATGTCGTCGTCGTCCGAGTCACTGTCCGACTCCTCGCCTTCCTTCTCCATCTTGCTCAAGCCGCTCATCTTGAGCACCATCAGCTCGTTGTCCTTAGTTTTCGAACCCTCGGCTTGTGTACCAGTAACAGCGTAGACAGTGGCGGGGTAAGTCTTGCGGTTGTCACCAAGCGAATCGCGCACAATATCGAAGGAAAGGCATGGCCATGGTGTGCTGAGTGTGTGAAGCATATCGTAGGTGGAAGGATCGGGCGATAGTGTCTCTCCGGGAGCCAATTTTGTCCGTCCAGGAATGAAAGTCTCCTTGTCCACATCCATAGCTTCTAAAAGATCAAAAAAAGTTAGTCGAGCTGCTTTGGGCAAGTCCGCAGAACTCAGACATTGTGAAAATCGCACCCTTCTCTTCTTCTTCGCGCTCAGCATCTGGGCGACCGTCCACTCCGGCCTCTAGGATCTCATCTTCACTCTCAAATTCATCCTCGAACTCGTCTTCGAATTCCCCCGCCTCGTCCATTGGGGCCTGTGCGATTGGCCGCTCGCCAGCCTTGAGGGCGGCGGTCTGCTCATCGGCTTCAGCACTTCTCTTCGACATGTTGAAATCCGGGAAAAGATTTAACTATAAGAATGTCGAGATTGGAGAGGAGGGGTGTGCGATAAGAACTTTTTTTTCCGTAAATTTTGGCAACAGCGTGGGAGAGGCGCTAAGCCTATCGCGGGCTAGCGTCAGATCTCAGTTGCCCGCCTCGAGCTGAGTGTACCTGAGACTGATGGTTCTTATTTAGGTGTCTAGGCCTTGCTTTTTTGACAGACATAATTGCCATTCATCTCCAGCCCGGCTCCTGCATTTGTTTGCTTTGCTGCGGGTCATCTGCGTTGTCACCCCAATCCGTCTGTTTACTCGTTTACTCAGGGACAACCCTGTCCGCTTCACTCCCGAGATCAACACAGCTCCCAGCTCCTTCAATTTCCTTGATACAAATACTTTAAATCATACTCACATGCAATCTTGTTAGATTGCGCTGGCATTTCAGCACTTTGTGGTACTGGTTGGTCCGCGTCCGGATTCCTTCCAACGCGTTTCTTGCTGACAGTCGGGACTCGTTTGACAGGTCGCACGTTCTAATCTTTCCCCAGACTCCGAGCTCAAACCGCCATGGAATTCTTCCAGTCGAATTTAGAGGCTTCTGTTGCCCCTGAATTCGCAGTCCCCGCTGTTCCTGCCGGTGTGGAGCCCGAACATATTGCCCCAGAAGATCAAACGCACCAGGCGCTGGGCCAAGGTCAGGGACAAGGACAGGGAATTCCGCCCGAGCAGCCTTTGGAACAACCTCGCGAACAGGCTGCACCAGTCATGGTCAATATCGAAGAGCCGGCTTCTGATCACACCAGCGGCCGTGCCGCCATCAACAATGGCTACAATAGCGACTCCAAGGCGCATTACCACTCCCGATCCCCCGACTTCCACCAGTCTGCCCCCGAATATGGCGCTCAAGACACTGATCAGTCCCGCCAGAACTCATCGCCATCACTTAGCCACCGCCCCCTACCTGTTCCGCATTCCAGGCCTGGATCTGGACTCTCGAGTGGCCCGGAGCGTCCTGGTGTCTCTCAGTTGCAGCAACAAGACGCCGGACAGCGCCAAGCCGCCCAAGCCAATAAGAACAGCGTGGTTATCAAAGTCGGTATGGTAGGAGATGCACAGATCGGAAAGACTAGTTTAATGGTCAAATATGTTGAGGGGAGCTGGGATGAGGATTACATCCAAACACTGGGTGCGTTGAGCTTTTTTTGCCCGTTCAATCATGCCACTTTTTTGGAAGCTGACACACTTTCAGGCGTCAACTTCATGGAAAAGACAATCTCGATTCGCAACACCGAAATTACCTTCTCGATTTGGGATCTTGGTGGCCAGCGCGAGTTTGTTAATATGCTGCCACTCGTCTGTAATGACGCAGTTGCAATTCTGTTCATGTTCGATCTCACTCGCAAGAGCACATTGAACTCAATTAAAGAATGGTATCGCCAGGGACGTGGCTTCAATAAGACAGCTATTCCCTTCCTGGTAGGCACCAAATATGATCACTTTGTCAACTTCCCCCGCGAAGACCAAGAGGAGATTTCTATTCAGGTAGGTGGCAGTTTCTCTCCATTGATCCATAGAAACTGACATCCTTGCAGGCCAAGCGATTTGCCAAGGCGATGAAGGCTAGCTTGATATTTAGTAGCACCAGCCACAGCATCAATGTGCAAAAGGTATGCTCACGCCCCTAGAACGCGTTTCTCGGTATACCATAAGTTCAGTCAGGAACATGCTGACCTCCTGCAGATCTTTAAGATTGTGCTAGCCAAGGCATTCGATCTGAAATGTACCATTCCAGAGATCGAGAATGTCGGCGAGCCTCTGCTCCTCTACAAGAACGTCTAAGAACTGCCTGTTTCCCCTGACGATTATGTACATTGGGACGAAGTGACGCTGCTGATGATCGACGCTGGCCCTCTACCCTCGCTGCTTTACCACTTTGTGAATTCCCCCTTCCTTTCTCCAACGATGTACTTGACCTTTCTTATGTCTGTCTCCCTGCCTCGGACTCCTCTGAATACGTTGCATACTATCAAACGGAGATTCCGAGGCTAGGTGCTTGTTATTTTTTAACTACCTTCCTTCTTGTCATTTTCTTTCGTCTATCCTATTCCTTCATTCATCTTTCAAAGTACTTAGTTTTCTTTTTTGTGCCCATGTTCCAGATGAGAGGCTTCACCGGCCGCCTTGAGGCGTTTGGGAGTCCGAATCATGGAGATCGATGTTCTAGGAATATATTCCTTATTTACGTGTAATTCCAATTTTTCAAGCCGATTGACGTTGTATCTCGTAGATGTGTGGTTCCGAATATAGATCTGGACCCATGGTAGATGGATCCCCAATTGAGGCTGGAACCCCTCTTTAGTTGAGCCTCCAACTATTTTTTTCTTTTGTTTTCATTTTCTTCGGTTTGACACTTGACTTTTTGTCTTTGTCCTGGAGCTCCAGGTAGCTCTAAATGGACTACTACAAATAAATCATACCTACAATTATCCCCCTAGGTGTTTCAGAACAAGGCTACCCTCGCCCCCGCCAAGCCCCCGAGGACGAAGTACTTGGATGAAAGTCGCGCTGTCTACCTAGGTAGTTGGTTTATACTCATTATCTTTGCTCTCCTGTCGACAGTCGCTGCTGCCAGAACCATGGCCGAAGAGTCTCAGATGAGTTCCATCCAGCAACGGATCGCCGCTCTGAACCAGTCGCAACTGGCCCGCCCACCCGGAGGCCCTGAGCCACCAATCCTCCGGCCGAACCCCCAGCGGAGCGCGTCCGCCAACAACCCTCCATCATACGAAGCAGTCGGCTCTGTGGTGGATAGAACATCCATCGGAAATGAACCCGCAGATGAGAGAACCCAGAGGCCGGTCCTGCGACCGCCTCCAATGGAAACTCTTCGGCCTGAAGTGAAGTCGAAGCCGAAGGCCCCTCCGCCATTGCCTACGCGAAGATCAGACCGCGTGGTTCCTCCTCCACCGCCAGCTCGTCCTGCACTACCGCCGCGTAGACCGACGGATCAAAAGCGCAGGCCCTCATTTGACTCGGTCACGTCCGATGCATCGTATTCGACAACGTCAACAGCGACAACGGCGGGTAGAGGCGCATCGACGACCTCGGTGAATTCTGTTGGAAACAATCGTATCAAAGCCCCCGCATGGGGTGAGACTGAACTACCTTCGTTGCCTCCCCGGCGACCGAAGGAGCAAGCTAGCTTGGAACCGCCCCCGCGGCCCACAATCAGTAGTAAAAGGAGTTTTGGCAGCCTGTCTTCTAGATTGACCTCTAAGATTTCGCTACCGGGGTCTAAGCCGCCCGTCCCAACTCCTCCAAGTCAAACTGAACGATCTAGACAACCTCCTCGTCCTAGTCAGCCTTCACGCCCCAGCCAGCCTCCGCCCCCGGGGATCAACAATGAACCCCCGGTGCCTCGACCGCCACCACGCCGGCCATCCGCGGTTCATTCCGATACGAATGGAACCGCTGCTGACTCAAGTGTCAATCTACCAATTCGGAAGACACTGCCTCCTCCACCGTCAGCTGTGCAAGTGAAGGATGCCAGGCAGCTTGGGTTTGGCAATAAGAGTCCAAAGATTCCATCCAGGCCGGACGCTACTGCCCCGAATGGAACACCACCGCCGATTCCTCATAGCTCTCGTCCGGATCTATCAAAGATAATGGCCACGAAGCCACGCTTCAATGGATCGACTGTATCTCCAAGCCCTCCAGCTCCCACATCAGACATGGAATGTTTGGTATGTCGGGACTTCTCAGGCCCTGATAACCATGCAGCCCGGTATCCTCGTGCATCACTCCCCACTCAGGATATGACGTGGTTGGCGAATGAGTTGACGGCACCATTCCCGTCCATGACAGACAAGGCCCGTGCCATCTTTACTTGGTTGCATCACAATATCTTCTACGATGCGGATGCTTTCTTTAACAATTGTGTGAAGCCATCTACGCCAGCCAGCACTCTAGCAACTGGACTAGCAGTTTGCGAGGGCTACGCAGGATTATTTGCCGCATTGGCCACCCATGCCGGTCTAGAGGCAGTAGTAGTGGGCGGCCACGGCAAGGGCTTCGGACACCAGGCTCTTGCTCCGGGAGCCTCGGCCCCTCCATATAAAGGCAATCACGCCTGGAATGCTGTCAAAATTGACGGTGGCCGATGGAAATTAATCGACGCCTGTTGGGGTGCCGGCGCAATTTCAGGTCCCGGGCAGCCCTACAAGCCGCGCTTCGAGCCAGCCATGTTCTCAATTCCAAACGAAGAATTCGGCCTAAAACACTTCCCCGAAAACAAGCGTCAGTTCTTCCGCGAGGACGGACGTCCAGATCTCACCTGGGAGCAATATATTCTCACCGACCCAGAAAGGCCAAACGGCGTCGAAAGCCTGAAAGTCTACAGTGACGCCGATAAGCGCACCATTGGCCGCAAGACCTTCCACCCGCAAGGCCTGAACATCTCAATCAGCACACCAGGTGTAATGCGCTTCCAATTCGGGCTCCTCTGCCCGCACTGGACCCTTGCTCGCCACAGTCATATCCAACACGCGGGCTTGTTCCTTCTTATGATACATGGCGTGGACGGACGCGAGGATGATAGACTTCCCTTCACACACGTACCAGGCTCTGGCCCCGCAGGCGGTGGTGAGTTCTGGTATGTGGATGTTCCCAATGCACGCATGCTGGGTGCTCCTGGTCAGAAGCTGCAGTTAGCCGTGTTGACTAGTTTTGGGGATCGGAAGGATGCCAGTGGTGTTACGGCGCAGGAATTCCAGGAGAATGTGGGACGCATTGGTATGGCTTGGGCTTATATTGCCGAATGGGAGCTGGTCAGGTAGGTTTTCACTGCGTGATTCATCTTCCTGCTCGCCTATCTGGCGGGTGTTTTAATATTCATGGAGCGTTTATCATTTTCGGTGCTTAGACCTTGTTCGCAAGGTGTGCATATATCTTCGGGTGCATGATCTTAGTCCAATATACCAATTTTCCTTTTGCATCTAAACTACACTTGATATCTAGTGATTTGTCCTGTTCCATTCTTGGTCTCGATCTTGCTATTCTACAATAGGGATCATCGTAATATGAATCAGATGTAGTCTGCTATGGCATGTAGATATTGACCGGGAGTAGAATAAACTGCAATCAAGTACATGCATCACGATCAAGATAAATTAGCGGTCAGAATTATCAAGAGGAACTTAGAAGTAGTAGAGGAAGTTGCCCAAAATGGAAACCAGCCAGGGCCAGTGGGTCACGTGATATCACAGATGGTGGTCAAGTATCAGAGTCAACGTAGCTATCATTGCGAAACCCAGGTGACCGAGTGGTTAGATCGTAGGAACCATACCTGTTCCCTGACTATCTGCAACGTCACCTATCCCGGGTTCGAATCCCTTGGACCTCGCGAGTCGCTGGGCGGATGTCTCGCCACCACCCCGGCTGGGTTTGTCACATCTTTTTTTTTTCATTCCTGATTCTCACATTTTCTAGATTTTTTTTCCCTCGTCAATTTGGAGCATTTTGAGCTGGTTTAATGAATGCTGGTTACGCGTCAGATGTAGCTGAAGAGTAATGGGGTGTGTTGGGCCTCCGCTGCCTATTTGGGTGATGGATGTACATACACAACACACCCATCATATTCCAGAACTAGATCGTCATTAGGCTAGATCATCCGATCTTACTACAGAAATTATCTTGGAAAACAGCCTGCAAATCCCAGGCCAGGTACATGATAATGGAAGCTATCCTTGGGGCTGTAGCCAGTCATGCATTCTTTGCCTTCAGCCTAGGGGATTCAGTTGTATTCGCATCTATCTTATAATAGGGTGGACCTCTAGTCCCGGATGAATCCCCTACATTACATGTACATGTAGGTATTTATCTAGTTTGACAAACCAGCAGAACAACACGATCGTCCCAAGTATATATTAAGTATAACCCAATCCAACTAACTTGGGATTCCGAGGGAGTGTTCATAGAAGAGCTCGGAGAACACTTTAGCAAATCAACCTTGCAACGTCGGTGGACTACCATGTAGGTACCTAGGTAACCCATATATGAAAACATATATGGAGTTTCGTAATGTTGCTTACCGAGACAGGATGGGAAGGTGCTACTGTAGTAAGGTTCTGCTCTTGCCAGTTTGTAACCTTTATGGCCATCAGTTCCCATGAGTCAGCCCACGTATCTGCCCAGGTGCACCTGCAGGTGAGGTCAGTTGTAGCTTTCACTTCAACCCTTCATTCACATCCATCGTTTCCTTTTTGGATCAATTTCCCTACCTCATCTATTCTTCATATGCAACGAGGCTACCGATCGAGAGCCCGCTAGGTCTGCGGTTGAAGGTAGTCGCAATTTGAAACAAGATCAGCGACTTGTTGAGTCCATCGAGGTTCCGAGATGCCCTTTAACGAGCACCCATAATTTCAATTCCTCATTCGCCGATGAGATGGAGCACCCGTGGCCTCTTCGCAGCGGTTGAACAATGAGCGCGCTATGCCTGGACTGGTGATCCATGGACTTGACTCTATTGACAAGTAAAAATGTGCGCATATCACCCTACACAATTTATTCACTGAAGTCTCATGTTCACCTCCGAGACTGGTTCTAATCGTACCACCAGACTCAAACCCCAAAGCTATAGCATGGGTTCCTTTAGGGCTTCATCCAGTTCTTCGCGACATCTTTCATCACTTTTCATCATCTTCAGGGACCTGCATCTCTGTGCGGGGATTTCGCAATCCACTTTCACAAAATGTTAAGGGTATAAGTGAGCTTGACAATGATTGTCAGTATTCACCCCCCTAAATTCGGCTTACGTGGGGAATAACTTATCTGATATGGTTATTGACTCTCTATGGTTTCTAGTGAAATATTGCCGAGTGCCTGCGCAAAGGACACACAGAGCTGAAGCATCTTGGCCCCCTTTGACTTGAGCAGGAGGCTCAGAATATTCGCCGTGCAATAAAGCCGCTGACTAAATGGACTCATGTATGGGCTTAGTTATGTTGGTAAGTACAAATCGCTTGCCTCAGAGGATAGGATGATCTGTTGAGTTTGGTCACTAACTTCTTTGTTTATCTAGTGCGATATTGTCGAGCACCTACACAAAAGACGAGCAAGACTACGTGTCGAATCGTAGCTCGACTTCAAAGATCCATTATCCGGCCTGTCTGCAACCACTGATATGTGGAAACTTGGAATCTTCATTGAAATATACGTTGGACAGACAATACACAGAAGATGATCAATAGGGCCAAACCAGTGGCGATTCCATGCGCGGGCTCGACCATATCAGTATGTTCAAAAATCCGCAAGGCAATCTGAACATGATACACGACGATCCTTTAGATCAAATCACTGACTTCTTTTACCCTGTAGGGTAACATCTTCCGGCATCTGTGCAAAGATAGCACCATTTGGGGCACCGAGTCGCGGCTTGACTTCAGTGCCCTCTTTGCTGCATCTTACCAACCCTTGACATGCGTGAAATCTGAAATCCTCGTTGAAATCTTCATAAACGTTTGTCAATGAAGTGATACACATTGCAATCCATGTGTGGATTCGACTATTTCGGTTAGTACCCACACGCATCTGAAAAAAATACAAGCCAATCCGTTCGATATGAGGACTGACTTCTTTTAATCTCTAGTGCGATATAGTTGACATCCTTCCGCGAGATACAACAATCGTGATAACCGGGAGAATTCTGCTACTGGTTTGACTTCGAAGCTCGCAATGCTCCAGCCAGACAAGCTCGTCTCAACATGCTCAAACATACCACCCGCAGATATAGTGTCAAATAGGGCTTTGCGGAAGGGGAAATTTGCAACACAAAAGTTCTCAGGGGGGTTTCTATACCTCCCTCGGCTACGGCTGTTGGACGGGCACACTCCGCACTTCAGGTTTGGCGTGAAAGGTGTGACCATTACGCTCTTCTGGGCTGCAACTCCATCATTTCGCACTAAGCAGAGCTCTGAATATGGAATTGTTTAGGGGAATTTTGATCGTCTCATCTCCAGTGGGCTTCATCCCTCATTTATTATCTAACTACATATGCGGCATTGGTGGTGGGATTTCGACTCCACCGAGCTGAAGTGGATTACAACAGCTAGCGGGATCAGTGTGCTTCGACTTTCTATGATAGTCTCCATACCTTGGCTAAAAATGAGCTAGAAGGATGATGCATGTTGGAGTGGGCCTAGAATGTGCTCCAGTCCACTTCCCATGAGAGTTCATTGACGTTCAAGATCTTCCCAATGCGGCGAATGCGGGGGAATCGTCTCATTGAAAATTGAAACTGCTCGTGAAAGTCTTTGACAATTTTCAGCGGGATTATTATACACGTTTTGAGGGAGTTAGCCCGCGTCATTGTTATCTGATGTCTCCCGGTCTTCGCTCAAAGAAACTGGAATACGATGATTTATGGGCGACTAATCCTCTCAATACCTTTCGCGGAGCCCGTTCGCTCTCCTAGGGGAGGGCTTGAAATATGTACCGCATTAGACCCGACCCTCGTTGACTCTTTCGGATATCTCTCGAGTTCCCTCGACGGGAACAGGGCCTGATTATGGGGATAGTCGTTGGGTCCTGAGGTCCCCTATGGAGGCTCTGCTCCGCGGACTTCAAATGCCATCCTGGTATTTGAATTATTTTCTCTGGTTGTGTGAAGATCTTCCATTTCCCAGCATGGTTTCTCGACCTACCTGGAATGAAAAGGGGTCACGACCGTCTTCAGCGGCGTTTAAATAGGCCAGCTGTTAGTGCGGTTAGCTTTTCGAGCTTACCTGAGGCAATCAAAATATCCCACTAGTGATCTTGGAGAATTAATCGGCTTCCACCTCGTTCTATCATCTTTCGACGGCGAAGAAATGGAATGTGACGACCTTGCGGGGGTGGTTTGTTTACCTTGACGAGTTCTCAGCTATGCCTACTTACTGGATCTGTTTGACGAGCTAAGACTCTGCTATCGTGCCAGGCTCGCGAGACTGTCAACGCTGGGCAGACGCGTCCCTATCATATTATCCCAGAGTCAGATTTGAGCCGCTACAAGCTGGACTGGTGAATGGCATGCTCACAAGGCCAACGAGGTGCTCGGCGCAGGCAGATATACCTTCAGAGGTCCATTTGAAGAAGGACTACCTCCCGCGATCAGCGGAAATAGTCCTGGTGCTGTCCTCGATGACAGTCTCTCATACCCTTTTCAGAGTTCCAAATCCCCGAGTACGCTGTCTACTCAATCTCCAGGGCTACCTAGGAGATGGACGATTCTGCCATCACAACAGACTATCACCAATGTTCTTATGACCATTGTGGCCATCATGATTGGCGGTATTCGTCGCAGCCCATGGCCCGAATGACGGACCATCTTCCCATCGTGAGGCAATGTCGGCAGATCACCAGCTGTCCCTTGTGCTAGACCACGGCTGGGTAATTTGTGTCTCACATGATTGGTCGGAGTGATTGCCACTCTGACTACTCCGTATAGGTATGGTCTTTGCACGCTTCGCTTTTGGTTATGGTCTTCTCATCCAATGTTATCAAGGCTGGAATACCATACTAGCTAGCTTGCCCTGTTCTATAAGATGCAATTGACTTGATTTGAAGCACACGTATCATGTCGAACTATAAACCGAAGTCTTTCAAGCCCGGTTGAGCATGGGTCCTCATTCTCCTCGTCGCTAATCTGCGTAGCCCGCAAAGTAGGTAGATTGTGGGTCTTGGAAAAATTTTCAGTTTAAATATATGATCCGTACCAAGCAAATAGAAGTGGTCTCGGACTTGTAATTTCATAGAGAAATGCCTCATACCTCATATATCCGGGTTGGTAAGAAGCCAAGGACATGTTACAGTCCGTGCCAAGCTCCAAATGGCAGAGGCGACGACTCCCACCCATGTCAGTGGCTTGGTCGGACAGCAAGGGGCACAGAAAAGGCCAAGGACCAAGATCGTCTGCGCTAAGTGTCACAATGAAATCCGACTGAAAGAGGGGAAATGCTGGAATCGTCCGGGGGAATGGCATCTCGGTGAACGCAATGGGTTGGTATTTCCCCGGTCCTCCGCATCTCTGCGCGGGGAATGTCAGATCGGACATCGGACCAGGAGAATGGATATTGCAATCTGTAAACAATGCACCTCTGGTACTTTTTCCTCAAGTACAACGTGGCCGATCTCTGGAACCTTGAATATGGTCGATCAACCCGTCACGACAAGCGAACCCGAGGCCTGAAACACACAGAAATTAATTTCGGAGTGTTACGCGCAGCTCTCCGACCCAGGCTCAAGGTAACCTCGCGAAGAATCGGCCAATGCCGTCGCCTACGGGGAAAATCAAGAGGGAAACACCGTCTCGAAAGGGCCGAGTTCACGCCGAGTCCACTTCGGCTATCAGCCACTGAAGGCCTGGGAAGCCGTGTACTGCGTGTCCCGTTCTGGAATAATTGCCGTACTCGGGGCCCCGGACTAGTACTGTGTGCTCGGGTCGGGTGAAATTAATTTTTCTTAGTCGCTTTCTTTGTCCGCAATGTGGGCACTTCCGGCTAATTGCGAGATGTATGGAGTAACTACGGAGTATCCAGGTACGTGTCGGAAATACCAATGTAAAATTACCTGTTTCCCCATTGCCCTAAAAGTTCGGGCCCTGGGCAACCGAAGACCGAAGACCGGTTTTTCCTGGACATGATTAGGTGACTCCAGGGGATTTTTGTGGATTGTCTGGGGAGGATGCCCAGCAAAAAAGGTTGGATGCACATCGACCCCTTTTTTGATTTACAGGAACCACATTTGTCTCCCGAATCCTATCTCAATCTTCACTTCAGTTGATATCTTGCAGGATGAAGAAGCCTCTGAGTGCCCAGAAACGCCACTTCCGTCCCGATTGAAGGGGGAATCAGCCGACCATTCTCGCCCGAACCCGGCTTGCAAGCCGGGTTCGGGCATTCCAATACGGCGCTTGACCTCCTTCGGTTCAGAATTGTCACCCTCGTGGCCGATTCCCCGGATCCCATGAGCCCATTGTCGGGGACTCCGCCAATCACCAACGAGCGGGTGGATAAGCATAAACAGCCTCCGCCAATCAGAGGTCGTGTTGGTAGCTGGGGTTGCAAGCGGGGGTCTTGGCATCGCTCTGTTGTAACTTGAACTGTTGCGTATGTTGTATGTATTATATCGGACTCTGCTTGTACAGAAGTTACGTACTTGCCCTCTCCCCAGACATCTCATACGCGGGAAATGAGTGGAGATACGAGGAAGGGGGAAAAAAACGAGACAATATATGCAGGTGGGTTTTCTGAGTCGTGCGGTTTTACTTCCGACCTACAGGCTGCGAAGAATTTTCCCGGGCATACGATCTATTTAAGTAGGAAGGTCTCCTCGTTCTTTTCCGACTTGGTTTTTCTCGTAATTCCTTCCCATTGAGCCCTTTTCTTCCCCTGGCTTGGGATCAATAGTCATGGTTGTCGTGGGCAATATCTATGTCATCACGGCGGTGGCCGTCATTGGCGGTGCGCTGTTTGGTTTCGATATCTCGTCGATGTCAGCCATCATCGGCACCCCTGCTTACAAGTGTTATTTCAATCACGGTCCCAAGGGCCCTCCTTTCAACGATGACCTTCAATGTAGTGGTCTCGAGTCCTTGGCTCAGGGTGGTGTCACCGCTGCTATGCCCGGTGGTTCGTGGCTCGGTGCTTTGATTTCTGGTCTCATCTCGGATCGTCTTGGTCGCAAGTATGCTATCATGACTGGTTGTATTATCTGGTAAGTAGTTGCATGGTCGGATGGTATACATCGCTTGGACGGTTGTAGCTGACATAGTTCTCGCTTAGGATTATCGGCTCTGTTATTGTCTGCGCTTCCCAAAACATGGGCATGCTCATTGCCGGCCGTGTGATCAACGGTCTCAGTGTCGGTATTGAGTCCGCTCAGGTTCCTGTCTATATCTCGGAGCTGGCTCCCCCTTCCATGCGTGGTCGTCTCGTCGGCTGCCAGCAGTGGGCCATCACCTGGGGTATTTTGATCATGTACTAGTATGTGACACACATCTGCCTTGTTATTTTGGAAAGACATTAATGGCTGACTTGCTTTTTCTTTCACAGCATCTCTTTCGGCTGCTCATACATCGGAGAGGGCAGCAACGCCACCTCCCAAAACTACAGCGAGTCTGTCTTCCGTATCCCCTGGGGTCTTCAGATGATTCCTGCTGTCCTCCTCTTCTTCGGAATGATGATCCTCCCCGAATCCCCTCGTTGGTTGGCCCGACACGACCGTTGGGAAGAGTGCGAGAATGTTTTGGCTCTGGTCCACGGCAAAGGTGACATCAACAGCCCCTTCGTCGTTGCCGAGATGCAAGAGATCCGCGACATCTGCGAGTTCGAGCGTGAGAACAAGGACGTCTCTTACCTCGAGCTGTTCACTCCCAAGATGATCCACCGTACCTCCATCGGTATCTGGACTCAGATCTGGTCCCAGCTGACCGGTATGAACGTCATGATGTACTACATCACCTACGTCTTCAGCATGGCCGGATACGAGGGCGATGCCACCCTCCTCGCCTCCTCCATCCAGTACATCATCAACGTGGTCATGACCATCCCCGCCCTCATCTGGGTTGACCGCTGGGGCCGTCGTCCCACTCTCCTCATCGGTTCCACCCTCATGATGACCTGGATGTTCGCCAACGCCGGCATCATGGGCAAGTACGGAGTCGTCGTCCCCGGCGGTATCAACGGTGTTGCTGAGGCGTCCATGCGTCTGAGCGGCGCCCCTGCCAAGGGCCTAATCGCCTGCACGTACCTCTTTGTGGCGTCCTTTGCCCCAACCTGGGGCCCCGTGTCCTGGGTGTACCCCCCGAGCTGTACCCCATGCGCGTGCGTGGAAAGGCCGTCTCCCTCGCAACCTCCTTCAACTGGGCTTTCAACACCGCTCTCGGTCTGTTCGTGCCCGTTGCCTTCACCACCATCCGCTGGAAGACTTATGTCATCTTCGGTGTCTTCCTGTTTGTCATGACTATCCACGTCTTCCTCCTCTTCCCCGAGACTGCCGGTAAGACTTTGGAGGAGACTCAGCAGATCTTCGAGGATCCTAACGGTATTCCCTTCATCGGTACTCCTGCCTGGAGGACCTCCCACAACACCAAGCGTACTGCTGCTGCTGAGTCTGGTGATGTCGAGATCCTTGGTGAGAAGCTGGCTGCTACTGAGAAGCGTGCTGCCGCTCACGCCGAGAATGTTGATGCATAGATGTATTATTTGGACAGAACGGGTCGGATGACATCGTTATAATTTATTTTTTTTTCTTCTTTTTTTCACTTTTTTCTTTGGGGGTCGACTTTGTTCCAAGTCCCAGTGATGTCATGTAATAATTTTTCACATATCATATACGCATATATCGGATTTTAGACCGCTCTCCATGGCTTTCCTTTTTCATTGTAGTGTTTATTTATCATCACTGTTTGGTCAAGTAGAGCGAGCTAAACGCTCCCGGGTGTTACATACCTTCAATCTTAGTATAAACGTTTAGTTTCGAAGCCATCGATTGATACCCCAAAACGACCTATATCCCCTACCTTAAACATGCCAATGGTCAAGCATCAGATCCAAGCAAACGTTTTTTTATGGTTCCATAACATAGTAACAGGGGCTATACCACGATGCATCTACATCGCGAGCTTTCTCATGATTCTCTGGTATAATCTCGTAGCTTTTTCATAATATGATAAGTACAATGATTATCGATTTCTAACATCTATTCAAGACTTCGATCTGCCGATTTAGTACTTTCAGCTATCTGGGAGGTGTTTGATTCGGATTCGAGCTGACCAACACACCTCCTGGAGGCATCCACTACTCCACGGTTTTAAGCTTCTTCAACAACCTGATTTGTGGTGGCCGTTGCCGCCAAAAGCAATATTGTCTCTTCTCTAATGCAATAGGTCTCGAACGCGCACCCGTTTGCCAAACAGTTTCACCTTCCTTTGTCCGGCTCAACTCAGAGGGTACACTGTAGTCTGGGGGCGTTGGAAGATCCGGCCATGTCAGCCTCTTGGGCGCATTGAGATACCGTTTTGTGGCTCTGTCGACTCTGGTTGCTACCCATTCATTCAAAAAATTGCGGAACTTGGACACATCGGAGTCTAGCTCGCTATGGCAAGTCCACTCGATACTTTGCACCATGTCCATGCCTCGGTCCTAGTGGGGAATGCTTGTAAAATGAGTCTCGTTTGTGATGATCTCGTACAGTGTGAACACAACACTAGAGACATCGTCTCGTTCGTCTAGTAAGCCTTTCTTTTCATTGGCGGCCCAGTCAAAGTCGAACAGAAGAATCTTGTCCGTTTCAGGGTCGACGAGCGTTTCACTTGAGATATACTTTGTTGTGAATCCAATCATTATACGATACAAGATATACACCTGGTCCGAGCCGATCCAGCTCTTGCAGCTGAGAATGCCAGATAGTAGAGCAATTTGCCAGGGATTGACAGAGTGATAGGGGGATATATCTAACAAAAGATGTATCATCTTCTTCCGGGTCCATTGAGACCCCAGTGAGAAGCCCATCGTCGTTGACTGTGATTGCACGAAGTTTCGGGGAAAGAAGATTGGCAAATTGCGCAAGAATTGAGATCTCAATATCTTCTTGAGGTGGAAAAAGCGCCGCCGTTCCTTTGATTTTGATCAAGCGCAGTTGATCCCAATCCCGCACGTTGCAGTGTGTTGCGGTCATAGGGTTTTCCCGAGGGCTAAAGTCGCCCTGAGAAGAATCTATTCTTGGGCTCAATCCAAGGGGGAAATATCAACACCAAGGTTCGCTCTGATGTTTGCGTCAGGTACCTAGGTACACAGGATGTATGAGCGTCATATACATGTACTTTGTGGAGACTGGATATCCACAAGCACCTGGGCATCCACCTGATTATTAATCGTCCCCTGAGTCCACTGGCCTGCGAGTTCCCCAAGTGCTCGCTTGTGTTCGGAGGGAGGACAGAGTACACGGTGTATAGAACATAAGCATGGAGTACGGAGTATGTATACCTCGTACCTATTGTGGAATCCCCCAGTTAGGGAATAGCAGAGCCTGAGGTATCCAACAGCCTCGATTGGGAACATTTGCCTAGAACCCGGGATACATATACCCTTTACGAAGCGTTTATGAAGCGTTTACAAAGTATGTACACACTCCGTGCTCCGTCCAGATTCACTAAATCAGTCTGACCGATATTGTGGTCAATTGGTATTGGATGCGCTCTTCGTATCTGAGGTGAGATCATCATTGGATCTGCGTCGCAAATTAGACATCTTGGCGTGCCCACCTGTAATCCCAACTGAAGAGATGGTTGATTGGCATACGGAATGGACATATGTGAAATCCAGCTACTCCGTACTCCGTAGAGGATCTCGAAATTGTTTCAATCTCCCCTGGACGTATTGCGAAGAGAACCCGTGCGAAAGCACTGCGTCAGAGAAACGCCAAGACTCCCCGAACGGAGCTGGAAAGCTGTCTGGTCCGAAGTGTGGAGTTAACCCCCTGGGAAAAAAAAAAAGAGATCGCCTGCGATTCCTCTTCTCTATCCGATCGTCCCGACGGTTATGTACATTTAACTTCCATCTCTCCCTTCCTCATCTCATCGACGGTCCTTGGAGCACGTGCGCTCGAACCACATATACGACGTCGTGTAGTTGGGTTTCCTTGAGCATCATCATGGTTCGCCCCCGGGGAGGCTCAGTCTTGGGCGTCGACATCCGAGGCGACACTAGCGCCCCGGCAATGTCGACGATGAATGAAACAAGCCCGATTGATTCCTCGTCCTCAGATTCGAAGGTATGCGACACTGAGACCCCGTCGCACATGCGCAAACTGACCCGCGGTTCCAACAGTTCGATGGCGCACAGAAACAGGCCAGCAAAGCACCATCGAAACGGCGCCGCAGTCGCTCCCTGCTGCATCGCTTCGCCGATACTTGTCTGCGTTACACATGGCTCCTGCCGCTTATTCTCATGCTGTTCTTGATCGGACTATATGCCATCAACCCCACAACCTCGAACCCCATGCACAGCGCTATTTTCCTCTCGTACCCCCAGCCCCCTAAGACTCCCGGTGGACCCATCATGTACGGTAAGGGCAAGAAGGATATCGCATTTGTCGCATTCTACACGGTCGTGCTGTCCTTCACGCGCGAGTTCATCATGCAGCAGGTCATCCGCCCGTTCGCAGTGTGGTGCGGCATTCGCGGCAAGGGAAAGACTGCGCGATTCATGGAGCAGGTGTACACCGCGATGTACTTCGGAGTATTTGGACCGTTTGGTCTGTATGTGATGAAGCGATCGAGTATCTGGTACTTCAACACGACCGCGATGTTTGAGGGCTTCCCTCACCGCGAGCACGAGGCCGTCTTCAAGGCGTACTACCTTCTCGAGGCGAGCTACTGGGCCCAGCAGGCGATCGTGCTGCTTCTGCAGTTGGAGAAACCCCGCAAGGACTTCAAGGAGCTGGTTGGTCACCACATTATCACACTGGCTCTCATCGGGCTGAGCTACCGCTTCCACTTCACATACATGGGCCTGGCAGTGTATATCACCCACGATATCTCCGACTTCTTCTTGGCTACCTCCAAGACCCTCAATTATCTGGATGCATATATCACCGCACCCTACTTCGCCATGTTCGTTGGATGGTGGATCTACCTGCGTCATTTCCTGAACCTGAAGATCCTCTGGGCTGTTCTGACTGAGTTCCGCACTGTTGGACCCTTTGAGCTCAACTGGGAGACTCAACAATACAAGTGCTGGATCAGTCAATACATTACCTTTGCGCTGCTTGCCAGTCTGCAGGCTGTCAACCTGTTCTGGCTCTTCCTGATCCTGCGCATCCTTACCAACTACATCTTCACCAACGTCACCAAGGACGAGCGCAGCGAGGACGAAGAAGAGGAAGAAGAGCATGAGGCTGTCACTGAGCCCAAGGCCATTGCCACTGGCGCAGACCAGTCCGGCAAGGAGAACCTGGCCCCTCAGGTTCTGCTGAACGGCAAGCCTGTCACCGAACACCGCGGTCCCCGGACCCGCAGCCGCAAGGCGTAAGATGAACATCTTCTGTTGGTGCTGAATTTGTGACGCTGGCATTCAAGCCGGGGTTTTTTTCACCGTGTTATAGTTATAGGATTCGGTGGATTTCCAGTCGATCCTCTGGATTTGTTGATATGCTGTTAATGTATTTGTTGGAGCTCGGTCTGAGTCGGGCACATAGGTCGTGCTAATTAGATAGGCAGCCCTTTAGAACAGCGGGCGCCGGCGCGTGTTTTTTTAACGAACATATGATTTAGATAATTATTGGATTGAATTGCAAATTTTATATGCATATAGTCTGTGGTTGTTATTGCGGTGTTTTCTCTCATATTCTTTGGTATTAGATTCCCGTGGACAATGGACTGTCTTATGCTCGAATCTCTCTTTTTGGATATCTATCAAGCGAGACTAGTTCAAGCTTTCATTCATTTTGAGACTTAATATCACTAGGCAGCCGTGCAGGCCATTCCTCAGTCATAATTGGGGTCTATTTTATGTTTGACATGGGACAATAATCTATACAGTGCCTTGGAAACCCTAGCAATTCTAGTAGATGACCCAAGCAGCTATAAAATCATTAGCCTGGAACAAAACAATCAACTCATGATTACCTGTCCACCTAGGTATATCAGAATATCAACGAACAACATCTGGATACAGCTCAGAATACACGGATGGAAAACTTGGGAATATGATTGTCTACAAGTCTCTCGACCAGTTGGGATGGCAGAGATCTCACGTTTGATATCTAGTATCGGTACTCCATACATGCAGGGGGAATAACATCAAACGTTAACTGGTTAAGAAATCGGCTTCAACAAGCTTGGGTTTGGATTGTTCAAAGGGTAAACAAGACTTTACTCTTTTGAGTCGGAGTCGGTCTTCTCACTCTTTCCGGTATCGTCCTTGGATTGCTCCTTGGGGTCCTCGTTCTTTGATTCGTCGTTCTTGTCGTTCTTGTCGTTCTTGTCTTCCTCTTCCTTGGGTTCTTCTTTCGTCTTCTCATCCTCCTTGGGTTCCTCCTTCTTCTCCTCCTTCTCGCCTTCCTGCTTATCTTCCTTCCTATCCTTCTTCTCTTCGCCATTCTGCTCACTATCCTCCTTCTCCTTCTGAGGAGGTTCCTCGGTGGATTTATCGGTGGATTTCTCCTCGGATGTTTCTACCTTCTCATCCTCCTTCTCTTCGTGCTCGTCCTTGTGTTCGTCCCCATGGCCCTCTCCATGAGAGTCATGGTGTCCCTCCGAGCCGGAAGGCCATAGGTAAAAGACCATTGGACCAGTCACGGCAGCCGAGGCCACCAACCTAAATCAACAATCGCAATTAGAGAACAGAGTGGAACTGCAAGCAAGAACACAAGCTCACCAAGGCACATCACTGGATGTATGTCCCTTCTCATAGCTGCCGCCAGTGGATTGAAATCGGCGGCCGAGAAGCTGGGCTGAGCGACGAGCAACAGGAGCTGCTCGGAAGGATTGAGCTGCAGTCGCAGCGCGGAAGACTGAACGGCGCGCAAGGACCATGATGTACTAGTAGGTGTGTATAGGGTAGAAGGGAGAGCGAGAGAGAATGTGGGAAGTGTGATAGGTGAAGGAGAGTGAATTGGCTACGGAGAGACTCATAGCAAGAGCCCTCAGTCCGGTTTTCGCAATGCCCCGTCCTCGTAAGACCGTCGCCTGCCTGCTTCCGAACTGGTCTGTGCGTTGTGATGTAATGCCGTGGCTGGGGTATTGGGTTAAGATGTCAATGGGGAATATCACAGAGTGGCTGGTCCTGGCAGAGTCCACCAATGTATGTTGTACCTGCAAAGAGCCCTGATCTATCAGCATAATGGGCATTCTGGGTTGAAGAGGAGATCTTGATATGTGGATCTTAGATCGTGCTCCGTACGGAGTACTCCATATCTGATTATCAGATCAACCGTCCACTGCCCAGAACTACATACAGGAGGACTGGGAGATATCCTGAGAAACCAGATATATGCAATCAGTGAATTAAACTCGAGGTATTATGAGTGAACATCATTGGCCACGGAGAAGTAAATGGCGTTAATGACCTATCATTTTGATGAAGCATCAAGTACGCGCATGTTATGCCTCAGGCCATTAACTATTGACACCTTAGGCGGCACACCCCACGTTGCGGCGTCTATCAGAAGCTCCCACTACAAGCTCACTCCGCTTGCTTCCATAATCTCAGCCCCGCCACTTCCACTGTACTTCTTCACTGCCTCTTTTTGCTCTCTACAGTCATTGCCTTGTCAACATGGCGGACCGCCAAGTAACCCAGCAGACAATTTTCACCTTGCTATCGAAGCTTGATGATCCCGATGCCGACCTGAGATACATGTCCTTGAACGATCTATATGACATCCTTACCGGCTCGCAATCCTCATTCCTCTCTCATGACCGCGGCACATCAACAAAGCTTGCAGAAGGTCTGCTCAAGTCTCTGGATGATCAACATGGTGACGTACAGAACCAGGCCCTCAAATGGTCCGTACCAAGCTCCATTGCCCTCTGATCCTTCTGAGATCTAACCTTTCATGTGGAAACAGTCTCGGCCCCCTTGCTGTTCGCCTGCCATTCGAATCCCTCACACCTCTTCTCGAGCAGTTGGCTAGCCTGACTGCCTCCCAGACGATAGACACATCTGTGCCCAATACAGCTTTGCGCGTCATCGTCGATACTCTCCCCCATCCTCAGATCGGCCAGCCTGCATCTCAGAATGCGATCTCCGCATACTCCGCAGTTTCCAAGGTCCTGGTTCCCCGTTTAATCGGCCCGACACCCTCGGCCTCGGGGAGGCGGGGCTCAGTGGTGAAAGGCATGATGGAGAAGGATCCATCGCGGGGATTCAGCAGCGATGCCATCGACGTGCTCATCAAGGTTGTAACATGCTTTGGGCCTCTTCTTCAAGAATCAGAACTCGCTGCCCTCCAGGTGCCTGTAATGGCCATCATCCAAAACGACACAGCTGGAACTGTTGTCACCAAGCGCGCTCTGACAGCTATTTCAGCCCTTGTGATCCACTTCTCCGATAATCAGCTTAATGGCTTTGTTTCCACTCTCACAAAAACATTGTCTTCCAATATCTCTATGGTGCAGCGTCGACACCTGATCGCTGCCATTGGCGTCATCGCGAGAACTGCACCTGCGAAGTTCGGCCCTCACTTGGATACTCTTGCTCCGTTTGTCTTCTCAGCAGTTGGAGAAGATAACATTAGACGGGGAAACTGAGGTGTGTTCATTGCGGGCCTGCAAGTAATGATTGTCTGGTCGACAGTGTAGCCCTCACACATCCCCGATACAGAGAAGCTAAAGCACTACATGAGCCTAATACGCTATAATTGATCTGAGTTAGCTCCATGTGGCATCTTCATGGTCAAGCCAATCGCAATTATTAGGCCATGAATTGCTGCAACGCGAAAAATGTACTGGGTCCCAGGCCAACCCTCGAATGCCCGAGTGGCACACATGGACTTAACGATACCCACGTTGATATTGAATACAAGCGCATCGACATCTTCTTCTGCGCATACATGTAAAAGTTGGCCAATGTGCTTCTGACCTCTGCGTGGCCGTGTAAACAAGAACCCTGGAAGGTCTTGAGATCGCCCTTTCCCGCTCTGCCCTCCTGCCTTTAGAAATCAACTCACCGGTTCTCCTGAGACTCTGCGTTTCTCTCTTCTCTGCTCTTCTCCTCTGCCAATCCAACTTATATCGTTCTACCGTTGCAGCTCATTACTTTCTGCATTGCCACTTGAATATAACGTAGCCTTATATCCCATTTTCAGCCATGCGTGTTCATCCCATCGTGGCTTTTCTCATAGCCACTTTGGCGACCTGTGTGTTCGCCAGGATTCATGGCGCTGCTCCTGTGTATACGGCTTCGATTGAACAATCCCAAGAAGGCACCGAGTCTCGATTAAACACCCGCGATGCGCCTAACAACTTGGACTATCGCTGTGGTCCCAAGATCGGCAAATGTCCTGTGGGTACATGCTGCTCCGGAGCCGGTACGTGTCGAGAGCCTGTCATGGTGAGCAGATCAGATTACTGATAGCATTCTTACGCTAGGGTTCTGCGGCACATCCAAGGCACACTGTCGCTCCCCAGACTGCAAGATCGACTATGGCAAATGCGACGCTCATCGAACACCCAATGGACCCCCAACTAAAGAAATCCCCCGTCCACGTGTTGGTAAAGTTCCATATGCTCCTCGTGAGATTCGTTCATGCGCTATTCCCGGAACTGTTGCGTTAACATTCGATGATGGACCAACCCGTTACACGGGCGATTTGCTCGATCTGCTAGATAGATACGATGCAAAGGCAACCTTCTTCATTACTGGAATTAACAATGGAAAGGGTCCGATCGATGACCTCTCGTTGCCTTGGGCTTCGCTGATCGAGCGCATGCACTCGAGCGGCCACCAAATTGCCAGTCACACATGGTCGCATGAGGACCTTAGCGTGATCACACCCTCGCAACGCGCTGATCAAATCGAGAAGAATGAAGCAGCGCTGCGCAATATTCTCGGATACTTCCCTACTTACATGCGGCCACCCTATTCCAGCTGCAGCCCTGACACGAATTGTGGAAACGAGCTGGGTGAGCGTGGGTATCACATCATTTTGTACGATATTGACACGGATGACTATAAGAATGATAGCCCAGATCTGATTCAGCGGTCCAAGGACATTTTTGATCACCAGGTTCTTAAAAGCGATCCACTCACCAAATCTTGGCTTGTCATTGCCCATGATGCCCATGAACAAACTGTCCACAACCTTACTGAGCACATGCTCCAGGGAATCAAAAGTCAAGGCTATCGCGCTGTCACTGTCGGTGACTGCCTCCGAGATCCAAGGGCTCTTTGGTACCGCAAGGATACCCGGATGCCAGCTCGCAAGAGAAAGCCAAAGAAGAGCGCTTCGGCAGATCCCAACAAGCCAATCTCCTGGGACGGCTCCTGTGGTTCTAATTACACTTGTCTCGGGTCTAAGTTTGGCTTTTGTTGTGACAGTACGAACTCGTGCGGCAACACTACTCGCCATTGTGGAAATGGCTGCCAAAGGGATGCCGGGTATTGCTCCGTCCAAGCTCCTTTCAATGGGGATGCCTGGGATCCACAGGTTTCCAAACCGAAGGAGCACAAATCGGAGGCGGATTCTGATCTCCGCAAGATTGGTACCGCGGCTGCAACGGCGTTGTTCCTTGCTTTGCTTGTCGCGATGTGGTTGTGAAAGTCATCTGGACTTTTGGTTTGGGATTGCCATGATTGTTTAGCCAACTTGAACATTGTCCGTACTATAGTTATACTGAGAGACCGTGGGTTCATTGCGGCCACTTCACTCATTTGGGCCTATCGGCAGAGATGGCAGGGATAGTGACATCATGGAACAGGGATGATCAATAGGCAGCAGAAATGGAATACAATGCAAAAAATGTATCTTGCTCTATCTTGATGACTGGTTGTTGCTATAAATATTGGTTGGAAACTCGTCTCTAGGTATTCTTGTTGTGATATTCAGACTAGCTGAGAAGATTTGATGACACATTATCGCAGCCCAGGCGGTTGAGCAGTATGTTATGAAATAACCCAGCCTTCTTCCTCCCAAACAAAATAAAGAATGAGCATAAACCTGCAACCCTGAGATATGCAGATATCAATACCAACAGAACAAGTTCAAAAACCAGAGCAAAACAGCACGCCGAGAGCATTCTCTCGAGGGGTATAATAATAGCACAATAAACGTAGCAAAAGACCAACCCAGCCCAACAGAAAGAAAAGCAACCCCATATCCCCTATTTCCGCACAATCTTGAGCAGCGGCGCAATCCTCGCCCTCTTACTCAGTCCCACGCGGTAGGGCACTGCACTCCGCGCCGAGATGGGACTATGCTTATCCGGTCCCTTGCCTGTATTCCGGGGTGTAATGACAGACGCCGCATCAGGCTTTGAGGGGGTCTGAGGTGGAGGTTCATCAGATGTAGTTGCAGGAACATTGATATCCGGAGCAGAATTCCCATTCCCATTCTGCTCCGGGTTTTGGATAGCAGATGGGTCGTTTTCAACGCTCTGGTTGGCGTCTGGTATGGACTTCGGGCTGTTATCGACAATCACGGCTAACTTCGGTGCAGGGGTTTTGGCTTCCACTGGGTTGTTGGGTTCTGGTGTGTCTGTGTCTTCGGTTGGTGTTTGTACTTGCTCTGGTGGTTGCTTTCGCTTGCGTCCGCGTTTTTTGGGTGGGGGTTTTTCGTTTTCGGCCTGTGTGTTCTCTTCGATCACGGGTGCTGGTGTTGGTGGCTTAGGATCATCGGAGGGGTTTGAGGTCAAGGTCGTGGGGCTGGTATCGGTTGCTGTGGTTTCGGGGGTTTCTGTCTGAGGGGTGGCATTCTCTGTTGGAGTTTGCACGTCGAGGGGTCTGGTGTCTACCCATATTACATCGTCATTGTCTGGATCGGGAATAGGCGTTGCCTTGGCCTTTTTGGGTTTCTTCTTTTTCGATTCCTTGGCGTTTGGTTTAACAGGTTTGGGGGTTGAGTCTAAGTTTTGTTCGTTAGTCTCAGCGGAGACTCCACTCGAGGCCGGGGTGTTATTCTCGGTGGTCTCTTCGTTATCGGATGGATCAATCGCACCATTTGCACCAGAATGTTTGAACTCGTGGTCTCGAGAGTTGGCTAGCTCGTCGTCTTCGTCATCTTGTGGGAAAGACTGTTTCTTGGGCCTTCCTCGCTTCTTTTTTGCAACGGAGACATCCACAGTTGGTATGGCAGCTGGTAGAGCTAGCTCGTCGTGTGTACTTGCTTGGGAATTTTGTGGAATGATGTTGGTTTCTGCTAGCTCAGGCCTTGCTCCGTTGAATGCCATTGACGCAACGGAGGAGAAAGGTTCGGTGTCATGGGAAGAATGGGGACCAATTTGATGAAAGTCGTACTGTAGAGCTTTCGGAAATGGGTTTAGCTGTGCGTTCTCCTGATGCATCAAGGGTTCGACGAATTGTTGAGGGATGATTTTAGGAGGCGAAGCCATTGAGTTAGTAGTGGTTTCAGGGGGAGTCAAGTCATAGATATCCTGTCTGGTGGACAACAAGGGCTGATTCGCGTCAACGTAAACGCCATCGTGTGCTCTGGCATATGCGAGGTTATCGCTCTCTGCTTGATCCATCTGATGTTCATGAGAGCTTGGCATGGTGGGAAATGGTGCAGACTCGATAGAGTCCATCGAGTACATGGCGGCTGTATTAGGGAATTGGACACCAGCACTCGACGGGTCTTCGTCTAAAAGTCTCCTCTGCGCAATTCCGATCTCCGCCATCATAGCACCTGGACCGCGCTTGGTATTAGTATGACGTCTTTTTGTGTTCAACCTATGCCATCGCAACGTACCGACCGATCCACTCCCGCCTTCGCTGGCTGAGGGAATCCATTTATCCTCAAGCCGTTGCTGCGATGATGATATCATCGCATGGCCTCTTTCTTGTGATTGGAGGAATTCATCAAAGTTGACATTTAGCTGTGGAAACATGCTTTCTTCGGTAGCATGACCATGTTCATGCATTGTATAGTGGGTCAATTGTTTGGCGGGGACTTCATGATGTTGTTGCTGCAATATGGGTTCAGAGGGATGGAGGGGGTCCATAGACACGGAGGGAGCATCCCCCTCGAAGGGTTCATCCTCATCCGAATCCTGAATAACACGATCCAAACTCATCGGGAGTCAATTGCCAGAGTTGTCGGACTTAGCAGCAGTGGAGAAGAAAGTTGATCAACGCGTTCTGACACGACAACACGTGATGATAAGAGCCCGATAAAGTGTTATCTACATGACTTCAATGTTCTCTGTAGATGTTGTAGGCAACTAACATCCCATGTACGCCAAGTGAAGTATAATTTTTCATGACAATACTCTGATACATAACAACAGCTTCTATGGATATGCCTGGCAAAGGTAGCTCTATCAAATTTTATTTTTAGGCAATTTGAGAGGGACAGAGACCTATTACACTACGCTGAGTTCGAATAAACCTTTCAACCACATTTAATTTGCACATTTGGATGAGGATGTATCTGCCTGGGTAACCTATAATTGCAGCAACATCTATACCTTGGGCCTCTTCAACCCTCGCTAAGCATATACTCCGGCACCGGAGTTAACAATCCCACTCGAAGTCTCGAACAGACTGCCCCACTATTTGTTGCACCGAAAACAGTCGATATGTACGGAGTAGCGATTTGGACTTTGAAAAAGCCGAGCAATTTGCTATATTCATTGGCTTTTAGCCAACATTGGAGTGGGCCCTCATTTGCAAGTGAGCGATCAGGCAAATATTTCCGAGATTCCTGCAATAAAGCAAAAGAATCGTGTCTCGGGCTGTGTGATTGAGGGCTAGTTGTCTCCAGCCTATAGTAGGATCGATATTTGATTCTTCCTGGACCCCTCTGATGCCCGTGACCCAAGGATTCTGACGTTCTGACCCCGGCCGTCCCGGCGGGCTCCCGTAAAGTGCCGGCACTAAGGGCTTCTATATAATGGGGCATTGTCCAGCATCGGATACATATCCTCAGGCTAACCTGTTTGCAGGCACAGTCTTGCAGATCTGCCCCTTCATTATTCACCACATGGACTAATCCGACAATATCAGCCCAAATTACGGCGAATCATGATTTTGTACTCGCATTATAGAGCCAATCTGGGAACGGGATGATTATATGTATATAACAGATTTGAATTCGCCAAGAACTATTAGTCTCAAACGATCTAGCTTGGATATCATTCACAGCACACTAGCTACTAGATCCTCTTTTTTCCGTTGGCTTAGCTCCGGTCAGTGCGGTATCCTCTTCTTCATGAAGGGTATACCGACATCCTGTAATATCTGCATCAACATGCAAGGTACCAGTGCGGTGATCAGATCTCCATGAGACTCCGGGAAATGAGCTCAAGAGCAAAAGCAGGGTTTCGGCACGAAAGACGGGACTAATATATCCAAACAGTCCCCGACAGTCCTCGGGAACAGAGCAATTGCATACTGGAGATCTGATAAGAGGGCGTTGATCTGATAAGCCGGACAATTCGGCTTCGGGCCCAAACTGGAGCTCGGCTTTATTTCCCACACACAGCATTGATTGGCGCGGACTGGAAGGCTTGAAACTGCAACCTCGGTCCTTGGCACTGTCTACTCTCTTCATCTCGCCAAAGTTCCGACAACTCTGACGGACAGCAAGCCAAAAGAGGTGATATCTTGTGTCTATCACACATATGGCGCCTGGGCGTTGTGGCACATTCTTCTATTAAGCCACTCAACAGCTTGAAACATGCCGATCATCATGTTAGTCTATCCAATCATCAAGTTGTCGAATTAAATCCGAACCCGAACCAACTTCGACCGGAAGTTTTTTTTTTTTTTTCTTCTTTTTTTTCCATTACGGAGTAATCTAATGACTGCAGAGGTTGAATACCTAAGTATATAAAGAGGGATCGGCCGCAGACATACTCGATTGACATAGACTTCTAAGTTCTAAGCATCGATCCGGTGCAGAACGCCATGTTCCTATTCTCCATTCTGGCCCTATTGGGTCCCTCGGTATGCCTGGCTGCCTGCCCCTACGCGCACCTAGCAGAGAGAGTGTCGAGACAAGCATTGAGCCTCGCTCTGCTGCGATACTCCCTCGCGCCGTGCCCGACAAGAAGGGAATCATGTTGATGAACCGCATCAATCCATCATCGTCACAGCTGTACATTGCGAATGCGGACGGTTCCAACGAGCGCTCTTTGCTGGGCGATGACTCTGATTACGAATATCACGCTTCATTCTCCCCGGATGGCAAGCACGTTATCTTCACTACCGAACGCAACGGCGATGGCAATTCCGATGTCTATATGGTCAACGTCGATGGCACCGGTCTGAGACCAGTCGCAACCACACCCTCAGTCGAAGATGCGGCAGTCATCTCTCCTGATGGCAAGTATGCCGCCTACGCCTCCACGGCCGGTGTCTACACCTCCAACATCTGGCTTACAAACCTCGAAACCGGCGCAACCCGCAACCTCACCAACCAGACCGGTGTGACGGGCAACCCTGAATCGCCGAATGGATTCTTTGCGCCGGCTTGGTCGCCTGATGGGAAATGGATCGTCTTTTCTTCTGATCGCAACACTGCATGGACTGGTCACGACAACGGCACTGGCTGGGAGCACACTCAGGAATTGGCTCTGTATGCTATTACCCCCAAGGGAACTGGTTTCCGAAAGCTGTACGGCAAATCGGGCTTCACCTACGGTTCCCCCAGATTTTCCCCAGATGGCAAGCGGGTTACCTTTTACGAAATGGATGTGCAAACTACTTGGGATGCGCGGTCGTCATTCGCTGTTAACTCCACGACCAACCAAATCGTTTCGGTGGACTTCAAAACAGGAACCGATTTTGTCCGACACACCAATACTCCCGGTATCAAGATTTACCCGCAGTATGTCTCGAACAATAATATTGGATACTTGCTGAAGGGCGGAGAAGAGGGCGGTATTCACTACACGTCCACCTCGAAGAAGATTCTGGGCGGCATGCGCTCACCTGCGTGGTCCCCTGATGGCAAACACGTTGTCTACGAGAAGACTGGCTGGGAGACCCGGGCTTTGCAGAAGAAACTGTGGTCCTGGGACTCGGAGTGGGAGTATCACTTCATGGACGTGTTCCCTGCACTTTCTCTCCAGGGAGACTTGGCCTTCACGCTCAAGCAGACGGGTAGCCCCGGCAACTCCTCCGTGGTAACGATGCCACCCGGAGACACCGATTTCACTGTTGTATTCGATACCTACGAAACCGGTCAACTTGACGAGGCCACCGTCGGCCACGGTGGAGGCGGTGCTTTCCAGCCCTCATGGTCCGCTAACGGAGAATGGCTCACCTTCGGCCTTGGAAGCTGGTTCCAGAGTCGTGGCGAGAAGCCCGGCTGGATCTTCCGAGCCAAGGCTGACGGATCAAGCTACGAGCAACTCACCTTCGGTGGCAACACTACCAACAAGGGCTTCCCTAGCTTCTCCCCTGATGGCAAGAAGATTGCCTACCGCGAATGGATGCCTGAATTTGGACTGCGTCTGCTCGATCTCGAGACCAACGAGACGACTTCTCTGACCACAGAGCGTGATAACCTGCCATTCTTCTCGCCGGCTGGCGACTGGATCCTGTTCACGCGCAACATGACCGATATCTCCAGGAACGAGTTCTCCAACTACGAGGTGTGCATTATCCGTCCCAATGGAACGGATTTGACCGTGCTCACCACGTCGTATGCCAACGATGCCCACGCTGTCTGGACTGCCGATGGCCGCATCATGTGGTCGAGTGGAATGTGGGGATTCCAGGCTGAGGCTGCGACCTACGATGAAACGTTCCAGCCCTATGGCCAGATCATGATCATGAATGTTGATGGATCGAACAAGACCGTTCTCACTGATAGCTTATGGGAGGATTCGATGCCTACTTATATACCCAATGCCTTTTTGAGGCAGTGAGAGGAGTGTTTGCAGCGGAGAGAAGAAAGCGATAAAATGGTGAAGATATAGTATAGTGTAAAAAGATACCAAATCCAAAAATCTCATAGGATTCATTCTTTCAACATTTAATAAAAAACATGGATGTATCAAACCTACTTGACCAGTATGCTGTTGCGATCATCAACACCAGACATCTAATCTCTCGCTCATTGAAGCTTGACCAAAATATTAACGCTGACCTGGAAGAGTAACTCTCTATAGATCTTGTTCTCACATTTTCACGCCGTATGTTCCCCATATCGTCGCGCAAGATGATCAGTGATATATACTTAACGAAGCTAGACCCTCGGAAGAGACCTTTAGTACAACAACACTTGGAAAATATATGGCTGCGCCAGTACTGAACCCCCATCTTGTGCTCAATTCCTCATTCTAATTTATGCAAAAGTTAGTTATCCTTCATGATACACAACCAGACACCATCTTCCATCCAATGGTAAGATGGCCGAGTTGGTCCAAGGCGCCAGGTTAAGGTATACCTTAACTCCACAACTAGCAATAGTTTCCTGGTCTCGAAAGGGGCGTGGGTTCGAATCCCACTCTTATCATATCTTTTTGTTTCCTTTTTTTTTCCTCGGCGGGGATCCAGTGAAAACGCCCGGGAGGATATACAGATCCTTCCGGAGAAACCGTTTCGCCGTGGCCCAATCAGCTCTAGCGCGGACACGCCCGAGACATAAATACGCGGCCGTCGCCCGCGCTTTTGCTCGTTTTCTTTTTTCTTTTCTATCAACTATCGGGGCTCCACTTTGTGGCTTGCTGAGGCTTATCCGATGGCTTCGGCCTTCATGGGTTTTCTTCCGTTCCCGGCCCTGGAGAGTAAACACGATCCTTCTTATACAACACGTTATAGCTACACTAGGGCTTCTTTCGGGGGGCTCGGTCGGTGCTGGCTGTGGGGAGGCCGTGACATACCTTTTTGATAGAACAAGATTAGTTAATTTTAATTTTAATTTATTATATTTTACATTCATACGGTCCTTTCTTAAAAGTGTTTATGAGAAGGTAGAATATTGATTATCCTATCCTATGGTACTCGAGTCAAGGGGTCCGCGACACATCAAGCACCCCATGGATGTGCATAAATAGGAGCCTAGGGCTGTCTTCAATCTTCTTTGTATAGCTATCTCATCTAAAAATACTGACATGGGATTAACGTCCATGGTCAATTCGAAGTAAGGATGAGAAGTTCATGTACATGCTTGGTGTGTAATATAATAGAAATATTTAATCAAAATTTTATGCCAATCAAGGATATCTTGGAAAGAAAGACAGAAAAGAAAAAAGAAAAGAAAAGGCTGATGCATAGGTAATGAATGCTGCATGGGAAATCGACAAGTCTGGAGGAGAGCCAAACGTCAAGAGAAATGATAAAACGTCATGTCACTCATAAATGTATACCGGGCCTTTTCAATAGCACACCAAACACCAACAGAGTCAATACGAGAGAATCCAGTCGCCCACCAAGAACAAATGCAACGGGGGCCGATTGAACAAATCGTCAAAAGTCACCGGGTATCTCAACCCACAGACACGAGTGCGAGTGCGAGTACATCAAAAGAGGAAAATGACCCTCAAACAAGATCACAACACGCCGCCAGGTAGATTGATTTGTCCTTGTCGGCCGCCGTCGAAGCCTGCGCTGTTGGGCGCTGACATGCTAGGTCCTGGAGTGGTTCCGGGATTGTCCATGTGGATCTTTCGCAACATGAACATTGGTTTCCGTCCTTCCTTTTCGAGCTGCTTGAACAAAAGCAGCGGTTTCTCTTGCAATTCCAAGCAACGCTCTTGGTCTCCATACACGATATAAAGGGCGTAGTTCTTCCAATCAGAATTGATGTTGTACTTCTTAAGTGCAGCTGGGAGGACCTTGTAGCAGGGATCTTCCCAAGAGACTCGGAATGATTTGAAGATCTCCACGCTATTTGGGTTCTCACTGCCGCCTCCGTTTCCACCTCCGCTCCCACCAGCCCGCGAGTCGGACCTGTCGAGTCGTGGGTCAAGTCGCGATGCAGTTGATGGTGTCTCAGCGCGGGATGATGATAGCTGGTTCGGGGTGAGCCGGTCTCCCCGGGAATGTATTGTAGGCGTTTGTTCGGCATAGTCATATGCGGTATTGCGATTCACATTGGATGTTGGTTGGGAATATGCTCGTGGATTGAGTGTCTGAGGATGAGCGTGATGGTGATGGTGAGGTGAAGTTGGCGAAGGAATTCCAGGTGATAGTTGTGACCCTCCATTCATTGGATTTGATAGATGGGAAGAGGCGGCGGTTGAGGGATTCAAGGTGTCGTGGTGAGATCGCCCTTCATAGACCATAGGTGGGATGTGAGTTGGCGAATTGTTTTTGGTGCTTGCACCAATGCGCTTGGAGAAAGCTCGCGCAATTTTCGATGATGAAGACATCTCGGGGACTATGGGTGGGGGGTTTGCGGTAAGTGTGGCCGTGCTGTCTGTCCAGTTTTCTGAAGGTTGGGCTCCTGATGAAGGAGGAGGTAATGGATGTGAGCGGTCTTTTGCGAATTTGATCACTGGGAGAATCTCTTCGCGCAATCGTCGGTAATCCTCCGTGATCCGACGCAGCTCTGTCTCAACCAAACTGAGCTTTTCATCTCGAACCTGGATAGATCTGATCAAACGCGCGAGATCCTGCTGTGTTGCGGTTTCATTAACACCCTGCTCCGCTGCTACAAACGTGGGTTAGACTTGATTTTTTTATCCAAAGGATCTGCAGACATACAAAGTGGAATATAATGATCTGCATCGAGGGGAATAAGCTGTTTGACTTTGATTTCATACACGCTTTTCAAGATCGTGAGTCGATGCCCCACGCTGTTGATACCCATTTCCTTCAGCTCATCGTGCTTTAGGGCAATCAAAGCTTCACCAACAATCGCGTTTTCTGCGAGACGGCTTATCATCAGCAAAGAGCACAAATCAAGTCTTCTCCGGTGGGTCCGCTTACCTCGAAATGCGCCGTGATATTGAAGCAATCCGAGCGAGGTCAGAAAATCTTTGCATTCATCGATCCCCCAGTCTGTGATGAGTGTTCGCGGAGAGCGAGGGCCATCCATCGGGTGTCCAAATTTAGTCGGCGTGTGTTCTGCGGAGTTGATGTCGGAGTCCGTGGGAGAAGACTCGCAGTCGACATGCAGATGCGGCGAAGTAATCACACTGCGCTCGTACTCATCGTCCGCATCCGAGTCGGCGTGGTAGGAGGTGTGGAGGGACATGGTGACGGAGGGTAGGCGGCAAGGCGATATTCACCGAACGTTGAGATGGAGAGGTATGGGAAGTTCGCAGACGCCACCACCAAAGTGGATGTGCTAGAGCTAATGAAGACAAACAAAATGGGTATCGGCGGTAATGCGCCGAATGCTCTATTTTATAAAGCGCAGGCAGAACGAGGGGACTTTGGGTCTGGAAGTTTGCCAGGTGAACATGGGCGGATTGAAAGGGCCTTCAAGACATATGCTGTGTTCAAGGTTCTGCGTTGTGACTGAAATCTATGCTCAAAACTCCTATCCGAGAAAGGATGTGCTGTCGAGAAAGCAAACGCGGCAATCAACAAGTTGAGCAAAGCGGGGAAGGTTGGCGCGTTAGGGTTATGGCAAGATAGGGGGTATGGGAGGAGGAGCCGCTGATCACGACGAAGGAAGATTATATGCTCTCTGAAGCCGACAAAACAGGAGAAAAAGAAAGTGAATATCTGGAAGCTAAATGCAGAGGTCGGGGATTGGCAAAGAGGACGCTGTGATGGGAATCGGAACCACGTGACTGGGTCTGGACTGTTCAAAAACAACGGGGGCTACACTTGAAAGTATACTTCGACTAGTCTATTGGTTTAGTTCTCCCCTCTACAGAGTGGCGATTCTGATCTTTTGGATGTCGGGTTCGTTCTTCACAGACTGAATCTTTTTGCATCCAGTTAAGACTCGTCATCAGCCCCGCCTTTGTTAAAACGGTGCGCACTCGACTACCTAGGCAACTGGATGGACGATCTGTTGACTCGCGTTTCTCGTCAAATCCAATTTACATGCCTCAACCCAACTGTAAACCTGCAAATACAATTGTGCTTAACTGCTCATTAACCAAAATAGTATCTTATTTATTGCTGCCTGGGCTGACTGAAGTCCTACCTACCTCTTGTTGCTTAGCAGCCCCCTCTGCAGTCCTCCCTTACTCCAACCAGCCCCCATTTATCTTCAGTATAGTGAAACTGCCCTTCCTGGGGATTTGTGACCAGCAGGCGGAATGGCACTTTCGATATCTAGGCGCTGCTACTCCGTAGACATATCGGGGTTATGCTTAGGGTTGTTCATGAAGGCATGGTTAAGAGTTGATCATCCAAAAAATGCAATCACCGATCCAACCATATCCACCTGGTCACCCCACGAAGTCATACTACATGCATTTCACTAACCCTCGCTCGATAGCAAGATATGTCAGTGAGCCCATGAAGGTTCATAAACGAACGGACTGAGACACCTACTTTGCAGTCCCCTAGCTTCTGGTCTCATCGAGCTTGGTAATGACAAAAAATGTCCCGGACTGATTGGGATATTGTCAACAGGCATATCCTGGAATATTCTTCCACTCTACATACTCTTCGTCACAAAGGCGTGCATCATCACCTCGCCTATGCCGTTGGGGCTATACCTGGAACTAACTAGGGATTGCAATGCTCTGAATACGTATTATACACGTCATCAGTGGCAAGAATACCTTTACCCTCAACACCGCGCGATACTACCTAGGTGTACAAGCCACCCAGGATGGGGATGAAACAAGGGATATACCCGCTTAGCCGCCTCGTCTGTGAGCACTCAGAACTCATGTACTGTTTGACCTATTGGATCCTAGCTAGCTCATTCCCTCTCAGATAAGTGTGATCTGACCTCGGGATACACTCTTTCTTGGTCAAACATCCCGGCTAAGTCCTAGGTTATACTGCACAAACAAGTACCATAGGATTAAAAAAAGTAAATCAAATTTGACCGATTAGAGCTGGGATCGAACCAATAAGCAGCTGGTTTAAAGAAAAAGAGAACGCGCGCTGGAAGTCAACTCTTATATATAGTACTATACAAGCCACCCAGGATGACGATGGTACACAAGGGAACTACCGCTTGGCCACATCACCTGGGGGCAAATGGAGCTTGTTTACTGTGTTACTTATCCATAGAGCCCTGGCTGGCTTGTCGTTTCTCTGATAGCTACGATCTGATATACGCTCTTTCCTCTATATATATTGATCAACCTCAAAAAGATTTCTGTTTTGCTGGATGCGCAAATGAGAACTAAAAGATGTCAGTTCGAACGCATCACTGATTTGACGTCCTTTACCTCCAGTGCGAGGGTAACGTCCGTACCTATACGTAGAGGTAGGTAGGAAGGTAGGTAGGTAGCTTTGGACTCCAGTCTCGGTTGATCCCGGCTGTCCCAAAACGGTAACCCGACACACAAAACCTTAGAGAATCCAAGAACCATGCAATTTCACAAGAGCCTCCGAGCTGTGGAGATCAAGCATATGTCGAACGAAGTTAGTGGAGCCTGGGTTATCTACTGCGTCATCAATAGAGATGACAGAGATATTCAGGTACGGAAAACCAAGTGTTCCGAAAAAAGAGATCTCCAGAACAATGTGAATTGATAGTCTATTCCGATGCAAGTGCGCCCGTGGCCATCGTATGTAAAACCCATGAAAATTTGATGCCGCAGCCGGCCCGAAACAATCTGTACTCCGTAGAAAGAAACCCGCCATGCATGATCGCATTCTGAAATGCTGCTTCCCAGCCCCTGATGTCTGTCGTTATTTCTTGTCGCCGTTGGGAGCGCTCTCCCCTTCCAAATCGGCTACTTCTCGTATAATATCTTTTAATCCGCGCACACCCTCGTCGACCACGGTCTCCGGAATCCGGACATCGACTTCTTCAATGTACTTCAGAGGGTCGTAGGGATGCTCTTTGTTGCCTTTCTTGGTGCCGTTGGTCTCTTTTGCTCCGTTCATGGTTTCGCCATTTGCGACCTTGGCCCCGAGTGCGGGGTGAGTTCGACCCTCTGCCGAGGCGAGTACGGCCGCCATCACATCGTCGAAGGTCTCACAGCGGCCGGCGCGGAGGAGTTCTGTGGCGAGGGTGGTGATTTTGTCGGTCCAGCCCAGGCGATTTAGGGAGCCCAGGAGGTTATCCTGGAGATCTTCGAGTGCACAGCTGGCAGATAACTTGACGAGGAGGTCGGATTCAAGGGCGTCGGGAGTGGAGGAGGCTCCGTTGGTGGAGGCGGAGGAGGGCATTGTGGAGGGTGGGGTTCGGGTGTCACAAGAGGACACTTGCACAGAAAAGAAAAGCGCAGGGAAGCTCTTGGAATCAAGTAGTTCTAGATCGCGCACGAGAAATGAAGTAATGCCGGTTGCGCAAAAGTGATGGGTTGTCGGAGAGGGGCCCGCCCTGTATTTCAATGCGGGATTGAAGGCGGATTAGAATTACATTGCACGGAATGAACAATACACATGCATAATAACCAGACAATTGAAGCTCAACAGAGAACCAAAATAGGAAACAGGAGAATAGATGAATAGGAAGACTCGCATTAACGGCTGCCAGATCGGACCATCGGCATTGTGGGTCCGTTCTCGAGCGGTGAATCGCCTCATTGGTCTCTTTTGATGTTATTCTCATCACTCTACACATCTCTCTACGGCAGGATCGGACTGATTCTTATGGTCATTTCTTTGAGTTCTTCATGTGGGACAAACCTCAAAGGGCCTAGCCCTTCTAGCTTTTCTAGTATGTCAATCACTGCTAGGTCCTTATAGATATTCTGACACGCGGATCGCATATGATCTCTGCGTCCATATGATATCTGTGTCTTCAATCTGCAACTTAATTACCCTACTCGGCTTTGATCACAAATGGTCCAGGCGCAGGGTTTGTCAATGCCCAGGCAATACCGTCACTCATTACCTCATCCCATCTCTTGCTTTCAGACAATTTGGCTCCGAATCTTCTGAATCCATGAGGCACACCGGGGAAGACATGAACATTGGTCGGAATACTAATGAGAAAGTTAGCACCAGAAAGGACCTACCATCGATCATTGTGAACTTACTTGTTTGCTGCAAGGTGCTGTCCATAAAACAGACCCTCATCTCTCAAGGGGTCATTACCCGCAATTCCAAACGTAGTAGGAGGCAAACCCCTGACCTCTTCCGCGGTGGCATTCCCAGGACTCATCCGACGGTCTCCCTCGGCATCGTTGGCTTCCCAAACCCCAAGTAGCTCACCAAACAGTTTAATGCGACTGACCGGCAAGATGGGCGCTTCAGCACATTGAACATAACTCGACAGATCAGGACTCTTGAGCATCTCTTGCCTCGGCGCATAGTGGACATATTGTACAAGACAGGGAATCATGAGAATCTGTCCAGCAATCTTGGGACAGGCTGCGAGACGCTTATCCTCGCCGCGCAGCTGAGCCAGCGCCAATGATGCAGTCAACCATGCACCAGCTGAGATGCCACCCACGACAACTTGTTCGCTGATCCCGCCAATATCGGCGATATGTTCATGTAACCAGACAAAGGCATCTTCGATATCATTCCAGGCAGTGGGATAGCCATATTCGGGGGTGTGTCGGTAGTTTACATTGAGGACCACGACCGGGGTACCCTTACTGGCCCGCGAAGTGACAATCCGCGAGCAGGTCGCATCTTCAGAAGCGAGTGTTCCAAACAGAAAACCGCCGCCGTGAAGGTGCACGTAAACAGGCAGGCGCTCGGCGATTGGCACACCGGCAGGACGGTAGGTGCGAGCCTCCAGGGTCGCTCCGTCGCGGGCTGTGATCGTGTGGTCGTGCATCTGGACCGTGGAGCTCAAGCCTTGGTCGATCATATCCTGGGCGGCAGATTCCTCACGGCCTTTATTCAGTAATGCCTTCAATTCTTCCACCGATAGATCCTTGGGAAGGTCGCCCAGCGTTGGCTCGAGGGCCAGCCATTCGGCGCTGGGGCCAGTATATTCAGAGAAGTCAGCCATTCTATTCGTAAGGAGACTGGATTGCAATCAAGATGTACTGGGAAGATGAGGGTTCAGCTACGCTTACACCGATGGATGTCATCAAACAAGCCATCACAACTACCCCACCTCGGCTCGGCTACCGATCGGTTACTATATTTTGACATGCGACTGTGACTGTCCGGCAAACCCACGTAGCAGATTAACTATTTAGGTATGCCGTAGATGGAGAGAGATGCGACAAATATAAGGGTAGATAGGATGTCTTATTTGAGTCCTCGGATATAGTTGCAGAAACTCAATTGGAACCAAACCTCCAGACCCAAACCCCCAAGCATGGATTCCGGCATTTCATCAAACCCCCCCTCACGTTCCTTAGCCGACAAGGCTGCAATCGTAACAGGCGCAGGCTGTCTTGGTGATGGTATTGGCAACGGACGCGCCATTTCAATCCTTCTTGCTGAAGATGGCTGCGACGTGATCTGCGTCGACCTCAACCTGGAGTGGGCCAACAAGACAGTGGAAATTGTGAATTCGAAACCCGGCCGTGGACAGGCGCTTGCAATTCGCGCAGACGTCACATCAGAAGAGGACTGCCAAGCAGCGGTGCGCTTCGCAGTCGAACAATTCGGACGACTGGACATCTTGATCAACAATGTCGGAATTGGCGGCGCAGCGGGTACTGCGGTCGAAGTTGATATGCTCCAGTGGGCTAAGAGTATGGAGATCAATGTTGCCAGCATGGTTCAGATGGCCAAATACGCAATCCCAGAGATGTCCCGGAATGAGGGGGAGATAAAGGGTAGCATTGTGAATATGGGCAGTGTGGCTGGGTTGAAGGGTGGTACACCCCATCTCCTATATCCAACTGCTAAGGGCGCTATTGTCAATATGACGCGTGCGATGGCGGCACACCACTCCCCTGAGGGGATACGTGTGAACTGTGTGTGTCCGGGTGTAAGTTTATCATTTTCCGTGCCGTACAAGACCGAAGCTGATTATCTTAGATGCTATACACGCCCATGATGTATGGGAAGGGTATGAGCGAAGAGGCTCGTGAAGCCCGTCGGAAACGAAGCTTGTTGGGCACAGAAGGGAATGGATGGGACTGTGCTGGAGCTGTGGTGTTCCTGGCTGGACCTCATGCTCGGTGGATGACTGGTGTTATTTTGCCTGTTGATGCAGGGACAACAGCTGCGGTAGGAATTGGAATGACCAAGAGCGCAAGTGTCAATGCATAATTAGATGAAGGGTGCTCTGATGTTTTGCCATTCTCATGTTCTCTTCTATAGATTCATAGAGCTTTTTACTACCTTATTCTCTTGCTTCTGGTATCTCAACGTCTAGAACCCTATCTCTGCTGGGGAGTCGAACAAAAAATGTATATGATATCTTCTAACACTTATACAAGATCTGACACCAAAGCTATCCGATCCTTGATCTTACCCTCTCCTAATTCCTTAAGAACCCTGGGGAAATCCTGCAACTTGCCCAGTTCCACCTGAGGCTTAATGACTCCCTTGGCAATCAAGTCAAGCACGTCGACCAAATCTCTGTACTGTCCACCATAAGTGAAGATAATGCTGAGTCTCTTCCGAATGCCAATCTTCATGTCCAAATCATTAACGCGGGCAAGGGTCCCAACACACAGGATCTTGCCGGCAGGACGAACTGAGTAGGGAGAATTGAGCATTAGTACAAGACCCGACAGACCGACACATGGCATGGAAACTCACCTATCTCTTGCGCATCCTGGAATGTCTGAGGACCGCCCACAAACTCCAATATAGTATCAATCTTCCCCTGCAAACCATGTTCCTTGACGAATTCTTGCACAGACTTCCCAACAGGAACGATATCCTCTGATGGAACACCTAACTCTAGAGCAGCATCTAGCTTCTCCTGGCGTATGTCAGACACAATGACTCTGGCACCGATGGATCGCACAATCTGGAGCGCATTGAAGCCAAGCCCACCAAGACCGAAAAGGAACACGGTTTCTTCCTTCTTGACCTCAGCACGGCGAGTAATTCCATGATAAGCCGTGGTTACAGCATCAGTAGCGACGGCAGCAACTGCCGGTTCAACGCCTGTACCCGATGTCAGATTGTGCACTTCCGTGGTTTGGCAGGAACCTTACCATCTGGCAATGGAATCGCGGAGCGAACATCAATCGCGACATATTCGGCATAAAATCCGTCTTGACCGATGCCATGGTGCATACCATCTGGACATAACTGGGCCAGATCCCTGGAGCATTCGGTGCAGGTGCTTAAGCCACATCCGGGGACAGATAGAAGAGCGATTCGGTCTCCCTGGTTCCAGGGGTTAGTCGTGTTTCGGGATATGGGACTATGATCTTCTTACCAATTTGAATCTTTTATCTTCGACTCCTTCGCCTATATCAACAATTTCACCGCATCCTTCGTGGCCCTGTAAGGAATAGGTCAGGTTGGTTCTCTTTTCAACATCTTTGTGCGCACAAAAAGAAAAAGACATACAAGAATATACTTCTCGTTAAATTGCGGTCGGTCTTCGACATCTAGAAGGGGTTGATCGCTGTGACAAACTATCACGAACAGCGAGTATCAGCAACAGAGAACATGCGTCCGAAATCTGGATGGATATTCATTTACCCCCCGATGCTAGTAGCTTGACCAGCAAACCTGTGGCTGGGGTCGAGGGTACAGGAAGCTCTTCCCAAACCTATATTGAGGTTAGATAAAAGGGTTGAATGTAAAATTACTAACAACTAACATACTGGATTCTTGTTTCCTTTATGCTTCCTCCAAGCATGCATGGTGGTTGGTGTAGTGCTACCCATCGTTTCAAAATTGTTATATGGTGAAGAGATGCCACTTGGTTGAGCAGCCAGAATTAAATAGTCAATTATTGGGCGTATAGAATTATACAGTACTCTGTATAGAGACTATATACAGGCAGAGACTAGCAACCAAATACGCGCCGTGTCGAGTGAACAACTGAGGGGGATATTGTCCGGATTTGGGAAGCCGACGTGATGGTTATAAACCGAAACCAAGTCCGAATACCGGCCCAAGACAGCGCTAAGGGGGATATTAATGCGAGCTACGTATCTAAACAGTCGAAATCGACCAGTCATTGGCTTCGCCGAGAAAGCCGAACAGCCGAGGGTATCGATCAGCCTCTTGGCAGAAGAGGATTTTGCGGGGGGAATCTGTCCCCCGCATTTTCAGTTTACTATGGAGGCTGTATCTAGGTCCTAGGTCCTAGGTCCTGGGAAGCTTCGGAGTTTCAACTCTCAGAAACAGAACTCTGCGATCATGTCTGCGCCGCTTTGGTTGCAGTTCACCGGTAATCAGGCCAAACGGAAACGCGCCGAGCTTGCCTGTACTGCGTGTCATAGCAAGAAGGTATGTACGTCAATACCCCCAAGATCTCGGCTATCAACTAGTGACTAACGGCTGCAGATTAGATGCGACCTGCAAGCACGAGGGGCTCAAGGGTACAGCAATTGTACTAAATGTGAAGCTGGTAGTAAAGAATGTCGGTGAGTGGCACCAATTTGAACGCGTCGGAAGCTGGTCCTGACCCGGTTATAGAGTCAGACCATCCAAACGAGGTCGGTCCTCCGGGACAAGTGCGGCTCCCTTGTCGCCGCCGAGTACCGAGAGTATTTCCAGTGCGAAGGATCGGCGCCAAAGCTCCCTGGTCCATCTGGCTCTCACTCAACCATCTTCGGAGCAACCTCCATCTGGGGCTAGCCTAGCAAATGATACCCGGTCTTTGGACTTCCCCAGGGATTTGCTTCAGAGATCATCCATATCTCCGCGGAACGTGGAGCAGACGACACATCAGAATTTCGAAAATATTGGATGGTCGTTGCGAGATGACCGATCCTCGGGCCAAGTGCTGCCCGACTCCATGGGCCCACCGATACAAGACATGACAAATGATTCTCCTGCTACTCAACGGACAGAAAGAACGGAAGACCACTCGGAGCATAATGAAAGCTACCCGATCGGTCACGTCTTTATGCCAGAGCTACAGACAAATGCTCGAGCACAGGAACGCCTCATTGCTGAAAGAATGCCGGAGGTGCCTAACCTCCCCGACCCAGATCTACAACAGACATTCGCAGAAACATACTGGGAATACTGCTATACCTGGTGTCCAGTCCTAGATCGAGATAGTCTTCCAGGCGAGCTCGCTCGATCTCCACTACTCGTCAATGCCCTGGCAGTGGTTGGTAGTCACATCAAACCTCCCATGATCCCACATGATGGACCTGCTGGCTATTACGAGCGAGCACGCACCAGGTTCTATAATGATGAAGAGCCAGATGTGATGGTCTCGCTGAAAGCTGTTTCTCTGTTCTATTGGTGGAGTCCGCGACCACCAACTATTCTCCATCGCCATTCTTCTTGGTGGTGGACCTCAGTTGTCATCCGCCATTGCCAGCAACTAGGAGTACATCGAGAACCAGCTCCGAACCACCCACTGCGTCAACAACTGGATCTCAGTTTACGGCGTCGAATATGGTGGACGGCGTTTGCGCGCGAGCGACTAACCGCCCTGTGCCAAAGTAAACCATGTATCATCGACCCAGAAGACTGTACCCTCGCCGAACCCACACTTGGAGACTTCTCCGGTGCCCCAGATCAAACCAAAGCCGAAGTTTTCATCTACTGGGTCCGTTTATGTGCCATAATCGGCAGAGTTGCCAAATACCTCGCCCGTTCTACCGATGCTGGATCATCGACATTCCCGGCGCATTTAGCCCGCGATCTGATCGGCTGGGTGCAATCCCTCCCTCCCCATTTACAGCTGCCGATTGGATCAGATCGCACAACCCACTTCAACAGAGATGTGCATCAACTCCATCTCCCATATCTGGCCGTCATCATCCTCATTCACCTTCAGCGATCCTCCACCTCTCAGCCTCTTCCACAAGCATATCCACCAGCAATACTGGCCGCGACCTGCATGGCGCGCATCATGCGGGATATTCTAGTCCGCGGCGGGACCCGATTTCTCATGGCCATCACGGGATGGTATTGCGGTACCGCATTCATCGCGCTCCTTCAAGCCCTCCGAATCGAAGGTCTAGCCAAGGGCGCCAATGAAGATCTCGATATGTTGACTCTAGCCGTGGACCAGCTACGCATCATGTGGCCCACGGCGGCTGTATTCTACTCGGGATTCGATCGTCTGCGATCGAGCGCTGCAGCCCCGGACTTCGATTCCCAGCGCGCGCCTGGTCCGGAACTCGGTATGGGTGATGGAAGTGTGTATATGCAGATGGCAGATGGGATTGATTGGACTGCTTACTTCCCCTTTGCGACTACACAAACGAGTGGGATCGCTGGTAGATTGCTCGTTCCACATACCGAGGAGCTTTTCTTTGATGACGATGCCTTCGCTGAGGCAATGTTTCAGTTTCGGGATCTATTTGACCCTTCTGAGACGTTCAATGAAATCAATCCTTTTATGTAGCGTGATAGATTTGTCTTTATATCTTCCCTTCTAATTAGACATACCGATTATAGACTCATTTTGCAGACTCTCCGCTGTATGATATCATTCAAAGTTCAATTCATTAGACACGTTTCAATTCTGAAGTCATATACAAAGATCATGCCAGCACCAAATCCTCATACTCCCTCACAGCCACATCCTCAGCACGCTTGCGATACCCCGGCGCTGGACCCTGATATCTCGCAATAATCCTCTTCTGCTTGTGCGCCAGATTCTTATTGATACCAGTCATCCAAGAATCAACCTCATTCGCAAGCAATCCATCCGCGCATCTATGCACATGCTCCGTCCAATCCAACATACCCTTCCTCGTAGCCTCAGCAAAGGTAATCCCCCGATCTCGACAAAACTCAATAAACCTCGCCACCCAACTAGCAGCATATTCCACACTGCGCGGAATATTCCCAAACATCTGATGCGGTCCCATAACCATCATCATATTAGGGAATTCATCAACGAACAGTCCCAAGTACGTACGGGGCCCCTCACTCCACCGATCCTGCAACTTCACCCCGCCCACACCGCGGAAATCAATCGCAGTAAAAGACCCAGTCACAGCGTCAAACCCAGTCGCGTACACAATCATATCGAACTCAAACGTCTCATCCTTCGTCTGGATACCAGTCTCGGTCACCCGCTCAATGGGGTTCGTTTTCACATCCACCAGTCGCACATTCGGCTGATTAAAAGCCTCGAAATAGCGCGTTTCCATAGGCACACGCTTCGTGCCGAATCCGTGACATTTCGGAATCAGGATTTCCGCCGTGACGGGGTCATGCACGCGCTCACGGATCTTGTTCGCGATGAACTCGCTGAACAGCGCATTGGCCGCTTTATCGGTGTTGATATCGCCGAAGTTGCTCATCCACTTGGCGAACCCGCGTTTCGCGTACAGCTCTTCCCAGAAGGCTTCGCGGTCTTCCGGGGTGAGGTCGAATGTGCTGCGCGTGTCCGGGACGTGCATGAAGCAGTGCCAGGATTCCGAGCATTTTCGGAAAATCTCTGGATACTGGGATCTGATCTCGTTCATTTCTTCTGCGGTGAGGGGTGCGTTGCGGAGAGGGAGACTCCAGTTCGGGGTTCGTTGGAAGACGGTTAGATCGCCTACCGTCTTGGAGATTTCTTGGATTACTTGGATGCCTGTTGCGCCGGTGCCGATGACTGCGACGCGCTTGTTGGTGAAATCGACTTGGTCTGATGGCCAGCGGGCAGTGTGGAATGCGGAGCCCTGGTAGTCCCGGACGCCGGGGATGTTGGGTAATGTGTAGTTATTCAGAATGCCGATGCAGGTCACGACGAATCGGGAGGTGTATTGGTTTCCCTGTTCGTCTGTCACGAGCCAGGACTTGGTGTCGTCTTGGAAATGTGCTGCTACGACGCGCGTGTCGAATTGCATATCGCGACGGAGATTGAATTTGTCGCACACGAACTCGCAGTATCGGAGTGTCTCGGGCTGTGAGGCGAAGTGCTCTGACCAGTTCCATTCGTCGAGCACTTCTTGCGAGAATGAGAAATTGTAGGAATAGCTTTCTGAGTCGAAGCGTGCGCCGGGATAGCGATTCCAGTACCATGTCCCGCCGACACCGCTGGCGGCCTCGAGGACTTTCGTCCGTAGGCCTAATTGCCGCATGCGATATAGGGAGTAGATGCCAGATAGGCCGGCGCCAATGATCAAGACATCGTAGTCGAGGTCTTTGTTCTTTTGGGAGAAACTGGGATCGACGATGCTGCCCATGGTGGTTTGAAATTTGAATGCGATCTGTGTATGTAGAGTGGTGAATATTATCTCGTGAGGTGTCAGCCCTTATAGCTCAATATATGAACACTTATCAATCTACGGAGTATACAGCGCTTTGTTCCGCGAACATGCCGCACGCCCGAAGACCGGAATTGATAGAGACAATCTGCGGGGAAAAGGTGAGCTCCAGACAGCCGGTATGTTTGGCGCTTGTATGAAGCCGAGGTCCACTGCGCTAGCCTGTCTCCAGGTTTGGTGCACGGAGGACGGAGTACGGCGTATGGTGTTGATTGGGAGGATATAGTGGATAGCATATCGCGAAGTCAACGGTTTGGTCTGATGGCTACAGTATAAAAGTTGTAGCAAGATGGTATGAACTGGATCCGATATTTGGATATCAGATGTTGTTTACCTAGGTATGCTTCCTCCTGTGCAGATAATTCTCAGCATATGGACTGTACTGTTTCTATCCAGAAATAACGACCGCACTACACGCCATGTATATTGCTCACTCCTCCGTAGATAGTACGAGTTATGCACATATGCACCAGCGATCCCAATTGTATACTCTGTACTGAATATCCCGTGTCTTCTTTAGGGCCTACGGTCCCAATACACGGCCCCCACCAGCGAGAGTCTCAAGCAGCTAGCTCTTTACGCCAATAACATCCCTTCGGAGTCCGGTCCATAACCCTTGGCCTTCAGAGACGCCTCGGATCACTCATTCAATACCGAAAAGGCAAACCATTCGATCTCTATTGCATCGTCAATGCTTACAAACCTATTCCCCAGTTCACCGGCAATGTATTCCATGCAGGTACTCCGTACTGCATCCTGCTCCGTGCCGTGAAGCCAACAACCTGATCCCCCGCGTTTCCCCAAAAATAAAATACCGGCAACCCAAATTGAGCTTGGCTTCAGAGTCGCTGTCGGTTAGGGAGGCTCGGTCTTACATCTGTGAAATCCCCCAAGGAACGGTTGAGAACCTGCCCCCACCCCCAGACTCTTATCTCTGGGGTCAAATGGCCAAAATGGAAGGTGGATTGGGGGGACCTCTGTCTGGAGAAATGGATTCGCCTATCTGCGAGGTTTCTACTCCTAGAAAGACCCCCCAACTACACTCTTTCCAAGAGCCAGAACTTCTTGAAAGACCAATTCCCACGGATCAATCCACTCCCATTCAGTACTTTTCGACTCAACCCCACCAAATCCCGTGAGCTAGCTGCTCCAAAATGGCAGCTCCCCAAGAGAGCGACAACCACTCTGTAAAATCCAAGTGCTCCAGCGCCTATTTCGAAGAAATTGAGAAACACAAGACTGTTGATACAGTACACACCGATGAGGCATTCAAAGTGATCGCCAACTACAGCGGCGACGAGACATGGAGCGAAGAGGAAGAGAAAAAGCTCCTCCGCAAGATCGACTGGCATCTCATGCCGATTTTGTGCGTGACCTATGGACTGCAATATTACGACAAGGCGATGTTCTCACAGGCTGTACGAGTATCCGACATTCCTCTTTTTTTGTAGCCTTTCTAATCAATTCCACCCCAGGCGCTATTTGGCATGCGTACGGATCTAGACCTCAATGTCGGGAATAGGTACTCGTTCTCGGCGTCAATCTTGTATCTTGGCTTCATGGTGGGAGCGTATCCTGCCATGACCATGGCGCAGAGATACCCGGTGGAACGGGTTGCCTCAGCTATCATCACACTCTGGGGAATCTGTCTGATCCTAACACCCGTGTGCAGCAATTACAAAGCGCTCTATACGCAGAGGTTTTTCCTCGGCCTGCTAGAGAGCGGCGTTAGTCCTATGTTCATGCTTCTAGTCGTGAGTCAAATATAACACCTAGAAAAAAGAAAAAAAAAAGAATCATATGCTAAACAAGAAACTTTGAGTAGGGCGGCTGGTACAAGAAAAACGAACAAGCAATGCGCATGGGGTAAGTCCAGCTACACCTTTGCCCTTGTATACACCCATCTAATAAACCCAGAATGTGGTACTGCTTCACCGGCTACGTATCCGTCTTCTCGCCACTCGTCAACTACGGCCTAGGCCACATAAAAGGCACACTCGCACCCTGGAAGTACATGTATTTCGTCGCCGGCGCCGTGACCATAATCTGGGGGCTGGTCCTCGTCTTCCTCCTCCCACCGGACCCAGTTCACGCACGCGGATTCAGCGAGCGCCAGCGATACATCGCCGTAGCAAGACTACGATCCAACAACTCCGGCGTGCGGAACACACATTACAAGGGCGGCCAAGTGGTCGAGTTACTGGCGGATGTGCGCTTCTGGCTGATTTTCGTGGTTGCGTTTTTGAGTATGATTGCGAACGGTCCGATCTCGACTTTCACGCCTATCATTATTAACTCGTTTGGGTTTGATACGCTGAATTCGTTGCTGCTGGTGATGCCGCAGGGGTTCCTGGCTGGTAGTTACCAGCTTATTGGGCCGTATTTGGCGTATCGGTTTGATGGGAGTGGGGTTAGGGCTTGGATTGTGTTTGGTGCGCAGATGATTACTGTGCTTGCTGCTTTGTTGCTGGTTGTTTTGCCGCTTGATGCAACCGGAGCTATGCTCTTTGCGTGCTATATTCTTCCTGCGGTTGGAGGTGGGTATGCGGTTCTTATGGGATTGCAGATTGCCAATGTGGCTGGGTATACGAAGCGGTCGATTGCGTCTTCGGGGCTTTATATCGGGTATTGTCTGGGTAAGTTGGGCGGTTGGGTTTAAGGAGGTTTAGTTGTACTGGGGCTGATTTTTGGATCGTGCAGGAAATTTCACCGGTCCGCTGCTCTTCAAGGAGACAGATGCACCTCGCTACGTGCCAGGATTTATTATTGTTGTTGTGACTTCCTTCGTGGCTGGTGTTACTGTACTCGCATATCGATACTTGTGTGTCCGGGAGAATCGCAAGCGAGATCAGTCTGGAACTCCGGAGGGATATGAAAATGCGTATCAGGATGACTTCACTGATAAAACGGTAAGCGAGAAAGGGAGTTCGTTAAGCCGCTTTTTACTAACCGTTCAATCTGATCAGAACCCTCAATTCCGTTATATTCTATAGACCGAGCCCACTTTGGGATCATAGACTTGTTTGAGATCTGTTTCATCTGTTAGTGGGCAGATGCTGCAGTCTCTCATTTAGATGAACTTATATTTCCATAGACATCCACCATGATTGTCCACGACTGAACCAGGGACTCCCAGATGCTTCTCTCAAGAGGTCGCCGAAGATTGCCCGTGGAAAAGTCCTCCGATGGAATCCATGAATATTAAAAGATAGAAAGACTCAATGAAATCAGAAGCAAAATGATGAAGGCCAGTGTATGGTGGCCATGACTCCTCGTTGACTGGAAACAGTGAAAAAGCTACATAATACTTAAACGATATAGGAGTCAAATAGAATCACAAAGCTAGCTCCACAAAAAAAACACACCAGCCTCAAATTCTCTCACCAGAAAAGAATTTGAGCACAAAAATCTCCAAGAATGTCTCGCCAAAGAAGAAAAGAAGAAAAGAAGAAAAGAAAGAAAGAAAGAAAGAATGAAGAAGAAGAAGAAGAAGAAGAAGAAGAGGAAGATGCAGAAGAAGACATTGTGCATGGATCAAACGCCAGTTGTACATTCCAATTCATTCCGCCAAGAAATATGATTCGCTGAGATGAGAAGAAACGCCATCAAATGCCGGGAGAGTTCGTGAGATAGTCATTAGAGATCACCGTCTGTGTCGGTCGCCACCATGCGCTCTTTCTGTTTCTCTTTGCCCTTCCTCTTCAGGGCGTCGAGTGTATTCTGCACTTCGTGTTTGGCCTCTGTATCGAGGTTGGTACGTTCATCTGGCTCAAGCGTTTCCTTATCGCCGACTCGCTCATATAGCATGCGAGAGATCGACCGATTGATGTTGGTATATTGCTCTTTCGAGATGATCTTTTTCTTCAAGTGAGGCTTCAATGCAGTGCCAACCATTTTCTGAATGTCGGCTTTGAGCGCTAGAGATGGCCCGGCTCGAGTAGGAGATGAGTCAGGTGATCGGGAGACCCCGGGATGCAATGCCCGTTGGGGGATTCGGGAGCGAGGACGACCTGGATGGGAGTGTGGAGTATCTTTGCTCGCACCATTCCCCATTGGGCTGCCAGAATAGGATACTTCGGGGGAGAAAGGAGGTGATGCCGGCTCGGCGGGGGAGGAGAGCTGGAGTGGGGAGATGGGCCGGCTTCGCGAGAATGGTGGCGGTGTGGCCGATGAGAGAACAGGAGAAGAGTAACGTGATGAGGAGGGTGAGATGGAGGGAGAAGATGGACCGGGAGACGGGCGATCGGTAGGAGCAGCAGATGTTGATGCCGAAGGTCCATATGAATGGGTGCGACTCGGAGCGTCTTCGACTTCCTTCAATAGGGACGAGAGGAAGCTTGGTCCGGTGGGATTTTCACCATTGAGCCGTATATTAGAGGCAGCAGCCCTGGATGATTCACCAGTTTGACTTTGCTGTGCGAGAGCTGCGAGCTCCTGGGGCCTTCTCGTCCGAGGACGCTTCAGCTTGCGCTCAGGTTCTGTGGGCTCAGGGGACGGTGACATGGTCGGCTCTTTGCGCTTTCTAGCTGCGTTGGGGTTGTTCTCAATTTCTCGTGCCCTTTCGAAGGCGTTCCAAGCTCGCATTTCTTCCAGGGACTCAGGCTCCGGCGTCGGAACCCTGGGAACCCGGGGTCGCGATGGTCGGGCATGCTCAAGGTCGAATAGAGATGCCGTGTCGCGAAATCGTCGGCCACCACCTTGGCGTTCGGCTATCTCAAAGCGGCGTTGCCATGCTTGAAAGTCACGCTGGTTGGCCTCCTCGCGACGGCGTTGTTGCATCATACGTTCGGCAGATCGATCATCGTCGAAAGGGAAATCAAGATCGAGGTTCAAATGGTCCCAAACGGACTGCCAGACTCGCGCCCAATGGAGGGAATTCGCCTGGTTCGAACTCAGTAGCCGCCTCTGCTGGGCTCTAGTTCGTCGACTCCGCTGCTCGGTCGCCCGAGATGGCCGCGCTGGTGCCTCGGGTACCGGTCCCAGAGCACGTTGCGACTCGCATTGTTGACAGTACCAGGATCCTGAGGGGATTTCATCAAGTCCCAAACAATATAGATGAGATGGTGCATCACATCCATCGCATAGAAGAAGAACGTCCTCATTGTCGGCTTGCCCGCAAAGTGTACACGGGTGGAAATCGGCCAGGTCATCCTCCACATATTCAATAATCATGGAAGGATCAACATCGGCCACTTGTGTTCGGTCTTGAACGGCATAGGATGAAGTAACAGTGCCTATATTATAAGAAATTAGTATAGTTAGTACAGGTAATTAAAGGGGGAACATGTCATAGTTCAGGGAAGGGGAGGGAGGCAGCGTCATACCTCCAACTTCGTTACTCAACTCCACCATATTGAAACTGCGTCGGCATATCGGACAGCTGTTCGCCCGTTCAACCCATGGTTTTAAGCAATTATTATGTAGGACATGACCACAGGGAAGTAGCTGAGCGATCTGGGAGTCCTCGAGTCCATCTTTGAAGTCGCCATCCTTCAGATCAAGGCTCACAGGCTCCAGAGGATCGCCCGCTGCTTCACCAAGGTCTCCTAAACAAACAATACAGGTATCTGACATGGGCGAAAGAATCATAAGAGAAGGCGAAGTCCATGAAGAGCGACTCCCAGAAGGTGTAGAAGCGAAGAAGGTGTGGGGAGCGCCTTTTGAAGGTGGGCCGGGTCGCCGGACTAACGCAAAGCAGGAACGTGACGGAGGCAAATGATGCCCTGGATTGGCGGGTCGTGGACTATTTTTGACCATGGGATTACAAGGGTTCGAGATTGAACCTGGCATTTCACCCTTGGATATCGAGACTTCGTTTATTCCAAAGCGTTACCATTCATCGAATATCGGATTTGGGTCGTGGGCCTTCGGAATCATCCTTGCAACCATCCAACATGGTCGCTGTACGACGCAAACTACAAAGTCCCTAGAGGCAAGGTGGCCAGTCTACAATCGAGAATAACGCATAACTACATTACGCGCGCACGATTCAGCTGAAACCCGAATCACAGGCCTTGGGGGCCAGATGTCCAGGTGGAGTATAATCGCCTTAGTCATCATAGACCAGTTTGCAACAGACGACCAACGTAATAGTAGAATCATGTGGATGCCAGGCACCAGGTGCGAATGTTCAGGTGCTCCTAACAAAGTACGAGTGCGGATATCATCCGGGGCACAATCAGCCCAAGGACCCAGACACCCTCAGTGCGATACACCCGGTCCACCTGACCCAGGCCTAGATCCGCTCGTGGCGTTGAGTCTACGTGACTGCCCAGCCCCCAGGGAGGTAAAGGGAACAGCGCGTGTCGATGGCTCACCTATACGGTGATTCACATGATCGCAGGACATGAAAGACGATTCAGGCAGAGTATTGAGTTGGTGAAGTTGGTATCATGGATGCAGCGACCGACGCGGGTTTTGGGAACCAGTCACATGGTTATACGGTATATTCGAAACGATGCGGATGCACAAGGAATTCGTAAATCCCGATTTTTTCATTCATTTTTGGTATTCAGACGTAACCGTAAAAGAGAAATGAAACCACACAATCCTCCCATTTAGACCTCAGCGATCTCACGCAGACGACGGATGGTGGAACGGGTGGCAGCGGCAGCGGGGGTGCTGTGAGTAAGAAAAGAGACTGTTAGTGATTCATCGTTCTTGTTGTGTGATGGTCTGCGAATTGTGCGCCGATGGAGACAAATCCCCAGATCAAGGCCACAGCGTCGCTTGTTGATAATGGTTGATGGGCGACTTACGAAACGGTGTAGGCACCGCCGGCAACAACCTTGTCGCAGCCCTTGCACTCCCAGATACCGACAGCCTTGCGCTTGACGGTGTTCTTTCCGCAGAAGGTGCAGACGTAGCGGGCGTGCTGGGTGACTTCCATCTTCTTCACCTGCTTACGCAGGGAGGCACCGTATCTGTTGTAGAATGCTGGTTAGACTCCGATTCGTTGTGTAGAGTTTTCGCTATCTGTCGTATATCTCGATCGAGGAAATCACAGTCGTGTGGGCGCGAATTGGGCGAGTCTCATACCTGGTACCATATTTACCGGTGATGCCGACCTCTGTGGGAAACAGTTAGCATGAAAAATTCGTCTTGCAGGGTGTTGAATTCGGGGCCACATACTCTTGGTGCGCTTCGTCATCTTGGCTGTTGTTGAGGATGAAGATGGGTACTCAACAGGAGATCAAAAAAGACGCTTTGAATGAGGGCGGGTTGTGCTGTGGATCTGAGTCGCTTAGGGCTTACCCTAGTTCAAGAATGTCACGTGAATGCAAATCACATGTGTCCCTTTTTGAGTTAGTGGGCTTACATCAGAGTGGATTGCTGGCCTCAGGTTTCCGATGCTTACTTTGGGGTTCGACGGTCCACCAGGTCCACCCGTAACATTCGTGCGAATGGGACGATGACGGTATTGGTGGATGTTCATTTAAGATGCTGATTTTAGTCTGAATTTTATTTGATGCCTGTAATTTCAGGTTTTTATATCAATGTGAAACTCCCTACCATGTGCGAAAGGGATCTAAATCCCGGATCACCTAGGTATGCTCCGAGATTGTGTTCGAGACTGCCATCTTCTTCGTAGTCGGGCCAATCGATCTATCCGGTCACGTGATCCATCCAGCACATGAAATAGAAGCAACTTTCCAGATCGAGTCGAGAGTCCAACTTCCATCGTGTGACTTGAGTTATCTCTAGTCCTACATAAAGCTTCAAGTTCATCGTCCACGCATTTCACCAGCTCTACTCTGCTCCGAACCCATATTGCCTCTCCGGGCAGCGTATCAAGGAGCTTGTGATCTGCCGAAAGCTCCCCTGTTCACCAGAGCTACATCATAGACTCAATAGCCAACTCACCCAACATCCAACCACCATGACTTCCCTACGACAGTATGATCTAGTCTTGCTAGGTCCAACTGGCTACACTGGCCGATTCTGTGCAGAGCATATCGTGCAAAACCATCCTACCGATCTGAAATGGGCTATTGCAGGTCGCTCTGCGGAAAAGATGGAACTTATCGCCAACGAACTGAAGGCTCTTAACCCAGACCGCGCTGATCCAGGTAAATAAGCTTGGGATCTGGATGACCTCCGGATGTTGTTTCTCGGTGCTCACTGATATGACCATAGATGTCTTGGTCGTCCAACTCAACCCTACCGAGCTTAACGAGCTTGCCCTGAAAACGCGACTGGTTATCAACTGTGTGGGTCCATACCACTTGTACTCGACTCCAGTCGTGGAGGCATGTGCCTCCAATGGAACTCACTATGTAGATGCGTATGTTTATCGCATTTAATGCGTTCATTTTTGTTCGAACACTCACTGATCATTACAGTACCGGAGAGACTCCCTGGATCAAATTGATCATCGAGAAATACCATGAGACCGCCAAGGCGAATGGTGCTATTGTTCGTTCTGCTGCTCATTTGAATATATCATCATCGTACTGACTGCTAGCAGATGATCCCTTCAACTGGTGTTGAGAGCGCACCCGCTGATATACTGGCATGGTCTCTGGTCAAACGAGTCCGAGAGGACCTCTCATCTCCGACCCGGCAGATCAACAGCACTATCAAGGAAATGAAGTATGACACGTCATATCCCTGAAGAATCCCATCTAATTCATCTAAATTAGGTCTTCGGGCCCTAGCGGCGGAACCTTAAACACTATTCTAACCATCTTCGACTGGCTCCCAACATCCGAGCTATCCAAGGCCATGAGCCCCTTCTCTTTGGCAGCATCCGCACCCCCAAAGAACATTCCCAGCGAATCAATTCTGCAGAAGGTCTTCGGCGTCCGCTTTATCCGCGACCTAGGCACGGTGACCACCTCCCCATCTGCCATCGCCGACATCAGCATTGTGCACCGCAGCAGCAGTCTGATGCCCGAGCTGTACGGACAGCAATTCTTCTTCCGCCAGTTCCTCTCGGTCCGCAACGCGCTGGTTGGTGTCGCTATCCACATCGGCTTTCTGGTGGGAATCGCGCTACTTGCGCTACCACCTGTGCGCTGGCTAGTGCGGAAGTTCGTCTTTGCACCTGGCACCGGCCCGAGCAGAGATGACTCGAAAAATGATTGTATGGAATACCACGCCATTGCCACCTCTGACAGTACCCCACCGCAGCGCGTTTTTGGTAAGATCACCTACCATGGCGGTATGTACCTCCTCACTGGACTTCTGCTGGCTGAGGCTGCTATGGTGGTTCTCAACGAGGAGGAGAAGATCAAGAAGGTCTCACGCGGTGGTATTGTTACCCCCGCTACGCTAGGTCAAGGCTTTGTGGATCGCTTGGAGAAGGTCGGTTGCAATATCGAGACCAAGGTATTCCAGTACTAAATAAGCTCATCGGTTACGATTTGAGGCCCAAAGCAATCATTCTGGCTGAGCAAATTGCCTGCAATTTGTGATGAATCACACATCTTTTTATGCTTCAGCTGTCACATATGTATTTTTGCAATAACCAATCAACCATTATTCTCTGTTATGCAGACAGATCTATATTTCCTCCATTCAAAGCTTATCAGCCCTTCCATCAGCAAATCCCTGGTCCTTCAACCAAGCTCCAATGATATCATTCACTTCTTTGGGCTTCTCCCACAGAGCCCAGTGCGAAGTATCAATTTGCTTCAGAGTCAACTGTGGGATAAACTTCCCCATGGATTTACCCAAATGAGCGGGCAGCGCCTGGTCTCTCAATGCCTGGATAAAAAGCGTAGGAACCTGGATCTGCCTATCTAGAATATCAAGCTCCTCCTTATAGTTCACATCGCGAGTGCAGTACCAACTGACTATAAGAGGTATATTAGCATAGAAACCCCGACCAACAAATCCAAGAGCAATCATACGCGGTCCATGAACTCCACTCCGTGCAAACTCATTCGTATAAAATTCCAACTCCTGCGCAAAGTCAGTACGGAAATCATCAAATCAAATCAAATTCAACTTACCTTCTCACTCAACAGTCTCGAAGGCTTCAACACGCCAAGTTTATCCACCAATACACCCTTGTGTGCGTCGAATCCAAACTCACCCGTCTCCGTACGGCCCCCGTACAGTGCAAGCAGAAACTGGCGAATATCATCCTTGGTTCGAATGATCTTCTCCAGCTCCCCACTCTTGAACTGCAACTGGTACGTGAAGTTAGGTGTCACAGTGCGGACTAGTTCTTCGAGGGAGATGTTCTTCGCCACGGGTCGCGAGTAGGGCACGCAGACTGTGAACAAGTGGCTTACTAGCTCCGGGTGCCAGAGAGCAACGCGGTAGGCGAGTGCCGCACCCCTGTCATTGCATTAGCTTCCGAGATCGGGGAATTTGGTCGGAGAGAGCTTGCCAGTCATGTCCTCCGAGGATGATTTTGGTTTCGCCTAGATGGTTCGCCAGGGCTTTGATATCCGCTGCACAGCTCTTATTGGAGTATTGCGTCAAGTCGTCGGGCGCGTCCTTATGGTATTGTTAGATTGGCATTCCGTATAACGGATGTGCGATTTCTCACCGTTCGTCCATATCCGAGGCAGTCGGGGGCTACCACTCTCAATCCCATATCAACAAGCATTGGGATCTGGTATCGCCATCCCACTGAGATGTCGGGGAAGCCATGGATCTATGGGAGTCAGCGAGTGTCTCTTTTGCTTGGGCTGGCGTCTTACCAGAAAGATGGTGGCTCTGTACCGGCCTGACTTGGGCTGGCTAAGAATGTATGCTGCAGGATATTAGTCTGGCGGGTTTATGTTACGACGCTCTCCGAGTCTCCCGGCTCTTCGTTGAATTGCGGAATGCTCACAGTACTGATGGCCATTGAGTGTGGCAGTCTTGTACTCGATACGGGGGTCATCTGAAACTTGGATCTTGTCGACAGCCATGACGAGTTGGATCAAGTAGTACTATGGGGCCTTCAAGCAAAGAACCTTGGAGAATGAGGCATGAAATGTGAAGACTGATGATATGCCCGCGCAGTATCTGAGCGATGAAGTATATATAGCCGTGAAACCTCACCGGGATAAGGTGACAAGCGCCAGTGGTGAATGAGACAGCCCAGCAGATACAATGTCTTTATTTCATCGTGAACACACAATAACTGTATGAAGCTAGATGAGGCTAGATAGTTAACAAGGTATGTGAGAACCCCTCCCCGATACCTCGGCACGCTGAACGCCCCGGCTAATCAGTGGGGCGCCAAGCCATTAGCGCTATCAACTCCGCACGCCGCAGATCTGCACATCAACTGGCCTGGATCATGAAATATGCATCACAGTGTGTCTTGAATAGAAAATTTGCAAATACTCTACATTTTATGTCTTTGTGACCGAAATACCTAGTCATATGTACCATGAATACCCAGGAATCAACCATAAAGAATTCGCATGTAAGTGGGCTGCAACTTGCTCCCATGAGCGACACTAAGTCGGTGTCACTGCTGTTGCTATAGTCATAACCTGTAGTCATACCTACCCATGTGATTGTTATGACTATGTTGTCCTCATGGGTAAGGCTCAGTTGAGAATCGGTCCGAAGGTCCCCGGTCTCAATTACGCCAGTCAACCTTCTGGAGTCTTCAATTAGTTGGCGCGGTACCTAGTAGCAATTTTGATGATAAAAAAAGCAGACCTAGCTGCAAAATATTTATCAAATTATGATCTAAGAAAAAAAAGGGGGGCTCCTAGCAGTCCTTTCTCGGTAGAAGACTGCGCGAATCGAATCTGGCACCAGTCCCATTTTGGGACAGTCCCTTTGAGGCAGGACATACCCTTTTAAGGAAGAGCAGGACGTTTAAGCCAGGACAACCACACAGCCACTGGTCGGAGCCGTCGACAGGGAAGGAGTTGTCCTTTTACTTAAGGGAACAAGAACAAACATACTTCCCAATCGGGAAGGTCTAACCACACCATGCATTATTATCGCCTTTGTCCCCTTTTTTTGGGCAGTGAGGCCCTGAATTACTGTATATTACCTTTCTCTGCGAGATCTAGGAACAATCTAATACCGGGTTTTCATAGAGACCTGTGAGACTTCACATCTTGCATATTTCTACTGTTTGCTAATGCTATATACTGGTACGAATGTTAGACACAGACCTTAATTCAGCAAGAGAATACACCTTGAACTATATATCTAGACATAGAGATGCAAGCTCCCCAAAATACCACCGAAACGAGTGTTAGTGCTCACTAACGTATCCTCACCTCGGTCTTCAAATGTATACAAATCAACCAAACTTAGGGTCGATACATCTCGATCTCAAGGGGCCGAAGATACCTATTTAGTCCAGTTGAGGTGTCTAACTTGGTTGAGCTCCAAGCCGTAATGATCTGCAAACGTGTTGATGTGATAGTTCGATTCGGGTCCTTGTCTCACTGTTGGTCGATGTCCCATGATCCCATAGAGTCAGGATAAAGCATCATAGATATTTCAAATCATCAGATTGGTTGCACATATCATACATACATTCCCTGGAGAGAAAAAAAGCCCAAAGAGAGTGCAACACGAGCCTCACGATTCAAAGCGAAACAAACCAACTCCCAGCAAAGATATCGAAACAAGTCAAGGCGTCCGGGTATTTGTCCTTGATGGGCAGGCTAAAGCCATTTCACCACTTCATAATTGACATGAAAAAAAGGTCGACGGCAGTCGACTACAAGCTAATAAATCACAGTATCCTCATTATCCTCAACGACCTCGCCTCCGTCATCATCGCGGTGGGCATCATTCTGGTCTTGAACGGCACTTTCCCCCACGTTAGCAGTGGTTCCATCCGTTTGGACTGGATCAGAGGTTTGGTCATGAGCATCCACACCCACCGTATCCGGAGCACCCTGAGCTGTTTCCTTAGATTCTGGGTCTGTCGGATTGGTCTCGGGCTCTGGAGCCGAGGGCGGGTCTTGAGAACCATCTACCTGCTGCGTTTCGTCATACTTCTCTGTTTTTTCCACGCCTGCTTGTGGTTGTGCTTCAATCTCGGCTGGCTGCTGGGGCGCAAAGGCTTCGGGCGGGTATCGGGCTTCGAATTCGGCTACTTCACGGGCAATAGTCGCCTTTGCCTCTTCGATCTGCTGCTCTATTACCGAGTCGTCGCCAGGTCGGGGTTGCCATGGTTTGTAATACTAGACAAGATGGATTAGCTTGTGACCACTGCATTTGCATAGGAAAGCATAACTCACCAGGGCCGGCTCTGCCCGTGTCTTGAAGAAATGTGCCATAGCAAGCATATTCGAGTGTCGTGTTTGCATCTGCGAAAAAGGTCAGCAATCACCATCGTCGTAAGAAAAGTTAATAGAGACATACCGCTTCTCGTTCATACAACGGCTTCTCCCTCCTCCGAATCTCTTCACGCTGTTCTTTGCGCCGTTTCTTCAACTCGCCATACTCCGCATCTTGGGACTTCAGCTTTTCTTGCTGCTTCTTCTCAATATCAGCGCGCCGTCTCTGTGCCGCAGAACTCGATTTCTGCGAGAGAGTACCCAACAGTGCACCGAATAACCGCTGGCCTCGCTGGCGATCCTCCTCTCGTCCTGCGCGCAGTCGCGCGGGCCTTGGCTCAGTCGAATCCTTCGTCACTGAGGGAGGAGATGACGGGCGACGGCGCTGGGATTGCGGGGAGATGTTGCCCTGAGAGCTGAGTCGCCGGCGCTTAGCGTCGTATTCTGTAATTGAGGACTTTCGTCTCTTTGCAGTCACTTCAGGTGACTGGCTATCCGTGTCCTGACTGGGCACAGCCACTGCGGAAGCGAGCATCTCAGTACTATCACAATCACACGGGGTATTAGCTAGAGCGCTCAATTTCAATGCTTGGGTGCAGGTTGCACGGGACGGAGGTGAACGGTACCCTTCAGACATGGTGACTTGAAAGTAACAAGAAGACCAGGAAATTAACAAAGCTAGAAGCTCCGGGCTGCGTCAGAGGTACAGACCGAGTTGAGGTCTTCAAGTTGGGGTTGCGAAGCGCAAGACGACACTGTCGTTGCTTGGGATCACGTGCACGGACCACTTCGTCTTTAGGGTGTTCCCTCCCACGGGCGCTCTCTCTCTGATATTTATTCTCGTTGTGAATTCCAGCGTGCGCCAAACCCAGCTTCAATCTACTTTTTGCAGCTTCATACGTTCGATTTTCTTGTTCGCATATCCTTTGGTTCATCATGTCTCGCCACCACCCCGATCTCGTCATGTGCCGCAAGCAACCCGGCATCTCCATCGGCCGTCTGTGTGACAAATGCGATGGAAAATGCCCCGTGTGCGATTCCTACGTTCGCCCGACCACTTTGGTCCGTATCTGCGACGAGTGCTCCTTCGGCAACTACCAGAACAAGTGTGTCGTCTGCGGCGGCGAGGGCATCAGTGATGCATTCTACTGCTTTGAATGTACGCGCCTTGAGAAAGACCGCGATGGATGTCCCAAGATTATAAATCTGGGAAGTTCGAGGACAGATTTGTTCTATCAAAAGAAAAGTTTCAGGAATCAATGATCCTGGCTTGTGGCTTGGTGTGTCTGGGTGGAGGAGAGCCAAGCACAAGTTCGGCGGGTTTACGATTATCAGCCTAGCCACCACAAAATGACTCTACAAGCGTTACAAATGTGAGCACATGCATTGTACCGCGTCGGTGGGCTGTCTAAACCCCCATATAGGTTGATCTAGTGCCTATCTATACAATGGCGATTTACCGGCCGGGGCGGCGAGGTCTGGCGAATCCTCGTGCCGTAGCCTGGTCTCGAGCCGGGGTGACTTCTTCTTGCAACCGATCAGCGGTGATCTCGTCAGGGCCAGAGGCCTCAATCTGCAATTTGTGAGCTTTCAATGACCAAATGATTACGACTATCCATCCACTCGGGCGCGCATACCTTTTTCTCGATCTTGAGTCCTTCCTGTTCGGCAACCGTGATTGCATTCCTCCGCGAGCTGGCGTGCAGCATGCGCTCCTTGATCGACGATCCCGTGGGACAGGTGTACACGAAAATCACAACATCGGATCCGGGGTAGTGGTAGAAGGAGTACCGCGGCGAAGAGGAGGAAATGTGTGTAGCGACAGAGTTCGCCTCGACCCCAGACTGGGAGTCGGCCAACACGATCTTCTCCGTGGGAATATCAACAGTCTCCTTGAAGTTAGCCCCAAATCTCACAGATCCCATCTACATTGCCCGTCTCCTCCAGTTCTAGAAACTAGACTCAAGAATGACCACAAGTCAAGGAATAACTTACCAGCTGCACCAAACCGCCGTCCTGTAGATCCCTCAAAGCAGCCTTGGCCGCATCATCAACTGGCATAGAAACCCTCATTCCAGAACCCGAGCCGTGTCCAAAAGTACCTCCGATACCAATATCCCTCCCGGTTGTACCGTTCCGTGCCTCGGCCTCGGCCCTCCGCACAGCCTCCAGCTCCCTCTCCTTCTCGCCCATCATGTCTTCACGAGAGATGGCATTCGGGCCCTCACCGTCGCGCTCACGCCACGCCTCCCGATCCAGAATCTCATCTTCCTCGGTAGCAAAGACCGTAGAAGCGAACTTCTCCGTGCCCAGCTCACGGGTCAAAGTCGACCGAGTGGAGGCAAAGAGCGTCTTTGCTCGCACGGGGGCATTGGACGGGATGTAGGTCAGAGCGATGAGCGAGGTCGAGCCAGACTTAGTCCGGCGGAGAAGAAGGTAGATGGGGGTTTTGGGCTGGAGGACGGAGGACAGCTGGGGGAGGGCCGAGACGAAGGCGTCTGCTGAGAGGCTTCCTTGGAAGGAAATTGCGGGCAGCGGCGTTAGGGTCTCTGCTGTAATGGTGACTGGCAGACAGAAGCTTGAGGAGTCGGAGTTGAAGCGGGCGAATGCATCTTGCAGCTCCGAGGAGACTGGGTGGGTTGTTAGTTGGTTCCAGGGGTTGAATGGGTTGAGGTCCTGGTGTGCTGATCCCTTACCTGTGATTCCGGACTGCATGATGCTGCGTTTTGGTATGCAGCTGGGTTGGTTGGAGTTGTTTATTTAAAGGAGGGGGAGCGGTGAATGAGGGGCTGAAGCATGTCAGTGCTGGCTTTCGCTTGACTTTTCTACTTCTACCTAACGTATCCAAGAGTACAGAGTACATCTACTCGTTATGAATTACTCTTTGCTTGTACATGTACCATTCTCATATAATCTCTTTCGTGGTTGTTGCACCCCCTGATCAGTACATCTATACATCTACAATCCTAAATATCGATCGACTCTTCAAGTACTTTTGAACATTCTCTAATTCAGTTCCAGGCGCACCAGACAAAGTGGTATACAAACTAACTCAAAGGACAAAAACAATATATACAAAAAAACCCCGTTCCGACCGGCCTGCAGTTGAACAGCCCAGTCCGAGCCAGTTCAACACGCAAAGCAGAGGAAACGCAACGCCCACCATGCTGGGTCAGGTATCACAATGCTTTCCAAAAACAAGACATTTTTTTGGGACGTTTAGACGTTTACTCTTCAAACTTGCCACCAACGAAGGCCCAGTTAGAGCCCTCGAGCTTACCCTTAAGGTACTCGTACACGGTGAAAGTGACGGCCTGACCGGGTGCAACACGCATCACACGGGGGGTGATACCCTTGTAGAAAGCGCGGGCACCCTCAGTCTTGAACATATCCTTGGCAATGATCATGATACGAGTCACAGCGGACTGGCCGGGCTCGGCGCGGGTCTTCTGGAGGCGGGTCTTGATGGTATCGATGGGGGCGTTGGAGAAGGGACCGACGGCACCGGAGATCAGACCGATGAAGGTGGTCTGGTAGGCGGGCAGCTGGCTGTCGCTGAACTCGGGTTGCCAGCGCTGCAGGGCAGCCTTCAGCTCGGTGTATGCGGTGAAGTTGGCGGCCTGGTTGGTTCCTTGGCGGAGAGCTGTGAGGGAGACACCGCGGTACAGGACACTGAAGCCCTCCTCCTTGATCACGGTGAAGAGTGCGTGGGGAGCGCTGCGGTACTTAGGGGCGTCCAGAGGGTCTGCGAGACTGTGGTGCTGAGCTTGCAGACGAATCTTGATGACTTCCATGGGGTTGACGACGGCCACGGCTTCGGTAACACCGGCAGCGAGACCAGCTGTGGAGAACGTTAGCTATTGTGGATCCCGGTGATTTCGGGATTTCACGTACCCAGGAAAGTGGCCTTGCTGGTCACAACGCCGGTCTCCTTATCGGCGAGCATGCCCTTATATGACTCGTATGAGGTGAAACGAATAGCCATCTTGGGAATGATACCGCCCAACACGGCACCGAGACCCTTGTACAGACCCAGAGCGGTCTCCTTCTTCACGATCTGAGCACCGGTGGCCACGAACCCGCGCGGCTTAGCCTGATTCAGCAAATGTGGTTAGCAATGGCTTCAATTTATCAACGGAATTGATTCCGACTCACACCGGGTGCTGTAGCTCTCTTTGACAGCTGCATGCGGACCTTGATTGTGTCCAGGGGATGGCACACAAGGGCCTCCATCATACCGGCACCACCACCAGCTAATCGGGGCAAAAAGTTAATAGCTGTCCGCCATCGCAACGGGAGGGATCTACTCTACCGATCAAGTTGACCGCGGGCGATGTGCGCTTCTGATTGGCAGTCTTGGCGGACATTGTTTCAATATGTGTATATAGGCAAAGAAATGTGCACTTTTTGGAGATTTCTGATCAGAAATCTTTTGATGGGTCTCAGAAAACCGAACTGTGCAGATCTTCCGATTGTCGCAAAGGTAAACCGACGGGGATGCGGAGGTATACAATGCCGAAGTCACAACGTGCAATCGAATCGAAGGTGAGGATATTCGAGAGAATGCAAGACTCGAGAAGAAGAAAAGCCGAGGATTCCGGTATATGATTTCACGGAGGTGGCGGCAGTGCCAAACTTTGGAGAGCTATGACGGGGAAGCGGAGGGAAAGCTGGACGAGCGGAAGTCTATACAGATGACTGCAAGAAAAAGGAGAAGAAGAAGAGAAAAGGAAAAAAAAGGGTAGCAGATTAAATGACCCGCCGAGGAGGGTCTCTATATAATAATTATTCCCTAGGGGTTCCGAATCCAGAGTGGAAGTGCCCCAGACAAATCCCGAGGCCTTCGGGAACAAGGGCGGCTCTCTACCATCACCCCAGATCTCCAATGATCTGATTTCACATGCGCTGGCTGTCGTCATACTTTTGGCAGGCTTGTGACGGTATACTCTATATCTGAGCGGGAGGGCTTCTAACGGAGTAAAAAAAAAAAAAAAAAAAAATCACAGGCACCGATGCAGTGTGCGACTACATGTGGTTGTTCCTACTACACAAGCATATTTCCCTGCCCCAGAGGCTTACTAGCCCCGGGGAGCAGACTACTCCGGGCACTCCCAATTTTGAGCCTTTCGGGACTTCAGCGGAGCAAAAAGTAGCGAAATTCGCTGGGTCCTCCGCTGGCGTCCCGCTGGCGGTTTGCGGGAGTTCTCGGGCGAGCGCAAAAGCTCCCCTCTGCCGAGGTTCAGGGAGATTAGGGTCATGGGGTTTTCTGAGTCAGATGCGAATTAAAGTAACTCAAGGTTGTGAGGTACGGAGTACGGAGGCAAGAGTCCGGAGTACATGGGGCTTATTGCAGGCTAGGCTATTAAATTTGGGTTAATAGTCCGGGGTGTTCTTGTAGTTTGTAGGGTTGTGAGTGGTGACGTAGTGATCCTGCCGAGGATTTTACCCGCTTTTATCCAATATAGCCAGTACGAAGTATACAGTGATTCCCATACGGAGTATGGAGTACTCCGTACTGTGTCTAGAATAGATCTGAACAGCTTGACCACTTGATCTCCGAGTCTGTAAGTCCCTCCAATTGTTGTCACATGCATCCCCCTCTCTTCCGGGGCTATTCGACCCGATCACATCGGCTACCCGATTTCGGCCCGTCCTGGACTTCCTGATTTGGTATGTAAAAGATATACGTACAACCTATTCAGACCTCCATTCTGCCGGATAAGTGTAAGTATATCGAAGCACAGCTTCATACTCGGCCGGTTCTCTCGCTCTGAACTCCGATGCATCGGACCAAATCCGATCGCACCATACAATTTTCTCAACTCCCGACATACCTGTACATACCCTACATGCTCAAGAGATTTCCCTTGAAACGGCAATGCCCATCTCTTCCTAGAACCTTAAAAATGAATCCCGCAGCCCGAGAAAACTCCCGGTGGCAACCACAGCGTATCGCAACTCTAATCCTCCACCAATGGCTCCTCCTCGGGATTGGGGTCGTGTGCACCCTGGCATATTTTTTCCCACACGTGGCTAAGCCCGGCGGTATCATCCGCTCCGAGTACAGTATCATGTATGGTGGGATCGCGATAGTCTTCTTAATCTCCGGCCTGAGCATCCCGCGACAGAAGCTCTTCGCACAGTGTCTGAACTGGCGGCTGCACCTGATTGTACAGGTGATTTCGTTTCTGTTCATTCCCGCACTGGTACTTGCCGTGGTACATATTATCCTTGCTGCGGATCCCGGGGGGAAGATTGATCGGGCGGTGCTGGCGGGGTATATCTTTACTGCGTGTATCCCGACGACGATCGCCTCGAATGTGGTTATGACGAGGGCTGCGGGTGGGGATGAGGCGGCTGCTTTGGTGGAGGTTTTGTTGGCGAATATTCTTGGCCCGTTTGTTACGGCCGCGTGGACTGTGGCGCTGATGCCGAAGATGGCCGAGTTTGATCCATGGCGGTATGGGGGTGGGAGTTTGGGGAGTATGTATAAGGATGTTTTTCAACAGCTTGGGCTTAGTGTGCTGTTGCCGCTTTTTATTGGGCAGCTGGTTAGGTGGACTTGGCCTGATCGCACGGCGAGGGTGTTGCAGAAGACTAAGCTGGCGAAGTTGTCTTCCTTCTGCTTGTTGTTGTTGATTTGGTGAGTATCAGGCGGCCCCGAGTCCTTCGGATGGAGATATCGGCTTGTGTGGCTGTTTACTGATCGGTTCCTTATTAGGGCGACCTTTTCTTCGTGCTTTGCCACAGGCGCCCTTCAGACTCTTTCTGCGCAGAGCGTGATCTTTGTGGTTCTGTTCAACATTTGGCTCTACGTCACCTTAACGGTAGTATGTTTCTTCTGCTCTAGACCCCCACGAAGTTTTGGTTCTCGGCGCTGGTCTAGGCATATGTTCAAACACATGTCTCCAGAGGAGACTATTGCAATATGTTTCTGTGGGCCAGCGAAGAGCACCGCATTAGGAATCCCATTGCTCTATGCCATGTGGCAACCGATCGACCTCTTCATTAAGGCGAAGACATCGGTGCCCGTGCTGCTTTATACCACCGAACAGATCTGTGTAGCTCATTTCTTTGTTCAGTTGTTTCGGAGATGGCATGCTCGAATCATCGAGAAAGAGAATCTAGAGGATAGTGGGCGGGATGATGTTGAGGTTGGTATGACTGAGACTCCACGTGGGGATCACACTGGACGTCATGAAGTTACGACTATTTGATACCCATTTAAACTTGTAATGCTTGATTCTTGTTGCTCGAGAATAGAATATGTTCTGACATCCATCGGTGGCCATTAAGTAGATCACTTTTGGTCATCGACGGCAAAACCCAAATTTAATCAGTCAATCCCAGAAAACAGTCAGAATGCGACTGCGTGGAAAGGGTTTCTAATACGTTAGCCTGGGGTTTGGCCTGGTCAAAGCGACAAATAGACAGTGTATTTAAGCGAAGGGCTTCTTTTCCCATAACCACTAGGACCTTCTCATATCGCATCCATAGATCCGTCCAAGCTTTACGAAGGAACCCCTCGATAGGCCATGAGTGAAGCATCGGCTAGGGCCTCTCCCTAGTTGACTCCGATCGGAAATGGAATAGATGTGTTGGGTGATAATCTACTAAGTTGGTTGCTGGAAGACTGCCGGCTAAATCAAAGAAAACCAAGATAACTTGAATAAGAGTAAACCACACCTGGTGGCGATTTGGTATGTATGCATAGAATACATCAACAAAGGGAATGACAAAGGGAAAAAGTATGCAAAAATTGGCCCCGAGGTCATTGGGGAGCCAATCTGGCCAAGAAAAAAAAATACACATGATCGCCATGCACTGTGCGAGAAGGCCAACATGGCTGATATCTCAAATATAGCTCACCTTGACTCCCATTCCGGCGGTAGCTTTGATCTTCTGCCAAGCGCCGTCCGTAACCCGTCGAACCCGATCACGCACATCCTGCCGGCTCATCGCCATGAGGATGCCGGTCACAAAGAGCAGGGTGCGGACTATTGACATGGGATTCCCGGACACGGTCTGGATAATATGACGGAACAGATTGCGCAGGGCCGTGGCCACGGCCCGAGTTTGACGGCCCCGTGGCTCAGCCTTGTCCTGCTTTTTGATGTTTTTGGGGCCAGATGACGGGATGGATGTTCGTGATTTGCCGTTTGGCAACTTATCTGTCGATCTGGCCCCTTTCCCCTTGGGAGAGCCCTGTGGGCGCGTCTTCTCAATCCCGTAGTCAACTTCGCTGGTATTGCGTTTATGGCCATTGGTTTGTTTTTGTGCAGCGGCCGCTGCTTCTTCGGCTTCGCGACGTTCTTCTTCTAATTGCCGTTCGATCTCTGCGTCCTTTGCGCGCTGTAACTCGACTGCGCGCATTTCGCCTCGCTCCTTCTCTTCTCTCAACCCCTCCAGAGTCTGTAGGAAGAGATCCTTGCGTTCTTCATCGAGGACCTCGCTCAAGTTGATGAACTCGGTCGAGTACTCCCACTCGTCATTGCGGGGAAGGACGTGCAGGGTAAAGAGCTCGATGATCTTTACTCGAGCAGTGAGATCCTTCGGGGTGTCCGCTCCATTTGTCGCGCGCATGGGCCGGTGCTGATATTCATCGGATGCATCCTGGAGACGATCTGTGAGGTCGAGATTGGGCTGTCCGTAAGAGGAGAGATAGGTCTCGAGGCGCTGTTGGTTCAGGGATTGCGAAGAGGAGTGGGTCAAAAGGAGAGTAGCACTGCGATCGCAATGTTAGTACATTGACTTGAGTCATGGGATAGGGGTCGAATACTAACAGGTTGTAGACGACTTCGGCATCCACCGAACCCTCGTGGCCTTGGTACCCGACCTCGACAACAGTCTCCCAAATTCCACCTTCTCTGACTTGCGAAGCAATTGATTTCCATTCCTTCTGGCCGAATTGATTCTTTCCCTCCTCTGCGCCAAGATCGACTATTGCGCTGAGGAGCGTGATGTAAAGGTTCCACACCTTGATCCTCCACGTGCCAGCGGCCGTGGCGATCGGCGCAACCGGCGTTGATTTTTGGTCATTTGTGTGCTGGTCATCTTGTGATACGGAGGGCGTGATAATCGGTTGGATGTATGCGAGAGCTTCTGGTAGACGTCGTGTAAGGTAAAGCTGGGATGCTTTCTTGTATGTCTTGGAGCACAACTTTGTGGGGGAGGCTGAGGACGGAGAGCGGGAGTGAGATTGGGACATCATGGGGGATCCGGTAGCCATTGTAGGGCCGAGAACTCAGGAAACGGTATTTGAGGTCAGAAAATAGGCAAAGAAGTGATTATCACGAGAGAGAAACCATGAAAGTGAAGCGTGTCGGGGCTGCGATCGGCTGTCGTTTTCCCTCGGCTCGTTCCAAGTCCGGGGTCGGTCACGGGACTGGCCTGTGAGCATCCAACGTCCACCGTAAGACATTTGCTGGCCTTAGCTTCTATAACTTCGAAATTACTCTGCAATAGTTCCTTTTGGAATATGCGGTTGCTTGAAAAATCTACCGCGGTGGTTTAGAGCTGCTCCAGACGCTATACCAGGGGAAATGGCAATAGGCTACTCTTCCATAAAGGTGTTTCAGAAGTGCATCGCAGGTTGGAGAGCGACAGGCTACAGTGCTATTACATCTCAAATACAAGTGGAATGCTGGGAGCAATACACACTCGGGATCGCCTGGGCATTGCAGCCTCGGTCATTTATACAGCTTTTATACAGCTTTCATCCCGATCGCCCCCACTTCGAAGATGGGGGATCTGACATCTCGCTCAAGCCACAATTTATAATTTACAATTACGGGGTTTATATCTTCTGTGATTGTGTATGGCATCTCCCCGGGCATCTCTTTGAGCATATTTTTAGCGACTGGGTATATCAAGAGATCTGAAAGTAGGTCTGTTGACACATACTAGGGAAGTTGTAGATGATTTAGACACCATGGCCTACGTCGCCGAGAGTGCGCATTCTTGCTAGGAACAAAGAGTAGTGTCAAACATTTGGCAGTCGATAGTGACCCGTCAAGCCTTGCTTGAATAGTGAGATATCCCGTGGTCTACATGGCGTCTTCTTCCTCTCATCCCCATCCTCCTTCCCTCCTAACACACCACTCAGTCCGATCTGTAAAGCTTGATAATCAAGCAGATAGACTGAAACGCTTGTTGAACTCTCTCTTTTCAATCAAAGAGACCCAAGTACCCAGCGACTTGTGCGTCGGATCAGAGACTTGGGGATTTGCTGTCTTTTTGATCAATAAAACCCGGATGCCTGCCTTCCAAACAACCCTCCTTTCACCTCTACCTCAATCACCACATCAACAAAGCCACTCATAAAGTCTTCTCTTTTCAATTTCCACCTTGACTTATCGAGCCCACCCTTCATTTGTTCCCAACTTCGATCGAGTATGGACGTGACAACCGTCACCTTCCCCGACTGTCTTCCCTCCATCCTCAACGACATTTCCACCAGCTGCTTCGTGTCGGTGGATTTCGAATTGTCCGGGGTGGTTTTCAAGCCAAGTGCACCACAATCCAGAACCCAGACTGTGGAGGAGCGATATGTGGAAGCCAAGGCAGCGGCAGAGCGCTACCAGATTCTCCAGGTTGGACTGACGACCTGCCATGAAGACAAGGAGAATGGTACGCAACTGACACCTGTATAATACATGTGTCGCTAATCATTTGCAGCCACCTACACCCTTAAGCCATACAATATCAGCTTGAGCCCGATCACCCAGCCTGAGATCGATGTGAATCGGGACTGGACATTTGGAAGTCGCTGTATGTCCCATGTATACGAATGCTTAGCCTTTACTGACACTTCCTGAATAGCAATGAAATTCCTGCTCGCCAATAACTTCAGCATTGACCATACGTGCTCCTTCGGCGTGCGATACCTCTCTCGAGAGGAAGAAGAACTAGCCGTCAAACGAGCCATAGAGAAATGCCACTCGCGTAGCCCCGTCCGATGTATGGAAATCAAAGGAGACGACAAGGAATCTCTGAAATTTGTTGCAATCGTTCGGATTCTGGTCGATGGATGGCTGGCACAGGGCAAGGTACGACTATCATATCGGACTTTGAGTTAGGTAAATCAACTGACACCAGCAGACACGCCGTGGATGGCTCAACATTCCGCCGCCCAGCAGCCTGCAGGCCATGCCCGGTCCCCTGCCTGGCGCATTAACTAACATGCAGAAATGGCTTGTTCACAAGGTTATCGGCGAGGAATACCCCCACCTGACGTCGCGAGGTGCATCCACATTCGTTCAAATTGAAATGCGGGACTTGGCCTCTGAGAGGCTTGCCTTCGAGAAGAAGTTTAAGATCAAAAAGGCACGCATTCGAGAGCATATCGGGTTTCGGTGGATTGCAGAGGCCCTTGTTGGTGGAAACCTCGAAGAACTAGAACCAGTTTCTTTCCAGCCTTTGATGAAGATCATCGAGCAGCCGACTTTCAGCGTCCAGCAATTAGCAGAGCAAGTCAAGAGCCAGATCAAGAAGAATAGACCCGTGCTGGTCGGTCACAATATGTTCTGTGACCTGCTTTTCTTCCACAGATGCTTTCTGGGGCCCTTGCCGGATACTCTCGCCGGCTTCCAAGCTGCTGTCCATGACTTGTTCCCTGTACTGGCAGATACCAAGTACCTGGCCACTCACGACTGCGGCTCGCTGAACCCTATGTCATCACTTGAGCAGCTCAACACGAATTTGGCGAATATAGAGAACCCCAAGATAGGTACAGATTCAGGTATACCATTGGCAATCAGAGGACACAAACTTACCATTCCCAGAAATCGATCCTGGCTTCTCAAAATACAAGTTTCGCAAAAGCACCCATGAAGCAGGCTACGACAGCATGCTCGCTGCCATGGCCTTCATAAAACTTGCTGGCAACATACAGCGCGGCGCTTCAATCCCATTTGGCAAAGCCAAGACCTCTGCCAAAGCCAAGACACAGACGACCGCAGCATCCAGTCTGGTTGCCAGTGTGATGACACAGTCCAGCAAAGAGAATGGGCCCAAGAAGGAATTCAGCGACTTTTTTGACCTTGAGGATGAGATACTTCCAAAGATCAAAGAAGCCCAGATTGCTCAACCTGGCATATCCCTCACCGACACTGGTTCCGAGCGTATAACTCGCCTGGTCAGCCAGGGCATTTTGCTGCCACGTCTTGGGGATCCCTTTTGGAATGTCTACGGGAATAAGCTGCGAGTTTTCGGCACCCAAGAGCGGGTGATCCAACTGGGAGAAGAAATCCCCAAAGAAGAGGAGCTCTTGCTGGAGCTTTGACACGGCCAAGATTTACGGCGTGATGGTGATTTCTGATTTCAACCCAAGGCAACGGGCTGCAAATGAGAGAGATACGAGAAATATGAAGAGAGATTTGATATATTAGAAATTGATTTGATTGAAACACAAACACTAATAGCAAAGGGGATGTTCGCGGCAGCTATCTAACAGTACGCCTTGATTTATAAAGAAGGTACCGCTAGCGAAAATTGGCCGCGAGGAGCTCACTCTGAGCACCTTTAAATGATCAACAGGTCGTAGAGAGCGGGACACAGTGATGATAAGAGACGCTTGGAGAAGAGAAGAAAAGAGGAAAGTGAATTTCGAAATTTAAAGCGGCCGGGCGGTGACTAACCCGATCGGGCCTGGCGACAACGTGACCCTGTTGGATCTTTTTCTCGGGGAGTCCAAGGCCATCAGACACATATTACCATCCCACCCTTCAAGATGTCGTCAGGATCCAATGGTGCACGGCGCGTGGCCTCGCTACTGCGTATGTGCAATTGAAGTTTTCCCGGCTCCTTTAGTCCCAATACTGACTCCGCGCGCAGGGCCATCAATAATCGACTCCGGCGTGTGCAGAAGCTGTCAAGAGACCCTTGGACGCCGCAGCTATGCCTCCGCTGCACCAGCGACCGAATCGACCGCCGCATCGACATCGGCCGAGCCCGCCGTGAAGTCAGCCTACACCATCAACGCCGGTGTCGTCCTCTCCCGCCCTCCCCAGATCACCCGTGAACTCGAGCCCTTCGAGAAAGCGTTCTTTTTCTACCAGAAGCGTCTGAACGAGCGTCTGGCCCTTCCCTTTACGAAATATTTCTACTTCAAGCGCGGAACACCAGCCGATGAGGACTGGAAGAAGAAGATCCAGGAGCGCCGGACTGCCGCGCGTGATATCGGAAAGTACAACGCGTACGACAGCGATGCATGGAACGATGAGCTTCTGCTTGGCTCCCCGGAGTCTGAGCCTGAGCACCAGGTCGAGGCCCTCGTGCGGGACGCAGAGTCCACTGCCAATGCGACTTCGCAGGATACTAGTAAAAGGAGGAAATTCCTCGGCCCTACCCTCGGATCACGGAGGCAGACAAGAAGAACGACCAGAAGAGTCTCGATCGTTTGCTTTCCCGCACTCTCTATCTCCTTGTGCAATCCAAGGAGGGCCACTGGAAGTTCCCCAGCTCGCCAGTCGAGGCGGGTGAGACCCTTCGCACGGTTAGTACCAGATTCTTGTTCGACTCACAAGCTTGTTCTGATCATACTAACATGGTATTATTTGCTAGGCTGCTGAACGTACCCTTGCCCAGTCCGCCGGAGTCAACATGAACACCTGGATGGTTGGCTTCCACCCCGTCGGATGGCACTCATTCAACGCTTCCAAGAAGGCCAAGACCGAGACCGAGGCTGCCGGCAGCAAGATCTTCTTCTTGAAGTCTCGCATGATGGCCGGCCAGGCCGATCTGTCCGTGAACACCCAGAACCTCAAGGACTTCAAGTGGCTGTCCAAGGAGGAACTCCCTCAATACCTGAACACGCAATACTACAGCAACATCAAGAACATGCTGGCCGATCGGTAAGCGGTGGGTTTGGGGACCAGCTGGACAGCTGGAGCTGGGCGAGGAAGAAGAACCAGGCGAGGTCCGAGGTTCTTCCTGATGGAGATGAAAAGGCATACTTGTTCCGATACTCCAGCGCACTATCGGTGACGCACTGCATATACTCTTATTGCGCATGCCATGTATAACTAGAATTTTCCTGCACTGTCAAATCAAATTCATTCCATTTCAATGTTCAATTCCGCGGTATCATCAACGCCTAGAATAAACGCCATGCCATGTGCATAGTCAATCAAATACATAGAAAAGATAGGAAATCCACCCAAACATGATGTCTGGGCATATCATGCCATGTTAAACTTCTGTCCCTGGACAATAGGCTGGTCCTTGGCCGACTTGCCAGCCAGGTTCTTGCCACACATAGCACAAGCTGGTATCAGATATCAGCATTTGCACCGAAGTCAAGGGCAATAGAGCGAAAGGGCAACATACCGTTCCTTTGATAAGCACATCTCTGACAAAACTTCTTGCCCACCTCTGTCTTCACCTTGCAGTTATCACAAGACGAAGCATAAGCGGCATAAGGATTCTTTGCTTTCGCGCTGAGGAGTTTGCTCTATGAGAAAAATGTCAGTATAAAATCCAGAACTCATAATATATTCCTTCGCTTCATTTCCAATATCAAAAATCGCAGATTAGCCACATACCTTTCCAATTCCCGTCGAGCCTAATGTCGCCTTTGTCTTGCCCTTGTCTGCGCCACCACCGAGAGTACTAGACGGCGAGCCGTAGTACATATCGTTCTTGCGCTTGACACCCGGAGTGGCGAGCTCAGTGGCTTTGATTTTCTTTTGGCATTTTGAACAGACCATTTTTGCTGTGGATGGGGGAGTGTTGGTCGAGAGAGTGAAAATGGAGATGATGTTATCGCGCGCGCCACCGCCTGGTCACTTCGATGCCAAGACGTTTTGGTACCTGTTTCTCGCTCTATACACGGGGGTTTGGTTTATTTTTTTTTTCATATTTTTTACCTTGTCTTCTATTAATGTGATATGTATGTTTATATTGCTATTAAGATATCATAAACTCGCATCGTTGGTCGGGTATCAACATAGTACGCATATTAGAAGAGAGCATCGTTGTAGATACCTCAACATTGGAAAGCTCGCATGAACATTATGTATAGAATAGGAAAACGGGTCATAACGTGACCATTGGGTATCTCTCAACAGAATCGGGCTTCAACCTTGCTTTACATAGGCGAGGGGGCTCGATGGGTCTGGTAATGAGTCGGTTGGTTCGAATAATCCCGGTAAGGAGCAGCACCATATGGCTGCTGTTGAGTCGGAGGATATACTTCTTGAGAATATTCATCCGGTAACCGAGATTGGAATTGGGTAGGAGGGTAATCGCCAGACGGGTACTGCGGAGATGCAGGTGGGTATGGAGCCACAGTGAACGTCTCCAGGCCATCGCCGAGCCTATGCCATTTCGAACAGCACAGTAGAATGCCCGTGAAAGTGCCGACTGAGAAAATGAACTGGACAATGGCTTGGACGGCGTCCAGATATACTGGCCAAGCTATGGTTTGTATGATGCCGTGCTGGATATTTATGATGGCCCACGCGAAGCAGATGGCGAACCAGCAGACAGCGGCGTTAATGAGTGCGATAGCGGGCAGCTGGAGATATGGTTAGATCGATATTCTCTGTACAGTGCTTGTCGGCGGGGACTCACCTTCGACACGAAACGATGGTTGCCAGCCTTGACCACCACGTAAATCATGAAGCCGAGGATCTCCATGGACAGCACCCAATAGACGATGTACATGGCACCTTTCAGTTGTGACCAGATGTATGCAGTATTGCTGTATCGACTGATCACTGCATACACGACCGCCGAAATATACAAAGCAACTTGGGCAAAACCAAGCAGAAGAGCAAGGAAATAGAAGGTCCCGTGTAGGGTAACAAGACCTGAAGAGGGCTTGCTAGAATGCGTAAGACGGCCCAGGAATTCGTGGATGAGTTTCCAGAAGACATGGAAGGTGAGACAAATTCCAAAAATGAGGAAAAAGTTCCAGAGCATCAGGGTGATCAAGTAGTACCTTGTCACCTCCGCATCGGCGATATAAAGGGCGCCCCAGACGATATGTACCACTTCGGAGCTGAGAGTAGTGTGTATATTAGCGACTTTCATATGTTGAGGCTCTCATCGGTCCACTTACCAGATAAAAGAAAGGAGCGCAAAAATGATTGTCTTCTTTGGCAGAGTTCGCTTCCGGATTGTGCATGCCCAGATGAGGAATATGACAAAGGCAAGGAGGGAGAGAGCATCAAAGGCAAAGCGTACGAAAAAGTAAGTCTTGTAACTCCCAGAATACCGATCTAGTGACAGCAAAACCTCATCGTTCCAAGGATTGTCGCCGCCGTACGAAAAGCCTCCGCTACCGCGTCGAGGTGCCATGTTGGAGATTTGTGTAGATCTACTGAGAAATTCTCGTACTGTAAATCTGCAGCTCAACTTCTATTTTTTTTTTCCTACGAAACCGATGGCATTTATGTAAACGGATCAAAGGGGGCTCAGGCAAATCACACTAAACTAGACTGAGGCTCAAGAGTCTTCCAATACGAGGCCAAGATGGCCAGGGAATGGATGTGATTGGCTCGGACTGTTTTCTCAGGCAAAAGGCGTCGAATCACGGGTCACTGGGTTTGCTAAGCCCTCGTTTCTTCTCAGAATTCTCGTTTCTTGGGCCCCTCTTTGGAAATTGCTTTTCGCCTCGGCGCATTGGATTAGACGGGCGCTGGGCGCTGGGCGGGGGAACAATATTGCTGAAAATCCATTCTGCGCCCCGTACGGAGTACTTTGGACAGATGTGTACTTCGTGTTCAGTACTTTGTACGGTGTGAAATGTTTGGGACCGGATCCAGGAACAGAGTGGAGGTGAAGGGGCAGTTGATGAAATCAACTCGGTCAGGCAGAGAGACAGATGTACGTTGTAAGAACCCAATCAATGGGTTGCGCCCGAAATTGCCAACACATCGCCTCTCAAAGACTTCAACGCCCTGAAGGAAGAAACTAACTCGTCGATCACAGGCTAAAGCCTTGGCGGCCTATTAAAAGCACCACATCAGCTGATCTGCTTCAAATTTCACGATGGGATCCGAGGTACGGAGGAGTACTCCGACCTCTGTACGGAGTGCTCCGTAGTGCTTTGGATAGAATAAGAATGTTGATCCGGAGGAGAATAAGGGGGTTAGAGTTATGATGCTGATGCTGTGGGGCCTCTTAGCCTTTTATAATGGAGCCCGCCGAGAACACACCTTATATCCATGCGCTTCATACTCCGTACTCTGTACTCTGGACTGCGTCTCAATCCTCAGCTCCACCGTGAAACACCCACGATGACTCTGATTACCCTCTTCAGCCTTGTGCAGAACACGCCATAAGTGGAGAGGGCCATCGCGTGGCTGAGCTTGCTGCAACGCCACGGTGCAGGAGAAAATAATAGAAGACACGCCTATTTGTCTTCAAGCTGTCAAACCACCGACCAAGGAAGATCCTAGAGAACTCTCAGCTCCCGAATCTGAGTTCCACCCAGTTCATGCGTCCTGCATTGTTCCGATCGATCCTTCGAGAGTATCATGATCTCGATGTCCCGGTGGGTATACCCGAGATCATTGTAGCCTGAACGTGTTGCATGTTCACCGCGCGGACAGTTTCACTGCACCATGTCTCTCTGCCTTGTTTTTTGTGGTCCTTTGGGCCTTTTGGGACCTTTGATTCTCCTCTCAGATGCTCCATCACATCGTGATGGATCCTCCGCAGATGCATGATGACCCGCCACTTGCGAACTGGCCCGCCATCTGTCGCCGAAGCAATGCAAGCACGCTTCTCGAGGCCCATCAAAGGAATCGACCACAAAGAACACGACTCTAGCGCCTCAAGGAGCCCAACAGCTCGGTTCTGCTCTCCAGGACTGTGGTTCTGCGTCCTAGATGGGGTTATGCCCACCGGGACCTGCTGAGAGGATCGTCCCCCGGAAGTAAGGCGAACAACACCAATTCCGATCACATAAATACTTTGTTAGTTTCAGGCCCTCAATTTATTTCTTCATCTTCTTCCACTATTTTTTTCAGACTTTCCTTTTTGCTTTTTTTTCCCTCCATTCCCTTGGTGTTCCCTATTTCCAGGTCTGGCGCAACCCGCATTCGGCGTGTCCGCATGTCCCGATTCTCGACTGCATCATATCCCAACAATTCTGGGGTTTCTTTTTTGTTCTCGCATACGCATTGCATGCGTTGACTTGGACTTCCTGGCACGGGATCGTTTAAGGTTCAAGCAAATGCTGAGAACCCATCGTCATTGCCGAGCATCTAGGGGTATTAATTGCTGCATCTCGTCCGGTGTGAGAAACGCACAGTGACTCGATCGATTTTCCCTTCCGTCCTCAATTCCCTAAAGATATCAGCGCGTGGAAATCAAATCCAGCCCAAAAGAAAAGGGAAAGAAAAAAAAAAGCAAAAATGCCTCCAAATGGATCGTCGTTCACGACGCTAAACCTCCCACCGACTTTCGAACTCCCTCAATGTATGGAATACTTCACATTGAGAGCAGGCCCGAACACAGATCTCTGGCGCAAACCCCCAAACGGCGAAACTTCAACAGCCCCCATTGTCTTCACATCCCTCCGCCACCCATTCGTCGTAGCGGAAGTCACCGTCAGCGCAGACTGGGCTATGGAGTGGGACCAAGGCGGCCTGGTGATATTCGCCGGCAGCGCACCGCAATCTTTCTCCTCAGATGTCACCGAGCCGCCACGGACAGCCTTCGGCGCTCCCCCGCGCCCTACCTGCAAATGGGTCAAAGCCGGCATGGAGTTCTCCTCGGGGAGACTCAACGCGTCCTCCGTGAGCGCGACATCCGACGGCGCGGACTGGTGTCTTTCGCCTCTCGCGCAGAGCGCACAGGCCGGGATGGGGATTCATTCGCTGCGTATTAAGCTCGAGCGTATCGGGCATGCGCTGTGGATCTGGTACCAGGTTCCGTCGACGTCGGTGTTCGCGCGCTCTCCTGGTGCGGTGCGGAATACCTGGAAGAAGTTGCGGGAGGTGACGTGGTTCTTTTATGGGGTTGAGGATAAGTGTGTTCATGTTGGGGTTTATGCGAGTCGGCCGACGAGGTTGGCCTATGGGGAGACTATGTGGGATGCTGTGCATGGGATGCCGCTGGAAGGCTCATTGCCGACGGAATCGACGGATGGGTTGGTTGTGGAGTTTGAGGATTTGGAGATCTTCTAGTTTGGTTTTTTTGTTTCTTTTTGGTCTTTGATCTTTGGTGTTTGCTCACACTTCGGGTTTTCGTCCTTTTGGTCGAGTCCTGGTCATACATATTCCCCCTCAGCGTTTCGAGCAATTATGGCATGTCTGGAGTCGATTTGATGTTTTTGGTCTTGTGAAAGCTCGAGTGCTTTCATGATTTAGCTTGCGGTCCATATTTTTGCGAAGTATTTGGTTTTTTCTGAATATGACTCTGCAGTATTGACATGTAGGCGCGTTGTGTCTGTTTGACACGTGTATTACTGGGCCGCCTGGGCTTCACGAGTCATTCTTAGTAATAGATCCTTTCGATATATATAGGGGGCTTCATTGTGATACTTGCTCTGTCGTGTCAAAATATAAATATCTACTCCGTACATTCAACATATTGTGGGGTTAGTTCGTTGTATGGAGTACTGGGTAGAACATGGCTGCATGTTTATATATCGAACCCATATCAAATCGGACCCATAATATTTCGATATATTACTGAATCTAGTCTATCAACAGTACAACCCAGACGTCAAAAATACCCCCAATTAATACAACCCCCCCAAACCGATCAAACCCCAAGATCTATTAGCCTACAATCTCTGACACCGGGGTATACTACAATTTGATGCTACTAACCCAAAGCGGACTAGACCATATTCGTAGATTCAACGTACTCAAACCACAGAGAACACCTCAAGAACCCTTCCAATCTGGCCCCGTCCACACCCAATTCCTCATATCACCAAAACACCCAGCCAACAATGCAATATGACCCGCTTCCCTCCCCGATTCCTGCATGCAGCATGCACACGCAGTTTCGCCAGGTGATGTCACCAGCTGAGTCAGCCTACGGGAAAGCCGTTCCCGAGGCCCGGGAGCTAAGAAAGATTCTGCGTCGGGTCTCCAGCTCGAATGCAGGCCCAGCCAACGCCCTTGATTTGCTATTTTGTACGCGCGATGGCCTGGAAGTCGTCTCTAGTTTGCTCTCACCGTCTATTGTAGGCCAATGGATGGCTGGTGTGGCATAGTTGTTCGTTGAAGAGCGGGTCGGGTTGCTGCATAGGGGGACCCCGTAGTGACATCCGCTAGAATGGGGATTTCAGAACGCCCCCAACGGGGGGAATGAACTGTTTGTTGTTGTTTGGTGTTGTTGAAGCTAGTGCGTTCCCCGGGGTTTTTTTGGGTAGCTTGTAGCTTTTGTCTACGTGGGGGATCTGAGCTTTCGAGCGAGAGAGCTCGAGAAGCCCGTATACGAGGCAATATTTTTTTTCTTCATCCGGTCGATCCGTGAGACGGACTGGATGAAGAAGAAAATATCAAAATCTATGAGGAAAGGAAGGAAGAGGATGATATACGGCCGTCAGACGCAACACACAGAGTTTTTGGTTTGGCTCTTTGATAGGTTGGATGGTCGATGGGCCATATAGGACTCTATATGTACAGAAAGAAAAAGGTGTTGTAGATGACGCTGAAAGTAGTACATGGTAATACATCACGACCAAATACCCTCCCCGGCGGAAGCAGAGATTCTCAAAAAACCCAAAATCCTTGTTTTGAATGACATTTTTCCAAGAATCCGTAAACCCGAGTCGTAGATAATTTAGACGTACTTGCACATCATGGCAACCATGAGATCGAAGAGACCCATGGCCTCGACGAAGGCAAAGCCGAGAATGGCGTAGGAGAAGAGCTGGCCACGGAGGGCAGGGTTGCGGGAGACACTCAGGAGGAGAGCGGCGAAGACGAGACCGATACCGATACCGGCACCACCGAGACCGATGGCAGCGGAACCCATACCGATGTTCTTGGAGACCTCAACCATGGCGGAGGCGACCTCGGAGGAGTACTGGCGGCGGGCGGCAGTCTGGAAGGCCTTGGCCTGGAGGAGGGTGGGCGACTGGATGCGCTTGGGGGCACCGACGAGAGGAGCCTTCTGGGTGAAGGTGCGCTTGGTGGCAGCGTTGAGCTGGAAGCGGGCAGCAGGGCGGGCGACCTTGGAGGTCTGGGCCATGACGGAGGCCATGCGGGAGGTGAAGACACGAGTGGCGGCCATTGTGAATGATGGTCTATAGAATTATAGGGTTGGAAGAGAGGAGAAAGAAGGAAAGAGGAGAGAGATGGACTTTTCAGGGAGAAAAAGCTGGGAAACTACGGGAGAGGACCGCCCTAGGACATAAATACTCTACGGCCAAATTTTCGCCCGTCCGCCTCCTAGTCGGTCCTAGTGTATGTGTAAGGTAAAAAAAAAGCCCTAGGTTGTGCGTGGACTCCGGAGTATTTCATTCGCAAATCACACTATCAGGAATGCTGGGGGACGTTTTGGTCTCGTTTTACCCATTCTTACCGCGTATCGCTACCTGTCGGGTTCAGTCGGGTATTGTTCCAACTGGGTCCACTGGATTGATTCGACTGGAGTTGAGGGTATGGGTCGTGAGGAGATCTAGTCGAGTCCCCTGCATACAGGAAATGACCCTTCACACGGTGTAGCTGTACCTCTACGGAGTCTCCTTCTTTCCCTTTCATGCCAATTGGAAGAATAGGGAGGTGGAAGGGATACGCAGAATCATCAAATTCCAATTGAAAAAAAAAGAAAAAAGAAAAAAGAAAAAAGAAAAAGAATTTCTAAAATGAAAAATCCACGAAATTCCCAATTCCGCCCTTGCAGTGGATCTTAAGCATGTTCCCATCCGCTGGGTCGATCCACCGATGAGCTAGCAGCCAATCATAATCCTCTCGGATCCGCTATTTCTCTGGATTCGTTCCCGGCGTTACCCAAACCGGCCCGACTCGGATTCCAGGTCCACCAACTACGGAGTCACTGGGCAACCATCGGCTGAAAGGAGCCAGATTATGTGGATGAGGTGGATAATGTCTCCCCCTTCGTCCCTCGGGAATCCACCTCACCGAGTGGTCACATTGGGAGAATACGTAATTCCATACGGATCCGGTACCCCGGTCTCCTTTTCGGTCTCGTTGGGTTGCCGAGGGAAAGAAACCATGCAGAGATCCTGCAGGCGCAATGCGTTTCTTATATAAGTTTTTATTTTACCAGGAGTAAGATCGGAGAACGAAGACAAACAAAAAAAGGGCAGAAAGTAAGAAAAAAAAACCGGGTTGTCGTGTTCTTTTCGCCGGTCCACTTAGGCTGGATTCCCGACCCGCCAGGACCCGGCTATCGCAACAAGGAAACTGGCCCTTTCCGGTTCGTCCCAGGAAGAGAGGTTACAGGCCATTTAGAGGTAACGCTGGACACTTCTTTTGAAGAACTCTTGCCTTTTTGAACGGGGCCAGAGACCCTTAAATAGCCCTATCTTCAGAAAAAAAAACTTTCACGGCAAATTACAGCGTCCGAAAGAGGTTAACCAGAGAGGCTCTTGAGCGCAAATTCGATTTGGTCATTTCGGCTGATCGCAGCTTGGCGGGCCCCACATAAGCTCGATTTCAGGGTGCAGCCGTTACGCGTGTTCCTTTTCCTGGAGTCGACAAGCCAGCGGAGTGGGAATCCATCTTGGACATGATGCGAATCGATACAATTGCATTCCAGCAAAGCAATTGAGTCCAAAAAGGAAGCATTGAAAGGCGAACGGTCGTCGTATCGAGATCAGGGGGTTCCGGTGCCGGGTGTAATCGGGTAATACCAATACCGTACGGTACTCCCAGACTCGGCGACTCATCGACTCATCATTGACCTGCCGTGAGGTCATGGCTGAGGCCAGCTGGCCAGGTATAGCTTCAGCGGCTGAGCATACACTGCCGTAATGGCATATGAAGACACATAGTATCCATAGTACATTAAGTTAGTGTCTTTCCCAAAACTATATCCACCCAGAACATAAGAACGCTGTATCCCCGGGCAGATCTGAGATTTCGAACCGTGTTGCCCTCGGCAGGAACACATGCAATCACGAGCTTGGCCCCCCCCAGCCCATGAATTCGTGGCAACTAACGCACAGCCAGCTCAGGCCAGATACTGACAGCCGTTCTCCCGCGCCCAAACCCGCCCCCATTGGATCGCCCAAGCCCGCGCAGTGCCCAATCCGCGTCCCGAACATGCTCTCCAGAAGCGCCATGAGCTGCAGCTGAACATCCGAGGACGAAGGCTGCAACCACGATAACCGTCTGGAAATGATTCACGCAACGAGAAGCTGTGTGCGACCCTCGGCTTTCTCGCCGAAAGATCCGCGTCAAAATCAGCACCGATGGCATCCAGGGTGACACCTAGCTCTGCAGCACGGCAACACGGCACCAAGAATCGAAAGAACCGAAACCGTCCCGGCGATCGACTCATCAAAGGAATGTCCCGGCACGACAGGAATTGTTTCCATCCGCGCGACGCGCAGCCGACACGCGGTCCATTGCCTGCCCGACACGAAGGAGCCAGACACGACCGGACAGCATCCGGACTGGCTGGTGCAGGTTTCGATCAAGCCCCCGACATCCATGGAGCTTTCGACTCGCCTGGAGATCGCAGATACCATACAACCGACGCGTCCATCGTATATCCGGCAGACCCGAAGAGCGAACAGAGGACCGGGAAGGAGATACGAGGTCGTGGGAGGAGTGAGATTCCGTTGAATGAGGTATAACGACTCGTAGTTAAAGCTCAGTCATATCGGTCCGTAGGACGTAGGGTGCTCGCATCGTCTTCCTGCCGAGGGATCGATCTGTTCCGTAGCGGTCCACGTCGGATCCTGAGGATCCTCAGTCAGTGTGATCCAGCAACCGCTCATACTCTCAGATGTGCTGTATTGATTCCGTGCACAACCTCTGCCAGTCAGCAGAGGAAGTACAAGTCAGTTGCGAAGTTCCAGCAGTTGAGGAGTGAGGTTACACCCCTGGGCTTGGGGCTCAGACCTCGATTCCCCGCGTTGCAGCCAGCTACCTCGTGCAAAGGTACACTACGAGAATAAGTTCTTGGCACAGCCATGTCTACTCTACTGTTATTGATTATCTTGAAAAAATTCAACACGAGGCGGTTGTCAACCTCGTTGCTTCTTCAGGCACTAACGAAGATAAGATCGCCAGGTGAATCCACCAGCTTAACGCTATTGAGACTAGTTTCAGATCTAGATGATGGGGATCGGACACCGCTAGTTCATACTGTGCTGCTTATGGAGAATAGAATGATTCATACAGTGAATGAATATAACTGCTAGCTGATTATAAAGAAGACATGGAGCGTACGGAGTATATGTAGAGCTGGTTGTTGTTGATATACTAAGTATCTACATAGAAGCCAAGCTGCAAAACTCTTTTGGTCGAGAATTATGTCTACAAAGACGAAGATCTTTACAAATGGCCAGGAGTCCCCGAGTGGTTAATAAAAATGAATCAATTCTATTAGAACTATCTGAGAAGTATCTCAGTTATCCGAGAAGGGGGTTGTCCCTGATTAAAGTTATTAAAAAGAAAGACAGCAAGTATTAGACCAAAGAGCAAGAAACCAGAGCCGTGCTCACAAACCAGCCATAGCACTCTGCAAAGCACTAGTCAGATCCAAATGGAAGAAAGGCCGGTTAATACCGTCCACAACAGCCATACCAGTGCCGACACCAGATCGACCACGGCGGCGATGAGTGTTTACCTTTGCATTCCGCTCATCAGTTCGCACAAGCTCAATACCATCCTCAGTACCACCCACAACCGACGAAGAAGCACTGTCTCCCTGTACCGTCACACCAGATTCCAAGTCTTTGAACCAGTCCCTCGGGGTGTTGGCCTGGGACGGAGCAGGTGATCCGGGCAGACTGTCCATGACCTCTGCAATGTCAAAGATCGATCTCTGCCAATGGGGCCCAGAGCCGTCCGAAACAGCAGGGAAGCCGAATCCAGCAGCGGCCAGAGCACGCTTTGTCCATTTGTTCTGGATGTGCGAGAAATGCCACTGCACACTGTCTGGGGATGCCCAGCGGTCTAGCTGATTGCGGACGTCAATAAGGTTCTGGACGGATGTGACATCCACGTTGTTTACAGCGGCGAAGTCAAGGATGATAGCGCGGAGAGTTGGGAGTGGGGAAGTGGATGTTTCGGCCAGGAGGAGTCTCCGTTCGGGACGCGTTGGACCCGGATCATTCCACGGTCTGTCGCCTGGTGTTTCCCATGCTTGCGGGTTTGTGCGTCGGGTGGATTGAAAGATATGACTAACGAGGTAGTCGGTGTAGTGGTTTGCATTTGGATAGTTGAACCCCTCGGAGACTCTGTAGATAAAGATTCCTGGAGCTGGCTGGTGGATCTTGATTCGGGGATTTGTGCCCCCTTGGTGCTCGGTTGGGAGATAAATTCTTCGGGAGATGGCGACATCATCTTCAAATCCTGTCTTTGAATCTCCTGATAGATTGAGAAAATGATCAGCCACGACTGAGTGGGCCTGGATGTAGCCGAGGAATTGGCCTCGGGCTTTGGCGAGTCGGAACAGGAGTACTGCGAGCGATACGCCAATGGTACAGTAAATGCCCGTCTCGATCGTTGAGAAAATGATTACGAGAACGCCCATCAAGAAGATGAGAGCGTCAATTGGAGCCACCCGCCAGAATTGATAGGTAATTCTGGGTGGAGTAACGAGATCACCCACTGCATGGATGATTACGGCCGCCAAGGATGATTTGGGTATGTAGAAGAACAACGCGGGTAGCGCGTAGATAGCGAGAAGAACAACGACCGCAGTGATCACACCCGCGAGAGGAGTCCGCACGCCGCACTTGGCTTTGATAGCAGTTCGTGAGAATGAGCCCGTGGCTGGGTATGCACCTAAGAATGGGCCCAGAAGGTTTGAGATGCCAATTGCAATAAATTCTTGCGATGGGTCGATCGTATAGTTGTTGACACGACCAAAAGATTTTGAGATAGCGATGTGCTCGATTAAAAGCACGACCACTGCGGCAGGGAGCTCCCCAACAAACGCCTTGATAATTGGAATATCGATCTTGGGAACCCCTGCAGCCTTGAAACCCCGGGGGACAACACCAAGTAGCTTGAAAGCAGGATGTTCGCGTCGGTGGATGTTAACTGCAGCGCTGATCATCGTGTAGAAAAGAACAACGAATGCTGTACGCAATGTGGAGAGAAAGAAGAACAGCTTAGCCTTGTGGGGTTTCTTCCTCTTTCCATAGTTGCAAGCAGACCGTATGCCGTATAACATTGCCAATGCTGTAAGGCCCATCGAAGCGTCCATCTGGGCAGAAGGAAGGTGTTTTAGTGTATCAATGATAATTCTGTAGGTTGCCCCACGGCCCGAGACATGATCTTTCAACCCGAGAACTGTTTTGACCTGACCGGAACAGACATTGATTGCCGAACCGGTCATAAACGCAGTAATAGCAGGAAGAGGGATAAAATCAACTATGAAACCAAGACGAAGCAACCCGAGGAATAACACTATTGCCCCGCAGATAATCGCCAGAGCAGAGGCAATGACCGGTGCGGGTATCTCGGGGTGAGCGTCGCGAACCTTGATGATGATTGTGCCCATGAGCGTTGACATGACCGCCACCGGCTGAGAAAATTAGTTTCTCGGGCATATAAAGACAACGAGGAGCTACCCTTACACCGATGGTGATATCCTTCGACGTTGCAAAGAACCAATAGATCAAGACCCCCATGAACGAGGAGTACAAACCATACTCCGGGGGTAATTTGGCTAGTTCAGCATATGCCATACCCTGTGGAATGACAACTGCACCAACAGTAATGCCTTCAAGAGGATAGTAGGTCAGCAGCTGTACAACATTGCTGATGCTAAGCGAGGACTGCTCACCTGCCACGAGATCCCCAATCAACCATTGCACGTTGTAAAACCCGATCCAATGGAGGAAAGGAAAGAGATTCCAAATATAGCAACGGACTTGAGATGCACTGGGTGTATGGCCACGGAACCAATCGCCCACCGTGGGGTCATGTTCGTAATAGCCATAAGTTTTGGCCTCGTCTCCCCCCAGTGAGGGAATTGGACCCAAATCAATTCGTAAAAGCTTTGCGAAACCGTGGCCGACCCGAGTCAAGATATCCTCCACCATTATTGCAATGAGTCTTTTTGGGCTCTTCGTAAATCGGGGGGTCAACACGGGAGGCCTTCCAGAGAGCAAGAGAGAAGAGAAGCTGAAGGAGAAAGAAGAACAGGGGGACACAAAGTAAGAGAAGCCATATTGCGTCCATAAGGTGGACCGAACCGTATAGTTCGATGTATGTCGTGATTTTAGGGCCAATCGACCAAAAACCTTGCACTGGAGCCAATCACGACGGTGGAGCTGGACAGGGTCATTCTCGCGTCAGACTTGTTCAAGTGGAAAGAAGCTACCCCGTGTGATACGAGGAGAGCTGCTGATCACACGGGTGTGTCCAGGTGGATATGAGAGCTTCCAAGGGAAAATATTCCAAGTAATGGAGCTCATTTGCCAATGCCCAGAGCAACGGGAAGTGTGATTTAGGCAGTGACGCCCAAGTCTTATAGGGCTGATAGACCCACCCATAGGGCTGATCTTCAATTCAACTGCGTTGCATGACGATCTTATATTGCTCAATGGGTTGAATCCTGCTGCCTGCACCGTGGAGACGGTTATGTTTAACTCCGGTGCAACATGCCATTGACCCCGTTTGTTGCGGTGACCAACACTAGCCCCTTTATGCCTTGGGGAGTTCCCAGCCTGGAGAATACTTAGGCAGTATGGACTATACATTACATCTTTAGATATGGAAGTTTGTTGATTATATTTTGAGTCTATACATCGGTGGGATTGGACACTATCTTCTAACGAAGAAAGGAGGCAACACGGGTACCTGGTGCCTGGTTGATCCCCATATATGACTACTCCCTATACGCTGCACACATGACTCTAGCGCAGATCAGGAATAGAAACTCAAGATTCAAAGAGTACTGGTGCGTTTTTCATAAGAGAATACCACTCACATTGTACTTGCACTTCCCAGATCCAATGTCAGCATAAGCTCAAAATGCCAAGACGGGAAACCCACTCCGCAAACCTGAGGTCCCCAACAGTCACACTTTGTTTCAATCCATCCAAAGCCCATCAGAGTCCTAGTCAGCCAGACTGGATTCAAATGGAGTCACGTTTGCGTCAGACCCATTCTCCATTTCCCCTCCCCCAACGATCGCAAGAACAGGAAGGACCATACATTGTTTCGTGGCATCATGATCCTGGAGTGCCTCAACGAAGCTCCATTGAAGCTAGTGCACTGATCCTCCCGGGCGCAGATCATAGCTTCATCCAAGCGCATCTCAAGGCGTCCATTTAGGCAAGCATGATGATGACTTTCCCTTCGTTGCAGGAATCACACGCAGCTGAAATACACACATATACCTAGCGCCGAGAGACAACCTTTCTTCGTCCCTAACCCATCGAAGGATATAACCTTGCAGAGGACACAGCTGCATCCGGGTTAACTAAAGCCTAGGTCAATCTTGATATTCGATTATGACTCCGGTCGTGCCGATATTCGCGAATGTCTCCTTTAGGTTCCTTGTGCTGCCATCACCCGCGTCACCATCTGCCACCCCGGGAATCAGAATTGGAGTGGGGCATAGCGGACCAGATTGCATCTCTGCCATGATAATCCAACTGGTTCAGATAGGCCGTGGACGAATGTGACGGCATAAAAGCCAACGAAAACCATATGAAAGCCCGCTTCGTCGACTAGGCCAGAGAATAGGCTATCTTAGGTCACCAGGGTATCAAGGCTTTGGTCAATCGCTGTGATTCTTCGGCATCAATGGGGATGGCCTTCTTGGATTCAAGATTTGCATCTGCAATGAGGCCTTTTTGGAAGCCGATGGTGGTTCCCGCCGAGAAGTCGAACTGGAAAGGCCAGGGAACTGAACTAGAAGACAAGTGATAGGCTTTGCATCGATGACGATTGTAGTCCAGATGAAGCAAAAATACATGGCTTCTCGACAGACCTTCAACTTTCATTCATCTGAGACACCGGGTGGTATCCTTTGTAGGCTGTTCATCAGTGGAGACCGCGGAAGTTCGACGGATGTTTCCCCGATGTTGGCTGTCCAAACATATATCTCTCTAGCACTCATAGTAACAATGGTCACTTCAAGATAGAATTCAGCTTCTTGATGCGAATGCAATTTGGCATTGAAGACTGTTTACCCGAAAAGGGTAGGCCAGAACATGAGACTTGTTACTAGGTTTCCTTTCTGAGGCATTTAAACTCATACCTCCAACTTCAGATGAGACCGAGCAAATCCAGGCATTTGAAAAACTTGAGGAAAGCAACATGAAATGGTCCCTTGTCGCCAGCGGACTGACAGGCTATAAGAACTACACACACATGACCATTCAGCAAGATCGTGAGTACCTGCCTAGCATTGTGGTAGTTATGGTAGTGTGAAGACATAATGAGCATAATGTAACAAGATAGGTTCCTAAGCTACCAGACAGATCTGTTATGAGAAGCGACGAAGCTAGTTAATCTCTAGCCTGATGGGCATTTTCACAAATCTGCATGCGTCCCAAATGCGCAGCACCTCAGCATCCGTCAGTTCAAGAGCAGTGGATCGTGAATCCTCTAGCACTTGTAAGAATTGAGTGGTGTTATTGAATTGATGGAGGGTTGGGTCAAATAAAATGTTCGTTGAGTCTGTGTTGTTGAATACCACTTTCTAGAGTGCCGGTGGGGAGAGGCCTCTTGGTTGATCGAAGTACTCAGACGGGGTCCTTACAAACTTTCATGTCTTTTTTTCATGCCTAATTGCTATATTTACTGTTTGTAATGTTAGGGTCCCGGGAAATTTTGAATTGTAGGTGCGGGCAAGATTCTTTTGCAGGTGTGTACAGGCGTCTTCGATTCCCACCGAGTCCATGCTTCATTTTCCGGCGAGCACAGGGTATGCCAACCTTTGATGTGGGCTGGTACTCGGTTACAAAAGGGACTTTCCACTTCGACAGCCATGTAAAGCGTCAGTCCATGTATGGGGTTGCAAAACGGTGGGGTAAAGACGAAAATGAGATAAAAGAGCCGCACGGGATCTTGGGTCAACTCTACATCCGCGGGGGTTCCATGGGCGAGACGGCCTTAATTCTAGAATGCGGGGAGCTTAATTCAGGTACATATAGGTACCCAATGGCTTCCTGCATATATGTATATCATATATGTAGGTACTATGTGCGCCATATCCTGCGTGTTCTAGATGTTCTAGACCTCATGGGTGGTGTTGAAACTCCAAGTTCGATTGCCGCAGAAGATCCTCCCCCCACACCTCGGGGTTCAATACCCCGCAGTCGTCAATCAATGGTCAGCCGTAAAAGCCTAGTTCTGGCTACCTGCATACTCCGTAGAGATCCCGAGCAAGGGTAAGCTGTGAGTATATCTGGCCCCGCATCCCGATGCCCCGCGTGGCGGGAAGCCCACATACATGTTGACAAATGGACGTGGCTGTATTGCCTAGAATGCGATATTAGCCTGAATTGGACTTGCCTTGGTCCTATCGAGAACGCATCTGGCAATGAATCTCAGTTCAGTAGAGGATGGTATCTGTCTCGCTCGGAATGAGCACCTCTCCAGCCTAACGTTCTTGCCCAACAATAACGATGCAGTCTGGCAAAGTAGATTGGGCAGCATTTCGGGGTCCCAGATTTGGAGAGTTCACAGTGAGGATGACCGTGTATATGAATATATATTTTTGGTTTTGCAGATCGTCTGAATCGATGGAAGGTCGATCTAGATGAGCATGACTACTCCGTAGAGGGCATGGAAATATTAATCATATCATATTCCTAGGCGACAAACGTAGTTTTCAGATATCAAATGAAACCAAGTACTGTTCAACACTGAGTTTCGCAGATGTGCAACTTTCAAGACCAGTAGATTGTGTTACTATCAGGATACGCTGGCAGGCCAAGCACCGCGAGTGAACTGAGGATAGAATGGGAAGAGGTTGTCAAGCGTACAGAGTACGGAGTATCTTCTCATGGAATCCCCTGATGGAATCCCCTGATGAGATCATTGAATCTGATCAGGGGCCGGACTATGGATGCTTCACAATATAAGTGATCGTTAGACCAAATTTCCATATCCAATATCGATCTCATATGACTCGGCTATAGGCCTGGATACGATGTGCTCCATACGTGATATACAGCATAGATATCATTTCGGCACGTTCGGAGTCAACTCTGCGGGTTCAATGTTGTATACTATTAATCGGGAGGGTCATGTGAAGTACCCCCTTAATAATCTGCGGACCCAGCGCCCCTTCCAGGAGTCCCGCGCATTCCGCTCCGCCGTGGACCGGGAAGCCGATTACACCCGCCGAGCATCTATACGCTGCCCTGAAACCCCAAAATTTGGCAGGGAACAGGCGGAACGGCACACTGATCCGATCAAGGACAGGCTCTGGGACTGCAGCACCGATCTCGCGCAGTTTACGGAGTACTTCGCGCTGCAGTTCGGAATGGCTTTTTTAGCCGGAGATGCGAATAGGGGAGCTTTGTGAGGGGCCAAGTCTAGGGAGGTCGCACGCAATGCATGAAAGCTGCTAGTGTGTATGTGGCACGAGCTTTATTGTTTTGTAAATAATGAAATCGGAAGAGGCCCGAAATAGACATGGTGTTGGCCGAGATCCGTGGTGTTCCGCATAATGGACCAGGGAAAAACCAGGCCCAGAATGCCGGTCAATCCACGGGTTGGGCGATTGGGGACTGAGCCTCCACCGCACTTTTTTTTCATGTCGAACATGAGTCCTTTTTTCTCCTTCTTTCACTGCAGGAGATCACTGCATGTCGAATGACTCAAGGTAGACCATATGACAGGTGGATAAGAGCCTTGCGGCCCAGCGGCGGTCTCATTGGCGCATGTGTCTCAATGGGTCTGCGGCCTCAGCTTAGCGCTTCCACTCATTTTTTCCCTCTCTTTTGGTTTGCGCCTCTAAGAGATCGATGCTCGTGCGACCGTAGATATCAAGTGGTCGAAGCACAAAGGGGGCCGGGAAACCCGGTAGTTGTACTTGTTCAAAGGGGGGGCAAAAGCAAAAAAAAGCAACGCTTGGATACAATAAAGGACCTCGGCGATAGCTTCACCGCATATTGGGTGCATGGTGGAGATCGGATGAAAGCCCAAAAGTACGAACGGCCATTGGGTGTGGTGAAAGATGGGAGTGGACAGATGTGGACAATTGCTGCAAATAGTATGGTCACTGTGCCAACCCCCCTCCCCACTCTGGAAAGCTGTGCCGTCAGAGGTTTTGTACACATTTTAGGCCGAGTTTTTTTCTTTTGCTTTTTTCCCCTCCCCCCATACTCTCGATAATCCCCTCATCTGCTCTGAGAGCCTTTACTGTGCACATTAATCTAGCGTTGAATCTTTGCTGGTCAAATTGTGCCAAACCATCCCCCCCCCTTCTCTAATACCCTACCGATCATTTTTTACGACATTACGAATTTTGACGAAACAACTATGGCCAGCGTGCAAGAGCCCCTGATTCCGGATAGCCATGCGCTGCCGACAGACGGGCCAGTTGAGCCAATCACCTCGACCGACCCAATTGTCACCGATGAGAAAGCAGCCGAGTCGGACCTGAGCGAATCCACCGCAACACTGGTGGAGTCCGAAACCGAAGCCAAAGAATCCCCCGCCCAACCCGAGGTCCCCATGACCGCCGCGGAAAGGAAGAAGGCAAAGAAGCAAAAGAAGAAGCTGCAAAAGAGACAGGAGAGTATCAGCTCTCTGGCTGCTCTGGAAGCCGAGAAATCTGCGGAGGCGGTCCCTGAGACTAAACCTGCAGACGCCGCTGTGGAGGAATTGGCACCAGTCGAAGCCCCCAAGGAGGCCGAATCAGAGTCCGCCGTGACTGAGAGCCAACCCGCAGAGCCCTCAGTGGAGGAATCAACACCAGCCGAAGCCGCCAAGGAGGCTGAACCAGCCGCTGAGCCAGTGGCCGAGGAGAAGCCCGCCACGGAAGAATCGAAGACCGTCGAGCCCGTACCGGAAACTGTGGCAGAGCCCGTTGTCGAAGAGACTCCAGTTGTGGAGGAAACCAAGGTTGTGGAGGCTGCTCCTGAACCCGCCACAGAGCCTGTTGTCGAAGAACCCAAGGCCGAGGAGACCGCCAAGCCTGCCGCAGAAGAGGCAAAACCCGTCGAGGTTACTCCTGAACCCGCCGCTGAGCCTGTCGTTGAAGAGGCTCCCGCCGCTGTCGTGGAAGAATCCAAGACTGTGGAGGCTGTCGAGCCCGCCAAGGAAGAGTCGCAGTCTGCCGAGGCTGTTCCTGTGACCACCGAAGCCCCTGTGGAAGAATCCAAGCCCGTGGAGACTGCTACCGAGCCTGTCGCAGAGCCTGTTGTCGAAGAGACCCCAGCTGTGGAAGAATCTAAGGCTGAGGAGGTTGTCGAATCCACCCCCGAGGAGAAGCCTACCACTGAAGAAAAGGCTACCGAGGCCGTTCCCGAAACTGTCGCTGAGCCCATCGTCGAGGCGACTCCTGCCGTCGAAGAAACTAAGGTTGTTGAGGCCGTTCCTGAAATCGCCCAGGAGACCCCCGCCGTTGAAGAAACCAAGCTCACCGAGGAGCCTGCCACCGAACAGAAGGCTGTCGAGGCCGTCCCCGAAACTGTCGCTGAACCCATCGTCGAGGAGACCCCCGCCGTCGAAGAAGCCAAGACCGTCGAGGCTGTTCCTGAAGTCGCTGCTGAGGAACCCAAGACTGTGGAGGCTGTTTCTGAACCCGTTCAGGAGTCTCCTGTGGTCGAAGAAGCCAAGACCGAGGAGTTTGTTGAACCTACCGCCGAGGAGAAGCCTGCTACTGAAGAAAAGGCCACTGAGGCCGTTCCCGAAACTGTCGCTGAACCCATCGTCGAGGAGACCCCCGCCGTCGAAGAAGCCAAGACCGTCGAGGCTGTTCCTGAAGTCGCTGCTGAGGAACCCAAGACTGTGGAGGCTGTTTCTGAACCCGTTCAGGAGACTCCTGTGGTCGAAGAATCCAAGACCGAGGAGGTTGTTGAACCTACCACCGAGGAGAAGCCTGCTTCGGATGAAAAGGTCATCGAGACCGTTCCCGAAGCCGCTGCTGAGCCTGTTGTCGAAGAGACTACCGCCGTCGAAACTGCTGTGGAGGAACCCAAGGCTGTGGAGGCTGTTCCTGAAACCGCCCAGGAGACTCCCGCCGTCGAAGAACTCAAGACCGAGGAAGCTGCTGAGCCGATCGTTGAGGAGAAGCCCGCTGCTGAGGAGGCCAAGGCCGTCGAGCCCGTTTCTGAAGCCGCCGCCGAGCCTGTCGTCGAAGAGACTCCCGCTGCTGAAGAGCCCAAGACCGTGGAGGCTGTTTCTGAACCCGTTCAGGAGACCCCTGTCACTGAGGCTGCTGTGGAAGACATCAAGCCCGCCGAAGATGTCGCTGAGCCTACCAAGGAGCCTGTGACAGAAAAGGCAGTTGAGGAGCCTGTTGTCGAGGCAGAGGCCGAGAACAGTGCCGATACAACCGCAGCCGTTCCTGAGGAGACTGCCACTGAGGTCTCTGAGGCCAAGGACGAAGTCATTCCCGAGCCCACCAAGGAGGTGGCTGTGGAGGCTCCTATTGAGCAGCTTGTCGCTGAGGAATCGGCAGTCGAGCCAGTCAAGGTGGCTGAGATCGCTGAGCCCGTTCCTGAGCAGACTGTTGAGGCTGTCGAGGAGCCCGCAGCTGAGAAGCCCGCCGAGGTTGTTGCTGCCGTTGAGACTCCTGCCGCCGAACCCGCCGCTGAAGCTGCTGAGCAGTCTGCCCCTGCAGTTGTTGAGGAGGCTATCGCCGAGAAGGTTGAGGAGTCCGCTGCTGTTCCTGAGGCTACTGAAGCCGCCGCTGTTGAGACTGCTGCTCCTGCTACTGAGGAGTCTCCCGCTGTCCCCGAGGTCTCCGAGCCTATCGCTGCCGAGACTCCTGCTGTTCCTGAGGCGGTTCCCGCTGCGGTCACCGAGGACGTTGTCACTCCCACCGAGCCTGTGCAACAATCCACCGAGGAGACCACCCCCGTTGAGTCTGCCAAGGAGGATGTCGTTGAGCAGCCCGAGGCCCCCAAGGCCGAGGAGGTGATTGAGCAAGCCACCGAGGAGCCCCTCGCTGACAAGGCCAGCGAAGAGCCAGTTGTGGAACAGACTCCCGTTGAGGCGCCTGCCAAGGAGATTGTCGCTGAGGAGCCCGTTGAGGTTTCCACTGAGGCTCCCGCCGTCGCTGACGTTACTGCCGACGAGCCCGCTGAGAAGGCCGAAGAGAAGCACTCTGAAGTCGAAGCAGTTGCTGAGCCAGCTGTCGCCGAAGAGAAGGCAGTTGAGGAACCAGCCATTGTCGCAGAGACTGTTGAAGTTGCTGCTGCTCCTGAGCCCGTGGCCGAGGCTGTCATTGCTGAGCCTACCGTTGCTGCTGAAGAGCCAGTTGTTGTGACTGAGCCCGTGGTGGAGGCCGCTGCTGAGCCAGTTATCGAGCAACCTACTCCTGAGGTCGCACCTGTTGTTGAGGAGCCTGTCACTGAGGCACCAGCCACCGAGAAGACCGAGGATGTGGAGGCTCCTGCTACTATCGAGCCCACAGTCCAGGCTACTGAAGTTGCCGACGCACCAGTTGTGGAGGAACAGATTGTCGCAGAGACCGCAAAGGCTGAGGAGCCTATTGAATCTACCACCAAGGAGATCGAGCCTGAGACAACTGTGGTTGAGGAAGTTGTTATTGAGCAGCCCACCACTGTTGTTGAAGAAACAGCCACTGAAGAGCCAGTGATCGCTGAGTCCGAAGCACCAATTGTTGCTGAGGTTGTCGCTGAAGCGCCTGCACAGCAGGATTCCAAGGTGGAGGAGACCGTTCCAGAACAGTCTACCCCTGCCGTGGAGACCATTGTCGCTACGGAGGAGCCGAAGGTCGACACTGTCGAGACCGAAGTCGCCGCTACTGAGCCGATTGTCGGCGCAGACGAAGCCCAGACCGTGGATGAGACAACCGATGTGGAGCAACCCGCCAAGCTCTCAACTGATGATGCTGAACCCTCCGCAGCCGCTGAGCCCGAGACTAAGCAGGAAGAGACTGCGGCTCAAGCCTCGGATGAGGCTTCTGCCAAGGATACTGGCCTCAGCGCTGAAATGCTTGCTGCTGGTGCTGGTGCCGCTGCTGGTGCCGCTCTTGCTGGTGTTGGCATCGCCGCTATTGTTCACAAGGATTCCGAGACTGCAGACGAGTCCTCCAAAGACCAGAAGGATATTTCCTCTTCCGAGGCCAAGTCCCAGCCCCAAGCTGCCGTCGCAGATTCACAGCCCGCAGACGGTAAGTCAACACCGTTCTATCTTTCAGCTCAGCAACCATCTGCCGTATCTTTCGAAACTGATCCAAGTCTTGCAGCTCTTGCTGGCGATCGCGACGCCCTGCTCAACAAGCTCAACCAGCCATCCACCGAACAGCTGCCTGCTGCTAGCCAGCAACCATCAGTCGAGACCACAACCAAGCCCCAGCCTGCCGCCGAGGCCATCGAGGAAACTACCGAACCTACTGCCAAGGCATCTGATGCCAAGCCTACGGCCGACAACAGTCTCGCACCCAAGAATAACGATGAGGATTCTCGTCCTACGAGTCAGAACCGGTCAGTGACAGCTGTTTCTCTAAATGGTGCACCTGACAGTTGGCTCAAAGCAATCCTACGCACTGTGTTTGTCAACTTCTTTGGGGCCATCTTCTCTCCCTTCCGTCGTGGAAAGGCCTCAAATTAGAAAAGAATTTTGTGTTTTTGTGCTTGCCAGTTGTTTTTTCATTTCCTTTGGTGATGCTGTTGAGGAGAATCTGGGTCTCAGAAATGATGTAGAATGGACTCATTCAGTACTAATTAACTGACTGGTCGTTCAGCAACCTGTTTTGGATGATGTTTGCCGTTCCGATGCTTGCGATTTTCTGGGGTTCATACTTCGGGCCGGCTCAATGATAGCCCGAAATCACGTGGATATCGAAGCCCCAACTTCCGGGGACGAACTATACCGTGGGCTTTTCGAAAGTGCGTGGCAAAACGAAGTATAAAAACCCAGCCTCACTATATCCTTGGTGTCCTCAACACACCATTCCTTTCATTATTCCCCTGTATTATCTGCTTTTGCTGCCTGCTATTTACGAATTCCATTTGCAATTTGCTCTGTTTTGATTATTTCTCATGGTTAATGATTTCCTTTTGTCCTCTCTCCATGCTGGTGGTAGCTGGCCAAAGATGCCTTCGGTGGATCTGCCTGGCTTTTTATCTATCCAGTATGTAGTAGATATTGAATGATATGAATTTTATGATCAATGGTTCTTTAAAAGTAACTTCATTTATGCATGTTTGTCCTGGAATCTATGCCCTGAACTTCCTTTGCCCTTTCACTGATGCCGTTTGCTACATGTAGATTGCTTTCTCCCCCAAAGTATGTGTCCAAAACATGGCTTGGGCTGTATAAAAGACCATCTGTGTTCCCTTTAAGGGTGTAGAACCTGGTAAAACCAGTCAGTATATGGAAGATCCGTAGCCTTTCGAGGCGCTGAATCCTCTGGATGTGATATTGAGCATGGAGAACCTGAAGTATCCTCAGGAATACAATGGGTCAAATGCTCCTCGTGATCAGGAATCTGGGCCGTTCCTTCGGTATTGGGAGATAGAAGCAATGCGGCTTCCTGTTGTAGGCTTCGTGCCCGGCTGACCGTTTTCCTGGGGGCAATGGGCCTCGTGACCACCCCAACTTCGGGGTCGGCACTCCCTCCTCGGGGTTGTTATTACCACTCACTCGCGTCTTCTCTTTTTCTTCTCCCTAACCACCATCTCATCGTCATCATCGTATTCATCTTTCACCATCATCTTTGACCATCTATCTCATCAGATTTCAGACAAGATGAAGAAACAAAGCCAAGGTTAGTGGTCTTTCTCTCTTTTCTTCCAGTTCCCCTCATGTTTGGCGCCTTTCGTCCGACGCAGGTCTCCATGGGATTGACTCTGTGCCTCTGAGGAATTGGGTCTTCTCCATTGACATGAAGGCTTCCTATGTGGAACTGGCTTTGGTCCATCTGGATCACCGTCTCTTCTCTGGGATTGTCTCTGTGTCTCTGGGGACTGTGCCATCCTTTGTTGGTATCAGGTCTCGCCTGTGGATTGACAGTGCACCTCTGAAGAACTTGGTCTGCCTCTTTGGCATTAGGACTTCCCCTATGGGCCTAGATCTGATTCATTGGAATATGATCTCTTCCCTGGGATAGCTTCTATGCCTCTGGAGATTGGGCCTCTTTCTCTTTGGCACCAGGAATCTATGGCACTGGGCTTGATTCGTGAGCACTGAATCCTTTCCATGGGATACAATATCTCCATGTCTGTGAAACTGGTCTATGCTTGAGTGTTCATCCATAGTATATGGGTCTTTGCCTAAAGTATCAGCACTGTGAACAAACAGAAGGATGTTCTTTGCCTACAGAGCAAGCTTCAGCAAAAGGCCACAGAGAATAACACTCAGAGTCATGGGAGATATCAATCAGTCTAGCTTCACATGGTCCTGCTGATTGGGCTCAGTCTCAGTTTACTTGAAGACATGATAAGGATATTCACTGACCTTTGGTTTCATAGATTTCGAATCGGAAGCTCCCCGTGGCCGTACTGGGCGCCCTGATACACCCCAGTCGTCCTCTAGTTTCGTTACGGCCTTTACCTCACAGGACGAAGATGATATGTGCAATCCCGCGGGGTCTACAAGTTCGGATGAGAGGGTTGTTCCTGCGGTCCGGGTTGCGGCTGCGCCTGCCAACGAGCGGAAGGCTCGCGTGCCTGGGAAGGTGACTTTCCAAGAGAGTCGCTCTCAGTCGGTGGGGCATGACCCCAAGCGCAACGCTTTCGCTTCTTGCACTCCCCTGGCTGATCGCGTTCCCTTGACTTCTCGCCCTCCTTTCTCTTCTCGCCTTGCACCTCCTCCTCTTCCCTCCATTCTGAAGAAGTCAACTGTTCGCTCCTTTTCGGCTCCTCCATCTCCACCAAAGATGGAAAACATCGACAAGTCTCCGACGGAGGGAGGTCTCAACAAGCCACTCCCAATGTCGCCAACCAGCGAGTCCACCCCTCGCACTCCTGCTGCTGTCGCGTCTGCTGCCCCTCGCACTCCTGGTGCGTCTTCTGCTTCCCGCACTCCTGGTGCGGCTTCTGCTTCTCGCACTCCTGGTGCGTCTTCTGCCCCTCGCACTCCTAGTGCGTCTTCTACTTCTCGCACCACTGGTGCTCTCATGTCTTCCGCTTCCCGCACTTCTGGTGCGTCTTCTGCTCCTCGCACCCCTGGTGCGCCTTCTGCTTCCCGCACTTCTGGTGCGTCTTCTGCTTCTCGCACCCCTGGTGCTCTCATGTCTTCCGCTCCTCGCACTCCTGGTGCTGCCATGTCTTCCGCTCCTCGCACTCCTGGTGCGCCTTCCACCTCCCGCACTCCTAGTGCGTCTTCTGCCCTTCCCACTCCCGGTGCTGTCGTGTCTTCCGCTCCTTGGGCTCCTGGTGCTGTCGCATCTTCCGTGTCTTCCGCCTCTGCTGCCTCCACCAAGGATGGCATGCATCCTCACCCCCAGCACGCTGGCATTGCCGGCTCCACTACCCCTCGTCGTTCCAGCTTGACGATGAGTGAGCTCCCAGAGGCTGTCAAGTCTCTGCAACAAAAGTACGAGTCCGATCTTGAGCGACTCGAGAAGAAGATGGAGGACATCGCTCGCCTCGACAAGAAGCTCGATGACTTTGCTGGCTGGGTTCAGAACCAGCTCGGAGAACAAGTCATGCAACACTCCGAATTGGCCCAGGGCCACGCGGAGTTGGGCTCCAAGCATAACCAGCAGGGTTACAATTTGGCAGCAGCGATTCTCAACATCAAGCACGAGCTCAAGCATGACATTCGTGACTTGCGGACCGATCTCGACGGACTGAGCACATCCTACAAGGAGCTCAATGAGAAAGTCGACATCTGCATTGCTGGACTTTGGGATAGCACCAATGAGCCCTTCGTCGCCTTCCAACGACGAAAGAATGAATCCGTGGAGAAAGACCTTGAGATTCTTGAGAGCGAGATCAGCCACCTGAAAGATGACAACCGCAACTTGACGCGGCTACTGGTTCGTGTTCGCATGGGACTCACCCTTCTTGACCCATCAAACAGCCTCAGCTACGAACTTGTCTCTCCTGACGCTCTTCCACCCGCGACTCCTACTGGTCGTGAGCGCATTGCCGTTGTTCCCACTGTCCCCGCTGGAACCAGTGCCCCTGCTGGTTCCGGAACTACTACATCTCCTGGCACGACTTCTGGAAAGCAGACATCCATTCCTCGCCGAGCTAAGCAGTCGCTTGCTAAGAAGATGTCAACCGCACAGCTGTCGGGTAACAAGGATGGCTCCAAGAAGCAGACTGGAGCCTCCCCGAAAAACACAGCAGGCTCTTCGGATAGCAAGTCAAAGCAGAGCCCCGGGGATAAGCAGGACTCATCTGCTGACGGAAACAAGCGTCGAGCTGGCTTGTTCGGAACCCGCCGTCGTCGGGATGACAGTGTCTCATCCAACAGCAGTGGCAAAGGTGCCCGGTCGTCCCTCCAAGGAAAGGAGGCAGAAGGAATCCCCCCCGTGCCCGCCATCCCCCAGAATCTTGCTCGTGGAGCTAGCGATGCTTCCACTACCTCACGCTTCCCTGCGGCTGTGGCCCACCCCGTGCACGGGGAGCCACAGTCCCTCGCCGACATCCACCCACTCCTGCGTGAGGAGTACCGCGACCGCTTCCCCGACGAGGATGATTCCGACGTCACCCCAACTCCAACAGTTGTGGGTGATGAGAAGAAGACCAGCGAGGGGCCCGCTGGGAGTGGCCCAGCCGCCAAGGATAGTGTTCGCAAGTAAGCGAACACTATATTTTCTTGATATCGACACTCTGGACGCAAAAAATCAAAAAAATCAAAAAAAAATTTAAAACCAAGGGGCAAAACAGAGGAAAAAAAGGTGAAAACCAACAAACCAACAAAAAAAAGTACCAACTCTCACCTCTCTGTCGGATTTGATTTTGCGAACCCTCACTTCGGGGTTGGATCTTGTTGAATTTGGTCCCCTACGGGGGACCGTGTGTATGAATTATGTTGATGATTATGTTTGACTTGTGAATATGATATTTGTTTGATTACAATTACAACAGTATGAGTAGGACGCGTAGCTGAATGTGCATGTAATATTATTCACGAAGACTGTATTTACTTAGAAGCAGACATCATCTTTTCAATATCCACTGCCGCCTCCCGCACCTGGGGACAGTAGTGCAGACGCAACAGCTCACCTTCCCACACCGAGCCAGCAAAGACATTGGTGGCTTCAACATCAGCGGCAAAGGCATTGAATACACCATCACCCTTGCGCTCGTCTGTGTGCCAAAGGGAACAGATACGACGGGCATGGTGTTTTGAGACCTGGTTCATGAGCGCCAGTGTGGCAAGAGCAGACTTCTCCGGCAACTGGAGGGAACTTGTCAACAGACGCTTGGAGAAACTCGCAAGTCGGCTTGGGGGTGGGTTGCCATGTGCACGGGATAGCAGAGTTGGCTGCAGACAACGGAGGAGGAGAACCATTGGAGTCTGGAAGTTGACCCTGTTCCTTGAACGGGACTGGGCGAGCTGGTTGCCGTCTGAGGAGAAGTTGGGGTCTGCGAGGCGAAGGGATGTATCGGGGTTGAATTCGACGTCTGGGTTCATGGAGAGGGAATAGAGGGATCGGTACAGGTGCTTGATGAAGAAGTTCAGGTCGAGGTGGAGACCTGCTGCGGCTTTGCTGGCTTCTTGGCCTTCTAGCAGGGCGAATGCAGTCACGGTGCAGAGCAGCGTCCTCCGGCGAGCATCCCGGGCTGCGCTTTCGGCAATTGTGACGTTGTTTTCCTCTTCCTCATCTTCCTCATTGACGACTTCCTCATCGCCTTCCTCGCCCATTTCCTCGCGCTCTGCGTGATTGATCAAATCTTTCAGGGCCTCGAGCAAATCGCCGAAGAAGTCCTGGTTAATAAGATGGGCATACTTTGCCAGACCCTCCAGCACAGGACCCATCAATGAAGGAATGCGGAGCTTGAGAATGCGGAAATAGAGACCGAAGACAAGCTTTAGTGTTTCGGCCTGGTTCTTGTCTCTCTGTTCGTGTGATACGATGGCATCTGCTTGTCTCATATCCTTTTCGACTTCCTTGCGCTCCTTGTGGACCTTGCGCTCTCGCTTCGTGCGGAATTCCCGCTTTTGCTTTTGCTTCTTTCCAATGGGGGTTTCTTCCTCTTCTTTATCCACTCTGTTTTGTGAGCCCTTCAAGTGGAACTCGCCGAGCAAACGGAGATGAAGGAAAGTGTCCAAGACACTGGGGTGAATGTGGAAGTCTCTGGCCTTCAGCATCTTCGCAAGCAGACGAACAGCTTCGAGGGAAACGGTTCCATCATCGTCCTTTGCGAAAACATCCTCCAAGGTATCGCGACACTTGACATAGTCCGCATCGGGCTGTCTCCGTGCCAGACGGTTGACCAGGATCTTCAGAAGCTCACTGCGGAAGTTGAAATGTGGCACGGCCAATAGCATAGTGCAAGCCATCGAAATTGCGAAGCTCTTGAGTCCAGCATCGGTGGGACCGTCAGCTTTGGATGGCTTTGCGAGATCCCCTAGCTTCTGGACATATGCCCGATAGCCGTGCACAAGGGACTGTTCGAAATCTCTGAGCTTGCGGACGTCCTTGGACACTCTGCCTGTCTGATCCTCCTCGCTCAATGGACGAATGCGGTAGCCGGGAATGATATCCTTGTAAATAGCCGCCTGTGAGGCCAAAGCCAGCTTCTTAACTGTGATGGGGGTGTTTTTCTTCGACACCATCTCGGCCATTGTCTTGAACAGAGAGATGTGTTCTTCGGGATCCTCGTTGATCAAGGTTGCCATTTTCGCCAGGTCCTCCTTTGCCTGCAGGATTTGTACCTTTATAGGAATCTTAGGCGCTTCCTCCTCGGATTCCTCTCCGTCCTCGCCCTCACCCTCGGAACCATCCTCGTCTTCGTCATCATCGGTGCCCAAGAAGCTGTCGGTTTCCTCGCCTTGATCTTCGACTTTAGTTTCGGCCTGGACGAAGCCCTCGGAGGTCTTGATTGGCAATCGTGCACTCTCGCCGAGTTTCTTGGTGGTTTTGCGCGGGCGCTGTTCGTAGTCTTGCTCGACATCCCATTCTGAGTTGGCCTTGGAGCGCGAAGAAGAGTCCTCAACATCCGCTGGAGGACTCAATCGTCGGCGCTTCACTTCTGGACCACGTGCCATTTTGCAATTGTATATTTTGGGTGGTTGACAATTATGTTCGCAGCGAAGAGTAAAAGATCTTTAGAGTAAAAAGGCGGTCCCGAAAATTCTAGGCGGACAGACAAGCATGGCTCTGATTGGTTGTTATGGCCCGTCCTACTGCTATAATTTTCAGGTCCGTTCGTCGGCGGTGAGATATTGCCCGACTTTGGTTTTTTTCTGGTTCCTCACTTCTCAACAGCACAAGCTTCTTGCTATCGACAATATGAGATCCCTCACAGAAGTGCGTACTCTTGAAATTGATGATCTCTGCCTTTACTGACTCAATGGCCTTTTTAGGAAGAAACCCGCACGCTCTTCACGAAGCTCGCTGCCTATACCGGCCGCAGTCTCAATACCCTCATTGCCCCCGCCGAGGATGGATCCCAGAGTGTTTTCCGTCTGCAGGGATCGCGCGTCTATTATGTCGATAAGAGCATCGCAAATTTGAGTGTCTCGTTCCCTCGCGACGCTCTCCTGTCCATGGGAACCATGGTGGGCAAGTTCACAAAGGTATCATAAACTCTCTGGGACTTGTGTCCAGGATATTTGCCAATTGAGTCGCGGAGGCTAACATGCTGGCAGACGGGCAAGTTCCGCATCAACCTGACAGCCCTGGATCTCTTGGCCCAGCACGCTCGCTACAAGGTATGTATCAATTTGAGCATTTCAATGCGACAGTATGCTAATTCATTATCTGCGAAATAGGTCTGGATTAAGGACAACGGAGTTATGGTAAACTTATATCTCAATTTCCGATAGGATCTTCTGAGTTTTGCTAACATAATTTAGCCTCTGCTCTATGGCGGTTCAGTTTTGGTAAGCTTTTCTCCTGCCTTCCGATAGGATACTGTGCATCTTGCTAACGACCCCCCAGAAAGCCCACATTTCGCGTTGGAGTGACGAGACTCCCGATAACACCGGAGTCGTCATCATGTCATCTAATGATGTCCCCTTGGGCTTCGGAGTGACTGCTAGATCGAGCACTCAAAGTCAAAAATTAGAACCTACCAGTATCGTCGTCCACCGTCAGGTAACTAAGGCTTCGCTCCCGGTTTCAACTTGCATTTGCTAACATGAATTATTAGGCGGATACTGGAGAGTACCTGAGAGAGGTTGGTTGAGCCTGTTATTGATATTGTCTATACTAAATTACTAACACGTTTCTTAGGAGGATACCTTGTTCACTACCTAAGCAACATTCAAACATGAAACCGAATATCACATGTTTGTACATTGAAGAAGGCGTTTGGGAGTTTTATCTGATCTATTCGATCTTACAAAAGTTGACTGTACTTTCTACCATCGAATACTGCTTCTAATGTCATGAATTGATGGCAAATATTGATCGACATCACTGTGATGGCTCCCATATGAAATACACGGCAATCAACAATCAACATCCATTTAAAGAAATGCGCTTCTTGTAATATCAAGCCATTGTAGAGTCCAGAACATGGAGACTGTGTTATAGACTTATAGTTGCTATAAAGTGGACTTGCGATTGTCGGTCTCCACGGCCGAGCCAGAGCCATGCTGAGTCAGCATGTCTGGATCCGATCCAACTGGGGCAAGCCCGCGAGGATAACTCACTACAGATCCCATAGCCGAAGTGTACGGAGTAGGTCCTAAGGCAAGAAGAACCTATCCGTCTTAGTCCATCAGGCCGAGCTATCCTCTGCATCCCCCGTGGTCCGGGCCTTTGCTGCATCCCCGACACAGTAGGCACCATTGCCAAACCCCCACCATGCCACCCTACACAAGCAACCAGAAACAGCAAATCGCTGAGTTTGTCAACTGCACACGAACAAAAGACTCTGTGGCTTCTAAAGTAAGGGATTCCCAGAATCCCCCATTTATGCTTGCATCGCTCCGTTCGTTTGAACGTCTTAGGCACTTCGGTCCCGTCACGTGCAGCCGTCTAACTTGCTACCATAGTTCCTTAAAGCAAATGATTGGAACTTGGCCATGGCGGTTGAAAAGTAAGCTTGTCGTTTTGTTTGCGTCAAACGCGTTGCCATGTTTCTTCTTGGCTTTTGTCTCCAATCTCCACCCATCGGTGCCCCCCATTGAGCTCACGGTGGCGGACAGAGGATCAAGACTTACAGTATCTACTCCTCTCTTTGCATGACTGTCTTCGGCTTGAACACATCTCATTCCTTGCCATCTTGTTTATGATCCAGATGGCTCGAACTAAGAAAACCGGGAAGAAGTGCTTACCATTCCCTCTTACTACAACCCTCTTCCAATCACGACATACCTATCTGTCCCCCTTCTGTTGATTTCACATACGGATCACGCTCAAGACACCCTCTAAAGCTAACCGTAACGTCTCTTAGTTACTTCACCGCCGAGAGTGCCACCAAGAAAGTCATAACCTCACCACTCACAAAGCTCTTCGAAAGCTACCGAGGTACCTAATAGCTTTGACCAACCCACTGATGCTGAAGACACTAACCCATCCCCAGATGACCCAATTGAAAGCCCGGATACCATTGGTCTCACTCGAGCAATCGATTTCCTCCAGGATCTCAACGTCGAGCTAGACGAAGTAACCTGCCTAGCCATGGCGGAGCTTCTGCAATCCCCTTCAATGGGTGAATTCACCCGCGAGGGATTCACAAAAGGATGGCTGAAAGTCGGGTAAGTCCAGAATCCTAAATCTTCCCTTCAATCCCAACCCTACTCTCCACAACACCACATCCAATCCAACCTGACAATCCCCACCAGCTGCGACAATATCCCCAAAATGCAAGAATACGCCAAGGCCCTGCGGTCCAGGATCCCCCGGGAACCAGCCACTTTCCGCCGAGTCTACAGGTATACATTCCCGCTCTCACGGATGGAAGGACAGCGCAACCTGCAGTTCGAAATTGCCTCTGAGCAATGGCAGCTCTTCTTCACGACTGATCACGGCGGTGTGGCGTGGAACACGGAGACGACGCCTTGGCTGGATTGGTGGATTGAGTTCCTCGAAGAGCGCGGCAAGCGGCCTGTTAACAAGGACTTGTGGGAGCAGGTTGAGGTGTTTATGCGGAAGAGCTTGGAGGATGAGGAGATGGGCTGGTGGAGTCCTGATGGGGCTTGGCCTGGTACGCTGGATGATTTTGTTCCTTGGGTGCAGGCTAAAAGGGGGAAGGGATCTGAGATGGAGGTTGAGTAGGTCTTCAGGGATGGTCTGAGGGATCCATTTCTTTTTAGATCCACATCGGCTGGGGCATGGCTTGTATGTCATGCATATCTATCTCCTCGAGGGTATCCATATTCACATGTACCTTGACCACGTGTATGCACGTAGTTGTGGGTCTCGGATTCTCTGCAATCATGGCTGAATCCACAATGACGCTAAACCGCCGATTTCCATGTTAATGGAGGTTGTGTTTCATTTACTGCATTCTTCTATCCTGACTTGTGTGTAGATCTCTAGGAGGATAGCTGGACAGAGACAGAAGCAATGACGTGACTAGCTCAAAATGAGAAAATTATGTATCATACTGATCTGCAAAGGTTGGGATTGAAATAAAAATAGAGATATAAAGCCATTCATCGTGAGGTTGAGTGAAAACATCAGGGGGGAAATATCTGCGGCATGCCAAAGTGCACGATGGGTGTGTACATGGATTGATATCAACACCGGAGAATAATAAACAAAGGAAAATATTAATCAGGGACTGCAAGCAAGCGGGATACGGAAGACATAAGTCCTCGGTGTCTTCCTGGCTTGCAGTCAATTGCAGACTGGGTCCATTTAAGGGTAGTCGCGCTTCTCGAAGGCGGGGTCGCGGCGCTGATCGTAACGCTGTTGAGTTGTTAGCCATAAGACGGCGACTGAAAATCAAGGAGGGCGATGACATACCTTGCGGAGAGCCTCCAGGCGCTTCTTCTTGGTGTGGGTGTTGACATAGGTACCGATGATGAAACCGATGATGTTGAAGAATGGCACCCACGCGTGCTCGGGCAGGAACTTCTGAGCGAAGGCCAAGGCCAGGGGCGAGGTGACCCAGCTGACCTTCATGACGGGCATGAAGCCAGCCTTAACGGTAGCGCGAACCTGGTGGATGGTGCGCGCACCGGCGATAACGGCCATAGAGCTCAGGTAGACGGTATTCTGGATGGGAGCGACCTGTAGGAAAATCGGGGATATTAGCGATCGCGCACGAGGAATCAGATGATCTGGACGAGAACACGTACGAGCAGATTGCTCATGAGAATCTGGAAAATCTTGGCCTTGAGACTTGTGCGGCCGGCGAAGATCCGCTGGAGAATACCGATGAGGAGGTGGCCGAGGGGCGCGCTGACGAACATGCCGTACAGTGACATCTTGGGGATGCGCGAGCTGAAGTAGTGGCCGTGCTTGCCGACATCGTGGGCGATCCATGAGGCCAGCAGTTCTTGCATACCGGAGAGCACACCGGAGGTGAGCATCTTCGTGCGCAACGGGTTCTTCTGGAGCTGGAGCAGGTAGGCCTAGACGATCCATTCCCCGAATCAGTGGGCGGTTCGATATTATTGGGGAGGGGGAACGGGGACTGCATACCTGGAGATAGCCCTTCGCGGACTTCCCACCGGTCAATCGCTCACCGACACGGTGTACGAGATCCTCGGATTTGCCATCGCCCGCGACAGTTGTGACGGCGCGGACGGCCTCTTCTTGGAACTTGACGGACATTGTGATAATCGGACTGTGGGGATCGGAAAGCAGAAGTCAGGAGAATTATTCGGATTCAGTGCCTAGGAAATAAGTAAATTAATATGTGATGGATGATATGGTGCTAAGTGGAGAGATCATGGGCAGACGATGGGGTGAGACCGTTTGTTTATGAAGTTGGGGGCCCGAGGGTGGCTGGGTTTGGACCTAGGAACTGCACAACCGAGGCTCCGTACTCACACAATTATATCCGGTTCTAATACCTGGGGGAATCTGAATTATTCAAGGGGCATAAAATATATCAGGGAAACTCCCGAGAGCCACTGGGGATGGCGGGTATATGAGCAACCGGTGGTCAGGTCGGCAGATGGATCCCCGGCGAGATCCATTGGCGGAGCTCATCGGAAACCCCCGACGCTTTTGATTTCAATCCGGGGGGGGGACGAAGCTATTCTTGAGATCTTCATGCTAGTCAATATGCTGTACGGAGTATGGAGTAGCTAGATAATCGCTATCCTTGCTTACAGACTAATAAGTTCCCACTCACGGCCGACATGCAAGTATTTACCCCTGGATGCTTAACCCCCCCAGGGCTTGGGTGGTCACGGGGTTTGGCAAAATCGCATTTTACACGACATCTCTAGATTCAGACGAGATAAATAGGGAATCATAGTCTTTCTAGATGAATTATGTGCAATATCGGATAGGCAACAACAATACTTGCCCCCGATAGGTCAATACCAGGACATAGACTCTGCATGAGACATGAATGAGAGGCAACCCTGCCACAACGTTTCTAGATGCTGTTTTCCGTACATGCTGAGGAGGCTTGCTCATAAATCGTGGGAAAATTAGTACATCAACATACGCTTATACCACCAATGCAGTCCCAGAACCTTCGATTCAGCTGGCTGGACCACACTCATGCTTGTCAGATATCGGTTAGATACTCAACATTTGAAACCACGCCGAGATATTCATGTCGGCAGCCCTGTGAGCAACAACTGGCCAACAGCAACTGGCCAACATGATGTAACTGAAACTTTAGCTTCAGTCTCCAAGAGATGATGAGCAGGATGCCTGGATATGCGAGTGGTCATGTCCTTAGGCTAGGTTGATCACACTAGCATGCTCACAACACAGCTCAATGTCATGTTGTTTTTCATGAGAATCTCTAGCCCTATATCCAGGCCACAAACGCAATACATTCAATCAGAAAGTGATATTGACATTCTCTCCCGCCGAATGGATCAATTTTGGATATTAGCAACCTTGAAAGTCGACAGCAATGTAATTTGCCTCGAATGGACAAAATAGTATGATGACCTAGTAGGTGCAACAGCCCCATCTATTCACAGGCTCCACGCCGGCGACTCATCGAGGATGCGATCGCGACGAATAGATCAGTACCCCAACTCGATCTATTCACATGCTCCACGCCGGCGAATCAGGCGATCCAGGACTCATCGACGATGTAATCGAAAGGAGATACAAAAGATGTCTCCCCCATATTTCTTTTTCATCCTTTCTCTCACTCCTCGATCTCTGCTTTGATCTCGTGCATGCATCGTATCAATTGTCATTTCCATTTATCTTCAACCACTCTGTGAATTGCCAAATAACGACGCTTTCTTAGGCTTCCCAGTGGCCTGCTGAAGCATCAAGCATTCATCTCACGTCTTGGCTCATTGGCATGCGCCGGCGAGACCTCATCTGCCCAAACCTTCTTACTCACATTCATCCCATCCATATCGGGATCAAGACATCCCGCCACATCACGCACCATGTCTTTGAGAAATTCAGACATCAAAGCGCCGCAGCAGTCCCGTCTGTTGGCCGAGCCACAGCCTCAAGGCCTGACAACATCCACCACGGAAGCCGACGTGGAGTCAGCAGAGTACTCTGGCCCTGTCATCGAGGCACAACCTCGAGAGACGGCATCGTCTAGCAAGGAAACCAAAATTGAAAATCAATCCTCACGTCTTCCGATCGACTCACAAGCTCAAAGCGCCACACCCAGTGAAAACATCGAATCGGACGCAACACAGCCTTCACTCGTTGCGATGCAGCCACAACCTCAAGTTGAAAGCGACAACCCTGAATTTGCATCAAGCCAGCACGACCCTGGACCGATAGACACTGAAGCTCCAACACATTCCGACGAGGAGAACATTCATGCAGATACTGCTGTCTTTTCAGTCTCTGGCAACCTTCTGACGTTGAGACATTCTCCGTCATTCGACAGCGATCATTCTCCATTTGCATCGAGCCATGACAGTCTCAATTTGCTTGATGAAGATGCTCCACCAATCCCGGGTGATTCTCATGGGTCCAACAACGATGAAGCAGCATTTGCTTCAAACGACAACAATTCTGAAGGATCGACAGATTCGGGAACAACTGTTTATGTGGACGCCGTTGCTTCTTTGAGTCTCGGTGTCTCCGATAACGTCCTGGCTTCGAGCAACGATCAAGCAGGGTTTGCATCGAGCTATGAAAGTTTCAATTTCATTGATCACAATGCTCCAGATCTTCCTGGGTCCAGCAACGACGAAGCAGGATTTGCTTCAAATGATAACAATTCGGAAGGATCGACAGCTTCGGACGAGACCACCATTTACATAGGCTTTGATGCTTCTTTAAGCCCCGATCTCTCTGGTGGCTTCGTGGCTCCAAGCAATGATCAAGGGGAATCCGCATCGAGCGACAACGGCTCAGGCCGGGAAGACACGGACGCTCTAACATCGGATGACACTATTCCTGATGACCAGCACGACTCGAGTACCGGATATGGGGACGGCGAGGGTGAAGGATCTGACGATGACCCAGCGAACATTGTGTGGCAGAGCTATGATGAAACCAACAGATGGTGGTACACATCAGACTCACGGCGCTATAAATGGGATGACTCGACTGCTTCAGACCACTCTCTCGCGGCACCGTTGGTCCCACCTCCGGTGCCCCAGATCATCATCACCCCGCCCGACCACCAGGTCCGGGTTTCGCTTCCCCCAATCGACTACGGTCGGTTGCGACCGAGGGGCAACCTGCCCCTCGTTGAGATCCTCCCAGCTTCCCGGAGAGTTCGCGGAGGGGCCCCTCCTGGCTTCGCTCCTGAGTCTTCACGTGCCGGTGAGGCCCGGGCCCGGGGCCTCAATCAAGGCTCATCTTCCAGTGAGCCCACTCCGAGGCTTTTTGGCCTCACAAGTGAGGAGGAGGTGAGCGAGATCGCTCACATCGAGGATGTCGGAGGATATGACTCCGACTCCTAAGTCAGGGGGAACGTTTCTTTGAGTCGGTCAGATAACAAATGTATGATTTTAAATCACTTCACGTCCAGGTAGTCTTTACCTTCGTAGACCCCTCCATAGACCCCTCCATAGAAACTTCCGGAATGATCCCAACCAACCCCAGAAGAAGGTCTGGAAGCCTTACTCTATGGACTCCGCTGTAGTCTTCTAGACCAGCAGCTAGTTGAACTTCTAGGCCCTGAGTTGGCACCGAGCGACATTCTGCAGGACCCTCATCGAGCCACACCTGTTATGGAATGCTTCTGCGACAGTTCTACAGAGTAACCCAAGGTCAGTTATGACACATCAGATTTCGATTACCTTCAACATGCATGACGTGTTTGCTGCCCGCATGGGAACCCATCAATTATCCAAGCCACCGGTGCGGAGTACCTACCTCCAGACCTTACTCCGTACATGTCCCCTAGCTTGCCACCCTGAACCCTGGACCAGTTATGAGACAGCCGGTACCGACACCGTCCAGGAATCGGCTTCCGCGCATTCTTGATAAAATGGGAGATCGCGTCTGAAAACCCGCTTTGTTGTGGTGAGTGCGATCGACACGCCCGGTTTCTTTACGTGTGCGCTATCTATACAGAAGAGTGGGTCACATACTATGCTAACGATTCAAGCCTTGACCTCCTACCTCATCGATAACCGAAGCAAATCGAACTGCATCGATTCGCAGATAAAGCGGTTGATTGAGCAAAACGTCGAGCAAAGCGTCAATAGCTCAGCGGGCGTCAACCCCCACCGCAAATCAGATATCGAGCCCCTAGCCTTACTCTCCATGTGATCGGGGCATTTGAAAAGCCCCTACCCTACCCACCATTCCAAAATATCCGGGTCAGCTGCTCTTCTCTGTATGGGACTTGCTTGTGCTTTTGTGAAAAGACGAGCCAAGGGGAAAATTGGGTTGCGAAAGCGAAGGGGGATTCCCACCGCAATTGAAAGGGCTGAATTGCATCTATCAAACGGCAAATCCACCGAAGATGGCTTCAAGTCCGGTCATTGACTTTCTGGTCACTGAATAACTTTCATAGCTCTAGCTCCCAAAGAACCACAAGGCCAGCAATTGGTCATATCTCTGCCTCACTCGCGTTTTTCGTCATGGCAGGTGGCCACTTGCAGCCGACCTGAGCCTTCGAATGTAGGTTTCTTAGAATCTTTCAACCACATTAACCGCCGGTCGGTGCCGCATCTTCTTGCAGCATTGATGCTGGAACTGTCATCTTTTCTCCAGTTAATCAGTCGCGGTATGATAGACTCTGGGCGGTATCGTCCAGTATCCACGGGTACAGATGGTATAGATCACTTAGACCATTGAGGTCCATGGTGAAGCGTCGAGCTACTCACTGATCGAATGAGTGGCAAGTCATCGATGTTGAACAGCTTTTTACAACATACGTACCAGTCATAGCCTACCTATGCACCTTTGGTTCTGTCTCTTTTTTTGTCCTCGAGGCTCTCGTTTAAACTTGAACAGAACGCTCCGGAGAAGGTGACGTCTTGGTATCTTTTTGGTCCTTCGCCCACTCGGAGTTCCTACACACATGGAGGGGCAATGTGTGGAGAGATGGAAGAGGTGGAGCAAGGCCACAATCAGGCCGTCAGGCCGTCAGGCAGCCAGGCAGCCACGGGCGAGCGGCATGTGAGAGACACACATGTGAGAGTCAATAGTCCTCAACAATTCCCCGACCAAATCAAACTCAGAGCCCGAGAAAAAAAAAATGGAATGAATATGAATGAGATTGTTATTCTAACACTGTACAAACCTACATTCATATGAAGTGGATATCCAATTCTCCTTCCAAAGTGGGCGATAACCCGGCCCGCGGATGTACTCCGTACTATGGCCAAAATGCGGGAGTAGCGTCGGAGATTAGATCGCCCAGTACCCTTCAGTCCCGAGCCTCGGTAGCGTTCCGCACTCATCCTCTATTTTATTCTCCTTTTCCAAGCTTCCAAGCTTCCTTGTACACATCATACACTATGTCTGACCCTGAACACCCTCCAGGTGTCCCTACCGACCATGCGGTGGGGAAAGCTTCCTCTGGGAGCTGCCCGAAGCGGCAGTTGTTAGCCGCCTTAACAACCACCGATGTAACAATCCGCCGACTAGATCTGTAAGAGTTGTCCCTCGGAACATAGGCTTTTTTTTGGGGATGAAAAAAAACTGCTAGGAAGTATTGATCAAGAACATCGTTGACCAGTTTCGCAGATTACTCTCCTCAGCAAGCGGACAAGAGCGGGTGTTAGCAACTGTCAACTATGTTGCCTCCATGCTGCACCATCTCACAGCATCAGCGCCCTGGATAGCATTACAAGCCCGGCTGGGGATCCTTGCACGATTGAGAGGCCGTGTCCCAACCAAAAACGTCACACCCGCGTCGTCAAACTCGAAATTCGCGGCCCTTTGCGCTCTAGCATCGGAAACGAGATATACCTTGCGACTGTTTGGGTTGCTTCCTCTATGGATTTGGGGGGCTGATACCCTCAAATCACCACCGGCGGACTCCATTCTGCATGCCCTCACCATCCTACAGGTTATCTCGAATGTGGGTTACCAGATTCTAGAGAACGTGGGCTACCTTGCTACCAAGGGTATCATCTCGAAACGTTGGGTGGATAAATATGGAGGCAGTGCCAAGTTTGATATGTGGAGTTGTCGGGGATGGCTCGGACACATTTTCCTCCAGTTCTTTGTGCTCTGGCGCCAGAGTGTGCTGCGCAGAAAGCGAGTTGCGGCCCAGCGAGCCGCTGCCGGCACGGTGGAGAATAAAGAGACCAAAGCGGAAGACAACGAAGCCCTGCGTTTGGAGATCCGGGCTTGGAGGAAGAGCTTGGTTAACAATGTTTTCTGGGCACCTTTGTGCTTGCATTGGTCTCTCGAGAAAGGAATTGGTATTCCTGCAAGCCTGTCAGGGGTTATGAGCTTCTGTGCCGGGGCTTGGAGTCTACATGACAGCTGGGCTGCAACTGCAAAGATCAAAGCATAGATTTTAGAGTGCTTGTGGTTTTTGTGGTTTTTTCATTCCTTTTTTTTTCATCTGTATCATTCTATTCTTGATTTCATATATATACCTATTGTTTATAGCACTCAAGGGCCTGTTTGATATTTGCATTGCACTTCCTCCCAATATCTCTCTGACTACCGGTTACATGTAACGTCTATAAATTGCAATGCCTAATCTTATTGATGGTGATACTGACTTCCCACTGGATTCTTCGTGTGTCGGGCACAGTTGGAAAGCACGCTGAGCACAGGATTCACACATAGCTATAACTTCCATAGATTCTGACGAGATCATTCAAATAAAAAGACATTATCGGGACATATGAGATATAATGCTCCAAAGCACACCGTTTATTTTAATCAGTCTATGTATTCCTTGAATATTTCTCGATCATCACGGGCCGATCCTAGTATGTAATGAAAGTACATGTATCTACCAACAAGTGAATATCTGCTATATTCGAAGCCTGCAGACCAGTGATTCTTTCTGAGCCTTGAGCACGCAATTTTTGATCCAGATTTTTCGGTTTCTACTTTTTCCTCCCTAGTCTGGCTCGCATGTTCTGACCTGTGCTATTCAACGGGTCATTGCCTAGGTAGTATAGAATGGCACCCGGTGTAGACAAGTTCTAAGCTGGAGAATGTTTTACTTATCCACTACCATGTAGCCTATGTAGTATAAAATGTTACTGATTGCTTAGAATATAATATGTGATCCTTCTAGCTCAGTAATCTTTTCTCTCTCTTTCCTTGCTACATTTGCAATCTTCAATCGACATTGCCTTGTAGTGGCCGGACCTGTGTTTGTTTTAGCCCTCTACTATGTACTGGTGAGAGCTTATTACTCCTTTGGGAACTATTTTCAGATACCCGGGTGGGTGTAGACTCAAAACATGTCAATGGTATATTAACCCGCAATCCAAACGTTATACGTGACCCTTGGCAAGCGATTAAGATGAGTCCACTTTGTAGATTGATATTTCCCCAGGCACTAAGGCTCCACATCGACTGAATTCCATGCGCTTCGTTGTGGCGGACAACGCGATGACATAAGCATGGCTTAAGTCATCATCACTCTGCTCCAGGGCTAAGGTAGGAAGCTCAACATCATCATTCCTGTTACCTACTTCCATCTCCACTTTGCCGTCAGACTCGCTCTTTGATTCTGATCTGTCGGTGCTTTCTTATTTTCTCTATTCACTTCTGGTTCTGTTTTAGAGCCATCCCTTCATCCGCCTGATTTTAGGCATTTGACACCTTTGTCCATTCAAGCTTGCTTCTATCCACGTCACACCTCAGATACCGCCATCATGTCTTCCGAGCCGGATCACACACACGACAAGAAGAGGGTCCAGCTTAAGTATGTTGGCTTTGAACATGTTAGATTGTCAAGTATGCTAATCGGATTCTAGGGACGGCTCGGGCGCTGAGAAGAAGGAGGTAAGAACAGGCTGCAGAACAGCTCACTGAACACGGAACTGACAAGAAACGCAGGAGCTTGATACCTCAACCGCTATCTTGAAGAAGAAGAAGAAGCCCAACTCTTTGATGTTAGTAGCTGATGGGAGATGTCTGTTCGGAGAGTACTCAGCTAATGCCTTTTATACAGTGTGACCGATGCCGTTAACGATGATAACTCGGTGATTGCCCTTTCGAACAACACCATGGAGACCCTCCAGCTTTTCCGTGGCGACACAGTCCTCGTGAAGGGCAAGAAGCGCAAGGACACGGTGCTGATCGTCCTGGCTGATGACGATCTCGATGACGGTAGCGCCCGCATCAACCGTGTTGTGCGCCACAATCTGCGCGTCAAGCACGGCGACATGATTACGGTGCACCCATGCCCCGATATCAAATACGTGAGTTGAGCATGTTCTCGTTTTGCCTTGACCAATTGGCTAATTCTATGTTTGCTACTCAGGCCAAGCGCATTGCTGTCCTTCCCATCGCCGATACAATTGAGGGTCTTACCGGCTCTCTCTTCGATGTTTACCTTGCTCCCTACTTCCGTGAGGCTTATCGACCAGTCCGCCAGGGTGACCTGTTCACAGTACGAGGTGGTATGAGACAAATCGAATTTAAGGTCGTGGAGGTTGATCCTCCCGAATACGGCATTGTTGCCCAGGACACAATTATTCACTGCGAGGGTGAGCCTATTCAACGAGAGGATGAGGAAGGTAACCTCAACGAGGTTGGCTACGACGATATTGGTGGATGCCGCAAGCAGATGGCTCAGATCCGTGAATTGGTCGAGCTGCCTCTCCGTCATCCTCAACTGTTCAAGTCCATCGGTATTAAGCCTCCACGTGGTATCCTTATGTACGGTCCTCCTGGTACCGGTAAGACCCTGATGGCTCGTGCTGTTGCCAACGAGACCGGTGCTTTCTTCTTCCTGATCAACGGCCCCGAGATTATGTCGAAGATGGCCGGTGAATCCGAGTCAAACTTGCGCAAGGCCTTTGAAGAGGCAGAGAAGAACTCTCCCGCCATTATCTTCATCGATGAGATCGATTCTATTGCCCCCAAGCGTGAGAAGACCAATGGTGAGGTCGAGCGCCGTGTTGTCTCCCAGCTGCTCACCCTCATGGACGGCATGAAGGCCCGTTCCAATGTTGTGGTCATGGCTGCTACCAACCGTCCCAACTCCATTGACCCTGCTCTCCGTCGTTTCGGTCGTTTCGATCGTGAGGTCGACATCGGTATTCCCGACCCAACTGGTCGTCTTGAGATCATGCAGATCCACACCAAGAACATGAAGCTTGGCGAGGATGTCGATCTCGAGACTATTGCCGCCGAGACCCACGGTTATGTCGGTTCCGATCTTGCCTCGCTCTGCTCTGAGGCTGCCATGCAGCAGATTCGTGAGAAGATGGATCTCATTGATCTCGATGAGGACACTATCGATGCCGAGGTCCTTGAGGCTCTGGGTGTCACTATGGAGAACTTCCGTTATGCCCTTGGTGTCTCCAACCCCTCCGCCCTCCGTGAGGTCGCTGTTGTCGAGGTTCCCAACGTTCGCTGGGACGACATTGGTGGTCTTGAGGAGGTTAAGCGCGAGCTTATTGAGAGTGTCCAGTACCCCGTGGACCATCCCGAGATGTTCCAGAAGTTCGGTCTCTCGCCTTCTCGTGGTGTCTTGTTCTATGGTCCTCCCGGTACTGGTAAGACTATGTTGGCCAAGGCCGTTGCCAACGAGTGTGCTGCCAACTTTATCTCCGTCAAGGGTCCTGAATTGCTGAGCATGTGGTTCGGTGAGTCTGAGAGCAACATCCGGGATATCTTCGACAAGGCCCGTGCTGCCGCTCCTTGCGTTGTGTTCCTTGATGAGTTGGACTCCATCGCCAAGTCTCGTGGTGGATCTGTTGGTGACGCTGGTGGTGCTTCTGACCGTGTTGTCAACCAACTGCTTACTGGTAAGTTTCCACTGTAAAATTTCCTTGCTTTCCGAATACCCACTAATGCATTAACAGAGATGGACGGCATGACCTCCAAGAAGAATGTCTTCGTCATTGGTGCTACTAACCGTCCCGAGCAGCTCGATGCCGCCCTGGTCCGTCCTGGTCGTCTTGACACTCTGGTCTACGTTCCCCTGCCCGACCAAGCTTCTCGTGAGGGTATCCTCAAGGCTCAGCTCCGCAAGACCCCTGTCGCCGGCGACGTCGACATTCCCTTTATTGCCAGCAAGACCCACGGCTTCTCCGGTGCCGATCTTGGCTTCGTGACACAGCGTGCCGTCAAGCTTGCCATCAAACAGGCTATTTCCGCCGACATCGACCGCCAAAAGGAGCGCGAGGCTGCCGGCGAGGACATCACTATGGGCGACGAGGATGAGGAGTTCGAGGACCCCGTACCCGAGCTCACCCGCGCTCACTTCGAGGAGGCCATGAAGTCTGCTCGCCGATCCGTCAGTGATGTTGAGATCCGCCGCTACGAGGCCTTCGCCCAAAGCTTGAAGAACACCGGAGGCGGCAGCTTCTTCCGCTTCCCTTCCGCAGGCGAAGTCCAAGAGAATGACACCTTTGGCGAAGCCGGCAATGACGACAGCCTCTACGATTAAACGCTTTGCTCCGAGGTGATATGACTTGTTTTTCCTTAGTTCGGCCATGCCCGGGTTTACACGCTCGAATCTGCTGAAGATAGATCGTGAGATGCGGGCCTGATTACTGGGCTTTCTGGGGTTCTTTTTCCGATTTGATTCTTCCTGTTTTTGCCCACATACAATGTGTCATAATAGCCAATACAGGTGGAGAAATTTCTACGTTCAGCCGTTTTCTTGTAGAGTACTTTGTCTTATGGGTTTATAGGCTTATGATTTCGATGACCGTCCTTGTCTTTGCCCGCCGATTGTAACAATGCTGATGGTAGGATCGCGGTTGCCACCGCCTCCCGGATGGATCGCCTACTGAGCGATCCTGAGCTGTTTCCTGAGGCATTGCTCTCACCCCGATGAAGTCCTTCTGTTACTACTCTGCCAGTAACTGTGCTGCCTACGTGTATTCTAGTAGTGTTCCTAAGAGATTCCCCAGTGGAGTACCACGAGGCGCGCCCGCCACGCCGAAAGAGAGCACCGGCGAGGTTCAACCCCCGTCCAAGGAACCGACATCACTATAAAGAAGGGGTCTCATGATATAACTTCTACAAGACCAGAAGCAAGGGAAGAAGAAACAGATCTCACCAAGGAATTAACGCAAGGGTACGTTGTCCGAAAAACTACAACAAAAAGTTGGGGTTGGTGCCTGAACCCCGAGGCCAGACTATACTTCCCATAGGGTAAAGTTGAGTGACGTTCTTCATCAACCTCGATACAAAAGGGTATACTGAAACCTTGACTCAATTGCCAATGGACTCCTAATTCGCTTATTTGCATGATACCTAGATGTCTTGTTGGGTTCGTGTTTGGATGGTCAGATGACCATCCTCTGTTTGTCTCCCTGATCTCTTCCTAGTCTTCCTCCTTCTTCCATAGCATCATCCAGAGAGACTGTGTTTTCCCAGATCTGCCTTCCTGTGTAGATCTCTGACAGTTCGTCAAAACCTGAAAATAGACCTAAATCATGTTCGTATTCCCCAGATCTCTCATTCTTCCACTTGCTACACTCCTTATTTTAGCTTTAGGAACCGACGCCACCTATGCAGACGACATTCATAGCTATGCTAACTTCGTCTACAATTGCCGAACGTGTCTGGCACGTCATAAGAGCTGGGAGCAAGCTAGCTAATAGGCCATTCTCTGTATTCGCCTGTTCTTACCGTCATCTGACTTCCAAATCATGGCGTCACAGGGATATCTGCCGGTTCTAGGTAATCTAATACGAGTCTCGTTGAGGCAAAACATGGCCAAGTGATATATAAGTCCGCTGTCAATCACCTCTCCTGGGAAGATTGTTTCCTCCAAAGACAATCAATCTTCATCCAGCTCAGTAACCATCTTATTTCGAAATATCTCCTAGTTTGGAATTATAAAATCACCACTTACCATGTCCAATTTCATGCACAAGGTCAAGGAAGCAATGACCGGTCATCATAAGGATACATCTGAAGCCCACGACATCCGAGCCCACCAAGATGACCATGGATCCTCCAATCTCTGCAGCACAGAATCAAATCCGGACAAGTACAACTCGTCTAGCATGAATCCATCTTCCGGAATGAGCTCTAACAATCCCCACGGCGCTGGCTCAACCGGCATGAATGCCGGTCCTCACGATTCAAAGATGGCAAACAAGATGGACCCTCGTGTAGATAGTGACATGGGTAAGCCGAGCTATATTTCCCTATGATCCAGAAAAGCCAGTCCAAGACATGTATACACAGATCACCGCGCTCAATACTCCGGAGCCACCAACCCCCAATCGTCCAGCAATGCTCCTAGCAACATGACCCCCCACGGACAGTCACCCACCCAAGGCGTTGACAATCATATGTCCAGCAAAGACGATTATCACAAGTCAACACAGGAGAACAAGTCCCAGTCCCGAACCTCCGATAACTATGACGGCCAATGGAGTAGCGAGCAAAGTCATGAAACCTCTATGCAAGAGCACAAGTCTCACTCAGCTACCAGCCATGCCATGCCATGTCAGACTGATATCCAGAACGAGCTGGGCTTGGATAATCGTGCTGCAGGGACGAGATTCGGTGGTAATGCCGATGGCGGTAGTAGCAACATGATGGATGCTGGACAGCGTTCTGGTGCTCGGAATGCGGATCCTATGAATAAACTTGATCCTAGAGTGGCCCGATCGAATGAGCAAGCGGGTTTCGCTGATCAGCGGGGTGGATACTAGGTCGGTCTTTTTTTGGAATTGTGTTTTATGATCTGGTGGATGTTATTTTTTCTGTACTGGTACTATGAGAATGAATAGCACTGAATCTTTTTTTTTCTACTTTGTGATTTCCGAACGATGAGTGTCCGATCCTTTGAAGACGTAAGAAGTTTAGGTAGATTCCACCATGGATGAGCTCCCTAGTTATGATGTGGAGAAGGTATAGATAATCTTCCGTATCATCACGGGTCTGGCCTGTTTATTAGGGACTTCATCTATCCAACGGATCAGTAAGATCATGCTGTCGTTCAGTCCCTTGATAGACTTAGAGCAAAGAAGGCAGAAAGAAAAAAAAAAGGACTAGTTTCCATCCCATTAACCATGAGTTTCAGCCTCATGAACTCAAACTGTCGGACTCAGGTTTGACAAATACTTTGAGCGGCGTTGGAACATCGTATTCGTCTAGGTATAGCGTATTCCAAAAGAAGGTCCCAAGCCCATGACGGTCATTGGCCCAGAAAGAAACGATACACTTGCCGAGAAGTTCTTGCCATGGAACTTTCATCCCAAGAGCCTTGCCTATCATGTCGCAATGAACTAGTAGTCGCCAGCAGTATGTGAGGTACTGAGCCAGTTCTTTGCGGTTCGATGGATGGAAGGGATCATGCGGCTCATTCAACCGTCGCACAGGCTCATACCCTGCAAGCTCTATGATGTCCAACACCAGCTCAGCCGGTAGGCCTTTCTCATATAAGATGCCCCGAACAAGCGCCGTGTCAGACACACCAGGCTGATGACCCGGTAACGTTTCATTCTCCAAAGTGAGGAATTCCTCGATGGGCACCCTCCCGTAATGGCCAGAGCGAGGAGGATATCCGATAGTTCGCATAGAATCATCGTCGATCCATCGTAGCCAGTGTGTATCTTTGACACTGGCATAACAGTATTCGCCTCCGAATTGGGTGTCGGCTATCCCGAAGAATTGCCGATGCGGATACGTGCTCACGTCTGATGCGTGTCCCGTGCCCGTGCATGTTCTCAGTGTATACTGGTAGAACTTGCTGTTGCGATAGTCTGTTTCGGGGGTTTTGCCGGACGCTTCGTCCCATGTCTTTGGGAAACAGTATACCATGTTCAGGCATATGTAGGCCCTGAGGGCCTTGATACAGACTTGGTCCCATCCGAGCTCCGGGGTCTGGGTAAGTCAGTATATGAGATCAATAGTACTTAGTTCTTAGACAACACATGCTCATGATATGACTATGAGGATGGGAAATTTGTGGACGGGACTTGGAGTTAAGCACACATTCAAGGGTCTTTTGGCTATGCAAAACTCACCTCACACATGCATTCTCTTTCACACCACCACTTCTCCAGATTGACTCCAGGAAGAGCACACACGCGCAGAATGGTGTCCATCTCCCCGTACAAAAGTAAAGTTTTCACCACTTCGAGGTTGTAGAAGGCTTCACCGTTGAGCTCGAAGAACTTGTAGCAATCTCTCGGGCCGAACGGTCGAAGGAAGGCAGACGCCTTTTTCTCTTCGTCTGGGATGGGTGTGCATCGGCACACATCTGTGGACTTCGCTACTTCGCAAATGCCACTGGGGCATTTACCTCTGCAGCCGTAGCTACGCCATCTGCGGACGGTAGGGCTTATTTTTTGAACAATTTCTGGGCCCAGGATGATATCTGTTGGATCGGCTGGTTCGTATGTTGCGGGATATTTCTTGCGCTCACATACCGAATGGTCATCGATGTTGCGAATAAAGGCTTCGATGAAATGAGTGATTTCTTTCCCTTGATTCGGTTTCATATTGGGGTACAGATTTGTGACTCTATGGGTACGACGGGAGGTCGTGCTCCAGTGGAAGTTTGAGGCCAGAAGACTCCATGGGATGTTATGTGCTTGGTGTGCCATCTTGTAATGTATAATCAGCCCAAGCAATATCGGAATGAAGAGTTTGCCGTAGTCAATTCTAGCGGGGGTCCCTTACTAAGATAGACTGCGCCCTCGGTTAGTTCCCAGCGCAACAGGCGACAGGCGATCACATTGGCGAGATCCCGCGTTAAAGGCACGCTTTGACATTGTCTTTTCGAGAGCCTGTTGCTGCCGCAAGTGCATCAATGAGCAATACAAGTTAGCTTTTTTGCCCTCTTTTTATCGCGAAATTAACGCATCGTTTCTCTAGCAACCATTCTTTTCTTTTCGAGGTCCACAGGTTTGAGATGCGCAAGCCAGGAACTGCAATAGGGTCAAGTCACGTGCATTCCCCCATATTTACTTCGGTAGCACTCCCTGAGTCCCTCCTCCCTCCAGTCCTTTGCCTCAGCACCACTGGTGACGCGCTTCGCACGATGTTCGGAAACGGTGATCATTGAGAAACCCTGAGTGCCGAATGCCGAAGCATAGTGATTTGAGAGCCTATCATTCGCACGTGAAGTTGGGACCGTGGTTTTGGTGAATCGGGGACTTTACCCTGGCGTCTAACGGTTCACCGGCAATTAGCGTTGTGGTGTAACACGGTTGTCCAATTTGGTGACTTCATCTCGACTGTTGGTTTCCCTTATTGGCAACACCCTCGGATATCTGTACGCACTACGGAGTACAGAGTACGGAGTACTCCGTACGCATGCCCTGATACCAACGGGACTTCCGCCAGACCATCAGCCGAGATCTCCACTTTGGATCGGGCCCGAAAGCGCAGAAGTGGGAACTATCGATCATTTCGCGATTTGACTGGTCCATGGCTACAAGCCATAGAGCCCGTGCTCTTGTCCAATGCTTGATTTGTATGGATGCATCTTCACGGCCACGCCCCGTCGATATCAAGACGACTACAGGGTATTCTTCGAGACGTACAACTAAAGATCTCAGTATGACGCCATGGTCTCGCTGGCATGAGGCGTAGCATCTGTACAACGAATCTTAGAAGACTATATAGACTGAGTGATCTGAATTGGGAATGGAAACACGTCTCGGGGTTAGGGGATACCTATCTCGGTTATAGTATAGGATTGGCCGAGACCGATCCTGGACGCCAGCGAATGAGATAGGTTGTCTAATGGATCATCATGAGCTTTGTGACAATCCTTTGGACACTCTGGAAGGGTCTGCGACGAGAGTGCAAAAATTAAATACTAAAAGAAAGGATATGGTTATATTGCGTGCCCTAACCTCCCTTCCCCCCATTGTTGACGTTCTATCTCAACGCAGTTTCCGTTGCACACGTACTTTCTTCAGATCCTCAAAACAATCATGAGCATCCATCTATTTGACTCAAACACCATAACCCCCTGCCTCAGTATGGATCAACGTGATCCTATCGAACTGAGCACTGAGATGATTCGGGATAAGGAAAGCGAAACGGACGTTGAACCTGCTAATGAACCTGCAAAAATGCCCGAGTCCAAAGATCCCAATCTTGTTGACTTCGACGGCCCAGCAGACCCCGCGAACCCTCAGAACTTCACCAATCTGCGCAAATGGATCATCACGTTGACGATGTCTTCTATGACCGCATGGATCGCCTTTGCGTCCAGTGTCTTTTCGGCTGCGACCAAGGTGACCGCGGAAAAATTCAATGTGTCTACTGAGGTCATGATTCTCGGTACTAGTCTGGTTGTGTTTGGTTTCGCGCTAGGTCCTCTGTTCTGGGCGCCTCTAAGTGAACTATACGGCCGTCGTATTCCGCTGTTCTCGGGTTATCTCATCTTCGCCATCTTCCAGATTCCCGTGGCAGTTGCGCAGAACGTTGAAACCATCCTGGTCTGCCGTTTTTTCGTTGGTCTCTTTGGCTGCTCGTCTTTGGCTGTCGTCGGCGGTGCTATGGCTGATATCTGGGATCCTGTGGATCGCGCAGTGGCTATTGCTATATTCAGCTCAGCTACTTTCCTGGGACCTGTTCTCGGTCCAATTGTGTGAGTAGTCATGTCTTTTCGGAACCTGGTGTAAAAGACCACTCTCGAAGGACATTCCCAAAACTAAACTTCTTGTCTTCAGTGGTGGATTCATCACAGATTCATACCTTGGTTGGCGCTGGACTGCATGGATTACCTTGATTGCATCCGGTACCATTGGTTTGATCGCCCTCTTCGTTATTCCCGAGACCTACGCCCCAGCCATTCTACAAAAGCGAGCTGCCCGTCTTCGCGTCGAGACGAACAACCAGGCCTTGTATTCCTTCTTGGATAAACACAAGCCCTCGATGTCTGACATCGTTACCAAGTACATATTCCGACCCCTGCAGATGCTCGTTCAAGAGCCAATTCTGCTCGCCATCACTTTGTACATCGCCTTGATCTACGGAATCCTCTATCTCTTCTTCGAGGCCTACCCAATCTCCTTCGGTGAAGTCCGGGGCTGGACTCACGAAGGCATAGCTGCCCTCCCATTCATCGGCCTTCTCATCGGCGTCATTATCGGTGTCTGCCTCGTCATCTACACCACAAAGACCCGGTTTGCACGCAAACTTGCAAAACACGGCAAAGTTGTGCCGGAAGAGCGTCTTGTGCCAATGATGGTCGCATCGGTGCTGCTGCCAATGGGTCTGTTCTGGTTCGGCTGGACTTCAAACCCACACATCTCATGGGTGCCGCAGGTCATTTCTGGTGTACCTATCGGTCTGGGTATCCTGGTTATCTTCATGCAGGGTCTGAACTATATCATCGATGTTTACATGATGTTCGCCAACTCCGCCATCGCGGCGAACACTCTTATCCGCTCTATAATCGGTGGTGCATTCCCTCTTTTTGCCACGCATATGTACCGGAATCTCGGTGTTAGCTGGGCAACTAGTGTGCTGGGCTTTGTAAGTGTGGCTATGGTTCCCATTCCGTTCTTGTTCTTCATCTTTGGTGCTAGGATCCGCGCTATGAGCAAGTTCAGCCCTAAGTTTTAGGCACTTCGATTTACTTCTTTCTCAATCCCAGAAGCATGGGTATTTGATCACATAGGAGTTCTGCATTTTTTCGTGCATTTTTATCGTGGTCAGCTATGGAGTCGGGAAGGATCTTCTTGAATAACGGTGAACACTCTTTTATTCCATAAGGAATTATCTTTATCAAATATTTTTGTTCTGCAAAATTGGCCAGCCTGCGAAAACGTATCGTATATCGTAGGGAATCGGTGGATCCTGGATTGCCTCCAGGGCTACATAGGAATAGGGAGGCCACGTGCTTTTCAAGCCCCGATTGATATCATAGGCTGCTATATCTGTGCACTAGACTAGTCAGAGAGTGGACACGAGTTCTGATATTTCTACTATGGAATCTCAGGAGTTGTCTTCGCCATTGTTTTGATCAAGTTGCACCATCTCAAGAGGATTGTCCGATGTACCTACATGTAACCATGGATATAGATTGTTGGCAGTGACGTATTTATGAAATAACCCCGCATTGTTTTGTTCAGGGCATCCTGGCACTAAAGACGCACAATCAAGGGGAGTATCTTGCCTTGAAAGAAGGCTTCTAAGCTAGGACCAACCGGTGTAAGCCTCGACCCCAGATAGTAGTAATCATCCGTATGAAAGTGAAACTGAAGCAAGATAGGTTATACAGGATCACATATAATGTGAATATACTGTCTTCCAGAACAAACTAGCCTTGTCAACTGGACCGTATGACATCTGTTGCACCAACTTTGTAGGGCAGGACGCGGTCCCGTGCGACGCGTCCTGGGCGGTCAACCTCCACCTAAACTCCCGCGTTGAAACTCTCCACCTCCCCAGTCCATGTGAGAACTGCGACCATCCACGATGCCTTCGCGCTCTCGCCCAGGTCCTCCCGAGGTCGAGGAAGACTCGGGGCTTCGAAGCCTGTCCTTCAATCAGCCGCTTTCATGGCGCGTGGGGCGATCTGCCATCCCCATTGCGGATCTCCTCGAACGTCTCCAGACGCTGGCGCAGGAGCTCCGCAAACTCGACCAGGAGGAAATTGATAAGGAATCGCTACGGAAGGTGTCTCAGGAACTCGCTAGTGGCAACTTGCTCGCCCATAAGGATAAGGGTGTCAGAGCCTGGGCCACGTGCTGCATCGTCGATGTATTGCGACTATGCGCACCTGACGCGCCTTTCACGCGCAATCAGCTTAAGGTGCGGGCAATTGAAGATACATGAATTATGTGTCTGATTTAGGCGATCGTAGAAAGAAGCTGACTGAGGCGGTATTAGGATATCTTCACATGTATCGTGTCCTCGATTATCCCCGCGCTGGCCGATCCATCCAACGCCTACAATGCGCAGCATATTTACGTTCTGGGATCGCTCGCTGAAGTCAAGAGTGTGGTTCTGATGGTTGACCTTGATCACCCGGACTCGCTCATTGTTCCGTTGTTCACGGGCTGCTTCGATATCGTTTCGGGATCTTCGAAGGCTTCCACCGGTGAGGAGGTGGCTAAGAATGTCGAGTTTGATATGACTCGAGTTCTTGTCACCGTGATCGATGAGTCGCTGGTTCTGTCCCCCGAGGTGGTGGACGTTATCGTCGCTCAGTTCCTCCGAGTCGATCCGCGAGTGATGGACAACTCCAACAAAAAGGGTAAGCGGCCAGACGCGCCACTCGATGCTAAGCAGGACACTCTTCTCTTGAAAGACTACCCCGCCGCTTATAACATGGCCAAGGCTATCTGCCAGGCCTGCCCGGAACGAATGACCAGCCACATCAGCCAGTACTTTAACAACGTCATCATCGATGCCTCCGTGCCGGCCGGTCACACAAATGGCTCCAAACATAGCCGGAAACCCAATCTCGAAGAATCCGATGAGGAGGGTGAGGATATCAAAGAACTGAGCAAGGCGCACCGTCTCATCCGTGAGCTTTGGCGTGCTTGCCCAGAGGTCCTGCAAAATGTCATTCCGCAGATTGAAGCAGAGTTGTCCGCAGAATCAGTGGCCTTGCGTTTATTAGCTACACAGACCATTGGAGACCTCGCAGCCGGAATTGGTGTTGCTGGTCCCCCACCACCTCCTCCCATGGACCCGACGACCTACCCGCCGGTGTCTCTAGTTGATTACGACAAGACAATTCCCCAGCCCAACATTCTATTGACTCCCGTGTCCCCCAAGCCCTTCTCGCAGGTTCATAACTCGGCCTATGAAGCCTTCCTCAGTCGTCGTCTCGATAAAACACCATCAGTTCGTGCTGCTTGGGTCACTGTTGTTGGCCGAATTCTTCTCACTTCAGCCGGAGGCTCAGGACTTCACGAAAGTGAAGAACGCAGTCTTGTCAGAAACCTTGCTTCGATGCTCCGCGATGTTGATGAGAAGGTTCGTGTGGCTGCGGTGGATACCGTCGGGCAATTTGGGCTATCTCAAATTGTTCACAAGCTGAGTGTGGATGGTGGTTGCTCCTCATCCGATTCAGTTCTTGCAATTCTTGCCGAGCGAGTGAAGGATCGCAAGCCACATGTTCGTGAACATGCCATGAAGATTTTGGCTCGCATGTGGGCAGTAGCTGCTGGTGACATCGAGCAAAATACCGAGCCTGTTGTATCCCTTCTCAAGGATGCACCATCTAAGATCTTTGATGCATTCTATACTAATGATCAAGAAATCCACGTTTTGATTGACCGGGTTTTGTTTGAAATCCTTCTACCACTTTCTTATCCCCCCATCAAATCGAAACTTACTCGAGGTGCCTCGAACCAATCACAGAAACAAAAGGAGAGCCACCCATCAGAACCCGAGCAAGAGACAGATGTTGACAAGATCCGTGTTCGTCGAATTCTCACCCTACTCCGAGGGTTGGATGAAAAGGCGAGACGAGTTTTCTTTGTTATGCTGGCCCGTCAATTGTCGATGAGGTCGGCTGTAACGCTCTATCTAGAGGCCTGTGAGAAGTACAATGGCGGCGTTGTCGACAAAGACGAAGAACAAGTTAAGACTAAACTGTCCAAGATTATTGAATCTTTATCCAAAACATTCCCAGATGCTTCGCGCGCATCAGCAGATCTGTGGAAGTTTGCCAAGGTGCATGATCGACGAAGCTATCAGTTAGTGCGTTTCTCCATGGCTGCTGTGAGTGATTATCGCACTGTGGTCAAGGCTACGAGAGAACTTCAACGGCGTGTTCAGACTGCAAACAACTCTCCTCTACTGGAAACTCTGACTCCTCTTATATATCGCTGCGGGTCTTTGATCTTCAACAGGAGCCACATCCCCGCGATTATGAGCCTTTCTCGGACAGATGAGAACGGATTGGCCAATGCTGCTCAGGAGATGTTGAAGCAAATATCTTCTCAGAATCCCGAAGTCCTTGAGGCACAGGTCCAAGAGATGTGCAAAGACCTCGAGGCCCAAGCCCCTAGCGCTTCTTCAACGGAAGATGCCGCCACTGATGATATCCTGAAGGCTTGTGCTGGCTTCGCTAAAAAGCTTCCTGCTAAACTCCCCAAAGAGCGCAAGTTCTTCCAGGCTCTGGCGAACTACGCTCTCTATAGTTCATCGCCGCATGCCGCAAAGCACGCTGTCTCGATTCTCATGGCTACTGCTGAACGAAAAGAGATGTATGCAACAGACCTGGTGCAGAAGTGTGTCAAAAATTGGACATACGGATCTGATCACTTCCTCACTCGTTTGGCTACTTTGTCTCAGCTCAATCTTCTTGCGCCAAGAGAAGCAGACGAAGAGAGCGATGCTATTATTTCGATTGCCATCAACCAGATCCTTCTTACCAATCGAAACCCCGAGCCAGATTCTGAATATACCTGGTCAGAAACGGTGGACGATGAGACAAAGGCTAAAGAATGGGCATTGAAGATTATTGTCAACCGCCTTCGAGCTAAGGATGGAGCAGATGATGAAGCGGATTTCCGTGCACATGCAAAGCCTGTCTACGAAACGCTGAACAAATTAGTGGTCGGTGAAGGCGAGATCTCTAAGAAGAAAGATACCCCTGCAGGCCAAAAATCGCGTCTGCGCCTCCTCGCTGCCAAGTCATTGCTCAAACTCTGCGCCTCCAGCACTGTCTGTGACGGTTTGCTGACGCCAGCCGATTTCAACACTGTTGCTTTAGTTGCCCAGGATCCAATCTTGCAGGTGCGAAGTGGATTTGTCAATCATCTGAAGAAGAAGCTTGTGCAAAAGTCACACCTTAGCCACCGATGGTACATTGTACCCTGTTTGCTTGCTTTTGAGCCTGTTCATAGTCTGAAAGAGAGCACCCTCACATGGCTACGATCCCGAGCGGCATACTTCGCTCAACAGGCACAAGCCAGTGGCAAACGGACAGAACAGACTATGGTCATGGAATTGATCTTCTCTCGTCTCTTGTCTTTGCTTGCCTATCACCCCGATTACCCATCTGAGGATTTGGATGAAGCAACAAAACTGGGTGATTTAACCGACTTCTCTCAATATATCCTCTTCTACCTTTCCGCAGTTGCCAATGAACATAACATGTCATTGATCTTCCACGTCGGACAACGCGTCAAGCAGTTCCGCGATGGCATCACCAGATCCGACGAGATCTCTACTCGCCTCCACACCCTATCTGATCTGGCTCAAGCGACCATTCGCCGTTTCGCAGATATCTACTCCCAACAACACAAATTCGGTGGTGCCGCCGGTGCAACCAACATCTTGCAAACCTATCCTGGAAAGATGGGCGTCCCCGGTTCCCTGTTCGCCTCGATGGGTAGCCACCGCCAAGCTCAGGACGTCGCCGACAAGAACTTCCTCCCAGATGAGTTGGATGATTTGCTAGACCGAGTCGTCCGAAATGCAATGAAGCCTAAAAATAACTCTGGACACGGTGCGCAGGGCGGGTCAATTAAAAAGCGAAAGCCAGAATCTGTCGATACCAACGGCAAGTCCCCTGCATCCAAAAAGCCGCGCAAGGAGAAGTCCTCTCGTCCTGCACGCAAATCCACATCATCGGTTGGTGCTAGCAAGCCGAAGCGGAAATCGAGGAACGATGATGGATGGTCTTCCGATGGAGGTGCCAAAAATGCCACACCTGCTGCTTCTCGTAGACGCAGCGGCAGAGGTGTTGCAAAGCAAGAAGTCAGCTATATCGACAATGATAGTGATGATGCCGACATGGAGATGGCAGAATGGGACAAACCTGATGAAAACGCCGAAGATACCGCCGAGGATGACGCAGAGGAAGAAAGTGAGAACGAAGTACAGGAAGAAGATGAGCAAGAGCAGGCCGAGGAAGAGCCCGAGATCAGCGAAAAGGAACCCACACCACCTCCAAAGAAACGAGGCGCAAAGGCCGCTGCTACGAAGAGCGAGGCAAAGAAACCCGAGGCAAAAAAGCCAACCAGCTTACCTTCGCGACGCTCCTCCCGTCGCGGATAAGCTTGCTCTGTATGAAAACACAAAACCAATCCCTGCCCTACGTGTGTTCATAGGTGGTCCATGTCTCAAATTTTCCAGAGTCACATCATCCACTGGCCAAACTTATTTATGAAATCTCTACGTCCGGGACGCAATGTCTCAATCCATCTTGCTCTCAGGTCCAAATATGTGCAAGTACTGGATTCTCGATATTCATATTCATATCCCATATTCATATCTTGATTCCCATGTTTATTTTTTTTTCTCCAAATCTTCGTCCCCGTTCCTCTCCATATCTCCGCCATGTGTTCTGTTTTGCAGTCTATGATGGTTTGAGATGTATACCCCCCCTACTTCTTTTCTTTACAAGTTTACATCGGTCCTCCTGGTTTCTTTTTATGAATGTCTCTTTGCGTATTTGCCGTCAGATATTTGCTTTTTTTTTCCTTATCTGTAAATGAACTGAGCTTTGTCTTTCATATTATCCTCTTGCTTTGTATATTCCTTGGTTTGCGGTGGTTTTGAGTGTAGATTCTTCTCAATGTAGTTGTCTATAGTTGAGTCTAATGGATCCAATGGTGTAAATGACGGTATACTAGCTTGTAGCTGATTTCTTCGAGGACAGTCCCACTGTTCCCAATTGATAGGCAAGTTTATACACTTGCTATTTGCAATACTTTGTCTTCTTGAAACACAGTCTGAGGTCAAATATTGTTTACGCATACAAACCAAGTTCAGTCTGATTTGCTGCACGTATTACTCTCCTTTTGAAGGTAAGGCATGAGGAGTCTATAGTTCTTCAAACATCCAATAGCAATGATTATGGGATTGGACTCGTTGTTGTGAAGATGATGCTACAGATAGCTCAGATAGAATCATGGGCAATGAATGCCATGAGGCCATTCCATAGGGGGAAAAAATAACTCATATTTACTAAAGTTCTTCCGTCTCTCAAACTGCTAATACACATGATCCAGTGAAGCAAACAAAAACATAAACACCTCGATGCAGAAACATCGAGCGCCAATAGAGATAAGAAAGGCGCATCGCTTCGCCCCGGCACTGAGAAACCAAACCCTATACAACACCGGTATGAATAGAATGTGTGAGAGAGATCTTGGTGATATTGAGAAACAGGTAGATAGAAATGATCAATTATGTCACAGAAAGGAACATAAGCGATCTGGAAGAGAGGTGGGAGTAATCACACAAGACGCCGTTGTCATCACTTCATAAAAGAAATTGACTATGGCTGAGGTCCAGTGGCAGGAGAGGGAGAGGCGTGTGTTGAAGTAGCCCCGAGGGCTGGGCTTGCGCGTGCCGGAGTACCAGCTCCAGGGGCTGGGCTGGCACTTGCGCTTCCATCGCCACCGGTTTTCGTGAGCCGTTCTTCGACCCGTTCTTTGTGTTGTCGGTTGCGGAGATGGACTTCGAAGTTGTCAACCGTCATGCCTGGACCGGGGGTATACAGCTTTCCGGGGCAATCATGGCAACGGATACGGGGGAGATATTGATATTTGATGTTTTGGCCGGCTTGGAGATTGTTGGGATTGGCAACGGGAGCCAGGGTTTCTGTATCAACGGCAGAATAACGCATCACACCTTCGAAGGAATCATTGGGGTGAGATTGTTTGAGCTTGCCGAGACCAGCTGCAAGCCAATTGGGTGGTGGGGGCTGCGGGGGTCAGCCAAAGGCCAGGAACGGGGTCAAAATCTACTCACTCCAGGGACACCAGGTTGCGGGGGATTCGGTGCATCAACAGCACCGGTTTGTTGGGGACGCGCTGGTGGATGAATCCGGGATTGCTTATCGGACGGAGGTGCCATCGTGCGGGATGCCTGTGCTGCGGTGGATTGGGCGGAGACGACACGCCTGCCGTTTCTCAATTCGACCAGCTTGTCACGCGGAATCTTCAGTCTCACTATCAACTTATCCGAGTCATCTACACTCTCCTCTCGGTATTGTTGTCTTCGGGCAGAAACGCGGGGCTCGTGATATACTGGTTCAGGAGTCGCAGATTGTCCCAGACTGGCCCGAAGGGCTGCATGAGCTGCGGATGCTGCGCCTCTCATGCCTCTTGTACGAGCAGTACCCTGTGCGAGGTTGGGTCCAATTGCAGGAGAGCCAACAGAGGAGTCATCGCTGTCAAACTCGTCAGAATCATCATCTCCCCGGTTTCCAGTCATTCCACGACGGCGACTGGAACCGGTACGCTTGATCACATTGCTCTCCTCCATGGAGCCCACGGAATTAGGTATCACAGATGAAACAATCATGGTACGGATAGTACGTTGGCGGTCCTTGAGATCTGGTAAAGCGGGGCCACCACGACGGTTGATTGATCGTTTCTGGCGACGTTGCTCACGCGATATTGAGATTTCGGTACGTTCAAGATCAGCCTCGTTGAGTTCGTAAAGATAAGGCGTATGCTCCTTGGCGGATTGATATGGTCGGAAGGCGGAAGCCACAGGGGTGGGAAGGAATGAGGCGTGAAGGTCTGGATCCTCGATTGGACGACCGTCGAATGGATGCGCCACAATGTACAAGGATTTGGTGAAAAGTTGAGACTGCTCGCGAATTGAGTGGGCGATGGCAGTAGTAAATTCGCCGGAGAGAGACAAATCGTCTGTCATACATAAGGCAAACTCCTCAGGAGAATTGTTGGGGTCGTTAATATCCCACTCGAACTGGTCAATGAGGGTGTGTTGACCAATGGTGATGTTGAGTTTGACCGAAATGCGCATTTCGTCATTTTTGTACGCGGTATAGGGTAACTGGGGGTCAAGAGCGTCTTCGTGTATGTTGAGATGCGGGTAATAGTCAATCACCTGCTCTTGGATGCTCTGGGAGATCATGCGTGTCAAAGGGACCGAGCTCTCTAGAGCAAGACCCAGGTCTTCAACTAGCTTCTCCGCGAAGAGATCTGGAGAAACAACACGATCATGGAGGTTCCATGTGAAAGTATCGCGAATCTTGACCTTTTCCCAATCAATGTCCAAGCGAATGGGGACCAGATCCTCCATCTGTTCGCTCTGCATTTTTGCGTCACGTCGTGAAACGCGCAATTCTCGTGTCTTTCGGTTACCTGGTCGGCGTCGATGAGTTGGGTAGAGAAGTTGAGGGTGTTGGTTGCGAAGGTCGGTACGAGGATTTCCGAACCCTTCATAGCCCACTCCATACAATGCAGCTGGGTTTAGCTGATTTTCGCGTCGTACTGCTAGATAGTAATCACGTTCCGCTCGCTTGTTCTTTTGTAATTCTTGGCTCGGATTGTGCCAGGCAGCCGCGGCCGAGTATTGAAATTCGCGATCAACGTACTGCGACAAAAGAACCTTATCTAGTGGTGTTTCGCGAGCGCGTACGGCAATGGCACCGCTGACCTCGGTAGGTTGCACGGTGGATCCATCGTGAGAGCGCTTTCTTGCGGAACCGTTCGTGCCATTTGAGCGAGGTGTACCGTTGGAAACCTCACTGCCGTGTTCTGATGAGGCCGATACCCCGGAAGCAGCAAGCATAGCTTTTGCGCTCTGCTTTCCCTCTGCAATTGTGTCTGATGTGTGGCCATTCGTTGATTGATTTGTCCCCAAATCGATGCTGTCTGCACCTTGCTCCCCCGTGTCTGACGCGCCAGAGCTGTTCTGGGCAGCCAACGGAGGGTCTCCAAATGGTTGCTCTGAGGGCAGCGAGCCACCCGTCACTTCAGGGGATGGCATTGTCGATGATGTAGTATATGCGAAACGAACGTTTGGCGCCACTCGTGTGATATTGGAAGTTCGGAGTGACTCTTAACGCGACAGGGATAGGTTCGGGTTGATTACCGTAGCATTATGGGATGGTACCTGCTGATACGATCATGATACGATTAGCAGGTACTTTCAGATAGCAGATTACGCGATCCATAACTGTCGCGACTGTGTATCCAATGTTGTTGGGGGGCGAGCTTGATGGATGAACGTGTCGCAACGGGCGCATGTCCCGAACACGTCACAAGTCACCAGCTAAGGGTGTGCAAGTGAATTGAATAGGGATATCATATAGAAATTATAGACAGGGAAATCGAATGGGAAGGAATCGAACATACCAGGGCCGAAAGGGGAGAGCTCGCCGGTGTTTCTTGAATGGGCCAGTCGGCTGTTCCAGCGCAGAATCCGTTCCGGAACGGATGGGCCAAGTCAGCTGACCTTCGTCAATCAAATGCGATGATCCCAATCGACGTGGCTCCTTCCCCGGAAGATTCTTGGCTGGTGGAGCTGTGGCAGTTGTGGTCCTTTTAAAGCTGGGGTGATGGTGAAAGAGGCAAAGGAGAAAGAGGGAGAGTACCCGTTACAAGTGTCCGCACCCGTCAAGTTCAGAAGGGAGCGCACCATTCGCGCCTCTATTCTCAACAACCATGGAGGGGTTGTAAACTACACTATAGGACTATTTTAAGATATTCTGAGGTTATACCCAATCCTCATTTACGGGCTCCAGGCCAACCTATAACCCTCGTTTACCAATTTTACTTACGGTCATGTGACCCACGTGTGTGTTAGTAATGTTCAGTCGAGGCCCAGCCCCGAAAGGGTAAGTGGAAGAGTATACAATGACATATGACACGATTCCCATACGCACACCAATGGATCACCTGGACAATATCAAATCCACAATCACAGCACGGTGATCCGAGCACAAAACGCCATCGTCAAATCGATTGCCCAGCGCTGCATACCCAATGACTTTCAATCTCTGGCCTTGAGCCCCGACAGGTCTCACCAAAAGATAGTCAATACGTGAGGCTGGCTCGGTTTCGTTCCCAAATCCGGTCCAAGTGATGTAGTTGCCATAACGCCTTGAGCTTTTAACTTCCTTATATGCATCAAGCAAGCTCTTCGTCAGCTCTTGGTAAGCTTCCTGGTTCTCTTCGCTGTTAAAATCGCCGGCCAAGAAAGTGCCCGAGATTAGCTCCCCGAATTTGTTCTGGCTGTATTCTGAAATTTTCCCTGCAATGATACGGGCAGCTTCGAGACGAGAGCGAGATCCCTGATTGTCGAGATGGGTGTTCATGGCAAGGACTGTGTTCTCGCTGGCTCTGTGGGTGAAGACACCAATGGTGACAATGCGGATGGAAGCTGCGTCCCAACTCTTGGATGGCTTGTCGGGTGTCTCGGAGAGCCACACTGTCTCCCAGTGTAGCAGCTCCCAGATTGATGGTCGGTAGAAGATAGGGGAGTACTCCCCAGCCTCGTTGCCATCGTCTCTACCAACGCCGATATACTTCCATTCCGGTGCCCCGGACTCTGCGTTCTGATTCAGTCCAGCCAGAATATCACCGATCTGGTTGTGAAGAACCTCCTGTAAACAGATGAAGGATTCTCCACAATGACGAGTTTCATATTCAAACTCATTCGACAGTAACTGCTTGCGTTCGGCCCAGGGCCGTTCGCCTTCGAATGGGGCTGAAGTTGCATATCGGATGTTGTGCGTCAAGACTCGGATAGGCAAAATCGAGGACTTCATTTTGGAATATAGCAGAACTAGAAAACAAGGCTACAATCAATATGTAGGTACGTTATGTAGCTCTATGTCATGAGAGTGAGGGGAACCTTGCAGTGCCTAGACCTACTATTCTGCCTGAGGCAGAACAGGACTATCATCTGTTTCAACCCAGGAACTGCTCCCATTCATGAGTGATCAGTCTTGATATTCGTCTTCCAACGTTTCCCCTCTCTAAAGCCAACTTCCACATCTCAATCACAATGCCTGACCCAGCAGGGTTGCCCGCTGAACTCTTCTGTACTATTCTGGATGTCGCTCTACACAAGTCGAATATTCAACATCTCTGCAGTCTAGCACTTCTGAACCATAGATGGCATGCAGCCTTGATAGGTTCTATATATGACGAGTGGACATACAATGGTGCTAGGCAGTCATTCATGACATTGTTGAAATTCTTACGCACAGTACGCCACAGTGCGCGCATTGCGGCACTCATACGAACGCTAAATGTGGGCAACTGGGGGGTTCATCCCTCCGCGCAGAGTCCAATTAGGCTATCACTCAGTGAAACAGAATGGATTCGGTTAGCAATCCATGATATAGGATTGGGTGAGCTTGAGGATAGCATTTTCCAAAGTCTCTCGCAGCAAGATCGACGGCCTTTGATGACAATGCTCCTAGCGTCAGTTCCAAGGCTCGCTACCCTCTATGCTTGTGTTCCACGGCTCGATCCTATTCTGGATGTTATTTTGAAAAGAATACTCCTAGGCGATGCATCTAGTCCTCTGCGTGAGTTGAAGGAGCTGTACTTGTTCGCCGAACGCCTTAGATATGTTGAAACCGATGGGGGCTCGGGCTATGAATCATCCATAGATGATACCAACATTTTGCTTCCTTGCTTCAAACTCGACTATCTATGGCCAGTCTTCTACCTTCCAAGTATCCGGACCTTGTTGCTCTATAATCTTGATCCGCTCAAGGCAGCCGAGAGCCTTGGTCAATATAATGCTGAACCTGGGGTAGAAAACCTCTACTTGGTTGGCTACGGTCCAAAAGGGATCTTCACCGTTTCAAATTTTCAAGCCTTGATCTCTCGAACGAGGAAGCTTAAGAGCTTCTCGATCTACAACCCGGGGGATTGTGATCTCTCAGAACTATCAAACTCCTACATGTGGGACTGTCTACGAAAGCATAAGAATACTCTTCAGGCTATCGATATCTATCGAGCTGATCTGATGTTCAGAATGGGACACTTCGGTCTTCTTTGTGACTTCACCAGTCTCGAGGATCTGCGAATCCATATCGACATGCTCCTAGGTGGAGGTATCGGGTCGCCGCTAGCATCCTTTCGCTTGCGAGAAACTCTACCTGAAACATTACAAAGACTCACGCTATATGGCGAACAGGGGTACCTCACGGTCCCTGATATACCGGATCAGCTGCAAGAGTTATTAGGTGGGGGATTCCCAAAGCTCAAATCAATTACGCTGGAGAAGGTAGACTCCATCGCCCATAGCAATGGAGATATGAAGGAGCCGTATCGGAAATTGGAAATGCTTTGCATCGACAATGGCATTATTTTTCGGATAGAACAAAGTGATCGATTGTCAAGGGGTAACAAACGAGAGGAGCTATGGGAGAAATCTATCTATGTGCAAGGCGTGCAGGAAGCCAATGCCCACGAGGAAGACGAAGCCGATTACTCGGATAGTGAAGACGAGTACGGCCCTTATATGAGTGGAACATGGAAGTTTCACAATGTCTCCTTCACCGACCATCGTGGTGCAACAGCACATATGGTGTTCGGGAATCTTGAGGCTTTCCCACTTCCACCACTATTCTCCTTTGCCATATACTTCACCCATTCAACCGTGTCGGCGGAGAACACCGATCTCGTGGGTTTCTTTCGGGAAATCCAGGCCTGTAACGAAGATCGCTTTGACGTGCGTTTTGATATGTACTTTATCCCATCAGCTACCCACAGGGACTGTGTTCAGCATTACCAGGAAGAAAAAGCCAGCCGGGGGACTTATCAGGCCCAAGTGCAGATGTTCAAACAGGCTGATCGTGATCAAGTCTATCCACTCCCTGGAAGAGCCAGTAATATTCCTGGAATGGTCGGGAAATATCATAATGCAGACCAGGTGCTGTTCATCTGCTCAGACAAAGATTGGCGAGAAGGCCAACATGCTTTGACTATGATTAAATTTGGTCGCTCATCCACCACGGAGTCCCCGACATTTACGGTCATTGAAGATTGCCCCATGACCCAAGAGAGTCCATCATATGATACGAATGATCCCAGTCAATTTATTGTGGAGGATGGGATGTATACTTGGGCGCACAGGCACAGATATATATTTCTTGATCCGTGGCAGAAAGCAACCAGTCGGGGATGGAAAGGGTGGTAATTGCGGCCTTTTGGTCTAGACTAAGCAGTGTTTCTATAGACTAAAGACCTAAATAAATCGAGAGAAAGAAATATGATATAAAAAAGTAAACGTAGCAGAGAGGCAACAATTCGCTTAACAAAGTAGAAAAGTGTTGCTACATACAATCATACTAGAGTACTCTATAGACCTCGGAGATTCCCAAAAACAAAGATATAGGAAATAGCTAGACCGAAGGATGTCCATGCATCTGTAGTCTTCAAAATCGTATGAGTGTTTCATATATACACACACATCAATACGATCCCAGTGGAAGTGTAGATGTAGTCGAGACATCCATAGTTATACAACGTAGTAGAACGTGCCAAGGCGGGAAGGTCTTCACCAAAACCACTTTTTTTCTGGAGAGCAACCATTCACCTCTCCCAATGCCACCCCGTCCACCTCTAGGATTATTCCGCAGAACAATGTCTGGCGAGAAGATCCTCGAAGGCGTATTCGGTGAGTTCAAATCCAACCCAACGCAAGAACCTCCGTCTGACTTTCTCCAATAGCCGTCCACAAGCCGCAAGGCGTGTCCTCCGCCGACGTGATCCGCAACCTGCAGAAACACTTTAATCCCTCCAAGGCATTCAAGCCATGGTTAGAGTCGGAGCGCGCCCGCCGCGATCGTGAGAGCGGCTTCCAGCGCAAACGCCGTCGCCACCAACGCCTAGAAGTCAAGATCGGCCACGGCGGCACCTTGGACCCGCTCGCGACAGGAGTCCTCATCACAGGTATTGGCAAGGGCACAAAGTCCCTGCAGGATTTCCTCGCCTGTACCAAGAGCTACGAAACCATTGTTACCTTCGGCGCTGAGACAGATACCTACGACCGCCTTGGAAAGATCGTGCGCCGTGCGCCCTACGAGCATGTTACACGCGAAGCAGTTGAGAAGGCGCTGGAACAGTTCCGTGGCAAGATCATGCAGCAGCCACCTATTTTCTCTGCGTTGCGAGTGAATGGAAAGAAGCTATACGAGTATGCGCGTGAGGGCAAGGTCCCTCCGGTAGAGATTAAGCACCGACCCGTTGAGGTCTTGAACTTGGAGGTGATGGAGTGGTATGAACCTGGCACGCACGAGCACAAATGGCCCGAGGCGGAGATGACTGGGGACGAGAAGGCTGTTGCTGAGAAGCTTCTTGATCAGGAAGCCGCCGCACCTGTCCCCTCAGCCGAGGGTGAGATTGTCAGCGAAGACCAGAAAGCTTCTGCTGCCAAGCGCAAGTCGCCGCCCCCAGCGGATGAGGTGAACGATGATAGTGCGGAGGCTACTAAGAAGCAAAAGGTTTCCGAGACCGAGGCGGCACCCGCAGCACCTGAGCCTGTTGCTCCCGAGCCTGCAACCACCGAGGCGCCTGTTACGTCCACAGAGGAGCCGAAGCCCCAGCCTCCGGCTGTGAAGATCAAGATGACCGTCACATCTGGCTTCTATGTCCGCTCGCTGGCACATGACTTGGGCAAGGCTGTTGGTAGCGCTGCTTTGATGTGCGAGCTAGTGCGCAGTCGCCAGGGTGATTACGAACTTGACCCTGAGAAGGTTCTGGAGTACAAGGACCTCGACGCTGGCGAGGAGGTCTGGGGTCCCAAAGTGGAGAAATTCTTGACAGAGTGGGAGGAGAAGAGGACGGCCGCCCTTGCTAAGGCTTAAGCAGTCAATAGGCTGTATAAAATAGACCTGTGGCATTTGTACATATACTCCTTGTCTGTAATACTATCAAAACTTCAATAGATCAGATCTTCTAGACAAAGCCTTGGGCCTAAGCTCTATTACTTCTTTTGGGGGCCGGGGAAGCACCGCTGTATCTACTAATGCCTTCCCTGTCCGTTTAGAGCTGGGCAACTGGTGCCGCCTTTGATAGACTCGACTGAAAGCTACAAATCACCGCATCCGAAAGTCATAGAGATAAAAAATCAAAACTGCCATTTTTTGGTTATCCAGACCCGAGCGAGAAAAAATAATTACATGATGCACGGTACAAATGCAATGTCACAACATAACCCATCACGTTCAACGATCAGTTGCGTCCCTTGGCATGGACTCTCTTGCTCTTACCAGGTCGCTTTGCGCCACCCTTCATCTTCTTGGCGGAGAAGTTGCTCAGATCACCGCTGGATGCGGCATCACCGCTCTTAGCATGGCGCTTCTTGCCTCCGAATCCGAACTTGGCATCCTTCTTCTGGCGCTTGGAGCCGCCGGGGCCATCGCCACGGCTGCGCTTCTTCTCAGGCTGAGTAGCTTCATCAATGGCAACGTCGAACATATCATTGGCGTCATCGGTAGGGGCAGAGCCATCAGCCTTGCGCTCTGTGAGGGCAATCAGTTAGCAATTGTAAAATCTATAACAGAAACTATCAAACCAGAATGGGAACATACTCTTCTTGAGGGTGTTGATCTTATCCAACATCTCGCGCTTCTCCTTGTGTCTCTGCTGCAACTTGGCGTTCTGCACCTGCTTGCCGAACTTCTTAAGATCGCGCTGGCGGCGCGCCTCAGCAGAAGCCTTCTTGCCAGCAGCCTCCTCGTAGAGCTTCTTCTTGATCAAAGCCATGTGCTCATCGTTCTTCACCATCTCCGCAAAGTAATCGCCTGGTCGTGTGAAGGGAATGCCCTCCTTCTTCAGCATGCCACGGGCCTGGGTAGCGGCGGCCTGGCAGACCTTGTAGAAAGCCAATTCACGGTTCAGATCGTCATGGACATCTTCGATCTCGATAGGCTCTTTCGAGACTAGCGAGTTGTGCTCTGAGAATGGGGTCTGGGGGCCGATGAAGGAGATGCGCTTGAGGGCGGAGGTAATGGCGGCGGAGTTGTTGATGGTCAGGCGCTGGTGAGGGATGACATCTTCGCGCTCGTCTTCTTCAAGGTCGGAAAGTGGGATATCTTCTTCTTCCTCTTCCTCCTCCTCTTCTTCTTCTTCCTCCTCATCATCTTTCATGACCTCGTCCTCGTCGGCCTTTTCCTCTTCCTCTTCGGATTCAGAGCTGGCGGCCTTCTCTTCTTCTTCCTTCTCCTCCACAATCTTGTCCTCGGGAGCGGCAACAGACTTCTTAGCAGCCTTTCTCTTTTCCGCGGTCTTCACCAACTTCTTCCGCTTCTCAGCCTCGAAATCCCGACCCTTGTGGGCGTCGAGGGCCAAAAGGAGCTTGCTTCGCTTAACCATTGTGACTTTCTGTTGAAACACAAAAAGAAAATGGTATTTTGTGTGGTGTGGAAAGGAATTGGAAAAGATGAAAGCGACTTGGTATCAAACCCGCATCAGAGAATCCACGGGATTTTTTTGAAATCGCACCAGTCCTGATCTGGTTAGCGCCAAAGATAAGAGCCCACTAGTCCCCAAAAAGCAACATCTCGGAAATACAAATGATCCGCTCTCTTATCGAGCCTGTACATATCGCCATACCTCGTCTCTACTCCGTAGTTCCTCCAGATAGTTTGTACAGCAATTGCATAGTCTCACAATGGCCGACGATTCCATGCCTTCTTCTCCAGACAAGCTCACTCCCCCGCCAGAGGGCGAGTCTCTCCTATCGACGCCGGTACACGCTACCCTCCGAACCCAGCTTGTCTGTCTTGCTAACTAAATAACCCCCCCAGAACTCCGACGCCCAAGGCCAGCTCACCGCAGCCGTGGACGATTTGCTCAATGAACTCCAAAGTAAATTTGAGAATGTCTCTACGGAGATGTTTGGCAAACGTGCGTCTCTACCTCAATCCATTCCACCATCATCAATATACGTCACCTTTCATACCTGCAACCCCAGACTAACTTGTCTTCGTGCCCAGTGGATGAAATGACCAAACGTCTCGATGAGTTAGAGGCATCTCTCTCTGCATCTGGGAGTGCTACCGCTTCAACCCCGCCAAATTAACCATGAACGTCTACCCCATACTGCGACTCTGTCTCTGCTTATCTACACATTATTGTCTTTATCGCATGGCGTTTTTGGTGGGAGAGCAATCAAATAAGCGCTGCATTCTTTGGGCTATTCAGCTCTTCTGAACATATGTTTCAATAGCCTACCACATATTTATTGCGTGCGGCTTTCTGCCGGTGTCCACTCAACAGCCGTGCAGTATGAGCACACTGGTCTGTTGATGTTGATGGCTATGCTTTACGATTTCAAAGATACCCTACAATCAAACGAGTGATACTCGTACACAGGAACCATGTTTTCATATTCAACGTGGATCTAGTTCGTATATCCGCTAAGACGCATCTGAAAACGCAACGAGCATCCGGATAGCTGCTCAAAATCTCAATTCATACAGTGTATAGCATCAAGCTATTCTTTTCGTAGACAGATTCAATACATTTCCATCGAGTTCATGGTCTACAGTAGTCGCAGTGCTCAACCCAGAGTCACAGTGACCAAACCAAAAGAATCCCAGGAAAGAACAAAACAAAACATCCAGAAACATCATGAACAAGCATTTAAAGCTCATCGTGCTTCTCCTTGGTAATGAATTTACGGAGAATGTTGCTGCGAGAAAGGATATCATCCAGCTTCTCGGGAGCAGAGCCACCCTTAGCCAGGATCTTCTGGAGACGGGTGAGCTCCTTAGCAGCGTAGCCCTGGTTCTTGCTCAGCTTCTCGGCAGCCTTGACATAGTACTCAGCGTACTTGTCCTGCAGACCCTGAGCAGCCTTCTTGACCTCAGCGACAAGGTCCTCGAACTTGCTTGCTGCGACATTCTCAGCAACAATCTCGTCCAATGCGGCGATGGTGCCGGCAGTGTCATCAAGACCGCCACCGACGGCACGGTGTGTACCGGCCTTCTCATTAACGAACTTGACGAAGGCCTCCTCAGAGCGGGCGCCGGCGTAAGCCTCGGGCTCGGTCGAGCCCTTGGGGAAGAACTTGATGGTAGGGTATCCGGTAACGCCCTGGGCCTTGGCCAAGGAACGGGCATTCTCAGCTTCAGCATCAACCTTAGCAATAACAACACCGGACTCAAGAGCGAAGTCATTGGCGAGGGTCTCCCAGACAGGGGCGAGGGTCTTACAGTCTAAAGGAACGGGACGGTTAGTAAAAACAATACCAGAAAATAGCAATTAGGGAATAAACTCACGTCCACACCACGGCGCAGTGAAAGCGACCAGGACATCCTTATCGCCACCAATGACAGTCTTGAAAGTAGCATCGTTCAGCATCTCCACCTTGCTGGGCTCCTTCTGCGCGCCACGGGGCTTGACGCCGGTCTTCTCGGTGATGAAGGCGGACAAGCTCTCGAGATCACGGCCACCCTTGTATTCCTCGGGCTTATCGCTCTTTCCATCGAACCATTTGACTGTGGGGAAACCCTGGATGCCGAAGCGCTTGCCCAGCGAGCGGTTCTCGTCGGCATCAACCTTGGCGATGGTGACCTTGTCTTCGGCGAAGGCGAAGGTCTGGGCAAGCTCCTCGTAGATAGGGGCAAGGGTCTTGCAGTGGCCGCACCAGGGAGCAAAGAATTCGACCAGCGCGGGCTTGCCAGACTTCAGAACGACCTCGTCGAAGTTGGTGGGGAGTAGGTCTTTCACTGCGGAGCTTGCGGTGGCGAAGCCGCTGAGGGCTGAAAGGGCACCGACGAGCAGGAAGCTCAAGCGTGCCATTTTGTATATGAATTTAGGTGTGATAAGAAGGGAGAGGTAATAAGGTCACAAAGAAACCGGGTGGATGACGGAGTTAAAGCTCCAGGGCTCGGGGAGACGATGACAAACAAAGCCGAAGAGGCCACTTGGTGCCTCCACAGCTCCACGCAGATCACATCTCCATTGTTGACATCTACAATACATCGGCCGATAATACGATACTTCTTATTTTGCTCTTGGGTAGTATCCGAATTCTTGTGTTTTTTCTTGGTTTTTTTATATCTCTCCCTTGCTATCTCGGTAGTTAGTAATACACTGGAGAATTCCACCGGCATCGCATCTCCTAGAGCAAGATTGGAGCTGTTGATTTGAACCTCAATTGCAAGCTGTTGCGCTTGTTAACCCAGAATCCCCGCGGTGATTGGTGTCATTGGCAAAGCTTGCCCATATCATCGTCTCTCTGCCAGCCATTTGTTTGCATCATCCCAGAACTTCGCTTCCTTAAACTCCTTGCCCGCACCCTGCGTACCTGCGTAGACCTTTATTGAAAATTAGCTTTTGATCAATCCTTCAGTCCAGGCAGTACTAACCGCATCCCACAGCTTGAATGCCAAATCCAAATTTCCAGTGAAGCTCTCGCTGTGCTGGAACCATTCCTTGCCCTTCGCCTTCACATCCGAACGAGCCTCGGGGGACGTCGGGTTTGCCTGCAAGGGAAGGTCGTCGAGATAAGTCCGTACCGCAATTCCAAGTCCACAATCGTTGTCGTCAATAAACGGAAGCCTAAGAAGATGGGTTAGAAAGAATCAGCATAGATAGCACGTAAGAAACATACTTGATAGCCATTTCAGTCCAGTCGTTACGGTTCCGATCAGCATCTCCACTGAGCAGTAGACCAGCCAGGACCACTTCGATCAGATTCCTCAGTGCAGAGCGCACCTCAGAGATCAAGGAGCGGTAGCAAAGAAGTTGACGGCTCAGAGGGCCGGAATATCCAATGCTCTTGTGCTGCAGCTTGCCGACACATGCAAGGCGCGAGATGAGCATATTAAAGGCCTTGTCATCCTCCGATCCTCTCATGGGGCCGCCAGAAACATGTGAGAACCAGGGCTTGGTGTTGAGGAGACCCAGGCGAACCATCTCTATGGCAATGAAAACCGACTCCTCGAGGTTTTCTACAGGATCGACGGCTGACAATGCCTGCACCAAGCACTGGCCCCATGAAGTGAGCTTGTGCTTGTCGTCAACGTATCCACGCAGTTGCAGGAATCGCCACATAACATTAGATAAGATATCCTCTTGTGACGAAAGAACCTTCCAAGGCTGTTAGCTATCGAACACAATTTCAAACACATAATTAAACTTACAGGTGTCTCTTTATTAGCAAACGACTTGGACGCAAATTCAGGATCGCTTAAGCTCTGAACGGCAAACTTGAAAGACCCGCGAGGCGTTTGAAGTTTCTTGATACCCTCAGGCAGTTCTCCTCCGTGGATCCTCCAACGCTGGATAGTTTCCTTAACTGACGGGATACCCTTGAGGTTGATCGGCCGATCCGATGTCTCCTCGAACCACGGGCGAATCTGAATCACCTTGGTTTGGTAGAACCGATGAAGGGAGTTTGCTAACAGGCAGATCGACTGAGTACGGATAGGCGTCAAGATATCACCCACGAGCTGGCGGTAAATCTCGGTGTCTTCGGTGCCCAGCGGTAGCGATATACGAACCTCGCCCGTTGTAAGGAAGTTGGGTACATCGGCGCCGATGATACCCTTAGAGATATAGAAGTACAGCTCCTCCGGTAGACGCTGTCCGATCAGCTCATGCATGTCTGATGAGGTGTTCTCTGAATCCATGGGACCGACGCGACCATCCACGTCAATATAGACATGGTGCTTCACGATCATAAACGCACGCTTGTACAGGTCTGTGTACTGAAGCTCCTGCATACGGCGATCCTCCTCGAATTGGGCGCACAACGCCAGGGCATTGCGCCCAGCTATATTGAACATCGGCAGCGCATCACGAATGGTGGGGCCTTTGATGGGGTAAGCAGGGTTCTCAAAGAGTGGGAAAGGGCGCAGGAATGGAGAGCCCAGTAGCAAGCAGAAGTCGACGAATTGTTCATTTGTAAGGCGTCCCAACTCCTCCTGGCAGGTTTGTCTCGTGATCCAGAAAAATTGCGCGGGTTCGGTGTCGATACGGGTGACCAGCTTGTCCAAGTCAAACAAGAGAGCTTCGGAGGGGGCAAAAACAGCATCGACGACAGGATTGGTACCACGGGCAAGGTAAGAAAGCTGTCCAGAGTGGTCAATTAGCATTTGTCAACCCGGCAATGCCACATTGGGCAGCCTCACCTGGGCCACGGCGCTGTATGGCGCTACCATGAACTCGATTCCATTCTGGGTCAAGATCCGCTGCAGGAACTTGAAAAGGGTCTCCGGGGGCGGGGTGCCTGAGGGTTCCGTAGTGTCAGCGGGAGCTTTATATCCTTGGGTCCAATAGAGGTATTGAAAGCCCGACGGGTCCGTCACCAGGGATGGGTGAAAAGAAGGGTAATAGGAGAGCATACCAGCACTGCTGAAGGCATCAACTACCTGGTCGGCCTGCTGCTGATCGTAAAGGTCCCACGCTTGTTCGAAGGAGCGCGACGCTGCGGGCGGTTGGGCGCGCTGTTCTTTCTTGCCGAATTCCAAACCATTAAAGACGAAGATGCACGCAACTCCGAGGCTCTTGAAAACCTGCAGCTCCTTTTCGATGTTGGCCCGCAAGGCGAACGGGAATCCGCCTAGTGCGCCTAGAAGCGCCTCTCGGGTTGACTGATTCACCAGGTGTTGGTTGATGTAGTGCGATGCATCGATGCCGACAACGGCGCCCTTCAATGCGGAGAGGGGTAGGGACTGGGTACGGCCAACGGCCCATTCATCAAGAGGACGGACTAGTCAGATAAAGAAAAAAGTTAGATGCGATTGCAGAATTGCGGAGCTCACGATAGTTGCGTACTCGGCATGGCTCTAGAGCTATCTGTCACGGGCTGAGAGCACGGCAACGCCGGGCATCAATGCCCGAAGAGTGAAACGAGAGGTTATATCAAAGGTTGGAAGAGCAGATCAAAAGCTCTGTGGTAAGGATACGATGGATGGGAGCTGGGATTGTTGGGGTTGGAATGAGGGAGGGCCAGATCACGAGGGGGGAAGGCGGAGTTGGAGTTGGGTCTTTCGTTTTTTGCCTGGCAACTCATCACATCCTTGTTTACTTCCAAATTCCAACGTCTGGCAGCTCATGTTGGTGAACGGATGTTGCATTCACTGATTGTTCAGCTTCTGCGCAAGCTCCATTTCCTACCTACCTACTCTCTACAAATATATCCCGATTATCATGAAGTCATCCCCAATGGGGTGTTTCTCTAAATAGAAACATAGCATAGTCCCACAAATCCACAGTGCAATATAGTATGCCCCTGGGTATGGAGTACAGAGTGCCTATGGGGTAAATCTTCACACAGAAATTGCATTCAGAAATATAGGTACGCTCTTCATAGACAAGATATCGTGCATACTTGACCAATTCAGCGGAAGCGTATATATGGTGTACAACATAGGCGGGGATAACACATCGGGCTCCCCTAAATTCAGTCGGAGATCGCCTGAGCTCGGAAATGACCCAGAGGACCATATGGATCCGGCTTTGAGGGGATTGGCTGGATCCAATTTGATAATCGGGATATTGGAGATACGCGATAGGCTCAACCACCGATGCCCGATATAAGCGTTTGTCACAGTCGGAACTATATAGCCACTACTAACCCTGACTTCTCCCGACGATATACGATATACACTATACGTTGACTACCCTTCAGAATGGCAGATACCACTGTTCCAATCGAGCTTCCCGTCATTGACATCTCCAATCCGCATGACCCCGCGGTGGGGAAAGCCATGCTGGATGCCGCTGCCAAGTATGGTTTTTTGTACGTCAACAGCAAAGGCGCCGACTTCACGGTGAACGATGTAGACCATGCATTCGGATTGGTAGGTCTGTCCTATTGGTAGAACATGCACAACATCTGACCGTCACTACAGTCCAAGAAGTTCTTTGCATCTCCTCAGGAGGAGAAACAGACATGCCAAATCCAGCAGAATGTGTGTGACAAGAGAACCCCCAGAAAACCAACAACGAATGAGAGCATCTCATCTAACTGTGACATCTATAGAACCGTGGCTGGTCTGGGATGCATACAGAAACTCTCGACCCCGAACACCAGCGGGCAAGTCATGGCCTTCCTTCCCGATTCGCTAAGTATACAGCACCAGGACTAACATCGAATATCACACATAGACCGGAGATTTCAAAGAGTATGAAACAACATATCTACACCCTGAGTAAATACCCCAGACCAACAGCTAACCGTCCAACCAGAGCCATGAACTTCGGCGACTTCAAGGATGGCAAAGCCCAACAGCCTCTACCACCATCACTAAGCCCCCACGAAGCCGAAATCAACGACTTCGCCAAACTCTGCAATAAAACCTGCAGCCGAATCCTGACCTTGCTAGCCCTAGGTCTAGACGTACGTATCCCCGCTCCCATCCTGATTTTTATATATACACCATCTATACAAAACCATATATACCAACCAACCCCAGATCCAAGAAGACTTCTTCACAACATGCCATGACCCAAGCAAGGGCCCAACAGGCAGTATCCTGCGGTACTTATTCTACCCCTCGATCTTCTCCCCGAAGACGGCAGACTACAAGCACGACAAGGACGTGCGGGCCGGCGCGCACTCAGACTACGGTAGCATAACGCTGCTCTTCCAGCGGCCCGGCCAACCAGGGCTGGAGATCCTGACGCCGGAGGGTAGCTGGGCGCCTGTGCCCATTGTGCCTGGCAGCGGCGAGACGTATCCGTTTCCGCCGATTCTGGTGAATATCGGCGATTTGCTGAGTTATTGGACGGATGGGCTGCTTAAGTCGACTGTGCACCGGGTGGTGTTCCCGCTTGCCGAGCAGCAGAGTCCTAACCCGCAGGATCGGTACACGCTGGTTTATTTCTGTCATCCGATTGATAACACGGAGCTGGTGCCTGTTCCTAGTGGAGTTGTTGCCGCGCACCGGGAGCGGACGGGAGGTATTCCTAGTGATGAGAGGGTTGGGTTTGGGGGTGGAGCTGGGAATTTGGAGCCTGGGAAGAGACCCTTGACGGCACATGAGCATCTTATGTCGAGGCTAGAGGCTACGTATGCGTATACGAAGGAGTAAGGAGAATGTGGGAGCAGGGAGGCAGAGGGATGGGAAAACTTTCAAGGTATGGATTACATCTATGGTCTACGAGATATTGAATCAATGTGAAAGAAGGGCTCATGAGATTGGGAATAAATTATCAACGCCTGTGCCGCTGTGGCAAAGTGCAAACATAAATAAAAGAAAGCAACAAGTCCTCCGGACATAGAATCAAGATCATAGATGGGATGTGCACCAGAATGTAATGGTTTAGATGGTCAACGGCCTGAATTGTCGGGTATGCTGCCCATCTACGGACATAGGAAACTCGTAACGGCACAATTAGCTATGAGAACAGAAAACAAATCGCAATGGATCCCAACAACAAAGGCAAAAGGGAATTGTGCCCCTGGTGAGGGGGTGAGAATGAGATATACAGTCATGATGAATGGTCAAATGTGGATATGAGTAATGAGCAAAAAAAAAGGGATCGGAAATGAGAGCCCGACGTCAATGAACCAAATGAACGCAAGCTGTGCGAGAAAAGGTATCGAAAAATCAGGACATGTAAAAGGTATCTTCGGGTCGAAATGGAAACGCCGCCAGAGTTTGAAATGCCATGTGCAAGGGGAACCTTGAAGCAGAACGGAATGAGATGCGAGACGGATATGACGCTATGCGAGCCTGTATGCACAGAAATCAAAAATGAAGCTCCTCTGGGGTTATCGGGTCGTATCAAGGGGTCGTATGGCACCAGTGCCGGTGGTACACCCACGCGGATTTTTGGCAATCTTTGCTGCAGTATTTGGTGCGACGGCAACGCCTACACTTGGCAAACTGCCGCTGGAACTCCTCCCACTTGCCACACTGGTAATAGGCGCACTGGCGGATGCCACCTCTAGCCTCATCTTTGCGGCAGAGATTTCTCATGACCACGCACGCCCAGTACTGCATGTCCTTGGAGTGGTGTCGAACGGTGAATTTCTCCACCAGGGGGAAGATATTGACATCATCAGGGAGCAAGTACTCATCTTCCTCCTCACACATTTCGATTGGCGAAGAGGATTCGGCATTGTCATCCAAGAGGTGAAGTTCGCGGTCGATTTTTAACTTGGGAACAAGGTGAGATGACTGGAAATAAGCTCTGAGGTTGCAGTACTTGGAGACATATGCCAAAAGCTGGAGGGACATCAGGACATCCTCATCACGAGGCATAGTGGTCAACACGCCTTGGGCTGCAGGAGCATTTCGATCACGGGAATATAAGGCGTAAGGGCTAGGGGCGAGAGTAGGGGAATTAGGATTGTTGGTGGCTTGTGTAGGAGAAAGACCCAGTCCGCCGTTAGCCTGTGTGTTGCCGTTATTGATGATGCTACCATCCACAGTCGATCGATGTGTGATGTTGAAAGTCTCAACTTCTGGCCCGCCCTCCTCGGAGGGATCAGTGACAGTCAGGTCATGCGCGGTGGAGACATTGTCGAGCATCGTTGTTTCCCGCTCCTCGACATTGTCAAGTTCCATCCGATTCGGGAGACCAACAATGGCTTCGGCGGGCTGTCCCATGGCACTATCCTCTCCCATAGTCGAATCTTCGCCATTGGCATCATCTGATTCGCCAGACGCCGATGGCTGCTGGCGGATTGAAGGACGTTGTCGGGCAGCGATAGTTTGGGGAAGGCTGCGAGGTTGTGAGTGGAGAGGGCCACTTGGGGTAGTTGGAGAGTCAGGTTGTGAGACGAGGCCGGTTTGCAAGCCGGGAAGCATGCTAGGAAGACGCTCGGTGTCACGCACAGGACGTAATCCAAATCCATCTGTGGTGTCCATGGAGGGTACGGCTGTCGCAAGAGGTTGCATCGATCGAATACGATTACTAGCACGTGGGAATCGCCCATCGTTGAGTCGGTGATTGTGGGCTTCCTGGCCAAAAGTACTGCGTTCAGGGGGCGATGTCATAGGTACACGAGGAGGAGATGTGACATCCATGGCATCAGAGTCGGTGGGCTGGGTTTCCTGGTAAAAGGGTCGGGGGATTTCGATACTCGGAGGAGGAGCTTGTCGACGCGAAATATGTGACTCGGCCTGAGGATGTGACTCGGTCTGGGTGTCTGCATCCATGGGTGTAGAACGTGTGGAGATATCCCGGTTGCTGCTAGGCTTTAATTGCTTAGAAGATGCATGCTTCTCGGAATCTGGATCATTGCGCGATCGCACTTTGTCCACCACTTTGATGTAATTGTTCAGAATAGTGGCAATGACGGGAACCATGTCGGCCTCCACCACTCTGGTCCGCACAGCTTCGGAGCCTCGCACACCAATATTGACAACGCACTGGAAAGCAAGGCTCCATTTCCACATTTCCATTAAATCCTTGCTCCGGCCTTCTTTGAGGATGCATACCAGTCGCTCGATGCCGCCATCGACCGTGAGGATGTCTCGAATCCGAGCAGACGATGTTGTAAGATATGCAAGATGGTTGAGAGAATTGATGAGTGGTAGGGTTGATGTGCAATCAAGAGCCCGACGATCATAGAGGGTGGTGGTAATATTGACCGAGGCCTTGTTCACATTGGGAATACTAAAGTTGACTTCCCGCATGATGAATGAATGAGTGCAGATGGGTATCGGACAGAAAACGAGAGATTAGATGTTGTAAGATGGAGCGATGCAGGGTACCATTCAGGAATGGATGGGATGCAAAAAGGTGAGGACCTTGACGGTATTCGGAGTGGAATATAGCCCCCTAACGAGATAGGATGATGCCCACTATGATGAACCAGGAACTCGCACTGCTAATCAATCCAACATCAGGCGAAGGAAGAAGTATGGGAATCGATCGGGGATGGAATTCGATGACTCCCAATAGACCAGAAGGGGCGAAGGGCAGATTGGCTCAGAGTCAGAGGCTGAACCAAAGCGCCGTTGGAGAAACAGAAAAGAAAAAGAGGGACCAAATGCAAGATATGGGACGGTAGATGAAAATATATCGATGCTAGATGGGGATGTCGATGGAGGGGGAGCGAGGAAGAGGTTTCAAGGCTTTTGCGAAGGCAAAAGCGGAGAGCGTCAGGTGCCTCCTTAATATTACAATATCGGGGTTACGCTGTACCCGACAAGTATTTTGCGCCACCCTGCCAATTACCTTTTTCATTTGTCTTGCCCTTGGACTTGTACAGATCGAGTGAATTGAATATTCTGGGGCTATTTTTTTATCGCCAAATGTTATTCCACCTGAGTTGTCTTGCTCGTCTCAATCTTTCCGTGTGCTCGATCTCCGAGTCATCCCCTCTCCGGTCACATTGGGTACCTACCGAGGGACTTGCCACCCTTGGACAAAGATGAAAATTACATATCCCCTTCACATCCCATAATGGTCTCTCCTTGTCACAGGATCGGTTCGTCCTTGATTCCTGGCAGATGAGATTTATGTTCTCTTCCAGACGATCCTTGCCAAACTCACCAAATTATGTCGCCTGCTTGATGATGACGGACCGCACCACAAGCGGAGGCTGTAGATCTTAAGCAATGACCATCATTGGAATCCACCAATGATTCTGACGAACTATTTGAATAGCTTCGGCCCTTTGTCCAGACTGGAAGAAGCTCAGACCAAATTCCCCACTGAGGGGGGCATGCCGTGCGGTTATTGTCCCCAGATGCCTCATAAGGAGTGTGATGGATCAACGCCTAAGATGAGTTGTGTTACATCCAAAATTTATCGACGCCAACATGTTAAAGGACCCGGTCCCGAGATCAAAGAACGTACTTTACAATGGGAATGCTCATGTATCCGTATGTGAATGCGGTTTGTTATACATATTGTTTTTCGAAGCGTACTATATAAACCTCCCCGTCACTATTGACCCAACATACATGGACACTTTGACACAGTCAAATGGGTTCAAAAGTAACAGCCCGTGAAACAGTATCAAATTCGAAAATGTTCCGTCTAGCCTGGACCCCCCGACCCCTAGTGGCTACACCTAACATTGCGAGTGGAGTCCAATATCCCGCATCACTTGTCCATTCTCTAACCCATGGGCTGTTTCCAGGCGCCGTTTGATCAGCCTTGGACAGGGTAGTTTATTTCGAGGAAGTTAAACTTAGCAACAGACAGTTGTCAGCGGTTTGCTGAGCAACCAAACACACCCCCGCACAGCAAATAGCATTGGCCCCCAAGGGCCTCCATCACATCTCGACAGGGTTCACACGCGCTTGCAAGAGCGTGGCGCACAGACGAGGTACTAATATTAGAACATCTGCCATCTGCCGACTGGAAGCCATAAAGCCATACACGCCTGTTGGCGACTCCAGGAGGGGTTTTAGGGTTTCAAGTTGTTCGTTTCATCTGGCGAGCAGAACTATGGGAAAAACTAGCGGACAATAGCGGGTATATCAGCCTAGGAAGTTATGATAGATCCCTTATTCAAGATCGTCACGCCCAGCCTCACACCGAGGTCCCCCGCCAGGCTAGTTCGGTTCCAACGGCTATCGAATATCCGTAACAGGCCCTATGATATATCTTAGGATCGGATGTTCATTTATTTCAACGGCTACTTCTTGATCCATTGTCGGCATGGCGTGTGTGTACATTACGATCTTGAACACGGAGTACGTTGTTGTATTAATTAACGTCCGTTGGATCATGGGCGAAGCCCTTGATCTTGCGACCTCCCTCGGGGTATTGGGACGTGCTAAGCTATGACACGGAGTACGGAGTATGCGATAAAGTTATTAGTTCTGGCTAGTCCAGGGAAAGTACGGAGTAGGTCCTCCGTACATACGTATATCATATTTGTTTTGATTGTCTCAATGTATTTGAAAGGGGCATTTCGCCCATCTCAGGTGGCCCCTTTTCTACTTCATAAATACGGTAGACTTGGGTATCAAAGCGCAACTGTTATTAAACATCGTCTATCATATCTTGACAACAACCGGCTATGCGAAACGCAGTCTTGATCGTCGAGGACAGATCTGTACAAATTTTTTCGTCTCTTTCACTCCCCTGGGACTTTTGGCACATGTTATGGCATATCTTTCCGCATCCGTAGATATGTAAATTCCTTATGCCATGTCTGACGAGTAAAACCACTGAGGCGTTTCTGCATCAGGCCACCGGTAGATGTCTGTGTAAGTCATCCGAAAAATGAATTGATTATGTACATACAGCCTACTAGCACCAAGAACGGGCCCTAGGAAGCATCTACGCACCCGTCACACATCGACTTCCGATCATCTGCCACTTGAGTAACCAGACTGATGCCAATCTCTCGAGAGCAGATCTATGGCAATGCATAAGGCACGTAATATTGACATGGACATACGCTCACCGAGGAGGCAGACACGGCCAGAAGTCGACGGCCTTGTAGGATGTGACTCGGATAGGCGGGCCTAGATCTGGTCGTCGGCAGAGCCCCATAGTAAGTTCGGAATGATTTCCGAAATAGGCACTATCGTGTGTTTTTTTGCTCAAATTGGCACCATCCGTGCAGGGGTTGCAGGCGTGTCTTGTAATATACCGCAAACTATAACCGGTTCTGGTTTCTGGCCGAGTTGGGCTGAAGCTCATCCCTGAAGGTGAGGGCGTGGGAATGGTGACACAGATATTGGACGCCTCTCATACTCGGGTCCAAATACTTTCGGTGTGGCGTCCTTGCGTATAAACCTGTTTCTGGAGGCACAAATTGGGATACGGCGGCTAGGATATCATGGACATACAGTGAGATCAGTTTCATATGATGATCCCAGTATGCACCCTGACTCAACCCTGTTGACCTTGATCTCTCGATAATCTGCGCTTTGACGGGTGCCTTGCAGCCCCGAGCTGAGATGGACTTCCCTCCCTGGCTGAGGGTTTGGAACATGACTATACATGCAGACTAACCATGCTAGACCGACAGGTGATCATGACTCCAAGACCAATAGATTTTCTTTTACCCACAGAAGAGGTTGATCCCGCGATCCTGGATCAGCTGCTGAGTTGTACGTTAAAATTCATACATATGTAAGTAATCTCCGAAGACGATAACCTGCATGACAGAGGACGCCATATTGAAGATCCCGAGTGGAGAGCTTGGCAGGTATTTAATTGTCTCTGATTAGTCGAGAGTGTAAGGAGCATGCAATGAAGGGACCTCCTGCCCCTATGTTGTATACACGGATCAAGCAATAGAACAAGCACAGGCTAGAATTTTTCCGGAAGGGTGTTAAGAACATCCTAACTAATGATCGTCGAGACGAAGAACATGAGTAAGCACGAGATTAGTCCACTTACCCGGGAAAAAAAAGGGGCCCAGCCAGCACAATTGATTGTTCTCCGGTGGAGACTCCCGGGTTGAGTGAAGAGAAAATCCCTGCTCGAATCTTTCATTTGGATGAAATGCATTTACAACGTTACAGGAAACGGTTAGACCCGCCACAACGGAGCCAGACGGCATACCTCCCTGGGGTAGGGCTAATATAGCCTATACTGTTACGGTTGACGACATCGTACATATTTTTTCTACAATCCGATAGAGTAACTTGACTATCCAACACTGTACGGAGTAACATGAGTCTAGCCCCGGAGGTCCGTCGACCATGACAATGGGTCAGCCACAGGACCGTGCGCTTGGATGAACGCCAGGTACAGTGAAGCTTGGACCTGTACTCCGTACTCTCCGTACTCTCCGTACGGAGTACGGAGTACACGATATATGAAAACCCGCAGGGGAGGCATCGGCAGATCCAGATTCAGTTCGGGGTACGGAGCATAAGTATATGGATGATATATGGTGGAAGATTTCCCTTGGATACAGGGTTTGGACGGAGGAATTCAACACGAAATCTATTCGGAATCGACATGCAGGACGATCCAATCTCCGTTAGTTCGGTTATTGCCTCAAATGCAGAAAGGGGGCAAGATGCAAGATAGTTTAGCTCGTGAGGCATGCACCATATATCAGAGCCGCCAGGCAGGATGATTGTCCAGAGCCGCGGGGCGGTTAAATGTTGATACTTCATCACTCCTAGGTATTAATTGCCGCTATTCTTGATCTCCGAGTGGATTTTCAACTTGAGTCTTCAGTCTTACTGGGGCTAGTGGTCCTAGCACCGAGCCGATCCTCAGCGCCACAATTTCCGAGAATCCGCCTACTCCTGAGATACGACAGTCAGGAGGTCGGTATTGTTGCGGTAGATACAAGAAGTACTTGATACCGGTAGTGTCGAGACCAAGGCTCATGTACGTCAGCTCTGGTCCTAATATCAACAGAAGCATCCTCAGGTACTCCGTACCCGGGGGAGGATGCCCAGGTGCTGCCAATGTGCGCGTATTGACGGTGTATTGCATCCACCAGATACGGCCAACTCCACACTGGGGATTGGGGGAACAAAGAAAACAGAGAAGGGTTTGCATTTACGGTCTCATGAGATGGTCGTGAGCGATCAATCGGAGAGAAAAATTGGAAATATCCTGCTCCATTGCTCCAAAACAAGTAACCCAAAACCATCTTCAAGCAGCCGGTACTTCTGGTCTCATATAAATTGGCGGCGAGTTGAGGTACCTTCCCATTTTGGTCAATTACCACTAGTACATACATGTAGTAATACGCTCTCTGTCTTCACCCCCTGTTCTCTCTTCTCTCTTTGGTTTGTTCCTCTTGCTCTTGTTGGCTCCTCTTTTTCCCCCTACAGAAGTTCCTTTCTTCTATTATCCTTTACCTCCCGCGTATTATGATCCTAGCCTGAGGCGCTTCAACTCGGTTCCCGCCTTTTGAATCCCTCTCCCCTGCTTCCTCGCTCCACATCTCTCATTCAGCCCCCTCTCTATCCTTCCCCTCTACCTTTTCTTTCCGACCTCCCACCTCTTTATTGTTTTCCTCCGGGGTCCCGTTCCGATAAAATGGCCGATATGAGCGGCGAACAGATGCAGGCCAAGATCACCGCGGCCAGGCGTGAAGCTGAGGGTTTGAAGGACAAGATTAAGCGCAGAAAGGATGAGCTGGCCGATACCTCCCGTGCGACTCCCATCACCATTGCTTTGTTTTTGAGGTTTCCTCTTCCTTCCGGGAAGTAGTTGTCATGCAACTGCACTGTCCCCGGGAGTTTTCATTCATCGTACTGACTTTTGCCCTCCAGTCCGACAAGTCGCCCAGGACCAGACCGACGCCCTACCACGAATTGGAATGAAGCCCCGACGCACACTGAAAGGTCACCTCGCTAAGATTTATGCCATGCACTGGTCCACCGACCGGCGCCATCTCGTTTCGGCTTCGCAAGACGGAAAGCTCATCATCTGGGATGCCTACACTACAAATAAGGTTCACGCCATTCCCTTGCGCTCCTCCTGGGTCATGACTTGTGCCTATGCCCCGAGCGGAAACTACGTCGCTTGCGGTGGTTTGGACAACATCTGCTCTATCTATAATCTGTCGTCCCGCGACGGCCCAACTCGCGTCGCGCGCGAGCTCTCCGGACACCTGGGATATCTTTCCTGCTGCCGCTTCATCAACGACCGCCGCATCATTACCTCATCCGGCGACATGACCTGTATGCTGTGGGATATCGAGTCCGGCACCAAGGTGACCGAATTCGCCGACCACCTCGGTGATGTGATGTCAATCAGCATCAACCCGACCAACCAGAACATCTTCGTTTCCGGTGCATGCGACGCCTTCGCTAAGTTGTGGGATATCCGTACCGGAAAGTCCGTCCAGACATTCGCCGGTCACGAACTCGATATCAACGCCGTTCAGTTCTTCCCCGATGGCAACGCCTTCGGTACCGGTTCCGACGACACTTCCTGCCGTCTGTTCGATATTCGCGCCGACCGCGAGCTTAACTCCTATCAGGTAATTATCTAACCCACGCCACGATTTTGATAAATGAAAGCTGACGCCGACTTTTCCTTATCAATAGAATGATCAAGTTCTATGCGGTATCACTTCCGTTGCGTTCTCGGTCTCCGGCCGGTTATTGTTCGCAGGTTATGATGACTTCGAATGCAAGGTAAGACGACATCCTTGCTACCACAATATGATCAGACGCTAACACGTAATCTAGGTATGGGACGTTCTGCGTGGCGACAAGGTTGGTTCGTTGAGCGGACACGAGAACCGCGTGAGCTGCCTGGGTGTCAGCAACGACGGCATCAGCCTGTGCACTGGATCCTGGGATTCTCTCGTAAGTCTTAGTCTGGTGGTGATTCTTGGCTCAAACGCATTTACTAATCTCTGATTTTCCTTCTGTGCAGCTCAAGGTCTGGGCCTGGTAAATCAACAAAAAAAAAAACAAAACGCAAGATACCCCGTGTCGATCATTCTGCAATGCTCTTCTTCGAAATTTTTTAGGTTCGATGGTTCGAATCTCCGCCATTGTACGATAATAATCAATTACCGGGGAATCCCTCTGGTTCCCACGATAATACACTACTCGCGGCGCAGACATCGCCGTCGCATGCGATACGGAAGGTGATGGAGGTGGTGGTGAGCGCTATGGGATGCTATCCCAGGCGAACAAACGATAGCGATGACACAATACTTGTTTGGACATGACGAGAGCGCGGCTAGTCCCTGGGCTGTCGATGGTTGTACAGTGACTGCGCAGAAGGAAATGCTGGAGCACGTTGACCCGTCTAGTGCTTCCGCCGCCACCCTCTTGGTCCCTTCATTCCCCCCCCTTTGACTTCTCAATGACGCCCTTCCCCTTTATTTCTTGAATTTCTTTATCCCCCTTTAAGTTTACCTCTTCGTTCTGGGTTTCTTCCGCATCGGTCTCGGCATGTATTTTCTTGGCAAAGGCAAAAGGAGGACCTGGTTGCCGGATTTTGGCCAGGATTTCTTTTTATTCCGCCGATCTACCCTCTGCGTTACCTTATTATTCTCTCTTCGCAATTCCCGTTTCTTTTCTTTTCTCTTCTCCCATTTCCCTGTTTTGTCTCTCCTAAAGAAAGAATCTGTTGTACTTACTGTCTTTGCGTTGGAATCTCTTGCTCTGAGATTCTTTGGTGTCGGATTTTGATTATGGTTCGAGCAGCTCCAATTTCCATTTGTGAACCTTTTTTTATCCTCGAGTCTCCACTGCTCTTGACCCCCGTACGAAGGTGATAGTTGGTACCAGGCAGCCTGTTTTATTTCGCTTGGCTTGCTCCTCTGGAGCATCAGACATAGGGCATATATATACCGTCTTGATCCTCGGTTCAGCCGTAGAGTAGAACTTGCTAGGCTCTGCTTCGTTTTTGAGGGAAGTACTCTCTCGTCAATAGGGCTGACGGGGGCAAGGAGTCAGTGATACACATTCCAACCTTGAAAGCCTTGGAGTTGCCTTCGTCAGTGTCCTCAGCCCCCCCGCCAGTCCTCTATCCAGGGCTTCGACAGCGCCACGAAGCGCAGATCAGCATACAGTCAGGCTAGGACGCCTAGCCTTTGTCGGTAAAAGCGAAACCTAACATAAGAATCGAAATAGAGAAATGATATAGGCCGTGAGGGGTAAGTCTTCTAGAACAATTCGATCTCATAATCCGGCAAAAGTAGAATCCGGAACAGCCCTACGGAGTACTGAGATATAAGTTCCAATCTAGGTAAACACTAATTGTCCGAGGCGAACCTCAGCTAGTCCATGATCTTCAAATAAAATCGGACATACGCGAATACGAAGCCCCAATTAGAGGCAAATCTAGACCGCGGAGACAACCCAAAACCAGTGGAGAAGATCTGCACCCGCGCACGATGGAGCCCCGGGACGGAACAGCATTAAAGCAGATGTTCCGCCGGAGACACGTCAGGAGTGACAGGTGGGATAAAATAGGCATCCAACATACGTTCCAAGAGAAAAAGAAATAGGCAACATTCCAAGCCTGTCATTGCCGAGCACTTGAAACGTGGTCATAGTATGATCTTCGTGTATGGCAATGGATGGGGGGCGGATATCTGCGTCATATCCTCCGTATTCTATATTTAAATGGGGTTGAGGGTCTGATATTGTGATAGATTAATTGTGCCACGGGGAATTGCCGGTTTCAGGACAGGGTTGCAAATGGAAATATGGTTCTGATGCTGATCGTGTCTCGGGCGTCGACGATTGGGCGCTAACGTGTAGTGATGAAACACGGAGAAGTTGGGGCCGATGCTCGTAGGGCGAGGCTAGTTCGATGCTAAGTATAGCTTCGGATCCCTGTGCGTTCGTGTGGATTTGCTTTTTGCGGGATATTGTGCTCGACGAGAGAAATAAGGTGTCAGAAAAGGGACTGATCAATTGATCATCGGCTGAACACGTACCTCGTAATTCGCGTTGTAAACTATGTTTTGAATCCTCGAGTTGCCTACTAAGATCGAGGACTGTGTCTGGCTTTCGAGGCCATAAGTATTATATTGAGAGAGCCCAATGGCTTATCGAGTACTATAAAGGGCCGGAAGTGCTACTTTATAGGCAGCGTGCATGGGTGGCCCCATGCAGCCTCGTATTCCGCGATCATTTAACCTCAGCTAGACTACAAGATTTGTGATAACATAGTCATCCATCTTACTCTGTACAGTGCTTGGCTTTCTCTTCCAGCCAGATCAGTTACCCCAAATGGAAATGGGAGCGGAACAGAATGTTATATTGGGAATCAAATGCCACGCTCCTACTATATTAGGTTGCGCATCAAGGCTCACTCGGGTAGCAAGTAGGAGGGTGTCTTGTGATGTGTTTCTATTGATATCCTTTGAGTTGTTATGACTGTTGTTGCAGGTATCCTGGTCAAAGTTCGATCGTCGAACCAGCAGGATCCCTCTACTCGTTGCGTGAACCAGCTCGCTTCTTTCTGGGATTCGAAAGACTGCCACCGAGGGCGAGAACAGCGTATTCCCCGGGGCTGAGGAAGGAAGATATAGTAATTGGACAGTTGAAATGGCGGGAAAAAGATAGCGGACGAAACAGACAATCAATAAGAGTGGTTGGAGGTGATATAAAGCTCCCCCGTATGAACGCCGCGGCCTATATAGACCAGTGTACCTTGCCGGCTAGCAAATGCATTGGGGGAGAAGCCACAGTATGAGCATCTTCATCTCCAGCCTTTGATAGAGCTGGAGATCAGACGGAGTACTCCGTACAATGCATCCATTTCACCAGACATGGGTAGCTGCAAGCCCTCACCCGAGCAGGTCATAGCCATATCCCCGTATTCTCTTTGTAAAATGGACACCTCATATTACTCAAAAACAAAGGAAAAGAAGAACCACGCACTGACATCGAAGGTTCTTGGGGCGTTCGTTGTGGAGAAAAAAGCTGAAACGTCGAAAAGGGGCTTGGCCTCTTCACCGTTTCATGTCGATCTCTTCCCACCTCAGCCTCATCTCCGTTTCAACCTCAGGGGCCATCAACGATCCGACCTCGAACAAGCAAAGTCTCCTGCATCTTGTGGTCTACCTTGCATATCCTTGATTATCCTTGCGAAACGTGATCCCTCCCCTTAAATCCGCCCACACTCCCCCCCCCAAGTCTCGTTTTTTCCCTTCAATATGTCGGCAGCCCAAGAAGAATTCAACCAGCTGGTTAGCAGTAACCGCGACAGATTCGCCTCTCACCCAGAAGATCGAGTTTACGACTCCGACCCGCACTACTCCGACGACGAGCCCGCCTCCGGCCTCCGCTCACAACGCCATACAGCCGATTCCTCCGACGAAGACGAAGACAATATGGTCTCCTCCCGCAGCGCAAACTACCACATCCCCAACACCGTCTACGACGCCAATACGGGCCCCAAGGGTGTCATCGCCGACGCCCAGGCCTTCGAGCGCGCCCGCAAGAAGTCCTTCCGCCGCACCCTCCTTAGCGCCGCGGGGCTCGACTCCCACAACCCCTCATTCAGTTCCAAGTCCACCCGCGAGGACTCACCCCTCAATGGAGAGTCCTCATCTGCTAGCGAAGATGATGACGACGAGGCCCGTTTTCTGCGCAAATGGCGCGCTTCGCGAATGCACGAGTTGCAGGCGCGGAACAACCGCCGCCCCAGTCCGCGGGGTAGACGGTTCGGCACGGTTGAGACTGTCGATGCGGTGGGGTACCTCGATGCTATCGAGAAAGTGACTTCGGATACTGTTGTCGTGGTCTGTATCTATGATCACCAGGTATGTGTGGAACAAACACGCGATATGATTGCGCTGTCTATTTGAGAAGGTTGATGGCTAATTATTTTATGGTCAGTGTGATGATAGCGCCATCGTCGAAGAATGTCTCGTTACGATCGCCCGCAGACAACCCACTACCCGCTTTGTCAAACTGCACCAGGACATCGCGGAGATGGACCACATCAAGGCACCCGCCCTGCTAGCCTATCGTGGCGGCGATGTCTTCGCTACTATCGTCGACGTCCTGCGCAGCATTCCCCGTGGCCGGAGCTGCAGCGCCGATAGTCTGGAAGACTTGTTGAAGCTGTGCGTATTCCAAGCTCTCCCTCAAGTCCTATCCCAGTATATCCTAACCCATGACATGTACAGACACCGCGTGCTATGATACTTTCTTTGTCACTATTTTCCAGCCGTCCACGTTCCCCGGCACGGTAGCATGACGTCCTATTCGTTCCCTCGATGTTCTCCACTTACACGACTTGTCTTTCTTTTGCATCGCTTTCTCTCCTCCACCCCCGGCATCTCTCTTTATCACCACACTCTCTCTTTTATGTTTGTTCCACATCTCTTTAACGTTGAATGCATGGTCTGCACAGGAAAACAAAAACCAAGAACAGATCCTTCTTGAACGGCGTTGGTCTCTAGAACGGGTGTGTGTTTGGGCTCTCAGTTTGGTTGATGGTCTGGTTACTATCCTTCTGTGTCCCATTGGACATGTCTTATCTTTCTCTCTTTGTCTGATTATGTCCTTACTTTTTGTCCCGGCGGGAGGCCGGGTTTGATGTTGATTTACTCGAGATATCCCATGCTGTTTAGTACTTCCATTGCTCTCGTATTCTCTCGACATCTGTACTACACAGATCCCTATATCCTAAGCTGTAGACTAGGGTTAGTTCTGATCACCTGCTCCTTCCGTTAACCCGCCGCTTCGCATCTGCAGCCAATGCCTGAACGTACCAACCTTCAGGGCCAATCTCCCTAGATAAACACATTTTATAGTGTTTGTCTCTAATGCAAGCCCGCGGCTGTAGTTCTATCCCGCTTGCTTTTAGCAACAAGATCTCCCAAATGCCCCCCAACGTTCGTATATACAACATCTGCCAACGCTCTAACCAGTCCATCTGGGACGCATTCAACTTGGCATATAGTAGAGCAGAGGATACAAGAGGAGTCGTCTACCCACGTATGTTGGATATGGATATCATGAAAGCCAGGAGTCTAACATAATCATTGATGCTATATCCATTCTCAACATCCCTACATGTTTGTTCTCCAAACATCTATAACCACGAAAACCACCAAGACCGAATATCCCCACACCCCATGCAAAGCGTATACACAGGCTACAGATACTACAAATTCTACACACCCACCAGCATTGTCCACCAAGCGCCGCGACTTCGATGAGAAAGTGACAGCCAAGTGACGACTAAGTGACGCGAAAGTGCGAGTTACGTGAGAAAAGGAAAGCAAATCGAGGAAAATAAAAGAAAAAGAGCCATCCTATTTCCTTCGGTAGCCCGCTAACTCCCCGTATCAAAGACAGAAAATCAAAATGAGAACGAAAAGACGTATGATCATGGCCAATCGGGAAAAGCTTCGGAGCAGAAAAACGATCAAGGATCAGAATAAGTACTCCATGGCTGGTTTTCTTGCCCGCGCTCACCTACTCGGCTGTCCTTTACAGGCCAACTCGGTCTGCCGTGAAGTCCCACAGCATTTTGACCAGCGCGTCGGGAAGGGTGTATAGATCCACGTGGAATTCCCCTACTGTTGAGGGAATGCGGTTAGCAGGTTGTGCGGAGGAAGTGTTGAGTAGAGATAGGGGAATAGAGATAGACGTACGCTCGAGATCATTCTTTGTGTAAGAATCAGGTGCCTTATGGTCTTGGACCATCTGTACGACCTGTAGGAGATCATCCTCGTTCAGCTTCTGGAGTCCGTCGGCAAGCTTGTCCATGTCGACCTAGAGTATATGTTAGTCTCGGAGCCATCTTTAAACCCAACACCGAACCACTTACATTCTTATCAGCGCGCTTCTTCTTCTTAGCGCTCTCTTCGCCAACACCGGGGCGCTTAGACTTGATAGCACCATTTTCATCACCGGGGACGGGGCCCGACTCGCGCAGCAGAGCCAACAAAGCGGGCTTGGGGTTCTTGAAAGTCTATATAGACAAAAAAAAGCTAGTCAGATCACAAGGTATTTCCCAGAAATCGATGCCAAGGCAAAGAGAAAACTCACGATCACATGCTTGGATTCATAGCGGTTCGAGGCAAAGTTCAGATCATGGGAGAGAGTGTAGGTCTTGTCGGCCGTGAGGTCAATGGTCATCTCGAACTCACCCCATCCTTCCTCTTGGATACGGAAAGGCGGCTGCTTGAAGACTATTTTTCAAAAATGCCTGTCAGTATCGAGATTCAAAATATATAGACTAATCTTGCGTCCTGGGGTGTCAACAGACACCACGCGCCAGCGCCAAGGACAAAACACAAGACAGAACAAAGAGGGGGAAGGGCCAATGCATACCTTGAGTAGCACGGGCACCGAAACTGGGGTGCAAGTTGAAGGTAACCTTGTCAAAGACGTTCGCGGGAATCAAAGCGCCCTTGTTTTCAGGCTTGTCACTGACGAGCCAAAGCTCCATATGCCAGGAGCGCTGCGGGAAGCCCTCAACCTCGGATGGCTTGTCGCTGTAGCGGGAAAAGGAACACAGGTCAGCCAAGATGTCCAATTCGAAGTGTAGGGTGTATGTGTAGATATGGGGATCGGGGGAAGTGGGGATAGCAGTGGTGTGTGGGTGTCGCGCCCCTCGGTCCTTGAGCGCACCAGCTTCCCAGACTCCTATAAGTCACAGGACAGAAGTAGCTATAGCATTGAGAGGACGTTATAGGTGTCGGGGACAGCTGAGGTGCTTGCAAGGCCGGGATCGCGCAGGGAGGACAGAGGCAGAGGGGAGGAAGAGCGCATACATGATATGTTGCTCCGTGATGAGACGGACGGTGCGCTTGACCTGTTCCAGACAAAGACGTTAGCTCTATGCAGAAGTGTGATTTGTGCTAGGACAGGCGGAAGGAGAGCCTAAGATTCACCCTCTCCCGCAGCAAATCCGGACGCTGGGGACGGCGAAACCAAGAGCATAGATGCAGTTCGGCAAAGACCAGCGGGGAGGGATGCTCACGTCAGGCATGATGAATTAAATAGGAAGCTAGGTTATTCGGAGATAGCAGGAAGATTGCAAAGGTCGCGAAAGGGTTTCCGATCGGTTGAATGCGCGGGTTGAGGTGACGTGCGGTAGTTGTGAGTCGGCGACAAGTTTGCGCGGTGGTGTACGGAGTAGGAGTAGATCGCAGCGCGAAGGGGAACCAGGATAGGCAACCACAACAGGTGGAATTAGGTCGTGGACTGGAGTATATGGTATAATTCACGAATAACTCGATTCTCTTATTTAAAAGCGATTGCGCATTGAAGCGGTGAATAGGCCGCGGGTGAGAGATCTCCATCCAGGGCTGCCACATCCACGTGCCTGTACATTCTTTTCATTGTTCCCTATAGCAGTTGGGTATATCAGATCGAGGCTGGGATCGATGTCGCTATTCCAGACTATGGTCGGGCATCAGACTACATTCTTAGGCGGGATTGTCTTCAATCATTCGGTGCTGGAGGAGGTAAAAGAGAACTTTGGAAGCCTAAGCTAAGAGCAATCATTCCAGAACGAATTGACCACGGGTTGGGAATGACTTGAACAAGTGCGAAGGTTATAAACAAGTCGAGACCGTTTTTAGAGCTGTCATAAGGCGACATGCAGGCACATTATTCGGGGTCCGAGACGTGGAACTTCTACGTTATTCATTCTAGACATTAAAATCCCTATGGCGGGCTATTGGAATACCGATCAAGCGTTACTGTTATTTTGGAGGATTTGTCTCTTCGGATATGTTCAGGGTATTGGGTGATGTGCAGGGTGTATATTCGATGGGGAAATGTCTATCTACTTCGAACTGCAAACCACCGACGTTAGGGAGCTGCCCTCCATTTCGTAGACTGCATGGCTCGCAATAGCTATGCGAGGAGCATCTTCATCACTGCTGCCTCGCTCGTCGCGTCGTAGGGGATGGGTTTGAATGGAATGGAATGGAATGGGGGGATATGGTGAAACGATGTGAGGGGGGCGAAATTGGGGTGAATTTTTCGAGAGCAAGCTCCGGGACGATGAACCCAACGGCCTTGGAACGCCAAGTGCACGATGATTATGGATACTCATCCTCGGAGAGTAATCAAGGCAACGAGAGACGAAGATTTGTTTACTCCTCAGCGCTGAAGAGCTTCTCGTTCTCCTGCTGGGCGGTCTCGAAAGCGTCACGGAAAGCGTTGGCGTCTATAACCATGGTTAGTCAAAAGCCAACGTCAAATCTAGATGGAAATTACTTACTCTCGCTGTTGGCGAAACGGATGGCCAGGGTCTGAGCCTCGGGCTCGCCCTCAGAGACATCGGCGGCGGCGTTCCAGACCCAGCTGCGGTCACTGCCGACGTTGGCGCTCAGCTTCATGTCGGGGACGACTGCAGAAAAATATTAGTATGTGTTATTCTTTGACAAAAAAGAAAACATATGACTGGGAGCAATCTTACTGTAGTGGTTGGCGCAGACCTTGAGGGTCTTATCACGGCGCATGACAAGGCGAGTCTTCTGGTTCTCCTTGTGCTTCAACAGACGGACATCACCGGTACCACGCTCCTTCCACTCCTTGGAGTCACGGTCGAACTTGAACAGCTTGGCGCGCATCTTGAAGGACTGCTCCTCGAGCTCCTCATTGGTCTTGGTCTCAACCTTCTCAGTCAGGCGGATAACGGGCTCGAAGTGGACATCAACGGACTCCTCAACCTCATCCTATAGCAAAATATCTTGGTTAGCACATGTGATGGGACCAAATAACTATGGGTTTGGCATAGCGGCGTGGTTGCGACGACCCCACTATCTGGAGACAGGGGCACAAAGACCCCGCTCCCATCGTGTACGCGCCCAACAACAACCGCAACTATCACCGGTATCAGATGTATCCAACTCACCTCATCGTCGGCCTTCTTGGCCTTGGAAGAGCCGGAGGGCTCATCAGTAGGCTCCTCGGTCTCCTCCTTCTTCTCCTTCTTGGGACCGCCACCGAACATGGAGAACACGCTGTCAGAGGTCTTCACGGCGGCATCCTTGGTGGCGTCGGCGGCCTGCTCAGCGGTCTCAGTAGCAGTCTCAGCAACAGCCTCGGTGGTAGACTTCTCGCCCTCGGTGGTCTCAGGCTTGGTCTCCTCGACGATGGCGGGGTCGGGCTTGGTTTCGGCGACGTCAGACATGATGACGGAGCGGGTTTGAAATGATCGGTTTCAAAAGGATAAAAGGAAAGATAGCAAAGTCCCACGGGGAATAGAGTGGAATTTCAGAAAGAGATAGTGTTTGTTGATCAGAGAAAGCGGCGATGAGGGGGGAAAAATTAATACCTACTTTGGGTCCCATGCCTGGCAGAACTCGCCACCGCTCTCGTCTGCCAATGGTCTATGTTGTAATAGGAACTATACGTGGATCTTGTACATAAACAAAAGGAAAAGTAATCAAAATGAATACATGAATTCTATCTGAATCACTACCTCGTAGTTCCAAGCAAAACTGGAATTGCGGTTTAAATAAGAGATATCATTGCGCCGACTGAATAATTCGCATGAAACCCAGTCCCAGTTTCCGTTGCTCCCCCCCACCAAACCTGATCGCCATGAACAAAAACCGATCCTCAGCCAAATCGTTCAAGGAAGAAAAAGAAACAGAAGAAAAAAAAGCAAAAGCTAATACAAGGTCATAAGAGGCAGTTAATTCATGTCAAGCGAAGAGTTCAGCAATCCTCGGATTTATCGGCCCGGAGTCCCAGAACATATCGAGCACGCGACTGAGCCCGATCTAGCGCCTCGCACTTCCGTGCCTTGCGCACTCGATCCATCATGTTGCGGATGTCCAGTTTGGCCGCTGAATTCTCAAGCCGGCTCCAAACGTCATGAACGAGGCCCTTGGCCTCCTCATTCACGCGACTGGATCGTAGTTGCAGCACGGAAGCGGCACTGCGGAATCGCTGAATGGCATTGCGAGTGACGACTTCTGAAATTTGTTTCGAACGAGATAACACAGTGTTGCTTGAATTCAAAGCCTCGGCATCGCGGCGCAGTATATGGGTCCTCTTCACCACATCTCCCATGATCACCTGCAAGTCGGTGGAGAACCGGCCGTACACCTCGGTCAGGCCAGTCTGAGCCGTATGTAGGTCCTTGGCGAACTGAGAGGAAATTCCTCGGGCTGCACGCTTCCAGTTTGAAATTTTCAACCACGGGGTTCCGAAATCAAGAATCATTGTCTCGCTGATTGGGCGCTTCGACTGGGTTGTGATCGTCAAGTTGACCAAACCGTACGCATCCTCACGGTTCAGTTTCAGCGTGTAGACCCCATCAAACAGCTGTGACATCTCGTATGGAAGGGCAGTACTCTCCCTGTAAATACTGATGCTGAACTGTGGCCGTTTTCTGGATGATGCAAACTTATGAGGAGGTTTGATGATGACATGGCAGTCTCCAATAACTTGGATCTCAAATTCGTGGTTCTTTCCCGACGGGTTTGTGACAGAAGCAATTGAAGCTACGCCATCATTGGGGACTGAGTTTTCCAAAGAGGGTACATGCAATAGCCGGACAGAGGATGACGATGGTGTCGAAACCGAGGTCTGTATGACTTGATTGAGGGTCAGGACAGAGGTGGAAGAAACCTGGGATGCCATTGGCAAGGATGCATTGGTGAGAGCTGATCCGGCAAAGAATTGTGCTAGGAAAATGACCGAAACCCTGAGAGCCGTAAACCCAATGGAGAGGGCAATAGCCATAATGAGTGTCAAAGTAAATGCCCGAAGCGTCGGTGATAGTTCTCGGGCCCGAGTAGCATAGGAAGGCGGGAGCCAGTTCCCAGGATACTTCTCAAGATCCGCGAAAATGTTTCTTTGAGCAGGTTTTGGGGCCTCGGCGATGACTTTATGAGCCTTCTTCGGATACAGGCCGACGAGCGAGGCCAGGTTTCGGTTCAGCTGGCCAGGCGTGATGCTCTCGAAAGTCTTCAAATCAATGGGATACCGCCGAAGAACTGCGGTCTCCCCGGAAAGTGGATGGCGGGATTCCAGACACGTGTGCAAACTGTTATGGTTGAGAGGGATCATCTCTCCAGCCATTTTCCACAGTGGTTCTTCCGAGATGACCATCGCCGGAACCCCATGTCGTTCTAGGAATGTATGGGCAAGACGCTGTGTCTTCACAGCTGCAGCATCATCAAGGCCCGAGATCAACAGAATTGCGACATCTGGTAAAGTCCAGTCTGTTGCAGAAGTTACATAGTAGTCAGATCCATTCCAGGTTGAAGTGCACACAGGGCGATTCTTGAACTTCAGGTTGAGTGTATCGGGTCTATCCGCACGTGGATCAGCCGTTGCTTCCAGACATTCGTCCACCACTAGCTGAACATGAATGGGCAAGAGCTCCGCAAAATTTGGAATAGCCCCGGCACCAAAAGAGGTGGGAACGACATGATATCGGGAAGATTCAGCCGAGCTAGGCTCTGAACCAGCACAGGAGCTCGATACCAGAACATCGCCGATCTTGTCGAGAATGATGTTTCGGAAACCAGGGTGTCCGACATAGAGCACGCGGAAAGGTTTATCAAGGTCGAGACTCTGTTTCGTCATGGTCTGCTGAAGAGTAGCCATAAGAATGGAATCGGTGGAGTTGTAAGGCAGCCGGCTTTTCAATTCCGAAGCTGCCGCACCTTCAAAGATACGGATAGTATGCTTGAGCTCCACTCTCTCGATCTCAGGCCATTTCTCGGGCTCCACAAACTCGATTGAATCACTGGTGTGGGGAAAGGAGGGCTTTGTGGTTGCGGTGCTGTCATCGATCGTGGTTCTTCTGGCGGCAAAGAGAGCAGGCAACTCCTGAGAGGCTGATTCAGGACATTGAAACTTCTCCTCCTCTATCCCATCATCCTCTCGGTTGTATTCATCTTGCGCTTCGGCCTCACTACTACTGTAGCGTTCATCGAGGCTTGCAACGTCGTCAGGGCTGGTCTGGTCAATTAACGAGCACAGATCGTTCTGTTCCGAGTGGCTGCCATCTTCTGAGCGTATATCAGATACACTCAGCGTCGCCCAGCTTTCACTCAAGGTTCTGGGGGACGGATCAGAAACTCGATCTGACGTCATGTTCGTCGGTCGTGAACGGGATAACCACTCCTCAACAGAAGCTGATAGAGGTGGAAGGGTTGGATATTGAAGGCTAGAAGCGGTTTGGGCACTGAGGAGACGCCTGTGAGGCGATTCAGTATCGTCAGTCATCTCGAAGTAAACTTCATAGAGCACACGGGTGCGGGCGGAAATAGGGCGGGAATAGAAGCTTAGGAAGAACCCAAGCCGGAGGGAAAATGGAAGTCAAAAAAAGCAGAGTTAGAGACGGAGACGAAGAGATCCAGGAAATGTAGAGGGGGGGAAAGGGGAAGGACGGAAGATACTGGATGAGAGTCCTAGGCAGAGAGACTCTTGAAAGCCCGAAGCCCAAATGGAGTGATAAGCAGGTGGGTCTGCGGGGAGTTGCCGGATGGGCAGGACGTCAGGTGCAAATGTCTCTGACTCAAGGATGTAAGGGAGAACGGTATGAGTCTTGGAAGTTAGGCTCGCAAATAACACTTAATGAAGACGAACATAAAAGCGAAGTGAAACGCGGAAGGTGGATGAGGGGCTGGACTGTTATGTTGCGATAAGAATGGATGACCCAAGTGACAGTAATGGCGGGGTTGTATTGGGTACCTGATGGTTGTACGGTGCTTGCAGCTTGGAAGCTCGTATTGGGTACTTAGACCCTTGGTTTCCTAACTGCACAGTCCTTTGCTCCCTCTCGAAGATGCATTCTGATGCACCCTAACGCACTTGAAATTAAAAGAAAAGAAGAAATAGAGCCTATTGTAGTGCAATACTCTATGAATCTGTTATTCCCTGCTCTAAGCTATCCTCATACTTCCTTTGTCAGTTGCTATACTTCCAACCTTGGAAGGTTCCTTGCCTGGGCGCTCCACCGTAGACCCACTATCCTCACTTTAAACCCCAACGCATCTATAGAGGGAGTAGTGAATCTATATCTGAACTCCACGCGATAAAACCACCAATGATCTCAATCAATTTTCTAATATAAGCCCTCTAGCCCTCATAAAGTAGTGTCATACTTCCCAAATCCAGCCTCCATAGCGGGATTTAGGATGAGGATCCCCTTCTTTAGTATATATAGGAGAACGAAAGCATCATGATTTGCTAAGGCAGCGACATACAACAGTTTATACGTATTCATAATCTGCATACATGGCAATATGATCCGGAGAGTAATCATCAATATCACTTGGGCTCGGCTAATCATCTATTCCGATCAAGAATCGGTTCACAATTTCTTCAAATGACCCGGTTTGGCCAGGTCTCTCCTATACACTTTCGATTTGCATCTGTGGATATGCCCAAGAACGGATTACAGCCCAAAAATGACTCAAGCCGCACCCTAAGAACCGATCTCGGGCTCATAAACTGCCCCAATGCGGTGAAACTCCTGGCAGCGCATGTACATACCGACGAGTCTCGACCGGCTCGGGGGCTTGTATACTCTGTCATTCATTAAGCGTGGCTGGTAGTCCTCCGCAGACGCATCGTCCTTACACCAGAATTCTCGCCAGCCATATTCGACAGGACCAGACAGGCCATCTGGTGGGTTGATAGAGAGACGAAGCTTCTCATATTGCGGCTGTCCAGTCTGCTCAATCTCAAGCACAATTTCCATAAGCTTGTCCTCTGAGGTTGCAATCACAATCATCAAGCCAACAATCCGAACACCCAGTGCAAAATGAACTGTCTGACGGGTGTTGGTATCAAGCTCACCTGTGCTTGCTGTTCTGCCCGACGAATAAACAAATACTATCCCGACTATTGCCTGATCTCTAAAGTAGGCCTCGGCTGTGGTGATGATCTCTGTACAGCTGTCGGCATTCTGCTTCTCGAAGTAGAGTTTCCGTACTTGATCGAACGGGGGTCCGTTATCTGGAACCAATACGCGAGCATTTGGATTTCCATTCGCAGATTTGACTACCCGCGCCCGTTCACAAGCCGAGTTCAATATCCATGAGATGGCTGTGAATTTCTCATCCGAGTCGGCTTGGTACTGGTGGTTTAGCAGATTCAGGGATTGTAAAGAGTGGAAGTCCGGGGAGGAGAACGTCACATTGCGCGAACGCGTTGTCTCAATGCGTATACATGCGACTTGAGCTAGTTTCACTCCCGGGCACTCAAAAGCAGAACCGACTGGAATGAGCCAGTTAAAGATTGAATCTCCTCGTCTCGGGAGAGTTCAAAACTATCGTCAAGCTTGTGCATCCATTGGCCTACGACACCAGGGCTTGGATGGTCGTAGTAGTCAAATTTCAAACCAGAGATGCGGCTTGGTAACCTGGATCGACCTTCGATGCCTCTAGATGCCTGGATCTTCCGAACGTTCTTGAGTGATGCATAGGTCTGATAGTTCCCGGGGTTCGCACTATTTATGAAATGAGAAAGTCTTATCGTACTCCAGTTCCTCATATGGTGTCTGATGGCATTCATGATTCATATCATCTGGTATCTCGGGTTCTTGGCCACAATTCTGGGACTGGATACCGACGCGTGCAAAGTAGGTTGGGCTTGTCCGAGTTCGTTCAACTGCAATAGAACGCCTTCTTGGTACGTAATAAATCGCCAACTCAAGAGCAAATAGTCCTCTGATGGTGTTCGTGGATGGCGAAATCGGTATGAGCTCAACGGTTGCATTAAGCTGATAGTGAAGAGACGCAAATGTAGCAATTCGTCCATAGTTTGTCGATATCTAGTCTAAATTTACCTGTGCCGTGCATGGATTATATGAATACAGCGAGAAATACCTGCAAGCCACCTAGAAATTGGGGAGTGTGGGGATTGGGAGTGCTTTCTATCATTCTGACTTGGGTGACTCGCTCCCCTTTCGATCCATTGATAAAACATGAAATTGCGCAGCCGTCGTTCGAGCCAAAAAGCATAGATCCCCTATCCGAATAGCAAATCTCTATTCCGACCAGAATGCGAGGGACGGATGCCATATGGAACGTGAGCCATGTCAAAGATTCGAGAAATAGGCCTTTTGGGCCCCCAAAATCAATATTGGTGAGCGATTCGAAGGCCCGAGGAGGCTGGAACGGCAAAAGAATGCTAAAGCTCAAGTCATCTTGCGTCGGGGTAGTCGGTGTCCATAACTGAGAGTCTACATATGAAACAATCGCATGCTGAGAGGGGGACTCTGGAGGGGCCTTTGGGTCATCAATCAATTCGCCGATGCCCAGTGAAACAATTTTCAACCGATCTAAGCCTGCAAGCAGGAAATATCGAGTTGGCCTCTCTGGAATGCTAAGGGTGCCACGTGCGATCCCTGGGCCGCTGGAAACACCAATCCAATCAGTCGAATTCGGACCTGTGGATGTGAATTTGATGCCTGTCAGTCCCTGTGAGCAGAATGCCACACCGAGAGCTTTCAGTTGGAAAGTGGACGGTATTTCGATCCATTTTTCGGAAGTTGGATTGTGATATCCAAGTAGACGATCGATAGTCCCGCCCTGGTCCAATGGAAAAAGGGTGATGCCCGATATATAGATCCGAGCGCCAACTTGGACCATTGAGATACGTATTCGCTGTCGGCATTGCTGATGCGGAGATATGACTGATTGAGTTCTATGGTATAGTACACAACATCCCTCATCCAAGCGGCTATCCGCGCTAACAGAGCATAGTTGACCCGAGAAACAGCTAGCCATTTCTATCGTGCGAGATGGCTTCTCAGTGATGTCGCTATGATTTAGCCGATACAAGTTGCTTTGGCTTTGTGTCGGGTGAGCAATAGATCCACATGGACCATGTCGCAAAACAGGGTCTAAGCTGACGAGGGCAGCGATGGGTTCCAGCAATTGACGAATTCTCCTTCTATTGATCAAAGACAAGTTCTCTGACTTGAGCAACGCTCTTGTCCCGAAGAAAAGCAGGTACCAGTCCCGCTTATCTGTAGCATCCAGGAACAGAAAGTCAGCTTCCTGGTTAAGGAGAAACCTACTCCGCCAGTACGACTGTGGCAGCATATCAATAGTTGCAAGCAGAGCAAGATCTCGACAAACAAGTCTCATATTCAGGAGTTCATCCAAGGATAAATATGAGAATATTTCGAATTTCAGCTCGCGCAAGAGTCCATCGAAGGCATTGTGCTGACGTTTTTCTGGCTGGTCATGTAATTCCTTTCTCGGAGCAGAGGGGGTGAGATCTCTAGAATAGAACGAGAGGGATCTCTGTTGCAGTTGCAGTTATGCTCAATTCCCCCCGCGGTCATGTTCATTGAGCAAGGATCAAGACGACCTTTCCATAGCGAACTATCAAGTACATTGCGGAAATCGAATGCAGCTGCTTCCAAGTCATTTTGAGAAGGTATCGCACACGGGTCAGCATATAAATGCGAGCTCAGATCTACTGGATTGGGTACTCCGGACGATTTGTGTGTCTGCGCAGCACCCTGATAATCGTGACCGAATTGGAAGATGGAGCCTCCAGCGAAAGGAGTACAAGATAGTTGATAGAAGACTGATTCTGCGATGGCCGTCTCGTTTTGGAATGCATTACCTGCTCTACAGCCAAGCCTGAGGAGTAACAAGCTCCAGCACGAGTTGTGAAAGCCAAAGCACCATTGGGCTTGCCAAGGTCCGCAAAGTTTCCAGTTCTCCAGCGCCTCGAGTTCCAATCCAATGTAGGACTTTTCGCTGTCAAGCGGTGCATAGAGAAAATTGCGGCGTCGTACTACTCCTAGCCCGGTCACAGCAATAGACCCGGCTTTACTAGAGTAAAGGCCTCGTGCTTCTGTGTACCAGGGACGAACGAGGTGCTTTTCAAAGACCGGCTCATTCCGGTAGGGTTCTGATAGCAGGATCACCCCGCAGAAAGGACAGTAAACATTAGAAGCCATCGAGTTGCGGGGTCACGTTTCTCTGCCCTCGCGCTGAACTGATTGATGGGCGTTGAGGTGATAAGATGCAACTAAGATGGAGCTGCGGTGGACTCCCACCCTTGCGGATTCAAAGCAACTAAACCTCCCCGGGTTGGATCTCTGTAGATATGTCGCGGTACAGACCAAATCCGCCATATAATCGGAGTCGGGATAATTGATACTTCCAGGCTTAGGTCTCTCATCCAAAGCCATCTAGAATGCCCAACTATCCATCTTCAGGTCCCCTAGTATATCCCACTCGGTCGAAAGTGTACCCATACACATGCGTGTGCTTTTCTGCGCCTGGTAAACACGTCAAGATTCCCTGCTTGCTTGGTCATATATATGGGAACCAACCTGCCTTTTTGCAACGTGCTACCGATATGCCAACGTCCAGTGATCTAGCTTCACGGTTTACTTATTACTGAAAGTAGACAAAATATCAATACCACTTGAAGGCATCATCGGAAGGACAGGTAAATTGTGTAGAAACAAAGTGCACTATACTGATATCATTCTTCACGTAATTCACCTGGTGATTATTCCATACTCTATAGACAACCATGCTCGATCTGGTATTTGCGAGGGTCAATGGGGGCAATGCGAGGGAGTAACCCGTGGATATATGCCACGGAATTGATGGGCGGGGAAGGGGGAAAGGTATGTACATTTCATGAATGCATGCTGGAAGACAATCACAAAAACTGCGTACACGGGGATGGAAAAGGGGGAAAGCAGCTGGTGGAGAAGTGGCCGATGCGAAAACGAGGAAAAGGCGAAGAGACGTGCCGAAGAAGACGACGGAAGTTGTTTTGAGTATTTCTCCCGACCACAAATCAGCGATTTTCTACCACTGATAAAGCCGTGCTCCTGGTAGACCGGAGGATAGAGCGATGGAAGATGATCCCGAGGAGATCAGAAGCATTGAATTTGAGATGCCTCTGAAACCCAACGAGGAGCGGTGTTCCACTGCTGATGCGCTATCCTCCAAATGCAACCAAGAGGTTAATCACGACAACCACTCCCAGTAGCACAGCATGCTTGACAAGTGTGTCAACAGTGATGATGAAAATGGTGTTATCATCTTCCGATAAGAAAGCCGTCAGATCCATGTAACGCCGCCCAGAAAAAACCCCGTGTCCAATATAACATGCAGGCTCCGGCTGATAACTCCCAAGGACTAACTCAGGTATTGTGAACAGCCGAATAGATAGACAAGGGGAGAGGAGGCGCAAAAAGATGCGGCAAACACTGAGCGCTACGGCATCGGCATCATGATTTATGGCGAAGCCCAGCCACCAGCCACATCAACCCATTCGTTGAGACAGCTGCCTTGCTTGCCCTCGACGTCAACAATGTCCGTGTCACAGCGGCATCGGCAACCCACACCATTCTCCTTGACTGGGTCGGGGTTGGCCCAGTACTCATCTTCCTCGATGCGCTTCTTCTCGTCATCGGTAGTCTTCTCGAGGTAGGGGGAGCGGGCGAGTTGACGAGCGGGAGCGTTGGCTGGGCAATGCTGGATGGTAGTGTGGCGGTAGCCAAAGTCACGGAAGTAGTGAATATCACCAGGTCCGAGGAGTGCACCAGCGGCGAGAGAGTGAATAGGAGCATCACCCCACTAATATGGTTAGTAAATATTCCTCAACAAAGATGGAATACAGGTGGCATTACATACCCGCTCGTTCCAAAATCCTCCACTTCTGTCCATCATGGTGAAGAAGTCCTCGTACTCCTTGCTGCGGAACCAATCAAGACGCGCAATCTCGAAGTTACTCCAGAAATGGCACATGTTATAGCTCTCGCCTTCCATAGCCTCTGGGTCAACGTCCTTGAGATGGTGGTCACCAGGGTCGGTCTGCAAAATTTCATCCGGCAGTTTGTCCTCCTTTTGCTCCTCAGGGGGAGTTTCTGGTTGCTCGGGCTGCTCCAGGAACATTTCCCAGAGACCCTTGGACTTCAGATTGTTCTTGCGCTTGTAAGCGGCTGCGTAACGGAAGATATTTGGGACCGTCTCTCGAAGCTCCTTGACAGCGATAGTGAAACCGTAGGTCTTGTTTGCCTCGGCCATCTTGAGGAATGGATCACTGAAGCAACAAGTCAGCAAATTGGCCAAGAAACATGCCAAGGCAAAGATCTTACTATGTGATATCGCAGAAGTACTTGATTTCGGGCTCCAAACGCCAGTACCACTCGTACTTCATCAGCAAGGGGTGCTTGTAGAAGTGTCTAGCGCAAAGTTAGCTTTAAAAATCTCACAAACCTGGCAGCAAAGACTAACCCAGAGTAGAATCGGCACATGTGGTGGTAGCTCTCCATTCCACCGTACATGATGGCGGCATCACCCTGCTTCCTGATGCCCTCCTTGGCAACTTCGTGGTCAACCCAATCGGGGAATCCCCACATGGTGTTGTCGATTTTACCAAATTCAACTTCCGCGCTGGTATAGTTCTTGACAGTGGCTTTGAAATCCTCATCGAAGTCACCGTCGTTGAGGAAAACATAGGGATAGTGCCACCAGCGGTTGAAGTGTCTCTCAATCGACTTGAGCGACTGGATCACACCATCCAACTCCTTGTTTCTAGCAAGAACGACGAACGCAGCATTGGCGCGAGGGGCCTTGTCGATTCGGTCGGTGTCGATGGGCTCACAGCCCGTCGCAAAGACCTTATCATACTTTTCGCTGATTTTTCTATAAAGCGCAGGGAGTTAGCAATCGCACACACGACCATTGGTTAACAGGGCGACACGAACCGGATAGAAGGCGGAGTGCCTGCTGGAATTAAGATCCCCCCGGGTGAGGAAGGGTGTCGGACGAAGAGGAGCAAAATAAGGACAATTACAAGGCATGGAAATAGTAAAACAAGACCCAGGGGTATAGAAATAGACGAGTTGCCCTTCAGACGTATCCTCCTTCGGAAAAAGGCGAATCTAGGGTGGAGGCGGTCTTTCTCGTGGGGGACGTCCTCCAACGGCAGACTCGGCGCACTAGGCAGCCTCTTCGTGATTCGTTGGATGAAGCTCATGGATGCGGTTGTGATGATACCCCACGGATAATGGTAGAGGTCAGCTGTCCGGCCCAAGCGACAGCACGGGGCCGTTTAGGGAGATAGCGGAGAAATCGTGTCGGATGCGTGACCAGACACAGGGGGATATGGGTCTGGGGGCGGGAGAAATTCGAATCGGGGAGCCAACGGTCAAATCGACTTCGGACCGTATGGATCGCGGGAGGATCCGAAAGTCGAGAGATCTCAAGTGAAAATGGAGAAAATGACAGCAAAACGAGTGGCTGGAGGAATGCCTCCTTTCCTCCCCCAACTTTCTCAGTCCCACGGTAAATAGATGGGGAGAGCGTCGGGAGCAACGCGGAAAACTGTGAACAACAAGGTACACAGGGGGGAAATTGGGGACATGAACAGGAGGTGATGGAGAGAGGAGACGGGGAATTGGAAGATGGGATGGGTTGCTTGCGCCTCCCTGGTCTTGGCGACGTCCGCTGGCCTCTCGGTGTCACCCTGAGACGGTTATTTTGCCCCTGGCTGCAGTGCGGTGGCGTTCCAATGGGTATTGTATGGTATTGGGGTATTTTGGTAATCTACATTTTCTGTGATTATACTGGCTCCCTGGACATTGCGTTGTTTGTATTTGATTCTTCTTCTTTGAGCATCATGGATGGTGCTGTGGCTCCTGTAAAGTTGAGCTGAACTTAAGAGTCGATGGTCTTTCCCTCGCTTCGCCTCGATTCTCCTGATACCTAGGCACCTAGCCCTTTGACTGGCCTCTTATGGCCGGGGGGGGATCATCTATACCGTACTGTAGTTACTAGCCCCCAAGCCAACAAAGAAAGCTTCTGTGCGATAATTTCAATCCTATCTGCTGGAACTATGCTTGTGCTCGTGTCCGAATTTCCAAATCGTGTGCCTGAATCGAAGAAAAAAAAATTCATTCCACGGTACTGCGTACGACTGATGCTACTTAGCCCACTTGATCCACCATCACTCGGCCCTACGCGGCAATCTCATACGGAGTACGGAGTACGGAGTACACATGGCTTCCTTACAAAGTACATTGTACCATTTGTATGGCTCCGGGGTTGTTCTAGCGATGTAGATTGGGCAGATCTATTTTCCGCATCTTCGCTTTGGATACTTCAACAGAGTGCTCCTGATTCGACATGTCTCGCTTGGGTTTACAAAAGATGTAGCTAATGCCCCGTACGGAGTACTCCGTACGGAGTACGGAGTACAACGTCTAGGAGTTAGCGCATGACGATCGAGGGTCCAAAACCTTCTCAGACCGTTGGGGCCGAGAGAGCGCGTGTGAACAATCCTTGGGGACGTCTGATCCTATCATCTGCGAGGGCTGCATTCAGCCTCTCTCTGCTCTATGCTGATGTATTTGGTACTTTCATCATCATGATAAACATTGCACAAAGTATGTACCGGGTACTCCATACCTGCCGTCCGACATCCAAGTTTATAAGAGCACGTGACCCTGTTAATACGGCGTTCGGTTCTGGTAATTTCCCCTTCTGCGTTCTGAATTTAATTCCACTTTATTTATGGATCGTCCAAGGTCTGGACCCCCCGTTCTGTTATAATTAGTCGAACCCATTGCTATTATCCTGGTGATGTTTTGTTTCTCACAACATATATTCTCCTAGATCGACTCGTTAGGCTCTACGAAGTTTATTTTGCTCGTGTGCAGGGTCACTCGAAGCAAAGTACTCCGTACATCCTGCGGACGTATTGTAGATCGAGCTGAATACCATTGCGTGTACTCCGTCCTCTGTGCCGTGGACTTGGAAAGGAGCCTCGATACATCATAACGCACCTTGCGGAGTACTGCGGTACTGAGTTATCGCACTTCATAAGGGTATCATATACATGCACGTTGTAGATCCTAACTTGACGTTGTGAACAACCAGAGGGTCAAAAGGCTTGGTTCCGGCCAAGATCATCCCGTCATCCTCCATCATCACTCCACATGACAATCCCTACTCTTAAACTTCACTATATGGAGAAATTACCATAGGGTGCCCCCCCTTTTCTTGGGATCTTACATTCCTTCTTTTGTACAACCTCCACCATGAATACAGTGCTTACTCGGCCCTCATTCTGTGAGGCCAAGACCCCAATCATCAAAGTCCCCGAACCTGGCCCCTCATCTTATTTCCGCCCGCCTCGCAACGGCGGAAATTTAGGTCCCTTTTCACCTGTGAACGAGAATGGAAGTTTCGAGTTCGATCGGGTCTTGAAATCGGGAAGGGTTTCCCGCCGAGTCAAGCACAAGCATGTCTTTCGCGCCTCATGGAAACAGGCCTACCTCGTACTCCGACCGAACCTCCTTTCCGTGTACAAGGATGAAGAAACAACCCGCCTCCGTGTCTCGATTTCCCTCTCTGAAGTTACCGCCGTTGCACCCGTGAAGTCTCCGCGATCGACCCGCCAGCACGTTTTCGGCGTCTTTACTCCATCGACCAATTACCGCTTCGAGGCCCCGACTGAGCGCGATGCGGAAGATTGGATCCAGCGTATTCGTGCGGAAACCCCCGGCAACGAGGACGAGCAAGCTTTCCTGGCCTTGGCCAAGAAGCGCGAGCTCCCCTCCATCAACAAACAACTTGTTGACGAGACAACCGATCACTCTGATTTCGACCATACTGGCCGCGCCAGCTCGCCCGAGCCACGCCACACGCTGTCCCCGCGCAGTAACAATGCCCAGAAACTCCCTTACATCCAGGATTACTCGGGCAACGAAATCTATTCACATTCAGAGTTCTCGGATGGACCCGCCCCAACCCGTCATCACCAGTTACGTTCTATGCCGTCTATCCATTCCCTGTCTCTTTCGGCGCAAGACGATAAATCAGCACCCCTACCATCCGCATCTTTGCCTCGAGACACAGCCAAGCAGTCTGACCTGGGTATCCTGCGTGACCCGGAGCGAGTCATCTGTCAGGGGTACCTGCAGGGGCTGCGCATCCAAGGGACCGTGCGGCAATGGAAAAGGCTCTGGGTTGTGCTGCGATCTAAGAGTCTGGCCTTCTACAAGGACGAAGCGGAGTACTCTGCCATCAAGATCATCCCCATGTCTCAAGTTTTTGATGCTGCAGAGGTGGATCCTTTGTCTAGGTCGAAGAAGTTCTGCATGCAGATCATCGCCGAAGAAAAGACCTATCGCCTTTGCGCTCCAGAGGAAGAATCCCTCGCGCGCTGGTTGGGCTCTTTGAAAAGTATTTTGGCTGCACGCAGGAAATTGGAGCCCGCCCCGGGCCCCTCTGGATAATGCTCTCCCTCTACCGAGTAGAGCCTGTTTCATCACTCTACCCACTCCTATTCTCTTCACCTATTTCATCCCCATATTTCTTTGGCTACTGTCTTCCGTCTTCATCTTTCCCTTTCTTTCAATATACCCAGGTTGGTGATATCATTTCGATTACTCGTCTCGTGGTGAGATTCGGAGTCTTCGAGGAACGGATTGGCGTTATAACCTTTGTCCACACTCGGTGGGCGAAGGGGAGTTCTTATCTCTATTATGAAGCTACTCCAGCTTTTTTTTATCTTCTTTCTCTCGTTTTTCTCGTTCCCTTGTCTCTCTATTTTATCTACCAAGGCTGTGCATTATCATTATGCAACCAAGCCCCCACTGTCAAGTCTGACATTATCCTTCGTTTGTCATCTTCTGTTTCTTTGTCTATACTGACTGTGTATTATGTATTATACTTTTGTGGCCTACAATACTTGAGTACATAATATGTAATCCAGATGCAAACCAACTACCCAAATGACTAGCCCTAAAACCTAGCAAAGTAAATTCCCACCTAGATCCATGCCCACAAACGGATATTCCAGGTTGATATATCATAGGTATGCTCGCAAAGCAATTCAATCCTATCTCAAGCAGACAAATACTCCTGCTTAAGCTCTTGACCCCCAATAAAAGATTTCTCACTCGACATCAAAACAGCCAACATCCTCGCCGGTTTCGAATCCGACGAATTCCTCCACCGATGCATCGTCCCACGCTGCACAACAGTATCCTATATATCCACCGTAAGCATCGCCTATACCCTTGGAACCTTAGAACCTTTGCAAACCCAACCCAAAACTTACCCCTTGATAAAGCACCTTCCTCTCCCCCGAATCAAGCTCCAACTCAATTTCCCCCTCAATAACAACCACCAGATCGATAGAAACAGTCCGATGCATCGGCGACTGAGCCCCAGCGCTCATATCAATATAAACCGAATTCACGCCGCCATCAACAGTCACCTTGTTGATTTCTCTGCTGCACGATGTCGCCACTGTCCCGTCATCGGGGGCCATGTAGAGTTTGAGATCGGCGTCTTCGTCTAAGGGCGCTGGTACCCGGGGTAGACTGTATGCTCTTGCTACGGCGGAGCCGAAGCGCTCATGGTAGAAGAGGTCCGGTGTTGGGAGGAAGACGCTTCTGGCTGCGTCATCGTGGCCTATTATGTAGCGGGTGCATGGCCTGAGGGTGTTTGGGGTGGTTGTTGCGCTGGCGGACATTGTTTTTGGATTTCCTGTTTGAATGCTCTATGAGCTATGTTTCTGGACAGAACAATCGATAAAATAGGGAAAGATAGTCTGTTTTCGAGTTGCGGGGTGCTACTGTTCGTAGAAAGGTTCTTGAGATTCAGGGAATCAGCTACCCGCGGGTCTGTAGATGGGCCCGGGGGTCGGGTCTGTAACTCTTGCTTCTAAGATGACCCCCGGGCAAAGAGGACAAGCAGCAGGAACTCTTAGACTGCATTGGAGTAAGGGCGTCAGGTCTCATCTATGCACATGTAAGCATATGTAGATTATATCAGACGAGTCAGGGTTCCGGTTGAAGTGTGATCTCTACGTCTAGGTCCTGTTTACACAATGATAAACTACCTCAAAGCTAGCATACCCAGTCCTTACAATATATCTGTATTTCTCACATTCTTTACTCTGTACTATTCACAATACCCCTATAAAAAAGATAAAATAAGATCGATCTCATCAGCGACAAGAAATTCATCCTATTCAAAAGTCATCCGTCACCCCACCCCGGAACTGCCTCAACAGCTCCCTCCCATAATCATTCCCATTTGGAGTCCGGGTGATGGTATGGGCATGGTGCTTAGCCGGTCCCTTGTTGAGCAAGAAAACACCCGAGTGATGATCAAACTCGACCATAACGATAGGGCTCTGGATGCGATAGTAAAACGGATCGTCATCGCCGAAACCGCCAATCCAGGAGAAATAGGTCTCATCCAGGTGTTCACCAATCTGGCACATGCGTGCCTCGAGAGGATTTGGCGGGAGAAGGACGAGGAATGAGGCGACGGCTTTGAGCAGGAGAGCTTGCTGCGCGGAGGGCATTTCGGTGGCTTTGATGCCCTCATAGGGAATTATGCGGTTGTCCTGGAAGGCGCCGCCGAGATGGCGCTGGTTCTGTTAGTTTGATATAGCTTCTGGCTTGTTTGGGTGCTTTGATAGGTTATACCTGGTCATACGGGTTCCACCGGCCGGGAGGCATCTTCTCGGTAAACATTTCTGTGTAGATTTGCGCCTTTTGCTGGAGGAACGTCGGCAGGGTCTGCATCAATTGTAGCCCATAGGTACCTTCCTCAACGCAGAGAGTCAGACCTTTGCGTTGTCCGGCGTCAATTTGCTGCATTGTTGCAATTAGTGAATGTGAAGCATATAGATTGACCAACTTACATTTGGTTCCGCGCCGATAAAGACCGGGCTGATGGTCATCTGTTTCCCCAGGATGAAGACATTGACACAGGTATGATGGCCAGTTAAGGAGAACCCCCACGGCTTTGTTGTTGAGGGCGTATCGTACAGTGCGAACCTATTCATCCACAGAAATATCAGCAGTTGCAGGTAAAGGGACACGGGGAATATATGTACTGGTAACTATATCGATTGAGAATAGGCGCCGCGTTGACCAGCTCTCCCAAGAAATGATTCACTTCCATCGCAGCGATGACCTTCGAGTATCCTTCTTCGCTCAAACTGACCTCTACCAGCCTGAGGATTGCTGCGATTTTGTGTGCCGCGAGAGTATGAAGTCGCACGCCATACTTGAAGATTAACACTTCAGGATTGGACCATTTTCTCCTAATACTAATTAGTAGAGGCCAATAAAATCAATTCTGTAGACTCGTACCAAGCATCTGAATCAATACTGTAGCTCACAGCCTGCAGCTCCGAATCGGACAGTACGGCTTGGACTTCCTTGGCTGCAGCGACCTATTCGATGATCAATGGGAGATTACCACCTAAGATTGCCTTTGTGTGCTTACCATTGCCTCAACTGGAGCACCCTCATCCGCTCTCCTGAAAATTCCCTCCTTACGATGCCCGTCCGTCGTGATCCCATGGAAAGGCTGATTCAACTGGGCTTTCCATTCCTCGAACACCGGCACTACCTGCGGAGAACTTGCGATCTTGTTCGAATAAGTCTCGATATCTGTCTGGTCAAGTCCGATGATGCGCGGATGACCTGGCTGGGGAACATATCTGCGAAAGTCAGAAGGATGAGGTTGAGGCTCAAGCATGGGCAAAGACAATGACGGAGCCATAGTGATGGTGATTGGAACAAGAGACGCAGTGATAGAATTGGCAAGTGTATCGTATGTATCGATCTCTCTTCTTTTTGGTTTGTCAAAGTGTTATTCAATCGATTTCCGGGGTAATGATGTACATCACAGGATAATATGCGGTGTATTGGCTTCCCCGGGGGCCTGGGATGATTTCCGGGGATGTTGCCGAGGATTGAATATAATCTGTTATATGACGCATGTCTGTGCTTACTTCCAGCTCATTTTCTGGCTTTTCTCCGTTTCCTATATTGATCATATCTATTGTTCTAGCAAAGCAAAATGAGCGACTTCTCAGCACAGTACACCAACGCGAATATCGCCCGAGATGCGGCGACCTACGACAGTGCGCGTTTTCTCGCTCTGAATGAGAAGATTCGGAAACTTGAGCCTGCTACACACAATGGATTTACTATTGCGCTTTTGGTATCATTTTGCCATGAGTGCTTTACATTTCGAAATCCGAGTCTAACCAACCATAGAGTGCAATGTTTTGTGCCCAACGCCGTGGAGACGCCGTATCAGCCTTGTTCCGCGATGCGACGAAGGACGAGTCGGATGCAAGCGTAAAAGAGATTTTCATTACTGTCCGTGAAGCTCTTGCGCTCGTTGTGCCCTTTGTCGGGTTCCCCTCGTGCATGCCGGCTGTATTCGGTCTGGTCAACGAGTTGCGGGGCCGAGGTATCGACCAAGTCCCTGTCCAGGAAAGGTAATTTGAACAGGCGCAATGAAATATACGCAAGCTCATCTATGGATTCTAGAGTTGGATTCGATCAGAACGATTATACAACAGCAGGGAAAGCCGCATTCAAACAGGTCTACCGCGGAGTGGGGAACAGTGAGGTGGGCAAGATGCTGGATCAGTATTTCCCTGAACTTTGTGAGTTTCTTTAGTCTCTGATCCTGATATACTCTGTACTAACGAGACAAGCCTACTATGCCGATACAGCAGTGTTTGGATATCTCCTTAGTGGGAGCGACCTCTTCACTCTCAAAGAGAAGGAGTTGGTGCTTGCCTCGGGCATCTTTGCACAAGGTGCAATTCGGCAGTCACAAAGCCATTGCAAGGCCTCTATTCAACTCGGTAATACCATTGAGGTCGTTCAGGGACTATTTGAGGCCAGTGTCGAGGTTGCACTCTGGAATAACTCGCGTTTGCCGGGAATGATCGACGTACCCCAGCTGGCAGAGGATGTGAAACGCAATCTCGCCGCGGAAAGCCAGTAATTATAGATTTTCAAATTGATGTTCATTTACAATTCAGTCTTATAACTGTAAATTAGATTAAATTAAACCAGATCAATGGGTATCTACGTTCAAAGCATCCAAACCACGCTTTGACCCATGAGCGACATATCTTTGCCAAGTGTCATGGAACAGTGAACTTATGGAACTTGTGGAAGTTGGTGAAATTCCGAAGCGAGATGATGAGCAGATGTCCCACATTTCCGAATCGTGTAAACTTCTCCCGGGCTATTCCAATACCAACATTTGTTATCCACTGCTCCCGATGAAAACAGCTTCCGGGGAGGCTTCACCCCCGGACCAGGAGAGATGAGCTACGTGATCCCCGGGCCAGGTGACCGAGGAAGAGTCGACGCGCGGGGTAAACCTCAGAGCTGCTGTACCGGGATATCAAATCATTAATAGCGAATCAGTTCCAGTAGAAAAGAAAAGCGCATGAATTTACCTTGAATTTCTCCTCCCAACGAAAGTATGGCCACCGAACACATTATGCCGCACGAGGAGGATACGCATCTCAATGACGCCTCATATACAATCCAAGAGGAGCCGCTGGGTACACCGAGAAAGCTACGAGTAGTGATGGTCGGAGCCGGTGCCAGCGGAATCAATATTGCTCGTCATATGGAATTGCAAATGCAGAACTATGAGCTGCAAATGTATGACAAGAATGAGGATGTTGGAGGAACTTGGTTTGAGAATAGGTATGTATATCTGCTCTACAACTTGACAAGCAGTGCAGAATCTAACACATGGGCTTTAGGTACCCAGGATGTGCTTGTGATATTCCCGCGCATAATTACCAGTATACCTGGGAACCGAATCCAGAATGGTCTACCTTGTAAGATGATTCAAGGGCACAACGTATTTGAGAGAGAAAGAAACTGACTCGCGGTACAGCTACTCCTCAGCGGGAGAGATCTTCAAGTACTTCAAGAACGTGGCTACCAAGTATGACTTGTACAAGTACATTCGTTTGAATCACTTGGTGACAGGAGCAGCCTGGAACGAGGAAGAGGGCATTTGGAATTTGGAGATCAAGAATAGAGAGACTGGCGAGACCCTTCATGATTGGGGTCATATTCTTATCAATGGCTGCGGCGTTCTCAAGTGAGTTCTTTGATTTGCTTTGACAGTGCCACGACTGGACTATTAGGGCTAACAGGTCGGTACTAGCAACTGGAAATGGCCAGACATCCCCGGTCTGCACTCATTTAAAGGAGATCTCATCCACAGTGCTGCATGGCCCGAGGACTATGATGTGACGAACAAGACGGTTGCTGTTTTGGGATGTGGATCATCCGGAGTGCAAATCGTTCCTACCATCCAGCCAAGTAAGTGATACTAGACACACTTAAGCCCCATGTGACTGACGAAATGCTCTCATAGAGGTCAAATCACTTACCACTTTCATCCGCACTCCCACATGGATCACTGCTGGATTTGCCCAGAGCCATGCAGGACCCGGAGGAGCCAATTTTGAGTGTATGCATTCCCTTCCCCATCAGCTTCTAGACTGCAATCTAACCCAATCATAGTCAGCGAAGAGCAAAAGAAGATCTTCCGCGAGAAACCAGATGAGTACCTCAGATACAGAAAGGAGATCGAGGGCGAACTCAACCAGCGGTTCAAATTCGTAAGTCCACGCAGCCAGAGTGAATGTTGTATCTTTTGGTCTAATACAAACTACCCAGATAATTGCAAACAGCAAAGAACAGGCTGAAGCACGGGAATATTCGACCAAAGAGATGATCACCAAATTGGGCAACGACCCCCAACTGGTGAAAGCTCTGTTGCCTGACTTCGCAGTTGGATGTCGTCGACCAACCCCCGGAAATGGTTATCTCGAGTCATTGACAAAAGAAAATGTACACGTGGTAACCGATACAATTGACAAGATCGTACCGGAGGGTATCGTTCTCTCAACCGGCGAGGTCATCCATGTCGAGGCCTTCATCTGTGCCACTGGATTTGACATGTCCTTTGCCCCTCGATTCGACTTGGTCGGACGTGAAGGTAAGCGGCTGGCAGAGGAGTGGAGAGTGAAACCCACAGCATATCTTTCCCTAGCGGCTGCGGATTTCCCCAATTACTTCAGTAAGCCTTTCCCTCTTCCCTGTAATTTCGGGAAGAAAACTAACCCTGTCTAGCGTTCCTCGGACCAAATGCTCCCATCGGCCATGGCAGTGTACTACCCATCGTTGAGCACACTTCCAAATACATAATCAATTTCATGAAGAAGATTCAAAGCCAGGGGATCAAAGCGGTTTCACCGAGACCCGAGGCCATCCGAGATTTCGATATCCATCTCACTGAGTTTATGAAGCGGACAGCATGGGCTACTCCCTGTCGCAGTTGGTTTAAGAATGGCAAGATTGATGGACCGGTCATCGCAGTTCATCCTGGAAGTCGCATTCATTGGTTCCATATGTTGACAGACATCCGTTTTGAGGATTGGGAGTTCACCTATCTCAACAATAATCGCTTCGAGTATCTGGGCAATGGATTTTCCGTGAAGGAGGAACCAGGGAGGGATACCACTCTCTATTTCGACTCACCGGAGGAAGGATATAGAGACTATTGATTGATGTTTGAGTTACTCCAAGAGAAGGCAGTCTGATATGTCATTATATGTTCAATCTTCAATGACGTTTGTCAATGTTCCATGGCTAATTGTAGATGGTTTTTAGCTCGGTTATAGGAAAGACCACAAAGAGGAATTGAACACATAAGATATGAAGTGTCAATTGGATCAGTGAAGATTGTCATCACTATACACAAACTTCTATGCGAAGACTTTGACCTGATTCTCCTAAACTACTTACTTTCTACGATGAAACATGCAAATTGAAATAACACATAGCAAGCATTTGATTCATATATTGTTACCCGATCAGGGAGTTACTATCCAAAGATCCCCTCAAAACACAGTTGAGATCGTTTCCCGCGCATCCTGCATGCAATCAAATCCATAGGTGAATCTGTGAACGTCCACATCCATCACCTTATCCGGAACCTTTCCAGGAACTCCAGTCTTCATCGCTGCAAATGCCCGATCTCGCTCGTCACGGGCCTTTCCAGCTCCCAGGTGAAGTTCGCGAGATGACTCTGCGGCTAGTCCAACGAGAGTTTCCGCTCGCACTTTCCTGGCCTTTTCATAAGCCAGGAGTGCTTTGTTGATGTTGATAGGGGATGCGTCAGGGAGCGCAGACAGGAAAATAGAAAGAACAGCACCATCTTCAACTGCCTGGGCGGCACCTTGACCTAAATGGGGCAGAGTCGGATGGCAGGCATCTCCGACCAGAGCAACAGACCCTTGAACCCATGTGGGCAGAGGATCATGGACGTGCAACTTCCATTCAACGATCTCTTCATCGGGTGCAAGATCTAACATCCTCAAGACGAGAGGACAGAAGTCCCCGTATACAGACATCATGGCTAATTTGGAACCTTTCGTTGTATAAGTTGCCGAGGCCGCAGCTGCGAAATTGACGTCAGGCTGGGTTGTGGAGATGTTGTAGATGCTTCGCTGGGAGATGGGATATGCAACAATGTGGCGCTTCTCCCCAATCCATCGGATTGTCTGATCTCCATCCAGAAGAGCTAGAAGCTCTAGATCATGCTTCATCTGGTCGCGGGTCAACATGATGCGGTATGCAGCCTGTCCGGTCTCTCTGACTCCGGCTTCCACGTTCAAGTTCTTGAGCATTGCCTGCCGAGTCTTGGACTTGATGCCATCTGCTCCGAGCAAGATATCGCATTGTACTTGAAATGGCTCACCGTCGCCGGTAGTCACCGAAAATGTTGGTCGATCGGTGAACTCGAGAGATGCGTCAACGGTGGAGGAAAAATTGAACTTCACTCCATTTTGCACACATGCGTCATGGAGACTATCGATCAAGGCTGCTCGGTGCCCACCAGTCTGACGGAATCCATATTCGGTTTCGATATTCCTGCAGTCCACAAGTCCCATATTCTTCCCCGACGCACCATCTGCCACCTGGTTAGTGATCTATTCTTTCCATTCTTTCTTTTGTGAAATGAGATTCCTCTGGAATAGACCATACCTCGAATACTGTAGAATTCCATTGCCACTCCATCCGCTGCTATTGGCTCCCAAACTCCCAGGTCCGTAAGGATCCGTGCCATGTTTGGCGCCATTTGAATGCCCGCGCCGACAAAACCCAGCGCTGGGGCATTTTCAAAGACCTGAACATTGCGGAATCCCTTCTTGACCAACGATAAACCGGTGGTGAGACCGCCGATCCCTGCACCGATGATGCATATTTCTAAATCCTGAACGGAGGCGTGCATGGTGGAAAAATATGGAAAACGTGGAGAGACGATTGCATTTACCGATATTGGCTACCCCTCCTTCTCATTCTTAAGAGGAGATATATCTCACTTGCTTCATGCTCTCGGAGATTACAAGGCGAGTCTGGGGTTTGCGGCCGAGCTCCTGGGATAAAATCATTCCCGCTCCCCGGGATGCATCTTTCCCCGGATGATCGACTGAAGCCGTGGCCATTTCTCGCATCGACCGGACCAATTGGAAGACAAGTTCTGACATACGAGATATTCAGTCTTGAGAGCGCTCTAGCGCTCTAGAGTGCTGGGACCATGGATATGAAGCCTTCCAGTCTTGACATCCGGGGAGTAAGACGCGATCCGAAGCTGAGCTTCAACGAGGCGATTGGCGGCTACTACTTATATTCTTTTCTGTGCTGATTGCTCTGATTCGTTCTGATTTTAACTTGTTCTCGGAACTGTCCCATCTCTGTCTCTCCGCATCTTCTCCAACTACTCCGCATATCCGCGATGCCGGTCTCCTCACCCTACGCCTCGGTGGACATCCCTGATGTGGATCTTTGGACATTCCTGTTTGAACGCAAAGACAGACAGTTTCCTGACAATAAGAGTATGCTACCAGTCTTGCTTGATTCCAACAAATTAAGTCTTCTAAACTAACAGCGCTACAGTCATCTACCATGATGCCGACACGAAGCGCCATTACACCTACCAGAATTTGAAGGATGCGGCACTCGCTTTTGGACAAGGTCTCAAGAGCATATACAATTGGCAAAAGGGAGATGTCCTCGCTTTATACACCCCCAACAGCATCGACACTCCGGTTGTCATGTGGGGTACTCACTGGGCTGGGGGTGTTGTCTCGCCCGCAAACCCGGCATACACAGTCCACGAGCTTGCCTTTCAGCTGAAGAACGGTGGTGCTACTGTGCTAGTGACTCAGCTTCCTCACCTCGAGGCCGCCAAAGCAGCGGCCAAGCAGGCAGGGATCCCCGAGTCTCGCATCCTCCTCATCGGCGATGAGCTGGACCCCGAAGGCAAAATCAAACACTTTACCTCTATCCGGCCTACCACGGGTGCCTCCTACCAACAGACAATGGTCAACCCGGAGAAAGATCTGGCGTTCCTAGTCTACTCTTCGGGAACCACTGGTATGCCTAAGGGTGTCATGTTGTCGCATAGGAACATTGTCGCCAATTCTTTGCAGCTAGCCGCTTCAGAGGGCGGAGAATTAACCTGGAACGGCGGTGCGGATGGAAAAGGAGATAGGATCCTTGCTTTCCTTCCATTCTTCCATATCTATGGTGAGTTCTTTCCTCGATATTTCTACAGCCACTTAATTAAGGCTGGTGTTCCTCTTTAATTGCAAGACTGACCTTCCTTCTAGGCTTGACCTGCCTTGTCCATCAGACCTTGTACCAAGGGTATGAACTGTATGTCATGCAGAAGTTCGACCTTGAGAAATGGTGCTCCTACGTGCAGAACTATCGCATCACCTTCAGCTACGTCGTGCCTCCCATCGTGCTATTGCTCAGCAAGCACCCAGTCGTCGACAAGTATGATCTATCAAGCCTACGAATGATGAATTCAGGCGCAGCACCCCTCACAAGGGAGCTCGTGGAGGCCGTATACGCACGTATCAAAGTCGGAGTCAAGCAAGGCTACGGTCTCAGCGAGACCAGTCCTACAACCCACAGCCAGCCATGGGCGGAATGGCGCACCAGCATCGGGTCTGTGGGCAAGATGGTTCCAAACATGGAAGCAAAATACATGACTGTGCCAGAAGACAACTCGGAGCCGCGCGAGGTGGCTATTGGCGAAGTGGGCGAGCTCTACCTCCGCGGCCCAAATATCTTCTGCGGGTACCACGCCAATCCGACTGCCACGGCGGAGAGTCTCTCTTCCGATGGCTGGTTCCGCACCGGAGACGTAGGCTACCAGGATAAAGATATGAACTTCTATATCACGGACCGCGTCAAGGAACTTATCAAGTATAAGGGCTTCCAAGTTGCTCCCGCGGAACTGGAGGGTATCCTTATCGATAATAAGGCTATTGACGATGTCGCTGTTATTGGAATTGACAGTGAGGCTCATGGAACGGAGGTGCCTGTCGCCTATGTGGTACGAAGTGCTAAAAGCAAGACATCTGGTTTGAGTGACCAGCAGGAGGCTGCTAATATCATCAAATGGCTGGACGACAAGTTTGCATATCACAAAAAGCTACGTGGAGGTGTGCGGTTTGTTGATGTGATTCCCAAGAGTGCTGCTGGTAAGATCTTGCGACGGGTACTGAAGAACCAGGCGAAGGAAGAGACAGCAGCTCCGAAGGCCAAGCTGTAAGAGCTTGGCCCGCTTCAGGGTTTGGGGTGTTTTAGATGAACGTGTATAACTTCAACTTTGTTCTCATAACAGTCCAGCGCTGGGTGAATTACACTGGCTAAACCTAGTCTTTCTGATTTAGGCGGCAATAAAACATTGGGCAATTACCAGGTCTACAATTGCTCATCAGGTTCGGCCAATTTGGTTAATTTTTCGTTTCCAAAGGCCAACTACCGAGATTCACCGTACACTACCGTGATCCACCGTATACTACCGAGGCACCTGTCACCAAGGACGATTCGTGAGAACAATACTCCAACACCCAGGCACCAAGAATATGACGCTTGAACAAAGCAACCCGGAGTCTCTTTCCCCATTTCAGGAATCCCAGACAAGAGAGCTGAATAGCAATCTGGATAGCTCCCATCGACAAAAACACAATCAAAGGACCACATGCCTCAAGCCAGTCATTGATGAACCAGTTCCAGATATAGGTCACAACCGAGCGCAAGAAGGTAACGCTGACCATAACCTCTGCCGAGTGCTTGGGATAACAATCCAGGGGATAGGACATGCCCATATTTGCTCCGATCTGGTTGCTCACGGTGATGATTCCAAATCCGACAATGGGTCCCATGTAGTGGACACGGTAGTGCAGACAGAGTGCAACGATAACAGATCCCACGGCAGTGATACCCGCGGCAACGAGAAGAGAGAAAAGACGCATCTCGGGCTCGCGGACGCCACCGTTTCGTTGGGCGGAGTAATTGACGATCTTGTCGACGACGTAGCTGCAGAAGAATGTTGCGGTTAAGGAGCCGACGAAGGGTGATAGGAAGACGAGGCCTTGGTCGATTGAGTCAAAATTGTATGGTCTTGTCGCCAAATCAGTAAACATTCCATGTTGTGTGGTGTTGGGAGAGCGTGAGGAAAGAAACTCACTCTAGGCCGAAAATCTGCGCTGCTGTGGCTGCCAGTGTCGTGAGACTGATAAACGACATACCGTATACCAGACTCGCCCAGATGACGATTGGGTTAAGACAGTACAAGAACGGCCTGAAGAAAATGGCGCGGAGATCGACGTCCGGATTACCGCCGGGCCACAGAGACAATTCACTCATGTAAGAGCGTTTTTCAACGGTGTGCACAGCGCCGACATCTTCAACATGCTCGGAGCCGGATTTCGCCTCCGCTGGTACGATCGCAGCGCGGTCACCGTAATACATAGTCTCCGGCATAGCAAAGATGAGGGTAAGCATATTTGCACCCAAGCACATTGCTAGAATCCAGAAGGACCATGCTGGACCGAGACTCTGGATAATGAACGAGGACAACATGGGACCGATCTGCGCGGCTAGGAGAACGGATAATCCGTAGAATGCAATCTTTGCTCCTTGGTGATGGAGGAAATAAATGTCTGCGATGGTGGTGGGTGCAATCGAGTAGATTGGTGATTGACCCAATCCCATAACGACTCTAGCAACTAGGAAGGACGTGTAGCTCCCGCGGGTGGCAAAGCCCTGCCAGATGAGACATGCACACATCAGGACTGTGGTGATGAGATACGTAGGGCGGCGGCCGAATTTGGCAAAGAATGGCCTGGTTGATGATTGAGTTAGTTCAAGTTCTCTTGTGGAATTGTGTTTTCTTTTCTCTCTCTCTTTCTTTTCTCAGGGGGAGCATCACTTACATCCAGTAGAAACAGCCTACTCCAGTGCAAATGAGGTTTGCCGCTACTGCAATATTGACCTTTTGGAAGGACGCATTGTATTGTTGTGTCAGTTGGAGGACACCTGGTTTGTCTTGGTTAGTATAGCGAATGGCAAGCTTGAAGAAGTTATAATGTACCTGCTGCGATAATCGGACCTGTAACTCCACCCAGGAAGCTGTAAAGACAGGCATTGGCAAAGATAATGCCCTTTTTCATGCGAGACCATGAAAGAGGATCATTGGGATCAGTCCGAGAAGGCTGGGGGACCAGCAAAATCCGTCGCCCTTTGCGCTCGATATGCTGCAGATGTCCATATAGCTGAGACGACGGTCCATCGGAATCAAAGAGGAGCTCTGTTCCTGGGACGGTCTCAACTTCATGGACGATCTCCTCCTCAGACCGAATCTCGGCATTAGACTTCATGGTTGAAGCCAGGCTTGCGGTAAATAGAAAAGATTTGTATCCTTGCACGCGTCAGGAATGGTATCCCCAAAGAGAAACAGGAAAGGAAGTCCGAAAAGCCCATCTTCCAAGCTCTTCAGCCTTTTATGTCTCCCCTAGATTTGTGTTCTGGCCTATCATTGGATCAATGCATCCGGGGTAAAGAGAAGCAAACCACCCGCGGCGGAGACCAGGTGGCCAATAAGGGGGAAGACCAGGGGGAGGGCATCCGGGGAAGATGGACAATCCGGGGTAGTGAGTGTGGGGGTGGAGTTGTCCCCGGGAACGTGCATTCGGCTTGTAACAGCCCGACTATAATAGACCACGCACTTGGCAGAAAAAGAGGCCCCAAAAACAGCATAGAGAAGATCGACAATCATGACAGGCCCAATTGAAGAGTCTCTCGAGACACCTGTTCTCATCATTGGTGGTGGACCCGTTGGTCTCACCACCGCCCTTTTACTTGCCCGATATGGCATCCAGAGCGTTGTCGTCGAGCGATATCCTGGACGACTGGGCCAGCCAAAAGCCCACGCCGTCAACCCTCGTTCTCTTGAGATTCTCCGACAGGGCGGTCTGGACACCGTGCAACTCCGCAAAGTGGCCTCCCGCCCCGTTGACGCGGATTTAGTCCGCTTCGGCCTCTCGCCAGTGGGGCTGGAGCTAGGCACTCTGCCATTTGAACGACAAGGCGAAGAGAACAAAGTTATCACTCCAGAGCCCCTGTTCAACATCCCGCAACCAGAGCTTGAGGACTGGTTGATGGAAGTCATTTCCAAGAACAAGCTCATCACCCTCAAACGCGGCTTTGAATGGAAATCCTGCACCGGTCCACGAGATTCTTCCGCCGAGGTGGTCTCCCAAGTGATCGAGAGGGCAAACCACCGTTCTGTCCGAGTCACCAGCAAATATCTTTTGGCCTGTGATGGCGCCCGCTCCGGAGCGAGAGAAAAGCTGGAGATTCCCTTCTCTCCCATCCCCGATGGTCCTGCCAAAGAATCACACCACCTCACCATTCACTTCAAGGCCGACCTGACGCATCTGAAGTCGGGTATTATCTATTACATCTTTGGATCTAAACAACAAGACGCCTTTCTTGCCTACGATCGATCCAACAGCTGGGTATATGTAACCAACTGGGACGGAAATGAAGACTCCAAAGCCAAATTCACGAATGAAACCTGCACAACAATGATCAACGAAGCTATGGGCCAAGGATTCCCCTTTAAGATTCTTTCGATCACGATGTGGACCACTCACCCCCGGATCGCGGACTTCTACCGATCAAAGATCCAGCCACAGGCATTCCTCTTGGGAGATGCCGCCCACGCATTCCCACCCACAGGTGGTCTCGGCGTGAACACCGGAATTGCCGACGCCCAGAACCTGGCCTGGAAGATCAACGCTGTGGAAAAGGGATGGGCGGGTGAGCAACTGCTCGATACTTACAACGACGAAAGAAGACCAGTGGCCATGGCGAATGCGCGTCAAAGCGCGAAGAACCAGAGAACTGTCTACAAATTCTTCTCTGCGAGGCCTGAGGGGGTCACCGATGAAGATTTGGAGCGAAACACTGAATGGAGAGATCAATTCGGAATCGATATCGCAAATGACGCCGAGCACTTTGATTCGATTAACTTGCAACTGGGTTATATCTATGGTGGCAAGGCTTGGGATGATGTGCCATGCAATGAGTTCACCCCGAGCTGTGTTCCGGGTATCCGATTTCCCCATGCTTGGGTGAAGTTCCAGGGCCACACTGCATCTGCATTGGATCTTGTTGATGGTCTGGGTTTCACCGTTGTGGGCTCTGCTTCGTGCTTGCCTGGCTCTGGTTCCAAGATTGTTGATAGCAAGACTTCTGTTGGTGTCAATATTGTGCGACTAGGCGATGACTTCTCCTGTGATGATAATGCCTGGCTCCAGATAACGGGCTTGTCCGATGAGGGCAAGGGAGTATTGATTAGACCTGATCAGCATGTTCTTGGTGAGGTGAAATCAGAGCAGGATGTTCAGGACTTGCTGTCTCGGTTCTTGCTTGGAAACTGAGTCCAGAAGAATAAATGTTGAGAGTGGATGTTTGCTATTTTGAGATTCTTCCCCATGTTGGATACGCTTCAATGCCGTATCTATACTATTATATAGGTCTATAGAGTCATGTTCCATACTATGTTAGCCTTGAAAGCTCTGTTCTGCTTTAGTTACCGGAGTAGGCATTAAATGCATCAGTAATCAAGCATTGGATATAATCATCAATCGTTCTAATTCAATATCTAGGTTCCTTAATCGAATATACGATAATCAAGCAGCCAGAATTAGGTAACAAAGTGGTACATAATATGTGGTCGACATAAACCTCTTGCTAAAATCAAACATTCATCGTGTTATTCATACACCTGAAAGGACGTGTCGCAGACTCGGCAATCTCTAGCATCTGCATAAGTATCTCTCGCCCCTGCCCAACCTGAGCCGCAAAGAATTCAGAAGTCAAATGATGTACTCCCGCCCGAAGATACTCAACATCTGCCGTAGCAGAGAGACGCTGTGGTTCTTTCAGGATATGCATAAAGATTGTGGATGTTGCAGCCAGGAAGTATGCGGATGGTGCACCAAGCATTCGAATCTCCCTCGTGTCAGACGCAACCGACCGACTATTCGATGTCCGGATCAATGATCGAGCAGAGGCAACACAAATAGCCTCACTCGATTGGAGACGAGGATATCTATCGACAGGGAATGTTTCATCTCGTATGTGAATGAGCAACATTGAGGTCCAATGTAATGTCCGCAGCACATTGAAGAACTGCATATACAACCACGAAACATGATGGCGTAGTTGGATAGGGGCCAGATTCTCCTGTTCCGGGCGGAATTCCAGAGGAATGGCATCGCGCCAGGCAATAAGTTTGATATCCAACTCTGCTAGGCAATACAAGCGCTCATTTGCACATTTTTCACGACCGATGACGTCCGCAATTTGGTTTACAAGACAAGCGAGCGTGACATGCCAGACGTAGATCATGGGTCCTGGTGCCAGTTCACAGTCATCAGGGCACTCCTGAGCTGTTAAGGGCTCTATCAGTGTGTCTGTTTTATCAGACGATGTGCCGGTGGGTCGACCTTCACAGAGTGATGTGAAGGCGTCGAGGCTATACGCAACCCACCAAAGTCTAGCCCGGAGTCTAACAAGGTCGTCACTTAGCTGCAGATCACTGGGTGTATGTCGATGCAAGCCAATAGACTCTGCCACGCGTAGTGCGGTTCCGCAAGTTGACCACGCAATCCCCAGCTTGCCTTGCTGGGTGAAGAACAACGTATGAAGAAGAAGGACCTGGACGGATCCTGTGTATGGATGGGCTAACACATAGTTCATCATTGACCAGGCCCGCTGGTGCAGGGCGGAGATCTTCTCTTGCATCTCCTGTGTGGGACCGCTGGGATGTGCCGTTACACCAATTGCAACCATGATGCAGATGCACATGAATTGAATAGGGTCCGGTGGGCTCGGACAGTCGTCATACCATTGGGTCCATGAATGTCTGAGTTCCAGGCTGACGATGGGGTATCGCAGGTAAACGCTTCTGAAGAATAACTCGACTCCGTGCTCGACAAAAGACCGGTCCGGAAGGTCATGAGGGTCTATCCTTAAGGGAACGGATATGTTGGCTTCATCCATGTAGGTAATCCCTCTGATGAGATACTGTAAAAGGCTAAATTCTCCAAGCTGGGGGGAATGGTTCTTGGCGTAGATAAGGCAAGACGATAGAGTGGCGCCGATAGAATTCAGTCCCTGATACCTACTTTCGCAGGCATCTTTCTTCAAAAAGAGACCAGGAAGTAGGGATGCTGACTTGGTGGACGGGAGCCCATCTTTCAAAAAGTGTACGCCTGCGACTTTTGGCTTTCTCGTGCTCGAGGAGATCGGGCGGTTTCCCTCGTCAGCTTCATCCCCTGTGCATGGTGTTGGCAATCGCTCATTGGGATCATGGAACCCATGGTTGAAATGCGGAAAATCAGCCAGCATAGAGACGGTCAAATCAGACATGTTTGACGAGTCCGCAAAATCGAACACATTTGGCATGTAAAGATTAGGATCCCACGGCTCGGAAGAGGACAGAAGCCCCGGTGTTGCTGGACCTTGGTCGTGGTCACCTGGTAATATCTCCTGCGGTGCCTCTACGGGGTGATTGTGTTGTGAAGATTGCACGACTAAGTCATCCTCTAATGACACAGCTGTCGGTGTTGGTCCCGATGATTCAGGTGTTTCATTCTCTCTCCGAAGGAGATGACCTAAATCCTGATCGGTAGTCTGACGAAATTCGTCTCTCTCACCAAGGGAAGCAAGCGATTGAGTCCGCTTGGATTTATGCGCCCTGGCAGGGACTGCCGGAGAGTCAGTGCATGTTGAGCGATAGAGTAAGCAGTTCATGCACGGGCGTTGACCGGCACTGCACCTAATCTATCGTCAGGTTCTATAGTCAGCGCATATCTGGGCCACGGAACAGCAAAGACGAAAAGTACCCGTTTTTTCCGACAGGAGTCACAGGCGCGCGAGACGCGTTTGGGTTGCATTGGGTAGAGATTTAGGTCCGGCTGCAACGCACTAGACTGCGGTGAGTCAATACTCATGATATATTTGCACTTGACCCGCTGTGAAGATGGTACTTTGGAAGGAATTGAGGAGAAAGTGAGCTTCCACGGGATATATGGACTACCCCGTGGGGATCTCTCGTTAGCGCCATCTTCTGTGCGGGGTCTGTTTCTTTGCCCTCGGCTGAACGCCTAGGGATCCAAGTGGAACCTATTGGGAAATATACGGGGAGATTTAGATGAAGGATTGCACTTGGTGGAAGAGTCGTCACAATCCTGTCGGTGCAGGATTCCAGTCGTTGTGTTTCGTCATTGCTCAGAGCTCAAGGCTCTTATGACTCTACATCAATATACATCCAGATGACTCGATTCATTGTGTTGGTCTCCAACTATCTGTTTTAAATTTGTAAAACGTGTCTACAATCTCTAGTGAAAGTCGAACAGCTCGACCGACTCCCGGATGTTCTATATACATTCAACCAAAGCACACTCAGCGACTCTCATATCGAACCTTGTTGACAAGTGTGCCGATCTGATCAATCTCAACGGAAATCTCATCGCCATCATTCAGAACCACTCTGGGATTGTGGAAGTATCCAATACCAGCCGGCGTTCCAGTCAAGAAGATGGTTCCCGCCTCCAGCGTTGTGCCTTGGGAGAGATACGAGATCTGCTTCTTGATGGAAAAAATCATATCCTTTGTATGTCCATCCTGCACAGTAGCACCATTATGAATCGCCCTAATCGAGAGGGCTTGAGGGTCTTGGATCACAGAGGAAGAGACAAGGACCGGGCCAATGGGACAGCTTCCGTCGAGGCCCTTGGAGAAGCACCATTGGGTGGTCATCAATTGCATCGTGCGAGCAGACACATCATTTGAAGCTGTATATCCCAGCACATAGTCTAGTGCTTCCTCCTCGGGGATGTCGCGACCGGTCTTGCCAATGACCAGACACAGCTCGGCTTCGTAGTCGCTTGTGCCGTCCTGTGCGCATTTAGGCACATTGATCGCCGCGGGATAGGGGCCGATTAGGGCCGTTCGTGGCTTGGTGAAGAGAATTGGGGCTTTCGGAATAGGTAGGCTAGCTTCCTTTGCATGGTCCATGTAGTTCAGTCCCAGGCAGCGGATGTAGTTGCAGTCCTCTCGGGAGACTGGAGAGAGGAGCTGCTTGACGTGCATAATCTCATTTGTCACATGGCCATCAAAGGCAGTGCCATTGATCACATAGACGGCAATCTCGACGCCATTGATGCTGTCCCGTCCGATATCGCGAGTGGTGTCCACCAGTTGGCCGAGATGGACCTGGCTGTCCTCGACGGCGATGAAACGAACCAAGTGAGTCCAAGATGGCATATTTGTGTGTGTATCAACCATATTCTAATTTGAAATAGTAATAGTAATAACGATCAATCTTCGGTCTTGGTTATCGCTCAGCACTGTATTATAGCCCCCAGTAACTGCATCCCGCGGAATGAAGGTCCCGGGGAGCAGGGCACAGCTCAACGCAGACCCGGGGAACCACCACAATCCCAGTTCAAGGCGACTGGATCAGTTGTATTATCCGAACTGATGAAAAGCAATGCACCTCGATAGGCACTTTCATGAGACCTTTTGTCAAAAGGATCGCGGTCGTGAATGTCGAGGGTCAGTCTGCCCTTCGAGCTAGCGAAGTGCTTTCCATCTACTCTACCAGGTGGTCTCGTTGCCATGGTGAGATAGAGTCGGCATATATGAATAAATACCTTGTTCTTTCTTATGTTTGCTTAGGAATGCAGAAAGCCTAGTGGCTATGGTCATTATATGACTGTTTGTTTGTTCTCCCATGTAGTTCATCATGCCCGTCCTATATAAAGCCACCCATCCGCCGTATCTCTTTTTCCCTGTTCACCTATATGGATGTTATAATCTATCGCCATGTCTACTTGCTATCATTTTATATCTCATAAGAGCCTCTAGGACTGAATTTCCTATTTGAATGTCCCCTTCCATCTTCATCGTTCTTCTCTTCATATATATATCACCTGGTCAATTCAACGACAATGCCTTCTTGATCTACTTTGATAATTGAACGCAGTGATGACTTATGGCTCTGGCCGGAGTTTGAAGGCACGGTATTGCTAATAAAACCTTCATCTCTGGGGGATTGATGGTGTGGCATCATCGTGAACCGGGTCTATTGACACACCGAGCATCTTGTTTGCTAGTCTCCAGGGACTAGAAAAGTCCCCTGTTTTCCCAGATCAGGGGATCATATCGTCTCTGTTATCCTTACCCCTCAAAGATGCTTCTAGAAATGGCCTCTGCGCAAAGAGCCGCACCCCTAATTCCCGAGATGTTCGAAGCAAAGCTCCAGCTACGCACGCGAATCTCGCCAAGTCGCTCCGACCAGACCAGTCGTATCGCTGCGGGGAGGAGTTCTTCGATCAACATCAACTGCCGCTTTGACGACTTCTGTATGCCATTCATTGGATGCCGACTAAGGCAACATCGGAGCCTCTTGCGTTACAAAAGATGAGATACATGTTTAGTTGATACATGCTCGTCACGGGGTTACAATTTACTGGGGCCTCGGTGTTCATGATAATGCAGCATTGAGAACTTGCTGTCAAAAAGGGGTGCACAACTCAGTGGCCGGGTATCTCAGGGCGACCGAGGTTGTTGCATCAATTCACATACCAGTCGATCAAATTGAGCACGGCAAAGATGATATGTGCAATTCTGCCGGTCGGTTTGCTCCCTTTTATCCAGGTTGGAAGCCTTGAGGTTGCTAATTGAGCGCCCTTCCACGGCAGCTTTATATCGTCACGTTGAAGTTGTTGGCTCTCGGATGCTATACCGAAATAGCAGCATCTATATCTGATCAATGGGATTATTCTCAACTCCTTTTTGGGAATCTGAGTTTGCCACTCTGCTTCTGTTAGTCTTGCTCTTCCAATCAGAAGATAAAGCCAGGCACTTTATAATATGGCTTGAGAATATGGAGAGGACATTCAAAAGATCAGGTTAGTGAGGGCTTCTGTCGATTTTCTCATTCCAGCCGAGTCTAACATATAGAGATTCATCGGTTTAGAGGCCAGAATGTAATCAACAATATGGCCTATACCGCGGATCATAGCGCTCCCGCCACACATCGACTACTCTGTCTTCAAATCTTTAAACCCTTCAATAATGCTGACTATTTCCATCCCAAGCTCGATCATCCATTGTTGATTACCGTGGAAGAAGATCACCCCAGCGAGCTTATACCATTGTCAGCCCTGATGCTGGGCAGGACTCTTCGCCAGGCGGGTATTCTTGAGGATGTTCTCGATGTTCAAGGCCGTGAAACAGCCCTGATATTGATGGACTGCTTCCCCCGGAAGCGTGGTGGTGGATTGTTTGTCGAGTTATGGACCCTCTGCCTGAGCATAGATATGCCACAGCCTGCCAGAGCCTTCGCTCGAGGTTGGCTATAACATGGTAGCTATATATGTTAATACCCTGGTAAGAATTGAAAGGGGTGTCCGGGAGCTTTGGTCAACCTCGTTTTCCTTTTGTATCTGACCAGACAGATCGTGATTAAACTGTCTTCTTGGCAAGACCACCTGGGCAACCAAATAACCAGATACATAGTAGTCAGAAGAATGAATTGTAGATACAAGGTAAACACGCTATGAATTTGGAGCGAAAAGAGTCAAAAAATATCATCCCCAGACACGCATTATCGCATTTCCTCTTCTTCCACAGGAATACTGTCGTACTCGCCTGAGAACGATCTGCTTGCTCCGCCGGTATTGGCGACATTGTCCTGGGTCTTGCTCTCGTGGTTCACAACCACGAAAGATAAGAACACGATAGCTGCTCCAACCCAGTACATGGGGCTGGCGTATTCTGCCTGCAGGACCATCTGTCCGATCAGGGAAAGGGGGATGGTCATACTGAGTCCGACGGTGACCACGAGTGGTGTGGTAAGAAGCATAGCATACGCCCAAGCAATATCAGAGATGAAGGATGCGAGCGCGTTAGACTGGCGGTATTGAGTTAGCTAGATAAGAACCAGGAGAGGAAAAGATCATAACCATACCAGAATGATTTCCCACACACGGCTAGTATCAGGCAAGGAGAACGGCTCCAATCCTGTCCAGTGGAAGATGAAGAAGCCGGGCCACAGAAGAACGACGTTGAAGAATCCAACCAGTCCGAAGAATAGTGGCATGTTGACACGGGACTCATCGCCAACCTGTTTCTTCATGACGACCGTGTAAAGACCGTACATGATAGCGCTGAACGCCGCCATGGCATCACCGAGAGCAATCTCTCCCGTGGATTTGTGAGGGAATGAGCCCTCACCCCCATCAGGGGTCTCACCTGTGTCTGGCTTGGAGAGGTCTACACGCGAGATCAGGATGATACCGATCAGAGAAGCGATAACACCCATGAATTTGCGCATAGTAAATTTCTCAACACGGACCAAGGCACCAAAGACCAAGGTCCAAACGCCTGCAAAAATGAGCATTAGAGCCAGGTGGTATACACATTTGAAACTGGGGAATCCTTACCACTAGTGGAGGTCAGAATCGTTGTGCTTCCAACTGACGTAAATTGGAGGCATCCCATCGCAAAGTAATTTGCCTAAATAGGAATTCTTGGTTAGTATTTCATGGTCTCCTAGTAGTTACTAGGTTGTGAGGTGTGCGACATACGATAAACTATGATACGTTAGCGAGCTGATCATCTATCAAAACATCATGGCAGTATGCTTACCCAGAGAAGACAGAACTGGACACTGAGCTTAGCTGTTGCTTTCAACCCTAGCTTTCCAGCTGGATCATCCTGGTTGGGCTGCGGAAAGCGCCCGTCCTCTTCATCGGATCCACTGTGCAGCATACTCTCCTCCTCACTCTTAGGATCATGCGAGTCCAGGTGATTCAAGAGGCTCTTCAAGGAAGTAATCTGGGAGAATTTCCGAAGCCGCCAAAGACTCCATGTCCGACGGGCGATAATGAAGAAGAGGGGCATGATAAACATCGAAGTATTGGTATAAGTCACGAAGAAGGGTTTCGGGTAGGTCTTGTCCGCAAAGATAGTCTGAATCGCATTCAATATGTAATTAGCCAAGGTTCCGCGACCATGTTGTGTTTCACATGAGGATCTCTCCATAAAAGGGCCCGCATACACTTCCGAGGAAATTCGAGGTCGTCCATAGCACAACCACCACTAAAAGCAAGATGATTCCCAGTGTCCGGCGCGCCATCCTTAGCGGCAAGGTGCCGGGACCATCAGGCGTGACTGTGGCCATTGTGTCTCTGAATATGTCGTTTGCAAAGGAAGTCGATCTGCTGCGCGACTTGGTCAGGTGTGGTGTTGCCCAGAAAGCTGTGTCGCCGATGTCGCAATCGCTACGTTTGCGTCCGGGAATGCCGAGTTAGGCGGGGAGGTGTCGGACGGCGAGCATCTGAAGCACAACTAGCGATGTACCTTCAAGGTAGAAATCAACGAGCGACGAATGAGATGAATGGCTCGAAGATGTGCGAACATAAGGAAATGGGGGATAGATGCCCAGCATTCGCGAGATAAGGGTCCGGGTGGGGAGAAACGCATTTCCCTCCTCCTTACTCCGTACACGTGTTGCCGTAGTTTCTATGGGGCCCACGGCTTATACTGGTTCCTAATGCCCCATGATCATTGAATGACGCGCCATCTACTCCGTATATTGGAGAGAGATACGAAAGCTATCGTGAAAGATGTAGATGGTGTTGCATTAAACCCAAAAAAAGACACTGCCCGAGCAAAACTGAGACCAGAAAAGAATGACTGAGATGGTTCTCTCTCAGGGGAAATCCACAATTGAAACAAAGACATCTACAAGACACCCAAGGAAGCGCAAAAGCATCCAAAAAAAGCAGAACCCATAGTCTTCTCTACAGACTCAGGACCGGAGACTAACCAAATGACAACAGGAAGAGGAATGACAAAGGAAATAGGTCGCTGAAACAGAATGAGAATGAGAAGGGTATATCAACAGGCACATCCATCGCGATCATTATCCAAGTGAATGTTGATCGGATCGCTGAATTCACCGCTGAATTCCTCGGCCTCTTCCTGCGCAAGTGCACTCCGCGCGATGACTAGATGTAAATTAGCAAAAGAACGGTGATCGTGACAGAGCAACTGCGTAGAGGGATGCGATTTACCTTCGAAAGCCTGCTCGACATTGACTGCTTCCTTAGCACTAGTCTCGAAGTAAGGAATGTTACCCTTAGACTGGCAGAAGGTCATGGCGCGTTTTGAGGAGATCATCCGCTTGCTCTCCTCCACATCGATCTTGTTACCGATGACGACCTGCACATGACTATTAGCACGGACCAACCTATCATTCCTGCCGGCTCCGGCGCACGAGATAAGGCCAAAGAATGCGGGTGAAACCACTTACAAATGGGAAACTCTCTGGATCTCTGGGGCTTGCCTGGATCAAGAACTCATCCCGCCAGCTGTCGAGAGCCTCAAAACTCTTGGAGTTGTTCACATCGTAGACTAGGACGCAGCAGTCGGCGCCACGGTAGAAAGCGACACCCAATGATTGGAATCTTTCTTGACCGGCGGTATCCCAGATCTAAAATTTCCAAATCAGTTATCACCCCTCACCACGATTGTGCCGGGATCGTCAAGTCCTTACCTGCATTGTTACCAATCGGTCGTCGACGAGAACTTCCTTTGTGAGGAAATCAGCTCCGATGGTGGCCTTATAGCTTCCACTGAACTTCTTGTTGACCTAGTCAACCCGGAATATCGAATGTTAGCATTTATAGGGATTCGTGGCTGAACGCGGTCGGCCGCAGAGCAGCGATAGGCTGAGGACTGGGTTGAACGAACATATTGGTTCATCAAACTGGTTTTTCCGACACCACTGTCACCAAGGATGATGACCTAAATTTCCGAAAACTTCAGTTAGCAAGTGAACTGTCTTGGAAGGATTTGCTGCTCGTCACACGGAGCAAGTGCGGAGATCGTACCTTGAGGAGGACCTTCTTTCTTGATGCCATGATTGGGGATCGGCCAAGTAACCGGGTGGAGATGGAAGAGGTATAAACGAAGAGGTGAAATTCAAGCAAAGATCTATAATCAGATCTTTACCGAGCGCCTGTAGATTAAATAAAGGCAAGTCCGTTGGAGAGTTGGGGTTGGGTTGCAGCCGGATTCGATGATGCATGAGGGCCAGGCGGTCGAGCGGGCGGTGGGCAATTGATAACGATTAGCAGCCCGTCTCGCCCGCAACCATCTCCACTCCCATCACCTTCAGGTATATTCCCATTTGCTTGGGAAGGCTTATGGCCCACTGGAGGGAGGAGTACTTGGCTGCCCTGACAGTCCGAGATCAACGAGAGAAGGCAAATGCTACTCTTTACGATGCTTGTCCGTCTACCAACCGTGCTCTTTGTTGAGCGATTACAACTGACATCATTCTACTGAATCTAGATGCCCAGCTTGCAGATCGCACCGGTAAGCTAGCAACCGCAGCAAACAGCACTAGCTTGGCACCAGCACAGAGTGAAGCTCAACCCACTATACCATCTCCGCTGGTGGCCTCATCCAGAAAGCAACGATCAACCGACACAGGTCCTGTCCCGATCGATCTTCTCAATGCTGCTCGTGCAGACTTGTCCGAGGCACAGCGATCCCGATCAGAGCTACAAGATCAACTGAATCGAGTGAATGTAGAGGTCGAAAAGCTTCGCAAGAAAAGTACACAAGAGTCTCGACGGATTAACACTTTGGAAAGCGAGAGGGCACAGCTTAAGTTGCGATTGAATGACAGAGATGCTGAGCTCAAAGGGAAGGCCAAGCTATTAGGGGTAAGCCGATCTCATATCTACATAGAATTTGAAACAACATGCCATTAGAGATAAACAAAGTGACTAACATGCGTTGTTTCCATGGCTACAGGACTTCCAAGATGAGATGGCGACACTAAACCTCCAACTCAACATGGCCGAAGAACGGTCAAGTCGGCTTCAGAAAGAGAACCAAGATTTGGTTGATCGTTGGATGGCTAGGATGGGCCAGGAAGCCGAGGCGATGAATGAGGCGTCCAAATTCTCCTGACTAGTCCCAATGCACAGAGCAGATACTAGATACACTAGCGTCTTCGGTATTAAGGCTTGGTTTCATTGTACGGAGTCTGGAGTAGTCGGCGCTTGAATGATTGATGAATTTATGCACATGACCATACTATTTATGTCGAGGCCTGGTCCCGCCATTTATTGCTGAGGCAGCAAGGGCTAAAGAGTCTCTTAACGACTATCATCCCTTTCCAACTCCTGTACGGAGGATTTCCTGAAAATACCCCATATTAACTATTCTTTAACCCTACTGACTGACTTCTTGATGCGCACTGGAAGGCAGGAAGACCAATTCGTGTTTTTATTTTTAATGTGACCTAAATTTAGGGCCCGGATCTGGGAATAGCAGCCGGGGTGTGCAAAAGGATCGGAAAGGTTCATAAGAGGACAATCGGTTTGTACATGTCAGATTGTCAAAAATGGTATCGTACAGAGACTCATGAGGGGATGTATATCCAAAGACGGATAAGATACTGTACAACAATGTCAAAAGCAAACAGTATATGTGCCATGCCAAAGTAATAAGCCAAGGAGACATCAAGCACTATGGTGTGCTATCAATGAAGGCCTTCAACCGTGAGCTGTCTTTAGTGGCAATGAAATAGGTACCGCCAACATCAGTCCAGCTCACATTGTTCGACCAGTAATTCTTTTGCTGGACCTGGAGGAGGTTGATGGGAGAGTTCAGGTTGCGGGACTGGATTTTGTGACCAGCTGGAACAAACGACTTGAGCGAGACAATTTTGCACCCTTCTTTCATATCCAAAAAGTGGTTGATCAGCTCATTGTTCAGCTGAGGTGTGAAAGCCTGGTTGTTGATGAGTACCACATCGGCCCGCTTTAGCACACTAATGATACTCTCCTGTTCAAGGAAATCGCCTCGAACAAGATGGGTTTTGCCTGGCGCAATGCCCCAGAGCCGGCATCGCGCCTTGAATTCGGATTGCTGCAGATCTGCCAAATCACATGCGTTTGACATCATCTCACAACCCCAACTCTCACAGCCAACTTCGAGTGCCGCCTGAAGAACGACATTACCTACACCTGAGCCAAGATCGACGAAAACCTGGCCAGACTTAAGTTTGGTTTCCTTGAATATTGTGCTGATAAAGCGAGGGAGGAGCTCTCCGTAGACATTATCCGTGCCATTCTCGTATTGCCGGAGAGACTCGACTTGAGGTGATACCGTGCGCGAGTATGTTTGAGTAAGAATCCTTTCCACCCAAGGTAGACCGAGTCCCTGCGTTGCATCCAAATGCTTCGCAAGACTGCCGTTGGCCCGCAACCGCTTAATAGCTTTGTTATAATCATCGACAGCTTCCCGAAATTGGGTCTCGGATGCGACAGCCAAAGCCCGGCGCAATCGACGCTTGATACCGGTCGTCTCATCGTTAAATTCATCCGCCTCCTCGCTAGGGATATAATTGTCGGAGACCGTCTCGATAACCTGAACGATGTCGTCGATAGGTCGGAATTCGTCATTTTCTCGGGGGACCACGGATTCATATCTAATGAGACGGAAAGTTAGCATGTCAGTTCCACAACTTGTTGACCAACCAAATAGCATACCTCTCCTGCTGCGAAGCACTAGGATACTGCAGAAGAATATCTTTAGGCTTCCCCGAAGCGCCGAACGCTGGCTTGAACTTGCCAGCCTTTTTGCCCGACGTTATATCTGCGGCATGCATCATTTTGAACGGGCGAGATCCTTCTTCCGAAAATGCTTTCACAGAGCGGAGACGTCGTTCCGGGTCGGGTTCAACACTAGCGCTCATCCGCGCGCGTTTATGAATTTCAAAGGAAGCCTCGCTGTCGCTCGCATCATCGTCGCTCGAAAGTCGTTGTTCGGGAGTTGGCCTTTTCCGAATGCGCGACGGGGTGCTGAGACGCTTTGCTGAACGTGCTTCCAGGTCACTCGAAACCGATCGAGATTTCAAGGCTTGCGCCTTCCGGCTCCTCTCCGTCGAGGACTGAACTCGAGGCGATCGAGTATCGGGGATTTGTGTTACCGATCGCGTAGGTGCTGCAGGTCGAGTCTGCACAACTTTGCGGATTTGCGCTTTCTTGGGCTGTAAAGAAAAGGCCCCGGCCCCTCCCTTCTGAAGGTGGTCGAAAAAGCCCATGTGGATCGGTGGATAAGATATGAACAAAAGCAATGCAGAAAGTAATCTATGCAAGGTATGCAATGAAAATGAAAATGAGGTATATGTAATGAGAGTATAATGAAGGTAAGGTGGGAGAAAGAAAAGCAAAGGAAAAGAAAAGAGACGGGCTTATCGATTAAGGCGCCACTCGGGGAAACCACGCGATGCCCCGTTACTTGGCGCTGTGCTACTCTACGGCGTACAGCCTCATGCCCGGGGTCCACGATCGACATCTTCATCATCTACATGTACTATGTGCATCGAAATCTGTACCATACATCATGATCGGTTTTTGGAGAAAAATGATATTACTAACATTGTGTCTAGGTATGTTGAAACCCCCCTGTACTTGTGGAACGAACCCTGGGGTATCACAATGATTTTTGCTATGTAAATTGTCTGATTCAACTATGAATACACCGTTTATTTCTTCCCTGCCTTCTTCTTTGCCAGTCTCTTTTCCGCACGCACATCCTTCTTCATACGAGCATCGACAATCTTATACTTGCCCTTGACACCCTTAGGACGACCAGAGATACCACGGTTAGGACCCTTAGCCACCACCAACTTGACTTCCTGCTTGGGCTTCTTCTTGGTTGCCCGGCTCATCAGTCTTGCGATGGCGCCAGCCTTATCCCGCTCACTGAGGGCGTCATCTTCCAACAGAAGCGCGGACTTCTTGCGCAGTTTCTCGAGTCTTTGAGCGGCCTTGTACTTCTTGCGTCCCTTGGCTTCCATGACCTTCTTGATCGGGCGTGCGTTAATGGCACGCATCTTTTCTCTGATGGCGTCCGCAGCAGCCTTGGTGGTAGGCCGAACAGGATTGCTGTGTTTGCCCTCATCGTCGAGGAACCATTCGGGAAGGCCATCACGGTCACGGAAGGCAAATCGGTTGAAGCCATCGTCAACAATGTCACTTGACCTCTTCTCGCCAGTGGCCATTGACTGCGCAAGGGCCATGGCTTCAGCAGTAATGATATCAATGTCTATAGTGAAGGGAGAGATTGTTAGTCACCGATTATTCATGTTGGGTCATCCATGGATGGATCAATTGCAACTTACCAAGCTGGCCATTGGCTTTGCGCGGATCGGCTTTCTCTTCGATTTCACCCTCATCAGAATCATCAACCCACTCAGACTCCGTCTTTGCATTTTTCTTTGCATCCTTCTTGTTCTTTTGCTTGGACGCAGACTTCTCCTCAGCTTCCTCCTCATCTTCATCCATTGCGAAGATGTTGTCGCTTTCATCGTCCTCTTCTTCTGCTTCCTCCTCCTCTTCCTCTTCTTCCTCCTCTTCTTCCTCATCCTCTCCGTCTAGGCCTTCGAAGATATCTTGGTCAAAGAATATGGAGGCGTTGTTCGAAAGCTTCTCTGAGCGAGATGCTTGATCTGCAACGGCAGTCTCGTCATCTGACTCCTCATCGCTGCTGTTGTTCTCCTTATCGGAAAAGCCTTCCCAGGAGTCGACCTCGTATTGCTTGCGGGTCTTCTTGGCACGTAATTTCGTATCTTTGTCCTCCATGCGGCCAGTGTATTGCTCGTACATGTGGTCAAGCTCCCGTTCGAGACGGTCTTCCTCATCATCGCTCTCCTCATCTTCAGATTCAGCTTCATCTTCGCTTCCGCTCTCAGCAGGAAGATCACGAGCATTGACGACCGCATCTCGGGCATTCTCCCGGTCGATGCGTCTCAGGGTGAATGTGGATTCTTCGCCGCCCATGCCGAGCTGCTCCATACCGATATCCATAGGCGTAGTCATGTTCAACTGCATTCGGATGATATCCTTCCTCTTCTTTTCGTTCTCCTTGCGCCTTTCCTTCTTGCCCTTGGCTGTTTGTTGTTCACGCATACGGATCAAATCTTCTTGAATCTGCAATTCTTCATCCATAGGGGCGACCTCGGCTACCTCTTCGGCTTCGCCTTCGTCCCCTGCCTTCTTCTTGACGACGAGTCCGAACTTCTCGCGACACTTGATACGCCATCTGAGCAAGTTACGGAACTCCTTTTTGCCCAAGACCTTCAAGTCCTCGCAGCAAGTTCGGATCTCATCTGTGGTCTCTTCCAATCGCTCGAGTGTGGACATCGCAAGATCTCCTCCGGGCGGTTGGTAGAAGCTGAGTTTGTTGTAGCCACCCAAAATAGCGATGGGATCCGTGCAGTTGATGAAGTCTGTGACCGGAATCTCCTTGAACTGGGTGTAATCTCCTTCCTCGTAACCTTCACGCTTGCGCTTCTTCACTTCGGGGTTGAAAACCTTTGCTTCGTAATTGGGAGTGGGAGCAGAAAGCTCAGCGAAAACGTGTCTTGGGTCGAGGAACTTGGGATCAATGCGCTTGGGGGCCTTGAATCCGCGACAAACGACGAAAATTTCGGCGGAGACATTTCGGGATGAAGGAGGCTTGGTTGCTTCGACGGAGTTGAACAGCTGCTTGAAAACCCACAACAGAGGGTTGTAATCCTTAGAACGGAAGACCTTTGTAACGAAAGTTCCGCCCTCGCCCAAGAAATCAGTGGCCAGTCTCAGGGACTCCAAAACTAGTTCTGCCTGCGAGAAAGCATCCTGTACCCACGCAGCACCGACATTGGGGGCACCGTCGTGAAGCACAACGTCGGCTTTCCAGTGCTTGATGTGCGATCGAATCGTTGCGCGACACTTGTCCGTTGTGATATCGCTCTGGAAAGTAATGGCTCGGGGAATTGGCTTGATGGGTGAAAGATCGACACCAATAATAAGACTTTGCGCCGGCATGTACTCTGCAGCGACTTGACACCAAGACTGCTCAGCTGTTAGAGGAAGACTGTCGAAAGAGGGACCGGAATACATACACCTGGCGCAGCGCAAAGATCGATACAGACTCTGCTCTTCTCCAAGAATCCATACTTCTGGTTCAATTGAATCAACTTGAACGCAGCACGAGCTCTGTAACCTTTTTCTTTGGCAAGGCGATACCACTTATCCAAACGACCTTTTCCATGCTGCAGATAGTCAGTACCTGAAATGATGCGAGGTGGAACAAGATAAACATACCTTCTTTTGGATCGCCATTTTGACAGGAAAATGGTCTCAATAGACCAGATAATCCTTTGAAAATGACGTTGAAAAAGATCCAATGTATACTTTTTCTATCGAAGAGGATCCGAGAAAAAAAAAGTTGCAATACTTATCTTTCACCGCCTTTGACCCGATTCTCCAGTTTGTCGCCTGAGGCCAAAAGTCGGTGCCAAACATGTGACGTGATATCACTCAGGCACCCCCAGTCACTTGTGGCGCTTTGTAGATGCGTTGTTTCGTGAAGAAGAATATGACCTGATGTTTTCACCTTTACCTCCATGACGCCCAAGGGATCTCGCAAGAGAGTGACGACCAGCCCTTCCGGCGTGGACTCACCGGCTACACCGAGCAGTGATGGCCGAGACCGCTTAGACTCCCAGCCACGGGGTTACAATTCCGTAAGTCTTTGTGATTGAACTAGTCATTCCATTCACCGTATTTATTGACCACTTATCATTTATATAGAGCTGGTACCCCGGATCCTGGTCGTCTGTCGCGAGAGTATCCAAAGCAGCGCCAGTTACCGAGGTTGCCCGTGAGAGCATTTCAGCCGCCAAACCCGTAGCATCAAACGTCACGAGCTCATCGACTTCTCTTCTTGATACCCCCACAAAGAATCGACACCCTTCGATTCAACTTACGCGAAAAGCAGGTACCTCAACCAGATCACTGCCCGCTGACGCTACCACGACCCGAGTCAACATTGCATCGGATGGTTCGGCCTCTACTACGGCTATTGAGGACTCTAGCGAGACCAACGCTGCAGAACCAGTAACTTCTGACAAAGAGTCGCTTGGGGAAGGTGACAAAAAGCCCCTAGAAGAATCATCCAAGGAGCTGGAGCCCACAACCGACGCCAATCCCAGCACCTCGCATGAGGCAGCTGCAGGGGCTCCCGGGCAATCTGGTGGATGGTTTTCATGGATCTATGGACCATCTATTACGTCTGAGGTTGCCGCGGAACCGATTACTTCAGAACCTACAGCAGCTACGGAAAGTCCGTTTGGTCTTACAGCAGCTACGGAAAGTCCGTTAGTCGAAGACCAAACGGAAGACCAGAGTACCCAACCTACCCTAGAGGATTCCACGACACCAGGATCAGAACAGGAACCAGTATCCGAGCAACCAAAACATACCGTTGAAGCTACTTCCATCGTACAGAAGCAGTCGTGGCTCCAAATGTGGTATGGTACAAATCAACCAAGCCAGCAAAAGGAATCTACGGAATCCACTGTCTCTCCTTCGGCGAATAACACTTCTGTCGAGGCTTCTAGCACAAGCATGGCACCACAAGATTCATCGGATGAGCCAACAAAACCGTCTAGTGGATCACAGACCCCGGCCGGGACTACTAAGCCATCTGGCTGGTCATTTTGGTCTAAAGGCCCAATCAAAGAAGGTCCTGTAGATAAACCGCAGGAAGGCGAAGCTGTGGAAGCAATAATGGATTCAACTCCACTATCGAAGCTTGCAGTACCCGAGTCAGAAACAGATGCAAATGTCAAGATAATCCAGAAAGGAAGTTTCAAAATCAAGCCGCCAAATGATAACCGTGTCAAAGATGGAGTTGGAACCACCATTGAAGGCACACATGCCATACCACCCGTCGAACCTCGTCCAGCTGATGTGACCGCGTCAAAACAACTACAGAAAATTATTCCCAACCAAGTACTACCAACTTTCGAAGAAACGTATCCATATGAGGCATCGCCGTCGATTTTGCAGAGCCTTGGTCGATTCCTGTATTATGTGAAAGGACCAGAGCTTAAGCATGTCAGCAGGGTGAAGGAGCCCCTGCATGTGAAACGTGCTCTAGCTATTGGTGTTCACGGGTATTTCCCAGTCCCATTCATTCGAAGTGTCCTCGGACAGCCTACAGGGACATCCATTCGATTTTCCAATATGGCAGCAGATGCCATTCGGAAGTACACTGAAAGCCGCGGATATACATGCGATATCGAAAAGATTGCATTAGAAGGAGAAGGCCGCATCACAGAGCGGGTAGACCTCCTGTGGAAGCTGCTTCTGAATTGGATGGAAGAGATCCGCAAGGCAGATTTCATCATGGTGGCATGTCACAGTCAAGGTGTGCCAGTAGGGATCATGCTAGTTGCAAAGCTCATACAGTTCGGCTGTCTTGATGCAAAGAGAGTGGGCATCTGCGCCATGGCAGGCGTGAATCTTGGCCCATTCCCGGATTATCGCTCTCGATGGATCAGTGGGTCGGCGGGAGAGCTGTTCGAGTTTGCGCTACCTTTCAGCAAGGTCTCGAAAGAGTATGAATCCGCTCTGAAATGTGCTCTTGATTTCGGTGTTCGCATCTCATACATCGGAAGTATTGATGACCAACTGGTTTCACTGGAGGTGCGTACATATCTAAGTCTTCAAGCCAGTATCAAACAACTAATTTTCCTTCAGTCCTCTCTCTTCTCACCCGTAGCCCACCCCTATGTCTACCGCGCTGTTTTCGTTGATGGCCGAGTTCACGCTCCAAGCTTGTAAGCACTTATACATCCCGACTTCTACATCGCGATCGAAGATGCTAACATCGATGAATAGCCTCTCTCATCTAGTTGGCTTTGCCCTCAAACTCCGCAACCTTGGTATCGCAGACCACGGTTTGATCCGCGAATTAAGCACACCACTAGCAGGCAGTCTGTACACAGGAGAAGGACACTCTCGGCTGTACGACGATGAAGCCGTGTACGCGTATGTAATAGCCAAACATATATCCCATCTCTCAGAACTGACCGTCCTTTCCAGTATGGCAATTGAATTTGCCCTCGAGACTTCATCTGTCTCAAACCCCATGCTCAGCATTAAGCGGGCCAGCAGTGCCACCACGCCCAATCCATACATCCTCCCCTTCGCCATGCGCGGACTCCTGGAAGAGGAACATGTGCGGCGCGAGCTACACAACGAGACCATGGAATTGCTTCGGCAATTTGATGATTGGAAACCCTCCAGTAAGGTTCTAAAAGATGTGAAGTTTCGGCTGGAGGGTATTCGGTCCAAGCTCTAGGTTTCTTTGTCATAGAATGTACCTGGATAGGTATCTTGTTCGGATTAGAATTTGCTATTAGCGATTAATTAGATATTGGAATACACCTTGTGAAATATGTAAATCCTGCTGCTCAACATGACAACACAATATTGTAGATAGCATCGATCCAGCGAGGCCCACGTATTGCTGCTGTTCCTTCTTCTGATTAGTCTTCGATCTATGACAAGGCTTGTGTGTTTTGGATGCGTGTACATCTGTCTAGCTACTATGTATGTAATCGAGAATCAAGCTTCAATGACGCCAGAAATGTTAACACCCAAAGTGTGTTGAGCACGAAAATAAACATAATAAAGAAGTAATTCGTAGAGATGAGGGGATCATTATAAGAACGCAAATGATGGCGTTGTATATGCCAGTCAAATGGAAGTGTAGAACAAAGGATCAAGATAATCCCCAAAAAAAAGATATAAGAAAAGGCACCCTCTAAACCGCTAGTGAGAACGCCGTTTTATATGCACCTTCGATTTCATCTAGCAGATCGTTAGCAAGGAACTTCATACCAGAGTAGACAGAATACTAACCTCTCATCCCATCCAGAGCCTCAAATGCAAGCGAATAATTCGATACCGCGGCGATGATCCGCTCTAAGCCCTGTCGTAATTCCTCAATGAGCTGGTCCGTTGAACTTCCGCCACGCTCATCTTCCATTGACTCAGGCGAAAGCTGCTTCGCCACGCGCGCCTTGTAGTATATCATGAACATGGCATAGCTACTTTGCATGAGGCAGCATGCGAACGAAGGCATCGTGCGAGGTAAGGCGCGAGGCTGTCGTTGGGGATGTGTCAGAGGCTGTGGAACAGGCAGGCCATTGAACAAGCGGGAGATAACGAGTGCGGCCCGGAGACAGACTTTGGCGGATTGCTGCGTGGTATATGGGAACCCAGATGCGAATGGATACTGCGAGTATTGCGGGCCGTATGTGTGGATATCTGGGTGGATATCTGGGGAAGTGGTGGAATCGGGTGGAGTCAGGTATTCGGATGAGGCGGCTCGTTCGAAGGAGGTTAGGTTTGAGCTGGAACAGGAGCAGGTGATGCTTTGCATGCCTGGAGGCTTTGGGTTGCTGGTTGTGGAGACGCTGTTTTGGGTTGCTGCTGTTAGGTCGCAGTGTTTTTTGATGAAGATTGGGATATCAGAGAATGCTCGGAAGCGGTGCGTTTTGATTTGTGCACTGAGGATTACTGTTAGTTGGTTTGATAGATGATTAGGCAGCCGGTGCACGAACCTGGATAGTTTGATTCGGGATATTGCGCGTATCGTTTGAGCTGTGATGGATTCGTTGTGATCGCCGAAATCTGATGTCTGGGGCACGAGTGGGAGGAGATCGGCTTGTGCAATCACAGAGTTGATCCATGCGTCGAGCTGTTGCATTCGTTCAAACATATAGTACATCCCCGATTGAGAGGAAAGGCACTTGCCCAGGTCGCCAATAAACTGGGTCGCAGATACAAGTACCTGTTGGGCTTGGATCAATATAGACCAACCCTAAAGATCAATTAGCGCATGGAAGACAGAAAGACGGGTATTTGGGAACGAACCTCGGTATCTGATGAAAACGATGGATAGGGAGTCGTGAACTGAGGGTCATTAATGACGATAGCAGGCATCTATTTCTTCGTTAGATTCAACCACCCAGATCAAGAAGTCAATATGCTTACCGTCGTACTAACGATAGATCCTTGAATCACACAGTAATACTAAGTCATTATTAGAATAAGATCAATCAACCGAAAGAGAAGGGTTCGAACCGTCATCCACCAAGCTCTCCGCCGAGCCTCCGAAAATTCATCATTCCCTACTTGGGCATGAAGTGACTTATCCAAAGCAATTGCAAGAGCCTGACCGGCACGATATCGCATCTTGAGCAAATTGCCACGCTGCGAATACTCATAAACTGAAAGTACCAGAAGAGCCAAGAGGCTTTCATTATCTACCGGAGCATGGGAGTGGAATCGTTCCCGTCCAACGAAAGGTCGTGCAGAGGCCAATGCTTGACCGGGGTCCGTTGACGACAAATCAAGATCACATTCCGCTTCGACGGTTGAATGGGCGAGTTTGGCGAAAGTCTGAGCATATGCTCTGCGCTGAAGTATAGACGTTGGAGATGACGGGTCCAAGTCATTTGGATGCGGGATCAAAGCTAGAATTGCGGATATTGCAAGACTTAAAGGTGAACGAGGCCGGTACATCATCATAGGTTCCGATGTATTTGAACATGGGACGGTGCAGTTCAATGGCATATCCCGACATGGTGGAGATGCCCGAGGCGGAAGAATGGGGAAATAGTTGTGAATAAAGTCATAGTAGGCGTTCAAACTGGACAGTTTAGATGATGTACACCTAAGATCTTGCAGGGATATGCCTTACATTTCGGGCTCACTTCCATATGTCCTTACAAAACACTGGGCGCTATTCAATGACGGCGGTACTGGGGGCACTTGCATATGTGACTGGCCCCCATCGCCGGTGAAGAAGCCTTGGAACATAGATGGAACGTCGGATTGGAAGTCTAGGTGTCTCAAACCAGCGCCAGGCAAGGAAAGCTCATCGATTTGGTTGAACATCCCCGGTACTAAGCCTCGGTAAGTACGTCGCTTTCTTAGCGTGATCGCGAACAACCCACCTTCATCGAACTCTGGAGGTGAGGGCACAGCAGTGTATGGAGCAGCTTCATCTTGCGTCGATTCCTCTTCTGGGGACGGTGAGGGCTTTTCCTTCTTTTTGCGTGGCCCGCCTCGTTTGCTGGGCAAATAAGAACATTCTTTGTCTTTGTTGACACACTAAGGGGATAATCAGTCCATGCAATGAAGATGTATCAGACCAAGCTCGATCCATTCGATCCACAAAAAACAAAGCATTGAATCCCGAAGGTAAAGGATACATACGTTCGCGCATGGCATCTGGCCGCCACATCGTGTTCTCGAAGCCCGGCTGGAGTAACCGGTTAGTGGAGTGGTTCCTCTTTTTTTTGCACGGGATTTGCTCACCAGGGTAGACAAGCTACCTTAACTGGCGGTTTGGCAAACTTCTTGCGAACCGGCCGAGGTGCCGTCGAGGCAAGCGCGTTATAATCGTGAATAGTATCGGCCATGGCGGATCACACGATCTAAGACGATCTCAATAATTCTACTCCGTACAAAAGCATTGATTGGGACACCTCTCGGTGTCTTCGCAACCGGTCACTAGTTGAAATGGCGCATTCTGCTAGAATCATCAGCAGGGCCAAAAGGAAGGGCGCTGATATAGAGACTTTTGTGTTGATTGCTTGATCTTCGCAAATCCCGAGCCGTGGGGAGCTTCGGGATTTGCTTTTGGCAATGAAACTAAGCGGAGACGAGCGTAGGATTTGTCAAAATGCACGCATGGACATGAGAATGATTTCGATCTAAATATAAACATGAATCTAAGGGAAACCCAGCACTCAGGAGAACAACCGGACCAAAGGTGGAATTCGGGAGACGGAGGCTCGGAGGCCAACATACCGATACCGTTATTTACCACGCCACTGGCCGAGTGGCGAGCGACCGGCGGGTAATCTGGTAATCTGGTATTGGTAATCTTACCACACCTCGCAGTCACGTGGCTCCACATTTTCCGCGCTATCGAAGCGCGATGATGTAGTTGCGAATTATGGCTTGGGATCGTTTAAGCCCGGGAGGCTTCTATCTGTACATATCTTCGATCTGTCGATCGCGGGTCCCTCCAGCCAACAGGAGCTTCGGAATTAAATTGGGAAAATGCGATCCCACATACACTTCCTAGTGGCCCATTCGCTAAGCGATTGGTATAACAGATATAATTACGGAGTACCATATTGGAGTTGGCCAGGCATGCTATGTATGTTGTATGTACGGACTAGTTACAGGCTCAAGTATACCGCAGGGGTGATGTGCATAGTTCAACTCGTATCCCCCACCCCGAACTCCGCACATATTATAGCGGAGTATGGCTCCTGCCTTTCTCCGCCAGGGGGAGCTTGATGCCTGCAACATGCCGTACACTATCCCAGACACTATCGGGGACTTTCACTGGAAGCTTGTGTCCCTTCAAGTATTGGTCGATCAGCCACATTCCAACCACAAATTCCTCACGCGTTAAAAGCCCGATGTTATGGTGATCAACTAGATCCCACACTTGTTCTAGAATCACCTCGGGCAAACGGCTGCGGGACCATATCTCTCGTACCACTAGATTGAGGACCATCTCCGAAACATGAGGTGGCCATGCCAGGGTTCTTTCGTTGGTGATGCCGACAGGGATGAGGAGCCCTTTATTTGAAGCCCAGACGCCTTCGTATCGTTTGCGCTCTTTCTCCGTTATTTCACGTCGCCAGCGTTTACGATCCCCCTCGTTGTGTTTATGGGGATGTTTGTGGAGTGGGTTCCGATGTTTTCGGTGGTCGGCATCGGTGAGCTTCGGCATGCCGCGAAGTGTCTGTGGCATGCTCTTCGGTGGACTTGGCGTCCTTGATAGATCACCCTTGGATCGGTTTGCGAGTCTCAGAATGGAACGTGCCCGTCGTCGCTGAGGAGGGAGTGGCGGGGGAACTTTGATTGATGGGGAGGCTCGAGCTGACGCCAGGGATGAGGCAACAATGGCGTTAGAGAGAGCCTCCTCACTCATGCTGGTGGAGTCATCTATTATGCTGGGGGTACTCGTAGTATTCGAGTGGCTTGATATAGACATCACGCTGGGTGTTGAAGCTCGCTGAGGTGTTGTCATGACTCCATGGTTTCTATTAGACCCGCGTGATGGAGGTACACGGGGAGGAAGCCTGGGTTTTGATTCATCTGGTGGCATAGAAGAGGTTCGTGACCTCAAAGAGGGGTGAGGGCTTGATTCGCGACTATCAAGATAACCCATGTGCGTCATAGATCGTTGAGGTAAAGAACGCCCGTAGATAGGCTGATCTGAATCAGACTCTAAGTCGCTTTCCGGCGGTATGCGATCCAGGGGATTATTTTGTCCATGGATTGAGCGAACAGGCATAGGAGATGGTAGCCGGCACTTCTCTGGAGACGGTGGCACCCGGCTTGCGCTTCGTACCGCACCAAGCATCGCAGCGGCCGACGGACCAGCGGTCTCCCGTGCTGGGGATCTTGATGCAGCGAGCCGTGCCGCGATCTCGGGCGTTGAAGATACAGGCGGAGCCAAGCTTCGTCCCCGCACACTTAACACACTGGCAGGAGGCGAAAGTGGCCGATTTGTCAATCTCCCGATCTTATCCTTTACAGAGCCCACTTCTGGGCCAACGTCAGATTCAGCCCTTTGACGACTCGGATGACGATCGCTTGCCATTAGGGCTGCAGCTGTAGCAGCAGACCTCGCCTTCACATTGGGGGACGAATCTCTGGAGTGCTGGAAGGCAAGTGTGGCGCCTTGTAAAGCGTCATTCCGGGCCATATGGGGCGCCAACCGCTGGTTCGCGGGATTTGCAGCCTCGCCATTCATGGATTCAGTATCAATTTTAGATCAGAGCTTGATCCAGCCACTTTGGAAACCCCGGGATCGATAGGATAGGATGATCCACGATGAGCGTATGGCTGCTTTTGGGATAGGGGAGATGGCGGAAATGGCCGTGCACCCGACCGCAGCACGTTTTCTCTACGCGACTCGCAGAGTAGACACGAACTCCATGTTTGGCATGAAATAACCTCAAATAAGCATACAATTCTATAGATACTTATACACTCTTCCAAGTACCATTATCAACTCACTCTCCGCTCGACTCCGTACGACCCATCCCCATACTGTCAACCCCGGACTCTAATTAACCGAGCCGGCATTTCGCGTTTAAATCGAAGCCAATCATCCGCCAATCCTTGCCAATTTCTCCGCAGCTTGTCCCCCCTCCTCTGCATCTGCAATGTGACTTGCATAAAAGGAGAGGCTTGCTGCTGTGAGGCATCTCTGGAGGCGCCATGCTCTCGGATAAAGACAATGCTCAAGGTGAGCATCCAATTCGTGTTCTGAAGACCGGCACTAAAGATCGCCAAGGTACAGATGATCAAAATACAGGAGAGCGGGAGGGACTGAGTGCTGGCCACATTCAATGCTCAGTGTGCAGCAGCACCTTCCGTCGACCAGAGCATCTAAAACGACATCTTCGGAGTCACACGAAGGAGAAGCCATTTGAGTGCACCCAGTGCGGCCGCCATTTCTCCAGAACGTATGCGCCTGAGTCATGCCTCGTCTGGCGTGCTGTCCCGCTGACACGTAAATCACAGCGATACTCTTCATCGGCATGAACTTACTCACCATGCACCAGAAAATGAAGGCGGCAAAGAACGGACTCACCGAATCACAGTCAAAACGTTCCGGGCTTGTTTCAGTTGCGCAACAGCGAGAGTCCGATGTAGTGGCGGTATGCCATGCGGGCGGTGCGACGCTCGTTCGCTTGAATGCCAGTACCCCACTAAACGGCGGTCCAAAGCGAAAGCTACGAGAGATTCAAACATGCAAGATACTGACCCGCAAAATGACAACGTCAAGGCCATGCACCTAGACTCAAATCCAGCCGCTCATCTAGGCCAGTTTGCTGCACACCCTACAAATGAGCCGGTATCAACATCCAAAACGTCGCTTAACGTGTCATCTACTTCTAGTAGTGGTCAAATAAAGCCAATATCGGAAAATGCACATATCATCCCAGACAATTCGACTCCTGGTCTATATATCGCGAATGAGACACAACGCCCATCGGCAGCACAAATACCGCTGGAGGTGTACTCGGAAGAAACCAATCAGACATATGATACCTCGAATGCTGGTACATCCAAAGAGTTTGCGGTTCGTTCATCCGACAATTTAGACTCTCAAATCAGGGATCTCCAGCCAGAAATGACATTGGTCGAAAATCCGGAGGTGTCGTTGGAGTTTGATCCCACGTTATTCGACCAATCGATCCTCTCCACTATCAATTGGCTCCCTAGCGAGTTGCTTTCCGGTACTTATGGTCAGGCCCCACAGTCTACGAGTGTTTCTTCGCAGTACAACCAGTCTCTCAGCCCAGACGCCTATTTCTCTCGACCAGCGTGGCAACCGCCAGTCATCAATGCTGGGCAAATTAGCCCTTCGCGTGCAGAGCAGGTCTCCCAGACACCTTCTGTGCATATTTCCTTGGGACGTAACGTGGAAAGCCCCAATCAATCTTCCCACGTTATGAATGATCTTTCTCCTCATGCTGAATCAGTGAATTCTTCCAAGCGATCAGCGGATTACTACATCGATGGTGCCGGAGCAAGACTGCCAAAATATAGGAAGAAACTTACTCCTTGGTCCCGTTCGTCTGCAGAGCCAGTTGATATTGGCAAACAACTGCTTGTCGAAGACGGTGAACGACAGTTCAACTTTCCTAGGATCTCTGAAGTTCAGATAGACCACGTGTCGGAAGATGTAATGCGCTTCGCCCAGCAGATTGAACTCTCGACGTACGATGAGCTATATCGAAATTTTACTCAACTATGTCGCAACAAAAATCCATTTTTTGAGGCATTCGACTCTGAGAATTTTCCTACCGCAGACGAATGCAACCGGTTCATCATGTTCTTCTTCGACGCATTCCAGGTCGTTTACCCGATATTGCATCTTTCCAAATTTAATCCCAATACATGTCATTGGCTCTTGACTTTGTCAATAGTGGCACTTGGGTGTCATGTTTCTCACATTCCTGAGGTCGAACAGTGTACAACTGCCCTTCATGAATTTATTCGACGGGGTATTCATGTTGAGGTACCAAAAGTCTTATTACATCTATTGATACCTTTCCAGCTAACCATGTTGCACCAACAGAAAGAAAGGCGTGGCTCTAGTAAGGCTTCTCTCGAGTTATTGCAAGCTATGTTGTTCAATTGCATTGGACTTTTCCATAGTAGCAGCGAGCGTGAAAAATCCTCTGCCTTGAGCACTTTTGGTGACTTGGTGTCGCTCATGAAGACTTCACGGTTATTGGCACCGACGAGAATGAACTTCAATGTGGCGCCAGCAGAAGTAGCATGGTCATCCTGGGTTCAAGATGAGGTCAGGAGACGCACCGGCTACTGCGTATGGGTAAGCTTTGTTGGAGAATAGATGGTTTGCTTTCACTGACGATGACAGCTCGTGGATTGTACACTCGCTTATTACTCTGATGACCGACCCCTCCTTTCGCTAGATGACGGACAAGCTGCTCTGCCCGCTCATGAAACACTGTGGCAAGCACACTCTGCAGAGACATGGAAGTCACTGTGGGAGAAGTCAACCCGTAAGACTTGTTCGGGGCCTAATGATTGATCAAGCCCTAACTCTTTACAGCCAATGAGTCATTACACGACGCAGTACATATTCTATACATTGAAAAGAGAGTTATTTCTGGGATAGGAGAATTCAGTCATATCCTGCTTATCCACGCTCTTTATCACCGACTGTGGGAAGTAGGAGACTACTTCCGGCGACCTTTATCGTTCTGGAACCCGACCGCAAAAAAGCAATCTCGCGAGACTGCCATCCCCACAGGCTCAGTATGGCTCCCAGGGATCCCATCATACTCCAAATGGAGAAACAGCGCATGCGACTGCCTCGATATCCTCCACTGGACCGCTAATAGCACAGTCGCCAAAGCCGCCGGACTCGAGCACCCAACTGTTCTCCACCTCCACGCCGCTCGACTCTTTCTACTCGCCCCGTACCGTGAAGTTCGTTCCCTCGCAACCGCCCTCGCAACAGAGAAGCTGCGCTGGAGTAAACGACACCAGTCCCTCGAGTGGCAGTACGTCTGGCGCTGGATGAAACACGACCAATACAAAGCCCGTCTATCAATCATTCATGCAGGTGTCACCCTGTGGCATGTAAGGCGCTACTCAACAAACGCATTCCACGAGCCTGTTGCAGCTTTCATTGCGGTGCTTACGCTGTGGGCGTACGGATCTTGCCATGGAAATACATCTGTCGAGTCGACCCCACGTTCGGAGCCCCTCCACGAACCGAGTTTCGTTCATCTCGATCGGCCATGTGATGACGAACTCGTGCAGCTCTTTGTTCGGGAGGGCCACGCTATGAGAGGGAATGTCACTGGTGTTGGTGATATTTGTGGTTCTGAGGGCCCAGAAAGGGTCTTGCGCGTTGGATGTGAGATTCTTTCGGGCTTGACCGCATGGAGTGTTTCGAAGAAGTTCATGGCTATTTTGGCTAGACTTGCGGATTTGAGCTCGTATCATTCGTCTTTGGAGCAGAATCGCAGACCTGATGAGCATGTCTGATTTGCAATTGCAGTGGAGGATAAATGGTACATGGCAAATAGGGACAAGTTGTTCATTTTCAGCTACACATCTGGTGTTTCTTTCGTTCGTTTTACCATTTGCTATATACCCTCTTGAATTGAATTGAAGTGATTGGATATATTCTCTGATTTGAATATATATTCAACCCAAGCGCAAAATAATATTACAATTTATCACTGATCAATTTAGGAAACGACATTCAAAAAATCCTGTCGTTACATGTCTATCAATATATATCTTTCCGACAAACCTCTCGATGTAAATGACCGAAAGAAAGCCCTCCATAGCCCAACAGTTTCCAATCGACCTCAATCAACATCCGAGCAGTACAAGGAAATATGCAGTTCAACTCCTTCACAGTATTGGTTGGGGCAGTTGTCTTTGCCAGCTCTGTTCAAGCGGGATGGGACTGGTGTGCAGCTGATGTTACCATATTACGTTTAGGAATCCAGATATACCCTGTGGTGGGAACTAAATCGCTTTATGCTAGTGTCATTCTCCAGCGAATTGTATAAATGTGGATTACTGATAAGGTCCAGTTCACATTTCCTGAGTTGAATTGACCTGTACACATACATGTAGTTTGAGGCTCATGGGAGCTCTTATCTTATCTATTATCTTATCAGCAGTGCAGCCTAGAATCATCTGGGGTAACGCAACTTCCAGTTCCTCTCTCTTCCTCTCACTTTTGCAACCATGGATTCTGACGAGATCTTGGCCCAGGATGGCCTCAAGCCGGAGATAGAGGAGGATTTGGATGAAAAGTAATCCTGAAATGAAGTTCACATAGACATATCACTAATAGCGATTGGCAGATACCCCAATAGACCTCACAATCGAGCTCCGACATTGCCGTTCCACGACTTGTACATTGACCTGTTTAATCCTTTGAGTGAGCTTAAAAAGAAGCCTACCGTTTCCGCGCCAGCCCGTCGAAAAGTTGGCCCACACGGCAAAGGTGCTGCAAATCTCAACCCGTTCGAACGTCGACGCGATGTGATTGAGCGCTTCATTTCGCGGTGGCGCAAGGAAGTCGGCGATGACATATATCCCGCGCTGCGATTAATTCTTCCTGACAAAGATCGTGATCGACCTATGTATGGCATCAAGGAGAAGGCTATTGGGAAGATGCTTGTCAAGATCATGAAAATCAATAAAGAATCAGAAGACGGACATAATCTTATGAACTGGAAACTTCCTGGCCAGGGTGCTGGAGCTCGTATGGCGGGTGATTTTGCCGGAAGATGCTTTGATGTTCTCTCGAAACGACCTATGCGCACCGAGCCGGGCGATATGACGATCGACGAGGTGAATGAGAAGTTAGACAAGTTATCTGCTGCGTCAAAGGAGGATGAGCAACTACCAATATTGACAGAGTTTTACCGGCGAATGAATCCCGAAGAACTTTTGTGGCTCATCCGCATCATTCTTCGACAGATGAAGGTTGGTGCTACCGAACGAACACTCTTTGATGTTTGGCACCCCGATGCCGAGAATTTGTACAGTATTTCCAGCAGCCTGCGACGTGTGTGTTGGGAGCTTCATGATCCCAATATCCGACTCGAGGGAGAGGAGCGAGGTATTGCATTGATGCAATGCTTCCAACCGCAGCTAGCCCAATTTCAGATGCATTCATTCGACAAAATCATTGCTCGTATGAAACCAACAGAAGATGACAATGTATTTTGGATTGAGGAGAAGTTGGATGGTGAGCGCATGCAACTCCACATGGTGCCTGACGAATCAACCAACGGCGGTCGAAGATTTGGCTTTTGGTCGCGGAAAGCGAAAGAATATACCTATCTCTACGGGAATGGTATTTACGATGAGAACGGTGCTCTGACAAGGCATCTGAAAGATGCATTTGTGGATGGAGTCCAGAGCATCATTCTTGATGGCGAAATGATCACTTGGGATCCTGAACAGGATGCCATCGTTCCTTTTGGCACACTGAAGACCGCGGCGCTCTCGGAACAGCGCAATCCTTTCTCAAACGGACCCCGGCCTTTGTACCGCGTTTTCGATATTTTACATCTGAATGGACGCGATCTGACAAAATATACCCTCCGTGATCGCCGCAATGCCCTCAAAAAGACCATCCGACCTGTCCATCGACGCTTCGAGATTCACCCTTACGAGGAAGCTACCACAACAACAGAAGTCGAAGCAGCTCTGCGGAAGGTCGTTGCCGAAGCTTCAGAGGGTCTTGTGTTGAAGAACCCTCGCTCTCCATACCGACTGAACGAACGCCATGATGACTGGATGAAAGTGAAACCAGACTATATGACTGAATTTGGAGAGTCTCTTGACGTTGTTGTGATTGGTGGATACTATGGTTCAGGTCATCGAGGAGGTGCCTTATCCAGTTTCCTCTGCGGGCTACGAGTAGACGGCGATTCCACCCAAGGAGCAGATCCTACGAAATGCTGGTCCTTTTGCAAAGTTGGTGGTGGGTTCACTGCAGCTGACTATCAGGAAGTCCGTCATCATACAGAGGGCAAGTGGAAGGAGTGGGATGCGAAAAGGCCACCAACTTCCTTTATCGAACTCGCTGGCGGCGACGCTCAGCATGAGCGTCCAGATATGTGGATCAAGCCGTCTGACTCGATTGTTCTGTGTGTAAAAGCTGCCTCAGTCGCAGTCAGTGATCAATTCCGCATGGGATTGACGTTGCGCTTCCCTCGCTTCAAGAAGTTGCGCAGGGACAAGGACTGGAAGACCGCGCTCTCGATCCAGGAGTTCCTTGATCTCAAGTCTAATGCAGAGCAGGAGCACCGGGAAAAAGAGTTCTCTGTTGACAATTCTCGAAAGAAGCGAGTGAAAAGAGCAACTAAGAAACCACTCGCAGTTGCTGGCTACGAAGAGAATGTCGATGCCCAGTACATCGGGCCTTCTGGGCATATTTTTGATGAGCTTAACTTCTGTATGTCCTTCTCCTGTGTTCTTTTCCACAGAATGAACCATACTAACAGACTGTAGTCGTGATGACCGAGTCGAGCGCCCCAGAAAAGAAAACAAAATCTCAGCTGGAACAACTTGTAAAAGCCAATGGGGGCAAGATCTATCAAACTAATACGGCTGCGGTCGATACAATATGTATTGCTGAGCGGAGTAAGTGATATTCCACATTTAGAACAAAAAGCAAGCTAACACTCTAGTAGGAACAGTCAAAGTCGCTTCATTGCAGAAAAATGGACAGCAAAACATAATCCGACCATCTTGGCTCCTCGACTGTGTAAAGCAGAATGTTATAGATGCAGGCCTGCCCGATCTTCTTCTACCGTTTGAGCCCAAGTATGTTTTAGACACCCAAAAGAGACTAACAGGGCTAACCACATTGATGCACCCAGACATATGTTTTTCATGACAGAGGGCACAGAGGAAGAAGTTACAGCAAATGTCGACAAATTCATGGATAGCTATACTCGCGACACAACCGTCGACGAGCTCACGGACGTATGACACTCCAATCAGCGAAAATTCAATGTGCATTGACTAACAGATATCCCAGATATTCAAGCAAATGGACGAGAACCGAGACCAATCGGACTATACCGTGGACCCAGAAACTTTCCAGCGAATCGAGACTCAAATTCAAGACAAAGTAAACGCCGGCTACACAGCTCCATGCGGTTGGCTCTTCCGCGGCCTAACATTCCACTTTTACTCAACCGACAGCGAAAACGAACACAGCCCCCAAGAACTGAAAAAGACCCACCGTCTCCAGTTCGCTCGCAACACAGCTCGATTCGCCGGCGCAGCAAGTGCCACTTCTCTACAAAGCTCGGGCATCACACATGTGATAATTGATCCGGAAACACTGTCTTCGACAGATATCTCATCTCTCCGAAGCTCCCTTGCCGCGCATCCGGGTAACAAAATGCCGCACCTTGTGAGCGTGGACTGGGTAGAAGAAAGCTGGAAGAATGGCACGTTGGTGGACGAGGAGAGTAAGTCGGAAGATCTCGCATGTGGCTTTCGGGGGCGTCTTTACTAATACCTCTTGCAGGATTCCCGGCTCCGCGATGACCCGGTGAATGAAATCGCGCAGGATTCTGCGGCCTCGGGTACAGTGATCTCCTGGTTGTTACGAAGTATCATATATTTCCCGGTTCATGTTGGGCTGATACGCCGCTTTCTTTTTTTGCGACGTATTCAATCGCAAGCGAGTCGGGTCGTTAGATCATATTTTATGAATCATCCGATTTTTTGAATCGAGGCTGTACCGCTGTACTTCGTAGTACGCAGTACTCTGTAGTGGTCTTCGAATGTATAGACCCCGGACCCCAGACTGTATAGCAATAAGGTTTGAACCCTGTCGATTAATAGGAGAATATAAAAGTTTGGGAAAACACCCGAGATTCATCATGCCATGCGGATCTCACGTCATGCAAGGTGATCTCACTGACTTTGACACATGTATGGAGTACACCGTACATATCAAACTTTATGCATGGTAAGCGGTATAGTATTTTGACGTCTTGACATCAGTCCAATAGAGAAGTCAGGGATGCTATTCCAAACCGTCGGAAATTTTGATAGCACAGGCTCAAGGAGAGTCCATCTCTCCTATAATGACCTTAGATTACACTTAATAGGACAAAATATAGTTGATATGTTTCAAACTTCGATTGAATTTGAACTGATATTGTGAATGATGATCGAAAAGATCTATCAAAGGCAAGTGAACAAGGCCCTGCAGAAAGGAGAAAAAACGTAGGCTACCAAGGCACCATGGGGGTATGTAACAAAGAGAGAGAAAATATGTGTGGGGATCATGACACCGTCCCAGCCCAACGCCGCGCTTTGCAGAGAATAACATGAAATGAGAGTGAGAAAAAAGCAAGAAGATCGTATGTACTGAAGTGAAATAGCCAGAGAGATGAAGAGAGATGTATCATGCCCTTCTTGCGCTCTGCGCTAAGATAGGGGTTCTATCATGATCTCTATTTCACTAGGCGGAGATGCCCACCCATCGAGAAGGGACTGAGTTGTTCTCGTCTCCGCCATCGTATTGTCCCGACAAGCGGTAGTTCGTTTTGCGTGCTGGCAACCAGATGCGAGCGCGTGGCGGGATGTCTTCGCGGAGCTTGCCACTGCGGCGCATGTTCATTTCGAGGACCACCACTCGTAAGAAGTCACTGTTCTCGCGAATCTCGCGCTGGCGTGACATTGGTGGGGCCTCTGGTTCGAAAATGACATGACCTTGGTCCTTGCTCGCGATGTGGAAATGGTTTTTCCGGTTCCCACGGCCGCCGCTTCGGCGATAGGTCTGCATTTGGATCGAGACTGGGCAAGTACCAGGGGCATGTGGGGTGTCGTGAGGGTCATTATAGACATACATCTCTGCGGGTGACATCGGAGTGGGATTCATTGGACTCGGGTTCAAGTAACGTCGCAATGCGGGAGAAGGCGTTTCTTGCATTGGGAGCGGACGCCGGTCATCGGTCATCTCCGGGGTGATGGTGAAAAGGGATCGGGTGAGGAAATCCTCCGGTTGAACAGATGGTGTCGCAAATGTTGATACAGATTGGGCAGCAGATTTGATAGCCCGTAAGGAAGCTGTAAGATTCGACTTGAAAGTAGAGCCAAAGCGCCCAAATGATGCAGATCGCTTTGTGGATACTGTATCGGGGGTGACAGGCTCAAAGTCATTCTTTATTTCGATGAAGTCACACTCCTCGAGTTCAGTTTCAAGCAAAGGGTGGTCAAAGGCACACTCCTCGGAATGCGAGTACCGAGGCTGTCGTCTCTCCGGTGTACTTCTGTGACTGGGGGGAGTTGGTGGCGAGGAAAGACTAGAGGGAGATGCTAGACCGTGGTCTAATGATGGCATTGATTCGCTTGATGTTGACCTCACCGATTGTGGGGATTCATGCTCGGAGTCATTGCCAGGCAAGAGTTTCTCATTATCGTCGGGTGGGCTGAGAAGGATATCCAGAGGAGAGTATGCAGTCCCATCCAGGAAATGATCCTCTTTCGACTTGAGATCTTCCTGTATCATGCGCTTGAAATCCTCTGCGTGGTTTCCACGAGGAAGCTTTCGAGGTCTGCGGGTTGACCAGTTGCGTCGCGGGACTGGGATGGCCGTCGCATCCAACATCGAGATGAATGACGTAGGTCTCGGGCGGTCGTTTGACGAGCTGGAAGAGGATCGGCGAGAGGATTCCGATGTTTTCGACGGAGTACGGGATCGACTATCTCGACGTTCTGAGATAGTCCGCGAACCACGCTTTGGGGGAATCCCCACTGGGATAGTGTTGCTCGATCCACGGGTTTCGCTTTGAGTAGCGGGGAGATGAAGGCCCGAACAATCTGAAGGCATGAAGGGTTTCATCCCATTAGACTGCGAGGACTTTTGCGGCGGTGCCGAGCTAAGTAGGAATGCTCTAGGAACCATCATTTTGAGTGATGTTTCATCACACGATCACAGCTACTAGCGAGGCGTTGACCGGATGAAGCACTCTGGTCGAGTGTCTGGACGAGATACATGGATGAGGGAGAAAGTATTTGGCAACAAGATCTCCGGCCTTACGAGTCAGGCGGAAGAGGACTGGTAGCCAATCCGATGGTGAGATGTGTTGGCCCAAAGAGATGCTAGGGAAGCGGATAGGGCCGTGAGACAAGGGTATGCAGGGACGCACGCGATTCGATAAGATAGCAGAGACAGGTGATAAGGTAGAGAGCCCAAGGTAGAAACGCCTGTGAGGCAGAGAGTTTCTTCAGGAGACAAGAGTAGAGAGTAAAGTCGAGAGGCGTAAAGGTAGGAAGAAGAGAGATCATGAGAAAGAAAGTGGTGATCTCAGATAGATAAGACCGTATTGGGCAGGTAAACGCTGGTAACGATCTAAGGAAAAGCAGGACGGTAATTTATTTTACAATGTGATTGATTGGCTGTGCGGGGGACAATGCCGGCTTCCGGATTGTGTCTGATGACCGTTACGGTATCTGGGTATTTTTGCATACAATTCTCATTACTCATGGAACATTCCGCCGGTGGAGTTCGGAGCACTAGAATCGTTTTTTTCAATGAGATTTTCTTTTTTCTTTTTCTCTTTTTTTTTTTTTAATATATGCCAATATAAGGAGGATCAGCTTAACAGATACAGAGGTACAGTAAGTATCACCAATCATAAATTTATCCTCTATCAAAACATATACGGGGTACCTAACTGAATAAGATCTCTCATCAGAAAATCGAGCTGAGCATGTGGGCCCTTTAAGGTTGCTTTTAGTGTTGTGCCGACACCCTTCTCCCCAGAATCGAGACCGAAGAAAAACAAACCCGAAAAAGAAATAATAAAAAAAATTAGATCCCGTTAAATAATGTATTATAAATCCGATCTTAGCTCCTGGGACATCGGGCTTCGAGGGATCCATTTCGATTTATGCCGACATATTCTGTTTTACGCAAAAGAAATCATAAACATCGGGCTACACTGACAGGGATTCCCCTGCGTCTTTTGCCTTCCCATGATGTATGTTGTACGACGTAGGTGGTCTAGATGTACCCCTACGGAGTACATACATTGTATATTTTAGACATTAAAATATTTTTTTTAAAAAAGGGACCGGGTGGCTGCAGTCCCAAAAAGTCAGGTAGGAGACCGACGTGGCTAGTGGAGCGCCTTAAGCGAGGATAATCCGACATGATTGCGGTGAAGCCCCTATTTTCTTCCCTATATTCCGTGCCTATTATTATTGTGGCTTTACTTGTGGCTGTTGATATCCTGTTGCTTCAAATCATGGTATGTGATTGCTGCTGTACGAGTAAGTAAACATTACCTATCAACAGTACGGAGTACTCCCCATGGTGTGATGCCAAAGACACCTCATACTGGAGCCTTGGGCGTAAAAGGCGGTCCAGGTCGACCCACCCACATAGTTATCGAGACATTCTCATTTGACACATCGAAGACGGCATCATAGATGTGACATACAAACACACATCAAGTCGAAAAAACAAAGTCGAGGGGTGGCTGGTGAACCGCTCTAGGCGAGGGTAATTGCGGTGAACCGCTATACAACGTACGGAGTACGGAGTACGCCGTAGACAGTGATATTTTTTTACTGTTCTCGTGTGAGCTAGTCATAGCTCTTGTTTTGAAATGAGTATTAATATTTGTTGGGACTATGTTTCTTACGGCCAGTACTCCGTATAATGTACGAAGTAACCTGACTATGCCCCGTGCCCCCTCCGATATGAATCCTTCAGTAGGCGAGATCTGAAACATGCAATCTGTATCGGAGATACTGCCAGAGACGAATTTGGCCCGAATCTACTCCGTACAACATAGCATCATCACTATTATACTTTTATATATGGAGTAGGTAGTCCATTAGCATCAGCATGCGACATGCACATGTATCCATCCTGAACCTTGGAATGGAATCGCGGGGCCACGTGAAGACCTTAGTCAGCCGCTTATCGAAAATGGACATCAGAGCCATCCAGAGGCCGGCGATAACCACGTCCTGCATCATCGCTGTTTGCATCCAATCATTTCCAGGGCTTCGCCAGCTTCTAATCGCGTGGACTTCCAAGGTTGTGCGCTGAGCTCATCCCCCACCTCCACTGCGGGTCGCTTCAATCGCGGGGTACATGAAACCTCTTACGATTGCTAGGTCTCTGTAGATCTTCAAGCCATACGGAGTAGCTGGTGCGTCGATATCTCCCGGTTGTAACGATTTCCGACCTTAGCGCCTAATGAAACGGTCTCGATCGCCATGGTGGTCCTATAGACTAACATATCCACAGCCATCACGCGCCCCCTTGATTTGGGAAGCCGTCATGTTCTACTAATGAGTTTTGTACTGTGAAAGATGGACTTGCCATGTCGAGGTCTGGACCAGTCACCGGCAAACACGACACTAGGCATGCAAAGAGACCCCGCGGGGAAACTATCATACTCGCGTCTTAAGTCGCACCTATCAATCCGAAACAATGAGTGCCGAACGTGCCCAATCGTCCAAAAGACGATGCGTCAGCACAGCTTGTGTTGCTTGTCGTAAAAGAAAGTCAAAGGTTGGAGTTTTATGTTCCGACGCCAATACGCCACATTCCTAATTTTATATGCGTGCAGTGTGATGGAAACCTGCCCAGTTGTGCAGCTTGCTCCTCTGTATACCATACACCTTGTAGGTCTCTCTAAGAGGAAGGACAACCTATTTCTAATTTTGCTGACGCATCCATAGGTGTATACGATCCAAACTCGGATCACCGTCGCAAAGGTGTTTATAAGAAAGATACCGATACATTGCGGACCCGAAATACCACTCTGCAGACATTGATACAGGCGATACTAAACTACGACGAAGCAGATGCTTTTGATCTAGTGCGCCAGATCCGCTCTTGTGATGACCTAGATGATGTAGCAGCTTCGGTGATTGCCCAGGAGAAGGGGCTTCTGTCTGTTGATCAAGCCGCAGAAGGGACCACCAGCAATGTCAATGCGACTGAGATAGATCGATTTGAATCGGAATTGGCTGGTAAGATGAGTGAGCTGATGCTTGACGGGTCACGCAAATTTATTGGAGGCACCTCGAACCTCATTTTCTTGCCACAAGGTTCAGAGCTACACGAGTCTGCTGCGATTCAAAACAGTCTCGGTTTCGGTACGGGTGGTCAAGCTCACGCAGTCAACCGATGGACCCGAGTGACGGAGGACGACTCGCTAATCAGTCATCTGATGACCATGTACTTTACATGGCACTACCCGTTCTTCACCATCCTGTCCAAAAGTTTGTTCTATCGGGATTACATCCGTGGAATCTCCAGTTCATATTGTTCTGCACTGCTTGTCAATGCTATGCTTGCTCTGGGCTGCCATTTCAGCTCTTGGCAAGGTGCTTTTGATGACGGCCAGAATCTTGCAACCGCGGGAAATCATTTCTTCAGAGAGGCAAAACGGCTCATCGCGGAAAATGACGAACACGAGAATTCAAAACTTTGCACTGTCCAGGCCTTCGCGCTCATGTCTGTCCGAGAGGCGGGATGTGGCCGTGAAGGAAAAGGCTGGGTCTATAGTGGCCTAAGCTTCCGTATGGCTTTTGATTTGGGGTTGAATCTCGATTCCGCAAATCTCGGGGCGAACAATCTCAGCGATGAAGAAATTGACGCTCGCCGGATCACCTTTTGGGGTTGCTACCTTATCGACAAGTAAGTCTTCAATGTTGTCATTGTCCCTAACCATTCCCTAACACTCCGCAGATGCTGGTCAAATTACCTTGGTCGCCAACCCCAGCTGACCTTGACAAACGCCAACGTGCCCAAGTTTGATGTCTTGCCACAAGAGGAAACCGAGTTATGGTCGCCCTACACCGATGCTGGCGTTGGCCACGACCACGCGCAACCATCACGAATCCGGGCTGTTGCGCTCCAAATTTGCAAGTTGTCTGAGATCAGCAGCGATGTACTTGTATTCTTTTATCATCCAACAGAGCTGGAGAAATCCGCGCCCAAACAGTCGGAACTGAAGAAATTGAGTGACGTTCACACCCGGCTTGAGGCCTGGAAAAACAACTTGCCCAAGGAACTTGTGGCAAAAGAAGGACAGCTACCTCAGGTGCTGGTCATGCAGTAAGTCGACATCAGGACCTCGATCGGCATAATTTTATCTTGGCTAACTTTGGCAAAAGTATGCTGTATCAACTTCAGATAATCCATCTATACCGGCCTTTCTTGAAATACACCAAGGCCAACACTCCACTTCCTTCTCATGTCTCACCTCGCAAGATATGCACGCAAGCTGCGGCCACGGTTTCCAAGCTTCTACGTGTATACAAACGAGGATATGGATTGAAACAAATTTGTAACATTGCTGTCTATATCGCCCATACTGCATGCACTATTCACCTTCTCAATCTCCCCGACAAGAACGCCCAAAGAGACGTGATCCACGGCCTCAAGAACCTTGAAGAAATGGCAGAGGGCTGGCTCTGTGCCCGACGTACCCTCCGCATTCTCGATATATCAGCAAACAAGTGGCAAGTAGAGCTACCCCCCGAAGCAACCTCCATATTCGAACGAACCCATAACAAGTGGGGGTCCTGGGGCTCTTGGGACCAAGCAAGTTCCCCCTCAACATCCGACGACTCCCCCGTTGCAGCCATACTACACCAGCCCACAAGCCCAAGTCGATTCTCACCATCTGCCCAATATCCACCCGAACCCCTCCCAGCCAACCCCATCACAATGGTCGGAACATCCATGAGCTCCCAATACGCTCCGGCCCCTGTCCCAATATCATACCCCCCCTCGAGGAGTGCACCCCATCCAACAGTCGGATTTTGCTCTTCCCGAACCAACATATCTCCGGCCACAAATGGCCTACCAATTCCCTCCATTCACAGCTGCAGTTCCAAGTCCCTCTTCCCCCCACCCGAACACATGGTATGATGCCTCCGGCGGTCAGATTCCGCCACCAAACACAACGCCGACATCGAATGAATCCCCCGTCTCCGGATATGACGGCACTGAGAACCTGGTCGACGAGAGCCAGGATTGGTGGTCGAGAAATGCTAGCGCTTACGGAATCGGCATGGATAATTGGAATAATACATGGAATCCTTCTCCGCAAAACCAACCTATGGTTTCCTACCATCAGGCCAATCTTATGCCTGTTTCTCAGCCGTCTCCCACTGGTCCAGAGCAGCCTCGAGCTCATGTTGGAATGTCCACAGTTGGATCACCCGCGGATCCTAGTGATGCTGCCGGGTATGGAGATAGATGGAAATAATGTATGGAGTTTTGAAAGTTGGGGTTGCGAAAGAAACATATATTTTGTTTATAAAATTGTTAATGACACCGTTTTGGAAAATTCGTCCTATGCCGGCATCTGTGTGCGTACCATATGCTAACGGAACCAGTTCCTACCTATGGTTTCCATCATAAGATGGTCGATTTACAGACAAGGAAATTGAAAGGTGCGAGTATCAAAAAAATTGTCATAGATGATCATTAGTTCTCAAGTACCAACACCAAGACGCAAAATGCTACTGCCAACAGAACCATATAAAAGAAGAAAAAGAAGAGGTTGCAGTGGATGGTATCACTAGTAAACGGATGAATTAGCAAACCGGGATCAGTCAAAGCATCAGAGAAAAAAAAAGAGCTTACCAGGAAATAATCAGCGACGGGTTTCTTCGCAGGCATGCCCCTTGTGTCCTGCGCCGCAGCCTCAAAGACTCGGTACCTCCTTCCAGGACTGACGACTGTACTATTTGCAACGACTCCGTTACTCCGGCCATATTCACCATTACTGCGAGCGACGGTGCCACCCCCACTGGCGTCTTCGCCTAGCTCAAGGATGGCAGCAACATTACCGCAGCGGTAGCAATAGTTCGGAGCAGACCAGACGGTAACGATGCCACCGTCAAACATCTCCTTGTATCCCTCCATTACAAGTTGGTGGGCACGGGCGACAAGGGACAGGCCGTTGAGATGGTTGAACTGTTTGACAATATCGCCGCCGAAGAGGAAGCCAGCGCCACGAGGGCTTAAACCCCAGCCTTCAATCTCATCTGGATCTGACCAAAGCAAATCGCACATGGCACCTTCGTGGGGCACCTCCTGTTTGCGGTCAATCAGTCGGATTTTATCGACGGAGTCGATGAGCGGTGACAATCCACCATGTACACAGAGCACCGCTCCGGTGCGACTAGTCACAGCACTGCCGTTGCCATCGCCACTGGCACCTGTTCCTGGAGCACCCGTTCGCGAGGGCGCTGCGGCCTGGCCTGGGGCGGCGGAGATGTCTCGTGGTGGGGAGATGTTTCGGGAATCTGTCGATGCGTCGGAGGAGGAACGTTGTCGGGGTCGATAGCTGCTCTCCGTGACCTCACCTCTGGAATTCAGGACTTCTGTTTCCAGCCTTCTGTCATCGATGGGCATGTTGCCTTGTGCTGTGTTGTTGGTGGGTTCTAGCTCCGAGCTCGCGCCGAGCACGATCGCTCCCAGCGCCAGGTAGTCGAATACTTCGCAGCAGTACCGCCATACGTTTGCACTGCCGTATTTGCGGATACACTCGTCGTAGAAACCATATACTGTTGTGATCTGGCGTGACTCATGGTTGCCGCGGATCAGGGTGATGCGATCGGGGTATCGGACTTTCAAACAAAGGAGGAGAAGGAAGGATTCGAGTGAGTAGAAACCACGGTCGACGAAATCGCCCATGAAGAGGTAGTTGGTATCGGGAACATCGCCGCCGACGCGGAACAGCTCCATCAGATCGTGGAACTGGCCGTGGATGTCGCCGCAGATAGTTACGGGTGCATCGACTGACACGACATTGCCTTCTTCGATTAGGAGCTCGCGCGCCTTGTAGCACAGCTCGCGGACCTGACTTTCGGGGATCAGGCGGCAGGCCCGCAGCTGCTCGATCGCCCTGTTAGACAGAGAATGTTAGTGTGACGAGAAACGATGGGCGGGTCTGGCGAGCTGAGGGGTGCCATACCGGTCTAGGTCACTCATGTTGTCGAAAGAGGGGCAAGGGGGAAAGAAAGAGGGAGTACGGGTATCGAAATGAAGAAGCCCCCAAAGAAATCAGATGGCTCAGTTCTCCCTTGAAAAAAATGGTCTCATCTTTGCGAAGCCATGGCGGTTATGCGCGTAGCAGAGACTTGAGAGAGCGGAACATCCAATCACGCGGGAGCCAGATAAGATTAGATGCACCAAGGCCCTTTCGGTGTCGTCTTCTCCGCTCTCCCTTGGACGGATACCCTTTCCACTCGTGCCCTCGGAGGTTCAGAAGCTCGCCAATCTGGAAAACTATCGCTGATCATCCAATTGACCTCTTCTCCGGGGCTATTACTCTGACCCCCGCTCAACTACACCTGCCGCCAGTCCGGGTCCTCCGATGGCCTGAAAAAATCTAGAAACAACCGGCCACGCCCACCACACCTCAATTAAATATCAACGCTTGTCACTTTCTGTTTCATACACAATGCCGCCACATCTACATCCTCGGTCGCGGTCAACCACCGGCCTGTTCGCCGGGACCCTCCTCGCATCCCTCCTGGTGGTCGGCATGCCGCATGTCTTCCCCTGCCCATCCCCAAGACGTACATTCGCCGATTCAGAGATGATCATGACAGCCGATGGACAACAAGTACCCCGAGTTCGCCGCAGAAGACGAAAGGATTTGGAAATGAGCCCAGATGGCAGTCATCTGGGTGGCCCCACGCCAGTCGTTGTGGATGAGGAGGTCACAACGTTCCTTCAGATGGAGGAGGAAGCAGAGAACCTTTCACACATCAACCGGGAATGTCCCGTTCCCAAACCGAAGGGTGTTCTAGGCGAATTGCTGGGCTTCCGCAACATTCAACAGAATGCTCAGCCGCAACCAAGCGGCGTGTCAGAGGGAGACCGATAATGCTTGTGCATTGACGCTCTCCTCCGAATTTTCTAGCATTTTTGTTTCTTGGCTTGTTTAATGATACCATGGATTTTGACAATAAGGGTTGGGTGGACTGGTGGATGTTGGACAGAAATGCCATGCTCGAGGTCCCAATGCGGGCTAGACCTGTGTATTCTCTATGTACAGTGAGATGTATAAAATATATACCAATACTATCAAGATTAGAAAGAATCGCAGTTTACAAAAAGGCTAAAAGAAAACGTGTTGTCCTCAATTTCTATACAATCGTAGACGCTATCTAGTAGGCGGAGCTTCGGCCACCTTGAATGTTCCCCCCGTCAACCATCGAGCGTACCTCGCCATGGCATTGACAGCCAAGGTCTTCGTCTACGACGTGCTCACCAATCCACGTCATACAAAATGGATCGGGCCTCTACTCATTCTAGGCGATGCGCTTCTCTGCGCCCTCGTCATATGGAAGATTGCCTGTAAGACCGCGTGCAGATCTCGCGTACTGAGGAACCCAGCTAACAGCGACAACCACAGACACCGAGATTGACTGGTCGACGTATATGCAACAAATCTCTCTCTATATCTCTGGCGAACGCGATTACCTCCTAATAAAAGGCTCAACGGGCCCCCTCGTCTACCCCGCCGCCCACGTATACATCTACACCCTGCTCTACCACATCACCGATCAAGGCCGTGATATTCTCCTCGGCCAGGCGCTGTTTGCCGGTCTCTATCTGGCTACGCTGGCTGTGGTAGTCGCCTGTTACAGACAAACGGGAGCACCTCCCTATCTTTTCCCGCTCCTTGCTCTGTCCAAACGGCTGCATAGCATATTCGTCTTGCGCATGTTCAATGATGGCGTTGCTGCTTTCGCTATGTGGGTTGCTATCTACCTATGTCTGAAACAAAAGTGGACGGCTGGAATTGCAGTGTGGTCTTTTGGCGTTGCCATCAAAATGACACTCGTGCTGCTTGTACCTGCTATTGCGGTCATTGCTCTTCTCGGGCTGGGATTGGCGCAAAGTATTGCGCTTGGAGCTATGGCTATTCTCATTCAGGTGAGTCCTTGGTGTGTTAAATGTGATCTCAGTCGGTCAGCTAACGCAAGAAACTACAGGTCCTACTTGCTATTCCCTTTCTCCAGACCAACACTACAGGGTATCTTTCTCGGGCCTTTGAACTATCCCGCCAATTTTTGTTCAAATGGACAGTGAACTGGCGGTTTGTAGGTCAAGAAACGTTTCTGTCAAGGGAATTCTCTGTGGGTCTGCTAGTGTTGCATATTTCGCTGTTGGCTATCTTCCTCCTAAAGTGGGTGAAACCTTCAGGGAAGAACGTGGTTCGCTTCCTCCGGGATACCCTCCAGGGACGTCAACAGTCCGTCCCACTTCCAAAGTCCTTCACCATGACTGTGATGTTGAGCTCACTGGCCATCGGCTTGCTATGCGCCAGGTCCTTGCATTACCAGTTCTTCGCGTATCTCGCGTGGGCAACCCCCTTTCTGCTCTGGCGCGCAGGCATCCACCCAGTTCTTATATACGCCGTATGGGCGCTGCAAGAGTGGGCTTGGAACGTTTTCCCCAGCACAAACGCAAGCTCGGCAGTCGTGGTGTTTTCACTCGCGGTCCAGGTCTTTGGCGTGTTGTTCAATAGCTCGAGTGAGGTAGGTAAAAGTGACCAGCGGAGCAGCCGTGGTAAAGCGACTATCCAAAAATGAGAGATACCCCAGCCCCAAATCATACAGTTGAGGCATGCATATTTCAGGAATCATCGTTGAGAGCCCATAATCCTTGTACACCGTAGCCGCCGTCATTGAACAATCGCTTGATGCCTTGAGGCGATTATTCAGTCGGACTCATCCGAAGAAGGCATTTGGCCCACACGAGACTCTTCCTCTTCGTCGTCAGATCCAACCAACACAACGGGCTGTTTCACGAATTCCTTGGGCCTGAAACGATGTCAGTTAGCGGATAATCCAATAGTCAATCACTGCATCACGAAGACATACCAGAATGGAGCTTTTCTCCAAGCCTTCTCATCCCTGACAACGTTGACAATCTCTCCTGCAATTTTATTGTCCCGCTCCTCCTGGCCCTTGGAATCGACCACGACGTACGAGCTGCGCTTGATCCAGATGGTCGAGCGGAATCGAGCGGGCAATTCAACCAACATTTGCTTCTTGTCGGTCTGTTCGACGAGGTAAATGTTGTTTCCGGTGGCTTTGATTGCGCGCACGATCTGCTGGGTGGGGGATAGGTTGTCGGGAGGGGTCAAGGTCTCCTCTGCTGTAGCCAGCATCTTTCGGCGAGGTGGTCCCATTGTTGAGTGTTGCAGGGTATTGATGATGGGGTTGAATTGGTGTCGAGAGAACCTGTGTGAATGGAAAGTCCGGGGGATTGAAAGAAATAAATTCGGAAACAATTTGATCTTATCGGCGGGGCAGTTTTGCTGGGTCGGCTCGGAGTGTAGATCCAACGGTGGAAAGATGTAGGTACATACCTAAGGTACATAGGTATGATCGATCCTAGAATCCAAAGCAATTTGAATAGTATTTCGGGTCTTCTGTTCAAGGTATGAAAGTCTTCATGCGCAATCTTGTCCTTCATTCAGGGTAATCCGTGCATAGACCATTGATGATTCTGGGCCACATTACATCCTGTCTATTCAGATAAATGGGACGAGCACGGAGTAAATCGTATATCCAATTAGCATGTCAGTTTGGGGAAAGAGCGCCGGCCTTACATTCCGAAGGTCCCTCCAGGGCTGGCCACTACATATGGTTTTTCCTATCCCGAATCTTCAATCCTCCGCGCTTTAGCATTTATATTTTTGTCAAAGTATCTATATTTTTAGATATGACACGTTGAACCCAACTATGGCCTTGCATCATGACTTGATTACAATAATTTCGCAAGGCTGAGTGCATAACCCATCTAACGATGGTGCAAGTATCGCCGCATTGGGACGAAACATGGCCATCCTCAATGCCCAATTACTGCGCATACGATCCAATGATCAACTATACGAGCTACTCAAGCTAGCCCATTTGATGACGCACAGCAGGATCTCTTTCATACGGTGGGTAGGGCAGGTAGAGCGCCTTTTTCTCTCACTTGAGGACTTCATATTAGCATAAGTGCAACCCACATTCGCAACTACGAAGGGCAGTACATCACTAACAGCAAAGTTTGGGTTGATCGCTTCACTCAAATTCTAGAGGATTACTTGAAGCCATTTACATTTTCATCGACCAAAAGGAATCGATGTATGCTACACGCGAGCGGCCAGCCAACAAGGAAGGTTCCAGTCGCCCATGCCCAGGATCGTAGAAGGTCGCCTCGGCTCCGACTCGCTAAGCACGGACTTCAATATAGAATATTCAATCTCTTACAACCCTTCCGCGCAATGCCAGATTATCTTCATTAGCTTTCCGTCGAATATAGAATGGCTTATGCAGCCTTTTGGTGATGGGTTTTCCTGGAAACAGGAAAACTTGCGTGTGCTATGAGGAAGTCGATGACGAGCAGGCCTGCTTTCAGGTTCTCCGTGTAGTCGTGAGAGAGCGTTGAACCTCCGGGTTAATAAACACATACGTTTGACATACTGATAGGATATTGACTTCATCCCTGTGCAATCGTAACTCAAATCAGCCTGAAGGTATCACCTCTATCCCTAATGTTTAAGGCAGTATTGTACGCTCTTTGGGGATGTTATAGATGTCCGTAGGTAGTTCGCAACATGTAGCCATTGACTAGGTATGTATGCAAATCGACCATGATCATGTCCCATGAAGACTATTCTGGATCAAGACATGCTCCTACGAGGCTCTCGCGGGCTTTTGGTTGGTTTCATGGTACTTGCGGCGAAGTATGTAAGTTTGTTGAAGTTGGAAATTGGGCTTATTATATGTGACTACCTAAGGCGCCTGTATACATTTTTGTAGGTAATTTAGACAAAGCAATAGCAGTGGCATCGAATACAACCCAATTAATCCACACGTTTCACCTAGATGCTTTATTCTAAGCGAAAGGTTAATTTCTACTTTTGTTGGGGGCTGTTTGGACGAAACCGACACGGGTGCATTCTACAGCATAGGCTTCATCTTTACCCCCAGGCCGAATATGCAGGGTAGGTCCAACATAGGACCCGAACATTGATCATTCTCCATTCGATTCTGCCTCGACGTCTTCGTCGTCTGCCTATTCGTGGACGTAGTAACATCACCAGTTTCAACATCTCCCGTAGGTATGACCAAGTCATCAGATACGAAGAATGCAAAGATTAATTCCCAATATGGCACACTGCTTTATGGCAGCAAGGGGGTACTCGGTGGCACGATCTGTGCCCGATAGATCAAGCGGTGACAGCCCTCATGGCTGAATATCACGTTGTAAACAACCCGTGCCAAGGGCCTGAAGACCGTTCCGGCTCTTGTCGATCACCTCGCGTTGTAAGCGTTCAGTACTCCGTACGGAGGATCCATGGCTCTTCGTACAAGGCGTTGTGGTGAGGTACTTTGGTCCCGGTGCGCCGTACCTGGAATCAGCAATAGCACAATAGGAACAGGGTATCTGAGCGTGTACTCCGTAGAGTAGATGATACTCATGCTTCACATGTGTTCTAATGCAGGTAATACATGCCTCTCGCCACTTTCTTATCGGAGGTGCGTGGGCATAGGAATGGACTCCCATCTTCACCTTCCCGAAATGATCTAATCCCATCTGGGCTCCTGGGTAAAATCCGAAACGTGCTGATTCTTTTGCTTTCATTCTGAGTTTTCCCATCTCTGAATTTCCCGTTTCTATCAGCTCAATCATAGCTGTAAATCGCGTGGGCGATCATTGCGGGCAGTCTGTCTCACATTTTCCGAAGTGGCATTACCCGCGCCCGTTGCGCCCCTTGTCAACAACAGCCCCGCGAATCCTCTTCCACCAACAACCCACCTTGACCTGGCGCAAGCGCACCCTCAAATTTTGAGCCAGCCTTGCTCTTTGTCCTCGTCAAACCTGCCATCATGGATGGGGACGAGCTGATCGCCTCGGTCTTCCGCAAGATCGAGCGGGAGAAGGCCCTCATCACCGCTGCCAGTAACATGCGGCAGTCGACTGACAATCCCCTCGTGCAACAGAGAGTCGACGCCAACATTCGCGATGGCCGCAAGAACATCGCTTACCTGGAGGAGAAAATGCGAGAATTGCAAATCCGCCAGATGAACCAGGAAGCTGGCTCCCCCGGCCAACGTGGAGGCCCGGCCCCGCCGCCGAAAGATGGATACACTGGCGATCAAGGTGATCATGGTGATGGCCACCACCCCCAGGTCGGCGCTGGCTCGATGCCTTCCGGTGCCCCATTCTCCGATCCCCGACCTTATGCTCCGATCCCGAAGGCGCGGCCCAACTACACGAAGCTCGGTACGTACATGACATCGCTCCTGTCAAATTCCCTCGCAAAATGCGGCGTCGAGCTTAATCGGTCTGGAATGCTAACATGACTATGTCTTAGATTTGATCAAGTATGATACTCCGTACCTCGGACCGAAGATTCAACTCATGCTGTCGCAATTGGAATTCAAATTGAGCGTGGAAGTGCAATATAAAGCCGGTATTGAGAAGATGGTCCGCTTGTACCAAGATGAAGGCGACCGGAAGAGCCGTGCTGATGCCGAGGGCCGTCGGATTGAGAGCAACCAAAAGATCCAGCTTTTGAAGCAGGCCCTGAAGCGATATGAGGATCTCCATGTTGATATTGAGTCTTCCGATGCGCCAGATGGTATGGACATCATACTGAACTTGTTCCGAGTATCATGGTTTTGCTTGGGTGCTGACTAGTATTTTAGATGAGAGTCTTAGCAGCCCTAACATGCGCAAGCCGCTGACTGGTCTGCTGACAATGCGCATCCATGCGGTCAAGGACGTGGATCACGCCGCAAGTTCGCGCTTTTCTCGTGGCCCCGAAACATATGTTGTCGTCAAAGTCGAAGATGCCATCAAAGCTAGGACCAAAGCCACCCGAAACGACAAATGGCTGGACGAAGGCTTCTCCATGGATATTGACAAGGCAAATGAGATCGAATTGACTGTTTACGACAAATCAGGAGATCGCCCGACACCAATCGGTATGCTCTGGGTGCGCATTTCTGACATCGCAGAGGAGATGCGCCGAAAGAAAATTGAGACGGAGCTCAATGCATCTGGCTGGGTATCCGCAGATAAGATGGGCGAGGGTGGTTCTCCTCGGCATGATCACCCTGGATCCCCCATGGGCTCTTCACATGGTCCCAGCTCCGGAGGACGTCCAGGCACTGCGGGACAGGGTGCACATGGACAGCACGGCGGCGAGAGTTCGAATGCTCCCCCGACTGTGATGATCGATTCATGGTTTGCTCTGGAGCCAGTCGGTCGGGTCCAGCTTCAAATGAGCTTCGGTAAGATCAAATCCCTCTGGTTCCGAAGGGGGAAGGGCTTTATGCTAACCGGATTTAGCCAAACAATTGAAGGACCGCCGTCCATTCGATATTGGTCTCAACCGTCAAGGTGCCGTGCGTCAAAAGAAGGAGGAGGTGCACGAGAAGCAGGGCCACAAGTTCGTCACCCAGCAGTTCTACAACATCATGCGCTGTGCGCTGTGTGGAGAATTCCTCAAATATGCTGCTGGAATGCAATGTGCGGATTGTAAATATACCTGCCACCGCAAGTGTTACTCCAAGGTTGTTACAAAGTGTATCAGCAAAGCCAACTACGAGACCGATCCGGACGAGGAGAAAATCAACCACCGTATTCCCCACCGTTTCGAAGGTTTCTCCAACATTTCCGCGAACTGGTGTTGCCACTGCGGTTACCTGCTTCCATTTGGACGCAAAAATGCCAAGCGCTGTTCTGGTAGGCAGATTACTGACATCGCAGCCTCTGTCTGGTTCATGCTGACCTTCATCTCTTTATAGAATGTAGTCTTACGTGTCACGCTCACTGTACTCACCTTGTGCCCGATTTCTGTGGAATGACTATGGAAGCCGCAAACCAAATTCTCGAGACATTGATTCGCACGAAGAATCACAACAAGTCTGCTTCTGTTAGTTCCGGCCTCAGCAACCGTACCCTTCGAGCAGGCGGCCCGCCACAGCCCGCTCAAGACAACGCTGCCCTCTCCTACCCCCAGAAACCAACGGAAGGACCCTACGGGGCCCTTCCTAGACAACCCTCCGCCGAAGCGGTAAGCGCTGCCACTAACTCCTTCATGACTCCACAGTCACCAACGACTGCTGCACAGGCTGCACGCCAGCCGCTGCCACCGAAATCGCCCACTGGCCCCTCCGCTGCCGCTGCCGCTGCCGCCGCAGCTACCGGGCTACGTAGCCCTCAGCAACCACCAGGTATGCAATCCACTGATCATGCCTTTCGAAAGCTTTTCTTGAGATTAACCAAATCTTAGCCGAAATGAACCGTCCAATCCAACCTCCGGCACCCGCGCAGCCTCAACACGCCCATTATGACCCATCCGCTTATGCCAACTTCCCGCAGCAACCTCCGCCCCAGGCTCCACAGAAGGTGCAACCTGCGGCCTATCCGATGGCGCCACCTCCACAGCCCATGCAGCAGATGCCTCAGCAACAGCAAGTTGCACCCCCCGTCAAGGACGATGCTGCAGCGCAGGCAAAGACTCGCATCGGATTGGATCACTTCAACTTCCTTGCTGTTCTTGGAAAGGGTAATTTCGGAAAAGTTATGCTGGCTGAAACAAAGAGCACCCGCAAGCTGTATGCCATCAAGGTGCTGAAGAAGGAATTCATTATCGAGAACGATGAAGTGGAGAGCACCAAGTCTGAAAAGCGTGTGTTCCTGATCGCCAATAAGGAACGTCATCCGTTCCTCCTTAACCTGCACGCTTGCTTCCAAACCGAAACTCGTGTGTACTTCGTTATGGAGTACATTAGTGGTGGTGATCTTATGCTGCACATTCAGCGTGGCCAATTCGGTCTCAAGAGGGCCCAGTAAGTCATATTCTTGCTCTCATCCCCATTTGAGGGTTTTAATGCTGAACCAAATGTTCTAGATTCTATGCCGCTGAGGTTTGCTTGGCGCTCAAGTACTTCCACGAGAACGGTGTCATCTATCGTGATTTGAAGCTCGATAACATCTTGCTGACCCTGGATGGTCACATCAAGATTGCTGATTATGGTCTCTGTAAGGAAAATATGTGGTACGGTGGTACAACCAGCACTTTCTGTGGTACTCCTGAATTCATGGGCCCCGAAGTAAGTGAAATCACGTTGAGTTATGTTTTTGGATATATTGATGAACTGACTTCTGCCATAGATTTTGCTGGACAAGAAATATGGACGGGCTGTGGATTGGTGGGCTTTCGGTGTTCTCATCTACCAGATGCTTTTGCAACAATCTCCTTTCCGTGGTGAAGACGAGGATGAAATTTACGATGCCATTCTTGCCGATGAGCCTCTCTATCCCATTCACATGCCTCGTGACTCCGTGTCGATTCTCCAGAAGCTGCTGACTCGCGAGCCCGAGTTGCGTTTGGGCTCTGGTCCCACTGATGCTCAGGAAGTCATGTCTCATGCCTTCTTCCGCAACATCAACTGGGATGATATCTACCACAAGCGGGTCCCCCCGCCCTTCATCCCCACAATCAGCAGTCCCACCGATACCAGCAACTTCGATCAGGAGTTCACCAGTGTGACTCCAGTCCTGACGCCTGTACAATCTGGTAAGATCTCCCTGGCCTTTCCGATTTGCTTGCTGGGTGAGGAGCAGTGACTAACCGTGATATTTTTCATTTAGTGCTTTCACAAGCCATGCAGGAAGAATTCCGTGGATTCTCCTACACTGCTGACTTTGCTTGATTCCACCGATGTGTGATCGGGATGATCATTGCTTGCTTGGACACCTGTCATGAGTCGTTGACGGGGGTGTTAATGTGTCAATTCGGTCCCTCGGGGTTTAACGCCGACACGTCCAGTTTCTTTAGGGCGCCGCGGGTCTCCCGCCCTTTCCAGCACTTCTTGCTCTTCAAATTGCTCCAACATACCCAATTGCCAATTGCAGTTTCGTTTTAAGTGCCGGTGTGGACGCCGGTCCTCTTCACTGACATGTTTCGTTTGCCGGATACCATGGTTAATGAAACTTCCAGGGTGCTTTTGCTTTCTCGATTTCCTTTTGTGCTTATCTAAATTGCTTTATCTTTTTTCGTCCTTTCGAGTTTCCTTCTGTTCGAGTTTTTCTTCCGACTGGTCGGGTTTACGACTGTGTTCTATGCCGGGTGATTGATGCCCCCCCCAAAATGGAGAGGATGAGGACGGACTTCCATGCGGAAGTTGCGTGAGGTTTCATTGAGTTTGATGAGAAATGACGAAGTTTGAAGATCTATGAAGATTGTGTAGATTCCTTCGGGGATTCTGCGCGTTATGTCCGGTATTATGTTCTAGCGGTTCGTGGTAGGAAGAGAAGGAGATACAAATACGAACTAATCTGTCCTATTTGCATGTATGATGTCGTTAGGTACCTACATGTAGGTCATACATCATACATGTGGTCTTCTATGCGTCTCTATATTTACACGTATATATGTCGATGATATCAAATTCTGCGTGGAAGCTGTTTGTGTCGCCAGCCGGTTGCCCTAAGTACCTCGTTCCTTCCCAATTAGGACAGCAAACGTTGCGTGCCTTCCTCTCTTGATTCAGAGCACGTAGACCTGACAACGTCCACTTCTTTACTTGCATCGTCTTCTGCCTTCTTCTTCTATTTTCTCTTCCCTTTCTTCGTCAATTTCAGCATTCCACTTTTCTTTGCCCAACTGTTCTTCCAGAGTTTCTACCTTTGTTCTACAAATAGATCAAGCCTCCAAGCTCTGTTTTTCAATATGCTGAGAAAGGTGAAACGTCTTTTTCGCCGGGACCCTCGGTCCTCGAATGCACCTGCCGACATCGTGCCTCTGGGCAACAAAGAGGCTTCGTCCCCGGGTAACAAAGAAGCCAATTTTCTGACCCCAAAGAAAAACCACCGGTCTTTGAGGTCCCCCTCTATCAAGAAGTGGCTCAAAAAGATAGCTCGGCCTGTTGATGGGTTCACCATCAACAATGTGCGGCCAGAAGTCGACAACGTCGACTACCAGATTCGCTTCCCTTCGACCTCTGAACTGGGGTCTCCCCCATCTTGCTTCAAAGAAAGCTGGGACAACGATCCCGAGATCCGACGCTTCTTGTAGGAAGGCGCTACTCCCCAGGATCAGATTAACTGGAGATTCCGTGAAGATCACCGCACTCTTCAATACGGCCCACACACTATCCGCAAGTCCTCCCTTTCTCCTTCTCCTACGATCCGGGTCCTGCCACAACCAATGTTTTCAGCTATTCGAAGTCTTGTTTCTCCCACTCGCGATCCTACCCAGGAGCTAGCAAGCGATTCAGAGCTGGGTACCATACCCGGAACAGTTATTGGATTCAATGAGAAACACCAGGTGGTGAGTTTGTCCTCAAAGATTCTTATATCACTTATGCCTCACTTCTGCTGTATTTCCTCTTCTCTCGCTTATACCTACTAAGCTCTATACTACATAGCCAACCTCCCCCCTCAAACGGGCTTTATCCACTGACGATACGGAACCTGAGAAGCCGGTCAAGCGAGTCAAGTCACTTGAGGCAGCACTCCCTCTACAAGAGCCGGAGTGGCCTGTGAGCTCTGGCATCAATAAAAAAGATGATCTGGAGCACGAGCCTCCCATTCCTTCTGAATCTGAACTATCGGAGCCAGAAGCCTCTCCCAAAGAGCCTGTGCTGCCTGAGGGCTCTGGCATCGATAATAGAAATGAACCAGAGCAAAAGTCTCTGGTTCCTTCTGAATCTGAACCATCAGAGCCAGAAGGGTCTCCACAGAAATTGAAAAAACGCAAGCGATATGAAGACTCCGACATCAGTGAGAGCGATGAGTTTGGGTCCGATCTGAGCTCGCTTGAATACGACAGCTTCAGTGTAAGTTGCGATAGCGAGGATAGTGATGACAGTGAGTCTCTATCCTTACCATCACCAAAGCGAACGAAGAGGACTGCTGTAAATCGTCTTAAGGCTCAATCAAAGAAGAGAAAGGACTCGGATAAGACGATGTCTGAGCCAAGTGAGGTCGAGTGCGATAGTGAGGAAGAATTTTCTATTCCGAAAGGTGAACGCAACGAGCTACTCAATAATCTCACCAGAGAAAGAGCAAAGCGTCTACTTGACACAGTGGAACTTCCCCAAGGCCACCACCTGTCACCAGATGAGCAGCGCACTGCCCGTCAACTCCTTACTCGTGGCTGTATGCCAACGATCCACCGACACTGGGAGAAAGACTTCTCTACCCTACCAGAGTCATTGTTCTTTAATGAAAAGGATGATGATTCCAGACACACAGAATCCAACTTCGTTCTTGGAAACGACAGAGGATCTGAGTTCTATGCGATCCGTGCCTTCCAAGAACTTCTGAAAATTTGCGGCAATGTGCGAGATTATGCGAACATTCTTGAGACCTGTCCTTCAACCTACATCAAGAGGTCGATTGAAAAGTACCTGCGTTGGGCATTAACGGATGCTGGTATCGTAGTTCAGCCCACCACGATTCCCGTGCACTTTATCTATTGCAAGAGGCAGACTGAAAGTTCGAAGGACGCCTTTGACAAAGTGGCCAAAAAACTAACGAAACTATCGGATACCTGGAAAAGCCAACTCGGTTCATCTCACGGCATAAGAAACGTTTGGCCAGCAGTGATCGGGCTCGTCATCTGTGGGCCTGTTCTTTCGACGATCACCCTGAATACAAATCCAAAACCGCAGGCATCAATACCCGGAATCAAGTTCCTTGGTCATTTTGACCTTTCGGATTTCGATAACGATGTCTGGAACACCCTGGCGGTCGCAATTATGGTGATGCACATCAAAAGAACCATGAGAAAACTGGCTAAGGCCTACGATTACCCCTTCGTGGCCCCGATGGTTGATAATCATGACATGGAGTCCCCGGATATTGATCTCTGATTCCGAACATACTACTTCGGGGAGTTTGAGACTGAGGTATTAGCTATAATATCTTAAGAATGTCGAAAAATATATATCTAGATCGCGCAACATACAATCCATGATTTTGTCGACGCTGTCAAACTGGCAGTCAAGACTTAATCGAACTTCTTGGGCATGAGAGGCATCAGAATGGTGCTTTTGTGAAACTGACGATCTGGAGTTCATAAATGCCATTCAATCCTTGGGTTTCCCGGCGATGGCAACAGAAATGAGGCATTCTTTTATTGCGTCAGAATTCACAATTGCACTTGTGTATCTTTTGAGATGTCAATCCTGGGATTTATTGGAGAGCCATTTGAAGCAGATAGAATTCAGTTTGTGCCAGTAAATAGATGTACGATGTACATTAGGGGTCGGTTGAGCGGGAGTTGGCTTTTAGAGACATCGAATAGCACTACAAAGCTACTAAAACACATTTGCTTTCGGAAAACTTCGGTGAATCATAGGCCTTAGGTGAAACTTTGAACGTATCTGTGCTTGGATATAGTGGTATGTTGTCGGAGGTTGTGTATTGGGAAGTCAGTCCCTCACCTAAATGAAGGCTTTTCCCACATTTTTCTGCTGTCTACCAATAAATCTCGAGAAAGGAGGAAGAGGTTCGTAAAAGGGACTTCCAAAAAGATTTGAACACATTTGCAAAGACTAACAAAAAGGACACCGTAAAGCTACAACCATGGCCGAATATATGGTGTTTTATGCTGTGTGAAAAGCTTCCTTTTGCCTGCCTGCTCTTTGAAGGACATTCTAAGGTTGAAGTTAGGTACCTTGCTTATCAAGATCTCTATCATAGTACTTCAGGTATTCTATTTCTGCTGGCTTAAAATTCGACATATTCTCAGGCGGAAAATTCGATTTCAATTGAGACGGAACCCTGAGCGCTCTACTCTCCACCATCGTACGGAGTATACAACATAGGTGTAGGTACATAACTAGCGCAATAAAAGTGGAGAGAATGGGTTTGATTGGGTGCCACCGGCTCTTGGTATCGCTTATTTCTAGTCCATACGCTAGCTACATACCCAGTTCCCAAACACTCTGGTCCCCAACTCTCATGATGCTTTATGCTTCATTCATTCAACTCGCACCCGAGTGTCTTCCCAGTGAAGATCTCTCCAGTGACGTGAAGCTCGGCCCAGAGCTTGATCGAACAGATATGTCAAGCTCAACTGAATCAGACAGTTAATCCGATGATGGCCGGGAATATGATCATGACCAATGCCTCGCCACGGTGGAGGGGAAGAGAGTCCTAGAGGACTTAGACCCCATCCGGCATCGTCATTTGACTATTCGTGGAATTCGCACTTCTCTCGGATTTGCACGCAGCGCAATGCACGATTGATCATGAGTAACATAATACCTGATCTTGACATCGTGGTGGTTCAACCATACTGTATCTGATATCTGGACTTCGCAGGTGAAAAATATCTCGTCAAATTGCTCGCCGATGTCCGTTGATGTGCTATCGGGTTGGTCAAGCGTGTGCTGTTGCGGGGTCTACAAGTCTCTATAGAGAGCTCGATCTCCTCCCTGACATTTCTATTGCCGAAGGGGAAGAGATCTATGGAATAATCATGACAGCACCCAAAGGATATGCTGTCATAAATTATTACACTCGATCAATAGATCTGGAGACTCCGCAGACACCTGCGTTCCTGCAAGGGGAAATGAAACCTCGATGGAGTCTCGAAAAGCGTACACCATCTCAGGATCTCCCAATTACGAGTGCAGATGGTATTTATATCGAACAGAATGGCGTCATTGGCATTGAAGCAACAGCGCCCGACGATTCTCATTTTGTACTTGGCCCAGAAGAGGCCAAAGTTCTGTGGACGCCTCCTCCCCTGAATCCCGATCTTCCGATTTTCGAAAGGACTATCTTGACGCAGATGGCTACATACGACGAAAATATGGACAGATATGTCCGGCTTATGCATCCCGAAGGATCAGAAGTTCTGATGGGTTTTATTTTATTCTTCGTGGAATTTATCACAACACGATGTTTGCTAGATGGTGGGCAAGCGTACTCGGGGCAAGTTAATCGGTACGTGTGGCTGTCGCCTGGGACGATTTGCAGGACCGAAAAGGATGAGGATGGATTTTATGTTGATGATACCGACTGGTTATATTCTGATTTTGAGGAATAAACCGCCTGATCGCTGTGTATTCTTGTCTTGGGCATAGGTCAATAGAATGCATGGTTTTAATAGCACCAAGTCTCCGCAAGTATCAACCGTAGCGTCTGGATGATTTTCAGGCCATTTAGCGTGTCTTTGTTTTCACGTCGGTATATGCTGAATGACGTGCTCCCTAAGCACACTGATGTAGATGGCAGGTCTTCACCGTCTGAATGTCGATGTATGACGGTGGAGCTGGATTGTCCTGGGCCATTGGAAGTGTCGCGACCGCTGCAAGGACTGCCGGATCTCCACTTTCAAAGACTCGTTTCTTTCACATTGTATTCTCTTCAATCACCATCATTGTACATGAATGGTTCGATGAACTGAATTCTGTACAAGAACATAGTGTATTGTTGGGAGAACTGCCCCTAAAAGAAATCTTCAATGATCTCCGACGGGCCCATGGAGTCCTCCCCGTTGCTGCGCGACATTGACCCCGAAGCAGCAGACTGTTCCAAAAAGACAGGATGGCGACAAGAATTGGCCATTATATCGCGATATTCAGCCCCGCTCATGGTAGCACTGGTGCTTCAACATGCATTGACCGGTTCTAGCATTTTCATGGTGGGCCATCTCGGGAAACGAGAAATCGGGGCCGTGAGTCTGGCCAATTTGACGTGCCAGATCACTGGATATTTCGTTTTTCAGGGGCTGGCCACCTGCTTGGATACTCTATGCCCTCAGGCATATGGATCGGGGAAGCTGCCTTTGGTTGGGCTGCATGTGCAGCGACTGACGCTGTTCATGCTCCTCCTCACGATCCCAATTGGAGTGTTATGGTACCATGCGGATCGGATTTTTCTGCTCATTCTACCAGCTGAATCACACGAGACTGCCTTGCTGGCTGGATTGTATCTGAAAATTGCCATAGCGGGAGCCCCCGGTTACGCTTGCTTTGAATCTGGAAAGCGGTTCTTCCAGGCACAGGGATTGTTCAGTGCTAGTTTGATCGTTCTGATTATATGCTCTACATTGAATATTTTCATGGGCTGGTTATTCGTCTGGGTATGTTCATTCGTTATTAGAATCCTCCCTCATAACATCCACTGACATCCGCTCCTTTTTTTAGAAACTGCAATGGGGCTTCATTGGCGCACCCATTGCCGTCGCAATTGCAAACAGTCTTCTACCAGTATTGCTAGCTCTCTATGTTATCTTCATCAAGGGCTCTGAATGCTGGCACCCCATTTCTGCCGAGATGTGGCGCGACTGGGGTCCGATGTTGCGACTTGCCATCCCAAGTTGCTTAATGATTGAAGCTGAAGTCCTCGCATGGGAAATCATGACAATTATTTCTTCGCGTCTAGGTGCAACCGAACTCGCCGCCCAAGCTGCCATGTCAACACTTGCAGACTTCGCATTCCAGATCTCATTTTCCATCGCCGTCGCCGGTGGCACACACATTGCCTATCTGCTAGGAGCAGGCGCCCTCAGACGCGCGGCAACAGCAGCCAACGTGATGCTCTTTGCTGCGCTCGGTGCTGGTTTGACAAATATGCTTGTCATCTTTGCGCTCCGGGGTGTGATCCCGGGTCTATTTAGCGATATCCATGAAGTCTGGCATTTGATCTTCTTTCTGCTTCCACTGGGAGCTGTTGTTCAGATATCCGACGCCCTGGCTACTTCACTCAATAGCTTGCTGCGGGCTGTGGGTAGACCGGAAGTGGGTGGCTATGTTCAGCTTTCGATCTATTACCTTGTGGGATTGCCTTTGGGCATTGCGCTCGCATTTGCCTTGGATTGGAGCATTTTCGGACTGTGGTGTGGGATTCTTACTGGGCAAGCGATTATTGTGGCGATCGAGGGCCTTTATTTCTGGAAAATGGTGGACTGGGCGAAGGCATCCCGAGAGGCTATGGAACGGATGTGATATGGACATACATTAAACCGTCGACGAACGGAATAGTTGCATATTTTAGAAATATATGTTATTCGATGTATTATAAAAGGGACAGCTTCTTTTACTCTTGCTTCGTTTCTATGTATACCGAGATACTGGCACGGTGATTGAAAGAGTAAATTCGCCTTATATACTTGTACGTCACATGACCGGTCCCGCTGTTGACGCTATTCCCAACACTGCACTCTTCGAGATGCAATCTGCATCACTCAGGACTCCACCATGGATGCAGCTGAGGATCGAGACGTGAAGCTCCAACGGGCCTCTGGGGATTTGGTGGCCGAGTTTTCGGCGAAGCTGCCCTCGTTATTGTGGAGATCCCAAAAGGGGACTCCCCTCCGTACCCCACGCAAGTGGGCGCAAATCACCAAGACAGAGAAGCTTGTCAGCCTTGTAAGATCCCACCATATATCTTCCACTCAAGTTTCTCTTTTGTGTTCCTATACTAATGATACTTCTAGCTTGAACCTTTCCAAGAGTGGCCTCAACTCTTAGATCCACACTTGCAGAAGTTGCTGCCTCCTTTAGTGGACGCTTTTCTAGCATATTTGATCAAACATCGCACCCAGTATGGGTCTGTTTCAGCCAAGTCCTCGCAGGGAGGAAACACTTACCCCCTACCAAGAGCCATCTGCAGGCTACTGTACACGTTCTGCAAAGTCCGTGGCGTCAAGGTGATTAGCAGGTTCTTGAACAATGAGCCGAAATATCTTGACTCGATGCTACGGGCCTTCATCGAATGGGATGCAGTTCAGTCATCCAATCCAGAAGACTTGGTGGAACCTGAATCCCAGAGGCTCATCTGGGAAGAACGTTATGTGATGCTAGTCTGGCTTTCACATCTATTGCTTGCTCCATTTGACCTGTCTTCCTTATCGTCCGACAACATTCCCGTGCCATACGAAAATTTGCAACAGTTGAATTGGCTATCATCTGAGACTCCTATGGTTGCTAAGTCACTCCTTTCCTTGTCCTTGCACTACATTGGTGCCTCGGGCAAAGAACGAGAGGCAGCAACGGCGCTCTTGGCACGATTGGCTTTGCGTGGAGATATGCAGGCTCTCGGGATTCTTACGGGTTTGACGAAATGGGCATTCGCTACAATCCAACCGGCTAAGAACGTCGAGTCGCCCTCTGTGTATGCTTGTATTGGAGTCCTCACTTTTATTGCTCGTTTGGGCGCATCCGGCCAAGTTGAGGACTTTGCTCCCTTGATCAATTATGTCTTCCAGCAGACTCTCAGTGTTTGTCAAGGGCAATCTTCTGTGTCTGCGACAATTCAATCCTCCGCATTGGCTAGGAAGATTGTTGTCAAGATTCTTCGCAACATAACAGTCATGGCATTAGCTGTGAACGAGCGAGGTGATGGACGCATCACAGACGATGAGCTATCTACCATATTGGAAGATGCGATTGATCATTTTCTGGTCTCCCTAGCTGATAAAGACACACCTGTGCGATTTGCAGCAAGTAAAGCACTCAGCATTATTACACTGAAATTGGACCCAGAAATGGCCACCGAGGTCATTGAAGCGGTTATTGGCTCGCTCGGGGAGAATATCCTCTTTGAAAAAGATGATGGCTCTCTCATAACACCATTTGAGGCTCGCAAGATTGGCATTCATACTCTCAAGCGTAATCTCAGTGCCGTCGATGCCCAGCAATGGCAAGGATTGATCCTGACACTGTCACACCTGCTTTTCCGTCGGGCACCGCCTATTCATCAACTTCATGAGATTCTGCAGTCCCTTGTGGCTGGTTTGGGCTTCGAACAAAGGTCCTCTACTGGTAGTTCTGTGGGAACCGGTGTACGAGATGCGGCGTGCTTCGGTATCTGGGCTATGTCTCGAAAATATACAACAACAGAGCTCCTGGCATTGCAATCTCAGGTAGTAGCATCTCCATCTGGTCAGAGGGAAGTCGATGTACTTCAGAAGCTGGCTGTGGAACTCGTCTGTGCAGCTTGTATCGATCCATCTGGCAACATCCGACGCGGATCCTCTGCTGCATTGCAGGAATTGATTGGTCGCCATCCTAATACCATTGCGCAAGGTATTCCGCTAGTCCAGGTTGTGGATTATCATGCCGTTGCACGACGTTCTCGTGCACTGATTGATGTCGCCAAAGCAACAGCTTCCCTGGATCAGATTTACTGGAGTCCACTTCTGAATGCTCTCATGGGCTGGCGAGGTATTGGTTCACCAGACGCCGACTCTAGAAGACATGCGGCCAAGTCTATTGGAAGCTTGAGTACTCAGGGGCTATTCAAGACCATGAAGCAGGTTTTGGATAATTTGTTGCAAATGTTCTCGAGTATCTCTCGGAGTGATGTTGAAACTCGACACGGATGTCTGTTGTCCATTACTGCTACAGTCGATGCTTTTAATTCTCATTGGGAAGAATCAGTGGATATGAGAGATACCCCCGAAGCAAAGGCTGTCTCCTCTCAAGTGGCGAAAATCTGGGACATCTTTGGTTCTTTATCAGGCCCTACTGATGACGACTTGACCTTCCAGACTTCACGTCCAGAATTGACGGCCGAGGCATCATCTTGCTTGATTTCCTCGCTATCTCGGTCTACCACTACCATAGGACTGCCTCAACCTTCAGAACAACTGCTGGATCGCACACTCCAAGTTCTGTCCCTCTGTGTTTCTCGCAGTGATGATATCTCGATTGAGACATCCTCAACTGCCTTAGCGCATCTGTTTCCCCTTTTATCGCCATCAAAGCAGGAAGAAACGATACGGACTTGGTTTTCTCATCTTCATGCTTCATGGAGATTGCCGACAGGACGCGGCCAAATTTTGGCACTCGGTGCAGTATTTAAACAACTCGGTACACAAAATGATCTACAGGAGAATATTGTTGCTGAGATTCTTCGGTACACTGGAAAGGAAGAGCTCATCGAGAAACGCGTTGCTGCGGTGAAGTGCTTGGCTGCTAATATCTTGCCATATATGAGTATGTCCAACATGCATTATGTGATGACACCTGAGACAGGGCTAACGTAAGATCCAGGTTGTACTGATTCAGTCGCGGGCAAATTTTTGGACTTCTTGAATGATTACACCACAGACAGACGAGGTGATATCGGATCTCTCATTCGAGTGGAGGCGATTCAAGCAGTCAGTATCTTGCTGCAAAAGGAACCGAACCGCTCCCCACTCATTCAAGATTTGGTTGGATGTCTTTGCCGTCTTGCCTGCGAGAAGCTTGACAAAGTTAGATTGCAAGCATGGATCGCTCTAGAGGGCTTCTGGGAATCAGCAGGTGATCTACCTCCACTCGAAAGGTGATTAATCTCCAACATTTCTTATATTTCTGGGTGGATTCTAACTGAACTAGAAAATTCGAACACTTCAGTCACGTCTCATCACAAGAGTATTTCGCTCAGCTACTCACCTTGCAGAGTATCGAATGGCTGCGTCTTCCTTTATTGCAAGGACTTGCTACGTCGGCTATCTCAGGAGCGGAAGGTCTCGTCCGAGCAACCCGTTCAGCTCTTACTCAGTTCCTCAATTCCCAAGATCAATCTCGACGTCAGGAGATATTGATGGTCTTCTTACAAGATATTTCCACGATACTGAGCGACAACCTCCAAGATGATCGTTTCGCTATTCCTGCCGTCGAGTTCGTCGCTTTCCTGATTGACAGCTACGTTATCATCACACCGGAAACCTCAGATCCAAGGTTGGTGAAGACTTATTGATTGCGCATGTATTTATAACCCCCGCTGACACTTTCCTTTTACAATAGTTTCCGAAAATTGTTTACATTGGTCCAGAAAGCACATTTCAAATCGACAAATATCGCTCGATTGGAAGCGGCAGTCAAAGTCTATGCTTCCCTGGCAAGGATTGACTCGCTACGACAGGGTGTTTTGAAGAAGCTGACTGGGCTGCTTTTGCATCCTTTCCCCAGGGTATGTTGATCCTTGGATATTTGGTGCGACGGTATTAACAACTGTTCTATTAGGTTCGATCAAGCGCTGCAGAGTATCTCTTCGTGGTGACAGATTCTGAGATCACTAAATACGAGGACTGGTCTGCTTCGCCCAAACTCCTGAAACCTCGGGTGGATGACTTAAAGGTTCTTCTTTCTGTAGAGGGCTAGACGGTAGCAAATTCAATGAATACAAGAGAAGTGTACTTCTGCAGCTTCTCAAAAGTAGCTACAGATGTATGTTTGCAATATATATCCTCGGAATCGAATAATCCCTGTGCATGATCATGATCGATAGAAAGTGCAGGCCTTCAGCTGTTCCTATGTATTTCAAGACAGGCTCTCGCCAGCTATACAATCTGTGTATAATCCCCACTGCTCATTCTAAATAACAAAGTACCCAGCAAGTAAAAAGCGATCACGAGAGAAAAACATCACTTGTCTAGACTATACTCCCCGAAAAAATCAAAGATATACTCCGTCGCGTTGAAAACGTATTTGCCCAACGTGCACTGGTCAAGATGTCGGTCATAATCACCATGACCGATAGTACTCGCCCAGCAATGACCATTCTCACCCTCACGATAATGCTGAACAATGCCCTTCTTCCCATCGCAATCCCAAGAAACATGCTTCACAAGCGGCTTCTCAAAGATAGTCTCATTCCTAGCCCACTTTGCATTGTCTCCACATCCATTTCGAGCCGCCCAGCCCTGCAGAATACCAATGAGAGGCAGCTTAGGATTACTCTTCGCGTTACCATCAATGGGTGCAGTAGCATCTGTCGTACCATGGAACTCCAGAAATGGATATCCCTCTGCACGTTCTGCGGGCGAACAGGCTCCTACACCCTCAATTTCGTCGGTATCATACCAGGCTCCGCTGACAGCCGCGAAAGCCGCAAATCGGCTTCCAACTGTGGCATTGCAGGCGATTACCCCAGTGAATCCGCCGCCGTTTGACTTGCCTGCCGAGTATACTCTGCTTGTATCAATACACAGAGTGTTTTCCATGTAGTCAAGCAGGTCATTGGTAAAATCTAGGTCGTTGGGACGCGATATTTCTGCCTTCGGGTTGGAGAGCCAGTACCCGTTTTTGCTGTCTGGGTAGATAGCGATTCCGTCGGGGTTGAATTCTGGGTTCGAGAACTGAGATAGGGTTTCTTCTTCTAGCATGTCGCGGGTCGCTCCGTGGAAGGAGAAGTATAGTGGTGTTGGCTTGTTCTTGTCATAGTTGGCTGGGATATAGAGTCTGTATTGCCGCTCTGTGCCTGGGAGGGTGAGGTTTTGGCTTGATCCTACTGTTGGAAATCTAGTAGGTATGTCTTTACCGCAACCTGGGGTTTTTCCTGTAACGATGCTCGTGAGGACTGCGAAGCTGAGTAGGATTGTGAGATGCATGTTCTTTCAGGTTGCTTTGGGGGGCACTACACAACCCGCTTCTCACAGAACACCTTTATATTGACGGATCAGGCCGCAGAGCTGGCAACCAGTGCGGGGCTGCGAGGGAAGGCAGGGATATAGGTTGCATATTGTCCGAGGGGTTGCTTGGGGGAGTTGGGTGATCAGCTCCTTGCTGGATACAGAGAGATACGGTGGAGTTAATGCACATATTGCACATCTTTGGTACATTGAGCTGGACGAGATTACAATGTCCTCTTATGACAATTACCGTAGAACTGGGACTCTCTGATACCCATCTGCTGAAAAAGCATTGAGGGCGATTGGTTGACGAGTGAAGCCGCACCCATGTATATAGTTTCCCAATCGGGGAGGCCCCCGGCCCCAATATGCGGGGTTGATGAATCGGGGCAGTTCGCGCTGTTGAGACTTGTGCTTCGGATATGTATATAGCCCGATGAATAATGAAAAAGATTCGGCATGATGATTGGCAAAAGAGAAAAAAACAGAAGGGGAGAAAAAAAAACAAAAAAGAAATGTGCATCATCCGTGAATCGAACACGGGCCTCGTCGATGGCAACGACGAATTCTACCACTAGACCAATGATGCTGGTTCATGTATTGGCCCACCGCTTTGTGTATTGTATTCGTATTGCAATTTAGATTTCATCGCTCCCGCCTCAGGTCAATCAGAAGCTCGCCCTCGCTATTTCCTGGAGCTCCAACAGTCGCAACCATGGCAGCCGTTTCTGCAGCTAACATTCCTCCCAATGCGACGTGAGTAACACATGCCCTCCGCTGATCAACTCCCAAGCTAACAAGTCTTCGCAGAGTATATGTGCGTCTGTCCTTCCCCCTCTATCATATCAGCACTCCGCTCCCGCATGACCGCTCGATACTGACGGCTTCCTTTGCATTAGGTCAAAAATCTAGACGAGCGAATCAAGGTCGAACAGTTGAAAGTCTCCTTGGAGGAGATCTTCTCTGAATATGGCAACATTCTAGAGGTCGTCGCAAAGACCAACCTCAAGGCCAAGGGCCAGGCTTTCATCGTCTTTGACAACGTCGACTCCGCTACCCGTGCTATCGAGGACATCAATGGCTTCGATCTCTTTGATAAGCCTATGGTGCTAGCTTATGCGAAAACACAGAGTGATGCGACAGTCCAGCGGGAGGGCGGCAGCGAGGAGCTGGAGGCTCACAAGCGGAGACGCTTAGCTGAGAAAGGTACGTTGGGCGACACTTTTGTTGCAGTGTACGAAATGGCCGAATCCATGCTAATTACAATTGCTTTACAGAGCGGAAGCAAGCCCACGAGGCCCTCGAGGCACAGAAGAAACTCAAGCGTCCTGCCGCCGCCGTCGAAGCCGCACGCCCAGCCAAGACTATCAAAGGTGCAGGTCTCAAGCCCAGCGCTGGTGCTGCGACCGCCGTCATTCCGGACGAGTACCTGCCGCCCAACAAAATCCTGTTTTTGCGGGAGCTGCCCGACGACGCAACCGAGGAGAGTCTATCTGCTGTCTTTGGCCGGTTCGAGGGATTCCAGGAGGTCAGATTGGTTCCTGGTCGCAAGGGAATTGCATTCGTCGAGTACGAGGCCGAGGTTGGAGCAATCAGTGCGAAGGAGGCTACGTCGGGCATGCCCATGGGCGAGCAGGGCAAGGCGATTCGCGTTACCTACCAGCGACAGTAGTCATGGGTGGTATGTTGCATGCTACAAAATATCCCGGTCTTGTTATTTCTGGCGTTTGGAAGGTCTCGTCTCCAGTATCTGTGTATTAGAAATTCGGAGAGCTGTATCACTGTTCTCTTGCTGAGGCAATGCATCAAGGGTGCGTATCACATGAAGTTCAATATGTCATAAAGTAGATAAAATGAGCCTTGGGGCTAAAGTGAGTATGGGCGTACAAAGTAGTACATGTGGATGGGGAAAAATATGCCAACGATGAAAGAGTATCAATGCGAAACAAAATAGCAATCTAGAAAATAACATCATTGTCTTCCTCTTCGCCCAGAATATCTGGCGTCTCTTCTGGTTGAACGGCCACTACAGCAGCAGCCGGTGCGTTTGCCGCCTGCTCTTCTGCTTTCTTTTGACGGGCAGCTTCCATCTCAGCGTCCGCGGCAGCAACATTTCTCTGCTTGTTGCCCGAGACCTTCTTCAGGCGGTAGAACTCCTCTCGATCAAGCTCATCGAGTTCGGAGTTGATGTCTTGAACATGGTTAGCCAGTACAAGGGGAATTCGATATGACGGTACAAACATTTAATGGTGTTCTCAGTTCGAGGGATGATAACTTGCTCACTGTTGGAAGATGTGTTAGTATGCAGAATGAACACCCCATTTGAGAAGTTCGATCCTACATTGCATTGACTATATCATACAAGTTAGTAACCACACGATAGCTGTCACAATCCATGGGAGTATGACTTACCTCTTCGGTTGACAACCTTGATAACCTCATCCAAGATCAGGAATGCAGTCTGACACCAGTAATCAGCGATATTTTGGCCATTTCATATAAATCATGCATACCTGTAAGCTCGCCAGTTCCACCAGTGTCTCGACAGCACGTGCATATGTCTCCCGGCAGCGTGCAATCTGTTGTCCTCCCTTTCCTAGACCTGTTAAACCGAAGTCATTGACTCCATCCTGTGTGTAGCTTTCGAATGCCGGCAGCAAAACTCCGGAGACGTTCTCTTGCTTAGCTCGCACGCGGAAACGTGCCTGCTTGGCGGACTCCTGGATTTGGTAGCCGATATCTCCACCGACAGCGTAGCTTACTTCGGCCAGCGAAAAGGCCGCGATCTGCATGACCCGTCCCATCTTTTGTTTGGCTTCATCAATGCGACGTGTGATGTCTGTCGACTATTATTAGCGGCCCGATAACGCGGGGAGCGGGAATGTGTCGGTTCATACCTCGGAAACGCCTGTTGAAGATGGAAGGTTAGCATATCGTTTGATAGCCATCAAGTTATATCATCCATACTTTGTTAGAGCTTCACTCTTTCTCTTCAGTAAACTATGGCCGATCTCCGCCCCCTTCAGCTTGTTCTTCATCAACCCCAATGACTGGCGAGTTGGGAATACTGCCTCTCGGCCCTGAACAAAAGTTAGATGAATTCAATAGACATAACTACACATCGAGAGTCGACTCACCACGGCGCCGGACATGACTGCAATAAATCAAAAGTCACAACAGATCCTGGTTGTTTAGTGAACCCAGTGCGCCAGCGGCCACATTGATATGACGCCGATAACGCTCCACCGCCCGCCAGATATGGGTATATCACGTGACTCCAATCAATGTGGGAACCTCATCCGTTTATGGGTTTGGCCTTCGACGCGCAGCCTACAGCTTTCTGTTTATGCGATTTCTCTCTATGCTGGTACATTGACCGCTCAATCAGATTTCGCTCGACTGAGTGGCGCAATGCCAGGGACGCTTTTGCCCCCGAGATCACACCGGCAGCACGCAGAGATGGATCGATCATCTGCGTCCAGGCCGGACCTGTACTTGATTGTAAGTTTTGACTGTTCGTATACTTTGAACATGAAGCTTACTCCAGTACTATTAGACCGACCAGGACATTATCTACGAACAAGATCTGTTACGCGACGCAAGCAGTGTCAAACCTTGGCTTGCCTACATCGAATTCAAGCAGCAAAATGGCACCCTTTACGAACAAGCATTTGTATGTGACGATCAGCTCTTAGGCTCGAGCTAGGATGATAACTAACTATATGGCTCCTATCAGGTCATGGAGCGTGCTTGCAAGCAGCTGCCACGGTCATACAAGTTGTGGAAGATGGTAAGTTTCTATGTTATGATGGTAAGTACCTGTCGTGCTGATAATTTCTTAGTATCTTGAGTTCCGCACAAAGCATTTGAAGGGTCGCAATCCTACGGTATATCGCGCCGAGTACCAGAAAGTGAATGCACTCTTCGAACGAGCCTTGATTCTTCTGAACAAGATGCCGCGCATCTGGGAAATGTACCTCTCGTTCTTGCTTCAGCAGCCTCTGGTGACCCAGACTCGGCGAACATTCGATCGTTCTCTACGCGCTCTGCCAGTTACCCAACATAACCGAATCTGGAGACTTTACAAAGGCTTTGCTCGGTCTGCTTCTGGACAAACTGCCATCAAAATCTTTGCTCGGTACATGCAAATCCACCCCGAGAACATTGAGGACTACATCGAACTTCTCATTGAAATGGGTGAATACACAGAAGCCGTCAAGAAGTTCATGGATATTCTCGACGATCCACGTTTCAAATCCAAGAATGGCAAGGGTCCATTCCAATTATGGTCAGAAATGGTTGATCTCCTAGTCTCCAAAGCTAAGCAGATTAAGACTGGTCCTCAGGTTGGAATCGATGTCGATGCTATTCTCCGGAGCGGTATTGCTCGCTTTGCTGACCAAAGAGGCAAGCTTTGGGCTGGTTTGGCTACGTACTGGATTACCAAAGGCAACTTTGAGAAGGCACGGGATGTCTTCGAGGAGGGAATTACTACTGTCATGACAGTCCGTGATTTCACTCTCATCTTCGACTCCTATGTCGAGTTCGAAGAGTCTGTCATTGGCAGCCTGATGGAAAGCGCAGCTGCGCGGTCTGACAAGGGCAAAGCAGACGAAGAAGCCGACTTTGATCTTGATCTTCGCATGCTGCGTTTCGAGCAGCTGATGGACCGCAGACCATTCCTGGTGAATGATGTACTGCTTCGACAGAACCCCCACAATGTCATCGAATGGGAAAAGAGAGTAGCACTTTGGGGTGACAACAAGCAAGAAGCTGTCCAAACTTACACAAACGCCATTGCCGCAATCTCCCCGAAGAAAGCCCATGGGAAGTACTCTGAGCTTTGGGTGAATTATGCCAAGCTTTATGAGAACGGCGGAGACTTGGACACTGCACGAGTCATCTTTGACAAGGCTGTTAAAGTTCCTTTCAAATCTGTGGCCGAACTTGCAGAGACATGGTGCGAATGGGCCGAGATGGAGCTCCGCGCCGAGAACTTCGACAAGGCGGTCAGTATCATGGCGAAGGCAACACAAGCACCTAAGAAGTCGACTGTGGACTACTTTGACGAGACATTGTCCCCGCAACAGAGAATCCACAAAAGCTGGAAACTGTGGAGTTTCTATGTTGATCTTGTCGAGAGTGTCTCGTCTTTAGAAGAGACCAAGAAGGTCTACGAGCGCATTTTCGAGCTGCGTATTGCCACACCCCAGACTGTTGTCAACTACGCCAATTTGTTGGAAGAAAACAAGTACTTCGAAGAATCCTTCAAGGTATACGAGCGAGGATTGGACCTTTTCATGTACCCGGTTGCCTTCGAACTCTGGAACTTGTACTTGACCAAGGCTGTAGATCGCCAAGTCGGTATTGAGCGACTCCGAGATCTATTCGAGCAGTCATTGGAAGACTGTCCCCCCAAGTTTGCCAAGCCTCTTTATTTGATGTACGGCAACTTGGAAGAAGAGCGCGGTCTTGCACGACATGCGATGCGAATCTACGAGCGCGCGACTCGGGCAGTGTCCGACGAAGATCGTTTCGAGATGTTCGAATTCTACATCACGAAGTCGGCTTCGAACTTTGGTCTCACCTCTACCAGACCAATCTACGAGCGTGCTATCGCAGCTTTGCCCGACCAAGAGGCCAAGGAAATGTGTCTTAAGTTCGCGGAGATGGAGCGCAGACTTGGTGAGATCGATCGTGCTCGTGCAATTTACGGCCACGCATCTCAATTCTGCGATCCTCGCACAAACGCCCCCTTCTGGCAGAAGTGGGAGCTATTCGAGAGTTCACACGGCAACGAAGATACCTTCACCGAGATGATCCGTATCAAGAGAAGTGTCCAAGCCCAATACAAGTATGTTATCTACGCCACTACAGTACTAATGATATGTGCATCTGCTAACATTATTTACAGCACCGACGTCAACTATATTGCCTCCCAAGCCATTGCTAGGGGTCAACAGCAACCCGCGACAGGTGAACAGGGCGAAGGCGACGAGGATCAAGAACGCGCAGATGCCATGGCAGAGCTGGAACGTCAAGCCCGTGCTCCAGTGGGCTTCGTGGCTGCCAGCAGCGGTCCAGAGGGTGGTACCCGTCCTCCACCCGCGGCTCAAGGGCCCGTTGTCCCTACTGCTAATCCTGATGCTATTGATCTTGATATGGACGAGGAATAGACAGAATAGGCTACCCAGGTGATATGGGTCATGTTTTCAGAGGAAAGAAACATCTCACGAAACTTTTTTCTTTCATATTTGCTCATCTGTGATCTTTTTTTTTTGGGTCTCAACCATCGAACTGTATGTTGTATGCAACTTGCTATCTTTCTCCATTTCAGTATAAGTATTTTCTTGTGATGGATTGTCATCTCCGTCCCATCTCTTCTCTTCTTCCCACAACTAACTGCATTTCAAATCATGACTTGTTCTCTTTTGTTTTTCAGGAGGCTTCTGCCCTGCTATGATTTCTTGTTCAATTTCTTTTCTACTCTCCAAGTTTTGGGATACCTGATTATTGACAATGGGGCGTTGTATTATTGTATCTGTATGTGTATAGATTAGGTAGCCCAAAGGAAAGCTACATCTGTGTTGTGACTCTCGTTCTGCTCATTGTGGTTCAACTGCCGACAAATGTTCGTTTTACTGGGAAATCCCAAGCCTTATTGGGACCTAGTGTATTTTTGCACGCCTAGTGTTTTGGCACGTAGCACCGATCATTAAATCAAGCTATTATCTACATGTGGGACATAGAACCGGGGGCTATTCTAAGAAGAAGAAAAACGCAAAGAGAGCAAAAGAATCGAAAAATTAAGAAAGATACGTCGTACATCCACGGAAATATTCATCATCCCTTCCATCTAGGGAGTACCTTCCTTGGACTCTTGAGGCTGGGTCTCGGCGTTGGCCTCCACCTCCCCGGTTTCTTGTTGAGGTTCGGTATCTTCACTCTTCTGCTCTTCCTCGCTGGCCTTTTCTGCCTCATTGGGCGGTTGTGGAGATGAGACTGTAGAGCCTGGGTGAGACTTTACGAGCTCCTGGGGAACATCTGGGAAGATCTCCGAGAATAGATCGGGCAAGAACCGGCCAAGGCGTTTGCGGGTCTCGTTCCAGATTTCTTCCTTGCTCGGGTCTTGGGATGGGGATACGAGGTAGCCACCATCGGCCATGACAAGAAGAATGTTCTTCAAGCTTTCGGGGACTGCTTCCGCCTGCGAAAATGAGAAAATAGATATGTTAGTCGAGATCGATATTGGTCGAATCGAGTAGTGGAGTGGAATCATTAACTTACCAAACTATCACCCTGACCACTGTTCATCATACGGTCTAGGATGTCCAAGATCCTGAGCCAGAGAGGAAGCATACCCGTCCGGTTGGGAAGCTGATCGAGGAAGCGTAGGAAGATCTTGCAAACCAAAGTTGCGGCTTGGAATCGTGTCTCACTCATGCCAAAGGGATCAGAGTGGTAGACCTCTGGCTTCAGAAGCAGTATGACAAGCGGGAATAAGACCTCATCGAAGATGCTAGTCCACTCTTGATCATCGCTCGAGACTAGTTCGGCGGAGAGAAGGGACCTCTGTAGCGTGGAAATAGCATGGTGCCGGATATCGCGACATGGGTTGATGCATTGGCCGGTCAGTGACTGGAAGATAGGCGACCAGTAGGCGGCCCAGGCTAGAATTTCGCAAAATATTAGAATATCGCCATAAAATATATTGTAGATGGTATGTTATTACCTTCGTTCTCTTCGAGATGGGATTGTTTGATGAGAGCCGGAACTCGTCCAGTCAGATGATAGATCAGGCCGATTGCCTTCACGCCGCGAGTCACGACTTGATTCTCACTATGATAGAAGAGGTAAGTAGAAGTACGGAATATGATTGCACGGCAATATACCTTGACTTGGGTTGTTTGACGCCCTTGTTACGACGGGCTTGAGCATCTCTGTGCCGTTCTTCGATAGATCCCACACGTCCCGCGCTGACGAAGTCGTTGGCCAAGCTGACCACAAATTCGTAGTTGTCAGCGGTGATGATATCGGGCATTGACTGGACAATGCTTTGGAGGAGATCGAAAACAAGCGAAGCGACCGCCTCATGTTGGTGAAGTCTTTGCAAAATTGACCAGAAATCCGGAGAAATTGTGATCTCATTTCGTAGACGACCTGTGTGGCCAATGCACCTGGCTAGACCTTTCACTGTGGGAGTCGCCACAGTTTCCAAGATATCCTGGTCAAATCCAGAAATAGCATGGAGTACAACAGGTACGCGCATGAAGTGTTGGTCCTGAAATGATGTCAGTACAGAAATGAATGTATCGGAGGCACAACATACATGGCTCAGTCGCAACAGATTCAGGAGGTATGAGACAACACGAGACACGGCCAGCGGGTGGAGGTTTTTCGCATCGCGCACCAGTGTCTGAAGGGTTGTTGCTAAATTTTCACCAAGGACTTCCAAAGTCTTTTCGTCACGGAGAGTGAGCACGGTTGCCAACTCCAGAACGAAGATCATCGAGGGATCATATTTGGGCTGGTTGGGATCAACCCTGTTGTTTGCAGGTCTTGAACTGGGTGTCGGGCGTTCGGGTTTTACAACAATCACTGCTGGTGCATTCTCCTCGGGAAGCAAGGACAGCAAAGCCTCCACAAGCATCTCCAACGAAGAAAGAGGAAGAGACCTTTGAGAAATGTCAGCACCATGGCCATAACTAGTTCAAATGTAATGTTTACTGACTTGATATTTGTCAAGATTTCGGAGATAGAGCACGCTGTCACACAGTCCACTGTGCAAAGGGTGTTGTCAAGCTCCTCATCTGAGGGCTCAGGAGGATCATCTGCTGCATAGCTTGAAAGGTAAGATGTAAATGCAGACAGGATTCCAGTGTCGTTATTACGTCCATCCCGATCAACCACCTGTGACGGAGGCTGCAATGGAATCGGAGATATTTCAAGCTCGGATGTCAGTTCAGCATCAAATGGAGGGATGAGAGAGTTGATGAACAAGTTGCTCAAGATGCGGACGACATATTCCCAGCCTTGTTTGACGGTTGCCTCATTTGTCGAGAGTACTCGGAACAGTACAACAGTTGCTAGTTGTGCTCTGAAGTCTCGGCCAAATTTGACAGCCAGCTCGCTTACCATTACACTCTTCTGACCGACCTGTACCTCTGTGTTGAGCGCTGTGCTTGGAGGCTTGCTAGTAGCCAAAGTACTAATTGACGCAAGAGAAAAGATAATACGATCAAACGTCTCGGTCAAGCCATAGCGAGCAGCGATCTGTGCACACTGGTCGAAACCATTGACAACACGAGAATATACTGCATCGTCGGATGCAGACATGAAGACGTAAGAAAGAGTTGCAATCACTGGTTTCCATGTAGCCTTGAACATCTCGGCATCATACACGTTCGTCTCTCCGACAATGATGTCGCCATCAGATGAAGACTTTAGCAACAGTTCTTTCCAGGCATAATCAAATGCATGCTTGTTTTCATGTTCGTCGGGAAGAATGATCTCCTCGTTTTTGATAGAATTAAAGATGTCCTGGAGGAAATCCTCTGTGAAGTCACCACCCCCATTAACGCCTCGCAAATTCTTTGCGAACCCAGCGTAAGTCATACGATTTTGGGATTTCACGTTGGGGTTGTAGAGTTCGGTGTTCAGCATGATGATAGCATAGGTCAAGATGTAGAGTGCGTCTTTGTCGGCGATAGTGTCCGGCTTCACTTTGTCCATATAATGTTCCGCAAACGTCGTCACAATGCGCTCAATAAGGGGCGATTCACCGGGTAGACGGAATGAACTAAGTAGCTCTCGAAGTGCTTCAATCGCAGTACGTCCTGAGAAGTCAAGAAGATCGACAAATGCGCCTAACAGCCCCTCGTTGTTACGTTTGGAGATATACTCTCCGAGCATCTTCTTTGACACGCGGGACGTTCCTTTCAAGAAGCGAGCGACCAGAACGGGGTTCTGAGCATCCTCAATCACACCATGGCTTGCGAGGAAGGCGATGCCTTTCTTGGGATCTTCATTGAACATCTGTGTTCCCTTAATAATGAGCTTTTTTGTCTGGCGTTGTTTTCTCAACTTCTCTTGGGGAGGATAGTCTCCCTGTACGTGTTCATCATCCAATCGATCATAGATAAATTGCACATAGCCCAAAAGAGCGTCCAGACATAATGGAGGAACATTGGTAGTGCTCCAAGTCGCAGAGTCAGGGAAAGCATTGCGAGAGAGCAATCCAATCAGGTCCTCGCAAAGATCCGCTCGGTCCACTTCACAATCGTAGTTGACGAAAAGTTCAACGATGAAGCTAGGTATGCGTGACAACAAGCCAATGCTTTCAATCATTGCCTCTCGGGCTTCGGGCCTTCGTGATCCACCCTCAAGTCCTAACTTCTGTCGATCTTTGACGGGAACAGGTGTAGATCTGCCGCTGTTGGCTTGTGAAGCCGGCTGCTTCACCAACTTGGGTGATTGAGGAATGCCTTCATAGAGGGATGGGTCAATGCCAGGTTCTCGCGGTATTTCCACGCGAGGGTGCAAGCAAGCCACCAAGTACGAGATATAAAGTTCTTGTTGCAATTTCAAAACCGGCCTGCAGGTTGATAGCAATGTTCCAGCCACTCTCAAAGAGCCAGTCAGGATAGCCATCTGTTCTGACCTCACTAATTGGAAGAGATATCGACAAAGATCGTCCTTGGCCAAAGCAGCCAAACTGGGATGCCGAGCAATAGAGGGACCTGCCACCTCCAAGGCAACATCAATAATGCGAAGTGCCATCACTCGCATTGCGTCGGTGTGCTGTCGGTTATGAGGATCCAAGAGGTCGATCAAGACACGGAATAGCTCTCTGATTGATGGCAATGAATAAGGCTGAAGCTCAGTCTCGGTATCATCGTTCGGGCTTGGTGGTGCGGCTTCTGCGCTACCATTTCCGGATTGCTCAGGTGAGCCCTCCCGGCTGGTGCTGCGTCGCTCTGCCACAGCTGTGTCTCCGCTGATGGCTGACAGGTGCTGCGATGTGACGGTATCTCCATTGACTGACGGGTCCATCTTCAGACGAGATGTTGAATCATCTTTTGTGTCTTCACCTGCAAATGGTTCCGGACCTGCGGGAACTTCATGATCAAGATGCGACAGGCGCATAAAGATTACCTGGCACATTTTAACCATTGCCATTTCTGCAGATCTCCGCAGTACCTCCGACAGACGGCCCTGACAGCACATGCTCAATCCTGTTTCCATCATTTCGCAGACACTCTCGTCGCCCAAAAGCTCGCCTTCCGGTCGCGAAAGTATGCCCTCCATCAGTTTCAGAATCCTCAGTAGCACTATCTCGTCTGCCGATGAGTCGCTAGCTTCGAACCTGCAATGTGTGATCGCAGCTGAGAGTAGCTGCATCGCCATAGGGAGACGGGGAGAATTTGGGTTGATGATATTGTACGAAAGGAACTTGGTAATGGAGACCAAGGCGATAGATGTAATTGCGGCGGAGGTCGAGGAGGAGCGGATGACCTGTAAGAATGGATGGAGTAAAGCCGGGGTATCAAAAGTTCGGATGTCTTTGCAGTCTTTCAAATCGCTTCGCAATCGTGTGAAAGCCGATATCAATGGGTTGTCCTGCATGCTCTTCCCCTTCTTCCCTCGCAAACCCCACCGGTTGGCCAGAACATGGTCTTCGTCGAGACGAGGTGTGGATTGCCCATTTCTGCGTGGATTTGGGCTCGGGGGAGCAGATGTATCCCGCTCATAGACACGAGAGGCTCCATTGCCGCCCAAGATGGCGGAGACCGAGGAATGAGCCCAGCGGGCATGCTTGCGCATAGACGAAGTGACAGTGATACATTCAGTGGTCACCAAAGCCACGGGATCGATGGCAATGGTAAGCGATGACGAGTCCATGGTGGGATCGAGCATCGCAAAAGATGCTCGCTGCTGTGACACCATTTTGGAGGTTGGAACGAAACAGCTGGTCTCTCCATCATCATACTGCTGCTTGCCTTATCGAGCTTAGCGTCTTCCCCGCCCACTCACCGCCTACGCCAGGGGCTGTATCGAAGCTTTACCACGGAAGCGGTATTGGAGCATTTCTATTGGACCAGAATCGGAAACTTCGGGGTATCGGAGTACCATGGAGTATTGGGGTGCATCCATGGATGCAAAATGTTTGATTTCGCCAATATTGACATCCTTCAATGTCCATTTCAGACTACATGGCACTATAACGTTATTAGATGTTTGAATAGGAGATTAAATGTGACAGCTACCTCCGGCTACATGGCCTGGGTATATGTTTCCGCATGCACGCGTTTATCGGCGCATAATATATTCCCTCGGCGATCATTGATATAGTGGCTGATATATTTTCCGAGTAAATAAATGTGGATTTCCGCATCAACCACGCGTGCTATTTATGGCGAAGGTATCTTCAGCTGTCCAAGACATAATGGCCATTGTATTTTAAACCGATCCATATAGAATTTGGACCCGTGCTCAGTAGATCTGGGACCCTGCCCAGAAAGTCATAGCATTAAGCTCGTGTACGACGATTTGGGACTAGGTGGGATGAACCCCATATATTCCGTGAATCGTGCAGATATGACTGGTCACACTAGTAGTCCTTGCAGCGGTTGGGGATCGCAACGATAGCAACGGTGTTGATACCGTTGGCCGGACAAACCTAGTAGACTAAACATTAAAAACAAGTGGACAGCACTGTCTTCGGAGAGCGATTCTGATTCTTAGCAAATCGGGGGTGTCTGGGATATACCTTCAAGGTCTTTTCTATTCTTAGTGTGCGGCGCTAATACCCGCTCTTGAGCTATCGGGGCTATCGTGATATCAACCCACCGCTTCTCTGTCCCCGCCTCAAAACAAACGCCTCCCCCTCAGTCCTACGCTTCCCTTTACTTTCCCTCGGGGGATTTTCCTTTCTTTTCTTTTTGTCCACGCCACTGCACGTGCTGAATTTGGTGTGACTCTATGAATTAAGTGGAGATCATTTTTTTTTGTTCTTCCATGGAGGGGAGCGCGAATGTCGCGATCGCTTTACCACAGGATAACACATCCATGCGATCATAAACTGTCCTTCTCTTAAGCCCGCCTAAGAACAATTCTCTCGTTTAATCCCAGACCCTGTGACCCCGTGACCCTACGATATTGCGCTTTCCTTCACTCGCTACCTCACTGCATCGACGTCGTTCCTTCTACGCCCGACCTCGGCGCATTTCATTTGTTTATCGCGGACGATAGCGCCTGCCTACCAGCTTCTTCCATTCCGTACTTGTATCGCAAGTGCATCAGCATTCGTCATGGCAACCATTCCACCTCCGCCCGCGAGCCTTACACTGGCAGACCTGCCTCTCGAACAACTCAGCCTTTACCATGTCGTCGACTCGTGTTTAGCATCGATCTTCGTGTTCTATGGTGCTGTCTCCACAGCCAACGCCACTGTGAGCAGCTCACGCATCCAGGCTCATATATTCACACCAGCCGGGTTTCACAGTTATCCTCGAATTACGGTCTCTCCGGCTGCCCCTGTGTATGCAGCAGTCAATCATCTGCCCCGCGAAAAACAAGGCGATGAGGTGTGTCGCGGACTTGCAGTAAGCATGCTGAGGTACTTTGCCGAGTTGTCTGACCCGGTCAAGCACCGCCTGACGGGGGTGGCTCGTATTGGGAAACCGGGAGGAAGGACCCCCAAGATGTTCGATGAAATGCATGCTGCGGATCTCGCCAATCGTATGGTAAAGGTGGATGACTCGTCGGAAATCATTCATGACATTCGGAGCGCATACCAAGAGCGTAAGGTGCCGTGGATTGACATCGATGTGGTGCTTCCTGCCGGCACTATACAACCATTCCATCGACGGGAGAGTGCGGGATCAGACCTTGAGGAAAGCCAGAGCCCCCAGTACGGACCTTATACACCTCTAATAGAGGCTTTGGGAGATCCTATGTTTTTGCCAACATCTCGACTGAAACGTGCGCCTTCTCAGCCTACCAATGTCAGCAAATCTCGACTGTTTGCAAGAAGTCAAAAAGAAGCCCTTCGTCTCACCATGTGTGAACTGGTCGACACTGAGGAGAGGTATGTCGCTAAATTATATTCCCTTGTTCATGAAGTGGCCGAAGAATTCCGACAAAACGCTATGGGCAGAGGGCCATCAAGTAACAGCCCCGACGAGGCGGCCTTGGCGGCACTATTCCCACCATGTTTGAATGAAATTCTGGAAGTCAATCTAGGGTTTCTCGATGACATGCGACATGTGCTCGATGAGACAGAGAAAGATGCCATCACAGATATTGGTCAGGACACAGAACTCCCTGCAAACCATCGAGGGTTGCCCAGAGATCGAGCGGATCCGCTTGGAGCTCTGGCATTCGCAAAAGCTCTCTTCCAGTGGCTACCGCAATTTTCTCAGCCATATGGAGATTACATGCGAGCACACACAGGTTTTGCACAGACCCTGAATTTTTTCATGCGAGATAAGAATTCCAGCTTCTCGAAGCGAGTATATGAGACCGGCGAACAAAAACTGCGCTCTTTGCTGATGGAACCTGTTCAGCGACTCCCTCGATACAGTCTGCTGATCGATACCATGACTAGCAACCTGCCATTGGTTCATCCCGCGGTGAGAACTTTGTTGAAAGCCCGAGATATTGTGAAGGACATCTGTGCTCTAGAAAACAATTCACCATCGAGCCACGTTCAAAGCCTGCGACGCCTGGAGGAGCTTGTCAATGGATGGCCAGCGAAGACATTCCCCGAAGGTCGGCTGATTACAGCAGTCGATTTTAACGAGATTACGTCTCCTTACCGCCTGGAGCCACAGTCATCTGCCTACACTACAGGGATCATGTTGATTTACAAGAACTGCCTGGTTCTATTAACAAAGTCCGCTGAAAGCCGGGCCACGGCCCGGGGTGTGCTGGCTGATATCGACAACGCAGCATCATCAACCAGCGATATGTCCACGGTACTGCCACAATCAGAGCTGCAAGTTGTGCAGGTATTGGAGTTCCATCGTGTGCGTTGTATGCAATCTACATGTGGCCGGATTTTGTTCGTTGTTCCAGTTTCAGCCAAGGCCACGACATCTGAGACTAGCGGCGGAACGGACCTTATTGCCTTGGAATTAGCTACGACTTACGAAGGAAAAGCCAGCCGGTTGGTTGAAGAGATCTCTAAAGCAAGGATTGAAGGCCGATTCCCGGAGAGTGAGAGAGAAGGAGGCAAATGGACTTTGCGAAGTCCTTCCACTGGTTCTGCAAGTAACGTGGGAATACTGGCCTGTGTATGTGAGGACGGGCAAAGCGCTGCGCTCGACCAGGCTCAGGCATCCCCGATACGAGTCGTTTTCGATACCACGAAAGCGACTTGCGGTCAGATGTTGAAAAGTTCCAATCTCGATGTTATCATATCGATCTCTCCTCCCAACGGAGATCAATACCGATTGGATATTGATTCCGTGGTTGGATCTGGATCTACAGACTTGATCACAGTGGAAACTTTCATTCCAACACTTTCAAGACGTCGTAAGTGGCTCTTGACAATTCAATCATTTTTCTTCTTTACCACTAACTCAAATAAACAAAGTTCAATATCTGCTATCACCGCTATACAGTGCCCGAAACCCGGCACTGACTGAACCGCTGGTTCACTCCAATTTCGAGATCCTTCGGTATATTGCCAGCAGCCTGATGACACAGGTAAAGTCCTCACGAGGGTTCCGGGCACCCTCACCGACTAAATTGATCTCAAATCTGTTGGGAGGAAGTCGTGACAACGGCACCAACTCCAAAGGACCAGGATCGACCACTCTCACCGGCGAATTCCCAAAAATGCTCCCGGTAAGAGGCACATTGTCAAGATCGAACACTTTACCTTCGTCATTCCCAGGAAAAGACAAAGAAAGAGACAAGGACAAGGATAAAGATAAGGAGAAGGAGAAAGAGGAAAGCGCAAATAAAATTTCAGTCGTTGGAGCTTCGGCATCAAAAGGATCGGATACTCAGTTTGGATTGCTGGAACAAACCTTTGCGGCATATGTGCTCTCTCTGCAGTCTCGGAGTGGAAACATCCTGGGCCGAATGCTTCGAGTTAGGGACTATGTTGACCGAGCGCCGGTCAATGAGCTCTACAACATTTTGCTCGAAGACCCCAGCAAAATTCAAGCGGCGGCTGAAGTGCCAGTTGATACTCTGTTTGTCGCATTTGAAACTTTTTTGGCCAATGCTTGGAGAAGCAGCATGGGTCCCGTCTTCAGCTCCTCTTCTCTGAAGTGGGTTCAAAGCCAGTTTGATACCATGATTCCACGAGATTTTGATGAGCAGTTCAGGAAGTTTCTCACAGAAATGAGCCCACAGAATAGACGAGCTTTAGCTGCGATCATCCGTCTACTTGCAGAACTACTTGACGCATCTGGAAATGACGGAGATCGCGGTGCTTTGACAATGGCGTTTGCCGAGGTACTCACAGAAGACGGAGATCCCAGCCACCACGTCTCTCTTTTGGATCGACTCGTTGAGGACTTCGATACCCTCTTTGAAGATTTCATCCCGGGCGGCACCTCAGTGGAAGGCACGCTGACCTGTGATACATCGAAGTCCCATGCCAATACTGGATCAGTCGGTTCCAATTCTTCCTCTTTCCGGAAGCGCTTTGGATTTGGTATGCACACAAATGCCAAAAATGAAGGGGAAAGTAAAGTCGCAGCGATCCTACGGACATTGAGCAAGAAACAGGCCGCGACCGGGTCAGAGCCGAACACACCCAAAGGCACTTTGATTCGTTCAAAGTCGACTGATGTGGACGCCCGCCTAGGATTCTTTCGTCCTGCATCCCGTGATCGCCCTATATCTCGTGATCGCCCTGCCTCTCGCGATCGTCAGTACGGATTCGCATCCGAGGAGCAAATATCGAGGCCAGGCACTGGCTATGAGCAGCCGCCTTCTTTGTCCTCTTTCAAAGGATTCTCTGAAGATGCCGTACCAAGGACTCGTAGAAAACGCAGAAGTTCCCTTTCTGATTTACGGCCACCCACATCATCCTCGGATGCATCTAGTATCTCTCCCACTCAGCAGCTTCGTCCCACGACTCCCTCTACCCGCCCTCGAGGAGAGGTGGTCACACCCACCAAGCAATCCAGACCCCATAGCAGTTACATATCAACATCGCCTATGCGTGGTCAATCACCAACTCGTGGTAAATCTCCAATGCGTTCCAAGTCACCGGCAAAGTCTGGTTCTCCCACGCGGCTAGGGTCACCAATCCGCCGTCTATCCCCATCCCGTCCTACTACACCGAGTAGAAAAGAGAACATTGATCCTAGGACCCCCACACAGAGCGTACGACCAAGTCTCGGGGAGATGTATCAGACCTGCCATGCGATGAACCAAGGAGGCGATCTCACGCATCAGGCATTCCCCAACGAACCCCAGGCCTTCGAGAAAGGTCAGCCACCAATGGTTCTGATGCCAAGCGGCCGCAATCTTCCTCTTCCTCGCAAAGACCACAGAGAACGCGAATGCAAAGTCCACAAAAGGTTCGTCTCCCTTCTATTTAGATAATGGCTTTAGCTAACCTCCTTTTTTTAGTTACGTGATCGTGTTCAACTGGAAAAGAAAACCCAAAAGTCCACCGAATTGAGCCTGAAAGATGAACTTTCGGCGATTGGTAACGAATTGCGCTCCTTGAAGCTCACACCACCAAGACAATCCAACCCAATGAATCTCGAGTTTGACTTTGACCGCGCAGACACCAGCCCAACTTCTGCCATCGCCGCATCTCTTGAGACTCGCATGCGCAATCTTGAAGCGCGATTTGAAACATTCGCCGGGGAGTACAATGGCCGCATATCCGCCCTTGAAAGAGACTTAGAGTCATCCTTGGTTCTCAGCGACAAGCGTGTCAAGAAGTTGGACGAACTCTACCGCGAGGCTAGTGCCGAAAACGAAGCTCTCTATGACCGATTCAATACGGAGCTTAGCAAGATCGCGAAAGATGTTCGATCTGGACATGCAGAAGACGCTTTGAAGTCTCAGCTCGCGAGTGCTCTAGACGAGATTGGCCGGGTGAAGAAAGAAAACTTCCGCTTGAAGCGAGAAGTCGGAGGCCTCCGAGCCCAGTCAGCGGCCGTTGCACTGCTCAAAGCGAGCGACCAATGACAGAATCTACAGCATTCAGGTCCTGTCCCATTCATTCATTCCAATCCTTTTCCTTGAATCATATTGCCCAATAACCTGACAACCGTCACATCTATTCTTTCCTTTCACCCTGTATTCTGATACCGTCGAAGCCTCTTTCTTTTGATCACTCATTCATTCGCATACACATCATGTCCATGAGCCTTCCTTACTTGTATTCATCCCTATTTCTTGTCACTCTTCATACTGGCAAATTCGCACAGATAGCCATTGATTATGCATGCATAGCTCAGGAGATCAATTTTTCTGCCGGGCTTGTTTTTTTTTTGTTTGTCTAAGTCTTGTCATGTACACTAATTGTCTGAGATATCTTTATCAATCGGCCAGCCCATTAGGCGCAGTGCTTCAGTGTCAATCATTTTATACATCCACTGCCACTTCAACTTCCATCGCCAGCGTAGATGTGTCAGTTCCACCTCACCGAGAGAAGAATACTCAGCTGAATGACCAGATAGCCGATAGTCCAGAGTCGGCAATGCCAACTGCTGCCGAACCTTCTGATCCACAGGCTTTCCCGGTCTAGAATTTATACCTTCCCTCGAGATCACAGGCAGAGTAAAGCGCAGCTGAGAAGGCGCTTCGGCAGATAAGAGTGCTTTAATATGCTCAAAGGTCCCAGGCTGTTTCCGATCAGCAGCAGAATCCTTCTTCACACCCTGGGGCCTTGCATTAACCGTATCCCTGCGTATCCGTTCGATATCCAATTTATGGAACGGGCGTATCGTAAGAGGAACCTTTGACAAACGATTCCCTAATTCACTAGGATCGCGCGCAGGATCGCTCGGGACGAGACGAAGTCTCATCCAGAACCGGTTATCCCATAAAGTCCACGGAGTAAAATTGCCATTAGGCGAGACACTGATTTGCATTACGGGATCTCGGTCTCTCATAAATGGTTGCCGGGATAACAGCCAGATATTATCGCCGGTCTGTGGGTTTTGTGATGATTCATTTGCGAGAGGCTGGAAGAGAACACCCGCTAGCGTGAACGCTTGTTTCGGACGGTTTTCTTGGTCATTTGGTGTGGGTTTTGTGCCAAGGGAACTGTAGTCTGCAGTGGGGAAGATATTGGGGACTAGTGACTCGTAGTTGCGGAGGGAGAAGTGGCTGTCGGGGAATGGGGAGACGAGTTCTGTGATGCGTCGGAGAACGAGGGTTTGGATCTGTCGGGTTTGAGATGTGGATAATGATGCGAGTTGGGGGTCCATGGATGCGGGGCTTGGATCCAGGAATTGGATGACTGCTGACCCTGCCTTGGGGTTGAAATCTAGGATTCGGCATTGGGAAGAGAGAAGGGAGTTGGATAGGTCGTTTGACTTCTGGAGGAGATCCTGGCTTGAACGGATGAGGGAGAGGATGGATTGTGATTCCAGCGCACGCGGTAGGGAGTTTGAGGTGCGAAGGCTGCGGATGGCGTTACGGGGAGTGAGGGTTGGGTCGAAGTTTGTTGGGTCGGAGACGTAGGGGACTTTGTTCTTGTGACAGGTCTCCACGAGACTTGTTTTGGTGAAGGGAAGCAGAGGTCGGCAGATGTATATGCCGGGACTTGCGATTTGTACATCGGATGTGAGATTGAATTGGGGTTCATCTGGTTGCTTTTTGATGGGCCCAGCATCTGTATTAGGAAATGTGATCAAACCACGATTTCGATCATTGAATCGGACTCGGGTTTGGGGCATTGTCTCTGGTTTCGTCCGGATTGATGTGGTCGACCAGCTTTCAGAAGCCCCGAAAATGCCGTGGCATTCGGGGATTCGAGCAACTTCGGGGATGCCCCCTAGACCTAGCCCGTTTGCACCGGCGGAAAGCCGCCATATGGTGGTTTCGACGTTGTCATCTTGATGATGGCCCAGGAGTAACGTTTCAAGTTTGAACTCATGGCAGGCTATGCCGAGCGCTTGAAAGCGAAGTCGGCGAGCATGCGTCTCAAAGGCGGATGGCATGGAACTCGATGATGCTGACTTTGACGAAGACAATTGATTCTTATTTGAAACGATTTCAGACCAGTCTAAACTAAGGATCTGGGTTTTGATGTCTGTTTGGAATTTGTTAGACCATATAGTTTGAACATTCAGATTAGGGGAGGTGAACCCATATCACGAAGCCAGCCAGCAACCTTTTGTGCTTCAAGAGTGCTTTCTGGACGAGCGCGATGATCTACCACAAATGCAGTGAGAGAGATAGCCCCGGCGATATCAGGCGAGCGTTCTAATTGCTTGCATAGATATGCCAGAGCCATTGAGTCGGCGCCGCCACTAACGGCAATGCCTACCAAATCGCGCGTTAGCTATGAGCAAATTCGAATATAATGACAATATGCATGCCGAATAAAAACTCAAAAACTTACCGAACCTCCGCGGAAGCTGTAAAGCATCATAATCATCGGCATTTTGTCCATATTTGGGGTTGCCGTAATTGACGCGAGCCCGTCGCGATCCGGACCATGCTTGCTGGAAACAACGCTGGAATAGAAATGGCGAGATGGATATATTACCAGCCATTTCTACTCTCCCCAGAATCAAATACAGGCTCCAAAATTTCTAAATCATCCTTGAGCCAGTTCAATTCTTGGACAGGAGAAGCCCAGGATCAATATCATCGGCTCGGCGAATCAGTTCTTCCGGGAGCGTGGCTGGCCTTCGCGCAAATACCGGAATTCCCCGAGAGATCGCGATCAATGTTATGAATATGAACTTGTCAATTTTAGAGAGATTTGATTGAATTATTTGTCAAAGTTTGAAGACTGGCAACTATACAAGTGGTGGCTGCGGCTGTTCTATCTGAGAAATGGTTTCCAGTTTCTTCAGATCTATATCTCAAAGCAATTAGGAAAAGCAGCCAAATAGGCGCCCTCAATCTCACGGCCCATACCCCCGACGCCCTCAAAGATTACATCCGACTTCAGGCTCCTTCCAAGGACTCTCACGCCATGCTGCAGCTCCTCCCTCAACCTCTCGACATCAGCAATCTCTGATGCAGGATCAGGCTTATTGAGCAAGTGATAGCAATCTGCAAGCTGATCTGTCGCCAAAGACGCCCGCAGTTGATGTAATATCATCAAAAGAGCATAGCAACTTTGCATAGCTGAGCATGCAAAGTAAGGGATGGTCTGAGGGTATCTGAAAGATGCAGAAGGCGCGGATCTTCCCGTTACCAGGGAATCATCCACAGAAGAGTCGGATCCGAGGGGATTTGGATATGGTAGATTCCGATATATTCTCGTTATCGAAAGAGAGGATTTGAGGCAGATGTTGGAGGATTCTTGTTGGGTGAACGGAAATGAGGCCTCACAGTCCGTCACCCACCTGGGAGTGGATGTTTGATGCGAGAAGGTTTGGTTGTTGATTGCCGCCAGATCGCAGTATTTATCTAAAAATAAGGGTATGTCCATAAAAGCCCGAAAACGGTGGAGGCGAGTACGGGCACTGGAAATTTCAATAAGATGCACATTTGAGGTTGAAGATGGTTCACTTACGCGTAGATGAACATGCGGCTGAGCATCCACATAGTTTCGGCTGTACATGCCTCAGGTCCTTCGTCGAAGATGGTCAGAAGATGGCGATCTGCTTCACTTGCCAAAGACACAAGATGCGAATCTAGCTTGCGGATTTGACTGTCGAAATCTGATAGGACAGGTGTCTGGTCCACACGTTCGATGTTGTGGACCATTTTGTTAGACTCAAAAAGAGCCTCTTGCGCTTTCATCATAATAGGCCATGGCTTTGCACGGTAAGCAGAGTGTCAAACAAAATTCATAGTAGAGCTTGAATATATACCTCCAGATAGACCTCAAATTTGGGATAAGGAGTAGTTATTCGTGGATCATCCCAGTAAACAATTGGTGGCTGAATATCAACCAGTCAGATATAGCAAATGGCACGGTTAGAATGGTCACTTACGGCATGAAGGAAATTTGACGATAGGTAGGCCACCCAAATCTATATAGCACCGGTGAGCACGGTTCTAGCAATAACAAGCATCTTCGACATACTGTCATCCACCAGGCTCGTCTCTGTGCCTCAGAATATTCAGTTGTCGTTGAGTTCAGCGCATGGAGCGAGATATCCATCGCAGTCGTGATAGCCTGGTTCCCACGAGCCCGCATTCTGGATACATTACCACGCTGGCAGTACTCATAAATACTCAAGACGACGAGCGCCAGAATAGGATCAAGCTGAGCAGGAACTTGAGGGTGCAAACTACTTTGCGTACGAAAAGAATCTGTATCTGTAACGTTAATGCGCAATGTAGGGGACAAAGCGTCAACCTCTGTCTCGACAGCAGCCAGTGCTGCCTGGGCAAATAGTTGCGCATACGACCGCCTCAGTGAAAGACTATTTTCGGCCACTGGGACTTGGTCTGCAGCGGTAGGTATGAGAACCAGCATTGCGGACAATGCAAGGCTCAGAGATGATGTTGGCCAATAAGGCATATGGGCCTTTTCTGGTTGAGTACTTTCCCCAGGAGGTCGGATCACTGTGGGCTGATCTTTATGCTGTTGACTCACTGGCGGTGGCAACAAAGGTAAATATGGATGTACATAGATATAGTACGCATTGGCACTGCACTTCCAGTCAGTTGTCATTTCTTAATCGTGTGGCTTTTGAACAGACATTTCCGCTTCGGACTGATACGCGCGTACTTGGGACGATCCGGCGCGAGCTAAAGGAACAGATCCAGAAGCACTATCAGCATGTGGTGTGAGCTGACCCCAGATCTGGTTGGCTCCATCCGCTATAGATAGAGAATCCGGGGACAGATCGAGGTTGTGGATCCCGGCGAATGGTGAAACTAGGCCGATCATGTTATCAAGGAATGGTTCTGGTCGATAATTAGACTTTGAGATAACCTAATAGTGAGAAAGAGCTTACCGAATTCATCATCGACATTTGATATTGAGGACGACGGCAGCAGTGAATTGCCTGGCGCAGTTCGACGTTGGGCCTCTTCATACCGTGCTCCCCTGCGAGGACCACCGCGGCGACTGGGTTGATACTTGCATTCTCTACTTCTACTCGAGCACTAATAAATAAGTCAAACAAGCTGTTTTCCATACTCGTGGCGTTGAACATACACTGCCACAGGGATTTTGGCCGTCACAACGTGTTTTCGATGTTCGACTGCAAAATGTGAGCGTAGGAATGAGTAACCGACAATATGCAACACACCATGCCAGACAAGCAGCTTTTGCCGGTGGTTTTGCAATCCGAGGCATTCTGTGCACTTGATGGAATGCTGTCGGCAAATGATTCCTGTTGCCGATGTATGGAGGTCACCCCGCACGTGATATCGATACCCTCATCGGCAGTTGCGCTAGCGTGCAGTGGGATGATGAAGCTTAATTCAGTTGCGACTTCATCTTGCTTGGCGAGAGCTTTGTGCGGTTGTTGCTCATACAATCCATCTCAGTCTGAGGAATCCAAGCACACGAAGTTCTTCCATTCGGCCTTTGATTTTTCGATCAAACGCCGAGTCAACTCGTCATTGCGTTCGCCTTATAAGACTGCCGGAGGTGATTGTTTAGCTTATTGTTGCGATTACAGAGAATCTACTTAAGCTAGAGGGGTATTTTGGAAGTCCTTACAAAATCCAATTTTTTTTTTTTTTACATTAACAATAAATTGGCTATCATGATCCGCGGCGCTAGATGAGAACAAAAAAAGACCAAATGACTGTATTGCAAGACACCAAAAACAACATGAAGATCCCATAAAAGTGCCACTCTAAGTTAAAAACAATTTACATCCAAGATCAATTTTATTTGCAGCAACCCTTGCCAATCTTCGGGGCGTGCGAGGTATCAAGACGACAGAAACAAGAAGATGTCACAGGGACATCAGCCACGGCCATCGCGATGGTCAATTGTGGCTCAATAACACGGGCCTCATCATTTCGGCCAAGACGTACCAGACATTCATGGTAGCCCTGCAAAGCCCACACATTATTCGGGTGCTGACGGGCACGGATGAGAGTTCCATCAAGACCCAAGTCAGCACGGTAAACAGCGGCCGCATCCTCGACATGATTCTGTTCTAGCAAAAGAGCAGCGTATGCATGGCGGGTAGGCTGCATCCAGCTCCAGGGCTCACTGTACCCTAACCCATCGTCCAATTCAATTGAACGACGTAGATGCTCGAAAGCCTCTGTGTAATTCCCACGCCGGTATTCGATCTCCCCGTCCAGCATCTCCGATGCCACGCCGAGGATATCAATGCACTTGTTGGGCCAGTCCAAGCGCGTGTCTGGTACCCGGTCCCGAGCTGCTCTGTAGAGTTCACGCTGGCGCTCTGCATCGACCACGTTCCCCGTGGCTGCATATGCTACACCCTTGGCATAGTGAAGTGTCGCTATCGTCATACAGTACAGCTCTGATTCTGAGGGAATCGCAATCTCGATAAGTTCATCCCACATGCCGAATCGTACCATGATATGCGCGCGCACAGACATGAAGACTTCGATGTAATCACCCAGGACCGCGAGCAATTTCTTTGGTAAAGTAGCTTCCATGCGATCCACGGCTTCCATCGCGGCCTTTTTCTGGCCTGCGAACATGGCCGCATAGATGAGTGAGTGATATGTGTGCATACGGTAAACAGAGTAGAAGTTGTATGGGCCTTCCAGCGCCAGGTACTTCTCGTCTGCAATGGCAGCATGCTGGTTTGCGCGGACTGCACTTCGATAGTCTCCGACCAAGACATCCAGATGGGACGGCATATGGTGGATATGCCCCGCATCTGGAACAAGATCCCGGAGGTGATCTGCTGCTCGCAGGCCGAGTTCTGGGAAAGGAGACATTTCGATAAGATGAATGTAGATGTGCAGGAGACCAGGGTGCTTCGAAGAATCTTTATGCTCGAGAGCTGTCTCAAGCACCTTCTTTGCCTCCATGGTGCGGGCTCCTGATCTTGGTTTTCCGGTTGCCTGGTCCCACAGCTTCCAGGGGGTGAGGCTGATCAGGGAATCAGCGTAGAGAGCGACCACATCCAAATCATCGCTAAACTTCTCGTATGCTTCTTTCATTGCATCGGCATATGCAATATTTTGTGCATCATATTGTTCCATACTACCGGGTTTATCACTCTGATAGCGAGCGGAAATTGCCTTGGTCAGGGCCTGTTCCACAGGCGTTCCTTTTGAGGACAGGAACCGGGCCTTCTTTGCAGCCAGATATGTGTTCCCCACGACGGATGGCAACTCATCGCCTAGAAAATCCCAGGGTTGATTATAGTTGGGACCGAGAGCATAGGCCAAGCCCCAGTAGGCCATGGCACAACAGGCATCATGGTGCAGTGCCTGCTTGAAGCATATGACAGATTCCTTATGGTTGAAGGCATATGCCCACACCAGACCACGATTAAACCATGTTTGTGCCTCGGGACTGCGGGTGGTAATCTTCTTCCCGTATGAGCCCAGATTGTATCGATAATCTGGTTTGGGTGATGCTGTCATCTTGAAGATCTGTGGTCTGATGTCCCCGGGGAGGTGAAGAAGAAGAGTTCGGGTTTCGGCGGGGTTATTCCCGCCACTACTTGTACCCAACGGAGTCGGACTTTCACGACTCCATATAATCGTCTGGGATTTTACTTGGACTCTTTGTGTACTATTGTTTAAATGACTCGAGCACGGTCAGCTTCTTATTGGATCTTGGCGCACCCGCGGTCGATAGACTATGCAGAAACATTCGATTTGATAGCCTTTTGTCCACGATTTTGGGTCATTTAATTATCCCCAGTCTTCCCTGTCGCAAATGACCCCATACAATCCATTTGAAAGCAAGGAAAAGTACCAATCGAACCGGGGTGTGCAGTGATGGCCGCATCTCAGCCTCAAAAGCAGCCTCTAGCGACTCCTATTTTCCCCGCTGATCAGCCCACACTTTTCACTCGTTTTTTTCTCCATCACATGCTGTCCCCCAATCGGGAAATTCCGCCCCAAAATTCGCGATCCCAGGGCCTATGAGAGGATTGCAGCAGCTTCATTGCTATTGTAGAGTTTCGCATTCGTGATCGGCTTCTCGCAGCGGCTTGCATCAACACGAGGGTGTGCTGGCAATGGCATTTTGTAGGCCAAAGACTCGACATCGGAGGTCAATCAAGAGCCTGGATCAACGGTCAAACATCATAGGCGGCTGGAATAGTGATCATAAATATGTAGTAGAATCTGGGCTGACTTGGCGTAGCAATCAACATGGGATTCCGTATAGCATCTTGAACGGAAGAATCGACTTGGACCTATCACCTGGGTATGCTCCGAAGTCAGCAGTTCTATATGTTGTAGGCAATCGGAAACACCCAGTTTGCTCATCTCAGGGGCTGAGAAGTCGATAGAGCAAGAGAAAAGAACGATCTATTGCGATTCGCAGCGCAGACGGCTTTGACATTCTACCCCAAGAGGGCTGTCCCAGGAGGGTGATGAGAAAGCCAAAATGCCCAGAATCAGGAGCTAGTGATCGGATCACCAAGTTCCCCCTCTTCGGCGATTAGGAGCTTTTAAACCAGCCGATACGGGCTAAAGCCATGAGATGCACAGAGGAAGAAGATAAAAGACCGAATGGATGGGAAAAGCAAGTCAGCTGACTACATGGCTTTAGCCTTTGGTTTCATCAGACAAAAGCCTTCCAATAGCGCTGCAATGATTTTTAATGACACTATAGCCAATGAGAGTAAATATGGATACAGTGGATCACATTCGGCGCAATAGAACAACAAATAAATAAGCGTGATGAAGTCTGCATTGAGCGTATTCCCCGATTTTCCTATTTGGGAAGTAGATCATTCCGCGACGGTCATGTTCTATCGCGTACGTGTTTTTGACTCAGGTGTCCCCACGTACACGTACGGGATAACTTCAAACGTTGTTTACGATCTTTGCGTATCTTTTCCCTTGACACTTCTCCATTCACCTCTTCCTCTAGTCTCAGTTTATCATCGTGCATTCCTCTTGCTGAACCGCCACCTTAATCCTCAATCACCGGCACCATGATGTTCATAGCAGCCGCTATGAGTTTGATCCAGCGCTTTGGCGACTACCTGAGAGACTCACTCGCTGCAATTCCTTTTAACAGCACTTCCATGTTTCTTTTTCTATATTTGGCCTGGACTCCGATATTCACATACTGGGTGCTCTATCGCACACCCTTGTTCCGCCATGAATCCACCGTTCTACTGTTTCGATGCGGCGCATGCCGCAGCCTCAATGTCGGCAGGACCTCCAGCGCTGTGGTAGTTCCGACTCGGGCTCCGAGATAAAGTAATTCAGACGCCTCACGCCTCATGGGACTAGCACCGGCCGGTCTCCAGCGACTGAGATAGGAGGAACGGGAGTTCGTTGATAATTGATTTTCTGTCAGCCCTAGGCAAGCGTTACCGGTGAATAGGAGATCTTATTGGCTAATGCGTTGTTCTAGTTGGGCTTGTTTTTCGTGTTCACGCAGGCTAAGCTCATTTAAGCATGGTTGGCGTGACGGAAAAGGGAACTGATGTGCGGAGGATCGGCGTCTCTCGCTGCTGGATGGTTCATACTTCTACTTCTTGCTTTGACTGTCTTGAGGCATAATCCTAATAGGTACACACTGAAATGGAGAATGGGAATAGGGAAATTCAGGACAGCGTGTCCTGCTCTAACGAATCAACAAATTTCGCTTCATTACTTGACTCCCATTGTCCCTTCAGCTAGTATCTGTATACCCTCGAGCCGTACGTACATCTAGCCTGCAAGCCATTTTCCGCCTAGTACTGCATCTGAATGCCTCACCCCAGCGCCATCACAAAATTGGACACTCCCACTGATGTTATTTGCCTAATGCTGGCCAAAGAGTCTAATGCAACAAGGATAGATGCCTCCCTGATCGGGGGATACGAGAATACTCAGCACTAAGGAGGTCATTCACTTCGCACCCGCATAGATAGAACCCTATGCGGACCCAATTTGGCGCATGAAGGCTGCCCAAGAGGCATCATCCGCATGGGAACTGCTTCTTCAGCCTAGCCCACCACCTCACTTTCACATCGCTCGAGCACCTGCGCAAGGACCACGAACGAAGACTCGGGCTATAAAGACCCCAAGAAGGAACGCGAGAAAAAGGAACATTCAGACAAAACAGAGACCAACTCAATCCAATATCATCGCATACCAAACCAAGCACTTCATCTCCAAGTTCTTGTCCACCCTCTTCACCAGTCTCATCCTGTGCCTTTCCCAGATAACAGCCGGCGCTGTCCTCCCCAAGTCCGCGACACCATCAACCAACTTCATCATCAGCCACATAGCCTCAGACTAATTCCCCCACCAAAGGGCGACCTCAGCACCTTCGACGTCGACGTCCGCTATGTAGGCTACTCAGTCATCAAAGAATCCTGGCTCACAGGACTCAACCCACACACTGGGAGCAGCGACGAAGAAAAAGCGCGCATGCTGACGGAAGCCGCCTGAATACGACGAGAACGACGCCTGCATGGCGGGTGATGTGGCGCTACTGCTTATGCGCGTTGACGGTAACCGCACGACCAAGGCCCTGTCGCAGAGGTCCAATTTCTCGACTAGCACGGCGCATGCTGTGGTGTGGGGTGTGTGTGCGTCTTTTTTCTCTTTTATATCTGGCACGACTTGTCAGTTTGATCAGCAGATCGGGGAGGCGCCTTGGGGTCATTGTGAGGAGTACGGGGGGTCGAATTGCTGTATTAGTTAGTCGACTTATACTGTGTGTGATGGGCTATTTTCGACTACTTGGACGGCTTTTAATGAGGAGGTTAAGGTTAAGGGGAAGAAGAAGGCTTCTTGTGAGGGGTATGGGAGTGGTGACCAGGGTGGTGATGTTTGTTTTGGCAATCGGGCTTCTGGATGTACTTAGATGCCCAGGTGCATTGGTCTGGACGGGGTAGTCGGAGTCTGCAGGGAGGGAGATGGCGTTGAGACTAACTGGTTGGTTAGCTTTGGTTTCGTTTTGAAGGTCAGAAGAGAGAGGGTGCGTGTATAAAGCAAAGGGCGATGTTCCTTACTCCATGCTTGCGGTCATGACCTCCGGATGATCTATGCATAGTTGTAGATATTCCCTACAGCCGTCATATGGAATGAAATTACGCTTTGCTAGGAATTCCCAGAATGCTTATATGCGAGAGAAATGCATCATTCAAACACATTGAACACTTGAGTAGTATTGGAATCACTTGCAACTACAAGAACAATGGAACTCTGGTTAGTAGCTCACGAGTCTTTTAAGCCACTCATCCGATTCATCTCCTCGTCAGCCTGCGAATTGCCGAGGATTCCTCATAATCGATACGTTATGCGGGGCCTAAATGTACACTCAAACCAGGCAGGGCAGCTACAAGTAGTTAGTGAGACCGCAAGCAAAGGCCAATTACAGAGCAGTTCAGCCCCATCTGCTCTTTATTGTCGGCATTCTTTTGGAACTAATGTGAACGTCGATTGGACGGTGCAATCTCATAATGTGTGGTTCGACCTCAGCGGGACCAATAGTCGTCTCGAAAGATCCGGGTATTCGATTCTTCACCAGGGCGTCCGTCAAAAATCAATGGATATTACATGGACTGCAAGCTGTAAAGCGAAGCAAGAGCAAAGCTCGTGGCAACAGCCAACAAGCCAAACGCGCTCGGAATGAGAAGAAGAGAAATAAAAAGGGGAGATGTAACAAACATCTAGAAGGCAAAATCAAAACCAAATCAAGGATCTCGCCCATATGTACTAGAGATCCATCGCTCGTTGACGTAGGCCGATAGCAAATGTACCGTTCAGGAGAGAATAAAAGAAAAAGAAGACTCAAAGGCTCTGGAGGCTGGCGTTTCTCACTAGGTGATGACGGAGCCTGCGACAGAGCCCGAGTTAGTCATAGAATGGATACTCCCAGGGGGTGCATGTCCATTGCTATCCCCGTTCGAACCATGGGGATCTCCCACAAGGAGATGATTCTCATCAATTCCAAACAAAGATCGAGGAGGGTGGATCTCTTTCTTGCCGTTTGTCTTGTAGTAAAGAACCATGTCTCCTGAGGTGCGCCAAAGATGCGTGCGAATCGTTGCTAGGGTCATATTCGGGGGACAGATCTAGTGCAGAATGATCAGTACGATTGATTTTGTATTCAAAAGGGGAGAAAAGCCCACAATATTATGGCAGTAGAGGTCGAGGTACTCTTCTGGCTGCATAGCGGATTCAGCAGGCTCATCGGGATTCGTAGGATCGATGCGCTCTGCGACGTAAGCGATAATTTTCTTCGCTCGCAACATGCGGTTGGCATTGAGACGAGAGCCGTTGTTGTTATTGTTGTTGCTGTTGGGGTTCAGGGCACCCGGTGGTGCGCCATTAGGAATCGGACTAGACAAAAAATTGAGATTAGTATCATAACCAACGTGCATTTCAAGTGGAAGGGGATAAAACCCATACGGCTCGGGCTTGACCAGTGGTGGCAAGGTATCATCGAAGGGCTTCAAGATAAAGGCGATCTTGACTTGCTCCTTGAAGGGGATTTGATTCTATAAACAACCATCAGTAAGACGAAAAGCAAACCGGAATCGAACAGTAGAATTACCTTCAGAAGAAATTCGCCAAGCCAGTGAGGAATCGACTTCTTGAGCATCTCGATGTCCTCGCCAATGCGCTCCACGTTGCCTCTGTAGAGATCCGAGGCAACAGCAGTATCAATTGTTTCCTCCTGGATGAAGACTGAGGTTCGAGGCGGAATCTCCAGCCGTGGGGTTTCATCTTCAGTACTAGGCAAAAGAGCAGTCTCCAAATCCTGGTCTGGATTTGTAGCCAGGAATTCTTCATAGTCATTGCGTATGCGCTCAATCACGCCACAAAGGTTAGGATCATAAACTTTCTCTTCTTTGATAGAGGATATCTCCGACTCTTCGGCCTTCTCTTCCACGATTTGAGGCTTCGTTTCTGTGGAGTTCCGACCTAGTTTCTTGGGGAAATTCATTTGGAACTTCTTCCCAAATAGTGATGATTTCTTGCGTTCTTCTTTATCGGGCTCTGCAGGAGACAGAGGAAGCCCTGAATTTGAGGCTGCATCTGACGGAGACAGAAGACCCTTGTCGGTGTCCAGTTGTGGGACCGCTGGAGGTCTGTTTGAGAAGTAATCGGTTGACCGATCTGAGAAGGAGGATTGGCCACCATCGAGATGAGAATGTGTTGGCCCGGAGGGGTCAGGCGTCTCCGGCTCAAACATGGGGAATGGAGAGTTGCTCTGCATAGAAGTGCTCAGGTAATTTGATGATGGCGTGCCAACGTTGATTCCAAACCCGATGCTCGGGCTACCAGGGAATTCTGAGCTAGGACGCAAAGTCGACCTTGAGCGAGGATTTGAGATAGGAATACCGACGCTGCGAGGGATATCATCGGGGAGCACCGATGTACTAATCGGATTCAGTCGAGCATGTTCCTCTGCTCTCGCGACGGCAGCTTGGCGGTATTCGTTATCCTGCCGAATCTCATCGTCCACTACCGGAGCGAACAGCCAACGCAAGATCCATTTACCGAGATTGACTGCATATCGTTAGTAAGCCAAAGAACGGTCCTGAAGAATGGAAGCACTGCAAATCAACAGCATTAGAATAAGGACACTCACTTCTTTGATCATCTCTGTGTTGCAGCACATGAGATGGTGGCAGGTCGGTCTCATCGGCATAAACTTCTGCGTCGAAACAGCGGTTGGGCTCGAGAATGACCGATAGCCTACCAGTACGCACATCAATAGCACACCAGTGTGCGATACTATCAGTGGTGTTGACCTCCGACTCAACATCATCCATGTGACGTTTGCCGAATGTTTTGATGGGTATGCACTAGGCTCATGTCAGCCGATCTCTTTAAGTAGGGCGTAATGTAATCCACGTACCTTCAGCAGATCCCACAGCACAACTTCTCCAGCCGAATCCTGAGTAAGTGCACGCATCCGATCATTCAGCATCAAGCACTTGATCAACCCATGTTGGCCTTCAATAGTTTCCTCGGGTAGTGAATGAACAGGGATCGTGAGCCCGATTGCGCCCGGAACTGGCTCCGGCGCACTGATTTTAGAGGCAGGGGCACCCAGGACCGATGTCGCCGATACTTGTAGAACAGCGTGAAACGGAAGCTTTTTGGGTCCCTTGTCTGCAGCACTGGGCGGCGCAGCAGAGTCTATAGTACGGCCAGGGTCGGGCGGCGGCTCAATCCCAGCTGTGGTATCGGCATCTCGCCAGCGGTTGACGCTCGATTTTGGAGTCGCAGTCCAAATGTAGTCTCCCGCCGCCACAACTTTAATAACTCCCTCGTGCTCTTGCAATGCAGCGACACAGATGCCCTGCTCGGGATCTGGCGACCCTCTCATATCAGTCTTTGCCACTAATCCAGATCGGTCACTTGAATAGAAGACAGAGAGATCAGGGTGGTCCGAGTAAAGCGACCACACACTGTCATTGTGCATGGTCAGGGTATTCATGCATCGACCCGCGGTGAGGGACCAGATCTTGATCGTTTGGTCAGACGAGCCCGTCATGATTTTATCACCATTCTGGTTGATCAAGATATCACGGATGTTATCCGTATGGCCCACGAATTTGGTGACCAGCTTTCCAGACCTGGGATCCCATACTCGCACGACATTTTCTGGGCCCCCACTAGCGAGCACTGACGAGACAGCACCCAGCGCGTACACAGATCCTTTATCTGTGGAATCTTCTCCACCCGCATTGATGCTCAATATCTCTCCACCACCATCTAGATCCCAGAGGTAGACCTTTTGATCGAGACCGCCCGATGCGACCCAAGTCGCATGGCTGCCGGGACTTGCCAGAGCCTTCACATAATCGGTGTGCTTTCCGATGCGCTCTGGCACTTCGGTCGACTCGGAATGCGGTCGCCAAAGCCGCACGGTTGTGTCGGATGAAGCGGAGACGAGCGCGGAGTTGTCCTGTGCCAAGACTATGTCGTTGATCCAGTGGCTGTGGGCTTGAACTTGGGTTTTGAAACCGGTTGGACTAGAATTCTGACCCGATTCTGATGTGTCCTTTGATGCGACCGCGGAGGAAAGAGGAAAGCCGAGATCCCACGAACATATGACGCCGTCGCGACCCGCGGAGTATCTAGGAGAGGGCGCGGCACATTAGTCTCCGTGCAGCCCACATGTAGGGGAAGCCTGGCTTTCGCGGAAGATCGCGGTCGCAAACATGGTAGCCGCTTGAAGCGCGATCCTGGATCCCAGCACAGTGAGGGGAGTATACTTACAGGATCGAGTTTTGACGGTCGACAGTCAGGCCGTTGATCCCCAGCCGGTGCCCGCCTGGGGCATCAGGCAGCGGGAGGACTAGCAGAAAGAAGGGATCCTGTCAGTATTCTGAGTAGACCGGTGTCGCCTGATGCGACTTACCATAAGTAACCCTCTGGTGGCTCAGTTTGCGTGCCATACATGCAGCGTTGAAGGGGTGAAGCCAATTGCGGAGATGAGAATGCGGAGCTTATCTGCCCTCGAGGCTGATCGCACGTTCAGATTTGGCGGGGACAGGCGACCTCACATTCGCGATGGAAAATGAAGAGCCCAAAGTAAACAAGGCAAAAAGAAAGAGGAGAAACGTTGAATGTCAAATGAGGGGAAATTCTAAACCAAAAAGTTGGAGGCGCCAGGGGCAGCCAGTCAGCCCACGGCTTTATACTTCCACCTCTCACTGGCAAGCAATTTACGCGCATTAATCTCTGAGCTTAGCACACTATCCCAGCAAGATTCTCCTGGTACTCCGTACTTTCAATCAGATTTCGAGTGCGACGAGCTGTCTGCCTGGTCAGCCTGGATATCTGTCCAATGCCCCGCTGGGGGGTCGCTGAGAATCCTTGTATTCGCGCCCCGTCGCCCCGTCGCCCCTCTCCTTACTTCTTCTTTGACGCTGATTTGTGATAGCAGATCTCTCAGCTTGTCTAACTGCCCAGGTGCGCTCCATGCGCTCCATTAAACCGGAACCGCCGTACCCCCAGGGCTATGACCTCCGCTTATATACCTCGGGGCTCCGAGAGAAACTAGGCGACAAACTATGATGCACACGACCTCTTGCTACTTCATATAAAATCCCGGACAATGGGGAATCCCCTCATATAAGCTAGGTTTCACATTAATAAATCCGATTCAATCTAACAGAACGCAATGTTCCCCACACTCGAAGATTCTAGAGTAAGCTAGATTCAAACATGGCCGTCCAAGGTTCTATTCTATGCGCGAATATTCCCCCAAATGCTCATTCAGTTGTGAGATTGTCCCAGAGTCGGGATGATTCCTTCTCTGCCTCGTTTCTAGTCAAAACAACTCGCCAGTCCCACCAACGGAGTAGTGATTTGGCCCCCGCGAATCGCGTCATAAATAGTGGAAATGGAAGACCCAATCGTCTTGCGCTCACGATTGAGTCCAAACTCCTCCTTCACAGTCGGGTGCTCAGCCAGTCCCGTATGAAAGGGAATCCTGAGCTCGTGTCGAACAAATTGATAGAGCAGTTTCGTCCCTCTGCCCAGATATGCGCCGGTTTGTGGCTCTGCGAAGGCTGCAGTTCGCATCTTCTGGAATAGATGCTCGCACTCGGAAGCGATGCGAGTCTTGATCTCCGATATAGTCGCAATGCCATCCTGGAGATGAGAAGACCTCACACCATACTGCTCGGCAGCATCGACCAAGGAGTGTGTGACATCCTTTGCAAGCAGGTTTGCGCGGACCTGAATGTTTTCTCGCGCAGAGTGTTTCCAGGAACCACGAGCGACTTTCGATAAGTTCTCTAGCAATGGATTGACTTGCTCTTCTGCAAGTCTGTCCCAGATTTCGCGCACAACTTTGCCGATGGTCTCGTCAAGAGCATCTAGGAACCGGATGTTCAAGATTCGGAGATCGAGGGCCTGGCAGACGACGTAGAGATGGGCGGCGCACATGAGAGACAAAACTTCGACTGCTTGCATGGTGTATCTCGAGGATATTAAGGCGAGTGAATTGATCGGCTGATTGTTCATTTCTGCAGATTGGACATGCGACGACACTGGATTTGCCAAGTAGGCAAGCTCCGACATATACGCGGCCATGTTGATGTCGACTCCCTTCATCGTAAATGACAGACTCGGATCATCAGCCGCGAGACTGGGAGGTAGCCCGTTGTTGAGATCGGGGTTGATCAGTTCACTAGAGACACTAAACAGCATTTTGCCCATCATTTGCAAAGCCAGACGTGTCTTCTCGGTTGCCGTTGTAACTGATGCCGCCTGGAAATTGCATCCCGAATACACTTCTCCTGACACTGTATCGATCACAGGGTTATCTTGTGTGGAGTTTAACTCCGTACTCAGCTGTTTGATACTGAGAAGAAGATCTTCAAGACCAGGACCTAGCCACTGCGACGCACCACGTAGCGCATACCGATCTTGGAATAAGCCTGGGCGCGTGCGATCCTTTGTCTCGGACGTCTCTAGAAGAGATGTCCCACGCACAAAGTTTCGTATATTTCGAGCAACCTCTATCTGGCCTCTGTGAGGCCGGATGGAGGCAACAAAATGATGATAATTTTCGGCATTGCCCAATATAGCCTCACAAGACATCCCAACAAGTGCCTGCGTCAGAATAGCCAGCTGGTGGGTCTCATGCACAGCCAGACTTGCCACCGCTGCAGACGCTGCAGCCCCGTTGAGCAAGCCTAGCCCTTCCTTGGGACCCAACATAATCGGTTCGAGGCCTGCGATGTGCAATGCCTCCGGAACAGAAATGACAATTGGAGAGCCGTTATTGTCCTTATCCCAATGCACTTTGATATCGGGATTGCCTTCCAGAATTCCAGCAATGTACGCCAAGGGCATAAGGTCCCCGGAGGCTGAGATCGAGCCTCGCAGTGGAACAATTGGAGTCAACCCAAGACTGAGCAACTTGAGCAGGTTGTCGATAATCTCATAGCGAACGCCAGAATGCCCCCGCATCAGATGATTGCAACGAATGAGAATCGTGGCGCGTACCCATGTGACGGGCATGCTATGAAATCCAATGTCATAGCTGCCCTTCTCAGGCGAGAGATCCGACTCTGCCAGGACGCCCGTTTGGGTAAGTTGCAACAGCGCAGCTTGAAGGCTGTGGAAGTCCAGAGTGCGTGCATCAGCACTTCCGCCAAAGCCGGTGGTTACGCCTATTTAACATTGTATGTCAGCTACACTTCCGGTATTTACCTCTCATAGAGAACACAGACCATAAACCTGGTATCCCTTCTGAAGATACTCCCGAAGCCATCTGACTCCCGAGTTCACACGCCCAGCAATATCAATATCAGGATTGACGGCGGCACGGCCATGGAATCTGAAAGAGGATTATCAGCTTACTACCACTTGGAGGAAGTTGGTCAATATATACCGAGCAACAGCAACAACGCTCGGGATATCCAGGTTCTCGCCATCCAAATGAACTATCTTTCCATTTTGGAGTTCTCGAACCTTGGCCCATGAGCTCCATGCTTGGTCCAGGTAAGGTGAGGTGCTTTCTGACTCAAGAGGTAGCTGGACATTGGCCATTTCTGCTGGGCGATTGTATAAGGGGTTTCTGGCTATAGAAGATGGAGCTGTAGTAGATATGGATCAATACGGTGAGATGGGCAGTCGGTATTTATAACCCATTGACTACTCAAGCAAATCCCCACGAGAATGCAATCTGTTCAAAGACTCATTGTCCAAGGATCAACAAGTACGGTGTACATGTAGTCGGCGACGAGGTCAAGGGCTCCAGGCAATGTAAAAGAGCATGACTTCACGAAAAGAACGTGTCGAATGTCAACGCATAGATACGTTGCACAGATAATGCCAATCCCCCCAATCTATGTTGTATAGACCTCCTACAGAGTCTTTAGGTTGCGTTGCAATTCTGCAGTGTTACTCTTCTGCTGTTCAAAAAGGGCTAGGGCACGTCGACAGGTCATGGCGGCATCTCGTCTACCTCCGACTCCCCTATGTGCATCTGTGCATATGACCCAACATCAGCCTCATAACCTGTATGGTGTATATCACTATCTTCACCATTCTGCTTCCAAATTTGGTATTGATTTGCGCAAGCATACTGCACCCACCTGAATGATGCTGCAGTCGATGTCCTTGAGTATCACATTCTATCATGATTGATAGCTCTCAGTGGGAACCGTCCCACTCAAAAGGCATGATCACGCCAAATGAACCGAACGAACAACATCTGGTGATTATATTTGGAAATTATTTCAATTTCTTTCCGAGGAAAAACACCTTGCATGTCGTATACGAAGCCGTGTGACTCTATCTGCCTCTCTCCCGTGAAAAAGGGACACCTTGCATGGCTATGTAGGGACTTCTTTCAAACTCTGTCATCTGCAGTACAATTCGGCTATGTTACTCGCAGACTAGGACACATCGTGACGACACCGTCTTATCTACTTCCCGCTCACCTACTCCCATGTTCGCAAAGAGCCTCATGCATGATAGAGACACCCCAATTCCGGAGCCCTGCAGACCTCCTATCTGAGATTGACAATGACCATCATCTACAGGGTGAGCTGCATGAGTGCCGTAGTCACTACCAAGTCAAGGGAGTTCCCCCCTCCATGCAGAAAGAATCTGAAGTATACAGCAGGGAACTATGTCCAATTGACCTGTCCAAATCATACTTCCCCACAAGAGAGATATAAAGATATACACAGTACAGTGATATGACAGACAGATTGATAACTTAACCCAGATCTCGCTACTCCGTACAGAAAAGCAGGTAAACATCAAATACCTTTCGTCATGCTTCGTCATAACCTCTTCTCTCCACCTGTCACATTCAATCCATTCACCCGGTTAAGCCATGAAAAGGATAGCATATAGCATACGCACAAACACGAAAACAGAAAGAAAAGAAAATGGACATCTCTCTATCCCAAATCAAACCAATATACCCCCCAAAGCGCCCAACCCCAGAAGCACCCCAAACCCAATCCATCATCAGCGCCCTAAACCTCGACCTGCACCCAGAAGGCGGCTATTTCCGTGAAACAGATCGCCATCCGCACCAAGTGCTGAACCCATTCGTACGTTCAACGTCTGACAGGGACATCGAAACCCGCTCTGCAAGCTCGTCTATCTTATACTTCCTCACGCCTCAGCGCCCGTTAGGAGTCTTCCACCGCAACCAAGGACGGACGGTGCATGTGTGGCAGAGAGGACGGGGACGGTACGTTATCATCCATGCGGACGAGGTGGAGAGTGAGAGTCACGGCCAAGGGCATTGTCCTAGGGCCAAGGCAAGGGTAGAGACGTTTATTGTTGGGCCGGATGTTGGGTCTGGGGAGCGATTGCAGTGGGTTGTTGGAGGGGGTAAGTATAAGTCGTCTTTTTTGTTACCTGATGAACCCGAGGGAGAGGCTTCTTCGGGTCTGTTGATTACTGAGGTACGTTTGGGGTATATATATCCTTGGAGATGGAGAGTATAAATTCATAACGAGTGTTTAGGTTGTTGTCCCAGGCTTCGATCTTGCAGACCATGAATTCCTGCGCAAAGACGAAATGAAGGACCTTCTGACTGCCGACCAGGTCGAGGAATTAAGTTGGATGCTGAAGGAGTACCCAGATCAAGAGAAAGAATGAAATATCATGAAATCCATACGATGATACGTGTACATACATAAACCAATGATTGTCCAAATCTATGTTCTTTTTACCAACCATCTATAATAGCAATAATATACAACACCCCCCAACAATCAAAGCCCCTTCTCAGCCTTCGCCTCCCGACGCCCCTCAAGGGTATTCGAAGCATACTGATAACTTCCAAGGAAGACAGCACCACCGATACCAATCCAAGTCACACGCGGCGTGATACCACGCCAGAAAGCACCAGGCCCCTCGCGCGCAATCCCACGCACAATCTCCTTAACCCGGACAGGGGCATCAGCACCGCCATCTCCACGGCGCGCAAGCATAACACGGGTCTTGATGACGTCCAATGGGGTAGTCAGACCAGCCGCAATGGCACCGGCAACACTACCGAACATGGCGCTCGTTGAGGCCGGGATCTGCGTCTCGGCAATGGATGAGGCGGTCTCAGCCGATTGTAGGTATCGCTTGCCGTAGGCTTCTTTCATGGACTCCCACATCGTGAACTGCAGGACGGTGAAGGGGATCTCGCGGGCGATGGTGATACCTGCGCCGCGGTAGAGTTCGCGGAGGACTTGGCCATAGCCGCGCTTTGCGGGGACGGAGCCGGTTGTGTCAGTTGGGACTGCGGCGTGCCGCAGGGATAGGATGTCCTTTAGGGCGAGCAGACTGGAACCGCCGAAGAGACCGGCTTGGGCGCGCTGCTTGATCACTTCTGTTGGGACGCGGACGGCGCATGCGGCGATCTCGCCGAGCGAGGAGGCGAGGGAGTGTGTGAAGATGATGTGGGCGCGGGATTGGGTGGATTTGTTGCCGGCGGACTGGGAAGGGAGGAGAGAGCGTTTGACGCCATCATAGACTATGAAGAAGGAAGCGGCGGAGGGGGCGGAACCGAAGAGGACGGATGGGAGGCCGGCGTAGATGCCGCGGAAGGTTTGGCGCAGGGAGACTCGGGCTTGGGGTGCTGTGTGGTCGCGTGCTTTTTGGAGTCGGGTTTTGATGGTGTCAAGGGGATAGAGAGAGCAATCGACAGTCAAGCCTGCAATGGCGCCGGACTATACAATCGTAAATCTGTTAGAGTGTTGTTGGGAAACGGGTTGAAGCCATGCGTACAATTAATGATCTCGTCCACAGGGAGGAGACCAACGGCTCGCTATCAGTTTGTTGGGTCATTCTGAAAGGTACAAAGTGATATGTGTAAGATGTCCTCTCACCATAACATGACCAATTGAGGGTAGGGAGCAAGGATGCAATGCGACGTCCAGGAAGCTAAACGGAAGAGCTCCGCAGATGGCAGATTCATTTTGCTCCGCGGTCAGGCCCATCCGATATCGCCGATCGTCGCTACGTCAGGCGCTGGCCAAATTCGAGTTGAAAAATGAATATATAGGACTTGTATTGAAATGTATCTACCCGTGGACTACTTAAGAAATGAAACACTTCCCATACAAGCGCTTTGACAAAAGAATGGCCCGAAAACAAACATCAAGATCCCACACCCTCTCTATCAGTAACAACCCAATGTCCGAGTCAGAGCCAACAGTGTTTCGGTTGCTGGGTGGGAAAGGATCATAGGACTCGAGCGCAATGAGATGCCATGGAAGTTTATTCAAGAAAATCAAACACAGATAGGATGAGGGAATGAGGGAAACCGCCAAAATCATCTACAGTACTCGTAGGGAATCACACAGGGAACGCGAAAGAGAAGGGGGTCGAACGTCCCACCCCAGTCCGAAAAGATGAAGGGGAATTATAGACAGAAAATGATACAAAAAAGGTATATTATTTGGCCTTGACGGCTTTGCTGGCCACGGCAGGGCTTTGGGACGGAGGTTCAAGGACGTGGGTGTGACCGGGGGCGGGGATGATTTCACCAGTTCCATCCTGTTGGCACGCATGGATGCTCTTGATCCACTCGTCCGACAAAACCTCATCGAGTGTTGCTCGCTCCTTCGGGTCGACCTTGAGCATGCGACCAATGATGAATCGACTTTCCCGCGGCAAGATGCGGAGGAGTCGCCATGGGCCCTTGATGACTTCCTGGCGTTGACCAGAATTCTGGGTAGATCCTGCTGGAAGCGGGGGTGCCTCCTTGCTGGTGGTGCGAGTGGTCCTGTCATTGGCGTTGTTGCTCGTTTGGCTGACCTGCTTCTGGGCAGTGTCAGGAGACAGATCGCCGTCTCTCTGCGAGGACTCTGAATGGCCATTCGCATTTCCGTTCTGCTCCGATCCTGACTGGTCGGAAGGTCCGCTCGAGCGAGGAGTGAGCCGCTTATTGTCCTGCCCCTGGCCAGGGAGATCGGGGGTCGACTTGGGCCGACGGCGAGTATCGGACTCAGGAACCGGGGTGCCAGGAGTCGGAGTGGAAACAAACAGCTTGTAGGAGTTGTCGGTCATGCGCGGTTGCTTCCATGGGAATCGGCGCAAGGTCATACAACAGAAGATGATCGCCAGCGACCAAACATCCGTGGGGCGAGGGTCATATTTCTTCTCATCGTAGACCTCGGGAGCGAGATACGGATCCGAGCCAACGATACCTGGTAGATAAATTAGTGACCATTCATTACTGGTAGGAAGCGAGCAAAATGCATACCTGAAGCAGGGACAATATCGTTCTCAAATGGATAGCGGAAGACGACTGCACTTCCAAAGTCAATGAGCTTCATGATGCCCCGATCATTCACCACCACGTTATCAAGCTTCAAATCGCGATGAGCTAGACCCATGCCGTGGATATAGGCCACACCACTCAGGATCTGCTTGAAGGAGCAGGCAACCTCCTCCTTGCTCATTTTGCCTGTCATGACGATGGCAAATAGATCGAAAGGAGCATATTCCATGACCTCGTACCAACGAGCGCCTTCTTGGATGATATCCAAGGTCTCAATGATATTGCCATGATGCAAGGTGGAGCCAATGCAGAACTCAGCAGTCACCTTCTTCGAATACTCCTTCAGACTCTCCCAGTTATGGCGGTCCCGGAATTGTTTCACTGCAAATGTCACACCATCGCTGTTGCGCTTCAACAGACGCACGGAGCCACCAGCACCGGATCCGAGTACTCTGCCCAGCTTTCCATATTTAGAGTTCAAACCGTGATCATCCGCAAAAGGAACATTCTCTGGAGCCATTTGATAGGGGGTGTTCTTTCCAGATGATCGGCTCGATTTCTTGGGCATGGACGTCGGGGACTCGGACCGCTTGTTGCGATGGCCCATCTTGAAAAACCGTTTCAACTCAGACATCGAGCCATGGTGCTGATGGCCATTATGACCCTTTTCACTACCATGGTCTTTCTTGCCACCAAATATGCCCCGCTTATCACTGGATTTGCTCAGGTCACTGGCGCTGGCAGATCGGGGAGCTCCCGGACGGAAAGTGCGTTTGACATCTCGACCACTGAAGATAAACCGGGGATCCAATTGAGAAAGGTTTTTAGGTTGGGGTGGTCGCTTGTGGCGCGCATATGGGTCATTAGGTTCGCCTACAGGGGTCATAGCCCCGGGCGGAGTAAGGGACTCTCTTGGAGTAGGAGGAGGACTTTCTTCCTGCGAGCTAGCATCATTCCCTATAAAGAATTGCGCACGATGCCTCGGTGGCTGGATGACATGGGGATGGCGGTCGGAGCCTTCACTCTGCCTCGAGGGCAGGTGATCCGTGGATGGGGGTCGGGACGATGAGGCGGGTTGAGGCGTACCGTTCTTATCAATCGTTCCGACTGGAGGCGATGCTTCCGGTGTGAAGTTTGTTTGCACATGTGGTCGGGTGGGGGATTTTACAGAAGCATTGTCGCTCCTGCTTTCACGAGAATAGGTTGCAGCCGGGGTAAGAGGGGGCGACTGAACAGCTGAGACAGGAGGCGAGGTTTGTGGAGATGCAAAGGCACCACTGATATGCCCGCTACGGTCACTCGAGTCTCGAGATGCGACCTGAGAGATTCAGCGTTAGTGAGACTGCAAGGGTTCCATGGCCCATGTGGCCCCCGCAAAAAAGCCTAGCGTCGGGTGAAGGGAGATACACGATCAGTCGAAGCGGGGAGCGATTGAAACACATTGGGAGACCAGTCAATGGCAAACTATAAAGAATGGAATACATACCCTGGAAGATGGGAGAGACATGGGGTCAAAAGAGAAGTTTCGCAGGCGTGACTCCTGAAGCTGTGCACCCTGCATACTCATCGCCAGCGACCGTAATTGCTCCTCATCCGTAGCTTGCTTCTGCGCCTCTGATAAAGATTGTGGCACTTGCTCTGGGACGGGAGACAATTCCGATCGAGATGGTTCAATCTCCTCCGTGATGGACGAGAAACGGACTTGAGAAGGATGATCTCTTGACTTGGCATCGGCGTCACCGGGCTCCGAGGCCTGGCCGGATACCTTGGCGGGGTTATGCATGGCTTGGAATCCTGGAGGGACAAATATGCGTCAGACTGTTGGCAAGAATTCACAAAAAGGAAGAAAAGAAAAAAAAAAAAAAAAACGATGCCATCACCAACGGATCAGCATGGCCAAGACATACCTGAGTCCGTAGGGTTGGTCGAATCTGTCATTTCAGACGTCATAGTCTTCGACGCCAGCTCGGAACGTGATGGGACACATGCCCCTCACGATCGAGACTGTAGAGAGAATGCTAAATAGTGAACTGAAGATAAGTTCAGTGTCACCAGGATTGGTGTCCGGCCAAATACTAGAAGGGTTAAGTGGGAGGCGAATCTCTCTAAGTTTTCTTTTCCGAATGCGATCAAAGGCGCTCGACCGCGTCTAGCCAAAGGAGGAAAGCGGGAATACCGGGTGCTTTAGAAGAAGTGAAGTGAACAAAAAACTCCCCCCGTTGCAATGAGGGAAAAGTCAAGAAGATAAGAGTCAGAAAGCTAAGAAGAGGGGAGAGAGATAGAGTCTGGGGCCTCAGGCAAACTTAGGATTTGGGGGGAAGAGAGTGGGGGTTGAAAGTATTTCTCCTCCGGCTTTCATGTTTCTATTTCTCACTCGTTTCTTGTTTACATCTTTTCTTTATTCCTACGAAATAAACCCAGAAACCCCCGAACTATTCCAAGGGAATCGGATGACCGCGGAGTTGCCGTTGGAGATGATGTCGTTAACTGTGCCGACTTCCCGGTCCAGGCTTACTTACCTTCTTGGGGAGGACTCCCAGCGCTGCAATTGGGTACATGTATGGAGTACGTTCGCCATCTTTCGTCCGGTCATGCAGCTGTACGCCATTTGAGAAGGTCTGGAAGTTTGCCTGAACGGGGCTAGTCCACTAGTTCATCTGCCATCTGGTGACTCCACTGAACCTCTCTGGACCGTCTCCATTTCCCCGGGGTCTCCAGACTCCAACCTACTCGCCAAGTGTCAGAAATAGACGTCAAAACCCCATACTTGCCAAGCCCCCGTACAACTTCCTGTCCTACAGGGCTGCCAAGCTCTCCGCTCCGGTTCACCGTGACCTCTGTTTCTTGGTCTCTTGGCTCAAAAGTGAAGACTTCGGGGTGTCGGACCCTTCGGCCGTGACACACGGGCGTGAGATCCGCGGAGACACTAGGGAGTACTTACTGGGTACCTGCGGGATACTTGCGGGATACTTGCGGGATACCTACGAGATACCTACGGGATACCTACTTGTAGACACAGGGATTTACCTCCAAACACCAAACGGTGAGAAATAAGGCGATTTTGACTCGACACTCTTCTCACGTACGCCCCATTCCCATCTTTCGGATATAATAAATTCCATGCAAAAATGTCCCTTGGATGGTTCACAGATATGACATGCAGTCTGGAAATAAAAAAGAATCGGTATCGTACAGAAGGGGGAAAACCCCCCCAAGTTCCCAGAAAAAACGCCCGGTAAAATGTTCCAAGTCAAAACGAGTAGGTCCCCTCGGCGCGTTACTGCCAGTGGCAATCATCCGATAATTATACAAGTCTATGTCTCTTCGCTGTTCAGGGGACAACCTGGATACCAATGGACTTGGCCTGCGACATGACACTCTTGCACAACCCCTCCAGGGACAAGCCTGATAACCGCGTCTCGGTGTGCTTGATCTTGGCGATCTCATAAACGTGCTTCAGAGAGATCTTGCCACAAGTTTCATGGCCGGGGTTCATCGCACCGCGAAGCCGGTTCTTCCGGGGTTCGACGTTGGCGGCGTTGAGCAGAAGGTAGGTGGTGGTCGGAGTGCGGAGGTCGAAAGTGAACGAACGGTCGGGGCGAACAGTCACACGCGCGGGAATCGGGACACCGGTGGTGATGTGAGCTGTGCGGGCGTTGAATTCCTGGAAGATCGTTAGTAGAGAGCTGGCTACCAGGGTAAACAAAAAACCGACCTTGCAGAAGTCCATGGACTTGACACCTTTACTTCCCAGGGCCGGACCGACAGGCGGACTGGGACTGGCCTGGCCAGCTCCAACGATGAGCTTAACAAATTGCTCCTTAGCCAATGCTTTTCCGGCCATGATTGTGGTTGGGATATCGAGTTCAAAGACCAAGGAAAACAGAGAAGATGAATTCAGACGCAGATTTTCAGAAGGCGGATGTGATTGGCCGAGGCGGCAAGCGAGCAAGCTGCGCCCAACGTCATAAGTTACTTTCTTCTCGTCGCTCGTGGGCTGTTCGAGCGTCTTTTTATTTCATCGCTGGCAATTCTGATCTTGGTATTCTGTCTATCTGGATCTACTTGTTCTTCTCATCCTTTGGATCAACTATTTGGTCGCTATTCCTCTCATCCGGAGGGTCCCATTGGCATCCGAACTAGAGTCTCGGGCCCCGCGTGTCGATCTCCCTTCTTCTCACCTCCCTTTTTCATTTTTCCCCTTCTCCAGTTTTGATTAACCCAACTGTATTGAAATCATGAACTGGCTCAAGTCGACGTACGTTCCGATCGACCCTTCCCTGTTGTGGTTACTGACCGATTCCATGCGGGCAGTCTCTCCGCCGTGGTGGGCACCGAGGAGCCTATCTATGGCCCCGAGGCCATCCAGTCTGTTGCGCAACAGACCGAGACAACTCCTTTCACCAATGTAAACAAGGACATTCTGCGCTGGCGCGCATTCTCCTACACCAATGTCGAGACCCAGACTTTCTATATCATGGCCGACAACGGGACCCTGGTTTTCGTTCAGGTCATCTACAGCAACATTGTGTAAGATACTTCGAGTCGAAGCTTCAGGTCTAGAACCTGGAGTCGATATGTACACTGGCTGACTCTAGTTCTTGACGCCGATCACAGCGGAATTCACACTACCGCCCAGTTCAACGTGAAGATTTTCGACGTCAGCGGAAAGGGTGACAACAAGTGGTACTCGGATCCGCTCTCCAACTTCATGTTCGACGAAAACATGCTCTCCTTCGGCGCCGATAACTTGTCCTTGACTCTCAACGAGGAGGCTAACTCCTACACCATCAAGTCCACCGTGAACGAAGGCAGCTTGGTCGACCTCAAGTTCTCCCAGACCGCACCCGGTTTCGTCGTTGGCAAGGACGGAACTTCATACTTCGGAACCGATCCCAAGAACCCTTGGGGCTCCATGCGTCATGCCTTCTGGCCCCGCTGTGCCGTCGAGGGTACCATCACCACCAAGGACCAGACCTACGATCTGGCCGGTCGTGGTGTCTTCATCATGGCTCTGCAGGGCATGAAGCCTCACCACGCTGGTAAGAAGCCCCGCACGAAACTTGACTAGAGAAACACAACATGTTAACAAAGGATCCAAAAATAATAGCTGCCCGCTGGAACTTCATCAACTTCCAGACCCCCACCTACTCCGCCGTCATGATGGAGTACACCACTCCCCCCTCCTACGGCTCCACTAAGGTCAACGTTGGTGGAATTGTCAAGGATGGTGAGGTCATCTATGCCGGTTCAACCAACGCCGTGGCCCACACAGCATCCGGCCAGGACGAGGGCAGTGACTGGCCCGCGCCCACATCGATCAAGTGGGAGTGGAGCGGCAAGACAACCGACAACAAGGAGGTCACAGCCGAAGTGAATGGCGCTCTCGGCCCGCGACTGGATCGCATCGACGTCATGGCTGAGGTGCCAGGCTTCATTAAGAGCATTGCTGGCAGTGTTGCCGGTACCCGGCCATACATCTTCCAGGTAAGCACTCCTCACATGATCAGGTTCCAATCTCATATCTAACTCTTCTTGTGTAGTACTCCCCCCAGCAGAAGCTGTCATTGAAGCTGAAGATCGGTGACGAGGAGATCACCGAGGAGGGAACTATGTTCTCCGAGTCTACCTTCATCTCGTAAAGACCTACCTTGCTCAATTCGCGTACATAAGACCTCACTCTCCCCTTTGGGACCTGATTGTTGGCGTTCATTATTGATGATTTTCGTGATGCTACATTTATGTCTAGAGGAACGGCTTGATTGCTTTTTCACTCGTGCGGACAAGATAATCCACAGACTGTATACATGATACTTAATGCTATTGACTATATTTTGAAAATGCCGGGGGCAAAGAAACTGATTATGTTGAAGAGACTACTCAGATGTCCATTTTCCCCAAAATAATAATACACGTAGAATGCAAAGAGGTGAACGTTACAAGTGATTGTACAAGAATCAGGAATCCCCGCCCTGTCTAGAAAAATGAGGAAATATACAAAGGTGCAAAGTTGGATACACAAGTAAATCAATTTGATACAACAAACAGAAGTCCGCCAGCGGTCTTTCTGTAAGGGGAATCTGTGCACGAACGACAGAACATAAACACAACTCTTCTAAAAACAATGAAATAAACAAGGAACGTGGAATAAAGTAAAAGAAAGACGAATCAGTTATCAACCATCAGCTGTTCTCCTTCGTCAAGGAGAGTGGTGACGCGCGAGAGATCAGAAATCATCTTACGGCCATGACCAACCAGCAACAGCTTCTCGGCATTGGCAGGGAGACCCAGGTAGGTAGGGGGGCTCACGTTCCGGCAGGTTATTGACCCAGGCGACGAAGTCGCGCATACTGGTGGTATCCGGCAGGGTCAAAAGATTGTCGTTCTCAACACCCGAGACGAGCTTGTAGCCGTCCTCGAAGGCGGCGGGTGTGAGGAAGCTGTTGACCAGGTTCTCGAGTTGCTGGTAGTCACCTGCGTCGTCGATTTTACCACCGTACATTTCTGTGATAAGAGTGCGGATCATCTCCCATGGGATCTTCTGAGGGGCAACGTTGGAACGGCCCTGGGAGACAGAATCAACCCAGTGGTCAATGATGTAGGCTGAGCATTCGTACTAGGGAAAAAGGAATGTTAGTGTTGGTGTAGAGACTTCACGATTGGAAGGTACTTACATCGCTGTCGTTGAACTCCCAGAAGCCCTTCCATCCGAGGCTTGGTGCATAGCGGAGTCGCTCCTGGACCACGGCGTGCAAGAAGCAGAGCAAGAGATAGACACGGGCCTTCTCAATAGGAGGCTTGCTGGCCCTGATATTGAGCGAGGACAGTGAATCCTTCATGTTGGCACGTACACCGGCGGGCTGTTCGTACATCAGAACACGCGAGGCGCGAATCAAATTGACAGGAATCTTAGGGCTAGACTCCATAGATAAGAAGAGACGGAACTCCTTGTGAGGCTTGAGAGAATCCAGTCTCTTCTCGAGACTCTGCAGCCAAGCCGGTGCCAGGTGGACGTTCTTGACCAGGACCCAGTTACCAACTGCAGCTGCATTGCTGATGGCCTTATCGGCGCTCTGGAGACCTTCGTTGGAACCCATGGCAATATTGGCGCAGGTTGCGCGTGTGGCTTCAACCAGAGCATCGACCTTGTAACTAGCATCGAAGCCAGGGCTTGAGCTGAGTGCAATGGGCCTGGTCGCAGTGACTTGGTCGACAACGTCCTTCAAATCGGCAGCACCCTCGAATAGTTCGCGGCCGAATACAGCCTCGACGAAACGCTCGGCAGTTGGCACGAATCGGTCCATGCGACAAATCTTGACAAGAAGCACGGAGCGAAGAAGCTGATCGAGCTGCGAAACACTCTCATTCCACATGACCGGAACAACGTTCTCTGCAAGCTCCTCGGTGAAGAAGCGATCCCATTGTTCTTCAGTGACACTCGAAAGGTGCTCTTTGAAGATAGACATGTTGCCCAGCTTCGCGATAACTTGATCCCGGGCGTCTGTGGTAGTTGAAAGATCTGTGCCTTCTACTGTCTCGTCCAGGACTCGGTCAAGGAGGGTCCTATCCATGGGGAACGGAGTAGCTTGAGCAAGCAAGATGGCAAGAGTGATGCGATCCTTTTGTACAAGACCAAGCGAAGTTCGCTTGTAGGTGTTGATGAACAAATCCCTGACAATGATCTGAACACGCGCGGAATGATCCTTCTCTTGAGCGAGATGCTTGTTCTCGTAGAGAACAGAGTTGAAGATATCGGTAAAGTACTGCAAAGAGAATTGATAGAAGTGGTTAATGTGGTGAAGCTGCTCCAGAACGGCGAAGACAGCACTGCATGATCGGGCGATGATGCTGTAGTTCTGCGTAACATTTTCTACCTCAAGCATGACACCTTCAGTCTGGTCCATCTTGTGAGAAATCTCGGCAGCCTCCTTCTTGAGAGTCTCAAGGGTTTCAATGACATTGTCATCATCAAGAATATTACCACGAGACTCGTTAAGGGCTTGCAAAAGTCGCTTCTCAAGTTGTCGGAGATGGACCTTGAACTCTCCTTGCATCTTAACAAGATTGTTGCGACGTTCATCGACATCGGGCCGCTCGAACTTCAGCACATCGTTGAGAGACTGTGTCTGCAAGCTGCTCTGGGTGACAGTAAAGTTGACAAAGGTGGTACGACTGCAGATATCCGGCGGGAATGACGCAGAGGGATCCCGAGTCGAGAGGAAGAGCTTGAACGACGGGGAGAAATCAATTTCTTGCTTGCCCAATTGAATAAGAACACGGCCACCAGTCCTCTGGTATTCCTTGTTGAGGACATGGTTGAGGATAGGGTCGAGATGCTCGGCATCCTGGATAAGGATGGGGTTTCCGAAACGCAAGGCACTCTCCAATTGTTTGACGAAGGAATCGTCCAGGAAACTAGTGACGGTAAGTTTCCGTTCTTTGCTTTGCTTCTGCAAGAACTCTGTAATGCGGCCAGATGGATCAACAATAAGTGGGTATCTGTTGAATCTCTTGAGAATGATGGCGTTCTCTGTGCAAAGGTCGTCGACGGGTAGGGAATGACTCTGCCAAGTCAAACGTTCATCGGCATTGGACAAGTACTCTGTAATTGGATTGTGAGGCTTGAAGTGAATGCCAGAAGCGCCCAGTTGGTGGACCCAATCCTCGGCCATTGCCTTACGGAACTGCTGGTCGTAGAGACCAGCATACGCAAGGAAAGCAGCTGCAATGAGAACGTCACCAACGAGGGTGCTAATCTGAGTTTCGAATGACTTGCTGCCATCTTCCCAACGCTCACGCTCGGAAGACAAACTGTCGAGCAAACGAACACTGCGGTCGACCTTGAACTGAACACGGCTCATCTCGGTCTTGATCGCCTGTGTTTCGCTGATCAAGGCCGCGTACTCAGCCTTGTAGGTAGCGATACTGCTTTCCAGGCTGTTGATGGTATTTTCAATGGCCTGGGCTTCAGCCTTGGTTTGCAGGGCCCGTTCCTCGAGTTGGTCAACCTCGTCACGCAGAGGGCCGACGCGGTCAAGAATTGCAGAGTAGTTAACCTGAGCTTCGACCCATTGCACCAAAGGACCACAGGCCTTACTGGCGCGGTTGACTCGCTCATATGTGAAGTCCTCCTTCGAGAGGAACTCGTTCTGCATCTTGGTACGATGTCTGCGCGTCATCTGGCGCTCATTGTCATAATTGACAATACTGGCAATGAAGTCGTCTCGACGAATGAGACCTTGAATTGTCTTCCAACTGTCGACAGTGTGGCCGAGCAGTGTGCATACGGCTTCCAAGGCAAGTCGGACGCTGGCTGGGGGGTTACCCATAGATCGAACTTCCGTCAGGTGTTGACGTTTGATGTTGCTGACACTCTTCTGGGCTTCCAAAACAGCTGGCTCAGCTTGGGCCAAATCATTCAAAACAACTTCCTTTCGAGTTGCCACCTCCTTCTCCTGAATTTCCAACGCAGCCTGCACTTCCAATGAGACCTGCTTCCGCTGCTCTGCCTCTTGCTGATCAGCAACCATGCGCTGCAATTTCTCGTTCGCTTCCGTATCCTTCTTCTCCAACTGCATCTTCTTTTGTGCCAGACTAGCCCGAAGATCGCTCACTTTGTCGACAGTGTCGTGAAGCTTTTCGAGACCAATATTCAAGTGACGCTGTTGTTCCTCGAGGTCCTCACGCTTCTCGTTGAACAACTTAACATACTGCGCAACAAAGTCGAGGTAATGGCGAGGAGTGAGGAAAGTGGCCCGACCCTGTTGCTTCTGCAGCCGCCCATTGAAGCGGTGCAAAGAGTGGTGGATATAAACCATGGAATTGATAACCGTGTCTCTGTGTGATGCAGGGAGAGCCAAATCACGGTATGCAACGGGAATACTGTCAGGGGAGATGAAGTTGGGCTTGTCGAGGTCGACCGATTGAGTGAGCTCGGAGCCAACCTGGAACAGGGCTTGATCAGACCAGTCGCCCATCCAGTTCAGCACACAACGATTGAACAAGGCGGGACTGGTAGCTGCCTTTGAAGACAGGCCCTCCTCTGGCGGGTTCATGGTGAACACAACATGGAGGTTCTTGATAATCTGCTGGGTGAACCACTTGTATAGCTCCTCCTGTGAATCAAGAAGCAAGCCTTGACGCTGGGCTCCCTCCTTGCAAGCAGTCATCAATGAGGAGAATTCATCGCCTTCGAAGAGACCGGGGACTTCTGCGTTTGCAAGTAAGGTGTTCATGCGTTCCAGGAAGCCAGAGTCAAGGACGTTTGCTTCATCCATGATGAAACAAATCTTCTCGCCCTTGCATCCTGCGCGGCGAAGAACGCTGCGAAGATCATCATCGAAATCTTCCGAAGAGTACTTTCCGTGCACCTTGATCTGGAAGACCTTGAGACCATTCATCCAAGCAACAAAGCGAGACAAGGTTGTCTTTCCACTTCCACTCACACCGATAAGAATGAGATGGCCTTGGGGTTGGCGGAAGACTCGATCGATGCGTAGTGCGTGCTCAAGGACGTCGTTGAACAACACGAGCGGAACGTCTACCTCCTCTTCGCAGAAGGTTCTAAGACGTGCCTTCACAAACTCGCGGAGACTCTCTTGCTCGACAGGAATGTAATTCTTGGACAACCAGTTGGAGAACAGGATTGGGCCCTTGAGTGCTTCTTGATCATCAATAGTAGGGAAATGTTCCAAGGCGATCCTGCGAACAGCATCTGCTGTCCAAGCTCTCTCCTCTTCATTCACGAGTCTGTCTTGGAAAAGACGTAAAGCTTCGTGTGCCCAAATACGGACCAGACCTTCAACAGTGAGGGTTTCCAAAGGCTTAATAGCTTCGTAAAGACCACGAACCCATCGAGTGAGCTCACGAGGCGAGTAAACATAGTGTGGCTGAATCTTGGGAGTGAATCTAGATTGGGATTCGAGATAGAACTGGACCATAGCCCGAGTGAGGGCTTCAGAGTATCCACGCAACAAGGGAAGAATCTTGAGAATAGCCGAGTTGAATGTGCCGTAAATCTGGTTGAGAGAAATCTCACCGGGGTAATCGACCATGATAAGTGGTGCATGGCGCAAGAATCTCTCGGCCATCGGTGTACGACCAGCATCAGTAGGAGGGTTACAGGCGCCAACAAATTGAATGCGATCCAGAGTGACCCAGGTCTTGTCGGTAGTTCTCCAGAATCCATTTTGCTCCACAAGTTGACGCAGGAAGGAGATGGCGCGCTGAGTACCGTAACGATCAGGGGCCGGAAGATTGATTTCGTCGCAGAAGATGACAAGCCAGCGACCGATCTGGTTAGGGGACATTACCACACCGTTCAGAGTCTTCTTGTACTCGCAGTATTGCTCGAAAGTTTTGATCAGCAGATCAGGAGTGGTAGCGCTTGAGAAATTGAGGCCAACAACCTCCATGTTCGGAAGCTTTCTGAGCGCGGCGAACAATGTCATGGTCTTACCGGAACCAGGAGGGCCACAAAGCAGCAAAGGCTTATGCTCCGCAAGCCATGAATAAAGCACATCCTCGTGACGGACAGTATCCACTGTTGGAATGATGACATCGGTTTGGGTGACGGAATGTGTGTTGATATCAATCGTGGGCACCTGTGACTGCCAGCTGGTCCAGTCAGACTTGGGGAGGGTGACATCATAGTCAATGAGAGATGAGTCTCCGTCAGGCGGGAGATCGATAGTAGACATTCCAGTAATGTATTGTCCAAATGCCTTGCGGTCAGCGAGTGGGCAATCACCAGTAAGAGACCAGACCAATGCAAGAAGAAGCTTCTTAGAGATATATGACTCGATCTGCTCGGAATCCAGTGGGAAATCTGGGTGTTGGGCATTGTATTCGAGAACGTTCCGGCAGGACTTGTTCAGCAAACTGAAAAGAGTGTTGAGGGCCCGGATGTCCGTGAACTCCATGATATGGTTGTATTTCTTTGCTTCTTCCAGAGCCTTGAGAACTAAATCATCAACCTCGAGGAATTGTTTGAGAATGGTTGCAACAGTGTCCTGGGCATCCTGCGTGCGGACTACTGCTGTTCCGGCGGGCGCGTTGTCTTCATCTAGGTCTTCGAATGTCTTCGTTCTGAGGCTTTCAACGTAGTTGGAAATCATCATGGTTGGAGTAACGGTATCGGCATTGAACCACACCATACCGCAACGACTGACCGTGGCGAGTGTAGCATACTTCAAGCTTTCAACTTCGAACATAATGCGAACATTCGGAGGCAGGTTGAGACGTTCTCCGTTGGGGAGAGTGAGGAGTTTGTTGTCATCTAGAACACTGTTCAAGTTCTCAACCCATTCAGGATCAACATCACCGTCAAATACGATCCAATGACGTTTGCCATCTTCACCTCGGAGGTTATCCACGATCTTTCTCAGGATTCCAGTGAAGAGACCGTCAGTCCATTCACGAGTGGTACTGTCAAGGTTTCCATAAAGAGACTCCTTCGACATGACCTTGGAGTCGATAATGTGGGAGACGCCCTCCACACCTTCGATGCGTTGCATCGCTTGTAGGAGAATCTTCCAGGCTGCTGATTTACCGGCTCCTGACTTACCCACCATCATGACACCATGGTGGATGGTTTGAATCTGGTATAATTGGAGTGCCTTGGTAATCCACATCTCACTGTCCACGAGATGTTGTTCTTTAGTAGCAATATCACGGATCGCTTGAGTGAGCTTCTCAAAGTTGGCAGGCACATAATCAACACCAGGGAAGTCTTCCATCTGAATATCCAACATCGTCTCTACATCGTCCCTAACAAGTTTGGGAGCAATTGTCTCCCGAAGACTTTGGACAATAATTTGAGGCTCAATGACCGCATCGGGGCCTAACTCTCCATCGGAGGTGGCAAGACGAGCGCGCTTGAGGCCACCTGAGCTCACGAGCACACTCTTCAATGCACGGAGACCGAAGTCGTAGTGAGCCTGCTTAGAGAGTCGGGAAGCACAGTGGTCGAAGAAGGGAACAGTCTGCTTGGAAAGGGCCTTCGCTTGCTTGAAACCTTGAGAGAAAAGCATAACTTCGGCAATGAGCTCCTTATCAGGTTTGGACATGGCAACACTGCGGAACAACTTCTTCAAATTGTCTGGCAAGTTGGATCGACCAGCATAGCCAGGATTCATGGTAATGAAAATTCCGGTGTTGGAATTCACGGCAAGTCGTCTACCCACGAGTTCGATCTGGGACTTCTCGCCATCTCCGCTTGTTTTCAGACCAATTTGAATGTTCTGAATCTGCTGGGAGACAGCCGACAGAATACGTTCTTCCAGACGATTGAACTCATCGAAACAACCCCAGGCACCTACTTGACAGATACCGAGGAAGATGCGACCCATTGCCTGGAAATCGAATGTGTCATCACAACAGAAGACAAGGGTGAAACGTCCAAGTTGCAGGCCCAATGCCTTGACTGACTCGGTTTTTCCGGTACCAGCGGGACCATAGGGAGAACCACCCAGTCGTTGACAGAGAGCTTGAGTGAGGGTGAGGAAACAACGATCTGTGAGAGGGGTGCGGACAAGACGCTCGGGGACACCCAAATACTCAAATCCGTAGGCCAGCTTGGCATTGGCCATGTGAACATACAGGCGTTCCAAGTAATCATCTTCAGCCTTGTAGACATAACGCATCTGAAGGAGCCAGTGGTAGTGCGTGGGCGTCGTAGCGTTGAGACTGATCAGCTTCGAGATGCAATCGCGTTGATGCACGAACTCCGTGATCATATGTTCACATTTCTTGCGGGTGATTGGATCAAGTTCACCCAGCACAGTCGCTGCCAGCAATTCGAGAATTCGTACCTCAGCAGCGTGCAACGCAGGAAGAGTTGCTCCTCCTTTCTCGAGGGACTCCTGCACTGCGTTGGTCCAAGTAACCTGACTAGCAAGGACAACAATCTGGGCAGGATAGTTCGCCAGGAAGTCATTGAAGCCCGTTGGATCCACATCGTTGCTACTATAAAGCGTTTCGAATTGTTCAGATGCCTCACCAAGAAGCTGTGCAAGGGTGATCTTCATGTTGGTCTCTAAGGCCGTAAGCCAGTCATTGATTCGCGGAGTCTTGAGGAGGTTTATTTGATTCCTCAGGCGGACTTCCTCGCCCTCCTTCGAGGTGAATGCGACGATGTTGTTATCATCATCCATAACAAGACCTGACATTCCAGCGAACATCTTCTTGAAGTGCTTGGCGACGCGGAAGACGTCATTGCTGTTACCAATAATCTCGAGCAAGTCCTCATCACCAACGAAGTAGAATCGAGGGAACGAGACACGCTCACGCTCCAAGTATTCACCGAGAGCCTTCTGGATCTTGTTCAGCAGATCGGCCAACCGCTCCAAGGACTTCTGTACGTCGACGATAGCAAGAATATCCAACACAAATGGAGACTTGTAGACCTTCTTCATGACAGCAAAGAATTCGGAATTGATGTTCTGGAAACGGCCCGATTCCAAGGGAAGGAGATGCTTGATATCGGCATTGCCAGTGAACACACCTTCCAAGTAGACCCACTGTCGCTGGACATCGATCCAGACGTCGAAAAGAACGTGTACTCGGTTCAATTTATCTTCCCAAGAAGTGGCTTCTTCTTCGAATTCCTTGTAATACGGAGAATGTCTCATGGCCTGGAGGGAGTTCAAGTTCTCACTGCACTTGGCGAAGAGATCGTCAAAGCCTTTGATAAGACGGCATTTGTTCTGGTAGTGCACCAGATCCAGGGAGTAGTTCTGCCAAGTTTCGCGAACCGACTTCAAGAATTCTTCCAATGCCATCTCGCCTTGGGCCTGTGCAATGATAGCGCGAATGATGGTATCGCTTGACGAGAGCTGCAAATCCCAGACATCGCCGAGAGTCAAAGAAACGAGGGAGAAACGCTTGTCTGGTTTGAGGCTCTTGTAGATCTTATGCCAGTGTCTTTCCTTGACAGCTTCAGATTTCATGTCCGAGAGAAGGGAGTTGACCTTCAAAAGTTGGCGAAGGACATTCTGAATGTGTTCAAAGGCAGCATATTGCCTCATACGGCTGGGCATCTCCTTGGTCATTTTGATCAAGTTGTCCAGAGATTGGCGGAGCTTTCTAGGCTGAATGCTAGTCCACAGTCCATCGCGAAGATCATTGAGACTATTCCAGATAGTCGCCAAAGCAGCCCACACAGACATAAAGTCCTGAACCTCCTCGAGAATAGGAGGCAGTGACGATTCCGAGCTTTGGGGAAGATCAAGAGCCTCCTTGGCCTTGGACACCATCTCAAATTCGGATTGCAGAGCTTCGAGGCGAGACTGGAAAGAGCTCAGGGTACGAGAGGCTTCCTCGGGAGGGATAGTGCCAGATACAGGCTTCTCGTCATTCCATTGACCAATGACCTCAGCAATCTTGCCAGCAATGACATGATCTTCCGCACTGATCTTCGCACGCAGGCCCTCGGTTTGTTCATTGACAATTTTGCTCTTGCGGCCTAGGAGTTCATTGAGAGCTGCCCATTCACCATCAACATTGTCAAAATGAAGCCAGTCATATGGGAACTGGTAACGCTGACGGGCGAGCGTGGTTTGACCTTGGCGGAAAAGATCAACCTCGGGCTCCCACACGCGAGTCTTGCGCTTGCATTGCTGAACAATGGTGATGAAAGACACAGCATGTGCCGTTGAAGAAGCTTCCAAAGTTTGGCCCTCGAGGTCTCGGCGAGCAGCAGCGATTTCCGAATGAACCTCTCTCATACGGCTGCCAAGCTTAGAGCCAAACTTGACAAGTATCTCGTGCTGCCATTGGTCGTACTTGGCATTGACCTTAGTTTGCACTTGCTCATAGTCAATTCTGATGTTACCAAATCCTCGGCTGACCTCCGAAGTATCGAATGTAGCCCGGCTCTTTCTAATTTCCTGAAGAAGTTGTAGCCATTGGGACAAATCATCACCCAGAATCTCGTAAACCTGCTCAGACCGAAGATCCCATAGGGATTGGAACTGGAGCCACTTATCGACATACTCGGAAACGTCCTTCAATCTTCCCTCGACAACATCATAGACTTGATTGAGCTCCTTAGTGCAATTTTGTGGCAGGTCGGAGAAGGAGACTTCAGATAGGCGGACATTCTGCACACTGATGGAGATCTGGTAACGGGAAGGTTTGATCTTTTCCAAATTACAGATCACTCCGAGCCACGCATCAAAGTGCGAGAACCAACTTGCGCGTGCGAATTGCAAAGGCGGATCCAGGTGAAGGACTTGATTTTTCATCAAAATCTCGTGGAAAAGCTCAGGGAACTGGATCTTGTAGTTCATAGCGTCCGTTTCGGCCGCTGCGAGTTGTTGATGAGAAACCGTCGAGTTCTCGTTTAAGGTATCCTGGAAGATAATAATCCACTCGCGCACAGCACGAAGGAGGCGATCACGCAAAATTGCCTCGATGCTTCGATTGAGCTCGGCAACCCAGTATCCAAGATTGACATAATTTTCCAGGTTAAGCTTATCAACAGCGACTTGAATGCTGTCCAGGCGGTGTTTGAAAGCCGATGCATCGTATGGACAAGTCTTGAGTTCGTGGATCGATTTCTGGATATTCTCGTTGATAGTGTCAAGTACAGTAGTCTTGGTCTGGAGAGTGGATGCTGAGATGGCAAACTCGCGCACAAATTGAACATGCTTGCTTTCAGAGCGACCAGGCAAAGAAGCCTCGATAGCACCGTTTGCCAATGCCGATTGCTTGACGTGCAGCTCGTAAGAATGGACAAAGGATTCCCATCGGAGAGGAATACCCTTGGCAACCATGATCTGTGCATCATTCATGTAGCCGTTGAGCAACATATTAACACCGGTCATCGACGCGATTGCTCGATTGGTCTGCAGCAGAGTGCGAACACTCTCCATCAGACTGATCGCGTAGGGATAAACACGCTTCGCCTCTTTAGAGATATTGCTGACAGCATGAGGGACCTGAAAGTTAAGCCAGATAAGATTCCGGACCTCCTTGAAGAGGGCAATGATTTGAGCATCGAAGTTGACTGCCAGTTCCAGAACATTTCCTGCTGATCGGTTGCGCACAACATTAAACAGCCGTCCAGCGATTGTAAAATGGCGCCGTTGAACATCCCACAGCCAGGACTCGAAGACGGGCCGAGTATCGAGCTTCTTGCGGAACAAGTTGCCCTCGTTCTGTAGCTTCTGGCCCTCGGCATGCAGATGCCAGTTCTCGCCGAGAACATTCTCGACCTTGCGCATGTAGCCGTCGAGTTGGTGCTCGATCTGGCGGGTCCAGATAATAGCACCCGACACGGGCGGCAGATCGCGTAATTGAGCCATCGCATGAGCTTCAGAGTTACCATACTGTTGCTTGAAGCGCTCATGCAAAGCACTGATGTCTCGCTTGACATTATCAATGAGCTGTGTCTGATACTCCCCAATTGCACCACGAATCTTAGGGCGAACAAGGAGGGCGTTGAACTTTGAGAATACACGGAACATCTCATTGGCATTCTTGGCGGTCGCTAGTCGGTCACGTAGACGAGCAATGATAGAATTCTCAACACGCGAAGTACGCTCACTGTAGGCAATTTCAGCCTGCTCCCAATTCAGAGCTCCTTCCTGTGAAACATCCAACACATCTACATTCTTGAGAGCAGCGTAGGCGAGAGCAACTTCCTCCACGGCATCGACATCGCCGATCTCTTCAACGATCACAGCACCATCGGCATCAACTCCAGTTCCATTCTCAGCAGATGAAGAGCTATTGGGCCCGAGAACGTTGATAATGGTCTTCTGAAGTTGCTCGTGGTTGATCCTGAAAGTGTCGACGTACTTCACCCGCTCACGGGTCTTATCGTGTCTCGCATTGATCTTAATCGGGATGAATTTTTCGTTGCGACGCCGCGTTGATTCACGTGCAACGTTTGTGAACTCCTTCAGGTTCTCGTCCCAAGTCCGCCAGATCGCTTGTGTGGTTTTCATCAATGATCGGAACTCACGATAATCCAAGTGCAAGATAGTGCGTCCCGTAATCAACTCATGGATCTTTTTATCCAAATCTCCTGAGATAGCTTCAACAAGTGAAAGGGCCCGCTTGATAGGATAGGGGCAAATCTTCAACTTCTTATTCAGGTGAGTGAAAATGAGGTTGAGTGATTCCTGAACCTTTTGTAGGGAAGTCGCAGATAGAAGCTCATCGAGAGGGAAGTCCCGCATCAGCTGGTTGTATTTCTGAACTAGATCGGTAGCTTCTTTCAGCCCAGTATCTGCCACGAAACTCAGGGTCGGCTGATATCTTTTCGCATGGCGCAGAATGTCCATAGTTAACCGGACACCCTCGCTTTCCAGCTGGGCATCGATGCCCTCTAGAGCAGCCTCAAGGGAGAGCCAAAAATTGACCTCGGGACTTGCAGATTCGCTATCCGGGTCACGAGACATTTTGGTGATCGTCTGGATGGATCTGATCCAACCGTTCACGACACTTTGAATACTGTTCGTGAAAGCACTGCTCTCCAGCACTGTCGATGGAATCAACTCGACCGACGGTTTGATACCACGCGCTTCCGCCTCCTTCAGAGCAGCTTGCACCACTTCATGAAGGGGCAGGTTCAGAGCCGGAATCTCCACATTCTGCTGGAGGTGCAACAAGCCCAGCTCCAAGTCCGCGAATTTCTTCTTGGCTCCCGGAATACCTGTCTTCGCCTCCGTATCCGTTTTCGATTTCGTGCCAGCGGCCGTCTCCTGGCTGCGAGTGTATGATTCAAAGTAAGGACTCAGTCCGTGGTGTAGCATCAAGTGAAGGATCTGGTATGGCGACATTGAATTTCCTTGCTGGGCGGACGAGTTGCTAAGTGAAGCAGGGCCAGGAAGGTTCATGACCTGGACTTGCGATGCCATGGGCAGACTCATGTCGATTGGAACGGGCCGTTTGATGATAGCGACCGAAGCCACGGTTGTAGAAGCGGACGAGATATCGGAGGAGAGGTTGTAGACATATTGCACTACTGCTTCTTTAGCAATATAGTTAGCATTATACCAATCAATGGCCTCAGGATCTAATGGACCTACCTTGGTCCTCCGTCTCGCCATTTGTTTCCTCCGCTGTCACAATGTCTTTCTGCACATAGAGCGCCTCTTGCGTTTCCGAAGCAAATCGTGTACACCGTTGCAGCGTTTCATTGTACTTGGATTCCGAAAGCAAGCTCCCAGCGCTTTCCAGCTCGGACCGTTGGGCTCCCAGTGTTACCTGCAGCACATCGATCAAGTACTGAATGACCGCGCCGGAATCAACCACAGCTGCAGTCTCTGATTTCGAGACGCCATTTGGCACGCCTGATGAGGCGACCTCCATAATGCCCAGTTTCTTATGACAAATTCGAAATGTTCATGGGTGGTAAGGAATAACAGGGGCGCGGATCGGAGGCGTGTTCAAAATATTGACGGAGATCGGGTTGAGCGCGAGTTGGGCTGAAAAACTGGGCAAAGGATAACGACAAAGGCTGAAGAAAAAGAAGAAATCTAATAGATTAAAAATGATTGCAAAGATAAGTTCCAGACCTCTGCCCTATGTTGAAGATCAAAAGATACGCGGCGTGTTTGCTTTACTTCAGGGGATGTGCACTATTCCGTATTGGGTTAGGCGTGACACGACCCCCATGTGACAACTCACATCCATGTCCCAACCCTCGAAGGCCCTTGCCCGGTGCAGGATCCAAGGGCATCCGTGGCTGGCCGGATCACTACTCTGTACTTGGAACACTCTGAACCTCACTCGCTCTGGCATCCACCTCCATTCTTGTCTAGATGACTTTCTGTAAGATACCACTTAAATAAATAATAATCAATTTCCCTTGCACTTTCCTTCAGAATCTCGTTCTCTTCAAACTGCGGTTCCGATATTCGCGCCATCCTCGTCAGCCTGTCCATCTTGACAATCGCAGTGATATTTCTCCCGGAACTCAGACAATGACATTCCATCTATCACAGCCAATGCCCTGGTGCTAGCCCTTACCTTCGCATACCGGCTTGAAGATGCAACTGCGTGGGCGATGGATTGATTGTGCACCATAACCGCCGCAAACACCGTAGGAACTTCTCCATCCACAGTAGGAACTTCTCCAGACTTCAAGCAGTAATCGCTGCACCGATATTTCTGATCCATCTGGGCATGGAGGAATGTCTGTAGCCTATCAATATCAAACGTGGGAATCTCGGATGAGAGGTGAGCTTACCGTTGGATGTCTGTTTGCAAACGTGTCATAGATGGACATATCCCGAAAGAAAGGCAGGATATGTTTTTCAAAGAACGCCTCAATCACTGTGAAATCGAAGCCTGAATCAACAAATATGGCCCCAAGATAGGCTTCGAGCATGTCTGGAAGGCACTAGATTTTTGTGAGTATATATATCACGAGCATGAGTGAGAAAAAGGAGACTTGCCTTTGGAGAATCGGATGTCGACAGCCAATAGTCCACCTCTCCTTTACTTTCACTCTCAGCAAGCTGTATCTCATTTATGTATTTGTTGTTTTGAATCATGATTGGATTACTGAAATGCTGGAGATGACCATGAAGCTCCAGTTTGACAGCCAAAGCACCGAGGAACTTGTTGGATACCATAGCCATCTGTTGTTCATATTAGATAGTGACCTAGTGACTTTAATGTAAGCGAGTACTGACCTTGTGTTCAGTCAACCACTGTGGATCTCGATCAGGGAAGCGATGAAACAGATGTTCCACACACACCATATCCAGGAGCGCATCACCCAAGAATTCAAGCCGCTGATAACACGGAACCTTGGCCCAGGCGAGTGGATAAGAAGGGTGCGTAAAGGCTGATCGCAACAGACGGGGGTATCTGAATTTGTAACCTAATCTCTTGAAGATCAGCTCGGCCAGGTTCTTTTCGAATCCATCGGACGCCCTGGACTGGTACGATGGGATGGAGTATGCAGAAATGTAGTCCTTCCATGAGGTTGCCGTGTGGCTCGGACTGTTAACAAAGATGGTCACAGCCTTTATGGCCCTATCAAAACGATTGTCTATGCCTCCCGAGAGCAGCGAGGCTCCTATCAATGCCTCACAGACATCTGCTATGGTCTTCTCGGCCAAGGCATGTCTTCCTTCGCTGGCAAAGAACTTGGCATGATCCCGGCCATACTCCAGGGAAAGGCCCGGTGGATACCACAAATGCCTGTGGTGCAATGTCAGTCAAATAACCACCTATTTTGACGGATTACAGCAAACATACCGAGAGAACCCGCGACTGCGTATGTACTCATATAATTTCACTTCAGTCGCGTTTTTAAATAAGTTCTTGTTGCAGATGAGACACATTCTGTTGACGTGGTAGTCGTACTCATCATCTTCAGGATTCTGAGCAAAGAGCGAGATTGAGGTGGCCATTTTGAGAACAGAGTCCCCTAGCAGCTCAAGGCGTTCATAATTCTTACCCATTCCTCGTTGAACGTGAATCTGTTGACTCCGATGCTCTTCTGTGTTGTCGGAATCTTTGGTAAACGCCTCCAGTGCATACTCCAGCTTAATATCATCAAGTCCCAACATTGTGCACCCCTCCTGAGCAATCAAGTAGGACTCCATTCGAGTGATAATTGCAGGGAAGACAAAACAAGTCACGGCTACTGACAGGGGAATCTGAGATCTATTAGTATCTAACGCCAGGTGATGTGTATACTTATATTTTCACTTACCGGCGATACAACCAACGGCTGAGGGCAAATGACGCATCTTGAGTTGGAAGCCTTGTCTTCATCGGCAGCTCTGTCAAGGAAGTTCCGCCGAAGACATATCAATTCTGCCTGTAAGACAGGTTGATCCCAGATGCACCGGTCAAAAAACTTTGGGCGTGAGTTTTTGCTCAAGCTCAATGACCAATTCAAAATGTCACTGGACCACCTTCGGGATGGCACGTAGGATGGGGGTGGATCCGAAGGTCGTAAATTCGGATCAATAGCAAGCGGGAAATATCGATACTTTCCATTCCAATCGTCGTAGATGAATCGTGTCAGCAACCATTCAGGGTCTGTATCCGGGGACCACATGAGCTTAGGGTTGTTTTTGACATAATGTAGAGTTTCCCAATCAATTATTTCAGAGACACTGGAAATTTGAATGTCAACATCCTCTCGAGCAGGCACAAGCCAGTACGGAAATTGTTCCGGGACAGGCTTGTAGGTCTTATGGAATACATCATGAAGAATAGCAAGTGTAAAACCAGCCACAAGTTCAAGTTGTGGGGAAGATATCTCAAGGAACCCATTAATACAAGTACACTGGACGATAGTCTCGATATCTTCTTCCAGGAAAACTGGGAATGCTGGGATTTGTGGGATTCGCTCTCGTGTTAACAGGATGATGCTTCCATGGACTCGAGTCAGAGGCGCCGATGGGCTGAGACGGATAATTTTCGCGTAAAGGCGTGACGGAATGGTGCCTTGTTCTCTGGCCCAGATTGAGGGCTTGGTACGCATTTTGTACTGGTCAGTCCTTTTTGAAGTAATGGCCAATTTGGCATTGCGCATCGCTGGCAGGCGCTTGTGGTATATTGAGTTGAAATGATCATCCAGCAGATGGTGTTTTCGAAGCAACAGACATGTGTCAAAAGCAGCAGATTGCTTCGCAAGAGACTTTGTTGACTCTGTATGCCCAATTACTCCTCGAGCAGGCGACTTCTCTGGCAAAATTATCTCACAGCGGAATGATTCCTTCTCCGACGTGACGATGTAGGAAACCTTGGCTGAAACCTCGTTCTCGTATTGCTAGATTTTTGATACCATTAGCTTCAATGTTAAGATGGGTCAACGCAGATTTGCTCTTACCAATGAACTGGCAAATCGTGCCAGAACACCAATCGCATGGCGGTATGTTAGTTTCGCTCCAGTGGATGCGACAGTATAGGATCTCTTCCTAACTTCTTCGCGAAGAAGTGCTCCCTGATTGTCCTCGCTTCCGAACAATTTTCGATCATCGGGCAGCTGAGAGCAAAAGGCTTTCATTTGATGCTGTGCACGTTAGAACGGGCTCGAACTTGTGAAGATAGCCCCCAAGGGACATCAGAGAAGAACCCTTACCTCTGCTTTTCGCACCTCTTGTAACCTCATGCTGTGACTGCGATTGCCGCTTTCGATCATGGTCGCGTACTGCAAATCAAAATGAGTTCACCAGTCTAATGACATATATGGAACGAAAACTGACCACTGAATCAATTCGGCGAGCACGGCCGCGGCTTTGGACATATTGAATGACTGTATCATAAAGATTGAATCTTTTTCAGTCAGCGACAGCAAAAGAGGTATTGAATTAATAGGCGACACACCTGATCACCAGGTTACAGTCCGGGATGTCAAGGCCTTCCTCTGCAACTGATGTAGCAAACTGAGAAGAGTTAGAAGGTTTACCAAAACAGCATATGTGTGTGCATGTACTCACCAAGCAGTTCACCTCGCTTTTTCGAAACTTGACCAAAACAAGAAACTGTCGACGAAACGTGGAATTCATTCCTAGGGCATCTCCTTTGCGCACACCGACCAAGGCTTCAGGGCGGAGATTCGGAATGTTCAGCCGTTCACACAGCTGTAACAATACTTTGGCTGTGTTACGCCGTTCCGTGAATACGATGCATTTGGTATCAGGCGATTTTGTGAACTGTTCTCTTAGCTTTGAAATCAAAAGTTCGACTTTCGAGCTGAGATCATTCGGTGTGAATGCCTGTCTTTCAATGTAATCCTTGACGAGCTGGTTGGCTTCTTGAATTCGCTTGATTTCCTCTGTAGCCTTTTCAGAGTCCAAAGGATCGGAATCGGTGTTTTTGTTGATGCTACCCTCGAGCTTGGGGAGTACTTCGTCCGCCAGCGCCAGCGCCCATACATGATCGGCGCACCAGGCGCCTAACTCTGAGCTTGCAACTGATGCAAATCGAAACGCGCTTTCAAGGATAGGGATATCTCCATACTTAGTCTTCAAAGTGACATGTAGATCCGTTTCAAATGGCGGGGGAAGCTTCTCGTAGACCCATTCTTCCTCGATTGGTCGGTTCACAAAATGGCGTAGGAGGGCGAGATCTGTTGTTGTTGCAATGCGACTATCTAATAGAATCTCGAGTTGTCTATACAGGGTAAGCCGGATATTCCATTGTAAAAGTTTTTGGGGCACTCACGTTGCTGCTCGTGCTATGTCACACTTCGCATCGACTGGTGAAGCAGTCATCCCAAAGATTTTGGGACGTTTCTCAAGCTCCGTCTTCAAGTATGAGTCTCGAATAATACTATTCATGCATTAGTAAGCTTTTGGAAAGGTACGTTCACAGCATAAACTTCTCACCGGGCATACGGATGCTCTTTTTTGGCGTGATGTGCTTCGTCGAAGATAAGGAGGTTGATCTGGTCAATTCTCACATGCCCGTTCAATAGGGCCTGGCTCAGAATTTCTGCCGTGCATACTATCACCATGTACTGCTCAAGGTATTTGCCCCATATTTGTTGATCCCACAGGTCGGGTCCTAGGTCACCGTAAAAATGAGCGACCTTTTGATTGAGATTGCATCTCAGTACTGCCGCCTGTTGGAAAACCAAGGTAACACTATCCACCAAGAAGAACGATACGCGATGCCGCATTCCATTCGAGCGGTCGTTCAGCTCGAGTTGGATAATATGCTTAATCAAGAGCACAGCCACTAAAGTCTTCCCAGAGCCTGTATCGAGAACCGCGATTGTGTTCTGGGCTTTTGCCCTCTCATAGAGCTCGACTTGGTATTCGCGAGGGTCCAAAGTTCCACCACCCAACTCGGTGTTTGCAATTAAACGGGCCGTAGAGAGTTCGGCATCTGGGAGAACGATTTGTGCCCTACTAGAGCCGTCGCTTGGGCCATGAACAACATGCTGTTCAAGGCTTGCAAGAGATGAATTAGCAAAAATGGATATCAAAAGTAAAGTAAATTCCAACTCACAGTGCGCTAAACATGGCATTCCGGGTTCTATGTTTGTCGGTTGCCTTCAACGTCGGGGCTTCCCCCTCATCCCCAGATAGATCCGAGGCGGTCTCCTCAGGATCCATGATGAATGTTGGATGATGTGGTAGGAGACAAGACGGTCGAAGACTAAAGTGAGAGATGAGACAAGAAAACGAGGAAGTTGTAGAAAAAGATGCGATGAGAGCTGTGAGGTGCATCGAGAGCTAAGTTGGAAAGAGCCGTCGAGATATAACGTACATGTACGTATCTGAAGGCCCCTTCCGATGGGTTCTCTGTCTGAGCATTGATATTTCTTACATGTAAATCGCTAGTAATGTCCTACACCGTTATACATACATACCTACCTACCTGGTACTAGGTATGTACATGTATCCATCGATATACTACATAGGAAAGAGAGCTTTTCTGATAGATTAAACTCTTTGACGGGTATACCAAGAGAACCTGCATACGCTTGGCAAATACATTTGTGTATATGATTTTTCTGGTCTCTTTTTGACTTTGTTCAAGGTTAACTTTTGGACTTTTATGTCGCTTTCTCTCCCATTCTCTTTTGGTGGCTGAGATCTGTCATGCAACATGTATGAAAAATCGCACCCCCACGGGGCTGATGACCACGGATATATTGCTGGGTAAACTAATAGCAATGTAAGAGTGAGGTTGGATCCATCCAAAAAAGAGCAAGAGGTACTAGGTACCTTAGGTAGGTAGGCGCCTGTGAAATGGTGTGAAAAAGCGAGAGATCTGAAGAGCAAGAGAGGAGAACGGCAACCGGACAACCTGAATATATACAGACTTCCGTGTCACCCAACAATCTAGGACGACATTTATGGCTCTAGCATTCGGAAACTGTATAGAAAAGAAGGATATTGAGAAGTCTTCTAGCCACAGAGAATGGCACCTAGACAGAATCCCAGGTTGATTCAGGAGGAATCGTCCAAGTATCATAGTAGCCCGCATCAAAAGGCTTATCGGATAAAAAGCTTGGCCTTATCTTATCGGATTTCCAAAACTCAGATCCAAATCGCGGGGACATGTGCACGCTTGAGCACCCCCAACACCCTACCTTCTATCTAACTCCAAATCCTCAAGAACGGAAGCTGAAACAATGGAGGAGCCACAAAGTCTGCGATCTCTGTTTGCATCCGCAAAGGAGCAAAAGAATGCACTGGGATCGCGGGGTGATACCAACGCCGAGACCTACAGAGATGAGGTCAATGCGACGATTGCCAAATTCCAAGAATGCCAGCGACAAGTGAGCATGCTATCCCTGTTTAGCTCTAATGAGCTGCTGGAGGATATATCAACGGCCGATATCCAGTAAGTCATTTTGACACCGGCTTCATCTCGTCCATTCGGCTGATAATGTTACCCAGGTACATGACACTGGAATTCCACCTAGCCGAGCTTTTGCAGCGAGTTGCCTCCTCAGATCGTGAGTCTGTTCTCAAGCGCGCGCTTGAACAATACGAGAAATACCTGGTGCGCCTGGAAGAGTACCTCCTACTCTCAGGAGGAGACAAGAAGCTCTTTGAGCAATACATGGCCAATCCGACCTCGTTTACCCTGGCACCGGCCAATGATGCTGCTGCCCGGCGGGAGATCAAAGTAACACGGTTTAGGGCAGAAAAAGAACTAAAGCAGAAATTGGAGGTATGCGATATTCAGTCCAGCAGAGTGTGTCTTGTTCTGTTGCTTACCTTATCCGCAGTACTTCGCCCGCAATGAAGCTCGACTGCAAAGCGACGATGATGATACCCGATCCCTATACCTAGCGGAGCTCCAACTCTACACCCATCAAACCTTCCAGGCACTAGATCTCCTGGTTCAGGAATTGTCGATACTTTCAGCGATGCGCAATGCGCCACCCCGGCCACCACCGACGGATGATCCCAGACAGCGAAGCAACATCGGAGGATTAAATTATTCAGAACGTTTGGACCCTTCAATTTCGCAGCTTCTGAGGGGAGGCAAGGGTGGTCCTATTCTAAACAGCAAAGGAAAGCCAATGCAGCCATTTACATTGCTTGGCCGGCGTACAGAGATGCAGCAAGGAGTGTTTCGTCCGGGTCATAGCCTTCCTACTATGACTATTGAGGAATATCTTGACGAAGAGCACAGACGAGGAAATGTCATCGAAGGAGGAGGCGAGAAGTCCGGCATCAAACCGCAAGTTGATGAAGATGATCACAACATTGCCGATCAGGAAACGATGAAGGCAAGAGCCTGGGATGAGTACACAGAAGCCAATCCGAAGGGAGCTGGCAATACACTGAACCGGGGTTGATCTGGAATATCCAACATGCACAGAGCGGCTTGACTACAATTCACAAAATTCACGATAGACGGTTCTTGTTAAATTATCTCTGGCATCTTGTGCGAGTATTTGGGACAAAAAAAACTCGTTCACTTCATTTTTTCCCCACAGGGTATATCAATCTAGTAATAGTATAGGTCCATTTAAACATTTAGACAGCAGTAGAGACGCTCTCCTTGGCCTTGTTCTGCTGGATAGCTTCGAGGATTGCGCCGGCGCCATCGGCAACCAGAGCCTTGGCCACAGTGATGCCAAAGGCCTCGGCACTTTCAGCAGAGTTGACATCGCCATTCAACTGTACCTGAGCGCATTCCTTGCCATCAACACTGACAACAACCGACCGCATCCGCAACTGCTTAGATCCCTCCGCAGTTTGAACCCATTCGGTTTCAACTCCGAGTGGGGCACTGCAACCTCCCTCAAGAGTCCGCAAGAGACTTCGCTCAGCCAACACCGAGAAGGTGGTATCCTGATGACCAATCGTGTCCAACATTTTCTGCAAAGTTGTGTCTTCCTTGCGGATTTCGATACCAAGGGCACCCTGTCCGACAGCATAGAGCATGCCACTGTTCTTGGAATCCAGGTATTGGGTGATACGATCCGCCAAATCAAGACGCAGCAGACCGGCAGCCGCCAGAATGACACAAGTGTAAGGGCTATCTTCAGCATCCAGCTTTGACAGTCGGGTGCCGATGTTGCCGCGGACATCCTGGACCTTAAGGTGAGGGTATTTCCGGGCCAATTGGGCTGTGCGGCGGATGGATGAGGTTCCGACCACGGATCCGGCGGGGATCTCAGACAGACTCTTGTACGGCAGGCCTTGTTTCACCACGAGGACATCCCTGCTGTCTTCGCGGGGCATGCTTGGGCCAAGCTTGCAGGAAGAGGGGAGAGTAGTGGGGACATCTGATAGGTTCGAAGAGGGATTGTCAGCATTCTAAAAATTGAGACAGCTATGTTGTTCGAGACTGAGACATGTTCGAACCTTTCAGCGAGTGCACGATAAGATCAACCTGCCCGCCGATCATTAACTCCTCCAATTCTTCGGTCCAGAGATTCTTGGTGGTGAAGTCCCGCAGCGCGATGGTGGTGTTCAGGTCACCAGCGGTCTCCTTGGAGAAAACCTTATATTCATATTGGGGGAATGCCTTCTTCAGTGCCGCAAGAACTAGGTCTGTCTGGAGCAGAGCCAATTTAGATTTGCGGGTGCCGATGGTGAAGGTCCTTTGAGCGGGGGCGGGGGTAGCCATTTTGAGGGGCAAAGAGAGTGTATGCGGAAGGACGGAAAGAATGACAGATAATCACAGAGGATCGGATGTAAGATCTAGGTATGATGTACGGCGTATGTTCCAGTATGTACTCCGTATGTTGTAAGAATACCAGCCGAGGAAAGTCAGGCGAGGCAATAGTGGATTTGGAGAACTCCGATCACGGGACACGTGCAAAGTAATGCCACAGTCCTCAAGTACTGGGGTATCTACCACAGCACAACACACTTGATGTGTAGATAAATTAGAAACTTACAGGAATATGAAGTATAACAGGTTTATTGCCGATCATATGAGTTTCGATATGAACCATAAACAGGGAACATGTATAAATAGTTGCCAAATGATCTTCCCCAGTTGATCTGCACAGCCTTGGAACCTCGGCTTCGGGACGTGGAGATTACAAGACATGCGACTCGCCGTTATCTCCCCCGGACTTGTCATCTACGTGATTCTGGAACCTCCATCTCTTTGCTTCTCCATATAATTCATTTGCATCCCGCTATCCACATTCCCCATTCCCCATTCTCCATATATCCTCCAACTTGATACCATCTTTCCCTTTGGGTTCCCATCTTTGCCACCCATTTCGTCATCAGGGCCGTACAAGATGGGATCCAACAGTAGAACCATCAAGCTTCCTCTCGTTCCCCTTGCTAAGGGCTCGGTACTTTTACCCGGTGTGACATTACGCATCCCAGTTGCCAACCGTCCAGATCTTGCCAATCTACTTTCGTCGCTGGTGGACAGGCCTTCGAGGCGAGATGCGAATACCATCACCTTCGGCTGTGTTCCGCTCAACTCGCCGTTCTTGAGCCGAGATGGACAGCAGCTCCTCGAAGGCGCTGACTCGGATGCAGAGCGAAAGGAGGAATATGATTCGATTGATGCCGGTCAGGCACGGAAGGAGGACCTCTTCCGATACGGAACTATTGGTAAAGTCATCGGTGTTCAGCGCCGGGCTTATTCCGAGCCATTCTTGCTTGTCCAGGGCTCGCAAAGATTCTCTATTAAGAAGGTCCTACGAGACCGGCCCTACTTCGAGGGCGAGGTGTTCCTCTATGATGAAACCAGTAGGTGTCCAAATACCAAGCACAGATATCACATGGCTGGATCACATGGTTAACCATATTTCCTATGCTTCTAGACTCCGGTCAAGGTGATGCTGAAGTCGCCGACCTATTCCAACAATTAAGACAGCTCTCTAGAGAACTCCTCACTCTTCTACGTCTCTCCTCATTGCTGTCGGCAGCCTCCTCTCGTCTTTCGCCACTCGTTGCCCGAAAGTTCGAGCTTTATATATCGAAGACAGAATTGACCCAGGCCGGCAGGCTAGCAGATTTCATGGCCGACGTTTCTGATGCCAGCTTTGAGGAAAAGCTACGCATCCTCGGGTCACTGGATGTGAAGGAACGCCTGGAGAGGGTTGTTGAAATCCTCACCAGACAGGCGCAGCATATCAAGAGTAGCGTTAGGGTCACCTCTGTTAGCTCAACTTCATTCCCCTCATCGGGATTGGATATCAGTCAAATCGACCCCCGTGAACGTGAGCTGCTCGCTAAGCGTGCAATCTCCGGCCTGTCTGGCATGTCACCCGGTGGCGGTCGTGGCAACGACGAAGAGAAAGAGCCTAACGAGATAGATGAATTACAACAGAAGTTGAATGATGCGGAGCTTAGTCCCGAAGCTCGAAAGGTCGCCGACAAGGAACTGAAACGCCTGCGCAAGATGAACCCCGCTAATGCCGAATACGGCGTCTGTCGGACCTACTTGGAGAATTTGTCCGAAATCCCATGGACTAAAGTGACAGAGGATCAGCTGGGACCGGACACGTTGAAGAGAGCCAGGAAGCAGTTAGATGAGGATCACTATGGCCTGGAGCGGATCAAGAAGAGACTCTTGGAGTACCTGGCCGTGCTGCGGTTGAAGCAGTCCAGCAACGCGGATGTGGAGCGGCAGATTTCAGGACTCTCAAGGGATCTGGATTCCTCTGCAGTTGGTGATGTCGAAAAGGATGTCCCTCTGCTGTCGGAATCTGACCGAGTTGCATTGGAGACTCGCCTTGAAATGTTGAAGTCCAAGCGTATGACCGACAAGTCTCCTATCTTGCTTCTGGTTGGGCCTCCCGGAACTGGTAAAACTAGTCTTGCAAGGTCGGTCGCTGCCTCGCTTGGCCGTAAGTTCCACCGGATCTCCCTCGGTGGTGTCAGAGACGAAGCGGAAATTCGCGGCCACCGTCGCACATACGTTGCAGCCATGCCTGGACTAATTGTCAACGGGTTGAAGAAGGTTGGCGTCGCCAATCCTGTTATTCTGCTCGATGAGATCGATAAAGTTGGCGGCGCCAATTTCCAAGGTGACCCGTCTGCTGCTATGCTGGAGGTTCTGGATCCTGAGCAGAACCACACTTTCACCGATCACTATATCAATATCCCTATCGATTTGAGCAAGGTTCTATTCCTTGCCACTGCCAACTCACTGGATACAATCCCTGCGCCTCTCCTCGACCGCATGGAGACCATCGCCCTGTCTGGATACACAACCGTTGAGAAGAGACATATTGCCAAGCAGCACCTGATCCCGAAGCAAATTCAATCTAATGGTCTTACCGAAGGCCAGGTCAACATGTCCGACGAGGTGATTGACAAGACCATCACCGCGTACACCCGTGAATCAGGTGTCCGTAACTTGGAGCGGGAACTTGGCTCTATCTGTCGTCACAAGGCCGTTCAATATGCCGATGCTGGAGACGCCGATCGCGTGGGTGATTACAACCCTGTCGTATCAGTTGACGATCTAGAGGACATCCTCGGAATCGAGCGCTTCGAGGAAGAGATCGCCGAAAAGCATGGTCGTCCTGGTGTTGTCACGGGCCTTGTCGCCTATTCTACCGGTGGCCAGGGGAGTATCTTATTTATTGAGGTGGCAGACATGCCCGGCAACGGACGTGTCCAGCTCACCGGTAAGCTGGGCGACGTGCTCAAGGAATCTGTCGAAGTCGCCTTGACATGGGTCAAGGCCCACTCCTTCGAGCTCGGTCTCACACACGACCCCAATGAGGACATCATGAAGACCCGTAGCCTGCACGTCCACTGTCCCTCCGGTGCTATCCCCAAGGATGGTCCATCCGCCGGCCTTGCCCATACTGTTGCCTTGATCTCGTTGTTCAGCAACAAGCCTGTTCCGCCACAGATCGCCATGACCGGCGAAATCTCCCTACGTGGTCGCGTCATGCCTGTTGGTGGTATCAAGGAGAAGCTTATCGGTGCTCACCGCGCAGGTGTCAAGACTGTGCTTCTGCCCGACCACAACCGCAAGGACGTTAAAGATGTTCCCCAGGAAGTCAAGGATGATTTAGAAATTATCTATGTCAAGTATGTTCCATCCCCGCTCTCTAGTCTATCTTTGTTACTGCTTCTAACGATTTTTCACAGGCACATTTGGGAAGGTCTGCGCCAGATTTGGCCCGATGCGCAGTGGCCGGGCCAGCACCAGATGGACTTTGTCGAGAGCCGACTGTAGACCATCAACGATATTCAAGTCCGGCGCGCCTTTGTTGTCTAGCATTTTGATCCCCCTCCCCTACTCTCGTTTTTGCATAGCGTATAATGCCCCGATGCCCCAATGGCTTGTACTTAATATGCTCCTTTCGCGTGATGCGTTCTTGCCAGTCCATATTTCTCGTGTCTATATCACTTCTCAATATATCGGGTTCCGTTCTACCACAAATACACATTTAAGAAAATAAGACTCCCCTCATCTTCAATAGACACAGATGAAAACAGAAATTATGAGACGCCACATTCAAAATGTATACAATCTACCCCAAGAGTATAATACACAGATCCAGCCAGAATAACAGGGCTAGATGATAGAGCAAGAAACACCAATTTTCCCTCACAGAGGACAGGAAAAAACCATGAAGAACAATGCAAGGAACCCCATCATATCCGATTACCGCGCGCCGTACTTGCGTCCCTTAGAGAACCAAGCCGGCAGGGTAGCAGAAGGGAAGAATTCGCCCTTCTTAGCATCCTTAGCCTTATCCGCCCCCAAGCCCATAGCCTTCCAGGTTGGTCTCCAGCTCTCTTGGTTCTCAAGCAGCTGCTTAGCCTGTGCCTTGTAGGCAGCGCGCAACTCATGGTCGGGCTCTTCGCCGGCGTTTCGCTTGGGGTTCTCCTTGTCTTGTTGGGCAATCTGCCACTTCTCAGCCTTCTCCCAGCCTTCATGCTCCCAACTGTTCGTGAAAATTGGTTAGCAATGATACGCGGTTTTGGTTTTTGTTGTGTGTGTATTTGTATTGGGGGAGAGAGATTCTTCTTAAGATGAAGAGGAAGAAGATGCTGGGAATGGATATCACATACGGGGTGAGATCCGCGGGCTCCGCAGGGTACACGAAAGGCTCCTTCAATTCAACAGTCATGCGCTTCTGCGACTTGGGTCGGCGCCACGGGCCGTAACCCTTGCCATCGCGCGAGATTCGTGTGATGGGTTGTGCCTGGACATAACTGCGGATGCTAAGAGTTCCGACTCCGTACAAGTTCCATAGGTAGCTGCGGAGATCGAACTTGTTGAAGTTGAGGGGGACGCGGAATTGAGCATATCGGGGAGTGAGGTTGGGGGTTCGGACAAGAGCAACGCGGAATTGAGGCCTAACAGGGGCAAGATGTTAGCCGGATCTCTTGGGAACTTTCAAGGCATTGTCCAATTAAGCCAGCCGTAGGCCATTGTGGTGTTTTCGCCGAGCCAATATGGGAGTTTTGGGAAATTTTGGATAACGTACAGGTACACCGGCTTGCCGATGACGCTGGTCCATTTGCTTTTGGGGGCTTGCTGGACAGCAGCCTGGTTTTGCAGGCGTTTCAAAGCCTTTGCTTCAACACTTCTGAGACGCACCATTGTGTTGTTGAGTTGAGGGATCTGGGGTTAGAGATGCTTGCGGATCGTGCTTCAAAACTGCATTGGCTGGCCCGGACACGTGACCCCGAAGTATACGGCAACACCAGACAACACAACATTTATTGTTAGAGGCTCTCAAGCCAGCGCTCAAATTGATTACATTGTGTTTATAGGTGATGCCGAATCTTATCTATGGAAAGCAGACTCTTTGTGACCTGGAAGACGTCCATTGGGTGGTAATAGAGGATTTTGAAACCTATATTACATGCTTTATTCATCGTAAATAGTCATTAAAAAAAGCCCAAGCCTAATCCCTTTTATTGTGCCGAAGACCCCGAAACGCGCAGTTGTTCTAGACGCTTGGTACTGTCATCAATGTCGTCGGAGTTCTTGGTCTCGTGGGTATCACTGGGCTCCTCAGCTTCGGACCCAGACTCTTCTTCCTCATCATCATCCTCATCGTCATCGTCATCGTCATCGCTATCCTTGGAGGTTTCTCCGTCTCCCTTGACACCTACATCTTTCATATAGGTCTCAAGTTCACGAGCCATCTTCCGCGAGAAACCGGAGGCTTCGACTTCGACATCCAGACGCTTGCCAGGGTTGTTCAGAAGCTTCTTTCTAGCTTCAGCAAAGGTAGGGCCCTTTGAATCGCTCACGAAGTGGAACTTGCGCTTGAAGTACCGCTTGATACATTCCACATCGCGATCGAAGTACATTTCAGCGTTCACGTGGTCCACGGACACCATCTGCGGGAAATCAATAAGAACCGGGACCAGCCGGATATGCTCATCTTCCTCCTCCTCGGTGAGTTCTTTCCCCTTGAATTCGGGATCCAGCTCTTCCTTGATAAGGATATTGAACTCGTTGAAATCACCGTGAATCAGGCCATACCGTGCCAATTCCAAGATCATGTTCATGAGCTCTGAGTATAACCAGGCTGGGTTGGCAACTTTGGAGATCTGGCGCAGAGGGAAAGCATCGATAAGACTCATGACAATGGTGTGTCGGTTTTGCGCAATAGGTTCGGGGACGGAGAATCCGTTGTCGCGCAAAGCAGTCATGAAAGCAAACTCCTTCATTGCTGCCAACCGAGACATGTACATCCATGAAGCTGAGCTGCGGTGTCGTAGATAGTCGCGGTTTGTCTTGACGGTTCGGAAGGAGATACGGCCGAGACGGTGGATTTTCATAATGCGCTGCGATCCGTCGCTCTGTGCCACCACGATGATGTCTGATTCCTTGCCCACGCCAATTTGGTTGCCGACCGAGTAGATAGCCTTTGACTTCTGGTGCGCGTTCAGCGCAAGATAATCCAATCCTCCGTATGCGAGTCTGTAGCCGTCATCTATTAGGAAGATAGGATATATTAGTTATAAGACCAACGAGCATAGCATAGATGAAATACATACACTTGGCATTCTTTACTTTCGCAATCAGATTGATTTTGGCAAGGTTTGAAATAGCGCGGTTGACACCGCTGCCGCCTCGGAGACCCGAAAGCTGCGAGATCAACGGAGTAGGAACAACCTCATGGTTTCGGCTTCCGGCTTCGACCTGAAGAATAAGAGCACATTAGCTAGTGCAAAATACGCGATAAATGCTCCTTAGCAAAAGACATCGCGGGGTAGAGTCAGGAGGAGGGGCCGATAAGTACCGCTTGAAGAACCCGGAAATCCTCAGAGGTGAGGTAGCGAATGGCCTTGGCGTCGAGTTTCATGGCTGTGAGGAAGTAAAGAGATTATCTATTTTCTTCCGATTCCCAAGAAACAAATTCGTTGGACAGAGCTTCAAGACGAGTTGGACCAGTCTGCGATGCGGCGGAGGAAAAAAGTTGATAAGAACCTAGCCCTATGCCCTATTTCCTATCCGGGATGGGAACCTTGATAGCTTCGCCTTGATTTATGGTGTAGGAGCATCGTTTTCAGTAATTATGAGGGAATCGCTGAGGATTTGAAGCAATCAAACCATAAATAACTGGTTTTAAGAGTAATGCCTACTCGCACACTAGACCCAAAGCTGCTATGGTCTAAGATATTATCTATCCGAGACTCCAGCAGTGGTGGAAATCGCAAAACAAATATAAGTGTAAAACAAATCCATGCTATTCTTCATTCGTTCTGAATACATTAGATCCAACGATACCCCGACCACTATACGAGTGTCGCTGGTTGCAAGCGATGGATGTAAATCGGGGAATATCTATTTTAGCTTATTCAGGGCTTTCATAGTCCGGGTTCTAGAAAATATGTTAGTACTGGCTACATCGGAGTGTAAAGGGCGGAAGAACATACCTTGCGCAAGATGACCAAGCCCTCAAGTGTGCTACTCAGAGGGATGTACTGCTCATCCTCAAGCTCAGCTCTCTCACCGTGGGCCAGGAGGACTGGAGTGCTTTGAGTCTGCCATCCAGTGATGGTCTTCGGGCGACCTGCCTGGCCGACCACGTCCACAGCTTGACCGACACGGACGTTGACGGTGAGTGGCTGAAGGTCCTCATCGAGGGTAATAAGGAAGCGGGGGAACATGGCGGTGATAAGGAAGTAGAGCAGGTAGTGGTGTTCAGCGAGGATGAATTGCTTGGCATCAATGAGTGATACAAGCACAGTGAGCAAACCCGCTGCTGAGACACGGGAGAGGACCTGTCGGTCTGTGTGGAAGGGGTTGAGTGTCATTGTGCCCTTACCCATGTGCAATAGACCCTGGGCGATGCGAACCATGAATAGTGAGTTCTGGTCGCGGTGGTAATAGCTGGCCAATTGCCGGAGGAGTTGTGCGAGACGGGCATTGTTGGTACCAGCTCCACAGAGACCCATAGCGAAGATTGCATTAATAGCAACATCGTTGTCATTATCGTGACTGTACCGGGACAGTGTGTCGTAAACCTTCATCTGTGGGTTGCTAGGACTGATCAAGCCCATAGCCAGGGGAACTGCCCGGCGGATGTTACTGGATCCATAATGCATGAGATGACCAAATTGGCGGAGAATCATGTCCTGTCCAACATCCTCGCCCATCGCAATGAGGGATAGACCGAGAACAGCATATGATTGAACAAGCTCGTCGCCTTTGTTCTCCTCCTTTTCTTCAATGATATCATTGCAGATGTGAAGTAGCTCTTGCAGCTTGAGCACCGTTCCAGTACCTGCCCAAGCGCATACTGAGGCAAGTACTGAAGTGGGCTTGGCCATGGGGTGATCTACTGCCTTAAGGATGTCAAGAATGACATCAACCTCCTCTTGGCGACCGAAGTATAAAAGAGCTAGACCGAGGGCCATGAATCTTGTCCACTTGTCCTTGAGCTGCTTCTGGCGCTCCTCGTCCATCAAGGTTGTCGCGATTGCCTCACTGACCTGGTGGTTCGATGAACCAACAAAGATCAGACCCAACGAAACTGCTGCCATGGCGGACAGCTGCATATCGAGCGAGGCGTCCTCTACAATTGGAAGAAGGACCTCGAGAAGCTCCTCCTTGTTAGAACCGGCGTATGCCAGACCGAGACCCATGATGGATGCGACTTTCATAGGCACGCTCTTCGTCTCGAAGTTCTCGGGGTCACTCAAGAGGGCGAGGGCGGGGTCGGAGTCAAGTCGGACGCCGGAGTTCAGAATGCCAATAGCGAGAAGTGCACCGGCTTTGACTTGATCTTCCTGTGCGTAGGTGAACTTGTCGATCTTGTCCAACCCGTCCTCAACATCACGGTGCAGCAGCATACCCAGCGACGCAGTTGTCGAGAGCATGCCATCGTCCTTGGTTTTCCACACCCACGGGCCCTTGTCACCCTCCACTAGCATCATCTTATCATTACCAAAGCCAGCATTGGCAAACGAGTTGACAAAGGCGCTGGCCAAGTTGTGTCGTGCTGAATCAAGGTTGGTGAGGCCGGCTCCGCGACTGCTCTCCAGGTGAGTCTTGTAGATATCCTCTGGCATTTTGGGCTCCAGAATGTTAAGTTCCTTTGCCAAAGACTTGAAGTGCTTCGGAATGGAAGTGTTGTTGAGACAATCGGCCAAAGCCTCTCCCTCTTCATCCTCGGCCGGGAGATCGAGCCAGATCTGCTGCCGGGCGACAAGGAAGGCCATCTGTTTCTTCAAAGCCTTGTCGGTCGTGGCGTTGATATCACTCTTGATAAGCTCGATGTCGTTCAAACGGATAGCGAGGACAATTGCTTGCGAAAGTTTGTTGTAGCGGACGTAGATATCATGGGCGGTTCGAAGGAATTGCTGATCTTCGGGATAAGTGAGGAGATTGACCATGCTGACCATGTACAAGCAGACTCGAGCATATGTGTTCTCATCAACGAACTGAGGGATATCTTCGATGATTTCCAGTTCGCTCATGAGATCAACTGCATCGGCCTCGGCATTGTGACTCAGGAAATAAGGCACCAGCGACAACGCAAGATCCACGAGATCCTGGGTGTCCTGGTCTGCGTTCAAGCGATTCTGATATTCCTGTCCGATTTCTAGTGCGAGGTGTCGGACGTATTCGTGACCCCAAGAGCCAAGGTCCTCCGATTTAGCCAACAGCCGGTATTTGATAGTCTCAAGCTTCTCTTCGTCTCCGTAGGTCATTCCAAGCACCGACAGCATATCAGCCAACGAGTTCTAGATAAAAAAAACTGTCAGTTTCTCAAAAGCAATGAAAGCGCTGCAATACCAACCTTCACAGGTCCTGCAGTCCATTCCTCGTATAGCCCTGCCAGGTCATCGTAATGCGGTCGGAGGAACTTGAGGGGCTTAGGAACAGCCGTCATGGAGGATGTGGATGTCTTGATGAAATTCTTGATCGCGTCCAGTGCAGGTGCGTAGAGCGAGGTATCGGGTTCCTGTTGGGGGTAAAAAAGATGATTAACGTCATTGTGCCATGCGCAGAGTGTAGGAAAGCAATCACCTTTAAACGCTCAACAAGCATCTCAAGTTCGCTCTTCAATTGTTGATCTTCTTCACTAAGCTCCTCTAAAAAGTCTCTCCATCAGCATGTTTCTTCTAGCGCCACCGTGGTTCTTCAAGAGAAACCACATGCTCCGTTGGGAGAACCTTGAGACGGCCTTATCGCAACATACCATCTTGAGATGTCTCATCTTTCTTCTTTTCGTCTGCTGGCTTCTCGCCATTTTCGGTGTTCTTGCCGTTCAACTCGCGAACATCATCAACCTTGCCCTTGCCCTTGTCGGCGGAGGTTGGCCGTTCGCCCTCGTTGGCCATTTCTGATGGTTGCTGGGGACCAAGTCGGTGGGAATCGAGGGAGCGTGGCAGAGGGATGTATCAACTAGATAAGTAGAAGATAGTGTTACAAAGCAGAAAGAGATGGAATTCTGCAAGGAAAGAGTAATGCAAGTGGATTGTAAGCTGGTGATGGAGAAGCAGAGCTCGGTCTGGTGCAGCTCCGGATTTGATTACATAATGTGCCAAGGCCCTCGTCATTGTTTTGGACTTGAGATCCTACAACTTCGTTCGCTTGCCTTGAGCACTCGTTGATTTTGATCTTAAGGGTTAAGAGTTACTTGAGAGATTTCAGTCTTTGAGACTGTCATATATTATGAACTTGGTAAAGACATTGGTGAAATAATTACTCAGATCTTGCCTGCTGGAGATTCCACCAAGAGCTCATTATTAAATGCAAAATATGTCTGCTGAGGGAGCGTCCATCATATCCCCGGTACATCCTCCATAATGGCCCCGGAACTGCTTGGCATACTCTTCTGTTTGCTTGGCATAAGCCGTGGGGGTCAACTCTTCGCCATCATACGAAAGTAGAGGCAGGTTATCAAGATCGGGAAGACCCAAGGGAAACAGGTCAAGCAGCGGCATGATGGTTGATACGCGGCCTAGTGGTCTTTCGACATTCCCCAAGCCGGTGGCAAAATCCCCTGTAAGCGGCTTTGTAGGGTCATCGATATCCAAAACCACTTCTCTGCCCGAGCTGATGGGCTTGCTACTCCCGAATTCTTCTGGCGCCTGGTATAGCTCGTTGTGTACTGTAGCAATCGAAGGAGATTTGATGACCGGAAAAGATGGGTACAGAAGATAATATCCTTTAGCACGGATCATCTCCAGCAAGTGTTCCATAAAGGCTGGATATCTCTCTGATATCAACTTTGTTTGAGAGGCCGCCGCAGATTGCGGAGTAGACAAGCGGTTAGCCAGGAATGAGTGGAATTCGGCCCACGCATCGCCAAAGTACAATGCTGCATTGCTATTTGGGGCCTGCCAGAGGAACGAGGGAAGATACTGTTCATTATCTTTACCGGCCATGGCAGGTGGGGTGAACGATTGGCTGTCAGACGTAGGTTTCGATGATGGTAGTTCAAGGGAGATGCCAATAATATTGGGGAATATATGACTGGCCCGGGCAGATTGTTTATAGTTCAGAACAGCAAACTTCAGGTAGTGATAGAATGAGGGTGCGAGCTCTGCCTGTGGAGATAGCATAAGCAAATGTGTGACATCCGGGTTCCGAGGATAAAACGCCTCCACAGTCCGAAGCGATGACTCTGTTGCATCCATGCCATGTGGCTGGATGTGCCGCCGAATACTGATTCGGCTAGTAAGCTGGGTCAAGCCATCCAAATGCTGTAAAAACTGAAGCAGTTGCGGATCCACCTGCTGAGGGAGCTCTATCGTCAAGCTCGGCGTTGATCCTAAATAGTCGGCTGCATCTAATGACTGCATAAGCCTAATCAAAGAACCAGAAGACTCAGACGGTGCATGCACCACCATTTCGACCTGTACATCATTCCATGCTATTGTATATGTAGTCAGTATCTTCGAAAGAAACCTACAATGGGAGACGATAGATCTTACATCGAAGAGCCACGCTATCCAGCAGAGCTATCCACATAATATTCCTTGAAGCCGTGGAAAGAGCGACATGAGGGGTGGCATTCTCCTGTGAATGTATCTCGACTCCGTTCCAGAAAAAGGGATCCTCCCAGCTCCGGCCTTGCGTGACAAGAACATCGGGTCTAATGTAGGTCCGGATTATTTGAAGGCCTGATACCACGGATCGCTCCATGCGGTCGTCGGTAGATTTGGATGCATAGTCCGGCCGGGCATCTGTTGATCATAGTCAAGTCAGCGAAACATTCTTAAGAAGCACGAGTCTCGTATCCTACCATGCCATGTCAATGGGCACTCATCATCTCTAATGCCATTAACCCCCTTGATGCCTTCGATTGAAATTTCCTCTTTTCCCATCAAAACAAAATGCACATAGTTCAACTGTTCACCAGCCATGCGACAAGCTAGGGGCAAGAGATCCGACACACTGCGAAGACTGGATGCTGCAAAGACAACTGCACGACTAGCTGCTTTCCGCGAGTACTTATCGCGGGGAAGAGAGTGGGCCAACTCATAGAACTTGATCTTTCCATCGTAAACCTCCTCCTCCCGATTCGATTCCAACACCTTGACTGGTGGTGCAATAACTGGGTTGGAAACAGCAGGTGGTTTATCTGGGTTGGCCCATTTAGCAAGGTTTTCATCTCGTAACCTTGCAATCGCAGGGTTATACCGTTCAACGGCGGGGCCCAGGTCCGTCGGCATATGTTTGAAGAACTCGTAAACGAGAACAAGCGCAATTACAGCGAGGATTATCCGGCGAGGTCGGGGTATCGCTCGATGTCGCAAAGGTAGGAAACGCGCTTGATCAGAGGGCCGATGGTCGTCATCCTTCTTGCCCATCTCTTCATCAGCCCGAAGGGGCATTTTTGCGGGTGTCATAACGCGCACTCGCGATGATAGTCTAAAGCTCGATGAGCTCTGTATTTCCCCTTAGGGCATTGAGGCAACGACTAGGTACAGAGGGCACATGCGACCGAGTTGTTACATATTCATTGTGAGAGGCAGAGTAGAGCGGAGAAAACCGTCTCCACAAACGATGACGCCCCGGCGCTCTTATCGCCTTATCGTATCTCGGCCTTTTCTCCAACTACGCGCGCCTCACAACTTGTTTGCCTCGAATTCATTACTTACACTTGCAATTTCATGATGGGAGATGATATGGAAATCGAGCCCACAGATCAACGCGGCACTAAGCGCGCAGCAGAGGATGTGGAGGCCCAGGAGCCTCCTAAGCCAAAGAAGATCAAGGTAAGGCAACGCGTGTGCATATGTCAATCAGATTGTGTACTATCATCTAGAAGAAATACTGAATCTTATATAGGCCCTGGATCCTGATGTCGTAAACAAAATCGCTGCTGGAGAGATTATCGTTGCTCCAATGCACGCGCTGAAGGAGCTGATAGAAAACGCCGTCGATGCTGGTTCCACTTCAATCGAAGTTCTGATCAAGGAAGGAGGTCTGAAACTGCTTCAGATTACTGATAATGGTCATGGAATCGATGTAAGTTCATTCTTTATCTGCCAAGGAGTTGCATCTGACGCAATTTAGCGAGATGATCTCCCTATTCTTTGTGAGAGATTCACTACGTCTAAGCTTAAAGAATTCGAGGACTTGACCTCCATTGGAACCTATGGATTCCGCGGTGAAGCTTTAGCTAGTATCAGCCACATTGCACATCTCACTGTTACAACGAAGACTGCTGGATCTAGCTGTGCCTGGCGCGCGCATTACGGAGATGGCAAATTGATACCGGCCAAGCCAGGACAGAGCTCTGCACCTAAGGCAACGGCTGGTCGAGGTGGAACCCAAATAACCGTGAGTTGAATAGCTAAGGACAATCTTTGCCTGTAAGCTAACATCAGCAAAGGTCGAAGATCTCTTCTATAATGTCCCCACTCGACGTAGGGCTTTCCGCTCGGCAAGTGAGGAATATGCGAAAATCCTCGACGTCGTTGGCCGGTATGCAGTGCATTGTTTTGGGGTTGCCTTTTCATGCCGTAAGCACGGAGATTCTGGCGTCAGTATCTCAACTCCAGCTAGTGCGAATACTGTCGACCGAATCCGCCAAATTCATGGCAGTGCTGTGGCGAACGAGGTTGTTGAATTCAAAGCCGCGGATTCAAAACTCGGATTCCGAGCATCGGGCTACGCCACCAACGCCAACTACCATGTCAAGAAGACGGTGATTTTGCTTTTCATCAACCATCGCGCAGTGGAGTCGACTACTGTCAAACGTGCGATCGAGCAGACTTACTCTCCCTTTTTGCCCAAGGGGGGCCACCCGTTCGTCTATCTTGACCTCGAGATCGAACCCAGCCGGGTAGATGTCAATGTACACCCAACAAAGCGTGAAGTAAACTTCTTAAATGAAGATGAAATTATTGAGCTTGTTTGCACCGAAATCCGATCCAAGCTGGCTGAGGTGGACTCCAGTCGCACATTTCTCACGCAGAGCCTTCTACCGGGTGTACAGGCCATCGAGTCACTGCAGCGTGTTCAAGAGGGTCAAGTCAACGAGGACACAGGAGAAGCAGCAAAATTGGGAGCAATACCCAAAACACCCGCAACAGCAAAGAAACCCTATGAAAACAACCTTGTCCGGACAGACTCCAAAGTCCGCAAAATTACAGCAATGTTGACCCCAGCGGCAGCCTCACCGCGAGATCCATCCAACCCCGACGCCTCCATAGAAACCGACAAGACGACATCATCAATCCTAGACGACGGACTCCAATACGAGACCACAGATCGGCAACCACTAAAAATCGCCCTCTCATCAGTCAAAAGCCTCCGCGCAGCCGTCCGATCTGAAATGCACAACACACTAACAGAGATGTTCGCCGCACATACGTACGTCGGACTCGTCGACGAGCGGCGCCGCCTAGCCGCAATCCAATCCGGCGTCAAGTTATACCTAATCGACTACGGACTAGCATGCAACGAATTCTTTTACCAAGTGGGCCTAACGGACTTCGGCAACTTCGGCGTAATCCGACTAGACCCAGCGCCGAAGTTGGTAGATCTACTAAAAATTGCAGCAGACTCAGAACGACAAGAGCACGCAGACTCCAACGGCGAAGAAGCCGATAATATCTTCAATAATGCGCCGGAGATGATAGCACAAACTCTCATCGAGCGTCGCGAGATGCTAAACGAGTATTTTTCGTTGCAGATCAATGCAGACGGAGAGTTACTCTCCATCCCACTGTTGCTGAAGGGATATCTGCCTGCACTGGCGAAATTGCCTCGTTTCCTGTTGAGGCTTGGACCGTACGTGGACTGGAGTAGCGAGGAGGGCTGCTTCCGCACGTTTTTGCGTGAGCTTGCTGCTTTCTACACACCTGAGCAGCTTCCTGTGCTTTCGCAGTCTGCTGCCCAGCCCACGCCGGCGGGGTTGGCTGCACAAGCTCCCGCGGTAGCCGATGGCTTGGAGAATGAGGAAGATTTATTTGTTAGGGCGCGTCGGGCACAGATGATCCGCATGTTGGAGTATGTTGTCTTCCCTGCCCTGCGCGCGCGGTTGGTTGCCACGTCACGGCTGCTGCGGGGTGTGGTTGAGGTGGCAGATCTGAAGGGATTGTATCGGGTATTTGAGCGTTGTTGAGAGGACGACATACCATGGTACTGCTGTATTTTATCAGTCTAGGGATTTTCTTTATGAATTATGAATCAATATCTGTCTGCGTTCTGCAGGTACAGCCTTTTCCCTCAGGTCAGCATTATCACGAAGAAGCAGTTTTGGGCGCCTTGGCCTTTTTGGAGTACATACATCTTGTCGGTTCAATATACTAGACGCCTTCGATGTGAATATTGGTTGGTGGAGGGGATAATGTGTGATTACTCTCAAGCCCATATGTATGAAGCTTTTGCGAATATGCCTGCTCTTCCTTCACGCTTGAGAATATGAAGTGTCAATACATATACCGTTAGGTCCCTAGGGTTGTCACAGAGATCACTTGAATTAGGTATTGTCATTTCTTAAGAAAATGATAATTGGACGAGAAGAAGAAAATAGAAGAGAGAAAAAGAAAAAGAAAAAGAAAAAGAAAAAAAAAGAAAAGAAAAGAAAATTTGCATGAAAAGAGACGTGAGAAAATCATTGCATCGCTGGTAGTGGAGTGGTCACAATATCTCTCCTGCCCCAAGATTTTCAAAACGCCGAGCGCCAGATATCAATCAAAGAGTCGACCGATATTCGTAGAAATCATGCAAAATCATTGTATCATAATGCCTGATAGGTATCAATGAGAGGCAGAAACACAACTTTGGAAAGGGAAAAAAAAGCGCGAAGAAAGAAGTCTCAGACTGGCGTGTGCAGCGGAGGGTTCAAGGTCCTATTGGACAGGCAGGCCGAGGAAGAACGATGTGGAGGATGGAAGATTTGCCTTTATGGCAGGAAAAGCCATTTTGTAGTAAATATGAAGCCGTTCTTGTCGCGCTGGCCGTATGAATATAATAGAATTCTGTGGTCAGGTCGGAGCAGCTTCCGAGGCTGCATTTAGTGCCTTGAATAAGGCTTGTTGAGCAGAGCTATCTCACGCGCAACAGTGGTCCATTCGAGCTCTCGCTTCATGGGCTCGCCTCGTCTTTTCTTCTGGTATTCCTCCCACTGAAGAAGTTCGTAGCTGTATATGGGTATCAGTAATATTTCTTAAATCAGAGTCAGTCACAGGATACTTACACAAACCGCAGATGAGGCTGGATTATCACGTTGAGTCGCCTTGCGCGGACAAAGCAGCTGTCGTGGAATTAGCATTCTTCATGTCAACAAATAGATTCATTAGAATGGAAGCCAACTCACTATGCACGGGGAAAAGAGAGCTTTTTGGCAACCATGACTGCGGCAATGCAAATGCTGGCAGATCTAGAAACACCGACCCGACAATGAACGAACGTGGCCGTACCCTGACGCCAACCTTGTTCTATTGATAGTCAGCAAATTGAAAACATGATGTGGCATACGGACTGCAAAACCTTACCAATAAAATCAAGACAACGCTCAAATTCCTGACACAAAGGATCAATGCCGTTGTCTTGAACGTTGTCAATGTACATCACATGTTCAGGTCTGAATCTGGTGCTGTTCGTGTCCTTCCAATTGACAGTCTCGCCAATACTGAGCACACGCCTGATTCCAAGCTGCCACAGAAGGTCTGGGTTGTTCGCGTGATTCAAATTGCCCAGATAAAGATATGGCAGGATGCGACTGGGGAAGGAGCCATCCATGCTGTGAAACCAGGATGGATCCCATAGACCCGAATGATCCAAGGACTGTGCTGCGGGGCTTTCTTGCAGGAGTCGTGTTTGAATGTGAACCAGGAAAGAGACGTCTGTAGAATATGCGAAGAAATTGCGTCCTTTCTCGCGGTGAAGCCGGAGCCAAGCTTCGTGGGCAGGCACACCTTCTGCGAACATGAAGTACGCCAATGCCAATAGCGAGCTTTCGGTATAACCATCCGGACAATGGATAAGAATTTTCCTGCATTTCGCGCCTGAATCGGTGATTGTGATATCTCCATCTGCATCGTGTTCCACTGCGTCGATGTCTATCGCTTCATCGTCCGATTCTAACGCTTCATGATTCTCGGGTTCTACATCGTCGGACTCTAGTTCTTCCGAAGGGGTTTCTGGGTGTGCGAGGTAATAAATCCATCTGACAGTATTGATAATATCCTCAACCTCTCGGGTATTTTCCGACGGTAGCAAAAGAGATCCCGATGAGGGAAACTCCAAACGCTGAGGACCACTCTCTAGCTGCTTATCAAGCAGGGCTAGGTACCGAGGACCCGGAATATCGGCCATATCGCATGTTTCGATCAAAAGGTCATATGTGTCTTCCTTTGATGACTCAAAAGCTCCAGTTTTGTGGAAGTAGTCTGGGGTAGACCCGAGCCAAACATTAGACGAGATCTCGGATGGCCGGGACATCGTAGCCATTTCCAATCGCTCCCATTGGACTATCGCACTGTTAGTAGATACGCTGGGTGCGCTAGGATCTTTTGACAACTTACCAAAATCCATAGTTTGGCCTGTCAGTTGACCCTTTGCATCAATAGCAATGAGCTCGGGTTGTCTTTCCGCAACATCGGAAAAGTTGTCTGGGTAATCTAGTCAATCGATTGCCCATGGATGTGGGAAATAGAGTTTAGTAACGCACCGGCCAGGATGAATGTGTTGTAAGCTGGCCGCTCCTGCAGCGGATCCATCTTCAAACGCCATGACTGTTGCGCCAAGGCAAACTGATTAGCCAGGTCGACAAGTGCTCCCTGGCTATCGTCATCCTCGGCATAAATAACGATATCAGACATCGCCGCCAACTTGGCGGTTTGTATTTGAAAATTCCGAACGGAGAATCCCTCGGGAGGATCGGCCATCAAGAACCGAGATGAAGGAGCCAGCACCTCATGCGGGCTGACTGCACCCTTGATGCGTGATCTGGTGAGGTCACCTCCAAGCTTTACCACGGTAATACCTCTCCAACATCTTGGAGTACGACGTGCATGGCGCTTGCGACTTGAGAAGAATCCCAACTGCAGATGATTGTCTTGGTGCAATCCATGGAGCCAAGGGAACATGAGGGACGGGTCAGGCAAAGGTTGGGATGCTTGGTGGTCGATAGCGGCTGACAATTTGGCCCCATCAATGGCGTACACAGCAGGGGATGATGGTCGTCCAATGCGCATATGTTCATCTGGAGGGGACAATAGCGAAGAGGGTTGATCATTGGGTGAGGATACAGGAGTTGATTGAGAATGGGGAGCAGGGCCTGGTGGGCATAAGGAAATGTGCTTATTCGGGATGGGGCTTGGCCGTCGATTTACGGCCAAGCCCGAGGGGATCGGAGAGGAAGGAGGAGTCGGGTGGTGCAGCGCCTGCTGCTGAACCAACACCGTGGCCATGTTGACCAAATGTGCTGGAAATTGGTATAATTGAGGAGACTGTATCGACAAATGCAATTGCAATGCTCTTGATTGAAGAAAGAGATGTTCACATCCTTTGCAGTTGAGATATGGTGGGCAGAACCCAAAGCGATGGCGATCTGATCCGTGTGTGATCGGAATCACCACTACGCAATAAATGTCAGCGAATATATCTTGGATATTTCTGGAGTTGAAGCATGTTGTAGATGTTAGCAAATTTAAGGAACTAACATGGTGGCTTGGGGAAAGAGATTGGGAAGCACATGATCCGAGGCCAAGGGGGATCATACAATACCAGCAAAGATAAGGGGTGCAGGGGGGAAGGAACGAGAAGATATAACAAAAGATAAAATAGTAGTTGGGCGACAGAAAGCGACTTGGGGATAGATGCAGGAAGTAGAAGGACAACGGAGGAAGAAGTGAAGCGAAGTGGAGAGCAATTGCAGGAGGGGAGGGGGGAAAGAGATAAACGTGGGACGAGATCTGACAGCGCAAGTACATGTACGTGGTGTACGTTGTGTACGGATGTACTCTACGGGAACTGAGGAACCCACAATGTGATTCTTATTATAACAGTCCAATATCATCGGATATCTCATCATCATCACTTACCTTCATCGTCATATTGGTCCCCGCCCCCATCTTCTCCAAGCTCCTCTGTATCCACTACGCTCCACCACCGCGGGTCTGGATATCATCCGCGTAACCTTGTATCCTGTGGACATCCCCTACTCAACGACGTTGACTCCTCTCTAGAGAACAGGGATTCTGACTACTTTTTTTCTTAAGATCAACTTACCCCTCGCCAACTTCGTCCTAAAACAAAAGGAAATGCCGACCATGGACAACCGCCAATTAATGTGGCCAATCATCTCACGGGGCAGACCCTTATGACGATGAGATTCCCTGATATCGTTCTCGGTCCAGATTGCAGCCTTGTCTGTGCGCTTAAGAGAGGGGCTTCACTAAAGCCTTCTCCGACTCTCATCTCCACGTCTAACGCCCCCGTTGGTCAAGGCCCTACTCAACTTGATCGCGCCCAGCCATTTCGGAGACAAAGAACTTATCAAACCCCCGCTCCACATCGGACGAGAAACCCCTACCAGCCGGAGTTGGAGCCAACGTTTCGTGTCCGTGGAAAGCCCGGAAAGTCAATTTCCCTTCAATTCCCCTAAATGACCCAGATGTTGCAGCATGTATCGTAAGATCTCTGTTGTTTTGGCTTGATGCTAGGTCTTAAACGCATTCATACTCCATACTGTATAAGGGATTCCACCGCATGTATGACGGGTCTTTGAGATACCGCCAAATGCCCCTTCTTTGAGCCGTTCATGCATGACAGTACATGGATCCAATGTATCCTGTACTTTATACTCCGTACTCCGTACAGGATTGGAACTAACCCCGGATCGCCACTGTGATCCACTCGAGGTGGGGGGCGAGCATCAAACCGTTATAAGATATCCAATAGTAAAATGAGGCCTTAACCCGTCAATAGCCTATGCAGAAACGAGAAATTAGATCTTGTGATGATCATATCTCAATGCAGGTGCCCAAATTCCAAGCCAGATACCTGAAACCGCCGCGCCAGTGCCTAACAAGAAGCCCACGTATCTATATGTAGGCAGGTATACCCAGGTAATGAGAGTTTAATGGTGGCACAGCAGCAGTTTTTATGTCTGATCTTCCCCTCGCGCATCGTTTGGGAATTTTGGCTACACCGGAGAATCCTTCCATGTAAGCCCTCATTGGTCACTCATCCCCCACTGTTTCCGAGGCAACTACTACAGATGAAAGCGGCCCCATGTCAGGCGAAATGTTGAACAATCGGGCGACTTAATGCAGATCTTGCCTCCATTGCTGCTGGATCTGCAGATCCCAGCTGTCCTTGACATCGTGACTGGATGTACGGAGTATGCCCCCCTTGGATCGGGTTGGAACACTCTGATCCACAACCTGCAACTATTGCTCGGCATCAAACAGACCCTCTCTACACAGTAGTACGGCATCCATACTACGTACTAGGTGATTTCCCTAGAATAGCCATGGTTGAGTCAATACCGGCGTTTGGATATGAGATGTGTACTCAATCCACCAGTCGGAACGTGCATGCACTGCACATCATTGGGCAGAAACAAAATAGGCTGTTCCTTGCAATGAATTACAGCACAACCTGCTGGCTATCACCTGCTCAGTCAAGATTGTTGTCCTGCATAGTCCATAACTGTTTCCTACCCAACTGTCGGGTTCATTTCACATTTCAGTGGAACCACATGGCGGTGTTCTATGCATATTAGTTGTGGCTAGCGCCCCACCAACGATCTGAGGTTATCTGATAGCAAGTTTGCCAGCGATATTGGTCATTGCCTGTTTGATATGCACACAGTACAAGATCCTTGAGTCAAAGTCTTTATCTAACCCAAGTTCTGTAATCAGACGACATGAACAAATACCCAATCAGGGTTGTTTCAGGGGGCCACGCATGAGGGACTCTGTTGTGTGAAGCGGGTAGCTGCCGCACCTTGTTTCCTCATGTTTGCAAGGTCTTCCTTCCATATTCCGGCACACAGGCTATATTGAAATTTTCTCGAACTATCCGGTTTCCCTAGTGACGCGCGGCAGATTCGGTTCTTGGCCGAGGGACTTGACCGGACCTTACTTCCTTCCAGATAAGACACTGTGAGTATTGAAATAGTGAGCTTTAGTGACACCCTCGGGGCGAGAGATGTAGCCAGTGGGTGAGGAACCACATTGTTGACTGCATCATCGAGACGAAGTGGTGGGAGACCAACATGCGTTAAACAAAATCCACGTCATCTAGATTTTTTGCGTTTGTTAAGCGCCAGTACGGAGTACACTGGGTCGCATTGCTCACAGTATGGATGCGAGTCGCTTGCTTATATGAATGAGTCTCTACGCCCTGGGAAGCCGAGTGGCATTTCTATACTTCGTATGCTAACTGTATGTGGTTTGCCATGGGCTGCTTCAGAATTGGCATTAACGATTGGAATACGCCTGCCTAATATGCCATTATGTTCTTGATAAAAATGGATAAGAATCATAGTTATCCTCCATATTCATTCTGTATCACCTGCCGCTCCTAATATATATCATGGACGTGCGGATCTACCCCCAGCCCGAAAGGGATTTGATACGGGTTGTAATCCATATACCATAGCAAATAGACAAAAATGCTATCGCCACGAGGTCGCAATTCCAAGGCGATAAAGATGCAGAATAGATCTTGGGGTATAGATGAGGCGGAAGATCTTAGTAGAGAACCTCTACGTCATTTGGACTAAAGCTGAGAGTGCTTCCGATCGTCTAGCGGAAGCAGGGAACTAGATAGCGATAATCAGTCCCAGAAAATACCGGCCACGAAGGAAGTATCTCTTCCAATCTCCAGTTACTGTTCTCGCCTGCAGACTCGCCAAACGCAAGTGACGTGAAAAGAGAACCCTGGAAAGTGCGACTGCTGATAAGATAAACCCGTAGGCGGTGGGCAATCAAGGTGTGGCCCAAGCGCAAACCTCACAAGTTCGCAGACTTCACGGCGATCAGAACCTCTCTTCCTCACATCCGCGTCTCTAAAGCATCTCCCGTTGTCTCTAGCTCAAGATATGCTCGGTGGTGGCCAGTGACGGGGAAAGAGTTGCTGGTTCGACCCCCTCTTGATCTCGCTCTAAGCGGGGTATCTCCAACATCCGAAAGCTGCCTTGTATCAATCTTGACCTTTAATCAAAATGGCCATGAATTTTGTGACCTTTAATCAGGACTATAGCTACCTGGCTGTGGGTATGTAACCGATGTTTTCTTGCATTTTCCTACATATTTTTCTTTATTTACAAGCGCGTCTACTGACCACATCAATAGCAACAACCAAGGGATTCCAGATCTTCACAACTGAACCCTTTGCCAAGAGCTATGAAGCGAAAGAAGGAAATATCGCCGTCATTGAGATGCTATTTTCTACCTCTCTCGTGGCTCTTATCTTGTCGCCGCGACGCTTGCAGATTCAAAATACCAAGGTATGTCGGAGTCATTCGATTCATGTGTCCTATATTGGTCATTTGACGTACATCTGAAACTAATATTTGGACTAGCGCCAATGCACAATATGCGAGTTGACATTTCCAACAACGGTCCTTGCAGTGAAGCTGAACCGCAAGCGACTTGTTATTGTCCTCGAGGATCAAATCTATCTTTACGATATCCAGACAATGAAGCTTTTGTCTACTATTGATACTTCACCGAATCCACATGGTAAATTGCCCTTGGAGACTTTTTTTTTGGCCTCCTATTCTCATGCACGCATCTGACGACTAAACAGCAATCTGTACTCTGGCACCATCCTCGGAGAATTGCTACATGGCATACCCTCTTCCACAAAAAGCACCTGCAGCAGCAAATACACCAGCGCACGCTCCGCCTGGAACAACACATGTTGCTCCCACAACTGGTGATGTTCTAATATTCGATGCTGTAAAGCTAGAAGCCATCAATGTTATCGAAGCCCACCGCTCTCCCTTAGCACTCATTGCGCTGAACAGCGATGGAACTCTACTTGCTACTGCCTCAGATAAAGGAACCATCATTCGAATTTTCTCCGTGCCAGATGGCCAAAAACTGTACCAGTTCCGACGTGGCTCCATGCCATCACGAATCTACAGCATGTCCTTCAATACGACATCCACACTCTTATGTGTTTCATCATCAACCGAGACCGTTCATATATTCAAATTAACCCAGCAAGGACCATCGTCGGATGGGTCTTCGTCGCATTCTCAGCCAGGCCGGGACCAAAATTCTCCGCCCAATGCTTCCGGATATTCTCATGATGATGATGACACGGGCGGTGATGCGGGCTCTGATTCTTCTGTGCGGAAACATAACGGCACTTTGATGGGGATGCTTCGCCGGACGTCACAGAATGTCGGTGGTGCTGTTGCAGCCAGGGTGGGCGGATATCTTCCTAAGGGAATGAGCGAAATGTGGGAGCCAGCGCGCGATTTTGCTTGGATTAGACTCCCGCGATCAAACCCGGCACTCAGTGGAAATGCAGGCTCAGGACCTTTGAGGAGCGTGGTTGCAATGAGCAGTAACACTCCTCAGGTCATGGTTGTCACAAGCGATGGCAACTTCTATGTCTTCAATATTGATTTGTCAAAAGGCGGAGAAGGAACTTTGACGAAACAATATTCGTAAGTTTCAATGCTCTCCATCGCCAATTTGATTGACACTAACGTTCCCGTCACAGAGTCGTTGATTCTAACGATAGGTTGGGCTACACTGCAGAGTACTGAGAGGGAGATCTCCTGCAATACAAATCAAACCATACAGGGTTGCAGTCGCGTCTGCTCTTTACAATCCATTGGACGTCCATTCGGCCTAGTTTTCTGGCTCGAACACTTACTTGGCTATTCCTATCCTCGAAAGACACGGGGTCAACTCTGTCGTTTGTCGAACATCTCATGTTCCCCCCCCATTATTCTCCTTCCTTCGGCATTGACGATGACCCCACCGGCCCTCAACTCGGTTCCTAAGCCCTTATGCCCTGAATTCTTCCTTGAGTTTCTCTCTTTTAGCGTCTCAATTCTCTCCCCCGGCGTCTTTAGTCATGGGTTATTCTCTCGTACATAATGTTCCGGCGGATCTGCTTCATTTCATGGCTGCTAGTTATCTTTATATCTGCTACTTCAAATTACAACATCTTCGATGGCTCCTACAGCCTGTGATACATTTGCAGAACAAGATGAGATTCAGCGAGATCTCACAAGATCCTAAGATAGAAAGAGATGAGTTCGATGAATCATGAATCCTTCAGGCTGAAACACTTGGGTGGGGATATGTATAAGGGCATATGTACACAGAAAGCAGCATGGAATTAACAGATCAATATTCTAGAAATTCCGACGGAACTTCTGAGGAATATTGCTCTCGACAATTTGGATCTGCTCTAGCTTCTCGAGCCGAAGAGCAGCATCCTCCTCCTCGTCGTGCTTGCGGAAATGCTCAATATCCTCAGGATGAGTCAAATCCTCCTCTGTGGTATCATCGCCATGGTACTTTTCAAAGTGATGAATCTCATATTCATACTCAATATCGCCATGGTGTCCAGGACCATAACCGAGATCGGGCAACCGTTTACCAGCCGCAATGCCCGCCAGCCAGTCATTCCGGTCGATGAACCCTGTGTTTCCAGTGTCGAAGAGTTGGAACACTGCGCGCACAGCTTCTTGTTTTTTGTCTTCACTAACGCCATCGTTGGATTCGTCATTGAGGCCGTATGTTTTGCGCACTTCATCCCGAGTCCATGTCCCCGAGGAATCGTAATCGTGGAGGATGAAGAATGAGGTGGGGTCAAAGGTTTCAATGTGGTGTTCCTCTAGATATGACAAGTTTAGTATCATCAAATTATCAATTGGCGCATCAGTATTGTCTTACCGATCATATGCCTCGTGGCCCAATCATCCGAGGTAGCTTGTTCACTTCCATGCGAGCCGTGGGCATTTGCAAGCCCGCTCAACGCAAGCAGGCCGGCGGCGAGCCCAAATAATCCATTGACCATCGTATATCGTAATGAAAGAATCCGTAATAAACAAAACAAATAAACAGCAGACGGAAATTACCCAGCTCGCTGATGGCCAAGTCCAGGAGATACGGGGGGTCTTAGCTCGTTTGCAGTGTTTGCATCGCTGACCCGAGCATTTGCAGATTGCAAGATTATTTTGCAGCATTGCATGTTACCCCATTGAATCCCATACTATTTGCGCCGGGGCTCCGAGAGGAGTCCAATTGATCACTAGTGTATCATATTACCCTTTTGGATCAAATTGCATGATAGCAATGACCTGAGAATGCAGGGTTTGTGGTCCCGCGCTGTTTCGAAGCAGTCTTCCTGCCGCTGCGTCGGGTGTTTGAGTACTACTGCCAACGGGGTTACTTCGCGGGCAGCAACTGCCAGTAGCAAGAGACGACTTCGAATTGGAAACTCCGTCACCGCACTCTACGGTAGCATTTTCGCTGCCGCCGCCCTTGCCGATGCCAGTGTGAAGGATCGCCGCCGACATGACTGGGACGAAAAGATCGCTGCGGTAAAGGCCGAGGTGAGCGAGTTGGTGGATGAAGAACAACGCATTTTGGCGTCATTACAATCGCGAAGAGAAACGAGAGGACTCGACCGCCTCATTCAAGCGGGTGGATTCGGCTCTATTCCTCGTTTCCCCCTCGGGTCCCCATCTTCCACCAACTTCAACAGATCAATAAGGGCCTTCCACACGGAACGAGGAAGGTTTAATGCCGCTGGGGCTCGGTCGGTGGAAATTCAATCGGTGGAGGATGAACACGGAATCGATGAGGGGGATGAGAGCGAGATTTTCCTTCCACAGGAGACCCTACCCAGCTGGGTCTTGGAGGACGATCTTCGCCTCAAGGCCATACAGAAACTTGCTTTAAGGCAATTCGCCATCCGAATCTTGTTACGGCCGGCTATCGCCCATCGTTACTCGGGCATCTCGATGAATTACGCTGCCGATTTCGAGGCTCCCCAAGTGAACGTCTCTCAGCTCCTGGAAGAGTTGAATCATATTCGCAACCGAATGATTGCGCTTAAGACGAACAGGGACGCTGTATACAGTGATGTGACACAGGAATATGCCGCAAGTCAATTGGGCGAAATGAAAAGAGAGCGCGAAGCCCTTGATGCCGAACTCACCAACGACATCCAAGTATACACGAGCCAGGAAATGTCTCTTCAGGAACTGCTTCTGCGGATATCTAACAATATTCTGAGCTCAAGGGACCCGGATCGCCCAACGGCTTTCCGGCTCATGATCATGGCATTCGGCCAGACACGCCAAAACGACCTCGTTGAGCTGCTCCTGCGAACATTATTACCCAACCGATTTTTCCTTAATCCATCGCTCGTCATCACAATCATCACTTTCTTCAGGAAGTCTAAGAATCTGAAGGACTTCGATTTGTTTTTGAAGATGCTCGGCGGAGAAGGTTATTCTGTCAATTTGGGAAGCAGAGGCGTTTATAAGCACCGAAAGGTCAATGGGCTGGACATTATTGTTCCGCCTTTGAACAGCAGCAACCCGGTCATCTATGCGGCTTTGATCGGTGCTGCATTACGGTTTGATCAACCGGAGCGAGCCGATGCCTGGCTCCAGGCTGCTCGGGGTGGTGGTTTCTTTGACAGTTGGGAAACTCTGTTTACCTATCTACGCTTTTACAGCCTTCGACGGGACTGGGAGAAAGGTGCGAACGTTTTGAAAAGAGCTGTGACCTACCTTTTGTCATCAACCGATCACCGTCTCGATTCAGTTGAGAGGTTGCTAGGCCGAATGGTCGGTCTCTGCGACTCCTGTGACCAGTTAGATGCATCGGATGCATTAGTAAAGGCCGCCGTGCACAGTGGCTTTGATCCCAAACTTCTATCACGACAGTCGGATTCAGCACCTTTTGTTCACACTGATCCTAACCGGTGGTCCAAAGCTGCTAAGCACACGCCGAAGGAGAACATTGACCGTCCCTTGTGGCAAAAGTGCTATGACTTTGGCAATACCTTTGGAGAATATCTGAGTGAAATCGAGGTTCCAGCGGAAAACACCTTCTCTCGCCACAATGCCAGATTGGCGGACCAGCATGCAGATAATGCTCTTTCAACTGCCCTTGGGCGTGGCCGAACATCCACAACTAGAAAAGCACAAGCGTCTGCTGCGAATGCGTCAAATGACGACATTGCCACGCTGAAGGACGAGGTCGCCCATCTCCGTGAACTTGTCTATGAACTTCGCAAACACCACCTCTCAGACTCCTCAAAAGATTCCTCCGATAAGTCGATCAGCGAAGAACTCCTCCCTCCTTCCACTCAAAACACTACACCTCTCAACACCTCACAACCTCAAAACCCTTCGATAAGCCACAGCTTCACTAGAACCTCGACGAAGATCGGACTCGCCAAACCCCAAACTCCCCTTTCAACCCAACAGATACCACGAAAGCGCAACACGCGGCGCAAAACCCGCGCAAATAAAACGTCAATGGACAGCACGGCCCCTATTGCTGAGAGTCCGCATTTTTTGCCGGCTGAGATGTGAAACCCCTTCGTCTCTCAAGCGACGACATTCTGGTTGACCATGCTGGCAGCAAAGGATGGAGGTGGATCTTTTTTGTATATTACATGACTACATTTTGTTTCCAATAGAGCATCCGGGAACCCTTGGGAATGCAGCCCCCAAATGTACTTAACTGGCCCAAGGCGTTGGAGGTGCATACAATCAAATTTTCGAATATTCAATGATTCCGCTTTTGTAAACCAGGCTTAGGCCGGTGGTATATTGATTTTTGGATCTTGATCAGAAGTTCTATACACTCCAGAATTTTGGAGATCAGGGAAAAGCAAGCAAATGATTCAAGACATATAGCAGAAAACAGGCTATCAGTTGAGGATGGTATGGCAAAGAAAGGAAGAAAATGTTCTATTCAATGTACTGGCACCGTGACGGAAAGGGAAAAAAATATACGACAAAACAAATAAGCGTATCATGCGTGATTTCAAGGCTGAACAGAAACAAATTGTCTATCGGCGCTTCTCGGCGCGCATCTTCTCCTTGCGAGCGAGGCGATCAGCAGCCCGGGTAAGGGCAGAGCGGATATCACCCTTGGGGAAACTGTTGATATCGTAGTAGGTAGGAGCAATATCCTAAAGAAGAGTCAGTAAGATATATAGTGGTGTCAGGGTAGGGATAGGAAACGTACCAGAAGCCATTCAGGCTTGACAGCAGTGACGGTACGGATATAGTTCTTGGTAGTAAGGACGAATTCGTTGTACAAGACCCACTCGGCCTCGTGAGCCAAGACGGTAGACGGGTGCAGGAGCACACTCTGGTTATCCTTGATGGTAAGGTATTGGCTCTTGCCACCGGTATCCTTCTTGGCGACTTGCATGAAGAAACCGGCGCAAAGAGCACGGCGGATGTTCTCGTAGTATTTCTTGTCTTCGAAGGGAGTAGAGATCATCTCGAGATCCTCACGTTCCATGATGCGCAGCAGCTGAGAGCGCACGTTATCGGCGGACTGGAGGGAGCGCAAGGAGAGGAAGTGGTCGTGGCACCACTGCTTAGCGTTCGCCTGAGCTTCGCTGCCGCGGTAGGCGTGGTAAACGTTCAGCATGGTCAATTGGTCTCCATCGGGATGGGCAAAGAGGTTCTTCATCTCATCGGCACGCTTGCGTTGGGCAGCGGGACGAACGAAGACCTGGGGCACGGACAGGAGGGCGGTGATTGACAGGATTTCATTAGAGCAGTAGAATTCGGGAGAGCTGATCAACATGACAGCAAGGGCGGGATCGAGGGGGAACTCGGATGCCAGACGACCCAAAGGAGTAAGGTTTCCATCATCATCTAGACAAGCCAGGTAGTTGAGCTCCTCCAATGCTCTCATCAGAGTCTCTGGCGCGGGTGGGTCCATCAGATCAAAGTGGACAAGATCATCGATACCAAGCTTCTTGAGTTCGAGCACCGTTGATGACAAGTTGGAGCGAAGAATCTCAGGGTAGGTTGACTCGATCAGTTCCTTCTTGAAAGCGCCCTCAGTGTAAAGACGGAAGCACTTTCCGGGACGTGTACGACCGGCACGACCAGCTCGCTGCTGCGCGGAGGCCTTGGAGATGGGAGAAACAAGGAGGGACTCGACACGGATACGGGGGTTGTAAATCTTTTGCTTGGAGAATCCAGGATCCACGACATAGACAATACCATCGATGGTCAAAGATGTTTCGGCGATGTTGGTGGACACAATGACCTTGCGTCCGGGGCGACCGCCTGGTCGGCGAGGAGGGGGCGCAGGGTCGAAGATGCGCTGTTGCATGTGTGGAGGAAGACTGCCGTACAATGGGTAGACCTTGATAGGACCCGCGTCGGCTTCCCGAACCATCTCATCTCCCTCAAGCGCAATCTTACGCGCAGCATCCTCAATCTCTTCCTCACCAGTCAGGAACAGCAGGATATCTCCCTCAGGTTCGGTGGCGTGGATTTGCAGAACTGTCCGGACAGCGGCCTCAACGTAGTCTTGCTCTGGTTCGGGTGTGTAGAAGATTTCGACAGGGTGGGTACGGCCGGGAACTGCGAGAAGGGGTGCATCCATGAAGTAGCGCTGGAACTTTTGCGCATCGAGAGTAGCAGACATAATAATAATCTTCAAGTCAGGACGACGCCCCACAACTTCTTTCAGAAGACCCATCAGAATATCGGTGGCCATGGTTCTCTCGTGAGCCTCGTCAAGCATGATTGTGCTGTAGCGGGACAGGTTGTGGTCATGCATAGCCTCGCGCAGAAGCATACCATCAGTCATGTACTTCATGATGGTCTTTGGGCCGGTCATATCCTCGAAACGGATACTGTAACCAACTTCCTCTCCAAGCTTGACATCCATTTCAGCTGCGACACGTTGTGCGACGGACATGGCAGCCACACGACGGGGTTGCGTACAAGCTACCATCTTACCCTGGGTTTGCGGGAGATCATCATAGAGGACGAATTGTGGGATCTGTGTGGTCTTTCCGGAACCAGTCTCACCAACGAAGACAAGAATCTGGGATTGCTGGTACATCTGAAGGAACTCATCACTAGATGAAGAGGTCAGTATATCGTTCCGACAAAATCGGTGTCGGGCAGTACTCACCGTTGCGCGTGGACCGGGAGATCACGACGGGTCTTCAGAATGGAGAAGTATTTGCTGGAGAATGGTCGGCCGCTGAAAGGGTTGATGTCGCCATCCTCAGCCTTTTGCGCCATCGCCGAGGTGGTCTGGTGTCGCTTGAACTTGGCCAGAGCCGTGCTTTCGGAGGCATTGTCGTTCTCGTACATGTGAGCGAGGTAGGGGTTGTTCTTCGGGTCGCCGGCATCCATCTTCTGGCGCTTTGCTCGGGAGCCACCTTCGGAGTCAGATCGGTTATCGGCCATGGCGGAGGTGAAAGTGGAGAGAATGTTGAAGGGTAAACCCGGCGAGAAGAAGACGCTGAGATAGCGAAGAAAAAAAATGTTAGATAGGAAGGTCAAGCGATCGCCACAGCTGCCTATCAAGCTCACCGCCAACCTATTCTGCCGCGCTCCACAAAGGGATCGAGAATCTTTGGGATTGTTGACGCCCTGTGTGTTTTCGACTAGGCTTCTCTGCGCCGGCAAATCTGAGGCGTGTAGTTTCTTCGGATAGTTCGAGCTGGTCCCAAGTTCATCGGCCGCTTCGGTGCTTGTCAAGCGCATCCGTCCGCATCCCTACCACCAAACCACCCCGCTATTGCGCCAGACTTCTTTGTCAATATGGAGAGCTACAATCCTTCAGATGACCCGGGACCAGCGTTCTGCATTGGCCATCATGAGCACAATAGGCTGGTTACTGTGACGCCTCGGGTCATCCAAAACGTGCATGAGAGCAATGTTTGTGCTTTCTTTTACTCGGTTACATTGCCTTCATGAGTGCTAATTTGATTGCATAGTATGATATGATGACTGTCCCAATTACGACCTCGCATTTCCATTCCCGTGTCCTCGGCTTATTGTCTTCTTATTTGGCCAATCTGCAGTCCCCGACTTATGATCCTGTAGGGACTATGGCGACTACTCAAAACATTCGGCCTCTGGTGGTCCCGTCACTTTCCAAGGCAGACTCATACCTCACTCCGAATGATGCGACCAGCCAGTTGGTTGGAGTGACCAGCAGCTGGATTGATCTATGCTCACCTGACCCGTTAATTGCGGACTTGTCTCGCCAAGTTCTGATGTTGGAGGTTGCGTACGCTGCCTTTTGCGGAATTGGGTATCTTTTGATACCCGGCCCAAAGCTGCATCACGGTGCCTTGCACTCGGAGGGTGTCATTTACTATGCGCGCGCAATTCAAGACGCACTGAACCTCGGCCCCTACATTCAGTTCCACATTTGGCAGCCAATGGTTGATAACCCGGAGCTCGAGCTTGACACAATGGGTGACTTGGCCCCGCTTGCTAGAGCAGAATTCCTGGAGCCAAGTGAGGAGTCTTCGCTCAAAATTGATCCTTTTGGAACTTGGGAAGCCTGGGATTCTATCAGAAAGACCTGCAAATACCATACTAGATTGCTCGTCGGTATGTATCATCCCTTGCTTTCCACGCCGTGATAGGCCATGTGGCTCTAATTTTGAAGCTTGCGCTAATTTGAATTACAGCTCTGACTTTGCCAAAGCAACTGCCATCTATCTTCGTGCAATCCAGATGGCATTCGGAGCCGGTTCATATACTCACGATTGACGCATCCGCGTTCCTAAAGAACCAAAAAGGTTATCCAGTCTTGTCCAAGTCACACCAAGGCTTTATTGCGAAGATGATGCGCCTCCGAACCGTGCCATGGATTATTCTTTGTGGTGTTGGCCCGATCCCGGGACTCGAGAATACCGAAGACCCGGATAGCCACCAAGCTTCGCTGTCTGGATCTGACTACCCTAGTCTGTCACAGGCTGGCAAGAAGCACCATGACCCCACTCCGCACCTCTCTTATGTTCGCAATCTGCAACAACGCCAGCCTGCACGGACAGCAATTGAGAGGTTTGGTGTTGGATACCAGGACTATTTGCAGGCACCTCTGCAGCCTCTCACAGTTAATCTGGAGAGTATCACATATGAAGTGTTTGAAAAAGACCCCATCAAATATGAGTGGTATGAGAAGGCAATTTGCAAGGCCCTGAGGGACTGGGCGGACCAGAAGAAACCCACATCACACCCAGACGGAAAAGTCATCGTGGCAGTTGTGGGAGCTGGTCGTGGGCCCCTTGTCACTCGCGCCCTGAAAGCCAGTGCGGAAGCCGGAGTAGAGATTGATCTCTGGGCCGTAGAGAAGAACCAGAATGCATTTGTGTTGCTACAGCGACACAATGACACCATCTGGGGTGGTAAGGTGACCTTAGTTCAGTCAGACATGCGGAGCTGGAAAGGACCTCGGGTTCGACAGCAGCCCGCTCCGGCTAGTAATGAGCCCGTGGGTGAATCTTTGGGCATTGAGAGCTCATTACTCTCCACATCAAAGGTGGGCGAGAACGACCCAGGTCGACAATCTGAATTTGCTGCGCCCCAAGCCCCGACCATGTGCCACACTCACGTTGATATCATTGTATCGGAGCTGCTGGGCTCATTTGCAGACAATGAGCTTTCTCCGGAATGTCTGGACGGTGTGAACGACGTGATTCATCCCGACCATGGAATTTCCATTCCGGCCTCATATTCGGCGCACTTTACCCCCGTTTCTGCCCCCAAATTGCATGCAGATGTTGTGCACCAGACAGTCTCCAACCCGGCGGCTCCAGAGACTCCATATGTCGTGATGTTGCATGCTATCGACTTCCTTTCGACTACTGATACTCCTGCCAGTGATGCCGCCAGCTCAAACAATGGAAACCGGGCATCCACCCCGTCGGTGTCATTCTCCACTACAGAGTTTGCAACTCCCCTTGTGCAGACCGCCTGGTCTTTCTCTCATCCGAACCGACACATTCCCCCTCAGTCTCCCATGCAGTCGACTGTTTCAAATGCCCACAATGTGCGACAGACACGTCTGGCCTTCCCTTCTCAAAACCGAGGTGTGTGCCACGGGTTGGCTGGCTACTTTGAAACAGTTCTCTACGGCGATATTGAGTTATCCACCAACCCGGTGACCATGGAAGCCAAGAGCGCAGACATGATCAGCTGGTTCCCCATATACTTCCCCTTGAAGGTCAGTTCCCGTAAAAATTCAAATCGCTTTCTCTCTCTCCTTTCAAACCATGATCATACTAATGCCCCTTCCCTTCTCAGACCCCCCTCAGTGTCCCTGAAAATGGCGAGATCGTCGCTACGATGTACCGTCAGACCGATGACCGCAAGGTCTGGTATGAATGGATGGTTGAGGTCTATGCCCTTGAACGCACAGCGGCATCTGCCAAACCCACTCCAATGACTTATTCACAGGCTGGATCTCTTAGCGTGGAGAACTTGAATAAGGAAACCGCTGCAAAGGGCACCCGTGCTGGCTATCGCCGCGTGCGGGTGGGAATGAGTGAGTTGCACTCCAGCATCAAGGATGGATGCTTAATGTAAAAATTATATGCCCAAGATAGTGAGTTCTAGTATGATAACTTTTATATGGTAACTGCGCAACGCGAAGAAACGATATTCAAGAACCCATGCTGGGGTATTTCTGGAGATTTCGTACATATGAATAATCGCACCTTGTAAAAGCCGAGAAGTGCAGGTCAACCGGCACTTTGACGCATTTAAGGATCCCTCCGAGGCCGGGGGCTGCAAACCCCTGCAACACATGGCAGTCGGGCCGAACGGCTCACGCAATAGGGTTGGATCTACGGAGTACAGTCCCTCCGCAAAAGTTTCCGTACGGTCGGGGGTCCACACCCGCGTTTTTCGCGAATAATTACATTTTTGACCCGCGTCTTCTCCCAACCCATGGTTTTTAAAAATTCACCATGGTTCCCAGGACCCCTCTACGTCCTATTAATTCTAATAGGATAAAGGGAAATGAGCTATCTCCCTATCTCCGGGGTCAGATCTTTGGTCAAGCCCAGCTAGGCCTGTCAATCGCGAAAATTGCCCAGCACTTCAGTTTATCCAAATCCACAATTCAGTATACCCTCGAGAAAGAACCTCTCCGACACGAAGGCAATAATCAAAACCGCGTCGGTCGCCCCTCGATTTTATCAGCAGATGACCGTTCTATGGTTATTCGATTGATTCGAAACGATCCCTTTATTACCTATTAAGAAATCCGCGAACAAAGTGGCTTAACTGCTTCCGACGATACCCTTCTTCGAATGGTCAAAGCCTCGGGCTACGGATATTGGAAAGCGAAAAAAAGACTATATTTAAAACCGGAACACGCCGAGCTACGCCTTAATTGGGCTTTGGAGCGACGAAATTGGACGTGGGATGACTAGAAGAAGATTGTTTAGTCCGATGAATGCTCTATTAAAATCGGGAAAGGGAAGCGTTACCGTTAGGTCTTTTTTATCAACCACCGAAATAAAAAATGGAAAAAAGAATATATTACCACATACTCGAAGTCGAAAAATATCTCAATTATGATTTAGGGAGTAATATTCGGTGGTGGTTGCTCCGATTTATTCCAAATGAATCGTGACTCGGAGTCAGCACGCAACGGATACTTAAGGTTCTCGTATCGCGAGGTTCTCGAGGAGAATTTACCCCAAATTTGTATGGATTCGACGCGAATCTTTATGCACGATAATGCTCCAATCCATACTGCGCATATTATTCGTGATTGGTTGTGGGAGAATGGAATTGAGACGATGGTATGGCCGCCGTACTCACCTGATTTGAACCCTATTGAACATGCATGGGCAAAACTTAAAGAAATGATCGACCGCCTTGATCCGGACCTTGATAAATTTGAAGGTCCCAAAGAAGATCTGATTCATCATTTCGAAGAGTTAATTCATGCTGCATGGGCGATGCTAGGCCAGGATTACTTTGATGGGTTGATTTCGAGCATGGGGCGCAGGGTTGAGGCAGTAATTGAGGCAAATGGGTGGTATACTAAATATTAAAAATATAAATTAAATACTATGTCCAATTGCCTATCTAATATATATTTTTATATAATTTTACTATATAAATTGGGGGTATAGTATTTAATTGAAGTTAGCAGGTTCGATTTGCTAAAATCAAAAATGGGAGATATATATTTGATGGGGTGCGGGTCGTACGGAAACTTTTGCGGTAGAACTGTACACGCATCCATGTGATTGTCTTCACGTTTAATAAGGAATGCCCCTTAACAAAATGGGCACAGCATGCAATTTTCATAAAAGCCCCCTTTGCACGCTGACGGACCAGCCCGGAACGAGTCAATCCTCCGATCTGCTCCACCATTGCCAGCTCTGGAACCGAGATGCATTGGCTCACGATGGATCCCCCTCGGCGTCTCCTAGTGATACAATATAAGATCTGATCGGTGCCTTGCCGATCATTGATTGCATTCGGACATTCCTCCGTGATACCCGAGCTGGATAGTGATGAATTTTCTAACCACTGACGATCGCCTATGGAACTATCGGGAATTTTATGCCGTTCACCAATGCAGATATGACTTGTCTCCATAGTGGGAACCCATCGAGAAATTATATGGAGCTGCCACATGCAATCGACGACGGTATAAAGCCGCGGAATCCCGCGGCTGGTGGTATCTCCAGACTCGATCAGGTACCGGCATTGACTCCAAGCCACCATGCGTTTTTCGCTTTTCGCTGCCCTATCGGCAGTGGCTTCGTTGGGTCATGCCCTCCCTAGCCCGGTGCAGCCCCGAGGTATATCACACTTCCTTACCTAACTTTAATTAACACGTCGCTCACACATGGTTAGATATCGCAACTGACACATTGAACCAATTCGACTTTTGGGTCCAGTATGCAGCAGCAACATACTATCTCGATGTCTACACAGCTCAAATAGGACACAAGATTAGTTGCTCCGAAGGCAACTGTCCGGATGTAGAGAAAGCAGGCGCGACTGTATTCTACGATTTCTCCAAGTAAGTAATCTCAATCTATCACCCAGGGTGGCAGTAACGCTTACACACACACAGTGCGACAATAACAGATACCACCGGCTACATCGCAGTAGACAACACCAACGAGGCCGTTGTTCTCGCCTTCCGCGGATCCTACTCCGTGCGTAACTGGATCGCCGACGTCACATTCTTCCACACAAACCCACATCTATGCCATGGCTGCCTCGCCGAACTCGGCTTCTGGACCTCCTGGAAGTTGGTCCGCGACGATATCATGCAGCAGCTGAAGGACGCTTTCTCTCAAAACCCCGGCTACGAGCTGGTGATTGTGGGCCACAGCCTCGGCGCCGCCGTGGCAACTCTCGCTGCTGCCGATCTCCGGGGTAAAGGCTACCCGTCGGCCAAGCTGTATGCTTTTGCCTCGCCTCGCGTGGCAAACAGGGCTTTGGCCGAGCATATCACAGCGCAGGGAAATAACTACCGCTTCACTCATACCAACGACCCGGTCCCTAAGCTGCCTTTGCTGTCTATGGGATATGTGCACATCAGTCCTGAGTATTGGATCACAACACCCGACAATACTACTGTCAGTACCTCCCAGATTGAGCTTATTGAGGGTGATGTATCCTTCAATGGGAATACCGGGACTGGATTGCCGTTACTGTCTCAATTCGAGGCACATCATTGGTACTTCACGCATGTTGATGCTGGGAACGGGGATGATACGCCGTTCAAGATGGTTAAAGCTTGAGCTATTCCAATTAATCTGTGGCATTGATTGATGGCTGGCGCTGGTGGGTATAAATACTATGATCTCTGTGAATATGTACATGGCGTTTAGAAGGAATCTGTACTTAATCTTAACATAATTTACCCTCTGTATTTATGTCAACCAGACAGAAAAGGGGAAGTGACTAAAATCCCAAAAAAGGACGTTTTAAAAGCGAAACAAGGGGTGTTATAAACAAATCGGATGAATACCTGCACTCACCCCAACTTAATCGCCTGATCCCCGAATCCCCGTTAATGCCAACCTTGGAATACTGCATAATTAAGCAATCATAAGCAATTCGGCCACCTCCGATCAGACGACTTTAGCCGGAAGTCCGTCGGATCAAAACAAATCAAGTCGACGATCTTAGCAGTTTCCGGTCCCAGCCTTCCCGTTTGATACTAGCGATATGTATGAGATGCCCCAGTCGAGAGGGGGTGGTGGGTATTAATGATCACCCCCAAGACCTTCTAGGGGAGCAGGGCTCATCTGCATTAGTCCAACGGCTTCCAAAATGGTGCTCTGGACGACAATTTCACTGGCAGTGTGGGCTCCATTTGTCACGGCCCAGTTTGTGCCTGCACCAACTGACCTGATCACGAAGAAGGGACATGCCGGTGTTAATGTTCGATATAAGGAGGTGCCTGCCGGAATCTGTGAACAGGATCCTAATGTGAAGAGTTATTCTGGTTATGCTGATGTTGGCGAGGACCAGCACATCTTCTGGTGAGATGCCAATTCCGATACAGACTGGCCAGCAGCAGCATAATGTATTGAATTCCAATACTTGGTGCAACCACAACGTTGCATGAATGCTTTTCATTTTGTACATGCTTTGGAATAGGCAGGCTGACTGGAATAGGTGGTTTTTCGAGGCTAGAAATGGCGATCCGAAAGATGTATGTTAGAACATCATTGAAGGCCTCCTACAATTAACGATAATCTAATATAACTAGGCGCCACTGACAGTCTGGATCAATGGAAGGCCAGGCTCATCTTCGATGATTGGCTTGTTCCAGGAACTTGGCCCTTGTGGAGTTGACCATGATGGTAATGTATACAACAACCCTTATTCATGGAGCAACGTGAGCAATATGGTAGGTTATTGCCCTATCCCTGCTACCATGAACTTAGCTCAAATGTTATTAGCTCTTTGTTGACCAGCCTGCGACGGTTGGATTATCGTATTCAGTGCCCATCCCAGGTTACGAGGATGATGACGGAAACATTATCCAACTGCCCAGCGAGGAATGCCCTGACTATGCCCAGAAGCACGAAACATGTGGCACGTACTCTAAGCCGGACATTGCGCTAGTTCCCAATACAACCGCCAGCGCAGCTCCAAACATGTAGAAGACTCTCCAAGGCTTCATGGGTGCTTTCCCGAAGTACTCTAGGAATGGCTTCAATTTCGCCACAGAGAGCTATGGCGGTCACTATGGTCCTATCTTCAATGGTCAGTATTGATCAGCTCATAGATGGGATGAAAGCTAATCCCACACAGAGTATTTCGTGGAGCAGAACAAGAAAAGGATTCACAATGCTGTCAAAATTGATCTTGAGAACATTCTTATTGGAAACGGATGGTTTGATCCACTGATCCAGTACCAATCATACTACAACTTCTCCATCTTCCCAGGGAACTCATATGATTACAATCCATACAACGACTCCGTCAAAGCAGAATGGTATAACAACCTCTACGGAGAAGGAAACTGCCTTGATCAAACCCAGGAGTGCTATACCACTGGCCGAAACGACATCTGCTTCGCGGCCGACAATTTTTGCGCTTCAAAAGTCGAATCACTTTACGGTATCTATTCCGGACGAGATGAGTACGATGTGCGCGAATTGACACCCGACCCCTTCCCATACACCTTCTATGTGGATTATCTCAACACTCCCAAAGTACAAGCTGCTATCGGCGCGTATCAAAACTTCTCGGAATACTCTATAACTGTGGGCAACGCCTTTTGGAACACAGGTGATGATGATCGTGAGTCCGGAACCATCGAGGCCGTGAGGAAGTTGCTGGATGCTGGTGTACAGGTTTCTCTTTATTTCGGAGATGCGTAAGTCATCCCGCATTAGAAGTTACTGTATCTCCATTAATTTGAATCTCCAGTGACTACAACTGCAACTGGCTTGGGGGGCAAGTCGTCGCGGAGGAGATCAACGCCCGAGGCTACGAGCATGCTGGATTTGTCAACATCACCTCCTCGGACGGTATTGTTCATGGACAAGTTCGTCAAAGCGACTTGTTTAGCTTTGTGCGTGTCTACGAGTCCGGTCACGAAGTGCCTTTCTACCAGCCCTTGGTGTCGCTAGAAATGTTCGAGAGAATTCTGCTGAGAAAGGACATCGCGACTGGCAAAAAACATGTGAGGCCACACGGTGGATATCGGACGGTAGGAACTCCCACAAGTGACTACCGAGAGGGCAATAGTACAATTGTTCTCACGATCCTGGATGACAATGCTACCTACAACACCACCCTTAATGGACCTAACCCGTCTAGTTCAACCAAGTTGCGAAGACAGGGTATGTGAGAGAGGTAATGGGATGTACGCTAGTTAGGTATTGGACCGTATAAGTCTTTACATCTAATCCATGAGAGTTTGATTTTCATCTGCGAGCAAGTGGTTGTGGTCAATTCATCTGTGGCGGATTCAAATCAACGCCTGCAGGTTTCTGAGCCAATTCCCGATCCAAATATGCAAAAAACCAAAAAAGGCAAAAAAGGCAAAAGCAAGTAACACCGTGAAAACATCCGTCGTAAACATTGTAAACAACCAAAAGCAACTGCACTCCCCTGCGCCAATCCATGCTGTCATCGAATAAAGTCATCTCTCATCTCATTTTCGGAGCAAGTGAACGTAAAGGTGTAAGGGGGTTTCTACTTGAAGTAGCCAAAGTCAAGTGCTTTCGGAATTTTGATGATGACCAAAGCCCGCCTCTTCTTTGGGGGAGTCCTAGCACGTAGTTCGAAGAAAAAGTTGATCTTTCGGCGCTTCAGGATACGGCCGGCACCGTCACATGGGGAGTCATCTTTGGCCTTCCGCTTAACACCGGTGACGATACTAGTAGGGAAAACCGTAGACTGCCTCCAAATTGGTATAGATCTGTCGCTGAGCTCCCAGAGAAAGTTAATCCTGTGGCGTTTGATGAGACGGCTGGAATCATCGAACGGGAAGTCATCATCGGCCTTGCGCTTAACTCCAGCGACGGTACTAGTAGGGAAAGCCGTAGACTGCTTCCGAATCGGTATCAATCTATTGCTGAGCGCCCAGAGGAAATTGATCTTCTGGCGTTTGATAAGACGGCTGGAATCACCGCATGGGAAGTCATCATTGGCCTTGCGCTTAATACCGGCGACGGGGAGAGTAGGGAAAACTGCAGACTGGTTCAGAATCGGTGTAGATCTTTCACTGAGCTCCCAGAGGAAGTTGATTCTCTGGCGTTTGATGAGACGGGTGGAATCATCGCACGAGAAGCCATCTTTGCGCTTAACACCGGCGATGGGAAGAGTAGGGAAAACTGCAGACTGCCTCGGAATCTGTGTAGATCTTTCACTGAGCCCCCAGAGGAAGTTGATCCTCTGGCGTTTGATAAGACGACTGGAATCATCATACGAGAAGCCATCCTTGCGCTTAACACCGGCGATGGGAATAGTAGGGAGAACTGCAGACTGCTTTCGAATCGGTGTAGATCTGTCACTGAGCTCCCAGAGGAAGTTGATCCTCTGGCGTTTGATGTGACGGCTGGAATCATCGCAGGAGAAGTCATCGTCTGCCTTGCGCTTGAAACCGGCGACGGAAATAGTAGGAATAGGCGCAGACCGCTTTAGAATGGGAGTGGATTTAGGGTGCGGCTCGCAGGGGACGTTGACCCTGCGGCGTTTGGCGGGACGGCTGAGCTCTTCGCACGGGGATTCATCTTCGGCCTTGCGCTTGGAGCCAGAATTGAGGATACTAGTAGGAATGAGGGAAGACTGCTTCCGAATCGGTATCGATGTAGGGTGCAGCTCCCAAAAGAGGTTGGTCTTACGGCGTTTACTCGGATGGCTGGAATCCTTGTACGGGGAGTAATCGTCCTTGCGGGGAGGGCTAGTCTTAGGGGTGCAAGGAGGAGCAACTGTGGACGTCTCTTCATCAACGGGTATCGAAAGATCATGTTCGACTGTCAAGTAGTTAGCATTGAAAGATTGATACGTTATGCTAGTGATCCGACCATAGTGCTCGCTTTCAAACTAATGGATAGATGCTGTTAGCTTGAGACGATGATGCAGAACTATGAGGCTTACAGTCTCATCAAGGGAAAGGCTGCTCAAGGACAGTAGACTAGCTTCATCGTCGCTCATATCCGCCATCTTAGTGGGACCGTCGTTCTTTGCTACGAGCGGAGGGTCCCCAACAGATGAAGACATGGTGTTGAATGGAGATACTTCTTGGGATAGGTTATCCGAAGGTTGGACTAAAATATTGATGGATGAGAGATGAAGCAAGAGAAAGAGAGGAAGAAGGAGAGGAAGAATGAGAGGAAGAAGGAGAGGAAGAAGGAGAGGAAGAAGAGAGAGAGAGAGAGGTAGATTTAGCAAGCAGAGGGTGAGAGTCTTCGCTCTGATATCAAGTCGCCTACGAAATGACTGACATGGCATGCTTCCCTTCCTATCGAACGTAGCCTTTCACTCGAGAAAGCGACATCAACCATTGTAATGTTGAGCAGACTCACTCAATAGATTACACTAGCTGCTGTCTACGCATGATGATACTGTTCTCGCAGAGCTACTTTGAGTCTGGGATGCGCACAGATCCGCTGTATGGAGATGGCATATTGCCAGTCGTACACTCAGGTCAACCTGATGGTAATGTTCGAGCTAACAGGCACTATCAAATGTGCAAATTGCGCAAAGCCCGTCGTTTTTGGGAAGGGAGGAGCCAATGGAGGAAGGCTTATATCCAGCGGTTGTCTGTTGTGACCGAAAAGCTGTTATCATAACCGGGTTTGTTCATTTTTGGGGAGGTCATTATAGCTGCGGAGGATGATGAAGCTTTAGTCAGAGGGCAAAATCGGCATAAGAGCGTGTTCAATGGCTCAAAACCATCTAGGTAGAGATGTAGTCAGTCTTGAGTAACAAGATTTAGACAGGGGTCAAGTAACTATGTTGTACGTCCTACGGAGTATATAGTACTAAGATGATTGGCTCAAGAGATAAAGCGGCAATGTGAATTCGGTAACCAGGTCTATAAGCCGGTAGTGCCTGGAGAGGATCTCTGACCAGAGGCCGAAATTGAAAAACACGCACTCCAGATAGGGTTAGCGGCTAGCCTATATAATCTGATCACATGACGAGCTGTTGCTGTTAGAGTCTTTGCTGCGCCTCGGCTACTAGATGATACCTTATTCATATGGTTGCTGCTTGAATGGAACCCCTAGAAGATGGATAACAAAAAGAATGGAAAGCATTACCGAGTTTTCTCAAACTCAGGCCAAGTTGAGGTAAATCGATCAGCGAAACCATACCTACATGTAGATATTGCGCGTGGCGGGTGAAGGATTGCTGAGCATCAAAAATTCAATAGCGCATGTGAACGTGCCTTAGTGAAGGTAAAATAAAATCTAATCGTCAATGAGGGTGCAATAAACAATGCTGACAGGTCAACATATGTATGATCAAATAGGGCCAATATCCGAGAGTTCTAGAAAAGACTATGTGGCAATCAGCATTCGTACAAATTTGTCATGCTATACTGCGTAATAACCCAGGCACGCTTCCCTAGGGATTAAGGGCTACAAAATTGCGCAACGATAGCGTGTGTTGTGCAAATCAAATGAACTGCGATCGCTTCAGCACCTAAGTGGAGATACACCTGGCTTCAAACGAATGGCAGGGCGTTAACGCCCCCAAACTATGTATTGCATACCCCTGCAACTGTAATCTCCCTGATTTTCGTCGTAAGATTTGTGATTAACTCGATACGGAGTATGCATTCCGTGGCGCACGGCCAATCATGTTTCAGATGGCATTCCGTTGCAGCCCACGGACATGGTCGCTGCAGACAACTTTTGAGCTGAGGGAACCTAAACGCCTTGTTAATAATGATGCTGAGGCCGTTCTGAAAGTCGTACGCCACATGATGTTGAGCTTCTTTCTTTTGTGACCCTTTCGATTTCTGTGGCCGCTATGCATCCGGAATTGAAAAATACCTGGACTCCCGCAGTCAATGTCCTTACCTGGTTTATGCTGGTGACAGCTATTCTGAGTGTCTTGACTCGTCTGGGAACAAAGTACTTCATCTTTCGAAAATGGACATTCGACGATGGCCTCGCCGCCGCATCACTGGTTTTCTGCATCGCGCAGTCAATTGCGGTCTCGGCAGCAACAGCAAATGGATTTGGACAGCATCGTAATATGTTGTCGGATCCCAAGCTTGATATCATCATGAAGGTATGAATCTGACAAGGCATTTCGTTATCGTCCAGAGGAGATGTTTCTAATCGGACGAGTGACTTTAGGCCGAGTACGCCTCAACGATTCTCTTCATCGCCAGCATTTGCTTCTCTAAACTATCTCTCTTGGTCTTCATTCGCAACTTGACACCGGCAACCATGGATCGCCGTGTTGCTCTCGTACTCGGAATATTGATCGCGCTATGGGGTGTGGTGAGCATCTTCACGGCTGCCTTTCAATGCCATTTACCAGAAACATGGAATTATCTACACGGGAGTTGCTTCGATCGGGTATGTCGCCACATTGCCTATTCACGAAGAGAAATGACTAATTACGTATTAGGCTGCGTGGTGGAACTACCTCGGCATCACTAATATCTTGTCTGAGGCTGGGATAATGGGCCAAGCGCTTCTGGTTATTATCCGCATCCAGACTGATTTTGGCAGGAAAGCAGGTTTGTCAAGCGTGTTCTTGATCCGAATCGTGTATGTATCTCACGATCCTCACTTCATCTAATGCATCTTACTAACATGAGATATGCGACCAGTGTAATTATCGCGATCATTTGCCAGCTCGCTTACGCCAGTCAAACTAAATCCTCGACCGATTTTACCTTCGATACTTGGATTGTCGCGGTCTCAACGCAGATGGCTCAGGCTTTAAGCATTGTTACCGCCTGTTCGCCGCAATTCAAGCCGTTCCTGGATAACCTACGATCATCGGGAATGAGTCTTGGCCTGACCAGCTCCAACGGTTACGGCAGCAAGCACAAGACATATGGCTTGAGTACCTTCAAGGCCTCCCGGCGTACTCAGAACACTCAAAACACTCAAAGTGATACTCACGAACTAGTCCCCATGGCCCACGACGGGACCCACCGCGCACTGGTTACATCGGGTCCAGAGGACGACACGGAAAGCCAATCCAGTCGCTCCAATATCATTGTGGAGACAAGAACGTGGACTGTGACCGAAGGATTGCGGGATTGATATATAAGAATGCGATGATAACCGTGATGAGCTCCTATTGCAGCTAGACGGTATTATACAGTGTTTCAACCCACTTGCCACTTCCATACATAATGTAACCCAAACACCGAAGAGATTTTGGAACTAGACAAGGATCTTGAACCTTAACCTTCACTGAGATATATTTAAATTAACATTGGTCTTACGATGAAATTCAATTTCGCATTCGTATCTGAGGGTTTCATTCGACCGACCAGGTACCTAGGTACCTAGGTAGGCACATGTACGGCGTAGGAAAAGCCAAGATGGCAGGATGACCAAAAAAGGTTTTTAAGGTTCCATCCAACCGTGGAACTTTGAAAGGTTCCAGTCCGGAGTGACCAACTGAAACCCAAAGCGGTGAAACTGGAATGCGCCAGCTGAAGGGGAAGTAATTATGAAACCTAGGGGGGGGGGGCTTGGGATATTTGAATAAGTCTGATCATATCGGGGCACGAGATGCGAAAACTGGGTCAGATAACAGCTCGATTGAACGTACCACATATGTATTTGACATTGGCCAGAGATTACAGGTTTATCAATCTAGATTCCGACAAATTATAAGCCCTACAGACCATATCGTGCAACCCACAGTAATATACAAGCCCAGTAACAAAGGCATTTGAAGTGTACTCCGTACGGAGTACGGAATAATTGATTAACCTCTAAATCCTGCCCCACTACGCTAACGGGACGCTTAGGACTTAAGTTGCAATTGGCGCTGGGCCTGGGCTCGCACGCGCGGGACGCCCACGCCACCAATAGTTAGCGTTCAGTGAACAATCAGCTTGTCATGGATCGAACGGAGTGCTCTTCCAGAACGTCCTAGGTTACTTCGCTTCGGAGATTGTCGCAACCGCGCAAAATATTCATGTTTAACGCCACGCCTCGGAGATGTCCTGATTTGTTGCTACAACAGAGTTCATCATCCCTGTCCATGCATTAGTGCGCACATATCTATGCCGTCCCAACCTCATGCGACAATGTTCAGAATTGATTACGCTAGTGGCAGATAATTTCCCCCTCAAGCTGGTGCGACAAAAGGCCAGGGTCTTCTCCCTTGACATACATATTGGTTTTGCCTTTGTTCTTTTGCTGTCGGCAATCACACGTTCGTTATGCCGTCACAATATTCGAAACAAATGTCTTCAACAGCCGATAAGGAGATCGGCGAGATCTCAAGGAAGGAAATTGATGATGCTGACCTGGCACGCATGGGAAAGCGTCCTGTCTTAAAGGTAAGTGATCTGTGATGCATATATTTTGCGATCGGGAATAACCAAAACAGCGCAACTTTGGATTGATGTCCATGCTGGGTTTCAGTTGCACTATTCTGATTACCTGGGAGGGCATTGTCGTGTGAGTTTCTCTGACTGCAAACACAAAACTTTGTCTCGAACATTGGCTAACAATCGGGCAAAGGCTTTTCTTGCAAGCATATCAAAAGTAAGATACAATGACGAATGTCGATGCTCGACATTAACTAACCAGGGTCACACAGTGGAGGTCCCGCTGGAGCAGTATACGGATATATCTTTGTTTGGGCTGGTGTCGCGGGAACCTTTGTGCTTCTCTCCGAGCTGGCATCAATGTATGGAACTATATCTATCTCTGCCATGTCTCACTATGATGGCTAACCAGAAAATAGGGCACCAACGTCTGGCGGACAATACCATTGGACTTCCATGCTGGCTCCGCAATCGTGCATGAAACTCATGAGCTACTTAACAGGTCAGTGAACGTTCTCTCAGGAATGACGGGGCACTGGAACTAATACCAAACACAGGCTGGTTGACTGTCATTGGATGGCAGGCCACGTTCGCAACCTCATGCTATCTGGTTGGCACGCTGATTCAGGGCTTGGTCGTCCTCACAAATAGTACATATGAGCCTAAGAACTGGCATGGAACCCTCATATTCTGGGCAGTCGTGGTATTTTCTGTTGCCATCAACAGTGTCGGAGGAAAGGTTCTGCCTCGATTTGAGGGCATGATTTTGGTTCTTCATATTCTTGGTTTCTTCGCAATTCTGATTCCCTTGACCTATATGGCCGACCATGGAAATAGCAAGGAGGTTTTCACTCAGTTCCTCAACCTGGGAGGATTCCCATCTCAAGGACTATCCTTCTTTGTCGGAATTGCGGGATGTATCTTTGCATTTGCCGGTGGTGATGCCGCAGTCCATGTGAGTCTCTTCACTCTCCTTCAACTGATCAAACATCTGGACTGAGACTAACGCCCACCTTTAATCTCTAGATGTCCGAGGAAATCACCAATGCCGCAGTTGCAGTTCCCACCTCAATCATGCTCAGTGTCCTGATCAACGGAACATTGGGCTTTGGCATGCTTATCGCCATGCTGTTCTGCAGCGGTGATCTTGAAGCAGCCCTTGCGTCACCCACTGGGTACCCTTTCATCGCCATTTTCCAGCAAGCGACAGGGTCCGTAGCCGGTACCGCTGTGATGGGATCAATCATTACTACCATGGGTACCACTACCTCGGTGGGAATGTTGGCGTCTACCTCCCGCCAGTTCTGGTCCTTTGCCAGAGATCGCGGTATTCCCGGCTGGCGAGTTTGGAGCAAGGTATGTTGTTCTTTTCTTTTTCTTACCCCAGAGAGCAAAGTATTGCTTAGAATTTCTGAGCTAACCTGGTGCGAATTCAAATAGGTCACCGAAACCTCCGCCATCCCCTTATACTCCGTGCTAGTCACATCTGTCATCGCCTGTCTACTCGCACTCATCAACATCGGCTCACCGGTCGCCTTTAACGACCTTGTCTCAATGTCGATCTCCGGGCTCTATCTCTCATACATGGTAGTTGGTGTCCTTCTTCTCTGGCGCCGTTGCACGGGTGGGATCAGCAATGCCCGTGGCAACGATTCCGAAGTCGTCAACACCGCCGGTGCGAAGCTCGTCTGGGGTCCTTTCCATGTCCCCGGTATCTGGGGTATCCTGATCAACGCTTGGGCCTTGATTTACATGACGATTGCTGTCTTCTTCACCTTCTGGCCGACTTCCTGGAAGGTGACAGTCGAGACCATGAACTTTAGTGTCGTTGGAACCATGGGTACCGTCATCCTCAGTCTGGTTTACTATTATATCCGTGCGAGAAAGGTCTACCAGGGACCTATCATGGAGCACACCTTGTGAAATATCCCCGACATACTGGGATAACTTTGGTGATTGGAGAAATTCAATGTAATTATTTTGTACATTTGCCGAGGATCACTCGCTTCTTCGGCTGTTCGGGCTGATGTATACATAGATAATAGCTCATTATGAGTTTCCTACTTGTGAATAAAAAAGGAACGATTTATAATGCTTCAACTCCTACGCATCTAAATTTCAATTGTGATCAAATTACTGAGTTGAGCCACCGGACTATAACCTCCCAAAGGACAAGGCCTACCAGGGAAATGAAGGAATGAGATCGACGACCACGCTTTTCGGCAGTCGGCCGAAACTCTGAAATAAGGAACAACGTATGGCCAGGTCTTTAAATAGACTCCTGCATCCTACTTCGGATTTAATGCATCTTTGCGGGTGATCGACCTCGGCCAGTTTTCCGGCCCGCGCACGGGGCCTTTGACTGCTATCACCGGAAATTCCGATACGAAGATGCCAAACTTGTATGATTCGCCCTGCGCAGGCAAGCAAATAAGATGCTTTGTAGGTGGCCTAGGAGACTACCTTCACCACCCAACAGTAAGGCAGAGACCCTGGCCTACCTCCAGGGACTCGATCCCACTGATTTCGAGGAGCTACACTGGGTGAAAGAGTTATATTCTAGGATCTGTACCCGGTAACAGCCCCTCACTCGCTCCCTCCTACCTTTCCTTTCCACCCAAACCACGCTCTTTAACTCCCAACACCCACAGGCAATCACCGATTGGGCTCCGGCCCCACGAGCCCAGGCCGACAGGGCCACGACTGAGCGCAGCCGAGGCGCGAGGCGCAGGCACCACACTGCGTCTGCACATAACCTGCATTCATCTTATAGGTCGGAGAAGGACAGACAGCAAACTGGTATTTCAAATACGGTCATCACGAAGAAGTTGCTTTCCATGACTGAAATGTTGTACATAACTCCATAGCTTAGCACATCCCAATATCCCATGGGAGTCCGCAGGAACACGGGCTACGCCCATGTCCCGCCGGACGTCAAACACTACTACTACGACGACGAAAACAATGACAACGACGACGACGACCTCGTCTGGTCTGGTACCAGGGTGAAATACCACGGTCAATCGCTTTCCTGCGGCATGCTTTCCTCTTTAATGGACGTATATTAGACAGCAGCGCCAGCGCACAGAGCGAGGCAGGAATGGCACAGATGTTGGGTCGCATATAACTTATACAAACCATGCATCTCCGAAGTCCAAGCATAGATCAAACCCTACCTAAATGGCATCCAGGACAAATACAGCCTCCTCACGCAGCGAAAAGCGGTGAGATCTATCCAGGTAGTTCCCCCCAAAAGGCATGTAACACAGGTTTAACGGGTCACGATGACGAGTCTCTTATCCCGCCCGCTCCTGGTCAAAAAGGGGATTTATCCCGAGTCATGAGTTCAGGAAGCGGTGTACCAAGAATTCAAGTAGCTTCGTAAGCGCCGTTGGATGGCGCACGCTGTCGTTTCGCCTTATTGCGTGTTCTAGGCAGCCCAGCCACCACAATCAGCCACGCGCAAGGGATATACGAACCGGCGCTTGGGGGAAAACGAGGTCATTAAGGCTTATCATGTGATAGCACCAATTCCATGGCTGCGGAATTCCCGTTTGTAGATCCGGGATACGTTAATCGATCCACCTGCAAGGCTATGAGACTTGCAGAATATTTAAAAGGATATATTGGGTGGATTCACGCGTGGTGCAGGATTTAGAGTACAAGATACACTGAATTATATGGAAATCGTACTCCGTAATTAATTATGGGATGTTTCAGTCTAGATTCAAGGGTATCGTAAAATGATTAATCGTAGCAGGAAACAGCAGAGAAAAACAGAATAAAAGCGCAAATTCTGTATGAGGAGGTAATTCGAAGTTCTGGCCGATCCTCTCAAGGCGGGGATCTGTCTTGAATAGTATATTGCTGTGGTATCATGTCAGGGATGAAGGAAAGGAAGTGAATAAAAGCCCAAAAACGGAACTCCAGGTATCAAACAGTCGTGATTTTTCAATGAGTAGAGAGGTGGAAAACAATTAAAAACGAACATGGAAACGAAAAACGAAAGCGCCGAGGGAATCGAGGAAGTGTAAGTGGTTGCATCAATAGCCAGTACGAGAACTCATTGGTTGCTGGATGGGTGGATCATCTGTGGTGCATTATCGTACTGTAGACTGTAGTTAGGAGGCCATGAATAAAGCGGTAGTTGGTCCTGGAGTCATCGTCAGTATCGAAGGTAGTACTAGGAACAATTTCTCGGTCTCCGCTTACTGGGCTCTCGGTCTTTGTCAAAGTCGGATCGATGTCCAGCTCTGGGCTCCAGATTGTAGGGTTCATCTGCGAATGGCTTGAAGAAAATGCCTCGGGCTTCAGGATGCTGCGGAGATATTCGTCGATAGCTGTGACCATCTCCACCGGCATGCCCGATGTAGGATACTGGGGGCTCGTAAATGAGTCGCCCGGAATAGGCGAATTGCAGATCTCGTTCGTATAGGAGTAGGGGGATGAGTGGTCGTCAATGGATGCAGAGGACTGGCTCTGACCGCTGGAGCAGTGGGAATACGAGATTGATGAATCCATGCTTCCCCATACCTCATAATAATCGTTGGTGGTGGCCGGCTCAAACTGCACAGAAGACGTAATGATGGGCTGCGACTGCGCTTGTTGTTCTAGACTCGAGCGGCGAGATGATGTGTCGCTTTTTGCGTATATTCTGGTGTCCTTTGCTGCTGAAGCGGCACTTGTGTATGGGTTAGTTTGCGGTCACTGCCTCGGTTTTTGGGAACACTCACTGTCGGCCTAAATGCTGAGTCAAATAATCCGGGCGATGGAATGATTTCGTACATCCTTCATACGAGCAATGATATTGCTTTTTCGGCTCATGACTGAGTTCGTGTCGCCGACGATGTTCCGCTCGGGTGAAAACCTACGCAACGTTGATGAGCGAGATGATTCATCGACAAGTCTCCGGGGGTAGCTTACTTTCGTACAGCCAGGGCGCTCGCATGCATGGACTCGCTTTCCCTTCATAGCTTTGCTAACCCGGCGCGTATTTGTTCGAGCGTTCGTGCTGGAATCGATATACCTCTGCGTTTGGCCGATGTTGTTGCTCATTGTTGAATGTCCAGGTGTAGCATATTGAGAATCGAAGGATGACATATCCGCGGCGACACAGGGGTTATTGAATGAGATAGACATGTGGTAGGGGTGTCGAGAATATAGAGGTCAGAGTTGCTGCGGCTCAAAAAGGCCATGCGGGACTAAGTTACACGACGTCTGACGTTGTGAAAGGCACACAAGCTCGAGTGTGGAAAGGACGACAGGAAAGATTGAATGAGTGGAAAATAAAAGCAACCGGGGAAGGGAATTTAATGGCTTTAATTAAAGTCAAGAGCTCTATGGGTGGGGATGTATTTCTGACGGTCTCGGTTGTATCTTGAAATGCTCAACCTCTGACAATGCACCAGTTGCCTACTTATATGCACCTTACTCTGTACAGTTCCCAGGTGGGCTCTGTAATTAATGATAACATAACCATGACCAAAGAGTTAATCGAAAAACGCCTGAAATGGTCCCAAAAACGCCTAGTGATTTTAATTTTAGCTAACAGGGATGTGTCGGGCCAAAAGCAAATAGCGCGGCGTTCGGTGATTTTCCAACAATAATGGGGATCTTCTCTCCCCAGCAGTCGATCAGAGCCTCAGCCTCCTAGATCAGTTGCCCACGTAGCCCGGTTCCATCAATGTATACTGACGAGAGGGTCTCTTATTGGGCCTGGAAACGCCCCGCTGGGTGTTTATGGGTCAAGGCATTTCAAGGCTGTCGTTTGCGATGTCTTCGAATCTTGGGTACTGTGTGAGGGTTTTGTCTTCCTGCGAATAAAGATTCATTGGGAAACACAAACGAGATCCCGCTCCACAGTACGGAGCAGTACTCCGTCCAGAGATCCAAGAACGAGTTCCGTTTCAACGGTGGGGCGATCCGTAGCCCTGGCCGTGGATTTGATGCCGATCCAATGGTTGCATCACTAAGGGGCGCATTTGTAACCTCTAATTACCACAATAGGCCTGAGTAGTCCCCTCCATTTGGTGAAGAACGTTAGCCTGTGTGATTATTTTTGGCAGGAACTGCACGTGGGCCATTGCGGTGTAGGGGGAGTGGTATGATGTGTGACAACAAGGCTGAGTCGGAGCGTAAAAAGAAATACCCAACAGCCATAGATGTCTATGATTGGCCCGAGGGACGCACTCAGGCTAGCACACAAGGAGGGCGCGGGTTTACACATTCCCAGGTTCGATCTGCACCCGAATGGTTGATCTGCGGCTGCCGTCAAGTCAGGTCGTTGCTAAAGAGGCTCAACACACCCGGGCTTGGTCCACTCACCTGCTTGGCGTCGACGATGCATATACGCGAGGCCCGACCGACAAATCAAGTCTCTGGCCTCTATCCCGTCCCCACGGGTGACCGAGCTTGGACAATCGGGTGCTAGAATCATTCCATTGGAGGACATGCCCTTGTGTCTTTATTTCTGCACAACAGGCGCAGAGCCCGGGCACATTTCGCATGGATCATATCTTGGCTTTCACCTGCTTCTGATATCTATTTGTTGTACGGAGTACATCCAATTGCTAGGAAACCTGAATAACAGACGATATTCAGTAATGTCGCTTAACCCAGACTCGTGGGAATCGAACCTGGAGTGTTACATTGGCCACAGAACCGGAACGTTGGTACGTGGGGGCCAAATACAATATCGAGGCCTGTTGATCCCTGCAAGAAAAATATTTCGCGCACGACGTAGTGTTCTGCTACGTAGGGAGCATTCCCCCGGCCGTTCTATAGCATGAGTCATCAGCAATCCGAAATATTACTCGCTGTAGGTATTTGGAATTGTGAATCTGTGAATTTGTTTCTTTTTTTTCTTTTTCCCTCGTTCCTTGCCAATTTTAGTGATCCACTTCCCCATCTGAGGTTTCAAGCAGTGGTCAATGCTGCGTACCTTTACTCCGTACTCCGTACTCCGTATCCGTAGGTTGATCCTCATTATACTTGCTTTCAGAAGGTTCAGTCGCCCTGTTGAAACCCGTTAAATGTGTAGGTTAAGGGCAACGGCCTCTTGATCTGTACGGGGATCGTATATTGTTGTTTGCGACCATGATACCTGGGTGGTATCCTCATAACCGAGTTAGATTGACGGCTGAAGCATAGAAGAGCCTAAAACCCGAAAAAAGCCGCTGCACACACCCCAGGTTAGGGAATGAAGCCCTGTGTCTGTCGAGTTGAGTAACTGACGTGCCAAAAAGCTCAACTTGCTCAAACGCCGATACCGAGTAGATTCACCGATGATGTCAACGGGCAAACCCTGGCATCTCAAGGTGAAATTCCAGGTTCCGACATGCTTTACCCGTGAATTATTTGAATCGCTTACAGCCACATTGCTTCGCCCATGCTAATTCAGGAATCGAGCGGGGGAGGTTGGAGATCGGCATCCAGGGCCGTGACCTGGGCATCGAGTGGGGCGCGAACAATGTGATTAGATTGCTTCTTTCATAGGCTTGGTAAATAATAATGGTGAGTTTACTCCGTAGAGATTTCGTCGACGTGAAACGCTCTGGAGAAGAAACGAGGACCCATCACGGCTGGATGATACCGCGAGATCCGGAAATCTATACACGTGGACATCACTCGGATTGGCCCGGGCCTCCTCGGTATGGAGTCCAGAGCACTCCGCACTAAGCACTTGGAACTGGCGCCCGTTTTTCTTGGCTGTGAGCATACCTAATCTCCATTGTGTGCTTCTTACGGAGCCCGGCCGTTATTATGGCCATTTTAAGTACGGAGTAGAACCCAAGTGATGTGGTAGGACGAGTTCTTGTATTCAAAATCTATAGTAACGTTTATTTCCCCAAATCAATCTAGCAGATCCTGAGAGGACGAAATTAGATAGGGATCCTCCTTAATGACACTTGCTTCCAAGGCTTACCTACAAGTTGATTGAAGGGCCTTGGTCAAATCGGCATAAACGGTCGCCAATCTGGGAGAGCTGGTTACAAAGCGAGGTTTTATCCACGCCATGTAGCCCATCCCAACGATCAAGTAATGTCTCTCCTTCGATAAGCTCTATATAAATCAACACGTATCTGTCTTTGCCGACATGTTTAATTCGCCACTCAAATATACCGGGCACTAGGATCTCGTCACCAAATGCCGGTTCTGCGCTTCTGCGATTGTCATACTCCGTACTAAGACCCTATTCGACGCAGACTTTAGGATCCTCGAATATCACGGACTTCGGCCAAAATTCGGAGTGGATCTCCCCCGCCAATGCCATCACTGCTATTGGCGTGGGGAGCTTTTTGCTGGGCTCTTTGAAGAAGGAAGAGTCGAGAAAATCCATTTCGCGTCAAGGGTACGGAGTAGGTCGGCTAAAATTACGCGCAGTTTTGATATGATGGGCTCTGGGATTTAGAAAGTTTTGTTTACTACGTAGTGGCCTCGGCATGGCTTTGGTATCCTATCTCAGAATGCTGCCAAGGTGCCCAGGTGCCCGGGTGTAGCTCGGGTCATGATACGGGGGATGGTGACCCTAATTTTCAGGCAGTACTTGGTGCTTCGGGCTCTGGGCCTTCTAGACTAGGTACATGTAGACAGTTGGAGATTCCGTATCTCTTCCCAATACAATTTTTCTCATTTCTCTGCTTGGTCCTAGTAATTCTTCCCCAACGCACTGGAGGGCTATCCTCTAGGCCTAGAGGGATCCAGCTTTGTGCCCAAGTCAGCACTAGGCCAAATTGTCGAGTGGCTACTCTTGCGTGCATCACAAATGTGATGCGAAAGATCTGAGCGGTATCAGGCGAAATGAATATCGCGGGGTGCAGTGACCAAAGGAAGTGCATTTAATACTCCCGAGGGTATCAGGGAAGAGAGAGAAGAAGAAAAAGAAGGAGAAACTTCTTATTCTTCTATCTCTGAGAAAGCTGGGGGCTTTGCCGCTTTATGGCCTCCAGGCTAGCAAACACCTATCACAGGGCGCAGTCTGCACAAAGAGAGTCCTGGACAAACAGGCACTGAGAGGTATCTCAACAAGTACCATAGCCTCTCCCTGCATCGACGACAATCGAATGGAGCGAAACCCTCATTCAATTTCTCTTCACGGCAGGTATGTCGTTCTCGGTCCATAATATACCAGGCAGCCTCTTTGCTGAGACGGTCACATGGCGGTCTCTTTGCTTCTCCCTGTTCTCCCATTCGAAGCTTCCTTCTTCCTGGATAACATCATCAGGAGCATGCGTTCTCTCTGATCTGCCTTTTCCAGTGGAGATCCTCATCACTCCCATGGGATCACGGAGACCAAATATCGGTTCAGCCCATCTCAACGTCGAATTCTATCCCGCATGAATTTGATGAGGGCCATCGCACCACAAAGATGCATTTGCAGCAAAAGTTCAGTTTGACTCTGACGATACCACTGTTGATATTTTTAAATTCGGAGAGACATCAGCCTTATCGAATGATAACTCACTATTCATCGCCGACAAACCACTTAACCATCCAACCTCTCCAGCCAGGCTCTCCGCAGGCGTGTCTTCGGATGACTGAGCCAATTTTGGAGGCGGAGGACTCGCTCTACTAGTTTCGTCTGCAGCAGGATATTTGTAAGCATGGTCTTGAGCAGCTTAGTTTTGTCAACCGGACCCTATTTGATAATGATTTAGCAGGCGAAATGGATGATCGTACTTTTCTGTACTTCTATTGATTCAGAAGTCCGACATTAGTCTCAAGTTCTCCAACCCCAGAGCTACGGAAACTTGGTATCCTGAAACACCTGTTTCTCTGAAAGATAGAGCCGAGTGGATCGGTGAGCATAACATTTTGAAAGGACCGAGAGATTGGAAATCAATTCTACTGATGGTTCAAGTAGCAGTCGAACACATGGTCCTGCCTTTGCAGTCAGAGCAGTGGAAGTCAGCTCTGTTCACTGATGAGGGGATATTTCGACACCGCTACATTAAGCGCTAGCGTAACACGATCTGCGCAGATGCTGTTGGATAATAGTGAGCCTAGTCACTGTATGCATTGCGTGCTCCAGAAACAATCGGTGTATTTGCTTGCCGAGGGATAGCACTTTCTGTTGAACTTTGTGATCGACAGGATTGGCTCACAGAGAACAAGATGCTGTGTTGGGACTGATTTTCCAATTAACAGGAGAATGCTGAGTTTCAGCGCATTCATATGGAAGAGTTTATCGGTCTTCCATGACAGTCGTCCTGAGTTACTCGCCGATATGCAGACTCTGTGATTCGGAATGGATGGACAAGACTAAAAGTACCAACTCCCAGTATAGGAAAACTATCTACATGCGCTTCCCTCGGCAAAAGAATCTGCTTGAAAACCCCGAGGGGTTGAGTCGCTTTGAAGTTGATTACTGGCGATTTTGGTAAGACGGGGATTTGCGTGGAATGATGCGATACTCACCCCCCAAGATGCCATTGAAACTAACCAGCGACCGTTGTCGGCCTCTTGGCCCCTCACAACACTTCCTATGCGAATTGTTCATTACTTGGCTTGATGATGCGAGTTATTGCCAAGGGTTCTGTTATCTGTACAATTGTTGTGAAGGGAAATATTCCGATGACATTGTCAGTGCTGCGTCTATAAAGAGGCCAAACCCCAGAGAACCCAAATTGAATGTGAATTACAATAGCGTTTTTATTTATTGCTGAGGTCTCTTATGATACACCAAGATGACCACTGTGTACATCCCAAAGAAAGGCCCGAAAGAATCGCTGTCGATTCTAGACGGCTCGGACTCTTCCAGTCTTGATATCCCAGAGTTGGCCAAACCAGCAGATGAACCTCGATTTTGGTTCCAACGAGGCAAGTCCTACGATCCTGATGCAATTGCGACCCAACCCTCGGTATTTGACAATGCCGAAACTGCAAAAGAATATTACCCTCAAGATAACTGGGAGAATATTCACCGGTTCGACCCCTCGGCTCGGTGGACATGGGCCGAGGAAAATAAATTGATACGTAAGATTGATTGGCGTATCATGGTCTTCGCTTGCATCATGTTCATGGCTCTGGAACTGGATCGATCGAACCTGGCGCAGGCCCTAACTGACAATCTGCTCCCCGAGTTGAACTTGACCACAAACGGTAAATATGCAGTCAGAATATCTTTTTTAAGGGCCTATACTAACTGTTTATATCCTGTGCTTAGACTACAATCTTGGAAACACAGTCTTCAAGCTCTCATTTCTCTGTGCCGAACTGCCCTCCCAGCTTGTCAGTAAATGGGTTGGACCTGATCGGTGGATTCCAACACAATTGGTCCTGTGGTCTGCGGTGGCCATGTCACAATATGCGCTCAATGGAAAAACAACCTTCCTTGTGTGTCGAGCTCTTCTTGGAATTTTACAGGGTGGATTCATTCCAGATGTGAGTCGTCTGCCTTTCTCTTTCCGGACTATTAATAACACGCTTTCAGATGATATTGTATCTTTCCTACTTCTACAAACACCATGAACTATCTTTGCGACTCGGATTCTTTTGGACAGCGTACTATTTGGCAGACATTCTAGCTGGATTCCTGGCCTTTGGGCTCCTGCATTTGCGTGGTGTTCAAGGTCAATCGGGATGGCGCTGGCTCTTCCTACTAGAGGTGGGTAGACCTTCAATATGAGCCAGGATTGTTTATATACTGACACCGAACGCAGGGCCTTCTTACCCTTTTGATAGGTCTTTCTGCATTCATTTTTATGCCTCCTGGACCATGTGAAACTGCAAACTGGTCTCGGGGGAAAGCAGGCTGGTTCACTCCACGGTAAATCATCCTTCTCTTCACTCGACCATGTAAGTGGTGCTGATATTGTTTGCAGCGAGGAAGTCATTATGGTCAATCGAGTAATTCGAGATGATCCCAGCAAAGGATCCATGCACAACCGAGAACCCATTACACCCAAGCTCCTTTGGAAGAGTCTGAAGGACTATGACCTGTGGCCCCTGTATATCATCGGGCTCACTTTTCAAACACCGATGTCAACGCCCAGTGAATATCTTACTCTTACTCTGAGAGGCCTTGGGTTCGACACATTTGTGACGAATCTCTTGATTATCCCCAGCAAGGCGCTGTCAATCGTCACTCTGCTTACTCTCACATACATCTCAGAGATTACTGGCCAATTGACTTTGACGGCTGTAGTTGGCCAGATATGGGCAATGCCCTTTTTGCTTTACATATACATTGTTGACATCAGTTCTGCAAATAAATGGGGTGTTTGGGTGGTGATTACATTGCTCTTGTCATATCCGAGCGGTAGGCCCTCATTTCTCTACTTCATACTCGCACATCCAGTATCATTGCTCACAAGTTCCCAGCACACGCGATTCAAGTCGGTTGGAACTCTCGCAATTCCAACACTGTCCGATCTCGCACAGTATCTGCCGCCATGTATAACATGTGTGTCCAATCCTCGGGAATCATAGCTTCCAATATCTACCGGGCAGGTGAGTAATTTGTCACTCTCCTCTTCCAGATTAATTTGATATGCTGATACAACTAAGACGATGCTCCCCGGTATCGGAGAGGAAACAGTGTCCTGGTAGGACTCGTGGTTTCAAATATCGCCATCTATGCGTTGACTAAGGTATACTATGTCTGGCGCAATCAAAGCCGTGATAAAAAATGGAACGTCATGACCGACGCCGAGAAGAGGAATTACTTGGCGACCACTAAAGACGAGGGTAGTAAACGATTGGATTTCCGATTTGCGCATTGAATACGTATGAAAGTCGTGGTGGTTATGATTTTACATGTGAAGAGATGGACATATTTGTGTTTTGTGCATAGGAATATACTTCGATAGTAAAGCAATGGTCTATTTATGAATTCTTTATACGTTTAAGCAAATAAAAAGTAGATTCTAGCTCGGCTCGAGCTCTGTCCAAGCTCCAAACCTTGAAAAGAACGAAAGTACCTTTGTTTTGGTGACATGAGTTGCCCCTTCCATGGCGTGCTTGCATTCTATGTGCATAACGGGCGATGTGCAACCGAATTACAAATCAGAATAGGCCGCCAATACAATGAGTCTCAAACAATATCATTGAACTATTGCAACATATCGCAGTCGACTCTTTTAGTGCATATATTAATTGAGTTCTATCATTGGTAGATGAATGTCTTGCGCAACCTCCGCTGCATATGATCCCATCACGGTGATACTTCCGGGTGGCTGAGCGTGAGGCAATAGCCGGGGAAATGACGAATGTGCACTATGACAGAACATAGTGACAGATATCTCTCGAAAGGATCAACTTCCAAGTCATCTCTCCACTCGAAATGTCCGAGATTGATGGTCCAGATTTGCGGGGTTGCGCTAATCCTGGGATTTGATGGGGAGACGCAATAACAAACAACTATCACGAACGGATATACGGCACCGGAAAGAACATCATGAAGTATAAGAAGGCAGTCTGTGTCGCATCTTTTGGCTTCAATATCAACGGAAAAAGGCCTCATTCCACCTACCTCATTACCAACCCTTACTATGGCATCTGCAGTCGTCGAAACCGCCACTCCGGTGGTTCCCATTGTCGAGGAAAAGATTACCCTGACGGGTCTCGCACGCGAACCCATTAAGTCTACAGGAGCCCTTGACTCTTTCGAGTCCTTCGATGTTACTCCAATCATTGGACGGGAATTCCCCAACGCCAACTTGAAGGACTTCCTGCGTGCTCCCAACTCTGATGAGTTGCTTCGGGAACTTGCTTTGACCAGTAAGTTTGATTGACCATCTCAAGGAGCGACCTCAACTGACGAATATCTCAGTCTCCCAACGCGGAGTCGTCTTCTTCCGTAAGCAGGATGGCCTTGATGATGACCTACAAAAGGAGCTTGTCCAGCGTCTTGGAGAGCTCTCTGGCAAGCCAAGCACATCTGGATTGCACATCCACCCAATAGCCAACTCAAGCCGGGAGCACAGCGTCAAGGATGATGAGATTAGCGTGATCAGCTCGGCACAGCGGAAAGCCCTGTACAAAGACAGAAACCTGTCGCGCCAGCAGAGTGCACGTCAAGAGTGGCACAGTGATATTACTTTCGAGCCTATTCCCAGTGATTACACTCTTCTTCGTCTCACTGAGCTTCCCAAGACCGGTGGTGGTAAGAGCCCTATCTATCAACCTCCTGAAATGACTCCAGGAATACTGACTATCTTCTAGACACTATGTGGGCCTCCGGCTACGAAGTCTACGATCGCCTTTCCAAGCCATACCAACAATTCCTAGAGGGCTTGACTGCCACCTACGCGCAGCCTCGATTCAATGCAGTCGCCAAGAACAACGATTTCAAGATTCACCCTGGTCCTCGAGGTGCGCCTGAGAACGTGGGAGAGGAGCTCAGCGCTATCCACCCCGTTATCCGCACCAACCCTGTCACCGGGTGGAAGAGTGTCTTTGCTGTTGGCACCCATGTGCAGAGTGTGAATGGCCTTTCTGAGCAGGAGAGCCGGCATCTCCTTGACTGGTTTGTGACCCTCATTGTCGAGAACCACGACCTCCAGGTGCGCTACCGCTGGCAAAATCCCAACGATCTTGGTAAGCTTTCCACCCTTGTTCTGTGATAATGTAATAATCATATCTGACTGTTATTAGCTATCTGGGATAACCGATCCGTCTATCACGCAGCAACTTGGGATTATGAGGGTCTCGGTCCGCGCACTGGTCACCGTGCGGTTGGTCTTGGAGAGCGCCCGTACCTGGATCCTAACAGCATCTCAAGAAGGGATGCGTTGGAAAAGAGCGAATAGATGCATGTTACTATCAATACCTGCTTTGAATATCAGTTTTCTTGCGATACAATATGATTGGACTTTATTTTACGTTGCGCCAGCTAGCTTGAGTACGTGGTTCACGAGTCACGACTTCTGAACCATCAAGTCGTAAGGACAGACAAACTCGTCTATTTGAGTAACACGTAGCTACTTTCATTAGAAACAAATCGTATAGTGAGAATAAGAGAATAAAGTAACAATCTTGGAGGTAAATAGAAGCTACTTGAACCTCATGTTTCCACCCCGGAAAGCTCCGAGTCATCCATGGAACCCGCCGAGGCACGGTCCCGGGGATGGTGGACTTACTCCGAGATGACTAATCAGTGCCAAGTTGGAACCTTACCCCTTGAATGCACGAACCTCTGTTTCCTAATCTGGCAATTTGATATTTCCTAGTCTAGAAGATATTGTCCTAGCAAGATAATCAAGACAGCTAATCTTCTCTGGAGGTAGTATAACAGCCCAACTATCAGAATAAATGATGCTACAATTCGGTGGTTTGATAGTCGTTGGTAAACTTCACATCAGGTGAGTTTCACACCAACGCGTCGAAAAGTTGCCGAAATATATATTATCCCCTATAAGCTTTGACGGCTAATGCGCGACAGATATCTCTCTCTCTTCCGCAACATACTGCCAATATCGCTCCGCAGACATCTTCCTCCACGATTTCCCCCAGATAATAACAGCAAGGAAAGTATATGTACAAAAGAAAGAGATTAAAGAGACCGAGATAAAGCAGTTTCGCAAACCCACCGACTCAATCCACGGCGTGATTGCATAGCTAAAGCCAAAGCCTATCGTGTTTCGAATGATATTGATAGAAACAAATGATTCCCCAGCCATTTCCTTGAAACAATCAACAGCATAAGCCAGCGATATCGCACTTGCACAGACAACCCCAAAAGTGGTGATGCCGATGCCAAGGATCAGGACCATGCAATGTACTTCCCAGTGGGTAGGTGGGCTCAGCTACGACGCAAAAGCTGACCTCACCTACGACCCACCCAAAAAGTGGAGCAAAAAAAATTAGATTACAATCACATGACATATAGCATATAATATTATGTATGAAGTAATTAATTTCTAAGCCATACCGGACCTTCTTTCTTCCCCACCCTTCCTCTCCACATCACCAACCAATTACCACCCAGGTAACACCCTTTACGCATCAGGATTTAATGATTAATCTAATTACTTATCTAGCGCAATTATATTATCACTAAAGAAATTCAAACCTTACCTCGATTATTAGGAGCTAAGTGTAACTGACCTAAAGCTTATGCCTAACCTTAAGGAGAGAGTGAGTTATCTAATGTATTATTAATACTTTAAATCGCTAATAATATATATTAAAGGAGGGTATATTCTTACTATATTACGGCGAAACGTTCTATAGGGTCACTAACTATCCTAACGAAGTGAGTCTTTATATTCCTATTCTTTACTTTAGTAAAGTTATTAATAATGAATTAGACACGGTTCTTAAACTTCACTAATCTAAAGTTCTATATTTAAAATAAGTATCCCGAAGTCTATAAGAGGCTTATATAGAAAACCGAAGATAGTAAGAAGCCTAGCGGAAGACCTCTTACTAAGATAACTAAGCTATTAAAAGGTAAGTTTAATTTAGAATTAATAAATTAATAATTACTAAAGTTAATATTAGCATTCTACTAATCTATTATAGATATAGTTAACGCCCGAATTACTATATAAGAGTAATAGAAACTTAACCTACCCCTTAAGACTATTAAGGGTATTATATCTATAAGTTTAATTTATTATAAAGGACTTAATATTTAACTAATCTATCTAGGTGAATATAACCCGTATAAGAGAGGTACTTCTAGAGAGGTTCCCTAAAAAGAAGTTCCCTTATATCGCTTATAAGCTAGATAACGCTTCTAAGGGTCTATCCTTCCTATAATCACTCTATTTAATATATTACTAATTTATTAATAGAGTGCGGAATATTCGCCCGATATAATAAGTACGATTATCTATAGGAGTTTAACCTACCGCCCCTTAAAGATAAGCTAGAGGTAGAAGAGTTAGATAATGACTTTACTATAGTTAATAGGTAGCTATAGAGTGATTAGTAATAGGTTATTAACCTATTACTTATATAGACTTTCGTTATAATCTTTCATTTAATTATAATACGTATAGAGGTCCTACCACTACCTACTATTTTAGAGCTAGGGTATATAAGGTAACCTAGTAATATCCTTAATATATTATAAATAAATATATCTTTACTAATTATAGTAAATAATAGGAGTAAGGTTAATAGGGTTAATATATTATAAATATATTTAATTTTTCTAAGTAAAATAGAATAATAAGTGTAAGGTAGATAGGGTTAATATATTACGAATATATTTAATTTTTCTAAGTAAAATAGAATAATAAGTATAAGGTAGATAGGGTTAATATATTACGAATATATTAAGTATTTATACCTTTAGTATACGTATCCTACCTTCTTTGACTCGATATAATAAAGAAGGTAGTATAAGATAAAAATACGTCTTTATCCTAATGATTTAGTGGATAAAAGAAATAGATTACGCTTTCTTTTAGTACCTTTTACTAAATATACCTCTTTATAATATAGTTCTTTATAATTTAGTCCTTTATCGAGTTATATAAAGTTAAATAACTACCCTCTCGATACTAAAGTATAAAGGGTATCTTATATCTAGTCTAATCTCTAGTTTTATTAATAAATATTATTATATTAATATCTTACTATACCTTCTATTAAGAATTCCGATACCTAGAAAGCCTATATAGCTATAAACCTCGCCGATTTATAACTCCCTAATATCTTCTAAAATATTAGTTTATACTATAATAATATATTTATTATTTATTAACCCTATATAGGTACTCACTTAGGACCTCCTTTACTACAATAAAGTATACTACTATACCCTAAGCTATCCTATAATAGTATATTTTCTTCCTTACTTCCTTTAAATACTTATTATATTACTCGAATAATATATTACTAACGTATTTATAGACTAAGTTCTCGAATTTTACGAACCTTAAAGCCTACTATCGGGCTAAGTATTCGGAGATCTATAGTAATCTTACGTTTAATATCCTTAGACGCCTATCTAATAAGGCTATATAAGAATCTATTAGTATATATAAGATATTAAAAGGGTATTATTAAGTAGTTTATTATATTTAATAGTCTTAACCTATAGAGTGGTTCGAAGGGATTATAGCTACCTATAAAGCCCGGTATACTACGCGGCTAAAACTAGACCTCCCCCTTAAAACCCTTCGAGGGGTTACTATAGTAAGTTTAAATAGATTTATTATCTATTATTAAGTGATTAAATAGGCTTATTAATATCTAGATAAACCTTACTACTATAATAGCTTCTATCTATAAGTACTATCCCTATATCCGGTACCTATACGAGAGTTATAAGCGTAACGGTATACGATAAGGTACGCTATTAAATAATATAACTCTATCTAAATTAATTAATAAGTTATTAATAGTATATAGTAAACTCTCTCGCCGAACCTAATATAATCTATTTAATTACTTTACCGACTAAGAGGAGGAGGAAGAGGAGGAGGAAGAGGAAGAGGAAGATAAAGAGGACTATAAGGTTATATTAGATACCGCACTTAATTAGGTTTCTAACTAAAGGAGTATATAGATAGATAAGTACGTTAATAGAGAAGTATATATAGATTTTACATTAATTAAAATAGCTAATATATTCCTAATATATTATATTAAATTCTTTTATATATAATATACTATAGGATTAATTATTTACTAATATATTATTTCTAAGATCTATAAAGGTATAGGGAAATTTCTTATATTAAAATCCTTAATTATTATATAGGTCCTAGAATAGGGCGAAGTATTTATACTTTGCCTTCCGTAAATCCGAGTAATAAACTCGATAGTAGTTAGCTTTATTCTACTTAATATATTATTAATATAGGATAATATATTATAGATATATTAAGGGACGAGATCCTACCTTTTTTAGGTATACGAGCGCCTTTATAGGCTATATAAGGAATTAAATATCCTAGTAATCGTATAGCTTTCCTTATCTTATTAACTAATACCTAGGGAAAGGTAAGTAATTAAAATATTAATAATAGATTATCTTAAACTTACTGTAGTACTATTTTTACCTAAAGGTAATATTAGTAAATCGAGAGAGGTATCTTACGTTAGCGATAGTATAGTTAGTTCGTACGTTAGCGATAGTATAGCTAGTATCTTACTACCTATATTACCTAGTAACTAGATAAGGGGGGTAGTAAAGACCTTACTTTCCTCTTCCTTAGGAATACCTATAGATATAGGTATAGTAGGCTTACTACGAGACGGGGGATTAATCTAATTATTAGAGTTATAGATAATCGTATCGTAGAAGACTAGTTTAAATAAATAAAGTATTAGTATTATATATTTAATAAATTAATAAAGTATTATATACTTACCTATAGACTAAGCTCGTTAAGGATTAGTGTACCTCCTAAAGGTATAGCGACTATAGATATTAGGATACCTCCTCCGATAATAACTAAGAAGATTAGTCGACGAGCTAAATTATCTCTATTAATATATTAATAGAAATTTATAATATATTAAAATAGTTAGAACTTACTATATATAAGTATCTAGTAGCACGATAATATCGCTTACTAACCTCGAGAGAAAATTTATTCTCCGACTATTTCCCGTTAGTATAAGCGCTAATTCCTAAGCGAAGCTACTAGTTAATTTAGTACGGCGCTAGTAGCGTACTAAAATAGACTAGTTATCTCGGCTAAGTACTAGCGGCTTAGCGGTATAGCACTAATCTATTAATAGAAGGAGAAAAGCTTATATTTAGAATAAGGGGAGGAAGTCGAAGTTCCTCGCGCGGTATTTCGAGGTATCGGTTAAAGTTAACCTACGGGTATAATATATAAGTAAGATATATATAATATATTTATAATATATTATATATATATCGTAGCGGATTAAGTTATAATTAATAATTAACTCACTTATATATTTATTAAGATAAGCTATCGTATCGTCGAGAGTGCGCGATTATAGGTAATAGTAATAAAAAAATAATTAAAGATAATAAAAAATGAATTAACCTAAGCGGTATTTTATACTTTATTATCGGGTGCGGATATATATTTCTACGTATACTTTTAAATTAGGAATATTATAGACTATCCCTAAGGAATAATATTATATTAAGTTATTATAAATATATTAAATCCCTTAATATACTCCGTCCTAGATATTTTATTCTTAGTCTTAAGAAGCTAGGGCTTTCCTTCTTTCTAGTAATTCTAACTCTTCTCGCTCTACCTCCTACTCCTTAAGCTTCGTATTAGCTTCTATAACACGTATAGCGATCCGCCTTTCTTTATAGGCGAGTTACCTCTTATCGTCTACTTAGGTATAGGAGTTATATACTACTACCCTCTATAGATTAGGTAGACTACTATATATTAGTAATTCATTTATAATTACTTAATATACGATTTTAACTTACGAGGAAGGAAGAGCTAGTAATAATAACCTTAGCTAACTCGAGCGAGTACGAGATAATAGGGTTCTATCGAGTATTAATATTAGTAATAAATTAATAACTTTATAATATATTAAGCCTAATAACTTCGTAATATATAAAGCCTAATAACTTCGTAATATATTAAGCCTAATAACTTCGTAATATATTAACTTACCCTTATCGACTACTAACACTTCTACCTCTACCTATAGTCCTTCCCCTCCCTCTCGATTAGGGCTAGGTTACCCTCCCTAATAAGTTACCCTCCTAAAGAAGAGCCTTACTATCCTCTATCTTAAAACCTTAATTTAGAGAGTCGCTAATAGTAAGACTCTATTTATATACCTCTAGATATAATATTAATATATTATTTATATATTTTTAATACCTTATACTTACTATTTCGTCTAATATTTACTAGCTCGTGTACTATTAGATTTATTAAATAGTATATAGATCGGATTTATAGCTCGTTACGTATTCTATACTAAGTTATATCTCTCTAATCTAGGACGCTTAAGCTAAACGGTAGTTAGTATATAAGTGATTAGTATATAGGTCTTAATAACTTACCGTTATATTATATCGACTAACGTATACCGTATTCCCTATCTATAGGACTTCTAATAGGTTTACTTAGCCGCGTTAGTTAAGTTACGGACTTCTTAGAAAATTAGCGGGTCTATTATCGAGTAACCTCTATATAACCTAGTAGCGATAATAGAGTGCCTTTTATATCGAGCTTACCCTATAAAGGTAGTATCTACTACTATATATAACTTAGTAATAATTTTATAAATTATTATTTAATACTTACTTATTACCTTAGTAAGGATTATATCCTATTCCTCCTTAGAGAAGTAGTCGGTAATACTCCTTATCTTCTTTATAATCTTAGGTATATCCCTATAATACCGAGGAGTGAGAAGCTCGCTAAGTATACGATAAAAGTGTACCTAGTAGAATACTAGGATATAAACTACTATATCCTACTAGGTTCTTTAAGAGTATAGATAGATCTAATAATTAAGCGTCTATAGATAACGTCTAAACCCTATTAATATATTAGTAATTTATTAATATTATATTTAGTAAATATTAGATCACTTACCTAATATCTATTTAGGATCTATATCCACTACTAAAGCCTATAGGCTATAGCTATATAAGTAGTAAAAATAGAAGGGCTACCCTATAATAGTAGCTACTAGGTTAAATATACGTTAAAAAAGTAACGCGTACCTAAGTATTATATCTTAATCGGTAAAAACTCGTAGAAGCGTAATAACTAACTCTATTAATAACTTAAATATTTATTTATAATATATTAAATACCTTTATTATACCCCGGATACTACTTCGTAAATACCACTTTATTTATAGATCTCCGGATACGTTTAAAGGATATATCGACCTTAAAAAAGTCTAATATAGCGAGATACTCGATCTATATATTATATCTATATATTACTATAATACCGCTCTTATCTACCTATAACGCGCGTACGTATTTCTATAGAAAATTATATTAGTATAATTAGTATTAAGTTATTAATAAAATATTATTTCCTACCCGGAGTTCGATATTAGAACTATACTTATAATATAGGCTAGCGAAGTCCTATCCCTTTCGATAGGTAAGCGCTTACTACTTTTATAGTAAAGCTAATATAATATTAGTATTAATAAAGCTAGCGTATATATTAGCGAGTGTTTTCGCTTAGTTCTTCCGAAGGAACTCTTATACTAAGGGATTTATCTTAAATCGTACTAGTTAAAATATTAGTAATATATCTTTAATAAATTAGTTTATAACCTATATATCCTAAGGTCCCCTCTCCTAACTCGGGTTATTATATTAACTAGTTCGTTAATATAATAAACTAGAGCTTTAGTAGGAGGTAGAGGTAGATAAGAGTGCTCTCTATAGGAGACTAATAGTACGAAGTGATATAGCTCGGGCTCTATAGGTATATAAACGAAGTATTCTACGCTATATTTAGAGCTAGGTTAGAGCATCCTACGGCCTTAAGGATATTATCGATCTATAATAAATATATTAGAAAATGATTAAAGAGGAAATTAATATATTTAAAATATATTAACTTAATACTTACTATAATCTATATATCTAGTTATTACTTACTCTACTATTATATAGTATTTATCTTCGATTAGTAAGCGGCCCCTATTTCTATATAACTCTTCGAGTATTATAAGATCTAGGCGGCCTAGCTTTAGGCGTAGGTTTAAAAGCTAATATTCGCTTCTATTAAGATATATTCGATTACTATATATAAAATATAGAGTTAGAGGATAACTAAGGAGCTTAATAACTTAGTAATATATTATAAAGTTATTATATCGCGAATTAACTTACTAACTCTCGCTATTTCCTTATAAGCTTATACGAAGTTAAGTAGTTCTTATACCCTCTTTTTGCCTTAGGGCGTACTATTTTATTATTAAATAGTAACTACTACGCTCGGAAATAACTAGGATAGGTTAGTATACTAAATTTATTATAAAGTAGCTTATAAGTTATTAGTTACCCGACTATATTCCGTTAGCGGTCCGATAGTAACGTTTACCGTATAATTAGATCTTACCTTATAGTTATCTAACTAATAAGGGCTAGATCTCGGTAGTAATAATAGATACTATAATATAGCGGATTAATATATTAGTAAATCTTTATCCTAGAGTAAAGGGATCGGGTTTTAACTATAAAATAGTTAAGATAGGTATTCTAGACCACTATCTTATTCCCTCTTAGGTAGTAACTATACTTAAACTAGTTTAATAAGGTATTAGTAAGTTATTAATTATACTCGATAATAGATTAACTTTACTAAGTGTATTCGAGTAGATATCCGATCTAATAGTATCCCCCTAGTGTTAACGATATATACGTAACCACTATTATAAAAGCGAGGGTAGTTAGGGAGTATAACTATATACTTAAATATAATCGCCTAGACTAGGTTATATCTATTAGTCGAGAGAGGAGTTAGGAGTCGGGTAGGCTAGAATAATATTAATAACTTATTAATATATTTAGAATTTATTAATACATTCTAAATATATTAGCTTATATCAATTCCGTCGTTATCCGCCTATATAGTTTTAGGACTCGTAGGCCTATAGTTAGATCTATCGTATAGGTCGGAAAGCCCGTCAATTTTAGGTTCGGAGAGAGGAGCTATAGGTGGGAGGATTTCAGAGAGTAGAGTATCACTCTCTGCGACCTATGCGTACTCATTAACGTTAGGCATTGTTGGCGAAGTGGGTGAGAAAAAGGAGAAATAATGAATAAATAATGAGTTATTACGGAATATTATTTTCTTCGTCACATCAATACTGCTTACAAATGTTTTCTGAGTAGACCTCAACTACGGATCCACCGGAAGTGGATCAAAAGTGGATCATGGATGAGGTCAGCTTTTACGTCGTAGCTGAGCCCACCTGCGACCTGATGTACTTCCTGGCTAGCCCCAACACCCCACATTAGCAGACCTCCAGCAGCGATAGGCGCGGATACATATAAGCCCCACAGTCTGTGTTCCGGCTCTCGGACACCCCCATTGCGCCTTGCAAGCATAATTGCGAGTGAATCGGAGAATTTACCCGCCCAAATGGACGCAGCACCACCGAAGATGAAAGGTGACAGATAAGCGACGCCGACCATCCTAGGAGGGAAATCGTAGGGGCTTGATCCGAGGATGCTTGAAATTGTCGCATTGATGACGCTGTACAGGGCCAGGTTGGAGCCGTATAAGAGGCCGGACCAAAGAATGTTAGGGAAATAGAACGGAATTTTCAAGGATTGCCAGCTTTTCAAGGCCATTTGTGTGGGTGTTGGGCGACCAGGTAGTTTTGTGATCAATGCCAGAGTTCGTCTGCGTGGTTTCACCTCGGCCGGTTCAGTCTCTCCTAGCCTCGCAGGGGAATCGGTCTCGAGTTGGGCTATATCCCTCTCATCATCGGCTGGGACGATCTCATATTGAACAGTGTCATTCTCGGTTGTGCTGCGAAAGTACATGGTCTCTTCCAAGAAAAAGAATATAACCAGCGAGCAGAGGACCAAGAATATGGTCGCAAGGTACATGACCCATTCCCAGCTCAAGCCGTCTGTGATGAATCCTGCTAAGAAAGGAGCAATAAAGTTCGAGCCAAAAAGGACGAACGTATAGAGGGCCATATAGTTTCCTCGTTCATGAGCGAAGAAGATGTCTTGGACGGACAATTCCGGGAGAGACTCCACAGAAGAGCAAAATAACCCCAGAAGGATCCGATGCGCATACCACTGGCTGGCGCCATGAGCCAGCGGCACCCATAGAACCGGCCCTATGGAAAATACAATGGTGAGAATGTAGACAAGCCTCCGACCGTAAGTCATGGCGATAGGCTGCCATAAAAGATTTGACCATCCCTGCATCAATTGCATCAATCCAGTGCCCAGATTGAGATGTGCGATGCTGACTTGTTGCGATTGAGAAATTTGGGTCAAGATGGAGAAATGTGCAGCTGTACATATCCCAATGGCAAAGGTATATAGGCATACCATGCCGATATTGAGATTCTTCCAGCCCTGAGACCGATTGAGAGGATCGTTTGGATCTGTACTGGGCTGGGGTTGCAGAACTATTCCTCCTTGTTGACTGGATGCATTGCTATCATGAGCTATGTCCACGAGGAGAATAGTTCCAGGAACATCATTATGCGCATGCCGCTGTGATAGATGCTCCATTGCCATGTCCAAAGACCATCCAAGAATTATGCGATTAGCGCAGGCAATGGTAGCGAGTGTGGGAAAGTCAAGCCGAACAAAGCCTCGGTATTGGTACGTATGGTATCATTCAAACACCGGGAGACGTGAAGAAGGATGGAACCTATACGGCAGGAATTGGAAACCCATAGGCAGATAAAGGGGTGACACAAACCACTAAATTACCCAAATAGGAAAGCGAGTTAACAACACAGTCTGGGGGTAAGACAGCCAGGGAGATAGGCGCACCCACACACCCACAAGCCACCAAGTCTTATCGCATGCTTTCTCAAGGATCAACACACACCACCCAATGGAGTTGAGGGGCATCGCCCGTTGAGATACGAGGAAGCCCCAGATCTCGACACGCGCTACTATAATGCCGACGCGACCCGACCATCATCAGACCCACACGACTAGATCTCACGGTCAAGCCTGTGTGATTGATGATTCCATAACACAAGTCGCCCTGCAACTGAGGTTTAATCTCAAATGAGTTTGTTTCTCTGATTTATAGGGATGCCCGCTTTATGGAGAGACTCTATTCTGTACTCGACCGTTATCCCTGTCCGATGGAGCGCCATTTGGAATGCGGGGTTAGCGCGTCTTGGCACGGGGGCATATACAACAGAACTCCCAAAAGATGCTGGATTAGGCAGGGGGGTTTCGGCTCTAAGACAAATGCGCTAAAGGAGACAGGCAATCTCGGATCAGGATGGGGATTATATACAGGGGGACTATCTCCTCACATCAGACTTTGACTTTTTTTTCAACGGTTTGAGCTAAGGCAACATGGCCCATTCTGAAGTTGAACATCCGACAGAGATCTCACTAGATCTTAAGAATAACGTTGGTCGTGACTTGATCGAGAGCTCGGAAAGGGCCACTCGCCGAGAACATGACCTAACTGTACGACAAGCCATTTCCAAGCACAAGAGTGCCATCTTTTGGGCGGCCTACTTCATTGTGCCGGGCTTCGTCATTGGATATGAGCCTACCATCTTAGGAACCTTAGTCGGTATCCCTCAATTTCGGAAAGACTTTGGTTATGAACACCCGCCTGGATCAGGCGAATATGTCCTGGCTCCTTCGTGGACATCCGCATTCCCCTACGCACCTATCATCGGCTTTTTGGTGGCTCCTCTCTGGGCAGGATGGTGCAACGATCGTTTTGGACCTAAGATAACTCTGATATGCTGCACTACGCTCTCTCTCTGCACTCTCCTAATGGAAGTTCTTGGTTCGACTGCCGGTGTGATCTTCGCCGGAGACCTTCTTACTGGCCTCCTCACGGGTGGCTTTCCTGTTCTTGGACCCGCGTATATTTCAGAAATCTTACCTGTTCGACTTCGAGGTATTGGACTGGCAGCCAACAACTTTGCTCAGGTTGCTGGTTCGTTTATTGCAATTGGTGTCTTGCGCGGGACGGAAACACGGGCGGACAAATGGGCTTACAAAGTTCCTTTTATCACTGAATACTTTTTCCCAGTTATTTTTCTCTTAGGAGCATTTTTCGCTCCTGAGACACCTTGGTTCTTGGTCAAGAAGAGGCGATATGAAGAGGCCACCAGGTCACTGGAGCGTACTGGATACAGCGAAGACATCGATGATACGCTGGCCCACATGAAAGAGACCATTCTGCTCGCAGAGGAGACTACATCCAGTACCACTTACCTTGATTGCTTCAAAGGCACAAACTTCCGACGTACGATGATTTGTTCGCTTTGTTATAGTGGTCAATTCCTCTGTGGAATCAATGTTGTCTCTTCATACTGCACTTATTTCTTCCAGCTGGCTGGAGTGTCAACCAACCAAGCCTTTGACCTCTCGCTTGGTCTGTTTGCGCTCGGTATTGTCGGAAACGTGATTTCATGGCCCTTGCTATCAGTATGGGGCCGGAGGATGGGCTACATCTCAACCTGTTGTGCAACCACCCTCCTCATGTTCGTTATTGGATTCTTGGATCTCGCTCCATCTTCTAACAGTCCCGCATTGTACGCCAAGTCATCCATGTTGCTCATCTTTTACTTCATTTATAACTTTGGACTGGGTCCCCTGGTCTACGCTTTGATTGCTGAGATCCCAACTACAGCCATCCGTGGTAAAACCATGGGTCTTGCATGTGCTTTTGCACATATCTTTTCCCTCGTCATTACCGCCGGACTCCCGTATGCCATGAGCCCCCTTGAGGCAAATTGGGGAGGCAAGATTGGGTTCCTCTTTGGAGGGCTCAGCATCCTGGTGATTGTCTGGGCGATTATGTGCCTACCGGAGACCAAGGGCCGGACATTCGAGGAGCTTGATATTCTGTTTGAGCGGAAAATACAGGCCTGGAAGTTCGAGAGCACTGATGTGACAAACCATGATCGTGCGGCCATGCTTCATGGTGAGCAGCCATGATTCCAGCTAGGATATCGCCGAGCAACTTCGTCACAGTAGGTGATTCGTACAGCACCGATGGATTTCGGATCAAACTTCACGTTTGCGTATTCAGTTTGTTTTTTCTAGAGAGTATCTCGCGATATCACATGATTATATGGAAATATGTGGTATCTTGAAGCTTTTGTCGTTGGCCAATGGCTCATGTCATCATCTTGTGGTCTAGCCTTCCTGCAGAAATAAATCCCATACAGTCAAGAATTTCTCATGAAGCTTACTGATAGTATGCACTTCCCTGGGTCCTCGTGAAGAGGGGCAACGCTGAGGCTTACCTAGAGGCGCAGCACCACATTTGCGCTTGTCCCGGTGGAATTCACGACACTCCGATGACCCATCAATTCTAGGTACTCAGCAAACATTTTTCATTTGCCGTGATATCCCTCTCATCACGATGACGGAAGTTATTGGTGTGGTTCCGAGCGCCACCACGTTAGCAGGTCTGCAATGTGCTAGGATCAGCTTACAGACTTTTGGGGAAAGGAACACAATATTTGGAAAAGCGACCTTATTCAGAGAGAGATTGGCCTAGGAGATGGGAAGAGTCGACTGATAGGATTCTCTTACGGGTCGTGTGCTGATGACTGGTCTGTGTGCATATCCCCAAAATGAGAAAACTTCTTCGGAGATTTCTGGAGTCTACAGCAGCGAGCCAAAGAGAAGATGGCTGGTGGATGGCCTAGCGGATACATTAAACCAAGACACTGCGAGTGTAGGAGACCAGGCAAGCACAACGCAGTGGCCATGCACCAGGTCTGCCAGCGCCACCTCAGCTCAATGCACACACAAAACAACAAATTTTGACAACGAGGAAGATGGTGAGGATACGGGTATCCGCCCGCAAGACTCCGAGGAGTAGCGCCACGATCCGAATCTCTTTGTGTACCAGGTGTAGGTCCCGCGGAGCTGACGATCCTGGTGATATAGGGACTCGGCGATACGGGGAAGCCTGTAAAATGGAGGAAGCAGATGATGGAGAGGGAGAGAAAGGGGAGTTGCACTGTAGAGAGAGGGAGAAAAGGGCCTACTCCGCGCCCGCGGGGATGCGGGATCTGGACCCTTCTTGGGTCGACCTTCTTTCCATTTTTCTTTTGTCCTGTTTGCACTGCCGATTGGAAGCCTTATCTTTCAGGTGGACGGTCCTCGAAGGCGCATGGAAGCTTCATGTACGCTGCGAGGACCCATCTACAGGGTGGATTTGTATACTGGACATGCACCACCATTAGTTGTTTTCAAAGCTGGCTTTGGAATGCTATCGCGCATAGCGGCATGTATGTAAAATGAGCTACATCCGAGCTACATCGGGCATATGAACTGATCATCATCATCATGGCCTAGCGAATAAATGATCGCTACAAAATTTTGAATGAAATGTCTAAAATAAGCATTCGAAAGTATAAATCATTCATCTCAGTCCAAACTCACATTCCTGCTACCTTGCATCCCAGGAATCTGTTCGAGGGTCTGTGTGGGCACTGCGGATCGGCTCGTCCCGTCCCAGTGCCTCTCTTGTCGGGGAGTGAACATTAACCGGTGGTCGTAATTGAGGATGACCAACACATGATCCCGTGTGCTTGTATTGTACGTCGCGTCTATTCTTGAGGTAAGTAGGTAGATACTGATTTGGGAACATTGGCCATTTCACTTCCTGTTGTCGCACCCGTCTTCCTTCCCTCCGCACCTTCTATTTTTCTCTGCTCAAGTGCCTTCTTCAAATTTGCATTCTTCCCCAGTTATAATCACTTCAGTTGATTTGTCTTCTCTCCTGCCTTCTGTCACCACGTCGCACTCTTGGTGTGTCAGCCTTTCGTCTCGTCAACCTCGTTCCGCCGCGTCCCACCCCCTGATCCTAGCCACCATGGAACGAACAAAACTTTCCTCCCTATCCAAATATCCGCAGCAAACATCTCAAGTGCTGAAGGTGTTCATTCTGCTGTCCGAAGCTTCGTCTAACTTGGCCAAGTCAACTCTATCCTGATCTCCTGGTCATCACCGATCTAACTTTAAGGCTAAAACTCGGTATTCAAGTATGGCAACAATTCGATGAGCTCGAAATATCAGCACCTCAAAGACATCTCAACCCTCAAATAACACCTTGAGGCGTGAAATGGCTTCCCCACTACACAATTGTGCACAGACCTAGTGTCATGACACACGAGACAAATGGACACACCACGACCTTCTGAACATAGCTACGGCTGAAAAAGAGATGAAGAAGCCACAAGTCGCTGATGCAATCACCCCAACGAAGGCTATCTTTGCCGATTATTAAAAGGATCCGCATTAAACATCTATGGACTTGGCGTTCGCACGCTCCGGGTATCGCGACTCGGAAACCCTACTGGAAAATGATATGGATAGATTGCTAATCGGTGGAAAAGGCCATATCACTGCTGGGATCTTGATCAAACGGGCCACGAGAGGTACTGGTGTGGCTGGGGCAATCAACTTCTTGTGACATGGTGTCAACGGCAGACCTCACAAGGAACAGCACGCAACGAGGTTCCCTGCATTTAGCTCCTCCCGATCGCTGATTCCAGTTACACAGAAGATATGGTTTGGCTGAGCCAGTCTACAAGGACATTCGTCACTCGATATACTCTCCTTCTCCCACTATGACTTGCACACGGAGGAACGAATCGCAATGCCTAAAGAAGTACTTGTTTTGCTTTGAACGAATGATATGGTGTCGGCTACTCTTGCGTTTGAATGTAATCTTGTTCCCTCCTGGATTTACAATATCATGTCTCACTTGCTGTATCACATCATGAGATTGTTGCGAAGGTATATAGCGATCCGGGGCCAGTTCCAATCAAAACCAAATCTGCTTCCTGGGTATGTCCAATCTTGGACCACTCTTGATGTCGCTCATTCTTGTGTTATAAAACGTAGTCTAAAGTGCACCTATCCCTACGGTATAATTTTTCAAAAGGAAACAAATTATCTTCAAGAATGACTTCTTAAAATGACTTCTTAAAAGACCTTTGACACCACAGTTAGAAAGACTACCAAAGTGACCACTTATGAAGGAAGGCTTTAGTCATAGTAATTGCTATGTTCTTCCTTTCTGTAGGCTTGTACCCCGGTATATCCAGGCAGCAAATTCGATTCCTGAGCGCTATGAGTCTTCACAGAGCTTTAGAAATGCTTGCGTCCAGGCTAAATCTTTCGTCCCACGCCATGATGATACACAATAACACTACCAAAGGGTCATATGGATGGAGTAAAGTCATTCTACACTAGCTAGTTTGAAGCTGAATGTTATCAAATCATGTAGCTCATTCTGTGTAATCTAGAGGAAAAAGAACCTATGTATCGTCTATCCTCTTGAATAAAGCAATATTCCTCTTAGAATCGCAAGTCCCACCCGATCTGAGGCCCAAGGTTGGGCAATTCATCGGCGACGCTCTGCACGTCCTTGTCTCCGCGACCACTCAAGCACAAGACAAGATCCTTGTTGGGTCCGAGCTTCCGAGCAGTCTCAATAGCGCCCCAAACAGCATGAGAGGTCTCCAACGCAGGAATAATACCTTCAAGCTGGCTTAGGAGTCGGAAGCCCTGCAAGGCCTGCGCGTCTGTGGCTGAGAGGAATGTTGCCCGATTGCTCTCCTTCCAATGCGCCAGCTCCGGTCCCACTCCGGGGTAATCGAGTCCAGCAGAGATAGAATGAGTGTTAGAGATCTGAGCATGTTCATCCTGAAGAACATAGGTTCGGACACCGTGCAGAACTCCGACTGATCCACTGGTAAGCGTAGCTGCATGGCGCGCCGTGTCGAGACCATCTCCACTAGCTTCTAGGCCAATCAACTGGACAGACAGATCATCAGAGAAAGGATAAAACATTCCTGATGCGTTTGAGTCACCGCCCACGCAGGCGACCACAGCGTCGGGGCTCCTGCCAAGGTCTCGGAGCTGGGATTTAGTTTCCTCTCCGATAACGCTCTGGAAGGTGCGGACCATAGTCGGGTAAGGATGAGGCTCAATCGCCGAGCAAATAATGTAATGCGTGGTGTCCAGGCGAATGATCCAAGCGCGGAAAGCTTCGTTCACTGCATCACGCAAGGTACGCGCTCCCGACTCGACGGGGATAACGGTAGCACCCAGTAAGCGAATTCTGAAGATGTTCAAAGCCTGTCGGCGGACGTCCTCTGCACCCATGTAAATGGTACACTTCATGCCAAATTTGGCGCAGACAGTAGCGGTTGCGACGCCGTGTTGGCCCGCTCCTGTCTCGGCAATGATTTCCTTCTTACCAAGTCGGCGAGCAATGAGGATCTGTCCCAGGGCATTGTTGATCTTGTGAGATCCTGTATGGTTTAGATCCTCGCGCTTCAACCAGATGTTCGCGCCACCCACATGTTCAGTCAGCCCCTTGGCAAGATGGAGGCTGGATGGACGACCAATGTAAGGATAGCAGGATTTGAACTCGGCCCAGAAGATTGGGTCATTCACCGCAGCTTTGAAGCCTGCATCCAATTCATCAAGGCAAGTGATCAAGGCCTCCGGTGCGTATTGACCTCCAAAAACACCAAATCGTCCCGCGCCATCGGTGATAGCAGCTCCATCTTCCTTATCAGCCGCCTCTGGTGTATTCGCCTCTGGTGCATTGGGAGTCGCAGCCATCGAGGCGATTAGAACGACCGTTCTGTGGGTGATGTGGGAGCAATACTCTTCAATTGCCTTCGCAGCATGACCGGCGGGGGCATTGTTAAGAGTTGTGATAACCTGACTACCGATAACAGCGCCGTCTGCAATGGAAGTCACGCTCAGGAAATGCTCGCGTGTGCTAATACCAAAGCCCACCACCACGGGAATATTACCCGAGAGCTCCTTGACGCACTGAATGAGAGCAGGCAGTTCGGTATTCAGAGTCCCTGTCGCACCAGTCACCCCCATGCGGGAGACGAGGTAGACGAAAGAGTCAGCCCCCTCGCAAGGGGTCTTCATGCGGCCCTCTGGGGTAGAGGGTGCAATCAAAGGGACATACGAGAGCCTATTGGGAATGAGATGGTTAGCATGGAGCGTCCTTGATTGGGCTTTCATTCACATACCCAGTCTTGATAAAACCCTCACGGAACCGGATCGCCTCCTTCAGAGGGAGATCAACGATGATGAAGCCGTTCGCGCCTGCCTCTTTGCAATCAGCCAGGAATTTGGTCTCTCCGTAGCGCAAGATCGGATTGTAGTAGCCCATGAAAATCACGGGTGTCTTGAGACCGTTCTGGCGTGCGTCACGGACCATTTCCAACATCGAAGAGACGGTAACGCCATTCTCGAGGGCCTTCAGATTGGACTTTTGGATAGTCGGGCCGTCAGCAATGGGGTCAGTGAAAGGTAGACCGAGTTCAATAATGTCTGTGTAATTGTTAATTGGTTCAGTTTTGGTAGTGTTGATCAAGTGACTCACCAGCTCCTCCGGCCTGCATTCCTAGCAGAACATCTCGAGTCTCCTCGACGATGGGAAAGCCGGCTGTCACATAGGTGACCAAGGCTGGACGGCCTTCCATCTGGCATTGGGCGAAGGTCTGACGCAGATGGTCCATGATGGATGTGTGAGAGAAAAAGAAGAAGAGAGAGGGGGTGGAGGAAAAAGAGAGAGAAAGGGGAAGTGAAATGGATGAGACACCAAGACTGGATCCAAAGAGTCATTGGACTTGTCCCATTAGGCGGCGAATGTGAGCCCTGTTTGCTAGTAGAGCTAGGCAGCGGCCGCTGTAGGTGAGTGTAATCTTGTTTGCTACGTATATCTCGCCTCTTGCGATGTTCCTGTCAATCGTTTGCTCTAATAATCTCATTATGTTGAAAGAATCGAGCACAAGACACATGTTCCGTAGCTGGAATAGGTGGATATTATTGACGACTAGCTAGCTAGCTGACCCTTGGGGAAGCGCAGCTCGAGCAATGTTTCACAGGAATGTACAAGCTTTTGTCCAAATCTAATTGTAGCGAGAGTTCTATCAACCGAGGTCACTCTCCGGGTCAATCTTTGTGTAATTACAATACGCGGCGTGCGTGAAAATTACCGGATTGGGGCTCGGCGGAGCTGTTCAGCGGCCCGCGCCGCGTTACCGAGACTGTCCCACCTTTGTACCCACTCGCACAGATTTCTTGCCCAAGGCTGATTCCTTCAATAGCAAGTCAGTCTTGGGAGAACCGCTTTTGTGCCTTTCTCTCATTTAGCCCTAGATATCTTACCTCTATATAACCTTGACCAGAACCTAATCATCCCACATCCGTAACAAAGGGATGTACGGAGATATAGGCGACAATGAGGTAATATCCAGGCTATCACCTGATACGGCGTATAAATTCATAGAATTTCAACATCATTAGGTGTATATGCTATATTGTCCCCAAGTTAAGATCTTACTCAAATAAATTCGATAAAAATGTCATTCGGGCTCTATTTTTCAGATCTCTTGTAACATGTAGAGTGGTAGCGGAGGGCAAGGTCGAAGCATCGTCTCGGCACTCTCATTCCTAAGGCTCTGAAGGGATGACGGATGCAAACTCCGCACACTACCAGGGATCAAACATCTATGAGATCTATCCACCCCCCGATAAATTTCCTTCCAACGTCCATGGAAAACGCCTGGTCACTGCCAGTCATACTTTAGAGACAATGTCACCTACACCAGTTCATATACGGCTACTCGCAACCCCTGACCTGGAGTTCAAATCCGACTCTGAGGAGATCGAAATTTGAGTCTACGGGGAACCAGAGTCTCGCAGTCGATTGCAGAAGTTGATTTACCCTTCCCAAGATAAACAATGGTGCATGTATCAAAGTCCCTTCTCAGGGCGCGCTCCACTGTTCACCACACGCCGAACAAATCGAAACGGAATCCGAAGAGCGACAAGAATTTCAAAAATTCGTTCGACTGATTGATTTTCATCTTGTAGATCCTCTGGATGATACCGTGACCGAACTGATCTTGAGCGAAAAATCGAATGCAACCGAACCTGTCCGTCTGCATGGTCAACTAGAAGATCGCAATAGGTATACAAATCCGTTGGAAACCTACGGTCCTATACCCTGGAAGACCCCTTGAGGGTGATCTACCCACGTTGCCTCAAATTCCTGTCTTTCTAGGCGATAGGCTGTTCAAATTGGCAATGCCTTGGACACGATGCATTGCGCCAACGTAACCCACAGCGATGTGAAGCCTTCAAATATCGTCCTCGACTAGGACGGCAATACGACTTTTATTGATATCAGCTGTATTCGCGGAAAAATATAGGAGTGGCGTGCTCCAGAAATACGGGACGACTTCTCACCTTTGGATTCATCCATTCCAAACCCATCGACTAAATGACATTTGGGCCTTTGGCAAAGTTTTGACTGGAATTTGCCTTGAACGCTGGAGACTGCTCCGCTGCCAAATCTCTAAAGCAGATTGCTAATCATTTTACTGACGCGAGTATTGACACTCCGTGGACTGTATCTGAGCGACTATCTCAATTTCGAATGAATTCGTACATTGACGAATTCTATGCCTGAGATGGTACCGAAGTAGGAATTGCACTACTTGCGGCTATAGCGCGGCGATGGTGGACCCATGGCGCAAGTAATACTCTGTACTCCGTAAAGAGGGCTTGCATGCTTAGGTCTATCACGAGATGAACTGGTGATGTCTAATGAAAGCCGACCATTGATTACTTGGTGGTTAGAGGCATCTGAATACTGCTGAATCTATACAGGATTCGGACCGGGAGGATTCGTGGCGGACAATGACGGTTAGGCAGAACGGTCTCAAACCTTTGCTGATTGTTTGTCCATATTCTGAGAATTTCTTGTCGAGGGCCGACTGCGGGAGTCTACCTCTTTGACTCCTGTCTAGTTCCAGAGGCCTCATTTCCGCATAAGACTCCCGGAAGCATTCACATACTTAGTCCGACTATAGTCAAGTTCTTTAATCATAACAACTACATCAAAATGTCGTCTTCTCCAAACCAATTTTGCCATTTCTGTTTCGCCACACAGGTTGCTTTTATTGCGATCTGATCGGTATAGCGAAGCTTTCCGTCCTCGTCTTCTGGCCCCCTCCAACTCCATCATGAGAGTGTTTTCTCGTCCATCTGGTGCTTGGGAGCTTGTTCTTGGAACGCTCCTCGTCGCTATTCAGTTTGCACTCTATGTGAGTGACACCTAAATTCTATATGTCTCAGCAAGACGCCTCGATATACGAACAGTCGTTTAGATTATATCCCTAGTTACTTTCCCAGTACCTGTTCTCATCCTCTTTTAGTTGCACATCGACATTTGCGGGTATGTTATAAGTCCCAAGCCGGAAAAGCGCTTTCACAGAGTAATAGCGAAACTTTGGTGTCAACCCAACGTGATGAAACCTGTTTACCAGCATCACTACACTGGAGTCCGCATATCGGGGTACCTTGAAGTGGGTGGGATTGCGTGGAATTTGTATGGTCTCTATATGCAGCAAGCCACGCATCAGTTCAAGAGCGCTAATTGGGAGGTGAAGAAGAAGAAGAGGGAAAGAGAGCTATCTGAACACGAGAGATCTAAACATGGGGAGCCACCCATAGGGCAGATCAAAAATTATCGCCCTCGCTAGGAATTAGCATGACAGAGCCGCTAAGAGGTGCCGAGTTAAAGTACCTAGGTCGAGCGCGTGCCAAACGAAGCTTCTCATACACTCAGCCGTGTTTGCTGCCTTGTGATGGAAGTCTTTCAAGTAGTCCTTCAAGTGGACTTTTGAGTGGGTTGGAGAAATACTTAGGTAAAAGTCACTCTTGTCAAAGGAGTCATAGAAAGCTGACAGGCAGCACATGCTGGACCTTCAAAGCGTTGCTGATCTCTTGAAAACACTGTCTGGGCAAATTTAGGTGCTAAATGACAACCCCCCGTTGGCAGAGATGACACTCCCAGTACACCAACCGAACTCAGGATTACAGATCGTAGCAATCAGCCCTGCAATCTCTTCCGCATATGCCGCTCGACCTCCGAATTTGGCTCCCAGCTCCCGCACCTCTGCGCTATCAGTCTCACGAACAGCTACCAAGGGTGTGAGTGGATTCCACAGCCCAAGCTCCGCCTTTACGGCATCGGGTGCCGTCATATACATATCCGTCATCACGGGACCAGGGTTAATCGCATTGACAGTGGCCCTCTCAGCGAGTTCACGACACCACACCCGAGTCATAGCCTCAATGGCACCTTTGGTTCCCGCATAAAGCGAAGTATGCTGAGTCCCTGTTTTTTGAGCGATGCTCGATAACATCACAATGCGTCCCGATCGATCCGTTGGAAGATACTCCTTGCAGGCGCCGGTGAGAAGCAGTGGGCCTAGAACGTTTACTTCATAGATTCGGTGGAATTCGGATTCCTGGACTGATTCAAGTGGACCGAGGTAAAGGACCGCGGCGTTGTGTACGATGATGTCGATTTGGAAGGATCCCGTCTCGGGGTTCGAAAAATGCTCCTTGGCGGTTGATACGATTCGTGCACATTCCTCACGCGAGGTGATATCTGCGCGAATAGCTAGTGCTTGGATAGAGTATTCACTCTCGAGTTCTGTGACGAGGGCTGCAGCAGACGCATCGGAGGCTTCGGTTGCATAGTTGATAATCACGTTGCAGCCCTTGGTGGCTAGATTTCGGACTATCGCGGCCCCAATGCCTGAAGCAAGATTAGCGAGGGAAGCTCGACTGTGACAGATTGAAACGTACTCCGTGCAGATCCTGTTACTATTGCGAGCTTACCCTCGTATATCCGAGGATGGGTACGGCTGGTGTTCGCGGAAATGAGATTCATATTGGACTTGGATTGGGGACGAAGACAACCCGGGCGCATTCCCTCTTTATTAATCAAACATACGAACCCCGCTGAGGAGTCTCAAGAGAATTAGTGGGGCTTTTAACCTTTCTTATGGGTTTACGGGAAATCAGAGTATGGCCATAGGCTGGGATCGTGTACGGAGCACTCCGTATTCTTATGGGCTTGTTTCAATTCATGCAGATGACCCGTAGGGCACCGGGAGAATTGACCTGTCTAAAAGTGCAATCCGAAGGTGCTAACTACCACTTGGCCAGGAATCCTCCATCGATGGGCAGACAAATTCCATTTACATACGAAGAGCCCTCGGATGCCAGCCAAAGCGACCCCTGGGCTACCTCATGGGCCTGTCCGAACCGGTGCAAGCTGCTGACCTTGGGTGCGAACTCATCGTGAGTGGTTCCCATAATTTCCAATGCCGCGGCCGACATTTCACTCTGTTCTCATTAATTTCTTGCTGAACACAATTTCGATTTTTGGAAATACCTACAAAAATCGCGCCAGGTGCGATAGCATTGACCCGAATACCCTTCGGCCCACCTTCGGTCGCCGCATGCTTGGTCAAGCCCAAAAGTGCATGCTTTGCAGACGTGTATGCAGGCATATTTGGCTGTGGGGAATATGCATTGATCGAAGCAATATTGACAATAGAACCCTTTGAGCCCTGCTTCGTCATCTGCTGCATCTGGTACTTACAGCAGAGAGCAGTGCCGGTCAAGCTGACATCCATCAGCCGCCGCCAATACGTCTCGTCAAAGTCCATAAGTGGAGTCTGGTCGGGAGTCAAGGCAGCATTGTTGATTGCCACATCTAATTTGCCAAACGCACTGACCGTCTCGGCAATGAGGTTCTGGACATCCTCGGACTTGGAAATGTCGGTCTTTACGAAACGAATTTCGCCCAGAGCAGAAAGCTCCTCTGCGACCTGCGCGCCTTGCTCTTCCTTCACATCGGCGATCACTACCTTGGCACCCGCTCGAAGGAACACAGAGGCGGTGGCCTTTCCCATGCCTTGAGCGGCGCCGGTGATGATAGCGACCTTCCCTTCGAGAACGGGGAAAATAGGGGGTTCTGGGACATTCATTTTGGCAATGGATCGACCAACGACAAAAAATGGAGGTTTGAATAAGTGAACGGCAGGGGGCAGAACAAAGGCTTTTGTTTGAGTAGATGGTCCAGTGGGAATTTACATCCGACACGCTGCGTTGGTGGATCGGGAACAGGCCCCTGTTGTTGGGGGCCGTTCCGCTGTCACAAGCCTCTAGTTGGCTCGTGTCCGCAGGCACTAAGTTAGTCCATCAGGAATCCCTGTTCTGTAAGCCGCCGAGACCATTTCTCAAGAATGCGAAGTGGGGGAACAAAAAGAAAAACCGCCAAGCTGGTGGACTTATTGGGCGGCCCACGCGGCTTACTGGTCCGTTGTGGAGATGACAGTATTCAGAGCGGTTAGGGTGTCAGAGTCTAGCTGATGTTGATCACTCAAATCACTGCCTTTGCGAGGCTAGCAAGGGCTCGATGTGCTATCCATGCAGCTATCACTTTAGCTTGCGATGAAATTTGTCTTCTCCCCTGCTGGTCTGATGACAATTCAACATGCCGATCGCAGTTTGCGGATTACAAACATTCCCGCCTTCACAATCTTGGATGATCGTCTCACGGTGTCGATGCTGTTTGAATCCCGTATAACAGCCTTTTCTCTCAATGACTCGGGATCTCACCACATCCTGCGTCCGCTGCGGGGTGCATACCTCGTACTCCATCGGGAATACTCCCTACCGATCGCTCTGGCGCAGCTCTGGCTCAGTCCAGAATCCACCAGCTTCGTTCAGGAGAGAGTCGATCACGCCCCGCTTTGACTCAAAAATGCTGCAGAATTAAGAAGAACCTATTTTGTATACGAGTTGAGTTAGCGGCAGGCATCTTAGGGGGATTGCCGGAACACTGAAAGCCTCCGATAGTCCTCGCACTTCGGATCCTTTTTCTCCCTCCTCAGTCAATCCTTGGATGCCTGTATTTCTCCAACGGTCAAGATGAGCGAATCTGAGAATTCAATTCAGGATCCTGAGAAGTCTCGGCCTGTCACCGACTCGTATAGTGTCAAGGGCGGAGAGGCACCCCAGACCAGTCTCATCAACATTTTGGTACGTTTATGAAGGTTGCGCGGTCAATTTCTTGTGCTAACTGGATAGGTTGTTGCTACCGCGTGTTTGGGGGGTTTTATGTATGGCTTCGCGGCCAATTCTCTCCCCGGCTCTCTTTCCCAGACAACCTTCATCGAGAAGTTCTTGTCCACTGAAGATAGAACATCTCGACAAGATGGTATGCTTGGAGGGTAAGCTCAATTCTGAAACTAGCTAGTACAACATCCAGCTAAGAGAATTCTCTAGTTTCCTTGGAGGTGCTTTCGTCGGTGCTATCTTTCAGGCTCCCCTAGCCAACAAGTTCGGTCGACGTATCGCCAACGCTGCGGCCGCTGTGATTGTCGTGATCTCGGGTGCTCTCCAGGCCGGTTCCGTCAGTGCTACTATGTTCATCATTGCTCGTGTCATCTGCGGCGTTGGCTCAGGTATGATCTTCACAAATACTCCCGTATATATGAGTGAGGTCTCCCCTCCACACACGCGTGGAATGCTCGTCGGTCTACACGGCGTAGGAACCGTGGTAGCATACATCTTAGCCGCTATTTGTGCCTTAGCGTTTAGCTTTGTTACTACTCACATGCAGTGGCGGTTTATCTTCATTGTTTTGACAGTCATATCTGTTATCTATCTGGCAACGCTATACTTCATTCCCGAGTCTCCTCGTTGGCTTATGCAACAAGGACGTGACGCTGAGGCCAAGGAGGTGCTTGTGTATCTTCATCGCACAAAGCGAGACCCCAGGGCTGCTTTCGCCCATGCTGAAGCGATTCAGATCAAGGCTCAGGTTGATGCAGAAAAGAATACCCCTAGTGGCTATCTTCATATCTTGCGTACTCCTTCCCACCGCAAGCGGGCTATCATTTCTATCCTTTTGTGGGTCATGGGTCAAGGGACTGGCATCACTGCTATCGCCAATTTGATTCCCGTGCTCATGGGTAGCTTAGGCTTTGGTACCACCATGCAACTTGGACTTGGTGTTGTCTGGACCGTGTGTGCGGTCATTGGTTGCGGAATAAACGTCTTCCTGTTGGATCGGGTCGGACGAGTCAAACTTTTGGGTGAGCATCATTTTCAAAGACCCCCTCGCATTTTGGTTTATGCTAACCACAATATCTCTAGTCGTCGGCGGATTTGGCTCCGCTATCCTCCTCAGTATCATGGCTGCTCTTCAGAAATATTATCTCAACACGACCTACTCTCCTGGAATCAACGGTGCCGTGGCCATGTATTTCATCTTTGGTGCTTTCTTCACATCCACCATTGAATGTACCGCCTACGTTTACAGTTCTGAGATCTGGCCCACGCACCTGCGCAGTGAGGGATCCACTATTGCATTTGCCAGTTTCTTTGGTAATGCCGTTGCATACAGCGCACCCGTTACCCTTGGTCTTTCCAACATTGGATGGAAGTTCTATATGATTTTTGTTGCTGTCAGTGTTGCCAGCACTATTGTAATCATGTTCTATTTCCCGGAGGTATGTTTTGACTATTATTGATTTATGACGTCCCGGTTATCTAACTCATTTTCTAGACCATGGGACTGAGCCTTGAGGAAATCAATTCCAAATTTGGCGAGAAAGTTGAAGTGGACTTACAAGATGCTCTGGAGGTTGAAGATACCAGCTCTCGCGGCACAGCTTGAGTGCAGGGCCATTAGGGGGAGATATTTCCACTCCAGTGGATATGGGATATGAGTATTTCTTTTTCTCGTATCGGTGAAAGAATCCTGTAAGTAATATATATCTATATCACTTTAATTTCGAATATATACGGACTACTCCGTCCTCTGTACTCCGTACTCTGTACCCAAATGATCCCCCGACAATAAAACAAACTATCGCCTTTTTTATTTCAGGAGACTGATGATCATACCGAAGACAATGCATCTTTGAGGCAATAGCAGAAATCAACAAGACTACACAGTGGAGAACGTGGCGTTGTTGTTCACGGCCCAACGTTTGGGGATGCCGTACGCTTTGGCCAAGGCAGCGCGGTCGATCTTCGACACGAGATGTGAGTGGCGCATGCAGCCAGCTTTTTCTCGCTCACATATTTCTTGACATTTCCATATCACATTCGACCTGTAAATTGATCACCTAGAGAAACGCATTGGCCCTTCCTCAACTCCTCGAAATAATTTTCCGGGACTCCGTAGAGTCATCCACTACTGGATCTGCTAGGACTCGGGGCTTAGCCCCAAATGGAAGGAGTCTAGTCATAGGCGATCACCGAACTAGCTAGACACAGCTTCATATTTTAGTCCGGACGCTAGAAGCCCATAAGAGCCTACCTGTATTCCATAGGGAGTACTTTGTAATTGTAGACCCTAGTGACTAGTCTCAGAGGCGTTGCTTAATTTCGACTCCTTTACTCCGTACGGAGTATGAATTATTGTGCTAACACAGCAGACAATCGGATCGGATCCTGCTATTTTCGCTACTATGACGGGCCAGTATCCTGTTGCAGGAACCGATCTCCGACTCCCCCGGTACTCCATCAACCCCTATCAATGAGATAGATCCCCGTGTACTCCGTACCTTGTTTTGGTTCGCTCCCTTGTACTCCCGCGGGCTATATCCAGCCATTTAGCGATGCTGGATGTGAATTATGATCATCGAGATCAGAATAGGTCATATCCTGATGTCTCTACTCCGTACCTATGGCAATGTCCAGCCCCTATTACTCAACTCATTGGGCTCATCATATAGGGCATGGATATATTAAGGCATCTGGCGAGCATCTCTAGGTACTGTCTGACATCAGAACTTTGACTCTTTTCTCGCCAATATGACACTCCGCGGCAAGGGTCCCACGTTGGTAGCAGTCCTTTGGATCGAAACACTTTTTTGTCTTATCGTCCTCGCGTTGCGAATCTACACGCGGACCGTGGTCCGTGGCAATACCGGCTGGGATGACTGGCTGCTTGTCGTCACTTGGGTATATATATCATTCTATGGATTCTCAATATCTTCTTAGTTTGCTTGCTAACGCACCCGGATCCCAGCTGTTGATGGCCGCCTTTGCAGGCTTATGTACAGGCGCTGCCTATTACGGCATGGGTGTACACGCCGATCGTCTTACCGTCGACGAATCCGTCCATGGGATGCTACTACTCCTGACAGGGCAAAGTATCATCTCGATTGCCATGGGATTGAGCAAGTGCGCGGTTGCTGCTTTCCTCATGCGAATCGTCATCAAAAAGTGGTATGTTATAAAATCGAACTTCCAGATATTTGTCTCACAACTTTGCAGGCACATATACTTCCTGTGGTTTTGGAACATCTCCATTATGGTCCTCAGTATTCTGCTAGCTATCACTGTCTTCGCTCAGTGTACGCCGGTTTATTCTATCTGGGACCCGCGAGTTCCGCCCGAGAGCTGTCCGTTGAATCTCGCACTCACGGCCACTGTCATGTGTGGTATGTCTGCCCTTGTTCTAACTTCTCTGTTTGTTTCGGGTCTAAGACTGAAAATAGCATGGTCCGCCGTTCTTGACTTTGTCCTTGCTTTCTTCCCATGGATAGCCTTGTGGAATTTGAATATAAAGAAAAAGGAGAAATATACCATCTGTCTTTCCTTGAGTTTGGGTATTTTGTGAGTACCTTTTTCCCGAGTCACTCGCCTACTGAGTACAGAATATCAATCTTCTTATTACTAACATGATATCTCAGCGCCGGAATTTGCGGTGTCATCCGAACGACAGGGCTTGACGCGTTAACCCAATCGACCGATTATCTCTGTGCGTCCCCAGCTCCATTTTCCTCATTTACCCACCACGCAAGCTAATCAAACTACAGATGCAACAACCGATTCAGTGATCTGGACCATGTCCGAGCTTGCAACCACAATTGTTTGTGTTAGCATCCCCGTTTTTCGTCCTCTCTACCGCACTCTCCGCGGTGGTTACCCCTCCAATGATGCATCCGACTACAATGACCGCCAAGTCTATCGAAAGAGCAGCGGCCAACGCACGGAGCAACCCGACTATGTCATGGAAACGATTGTGACAACCACCGTCAATGAAAGGGATATGGAGAATGACAACGACAATGATAATGACAGTGGTAGGAAGATTATAGAGGTCGGAGAGGATACGGACACAAGACATATGCTGGAACGTCCGCCTTTGAACCCACATACTATATACCAAGTCAATGAGGTGGTGCTCTCTTATGAGGATCGTCCACCCGGCGATGGGAATGTTGGCGACAGTATGCCATCTGTCCCCGTAAAGGCGAGGCAGCAAGTTTGATACCATGATAAGTTCTTGTCGAGTTGGCTTCGAATCCCCAGATCAGCTTTTATTTCTTTTAGATCTGCAGGGTCTGTATTATTTTATCCTCATTATTTAGGCTGCTCTTCTTGATTCGATAATTTCCCTATATTTATATCCCAGATGCGCTGGAGAAATCACTATCAGTTAATGAAAATTCATTCCCTGACATCCCATCGTCAGGATCAGGGACCCCTTCATCTCCCCAATCCCAGGTATCCCCAACAAGAACTGTTTTCGCTCCTGTAATACAGTCCATGGTCATCATATCCGGCCATGGGTGTTTGTGACACAGGATCTTGCATACTTTGAGGCTTGGGGTCTTCTTTGCAACCTCAGTCCCCACTGTGATCATCTCGTCGTATAGATTCCATGCGCTTCTTGGTTCAGTACAATGATGACTGAATGCTGTAGAAAATCGGTCCGTATCCTTCAGACTCAAGTTGATAATGATACATTCAATATTCCCAGGCAAGGCACTGTCCCCCTGCGAGAATCCAAAAATATGCGGGCAAATGCTGCGCATACGTAACCGCACAGATCGCAATGCAGGGATTTGCAGCCCCAGCCGAGGACAGATATGCACTGCGCCGCTCATTTCAGATCCATACGTATCAATCACAAGATGCGAAAGCTTGGAAGTCCCCAACATGTTGAAAAATTCGGTAGGATTCCATTTTGTGATATATTGCTTGCGCGGAGCTAGCGGGTGTGCTGGGTCAAAATGGCTGCGCGCGCGCAAAGTGAAGGATCTTAAATAGTTGTTCCCGTCCACCAATGAATTGAGTTTGGAGTTCAGTTTGTCGATGTCGTGTTCGCCAGGCCAATCGCCGGAGCCATTGATGTCAATTGTGAGTATGCGGCAATAGGTTCTGATCTTGCGATCCGCACTCTCGGGCGCTTGTACCAGCTGGGTGGCACTAAGCCTAAGATCTGCTAGCAAGACGGGTCGTGCGATCTTGTACCATAATTTGCAGATCAAGAGGCCGCAGCCCTCCTGTTTTCGGAGCTCATCGCTGCCTATGAAACGAATGATCGCGTAAAGTATTTCTATTGGGAGGGTTTGCAACGTCATTTCTAGATTGGAAAGATGGGCCGAGAATCAATTCGTGGAGTTGGAGAGCCTGATGCGTTGCATCAGGTGACTTTGGATCTTACATGTAAATGATGTATCACTTTTGTGCCTGGTACATTCGGTATAGCTACATATCATGCAGGCTTACGGGGTGGGATAGAAATTCTATGTTTTTGTACCATTATTTTCCCTTGGGGCGTGATTAGTTGGGAAAAAAGGAGGACAAGGCCGTATTTGTGTGAATTCACGGGTTATATATCATCTCAGGCCATAGCGAAAGTCTATAGTCCTCAGGGGTCGGTTTCAATTCAAATCGAATTTTCTGCCTGAATATGCCTGAGCTCAAGCTGGCGGAAAACGAGAATACCTGAATTCCTATGACAGACACCTTACCAGGGGCTTAATGAAGGTACGTAGGTTCAACCTCGGAAAGCAGGTGAAATGAAGCTTCTCATCTACTCAGCCGCATCTGCAGCCTTCAAGTGTCTTTTAAGCAGTCTTTTTTGATAGATATCTTCTTCCCTTCCCAAGATTTATATGGTAAGAGTAGCTTCGATTACGCACTAAGATTTGCAATGCAGGAGTTAGCACTTGGTCTGTGCCAACAGCAGTCCCAACACACGCATATCCAGGCAGCAAATTCGATTTGAATTGAAATCGACCCCTGAGGACTATCCATCTTCGCAGGCCAATCTATATTATACCAAATTTAGCATTTCGAAAATACACGCGATGTATTCCGTGAAACGATTCAAGCTTTGTAATGCATAAACCTCAAGTTGAAAATAAAAATAAAAATTAATTGCATAGCACTTGCATGGTATCGCTGGAGGTTATAGCCAATCATGGATAGTAGCTACCAATCACAGGAGGATACTTGAGTTGATCTGGATACTGCGTGAGAATAGCTGCCCTAGCTTGCGTCACTTGGTCTGGTTTGGCTAAAAGACCTGATGTTTGAAAAAGGCTCATTTGGTGGTCCACCTGATACCTGCAGCCCTCACCCTCACTGTTGAACTCATATTGGTGGCGCTTCTGCGCGATGATGAGTATGATAAATTAATTTACCGTTAAATCTGTTCTGACGTCGAGTCGAACAACTTTCGTTGGCGTGCTCAAATAGACAGCAGATAGAAGACTGATAGCTATACTCCATACAGAGTACGGAGTAGTAGCCTTTGCACAGCCAGGCTTCGTGATGCTAGGGGTGGTATGCGATGGCAAAGTATCAATGCAATTTGACTTATCCTCAACAAAACGGAGATGGAAGCACCAATAATTGCCTCGATTGGAAAGTCTCTGGTGAGCGACAACCTCAACCCATAAGACAGGGAGATCAAATATTTCTTGTCGTTTACTCGCAGGAATGCACATCAAGGGCTGAAATGGCGGTGGATGGTAGTTCATGATTGAAGCTTGAGATAAGAGCGCCGTGATTTGATTCGCTTTGAGCGTGGAAGACGTCGAAATATACAGCGATAAGCCTCAGGGCCCTAGTGCCCACCTGACCGTGCACCGATGGTACCTAGTGGACCCGGCGGACGGCCCGGCCGGGGCCCACGAACCCTCCCAGAGCCTATTTTACTCTGATCTGTCACTGTCAACAATCACTTGCCTTACGCCGTACACTTGGTCCCAATGGGTTGATCCACCGTGCATGGGTCAGATAGGTCGTAAGTCCGAGCTTGAGCACCGACATTCTACCAGCTATAGGATAGTGTCAATGCACGCGTATCAGCAGAATGTCCGTGAGTACAATGGTCGTGGTAAGTTAGCCAGTAGAATATACTGACGATTTGGTAAAAGTTTTATGTCGAAGTACATAGTAACATGACGATCCTAAGCAGCCAAATATTCTCATTCAAGCAATGTTATCAAATGCTAGAATGAAAATTCGCTAGTTCTGTGGCCACTGCGAAGCCCCTGAAGCCCCTGAAGCCCTGAGCGAGGGGTAATTCTCCAGTCTCCAGGAGTCCCCCCACCTAATGCGTTTCCCTTCATGATTCGGTTCTCATTTTTTATTCTCCTCTCTGGTATCAAGGTATTAGGGTCTCCCTATCTGCAAAGTTTGAGGAAAATTGATTTACTTATCAAAGTGGGTTCTATTGATGAGCACTGGACTTCATTCCAACACACGGAGATTGCAAGCGACCATGCCAAGAAGATACAGACAGTCATTGATACTGCGAATTTCAACCATCTCTGCTCCATAGCTGTAAAGATCCGCGAAGAAGAAGAGTCCCTAACTGGCTTGACATGCTCCGTGAATACCGCAAAATTCACGAGTGGACGATTGAATCTTGTGATTGCCCTGACATTTTCGGATACCACTCAATGGGTAGCGCGAACAATGCTGTCTCAAGACGACAAAAATGGAGAAGATCTTGCCACTCGCTGCTAAGCGAAATCGCTTCGATGAACTCGGCTCTCTAACTACCATACCTATACCTCGTGTCTTTGGGCATAGCGTCCCGAGACATGACTTTGGTCATGCTTATCTTCTTATGAAAGCTCCTTTAGGAACTGTCCTAAAACATCAAATGCCCCTCTCAATACCGGATACCCAGAATAAGAGATTCGCCGCTCAACTAGCCCGTTACGTGTATGAATTGAATACCGTCCAATTTGAAAAGATCGGGTGTCTCTCTTATTCTCACAAAACAGGTCACCTTGAAATCTCCCCATTCCAACTTTCCGACTCCTGGATTGAACCTTTGTCAACCTCCCTGGAATACTTCTATCTATTTCGCCAAGGGCAAACAAGGGAGATTAATCAACAGCTCAAGGGAGAAGCAGAATGGGAGGCAGCCGCCTGATTCCCTGAGAGACCATTGACCTCGATGGCAACAGACGAGCATTCACATGGCCCTTTCCCACTGTCATTTGGACCTTCATTACGCCAACATGCTCGTCGACGAGCATTATAACATTACGGGAATTCTCGATTGAAGCAATATTCAGACGTTGCCTATGGAACGATTCGTGGTTATGCTGGACTTTATTGCTCCTCCTGCTGCGCCAAGCGATTCTAAACAAATGATCTTCGACTTTCGGGACATCTTTGTTGAGGAATTGGCTACTATTGAACGAGCAAATTATAAGGTAACTTTTGGCGGAGAGCCGTTGTCTCGTCTGTTTGCGACCCGGCGCAATGACATGTGACGTTTCTGAGTCTCCCTACTCGTTGATGACAGGTGGGCGGTAGGAAGGTGTGTTATCGGGTTCCTTCCTCAGTTGTCTCGTGTTTGGTGGTCTCGAGCCCCGTCTCACAGAGGTGTCCGGGGGGTAATAGGAGGCTGAGACACTGGGTTCCCGCCTCCGTTGGCTCCTCGCTCCTGGCGACCGCTCCCTATTTCTCCACCGGTTTTCAGGCATTTGATCAATCGTTCTCCTTGGTTCCTGTATCGGCGGTGGATTTACTCTAGTACCAGGCTGCGGGGGTGTTGCCCGTCCTGTTGTATCACCGCGCTGTTCAAGGTGGGCATGGCCAGCGTCGGTGTGCTGCCTCTGCGAGCCTGGGGATGTTTCGGTCTGTGGAAGGGTCAACTGCTGGTCTCGTGCAGGGCGTGATGGCATAGATAAGCGAAGGCTTCTGATGGCTTCCCGCACCATATCGTAGAGTCGGCCGTTCAGGGATAACAAGACCAAAATCGATAGGGATAGAATAGACAAGGAGGTGACAACGAATGACCAGACGGAAGCCAGGCCCCCAAGTGGCTGGATATTGATTGAAAAGAAAGAACTTGCGAGGCTCAATGGGGCGAAGACAAAACCAAGATACGATAGACGTTGAAGATCCCGGGCCTCGGTCATGGACTGCCGTGATTCCTGAAGAGATATCTTGCTGACCTGTTGCTCGATGAAGGTGTCGTATGAGAGCTTCATGGACTTGAGCTGCCTGGATAATTGGTTGAAATCTTTGACCGTTTCCATTATTCCGGATTTCATTTCCGTCTCACCTGTGATTTGCTTGAGCATCAGCAGCGACTGGTCCAGGTACTGAATATGAGTGAACAGTTGTTTCGCCTCTTTTCGAACACGAGCCCGGTCCTTTGCCTCTCCGTATACAGCCGATGTGTTTGCATGTGGTTCATAGAGGTAGTTCCATTTTCGGCGATAAAGCTCCACATGGCAAGAAAATGATTCAGACAAACCAGCGATGTAATTGCAAATCAAAATGCGAGGCTCTTTCAGAATCTCGCTTCGCTCCGTTTCACTTTTGGATCGAAGCATTGCTTGGAATAACTCGTGGGGTGTGCCGTCATAGGACCTACAGGGCTGGTCAAGTGATGAAGCGTGTGTGTTAAAGTCGATACCAAGGCAGTTATCCTCATTCCCTAGCAAGAGCACTGTGGCATAAATTGTCAGACAAATGGATTTTCTTGCTAAGATCCTATGTCAGGTACGGAGTAGTACTTACAGGTATGTTGGTGTTGCCTCGTCTCTGTCCCAGCCCTTTGCCGCACCAAGGGTTCTTTGAGCATCGCTGCCGTGACATAATTATGCTGATCAACTCCCAGGCTGATATCTAGCCAGACTTTTTCCCCTTGATTGGCCTTTATCTTTCGTTTCATCCATGATAGCGGTCTATAGATCAAATGCTCCTCCTGGTCCAAGTGACGAAGCAATATTTCTGGATCGACCCGCGTCGTTGCGGCAACGCAACATAGGATGGTCGGGTCTGGTAAACAATATCTATGCTCGCTGATAGGGTGCGTGTTGGGCGTCGGATTTCCAGCAATGTGCGCCGTGGTCACACAAGGTGCAAGAAAGTCGAGAGCGACATCTTGTCGCGAGAGAGAAACGCAAGAGTCACGCGACAATTGCTTGGGTTTGCCATACTTGTCAGCTCCGATCAAACACGTTGCTCGCCCTCGTCCATCACTTGAAGCCACCTACATCTTCTCGAACATCATCGCTAACCCCGCTGATGGCGACCACGAGAATTAGTCGCACTGCAACTTCCGGCGATCTGGTGGAAATGGCCCTGTGGATCTCGACGAGATTCGTTAAACATAGGATGATGGGTGATTTAGTGGAGTCTGAGAAGAAATCTGCCACTATCGTACGTGTTCGTCCAGGCGACACCGGATATGTTCTTTCTACAAACTCAGGGGTTTGGTGTAGGTAGCCATGTAGCCATTTATAGCGAGGAGATACCATAGACTTCGATTTGATGGTCGTGCGATACCCCAGGAAAGCAGGGTCCTGAGCGATATCGTTTGCTGCCATTCCTACCTGTTTTCCAACAATATGTGGCTGCTTCGACTTGAAGTTGTTGTATGGTGAGAGTATTGATCTACGCCCGAAAATATCGCGAGCTGGCCATGCACATCAGCATTTTTGCGAACTTCCAAGCTCCACTATTTGGCTCGATTGGCTAGTTGCAGAGTTGACACACGTCAAATCATTTTGCTTGGATTTGGCGCTATTATCAACGTATGGCTCTCCGGGTCCCTAACAAGTTGGTCGAATGGGCTAGCTACATACCCTGTCAGCTTTGATCGACAGGATCAGGCCCCAAAGGAGTTGTGTACCCCGCTCACAGGAGCTGTCAACGGGGACTACTATTGTTGGAAAGAGGTAGACTGCACAGAACATTTTGCTGCCAGTTATATGGTGTTGATATTATCAAATACGATGAATGCAGTATACATTAGGACTAGACGAGGCCAACCAGGCTATTCCATGGAGCGTAAGAAATGTCTTGTTATGAATCCGATCACAAATGATGAGGACTCCTTGGTAATGATAATTGATCAGGGGGGCTTATAGGAGCGAGAAGGCAGTGAGTATGGAATAAATCGTATGGAGTAGAGTCCACTGCATTGCAATGTGTTGATATCACACTGCAGCTGCAGTCCAGATCAGCCAAGAACCTCGCCAGCGCATAGAATTTTTCATGCAGTTCGTAAGACTTGGCGACGGCCCTGATCGGATTTAGGGGAGGCTCTGAAGACTGGATTGGGCGCATTGGCCACCGAATAGGGAAGAGATGTAGACAGTCCGCAACAAGATACGAAGTACACAAAACTAGAAAAAAAGTATTGTCTAGAACAGCTAGTGCAATACGTAGGGAGAAAGAAATCTATGTGGTATTGGACTGGCTAAAATGAAGTGGACGGGAGGGGAAAAGAGAGAGAAGGGTCTGTCTACAGCATGAGTGCTGCAGGCCTGAGGCATGAATGCCTCAACATATTGACTGTCAAAAACAACTTAGATTGATAGCTGTTGAAGTTGGCATAAGCCGAATGTAGACGATGAACAAAAGATGCACCTATATCACAATCTCAAAAGGATGCAAAGGTACATAGCAATGCAAATCTTAGAGAATGGTTCCGGGACCCGCATTCGGGGTAAGGTGAGATTGCTTCACCTGCTCCAGAACAGGAAGACTGACGGAGCCTTTCATAGCATCTGCAGCATTGTCACTAATGGCCGAAGGATTAGGCGAGGGGCCTGGAGTGCGCTCGCTCCTGTTCTGGCGCTGGATGAGGCCGTTGGTGATGCCAAGGACGGAGTCCACGATGACGGCGTCGATGCCTTCGGCGACTTGGTACTATATGGATAGCATGGTTAGAGGGTTGCCAGATTTTGAGAATATTATTGAGAAATAAACTTACGTCGACGTTATCGCCGTCATTGTTGAGGGTTCCGTACGAAACACATACAAGACCTGACTCCTTGACGATACGGACTAACCGCGGGCAAAGGACCAGTGGCTCGGCCTGGGTGACGATCCCGAGAAGGTTCCACCGCGAGGCGAACCGGATGGCTTCCTGCAAGCTGCTCGCGCGGATATCACCGACGGGTGAGGCGCCTGCATCACTTAGGAAGAGGACGGGAATGGAAGGCTGCTTGAAAGACAGTAAAAGGCAAATATCAGGGTTGAAGCTAGAAAACAGCATGTCGCGACCACCTCCCAGGTCGTAGACCTTGGTCAAGATGGTGTCGACAAACTCGTTCAGCTCCACTGCGTAGGTGTCCATTTCTTCTTCCTCACTCTCATGAAGCATGGGATATTCTGGTGACCTTCGTTAGATCGACAGGGTAGTCGTTCCTTGAGGAACACAGGTTACTCACTCAATTCGATGTTAAATCCGACAGATTTCGGGATCTTTCTGAACAATTCCTCCAATGTGGCGAACGGCGCCTGGATGTGCTCGCCACGGGTGTTGCCCTTGAATCCCTTCTTCTTGTAGTCGCGCGTGTGCTTGATCCTCTCGGTCAATTCGGCGGGGTCGTACTCGGAGCCGCCAACTGACATAGAGCGTTGACGGGGACCAAGGTCCGGCAACTCGCCGTTTATTTTCACGGCACCCGGCAAAGTATGACGGTGCCGCCCAAGACCCAACTCGAGGAACTGGTCAAGGGTCATAGTATGAACAGGTGCGTCAATACCAGTTTCACTGACCAAGAAGTCGTGGTAGATGACAGGCACATGATCTTTCGTGAGTTGCACATCGAACTCAACATAAGACGCACCCAGGTTGGCGGCAGCAATGAAGGATTCCACAGTGTTCTCACCCAACTGTAAAGAATTACGGCCGGCCATGTTCTTGCCCAATCCACGGTGTCCAATGACCATGGTCGAGCTCATCGAGCGCCAGTAGGTCTGGTTACCGGTAATAGACATCTTCGGGTGCTTGAAAGGTGTGATAACGAGGAAGTTGAATGTCACAGACCCAATCACCTCCAAGGTATTCGCTGCAACAATGGGAACAGTGGAATCACCTTTGAGGTTAATGCGATGGGATCCCACAGTGGGCTTGATGCTAGAAAGTAGAGCGACACCGCGACCCACAATCTTCTCCTTTGATCCTGCATATGTGGGGACAAGGTCGAAGAGTAGACGAACCTTGCTAGGATCGGTAGTGTGGAATACAATTGGCTCGGTTGAGATATTGTCCTGCACAGGGAGATCGATCACTTCTGGCTCGCCGTGCGCACCACTTGCCGTTATCACCATCGACAACGACGTGTCTAGCTGGGTGGCATGTGCGTTTTCCATCGGGATGCGGTCGAGGCTGACTGTTTCGAGCGGCTTGCGCATGTCCATAGTTCCCAGGCTAACCAAGATCATCGTTTCATCAGTGAGGTACCGGTGTCCGAAAGTCTTAATAGGCTCAGTGGTTCTCGCACCAGAACTCCCCGTGGTTGAGCCGGGCGCATTCGACCGGCGATCAGTGAGGGACGACTGGGTAGGAGGCGAAGAAGACTCTGATCCGGTTAAATTGGGGGTAGACGATGAAAGATATGGCTCAATGGCGGGAGGTCCGGGGCTCACTTCTGCGAGACACCGGGCAATGTCCAGATGGCCTCGCAGGGCTGCGTGCTCCTTGGCCGTCCAGCCAGAGGTATCGAAACGCTCCACGTCTGCACCAGCTTCAACTAGTTGTTTGGCCACATCTAGGTGACCATCGACACAGGCGATGAAAAGCGGTGTCCAGCCATACGTGTTTTCGGCTAGCTCTGTGTCTGCCTTTTGGTGGTCGCTGCCATCAAGTAAGATCTGTGCACACTCATCATGACCAAATCGGGCGGCGACGTGCAATGCAGTCTCTCCCAGTTCATCTTGGTAATTGATATCCACGCCGGCATCCACAAGCAGCTGCACAATATCGATAAAGTTGGCCTTTGTCGCCAGTGCCAAAACTGCACTTGACTTAGAAACCTGCTTCCTGATCATGATCCGTTCTTGAGAGGGGTCGTTCCGCGCTTCGGAATCCAAGAGACAACGGGTTGTCATGGGGTGGCCCCCCACGACACTCAAGTGTAGTGGAGCCCAGCCATCATTGTCCTGCCAAACGGGGCCATCGATTCCCTCGCTGACATCGAACATTTCCCATTCTCTAAGGTGCTCGATGATCACTTCACATACGACCTTGAATCCATACTGTGCTGCGTAGTGCAATGGGGTACGCCCAGAAAGATCTTTGGCCATCAAAGACTCGTGCTGATCTGGACGCAGCGAGTCCAATAAGAACTGGAGTAAGGCAACAGCTGAATCTTCACGACCCAGCTGCTGGGGCATGTGCTCCTCTTTGATCACAGCACGCGGCGGCTGGAGTGTCGGAGGCGCTGCAGGCGTGATATAGCGGGTAGTCTCTGGAGGGAAGTTAAGCACCATTGACGCCGCTGGCTCGGAGTCGGTCGTGGGCTGTTCACGGCCAATAGAGATGACCAGCCGGTGCAGGCAGTTACGTCTGTTGATATCATCATCCTCTTCCAGTGTGTCCACTTGGTTCAAGAGAAGAGCCAAAGCATTCCGGGAGCGATGAAGAATAGAGCGTTGGATCAAGTTTTTGAGAACCTTGGAGTAAACGGCCTCCCCGGCTTCTTCGGCAGTAGCTTTCAGAGTCTCGAGCAGTTCAAGTAGGACATGCGTGTCATCTTTGCGGAGTGCGTCATCAACGGCAGTAACAACGCTAGTTGGCAGGTTGAGATAAGGTCTAGTTGCACCACGCTTCAAGGACAGAGAAGAATGGGTGGAGCTCGCGTCATCGGCCCCCTTATCGTCAGACTTGGACTGTTCGGTGATTATGGCCATCCAAGCATTGATGCGATCCTGAGACTGGAACACGCGTTCATTGGAGGCGAAGGGCATGGGGTCGACCTTAGTCTCTAGATAACGCTTCTGCGCCTGCGCACCCACCTTCTTGTCTAGCTTTTTGGTGATCTTGACAAAGCCACGGCGATTGACTTCACCGTACCATTGTAAGCGACGCAAGTGGTATCGTAGATCCAAAAGCGCCTCACGCAGGTCATGCTGATCCTCGGGCTCAAGGGGATGACGACCTTCCATCGAATATCCATAACGCTCCTCGAGTAGCTTTAACCGGCGGGCGAACTCTGCATATTTTTTATTGTAGAAATAATCGACATCCTCGACATTTCGGTCGAGGGAATAGAAGAAACCTATAACCGCCAACAGAAAGGTGAAAGACACCGGGCCCTAGTCAGAAGAGTACTTGACGGTCCGAAGTAACTCATCATATGAAACTTACCCGCCAAGTCAGCTTCCTCTCCCGCCCTGATCTGCTCGGCAGCAGACTTGATGAGCTTCTTCAAAGCCTTGTATTTGATGTAGGAGGTACTCCACTCGGGAACCGTGAACTGGGACAGATTGCGGCCGAATTTCATATTGACTGGATGGCCAATGCCAGTTCAGATGTACAATTTCCACACTTTCACCACACTTTGCTGTAATTTCCAATTGCGTCCGGATATCCAATCGGAGGGAATTCGCGGCGATATCAACCTGAGGGTCACAATAAGTGATCAGGTGAGCGGGCGAACGCAGGCAATGGAGGGACTTGACGACGCCATCGAGATGGGTATGAGAGAATTGGGAGACGAGCAAAGGAAAAAGGGAGGAGGCACTAAGAGACGAAGCTCAAAGGTGCAGCTGACTGTACCTGTCTAAGTGGAGATGAGGTCGGAGAGATACGGTTGCGAAGAGGCGAGGGTTAAGGGGGCGTGGGTCAGGAGAGAGATGTGAGAGGAGAAGACTAAGCTTTGAAGGCGAGGTTGACGGTGTGCGTGCCGGACTGGCGGTGATTTGTCGATCCACGGGGTCCGTCTCTGCGGTACGGTCTTATATATCTCCGCCAAGATAGCTAACTAGGCACATTGCCAAGTTTGCGGTGTGGACTCTCTCCTTTTCTCTCCTTTTCTGGATTCTTTTCCCTTCCCTTTTGTCTCACGTCATGTGGGAAGTAGGAGAGGATCCCTGTCCCCAATGAGGAGTGGGAATTGGCTTGTTCCCCACATGCAGCCCAGGAGATCGGCGGTCTAGGTACTCCGTACATCGAGGTACAGCTCCGATCCTAGATCCGGGCACAGATTATGTGTTCACTTTGGCACAAAGAGCAGCTCCACGCATGACATGGAAGCATGCATCGTGCAAGAAATGTCGGTGAAGTCTCCGGAAGAACCTTGGAACTCAAGTTCAAAGGATCTAACGTGCGGACCCCGTGACCCGACGCGACTATAGAAACGCCACAGGCTGAATGGCACTTGGTCGGGATTCCAATACGGAGTACGGAGTACAGAGTACAGAATAGAGAGTCAGGTGTTCAGTCAGAAATCGGGGGGAAATTGATTCATAATTCTATGTTAAAAGCCATGCAACCCATTGCGGTGAGTTCGATAGATCGCCTCCCTTAGGCATCCCAACAAAAAAGCAATCGCTAAATCCGTCGCTGTGCTCATGATCAGGAGGTCATCTCAGGAATGAAACATAAACATAAAAAAAAAGATGTAAACAAAAGAAAAACTCCATTGGATCGGCCAATCCATCCCCGAGCCACATGCAAATGGAAAACGTAAAACCCGAGTTTAATCAACAAACCCCAGTTTAAATGGGAACCCTAAAACAATAAATCAAATGGACATGTCTTCTACTGGACCAGCGGCTTCAAGGCTTCCACCCCAGCCTGTAGCACAGCTTGATTCTTCGTCTTCTTGAGGCACGCAGTGAGAATTTCAATGCCACCAGCGGCGCGAACGGCAGCCTTGGCACGGGTGCCGATGTCGCCTGTCGCGATGCAAGTGAAGTTGCGCACACAAACTACACCGCGGTGAACCAAGGAATCGTCATCCTCCTGGCACAAGCCAAGGAGCAAGTCCACACCCCGCGGTCGCTCCAGGACAGCTGCGATGGCGGCATCAAACTCGGTCAACATGGCCAGGGCTCCGCCGGCAGCCCGTCGCGTCGGGAAATCATCGGCATCGGTCAGAGCCAACAGAATGTGAAGACGTTGGGCAGCTTGCTTTGAGCCATCTGCAAACTTGATGATACCGGACTCGCAAGTCATCAGATTGCAGACCAATTCGCAGGACGCCCGTTGAACCCGAGAGTTGCTAGACAGGAGGAGGTCCTCCACCGCCGACCAACCCTCCCGAACTGTAAGTTCAGGTGCGGAGTCATCATGCGGGTAGGAAGCAAGGTTTGTTAGAGCCAAAAGGCTTTCAAACACCGGAAGCAGGTCACGAGGTTGATCGGCAGAGAATGAGGCAGATTCAGGTGATGAGAGAAGGGAGAGTAGGGGACGGATGGCGGATGTAACCTGAGGAAATCCGGATGATGGGAAAACATGTGAAGGATCAACGGAGATAAGAATACGAGCCAGCGCGTGGGATGCAATTCGGGTCGTTTCATTCGTCACAGGACCAGAGCTACTTTGCTTCGGGGCTGCAAGACCGAGTAACAGTTTCACTGCACCTTGTTGGGCAAGTGTACCACGGGACTTCGGAGCCCTTGTCAAAGAAAGAAGAATCTTTGCAGTGAGCTCATTGGTGGAGGGCAGAGAAATCCGGCCACACTCAGTAAGCAGACTCATGATGCCCGCATCGATAACGGCGCGACATCGTGCGAGAACGGCTTCATCTTCATCCCGGCTGTCTGGTGCAGATGCCGCCTTCGCTTTTCCACCAGATGCGTCCGCGTAGTCCTTGAGTTGTGACATCTTCTTTTGCTCTTCAGATAGGATGGGTAAGAATTTGGTAAGGTTCAGCACGACCATCAATCCGCCATAAAGCATCGATGAATCACTAGCGTTCTGCTTCATAGTAGCAAGGAAGTTTCGTAAAAACGTGGGATCGTTGGCAAGTTGATCCTTGACAGAAGGCTTCACCGAAGTATAAGCCAATCCCTCAACGGCGTGGGACTTGTGCTCAACCTTTTGTTCCGACATCAGTCCCTTGAATCGATGAACGAGCTCGGATTCGCTGTCTTGCTCCAAAACCTTACCGTTGCCAGTCGAGGGTTTTTCGGGCTCAGATGCACGGATCTTCGCCAGGGTAACGGCTGCTAATTCAGAGGATTGATCGCTACCATTGGTCAAAATATGTGACAGCCAATCTCCGTATTTCTTTGAAATAGCCTCGCGGCAGGGCCGGTTAATGCAGGCTGCATTGAGGAGTTCCAGGACGGGAACCTCCACCTTCTTGCTCTTGGCATCTCGAGATGCCATCGGGGCGAGGAAGGTCATGAACTCTTCCGACAAGAACAGATTGGCAGCTGCAGAAGCGGCCACGGGAAAGAGAGCGGCTACTGCAGAGAAAGCAACGATCAGGTCGTCGACGCGGCCTTTGCCAAGGATGGACATAATCAATGTTAAAAATCTCTTCTCACCCGTCTCCTTCGCAACTTCGAGATATTTCGCAGTAGCCAGCGTTGCTTGGCTTCGCACTTCTAGCGGTAGCCGATTGTCCAAGGATGAAAGAATCACCTCGAACCCTTCATCGTCTATCAAGTGTTCGAGTTCGCTAGCATGAACAGCGAGTAGTCTAGTGATTCCCTTCAAGGAACGACCATCCAGATCGTGACCTGATTCCATCAACTTGGCGATGAACAGCTGGAAAAGCTCACACTCGCAGTGAGATCGCGTTTCCTCTGATGTCCACACCGTAGGATCCAACACCACTGTATCCAGACATACTGCTGCTCCATCTCCCCGGTCATAAATTTCATCGAAGAACGTCGTAACGGAAGTCTGGAGCTGCGAAGAGAAGTACTGCCGCACACTGGTGTTCTGTCGCACTAGGCCGGATATGATCTCATCCTGCGTCGTTGACAGGGAGTGCGGTCGCTGTGCGAGCAACAGCTTCAGGGATTCCAAAGCGACAGATTCCGGAGATTTCAGGCCATCGGTCCGGAGATAAGTAGCAGCTTCCTTGCCTGCCGTTTCATCTTTTTGTGTAGTGTATCGGCGACAGAGATCGAGTAGCTGGTGCCCGTCTTTATCTTCGTGCTGAACTTTGAGAAAAGCGGCTTTGACTTGAGGATTTTCGGGCGCGATAGAAAGAGCTTCTCTTAGATTACGCGAGGCAGCCTGTTCGGTCAAAAAGCGCATCAGTTCCCCGTTCACTTCCACCAGGGATGTCGCGCAATAGATCACATACCTCTCGGTGACCTGCGTCAACCAGTTCAACCGCCTCTCGGGCCAGATGTACTGCGCGCTCTTCACCTGTTGCTTGAACCATTGCAGGGTTGCGCAATGGAAGCTGAACAGAGTTGAAGGAAATCGTGGTTGTCCGTCCACGCGAAGTATGAATTTCCGGGGACTTTTTTTTTGAATGAGGGGAGGTGGAGTGGAGAGGAAGGGCGATAAGATGGACACGACACCGACAACCGCTTTTTATGGGGAAAAGCAACCCTAGAAAAAAAAAAGGAGAATGGGGAAGAGGTTGGGAATGTATTATTGTTTTTTAAGATTACCCTGGCCGGTCTCAATTGCCCCCATGAAGCCCGTGGGTTGTCCCCCTCAGTCTGATATATACACGGATTTTACAGATCTACGCCATTTCCTTCACGAATCGCCATTATCAATCGGCCTGGTGAGACCAACCACAGCCTTCAACTCCATCACGTTGTTGATAAGCATCCTCAGCTTATTAGTGCTGGTGTTACAGGGATTTTTGCCAGGTTTCCGGCGCCTAAGACGGTGCGGAAGAGCTGATGTCCCGCCAACTCCGGTGTTGGAGCTATTCCCATCTTTCATGTGCTCATCACCCGTGAGTCACAACGGAGTACGCAGTACGGAGTACGGAGCAAAACATAAGGAATGTAATAGTTCGATCTTGGCGCATTCAAGGGATATGCCAAGAAAGACTATGTCTGGTCTTTCAAATCGACCGAAACTGTACGGAGTACACATCACCTCAACAATAGATGCTCATAAATTCAAGGTAATTTCAGTCACCCCACGCCCTCAAGGTGTGCAGATCGGCCCAATTGGGGGCACGGTCCGGGTGTAGGTTCCGAATAGTGCAAGCCAGACGAGCATTGCAAACAAAGAGGTAGGGGAAGACTAGAATAGTTAACAAAAAAAAAATAAGACAAACAAAAGTCAGAATGGAGGTCAGCAATATGGACAGAGCACGGGGAGTATTGACCGAATAGAAGAACACATGTGCAGCGAAAGCACTTATCGTCTCGTGACCGGCTTATCGCGTCAAGATCATCGACTGACGTTGCCGCCAAAGCTTAAGCTGGGATTCGAGAATCATTTCGGGGATACAAAGCACCTCGGTATTCCAGCTTAATCACCCTGGTATCAGTCTAGGCGAGACTGTGCCCACAATAATGAACATCAGCCTTGACTGATCCGCTGTCTCAACACAATGAATTCCGTCGATGCTTCCGAGCATTATGAGCTGGGAGCTACCGGTCTGTGTTCTCTGTGCCTTACGAAACGCAAACAACCAGCTAACGAGGACAGTATGAAGACCTCTCCCCGTCCCTCCTGGCTATTGTCATCGACACAAACCCACATGCCTGGGCCCTCCTCGAGGACTCCCTCCCACTCTCCAAAGCAATAGCGAACATCCTAGTCTTCATCAACGCCCACCTAGCCTGCAACTACGCCAATGAGGTGGCAGTGGTCGCATCACACAGCCAAAAAGCAGCATGGCTCTATCCATCCCATAGCGGTCCCACCAACACCGCCGATAACGACGGCGATATCGCAATGAATGGTGCAAGCGACACCTCAGCGCCCCAAACAAACAAATATCGACCCTTCCGCGTCGTCGAGGAACAAGTGACCCACAACATCAAAGAACTCATGGACTCAACCACCGGTGATGATTTACGCGGTAACACATCGACCATGCTCGCCGGCGCATTGACATTGGCTCTGAGCCACATCAACCGGCGCACACTCGCCTGGGCGGAAGAACATGGCGGCGCAAACGCCGATGACGCAGCGGCCGAAGGTACTAGCGGAGGCGTGTCCGCACCCCCAGGCCGGTACTCCGCCTCGAACGAGGACGAGCGGTTGCAGAGCCGTATCTTGGTCGTTTCTGTGAGCGGGTCTAGTGACTCGGCGCACCAATATATCCCCGTCATGAATAGCATATTTGCCTGCCAGCGCTTGCATATTCCCATCGACGTGTGCAAACTCAGTGGTGATGCGGTCTTCCTGCAGCAAGCGTCCGATGCAACCAAGGGCGTGTACATGGCACTTTCCGAGCCGCGTGGCCTGCTGCAATACCTGATGATGGCATTTTTGCCGGATCAACGCTCGCGGCGTCATTTGGTTCTTCCAACTCGCGTCGATGTGGATTTCCGAGCTGCTTGCTTCTGCCATCGCCGGGTTGTCGATATTGGCTTCGTGTGCTCTATTTGTCTCAGCATCTTTTGCGAACCACCCCCTGGTAATGACTGCATGACTTGCGGCACTCATTTGGATATCGGGGATAACGCTAAGCCTGCTCTTCTGCCAAGGAAGAAGAAAAAGAAGAAGCGTGTCAATGGTGCGTCGGGGGCTGGAACGCCCATGTCAACGCCTACGCCGGGTCCTTGATATATTTTCCGCTGAGGTCGAATCATTAGGGCAAAGAGCATGTGCCAGTACCCTCTAGCTGAATTATCGAGGTCGGAATCGACGTTCCTGCCGGGGTTCAATGCTAAACACAACACTACATCTAGATACTAGTATGTGGAATTTGGGACAGCTCTCATATTACTACATACATGTAGTGTTGACCTCTTTAGGTACAGGCAGTGGGGACATCGGTGCTTTCTGAAACAATCTTTAATCACAACTTGGTGCCCAGTCTCAATGGGGAAGTCTGCCTAGGAAAAGCAAGCAAGGGCCGAGGAAACAATCGCTCATATTGGCATCGTGCAAGCGAAATGTCGCTGTGACAGAGGTAGGAAACACAAAGAGGGTATTGGTTTTGTCGAGGCCGATCACGGGATTGCAAGCAGGCCAGCGGAGGCGAAAACCGCGGGGATTTAACAGGTCTGAAGGTGGTAGAGCAAAACTTTTTGCTGCAACATCGTTGTAATTCTCGCCCAACACTAGAAGGCGCCTTGCGAACCTGGTGGAATCAAGTGTCAGCACTCATAGCTCATCCATATCTCCAACTTGATCATAGAATTTACAAGACTCAGAAAACTTAATCCGGCAGCCTCCCTGGGCAATAGTTCCTCGTGAGCCTCGCGACATTAGACAGGATGGCCTGTCCGCATTGCTGGACATCGAGGCGAGAGCCTATGAAATTTGTTTAGTAAGGAGCCTGCACAGTGACAATAATGAAATACTCACAAAAGAGTCGGTATTGTGAGCAAAGTAGAGTTCAATGCCGGAATTGCTTTTCTTAACAACGAGCACTCCGAGGGCGCCAAAGAGAACGCTGTTGCTCACAGCGGGGTGTTCTATCAAGCGAAAGCAAACGAATGTCAGTCTTCGCAGTGAGCAGTAATAAGAAGATCTGAAGAAAACGCACCGTTGAACTCCTTCTTCATCCACGCTCTGAGAGCCTCCTCTTCCATGACCTGGCTGAAACTACCGCCGTCGCCCATCTTCTGACTGTAGTACACACGCGTGGCGCAGGTGCTTGCCGCCAGCGTCCCCGCAATGAGCTCTCCAGTCCCCGATGTAACAACTGCACATGTCGTTCCATCTGGGTCGGTTGGATCCTGTGGAATGACATGAGTTCCAATGCCGATCAAGGCTGCAGGACCAATTCGGCCTCTATGCTTCATGCCGATCCCGCCAGAAGACGATCCGGCCGCAATATTACCGTACATGTCAATGGCAATGGCGCCGACAGTGTCTGTGATCGCATCTTCCTCATCCTGGTCACTATTGACGACCTCGGGACTGCCATCCCTAGTTGAGGGCAAATGTGAGACAGGCTGCACAGGTAAGTGAGGACTGTCGAGTTTTGTCTTTTTCGGAGATTGCTGCCCTGATGGGGACGGCAGACGTCGCCCCTTCGGATTCATCACAAGGCTTGGATGGGGCAGACTTTTGATTTCTTCGTCCGTGTCATAAGCACAGGCAGCTTTGGGAGCTTGGGTGGGGTTGTTTGTGGCTTGAGAAACATCCTCGAGGCGCTTGAGTCGAGCATCAAGGGGAGTCATCGGACGGCGAATCCAAGGGTCAATCTTTTCGCCGCACAATTCATGTTCAAAATCCCCGACTTCCGCTGACCATATACGATATCGTTCCAGAGCGACGGGGGATACCATAGCTTCCCCGGGCATAATCACCATGCCATGCTCCCATGCGAAATCCTTGGCACCTTCTCCGACCAGAAAGTTCGGAGGGACCCTTGACATACCCATTTGGACGTTCGACTTGTCATAGATCTTGCGAGCAAGCATAATCGGGTTCTTGATATCTAGCAGGATCCCAAGTTAGGCAAGACGGAGAAAGAGAACAGTCGGCATTGATTGAGAATCCAATAAACTTACTGGGTACAGCTCCAGCTGCTCCGCTTAGTCCATTATGGTCAACAATTGAGGCATCGCCTTCAACCACACCCTTCTCGTTCAAGTTGCTCCCAAATCCTGCATTCGTGATTGGATCATCTTCGAGCACCATCAACGCTGCTTCAACGGCGTCAATGGCAGTTCCACCGCACTTCAAGAATGCAATGGCCTTAAGCGCAGCTCTGTTTAGAAACATTTGTCAGATTGTGGGACCGTTGGATAAATAAGACTAGAACTGACATTTCACAGGCCTTCAGATGCTTGTGTTCATTCTCGCGGCTGTGGTAGCCCGCACCAGCATGCAGGAAGACAGCACAAACGCCATCGGTGTGGGATGCCTGCGACATATTGAGCCCCCAATTTGAAGACTCGCTTCAAGCAGGTTCTTCGAGTTTACCACGAGAAAAATATGCGCGATTGACTGTGATATCAAGCCGGAGTCAAGATATGGGCGGAAAGTGGGAAGTCCGAATACCGACGCAAGCAGGGCGTGAAAGGTGTTTGAAGATCAAATATGATTTATCGAACCAGAAGTGTTGCAAAGGCCCCGTTTGACGTGTTATCAGAACGATGTGAACATACAGATGCGACGGGTGGATTGTCAACTTATGGGTGTGTTTCTGCTGGGGACTGAGCTTGTTGATGACCGCAAAGGCTCTTTGTGAATTTTGCAATTCGAACTGAAGCGAGTGACAGCTTGAGCCTTCGGTCTACAGGGTCACCGGAAACCAATTCTCTAATCCTATGGCAGACTTCGGCACAGGAAATGAAGCAAGCGAATAGAGCCCGCGGCTAAACCATCCGTGTCGGGGTACGAGAAGAAGAATACACAGACCAAAGGCCAGCACTGCACTTGTGGCAGGCATAAAAATGATACAGGTTGGAATGATAAGTGAATGAGCGTCTTAGGGATTGAGAACGTGTAGATGAAGAGTTGGAAAAGAATAATCGTGAGAATTTATCGGAGCTCTAGTACTGGTTGTTCCTGCCATTGTATCGAAAGTGCATGGAAGTCGGTAAGTGCGCATTAATGGGCAAATTCTGTCGGGTGCCTGCTGTTTATATTGATTAATGCCATGTTGATACTCCGTGCTTCAAGGTGATTTACAACAGCTTAAATGCTGGCACATGATGTTGACGTGTGACTTGCCCTTAGGTAATCTGACCTCCGGGCACTGCATCTCCCCCCCGCCTTGTCTGCCTGTCCTCTTGGTCTCTCGAAGTCAGGGCTATTTCGGCTACAATTGATATTTGGCCGATTCCCTCATATTTGCCTTTCTCTAGACCTTACCTACGTTTCCTCTGACTGCCCGCCGCATCTCCATTGATTGTGTCCAGGCCCAACCACCCGCCATGGCGTCCCAAACACCAGCCGTTGTCATGGACAAGTAAGTTTACAGCTATAAACATTCAGATCAGGACATATGGCGCTGACTTGGTCTTTTTTTCTAGCGGAACTGGCTATTCCAAGCTTGGTATGTGCGATTTCTCCATGTTGGCGAGGTCGCGATCATGGATTAGGCTGACATGGTGCCTCCTCTGTTCTAGGTTTCGCCGGTAACGACTCCCCCTCATTTGTGTTCCCAACAGCAATTGCAACCAAAGCTGGTGCCGGAAGTGCTGGAAGCTCCGGGGGCCGGCCCCCAGTCGCCAACAAGCCTTCATTCCTAGGTTCCGGCGGGGCTAGCTCCAACTTGTCTGCAAAGCGTGGCACGGAGGACCTGGATTTCTTCATTGGTGATGAAGCGCTGGCTGCAGGCAGTGGTCCAGGATATGGCGTCAACTACCCGATTCGGCACGGACAGATCGAGAACTGGGACCACATGGAACGATTCTGGTCAAACTCGATCTTCAAATATCTCCGCGTGGAGCCCGAGGACCACTACTTCCTACTCACCGAACCTGTAAGACGAATGCGCATGCTACCTGTGGGCCGTGTTCAATTTTATGAGGTCTAACATTCTCAAATTTTAGCCCCTGAACCCTCCCGAGAATCGCGAGAACACCGCCGAGATCATGTTCGAGTCCTTTAACTGCGCCGGTCTGTACATCGCCGTGCAGGCAGTGCTCGCCCTCGCCGCCTCATGGACATCCTCCAAGGTGACGGACCGATCCCTGACTGGAACTGTCATTGACTCGGGTGATGGTGTAACCCACGTTATCCCCGTCGCCGAGGGCTACGTCATCGGGTCCTCTATCAAGAGCATCCCGATTGCCGGTCGCGACATCACATACTTTGTTCAGAGCTTGCTACGTGATCGCGGAGAACCCGATAGTAGTTTGAAGACGGCCGAGAAAGTCAAGGAGGAGTACTGCTATGTCAGCCCCGACATTGTCAAGGAGTTCGCACGTTACGACCGCGAGCCAGATCGCCTCCTGAAGCATAGTGTCAGTGCGCCCAATGGGCGGACTATAAACATCGACATTGGATACGAACGCTTCCTCGCTCCGGAAATCTTCTTCAACCCCGAAATTTACTCGTCCGAATTCCTCACCCCGCTCCCCAATGTCGTTGATGGCGTCATCCAGTCCTCCCCCATCGATGTCCGGAGAGGTCTCTATAAGAACATTGTACTCTCCGGTGGTTCCACTCTGTACAAGGACTTTGGTCGTCGTCTACAGCGTGACATCCGCCACTTGGTGGATGCACGAATTCGCGCCTCTGAGGCTCGCAGCGGTGGCGCACGGAGTGGTGGTCTCGATGTCGCTGTTGTTACCCACAAGCGCCAGCGTCACGGTCCCTGGTTCGGAGGCAGTCTGCTGGGTCAGACACCCGAGTTCCGGAGCTACTGCCACACTAAGGCGGAGTATGATGAGATTGGTCCCAGCATTGTGCGACGCTTCGCACTGCTTGGTGGCCCGGGAAGCTCGTAGAAGGAAAAGGAGTGGATATTATCATTAGATACTTGTCAGTCAATGTAGCTCAGCCTTTTGTTCATAGTCGATAGTCTATCTGTTTTCATTATTGCGTCTGGTGGTGCTTTCTTTTTATCAAAAACGGCATGGCGCCGGTGTTCATCGGCAGTTTCTCCCTTCAGGCCGCTTAGATCAAGCTGGCAAACCGTTGCCTCACTAATGTACAAAAGAAGTTGGAATTATGAATGTATTAAAGGCGTGCAATATATGCTATCGCCATCATGTTTCTTGGAATTTTTTTCCGGAACGCCATAGAGTATGCAATATCGGGTAAAATATATAACACCTCAATGATCAAAGATCATTCGAACGCCGTTTTCACAGATAAATTTATTCCTTCTGAGGGAAGGAGGTGCGGTTCAAGATAGCCACACCCTCGACGTGACCGGTCTGAGGGAAGAAGTCAAAGCCACGAATGCTTTCGATCTCGTAGCGAACATTCCGCTTCTCGTCACCCTGGACCATAACGGCAACATCGCGGGCTTGAGTGTGAACATTACAGCTGACATAGACCACACGACGTGGCTTGAAATCAAGCATCTGCTGCAGGAAGTCGTCGGAACATCCCTTGCGAGGGGGGTCGATAACTAGCAATGTCTGATCGGGCGGGTATGGGACATCCTTGAAAAGAGTAGCGGCGTCGGCATTAGCGAAGCCGGTGTTGGGGAGTTTGTTTGCGCGAGCATTCTCTCGTGCTGAAACGATAGAGGCGTCTCCAATATCGACACCGAGACTGGATTTGAACAGGGGGGAGAGAGTGATTGTGAATAAGCCCGATCCGGAGTATGCGTCCAAGAGGTACTTGATGGGCTTTGCGTCTTTGTCGTTGTCGGCAGGGATGGCTTGAGAGCGAATGTACTCTGTGAAGCCGGATAGGATGGAGTTGTTATTTTGGAAGAAGGAGCCAGCCTTGTTGCTGAACAGGTAATCGTCAATGTACTCGAAGGTTGTGGCGTTGTTGTCTGTGACGCAACGCTTCTCCTCGATGTAGTCTTCGCGCTCGATGCGGATTACATCGCCTGTGTCTGCGTTGGGGGTAGCGGCAATACCGCCGACCTCTTGTGGAGCTGCACCTCCATCAGTGGCAGATGCGACATCTTTGGGGATTCGTGCTGTGGACTCTCGCATCAGGAGAGTAGCGCCGCGCTTGTATGAGCGAATGTTCTCTGCGACTCGTTTCCTCTCACTAGTGAGACCGCGGCGCACAATATCTGTTCCTAATGGACAATCTTCAATGTCCAAATCCTTCCGTCGGTTCTTGTATGTAAATCCAATTGCAGGAATCAGCGCTTCTCCGTTCTCGTCTTCCTTGGGGCCCTTGGGTCCACCAACTTCGAAGTGTGGGGTGAGTTTAGTGCGATATCCATACTGCATTGGGGAGGGGAATGTTTCCCCAATGGTAGGAACAAGTTCGGGGATCAGTCCAGAGAAATTGGCATATGCTTTCTCCACAATACGGCGTTTGTGTGCAAGCTGGTCCTCGTAGGACATCATTTGAAGCTGGCATCCAGAACACTCCCCAAAGTATTTGCATCCGATTTTCGCATCGTCTCTCTGAGGACCCGGTTCGGTCACTTTGAGAAGATCAGTCAATACGTAGTTCAATCCGTGGAAATGCCTGACGACTTTGACGTGCGCGGTGTCACCAGGGACCGTAAATGGAACTACCAGGACATATTTCCCATTCTCTGAAAGCGCAAGACCGTCACCTGTGGAGGAAAGCTCGGAGATCTTGACTTCGAGCTCAGCGAACCTCTCGGGCAAGGACGCAGTCTCGTTTTGGCCGGAAACTTCAGCGTCTTCGGTTTCGTTTCGTTGGAGGAGTTGGTTGATGTCGTGAAGAAGGACCTCGTCGTGGCCACTGCTCTTTACTTTCTTGTTGAGCTTGGGCTTCTTCATTCTGCTGCCGAATTGTTTCTGGGCGTGCTTCTGAGGCACGGTTTCCTTCTGGGGACTGTTCTGCATCATTGCGGGGACTGGCGCAGTCGATGTAAAGCGCAAAGCGGAGGCTGACCACGGTTGCAAGGATGTTCGAGGTTGGGAAGACAAAGAAAAAGTCAATCTCCGAGCAGATGACCGAATCGCAAACATATGAGGTGAAAGCGACAGAGAAATCATTTCTGGAAACGAAAATCGCCCGATAGGAAATTTATTGGAAATGCATCTAGCGCGTCGCTGATTGGTTGAAGACTGACCGCCCGCAAGAGAGAAATTCATCCCGACGCTTCACCTCCGACTGGCCTCTTTTGCCTTTGCGTCCTCCAATTGTCTCCGCATTTCGCCGTTTCCTTCATTTTCAAGCTCTCAATTGGCCTATCGTTGGCTGGGGAGTCTCTTGCACCTTCATCATGAACGTCACACGCCCGGCGCGATGCCTTCTCTGCAGCTTTACCCGTGCTGCCACCCCGAGCACGCGAGTCCCTCGCCGCCAATTCCATCCTACTCCCGCGGCTCTCTCGAACCGGAAACCCAAGTTCCCCAATGTTAAGGCTCCCGAGACGGAAAAGTTCAAGGCCTACACAGAAGAGCAGAAGGCTGAGCTCGCCAAGGAGTACTCCGCAGCACAGATGGCCGCCATCGAGGCCGGCGAAGCTGCTATCGACCCGAAGGATATGGCAGAGCAGCTCAACGAACGCTCTGACCCCATGGGATTCAAATACATCGACGACTTCTCCGTGATCGAACCCGGCGTTGATCGACACCAGCGCGCCCCGGAGTCGAACTCTGATTACAACTTCACGATGAAGACCGAGGCAGATTTCATGAAGGACTTCGGCCAGTTCATCGCCGAGATGCCTGAGAATGCGACAGGCGCAGACTTTGTTCGATTCGCAGAAAACCTGCGCGTCACCCGCGGAAAGGAGGAGAGCGAGCTCGACCCCCACAGTGCGCTTGTACCGGACCTTTTCGGACCCGGCGAGACTATCGATGAGCCCCGTGTGGAAGAGCGCAAGACAGCCGCTGAGAAGGGCGAGAAGGAGCGGTCCGCGGAGGCGGAGGAAATGACAGATGCCCTCAAGAGCTTGCTTTTGGCTACAGGCTACACGGAGAAGCAGGTTAAGGATCTCCGCACCAAGACCCTGGTCTCGCACAGCGTCACCAACCAGACCCGACTAGGTAAGGTCCGCCGTGCATACCGCCTTTCTATTGCTGGTAACGGCAATGGTCTGCTCGGTATCGGCGAGGCCAAGTCCGACGAAGCTTCCGATGCTAAGATCCAATCGCAATACCGTGCCATCCGAAACATGCAGCCTATTCCCCGCTACGAGAACCGCACCATCTACGGTGATGTCAAGGGCAAGGTTGGAGCTACCGAGCTTCAATTGATGCACCGTCCCCCAGGTATGTCTAATTTCATTCCCCGCCGCATGTTCCATTTTACTAAGTATAACAGGCTTCGGTCTCCGTGTTCAGTACCTCATCTATGAGATGTGCCGCGCCAGCGGTATTCACGACCTGTCCGCCCGAGTTGGCCGCTCAAGGAACCAGATGAACACTGTCAAGGCCGCCTACGAGGCGCTCATGAGCCAGCGTAACCCCGAGCAAGTTGCTCACGCACTCGGCAAAAAGATTGTCGATGTGCGCAAGGTGTACTACGCAGGTAAGGTCTAGGGCTCCTATGCCTCTCACTTGCTGTTTTGTCCCAGCGTGTATATAATGCTTCTCTTTTCCTTCCTCTTCTTCTTGTGTCTTTTGCATGTACTTGTATAAGTCGGTTGTTTAACATGAAGGGTCATCAATTCTCCCGTATTCTGGGCTATTCATAGCATATCTGGAAAAAAATCATATATCAAGGAGGGTTTTCTGCATAAACACCGTTTGATTCGCCCCGTCAACAAAGACTTGAAATTGAACAACACCCCGGGTATAATACGCGAGTAACCACAAAAAAACCAAGCTCCATAGAAACACCCGATACCCTCATTTATTGGAATGTCATATCCCCCTCATCGTAACCTCCGCCATGCTGATATCCCTGATCCTGGTAATGCTGATCCTCGCTCTGCTGTTGTTGCTGCTGCTCTTCATTCTCATTCCAGATCTGCTGTTGCAGCACAATGCTATAAACACTGGCTTTGAGCAAGGTGCACACGGTCGCAGTCTTGCGCTCGAGGAGACGGAGGCCATCAAGCGGCATGGAAGCGGGGGAGCCAGCGAGGTCGGCGAGTTTATCGGAAAGCTGCGCAGTAGGATTGGTCAGTAAGTATTAAACCCAGTATTAAGATATCATATTTTTCCTAATGGGCAATTTGCTGGGAGATCCATCAAATCCAATGGAGACATTGTTTCCGGATGTACAAGCAAGGCTAACAAGATCTTTCCCACCTACCTGGTTCACATTTCGCAGCAATCGAGCATATTCTTCGAGCACTTCCTGCTCCAGATCAGAGACGAGGGGATTATCGGACCCCAGAAGGGGGTTATTCGAGTGGGCCCGGCCATGCGAGGCATCTGCGTCGGTGCTCATGGATTGACCTTGAGAGATCGGAGGGGTGGAAGTTTGCGCGGGGTCGGCCTCGGCGTACGAGTAGTCGAGGTCTGGATCTTCGGGCGCGAAAGCGGACATGGTGAAGGATTCGTTTGCAGTTCTCTAGAATGTGGTTTGTTGGTGGTGAGATGTGCAGTTTGTGTTTTCTGGGGTTCCGGGACGCGTTACCCAAGCTCCCGTCGTTGGATTTGGGGCATCGGAAGGGAACTTATTTCAACGTCAACACATAGCTTGCTGGCATTCTGACTACATACACTAGAAAGATTAATATTCCAAATGGCCTTTTTTGAGATGTCGATATTCTAGTAGGGGTTATACTACTCCGTGCAAAATATTCATGAAACAAGCATGAAAGCTGCATTTCTACCTATCCACCGTTTAGCTTCTCCGGTAGGTGAGCTGGATCTGCAGTAGATAATAATGGATCTTAGCGATATATCAATCGAGGCTCTCTTCCTGTTTCATTTTCTTCTTTCTAGAGAAATCTCTGACTCCTAAAATTAGAATTCTGTCTCAAACTCCTTTTATGTTGCGGCCTCATGCCCCCCCATCTTCGGATTAAATCTTACCCAACAGGTGGCTTAATATAGCAATTGCGCTTACTTTTGTATTAAAAATGACTTGTGCAGAGCAATGAAGGTGCTCTTCGGAGAATTCTGCATATTCTGAATCATCTAACTGATTTCTAGGGACTCGAGTTCTCCTCGATATATACGTACTTACTCCGTAGTGGTCAATGATTTTGAAATAAGGAGCGCCCCTCTAGTCCAGAGAACCCAAATCCGACTGCCTGTTCAGGCAAGCCCTGAGCCATCATTCGTAAACGCATTAGCGTTCCTCTTCCAGCCGCAGGAGCCCCTTCGCTACGAAGCGAATCCCACTTCATAGCTGATGATCTCGGCCCAACCACAGTTCTCGGGTAAAGAGACCATTTTCAGCAACTATCTCAAGCAAACAACAGACCACTGGAATAACATTTGCGACACTGAAATCCAGCCGTGTTCGCTGTGTAGAAAAAGCGCCACACTCCTGGGTCATGTTGTGCTGCTACGACTCTACGGCTCAGACAGAGAAGAGATCCCACTCTAGCAAATCTTTAGAGTTGTAAAGTTCCGGTGGGGGAGCAGGTCCAGGAGCTAATTCTACGAATTACGACGTATGATGTATCTGTAAATTATTGTTGTTGGAAAGTTGACGCTGCAAGGCATTCAGAAGCCTATGGAACGATCACTTCCTTCCTGAAACACGATTACTTTTTTTTTAATCGAGCAATGATCACCGGCTTTCATCCTTGTGGATGCTCAGTGTGATCCCTGGGAGATTGGGATTATCGAAGAGATTGTGAAATATTCTGTTATAAGTACATGTGGCTGTAGCCAACTACTCCGTACGGAGTACTCCGTTACCCTCGGGGCACTTAATTTAAGGAGTTTGATCCTCTGTCCCTTTTTTCAAGCTGTCGGGGATAATCCCATAGGGAACAGTATGGATCGTCAGCTGGCGGACCGGCCCCGAAAGCAAATAAAAATGGGTGGAAGAGGCTAGCGAGGCTAAGCTCGTAAGTGAGCTCCAAGACCTCCGTGTTCAACTAAGATGCAAGCATCCCCAAATCCAGTGGCTTTCCTCCATTGTAAAATGCTTAAGTGGAGCTGTTCAAAGACTGATAACTTTACTCCATGTTGATCGTTTCCATAATAATTTCCAAATCATTTCTTAATTGGTACATACACATCGATGTAGGACAAGGTTACTTCTAGCTCCGTTTCTGCTTAATTGAAATAGTTATAGATCCCTCCATAACATGCTATTTTGATTCGATATGCGAGATCATTCCAGCCAAAATGTAAAACCTTCGTATTCAGCAATTGTCTCATTATTGATAGAAATGAATATCCCGATTTGGAAGCGGGTGAGTGCTCTATATCGTAGAGATCCAGTCCTCGTACCATTGACACTTTTAGAACGACTCCTCCCCTGAGCAATGCCCCGCCAAGAATTTAGAGGCATCACTAGGAGGCGCCAATTTCTAGAAACTGTTTTTGCCCCGCAAAATTCCCAGGAGGTCTATTGCACCCAGGTGGCGCAAACTAACTGCGCCTCTACTTTATTAAAGCGCGAGCCTAGACCTACAATAGGGCTATATTGTGCTCGATACGGAGCACACGCGGCGCCGTCGCCTCCAGTAACTGGTTCAGATAAATACGATCTTAACTATTCCGTACTCCGTACGGAGTAACGTTATGGCCTTATGTGCATTTGCCGCTACCAATACCGGGTCGACTCTAGTGTAGCAAAGGAGCCTTGGCGTTGAGGGTTTCCACATTATAATCGTTTGCTCAAAGGTCTTGGCCTTGACCGCATGTTGTGTTATCTCATATTGTGGATCATGAGAACACCGAAATAGGAGGACTCGCAAGCGTCAAGTGGCGATTTTGTCCTTACGTAGCAGAAGAAAGGAAATCGATACGTAAGTGTCTGTTACTAGCACGGGATAGGCTGGCGATATTAACCAGTCGTCGGGTTGCAGGGCTTGAGCGGCAATGGAGGGGCAAAAATGGAAGATCTCTTTGCTTCGACGGTTCACAGACGTTTTGTTTCTCAAAGGATTCATGGATTCTGGTCCCTGACCCATATAAAGTTGCCCAAAGGTGTTGTTCCTAGGGTTGGGGTGGACACGTGTCAAAGACTTTCCCGAATTGGTTAGAGGCTTTCCACTATTAGCCAAGAACGGCTAGCCAGACAGTCAGATCGGTGCTCCGTACGGAGTACTCCGTCCTCCGTACGGAGTATACCAATACAACTCGCCACTTAAAGCAAAAATAGGCCCAAGGAGTCTCAGGGGATCCTGAGACTTATGGGACTCATTCTAACAATCTTCTCTGTGGATTTCATGAGTTAGTGCTATATAGTGCAATATTTAGCAACATCGCATGTGAAGTGGGGTACGGAGTAGAATGCTCTGGGATAGGGGGAAGGCTAATTCGAACGATCTAATTCAATTTCCGACAGGGGCAACCAAGGTTTAAGCTTGTTTTAGCTCAACTTATCAACGGGACACACGGTGTTCCATACGTGGTACATACAAGGTACAACAACATACGCGTACCTCAGCGAACGGCCCGCCTTATTTATCGTCGCCACATATGTACTCCGTAGCCAGTCCACGGTCATGTCACATCGCCCTCATCAACATAATATCCACATTGACTCCTCCCTTCCCCATGGAGTGTTTCCGTGTCCACATCTCGGTTGGACAGACCAATTTACACTGCCCCCTTTGTCTCCCCTGGAGAGGGAACGGGATGTCTCGCGCTCCGGCACTAAGCCAAGGTAACATAATAGATTAATAGATATATCGTGATAGCGAGTAAAAGAGTGAAAAGAAATCTTACGGGACATATATTCTTTATAGTTCTCTCATGGCCATATCCTTCTTGTATATCCAAGTCTCTACACGCAAACAAACTTGATTCGATTGATCATATTTTATTCCGGGTCTCTTTGGTGAACTATATCAGATGAGCAACACGTCCACCCTGGCTAGGGCCAGAGACAATGTCTTCTCAAGACGTGAGATCGAAGGCATGCTTGCTGACGGCAAGTTGATCGTGATAGTCGACGGGCAGGTCCTGAGACTAGATGCATGGATCAAATTCCATCCTGGAGGTGACATGGCCATCAAGCATATGATAGGCAAAGATGCCACGGATGAGGTGAATGCGTGAGTCCCCCTACGTTGTTCTCATGCTTGATGTTGCACTGTGCTGACACATATGCCGAAGACTACATTCACAGGAAGCCCGTCAGCGCATGAACAACTTCCGAATTGGTCGTATCGAAGGCCGGTGGACCAACTTCCTCCCACCCATTCAAGGCGGCAAATTCCGTCCACTTGTCGAAGACGAAGTCGACGAAGAAGACATTCTGAGCGAAGAATTATCAAGCGATGACATTTCAGCACCACCATCACCCATATTCGAAGCCGCAGACGATACATGGGGCCTAAGACGCAGGCTATCAGTATCAACCATGTCCTCGGCAGTCAGCGCCATCCCTCCACCAACAGAAGAAAAGGCACGGGGGTACGTGATTGACGCTCGCACACGAGAGGAGATCGAGCTAGATGCATCCAAATACCCTCCCCTCGACGCAGAGCACCAAGAATATATCACGACAAGATACCGCGAGTTGAACGAGCGTATCCGCGCAGCAGGCCTATACAACTGCAACTACTCAGCCTACGCCATTGAAATCAGCCGTTACACTCTCTTCTTCTCCCTGTTCGTCTTCTTCCTCAAGCACTCCTGGTTCTGCCTTTCAGGCTTCTTCCTCGGTTGCTTCTGGCACCAACTCGTCTTCTCCGCCCATGATGCTGGCCACATGGGAATCACACACAACTACCAGGTCGACACCACAATCGGCATGATCATCGCCGACTATCTCGGCGGCCTAAGCCTAGGCTGGTGGAAACGCAGCCACAACGTCCACCACATCGTAACGAACGCCCCGGAGCACGACCCGGATATCGAACTGATGCCCTTCTTCGCGCTCTCGCACCGCTTCTTCAGCTCCCTCCGCAGCACCTACTACGACCGCGTCATGGAGTACGACGCCGTCGCCAAATTCACCGTCAAGTACCAGCACTACATGTACTACCCGATTCTGCTCTTCGGCCGCTTCAACCTCTACTTCCTTAGCTGGGAACACATCATCGTCGGCCGGGGCCCGAAACACGGTGCAGGCTGGTGGCACCGCTGGTTCGAGCTCGCCGGCCAGGTCTTCTTCTGGGTTTGGTTTGGGTACGGGGTTGTATGGTGCAACATTCCGAGCTGGTGGAGCCGGGTTGCGTTCGTGTTGATTTCGCATATGGTGACCGCGCCGCTGCATGTGCAGATTACGCTTTCGCACTACGCTATGTCGACGGCTGACCTGGGGCCGTTGGAGTCTTTCCCTCAGAAGATGCTCCGCACTACGATGGATGTGGATTGTCCGCAGTGGCTGGACTTTTTCCATGGTGGTTTGCAGTTCCAGGCTATTCATCATCTGTACCCTCGTATCCCGCGGCATAACCTGCGCAGGACGCAGCAGTTCGTTCGGGAGTTTTGTGAGGATGTGAAGATTCCATATGCGGTTTTTACTTTCTATGATGGTAATAAGGAAGTCATTGGTCGTCTTGCGGATGTTGCTAGGCAGGCGAGGATCCTAGAAGAGTGTCGGAAGGCTTGTGCGGCAGATCCTCACCATCTGCACTAATGATGACTTGCTCTTTTGTGATACTTTTTTGGAAATTTTGGGATTGAATTGGACATTTTTGCAAATTGGTCATAAATTGAAATCGTTCAAGCGAAACTTCTGGGTTCATGAGTACATCTTTTTGTCAGTAATAGTGCTACACGTAAATTGCCTTGAAGCGTGTAATCAAAAATCTCATTGCTACGGTAAGACTGATTGTGAGTGTGAAAGTCCACATTCGAGGGTGCTCTGTTGGTAAATACCCACCTGTCCCTGCTTTTGCCACTGTCTTGTCTGTGACTGGCTATCCATGAGTGCAATTCGATGATCGAACGGATTAGCCAACTTTGAGGCAGATCGGATCTTACTTGGAGGATGCAAACACCCTAGGAGATGTCTAAGCTTGTGACCAACTCCCGGGAGCAGTCCGAAATTAGCCGATCGATGCACGCCAAAACACTCAAAAGTCTGTTGAGATTAGATATCAGATACAACAAACATGGCGGAACATAGGTTGGATGCTGAGACTTCCTCGAGATTTGGGAGAACATCGCATCACAGCACAGGCGAAATTGAAAATGTGAAGTTAAAATTGAAAGAGCTCGCAGTAATAAGTTGATCCAATTGATCCATACAAATGTCACGCTGAAAGAGTGACCCGAAAGTGAATCCATAACGCCGTGCGCTGCGAAGTGGGATTAAAAAGCAGATGTATAGCACAGTTTTCGAGGGAAAGCGCGAAGGAAGACAAAAACACAAGAGCAGCTCAAGGGTCGTGACGTAGACCATGCAAGGCGATGGCAAGGAACGGCTCAGTGCGGATGCTATGTCGCCCTGAAATGAATGCGCAATCGAGGGAAATCCAGGTCCTTGGACGAAAAAAAAAGGCGAGATGCAGAGCACAAGAGGAGCAACAAGGCATGATAACGAGATGGAAAGGAGAAAGAGAAAAAGCTTGGAATAAATCCACCATAAAACAAAAGTCCCGAAACACTCCATACACCCAACGAGGATTGCAATGGAAGAATAGCATCTAAATACAGTCGTTAATGCATCATGGTCGTCAGCGAGCCGACGCATATACGGCTGTTTTCCTCGTGTATCGGATAAAAGAAACAAGTGACGAAAAATGAAGATGCAGGCTTTACATATCCCCCTCGTGGTGAAGGGTGACACTGTTAAACTCCTCGAAGGGATCGTTGAGTTCGCCGTTCGGGGTTGCGAGGCCTGAATCCATAGGAACACCCTTCATCTTGGTAGAATTGGTGCCGCCAATATCTACGCTGGCGCTTTCTTTGACGTTGCGGAAGTTGACCGTGTCTGTGCCGACACGACCCTGGTGAGGGATCATGGGTGGCTTCATATGGCGAATGAGCGCCCATTGGGTCTGTCGGAAGAAGGGGTGAGTCTTAACATCAGAGGCGCCAGCACGGGCGCCTAGGCGCTTGGTTTCATCTTTAATAAGCAATTTGCGAATCAGAGACTTGCACAGTTGTGAGGTCTGCTGTACGTTGGAATGATCAGGGAAGTTCACCTCATCCCGTAGGATGCTGGCAAATGTTGCGTTTCGATTCTTGCCCTTGAATGGAGTAGTGCCGAAAAGCATCTCGTAAATCAAAATACCCAGGGTCCACCAATCGACTGCACTGGTATGACCACATCCCTTGATCACCTCCGGTGCAATGTATTCTTCCGTTCCGACGAAGGAATTCGTTCGGAAATCAGCGATACACGACTTCGTATCAATAGTAGGCAAAGCTGTGGTAGAGTTGCCACCACTGCGTGCAGGAATCATTGTTGGGGCTCCTCCGGGTCCAGACTGCTTCGAGAGATCGAAATCAGAAAGCATGATATGACCAGACTGGTGGAGGAGGATGTTTTCTGGCTTCAAATCACGGTAAATGAAACCCATGAGATGAAGATACTCTAGCGCAGCAGTGACCTCTGCAGCATAGAAGCGGGCTGCATCCTCGGAGATACTCTTGCCAGGGCGAGTTTGCAGAGCTAAAGATACGAGTCAGCAAGAATTCTATGCACTAAGGTCCAATGGTCCAATCAATGGACGGGAGAAAAAGAGAAAACGCACTTCTGAAGAACTCGCCACCACTGCAGTACTCCATGCAGAGATATAGATAGTCCTCGGATTGGAAAGAGTGATAGAGGGTGACGATGAATGGGTGATTGCTTGTAGCCAGAATTTCTTGTTCGGCCAAGGCTCGTTTAATCTTGTTGCGTTTGATCATCTCCTTCTTGCTCAGAACTAGGCGGAAGTCAGTATCAAAACTCATAGATCAGCAGCGAACCAAAAGAAAACCCCACCCTTCATGGCATAGAGACGACTTGACTTCTTCTCGCGCACCAGATAGACTTTGCCAACATCGCCCTTCCCGATCAGCTTGATCTTGTCAAAGCTAGCGGGGCCAACTTCAACGTTCCGGACTTTGATGGAGTTCGAACTGTAGGTGCGTCGGAAGGAAGCGTTGTTAATCATATCTGAACTGAGTGAAGGCACGGCCAAAGTAGTTTCATCGCTGCCCGAACAGGCCATCTCAACCGAGCCACCGGGTTGTTCTGCAAGGGGTTCCTTTCCAAACTCTGCTGTCTGAGGACGGTTGCCTTGTCCACTTGTGAATAGGCCTTGAGCATTTGGGGCAGACGCTACACGTCTTAACTTGCGCGCTAATTCCTCTTTGTTCGCGGTGGTCGCCTGTTCTACACCTGATACTCCAGTGACTTGCAACTCGGGGGTATCGGGGGAGAGGAAGGTACTGAGCCATCATTCCGGTGTCGCAGTGCAGGCTGACCCTGGTGGGCAAAGTATGGGTTGGCGGATGCGGTAGGCGACATTGATTCATCGAGAGGATTTCCCTCACTAGCAACCGTTGTTGAACGATTGCGACCAATGCCCGGCAGGAATCGAGACTGCCGGAAAGCAGACTTCTCGTTTTTAACGGACCCATGGCTATCACGGTCACGTTCCCGTTCAGTACTACCAGAGGCGGTGGGAGTGGCCGAGGTGTGGCTGCTTGAACTGTTGATTCGGAAAAAATTCTTGATCCTCGTAGGTAAGTGGCCGGACTCGTTGGTGTGCTTTCGCGTGGGAAGGGAGAGAGCGGGGAAATTCCCGCGCTTCTCGTTGTTTGTCACTGGCGACGGACTTGAAGCGAAAAGCTGCGTCATATTGAGTGGGTCGCCGAGATCGAAATCAAGATTGAGATCACTGACAGCCACCTAGGATCTGTCAAAAAGATGATCCCAAGGGGACGTGCAAAAGCAAGGATGGAAGGGCGGTAGTCCAAAATGCCAAGTGCCGGCTGGGGATAACCGCGCGGGGGGGCGATTGTTAGTAAGAGGCGGTACAACAGGGGCTGTCCACCCAAAGAACTGGAATGACAAGGGCCACAAAAACTAGACTCATGGAACAGACATGTCAGAAACAAAGCAATAGGAAATGAAGACCAGAGATTGAACGATCAGAGGAAGGGAAGAATCAAGGAGGGAAATGGGTGGAGACTCGCGCGGAGCCCAGATCTTAGTCAGCCTCAACCCACCCCGGAGCCCGGAGGTCCAGTCCAGCCTACGGAGATTGATATCATATTTTGATGTATCGGATGAACAGGACATTTAAGATGAAGCCAACCGAGAGCCAAAAAAATTATACAAAGATAATCGAGGACTCCAGACCTACAAGTATTCTGTTACAATCAAGTGCGCAGTGGCGACATCCCAAACTCACGGCTCTTTACAGGGGCAGTGCACGGGTAACTCATACAATTCCATTCAGATGGATATCAATACAGTAAAGTGTTTCTTGAATAGCACTCTTCCAAGGTTTCTTCCGAGATTCCTAAGCCTCTTTGTTGTTGTTTTTCCGCTGTGTCTTTGGTGCCTTCGTGTTTTTTTCCCTCCCCAGCTTGTTGTTCACGCATCGCATACATAGACAACTGGAATGCTTGGCATAGGCAACCATGCTGTGTGGAATGATTTTGATTAACGATGTTCAGCATGCGCATGTATCTTGCTGGTGTTCACAATCGCCGGTGCAGTATGTTGAGCATCAACATGAATGAACTGTAAATAAACAGGCGAGAAACGGGTGTTCTGCTGGCTGTCCGGTGCATCAAAACCGAGAATAGTCCTTGCGATTGTTGCGGGCATTTCATCGCTCGAGGCGCTATCCAACCTCCATGAGTTCTTACGCGAGCGACGCGCATTGCGAATGTTTATGCGTGCATCCCGCCTCCAACGAGCTTGCAAGCTTGATGAAATCATAGGTGACCCGTTGGCGCTAAGACTTCCTACTGGCGCATCATGCCTATTTCGGGAATTCGATCTGGAGACAGCGCGAGCAGGGCTATTCCGGGACAATAAAGGAGCATCAATCGTCCGATATGGACCATCTTTCCTGGAACCATCCATTGTCAAAGTGATGCTTGTACTGCGTAATGTCTCCGGACTGCTGTTAATACATGTCAAACCTGGCCTCTCATCCAACGACGATCGTGTGCAACTTACCTGCGGCCCGTATCCTCTTGTGAACTTTCTGCTAATGAGCCCCCTTTCTGTTCCACAGACTCTTCCTGTTGCCGGTTGTCCTGAACATCAACCTGAAGCATATCGATGGAATCTCCTTGGTAATCCCCAAACTCAAATACTGCGAAAGATCTGTCTCCTGTCCTCTGTCGTTCTTCGTTGGAGCCATCTAGACCAGGGAAATTGGCGAAGGCACTTGGATTGAAGTCTTGTCCAACCTGAGATGCAATTTCTTCTGGCGAACGGACCGGTCCACTCTCAGACGCAATTCCATATTCGAGCAAATCACTCCCATACTCGAGGGAGGAGAGCCGTAATCTTCTAGTCATATCTTGCCGCTCATCCAGACCACCCCAAACGGGTTCACCGATAGATTCACTGTGAAGAATATGTTGGTCAATCTCAGGTTCATTGCTTTCTGTTATAGCGTGCGTTTCAGACTCGAGCGAAGCCGTGAAGCTTCTTTTACTACTCTGTTGCTCGTCATTTGGGTTACCCACAAGTTCATCAAGTGATTCGTTCTGAACAATCTGTTGCTCAATTTGAGGCAGATTATCTTCCGAAGTGTTGTACGGTTCATCCTCATTGCTGCGGTTCTGAGATTTAGCATTGTCCAAGTGATTTGATCTACAACAAAAAGAACTCACATGTTAATCACAGTGCTAGGTGTACGAGCTCCGTCGGTTGCCACTGTGCTTGCTGATTCAACACTGAGACCTTCTTGGTCTATTTCGGTGATTGATCGCAGTGGTGACCTGGTATTCTGGCCATTGCGGCCGAAGTTTCGAGGCACGGTGTTGCTGATGAGGCCTCTATCTCTTGGGCCAGGCTGCGTCCATGTCTCCTGGGGGATCCAGGATGTGGTATCATTGTCTGTCGGCTCAGAATGCGTCTCTTCCACGGATGGTTGGGTTGCTCGTGGGCTGGTCGCGTCAAAGAGCGAAACATCGCCCCCCGCCGGCATATTGTCAGCTGTTTGATCATTTTGATGCAGAAGCCCAGAGTTTCTAAACACATCCCTGCTCCTAGCATTGTTTGTTGCTGTCAATATTTGCCTCTGGAATTCGATTGGATGGCCAGTGTGTGGGTCAATGATTGGAACTCCACGATGGATGTTGGCACGGTCAGTCTCAGTACTACCGGTAACCGACGTTTCATTGCCTGAACTGCCATTTTCATTTGTCTCATGGCGAACGGGGCTTTGTAGACTCCGGGGACTTGGATTGATGGTGGGAGTGTTCACAATAGGTGTAACTACACTCTGTCTAAGCAATTCAAGTTCATCCAAGGCGTTAAGTACCCTCGCTCGCTCTGTGGTATTCCAAACACGTAGATCATAAGACCAATCGCCAGGTGTTGCTTGTGGATTTAGTGCGATGAATTCATTAACCTCCCTGAGATATCTTTCATGGGCCAGAAGCTTACTCTGCAGCTGCCATTCGGCTTCAGCCGCAAGAATAGTACCCGCGAGCCATGCACATTTGACAAACCGGCGATAGTAATCGATGTTTGGGAAAAGGCCAGGTCTATCAACCAGCGCCATCATCATGTTGATTGAGGTATCATCATGCGCAATTATCCTTGCAAACAAAGTCCATCGTACCACAAGGGCTTCGGTATCAAAAATGTCGACTGTGATCTCATCGGGAAAGCCTCCCTCCGCTCTATTTGGAGATTGACTATCAGATTCCGGCTCGGATTCACGGAAGGGTTGTTGCACCGTCCATTCGGATTCTGTAGGATCCAACCTCATCAATTCGGCAAAAGCAAAAGCCCGTTCCTGGGCCTCCTCCTGGGTTTGGGGTGTCCCAAACAGGATCGCGGGTGGCAATTGCTCGGGGCATGCATCCCCAAATTCAATGGAGGATCGCATGGTTAACGCGTTCTCACGCATATCTCTGGTGGGATGGCCAACAACAATTCCATCATCATGATAGCCAGATTGAACGAGAACTTCGTCATCATCCATTGCTTCTCTCGAGCCAGGCAATGGGCCATTAAGACGAGGTGGGCTTGCTGGCTCCATGGGAACAATTCTCCCTCCAGCTGTGACTCTCTGGTGCTTTGGGGAGGTGTGGTTCTTCAAGAATTGAGCGAACCCAGCGTCGTTAGCGGCAAATAAAGGGCGTGCAATTTTCTTGTTGGTATGCGTTGGGTTAGCTTGGTGCTTGGGTTTTGATACTGGACTCTTGGTCGGTCGGGACGGCCTGACTGGCTTTCCAGTCGGCCGATTTCGTGGGTTCTCCGAGAGAATTGACTTAGTCCTTCGACCTGGACGCGCTGATCTGCCTATGATAATGGTCAGTGTGATCCCCTCATTGTGTGATCGATAGATCCTGAAACCCATGGTCCCCCTGATTGATATACTGGAGACCAGTGCATCTCAGGCACACAATAAGCTGCTTATTGTTTCGCACAATCCATGTTTATCAAGAGAGTCATCAAAGGGAAACTCACAGTGTCTTGCTTGACTAGTCCAGTTGCAGTGCACGCCCGTATCCTGGCACAAAGCTAACAGTGTTGGGATATTGTACCTCATTTTGTTCATTGAGATGGGTTATTTACCTGTTTAGAATGATGACAGCGAGTAGACTCAATAAAAATGAGGCTTTCAAGGAAATCTAGTTGGAAGGCGCAGGGATGGTGGAGAGAGAAGAAGGAACGAATGCTCGAGGCTATTCAGGGATTGAGACAAAGTCCACCCACAACGCGTCTGCTATACCGTAGGACGCGTCAAAGTCGGAAAAACTGCAAGAAACGATCTCAAGAGAAGCAGAGATGAAAGACCACGGGATCAGGAATGAAACCCAAGAAGTTCGCGAACGAAAGTTACCTAGTTCAACGGCGACATAATACGACCTATACACTCTCGCGGATTTTCACTGGTCGAAGACCACTATGTATACGCCAATCATCATCGCCATCAATAGGCCATCTGACTTTTGTACCATCAGAATGGACATTCTCCATCTCTTTCCTTCCTTGGCTCATTTCCCAGCTCCCTAGACGCTCATGGCCTTGCACAACAACTCCAGTAGGAAGGTCATGGGTAGCTTCCGTGTTGCTGGACTTCGAATTTTCCCATACAGGTTCTCGGAATGACACATCAACATCACTGGCGAGCTTGCCAGGACCTTTAAATCCCCCCAGGCTTGCTTTGCGGGCTTTGCTCTTGCGAATTCCACACACGAAGGACACAATGGCTGCTATGATTGCGACAGCAACAAGCGTCACGACGGCACCAATAACCCCGGCCACAGCGGGAGACATGTTCTTCTTTTTCTTTCGGTATGATGCATTCTGATCTAATACTCCATTGCAGAATACAGATTCAGCGTTACACCAAAGGCACCATTCCTGGGTTGAAGCCACAGCAAATGTCTCCAGTTCGGAGCGGAACTCATTATATGAGATTGATGCACGACTGGGGCCATGTCCGAAGAAGGAATACGGCTGAAACTCGGTAGCATCATTGGTCCCATTGTGAAGGAAGAACCGGACATACAGATTGTCGATTTCTGGATATGACGGATACGATTCGCTGCTGTCCTCAAAGCTGTACAGCTCGAAGACAAAGGAGCCACCTCGTGCTAGACGGGAAAAGAAATTGGACTGCTGCTGGTTTGCGAGTCCCATCAGAGAGGACAGGGCCATGGCTGGCTCATCACCACCAAACACCAATGTCATCTTCTGCCGAGCACCATTTTCTTGAATGTTGAGATTGAATGCTTCAATAATACTCGATGCCAACGCCTGCCCCGCAATTGGACTGGCTGCTCTGCTGGTGGACCTAGACTCGCTCGAGGATGATTGTTGGCTGTTCGTGCTCCACATGTACTGGTCCGCCAGTGAGCGCGCGCGGCGGATGTCGGCGTGGTTCAGGCTTTCTAGCAAGCTATTATTGTGCACAAGTTCATACTCCAAGTACTCTGAGATTTGAACGGCATTCTTGTAAGTCACAAATGATTCATCATAGACCCCAGATAATGCCAGCTTCCAAATTTTTCTGTAGAGGGCCTCTGTGTCTCGCGTGATGTCCTGGACCTCCTCACTGTCACGGTATTCAGCTTCGGCAGCATGGTACACGTTACACGCTGCCTGGCCTTCGACGAAAATTGACTGAGGATCCGCCTCGCCAACTGTGACAATCCGCGGATATTGGTATCCGTTCAAAGGCGCCTGTGCAAATGATCCATTCGCATTCTGGCTACTCGATACATTCATGGAGCCGAGGGGTGGGTACAGACCCTGCATGAATGCTTGAGCAGAAGCAACGACGCTCTGGTCTGTAGTCGAGAGCACATCCACATCGTTTGAGTCTAAAATGATTGGAGATATGTTCTGGATCCCAGTTGCGGAACCTTCAACAGGTGATATATAACGATGGCGGAAAGCCGATGCTGCCGCGGCGAGTCCGTTGGCTCCATAGTCCGTCAAAGTTCTAGCCAGGGTACTTGGCTTACTGTCTCCATAAACAGTAAACGCAAAGACTTCCCATACCTTCTCCGTAGAGGAGGACTCATAGGCCGAGACCAAAGCCGGACCTTGCAGGGCTAGGAGCACGATGAGAAGGCCGTCGTACACTAACATGGCTTACAAACTTCGGAGACCAGCAAGTTTTGGGTGTATTGATTGATTTACTCTACAGAATACTGGGGAACATCTCTTTTGTAAGAACATTAGGTCGCGATGGTCCAGACCCCAGAGGGTAGTGCTAGGGCTGTTAGACCTGCCAGGATACCCGGGAACCAGAGAATAAATTTACCCGCTTTCGGAAACTGTTACTGCAGAAAGTAGACCAGCCGGCTCTTTATTGTTGTCAGTGAAAACTTAAGATCCTTCAAAGTTTCGGGATCTTCGGGTGGTGAGTATAAGGTGAATCTTGACGACATTCAGCATCCAGGGAAATTGGTTCCGGGACGAGTCCCAGAATATTGCAGAACTTATCAATGGAGTACTTTGGAGGTTCATAGAGAGCAACAGTTGACGGTAGAAGTCAGCAAGCCAACTATCTAGGGTAGAAATATATTTCTACGAGACCACTGTTGATTTTTAGAAACGATGCATCAAATACGATTTTACCAGCACTCCGACCTTTCATGTTAGAAATCATGAAAATTCAACGAAGATCTCCTTCCAGGACTGTGTTTCCCATAGGGTTGTCGGGTAACGTTGCAAGCAATTTACAATATCGTGTCGATGACGTGCACAAATTATTCGTGTTGAAAAGACTTCTTATATGCCTCAACCATGGTACCAATATGCTTTTACAAATTGCAGATAATGAATTATGAACCTAGAGAGACGTGCTAATAGGTACCCGTGTATCTACATATACATACAATCTCCATATAGATCAGTTACATCGGTCCATGGCCAAAACTTGTAGCTAAGCCTTGTCTGAAAGAAAGGAAAGCCAAGCGGGGCGGAATCAAGATGAAGCTACTCCGTAGCAATCGCCGAGAATTTTCGGCATGTGGCGAAGCAAGAAAACTACGAAGTACATGCACCTAAGTTCAAGATGAGAGATTTGAAGCAAACATCTTGATACGGAGAGGTCGACACATCGCCAGGGCAAAACTAAAGCTCATAGTAGATATTCTCGTATATTCCCATACATTGTAGCATACCCAATGTAAGATATCATTTACATAAAGGTATTAATGATGTATGAAAATAGGTATATATTGTAGTGCTGTCTTCAAGCAAGCACCGTACTTGGAGGAGAATCAAGGTGAGGGCGGGGAGACAAGGGGCAAGGCGTAAAGGAACGCACAATTCATGTGATCGACGCACCCCTTCCGCCCAAATCCGCGGTTCCTCTTCCTTCTCTCTTCCTCTCTCCCCATCCTCTACGCACATTTTCTTTTAACACCACGCATCCACTCATCTTCCCGAAGTTTCGCCGCCTGGCAGAAAAATCCTCGTCTCCCTCGATTCCTTCTCTCGCAAGCCCTACAAACGCGCCCTATCCCTAAGCCCTCATTTCTGCTCTCGGAAGTTGATACCCCGACCCCAGCCAGGTGTCTCGTCCAAATGGTCGAAACACGAGGCGCGCGGCCATCTTTCGATGGCCAAGAGACATCTGACTTCCCCCTTTCCCCTCCGAGGAAGGCGACATTGGTAAGTGTTCTGTCGCGCCTCTTCCGATCCTCCCGATAACAGCTCCAACCACCCGACCCAGAGCTATCAACCCCCGCCACTAACCTCAATGCAATTGACAATGCCATTGGTACTAATCATTTCAATGTGAACCACAGACCAAAAGCCGTCCCATCCCCTCGATGAGGAACATGGCTCGCCGCCCGCTGCCAAAAAGCGCCGCACGGGCGATGGTCCGGACGGTGACATTTCTCTGCCCGATCAAGTCCTCTTGATGGCCGATCAGCATGGTCCTGGACACAAAATCGAAGAAGAGCTGGCCTCGGCTCTGGGAGAAGGTGTCATTGACACCGTTGAGCAAACCGAATCCCACGTGAACGAAGCTCTTCAGCATAGCACTCATGACACCCCTACTGGGGCCGGGAGCGCGCATGATCCCTCTGGCCTCAACTCCGACGTGGCTACAATCATTTCCGATATTATGGACCACACAGAGCGTCAGGAGCAAACCGTCGCAATGGGGCCTCAGGAGCTTCCTCCGTCAAATGACTTCCCGGGAGCCAGAGGCTTTGCCTTCCTCAAGGCCAACTCCCACCTGAAGATCCAGAGTCTTCCTATCCTGGACAATCTGGTATGTTAAACTGATTATATTTATATGATTTGCATATCCTAACAATCGCCCAATCTCTTAGTCCACGCAAATCTTGTCGTTCCTTTCCAAGAATACTTACCAAGACCTCACGGCTATGGTTTCAGAACCTGACTCCGAGAATGGTCAAGCATATGCCACCATGCGTTCGTTGTTTGATCATACGAAAAGGGTTTACACCGTTAAGCATTCGTTTCTTCAACCCACTGACCTTGAAATTACGGATCCCTCTCAAATTGATGTTATCCGCAAGGCGAATCTGGCGTCCTTCGTATCCAGTATCTTCGGATCTCAGGAAATTGGATTCTCGGACCTCAATGAGCATTTCCTCGATGTCTTTGTCCCTGAAGGTGGCCGTTTACTGAAGGTCCAAGGTGCCTTGTACCTCGAACTCAAGACGCAGGCCTTCATTGCCGCCATGCATAACAAGTCTCTCACCCGTACACAGCTCCTCTACAGCCTGTTCCCAGACGACATGGAACAGCGGTTGTTGGCGAGACGTCCGGGTACCCGACAGCTGGCACCATCTGAAACGGATTTCGTGAACCGCCTGACCTCTCGTCGCGATATCCTTCTCAATGACATCAATAATGAAGAAGCACTGAATGCCTTGCCGGATAAGTATCACTGGGAAGATTTTCTCCGAGATCTTAGTGCTTACATTTGTAAGAACTTTGATGCCATCAATACTCAACAGGTTCGTTTGTTAGATCTATATTCCCTTGAATTATGTGCGTGTGCTAATGTCACCCAGGGAAAGAAAATGGTCAAGGGACGCCAGCCTTCGAGTTCAAATGGCGATGCTCACGAGTCGCCGAACACCACTCACCAGGGTCAATTCTCAGTCAATCAACAAGTTGAAGTTCCGGTGGACCGCAACATGCATGGGGATCTTGTCGCGCGTGCTGCAAGAGCTGCGCAGATTGCTTTGCAGGGCCATGGCCTCCGGCGCTCTCAGCAGCAATCGCAGCAACAACATCAGCAACAACAACAGCACCAGCACCAGCAGACGCAGTCTCAAGCTAGCCCGTCACCTCTACCACAGCAGCCTCCTCACCAACAACAGCAGCCGCAACAGCAGCAGCAGCCACCGCCTAGCCAACCAGAGAACCAGTATCTTCATGGTTACACCGCTGCACAGCAACCACAGCCTACTCATCAACAGCAGTACCACCACAGTCCTACTCCTCCGGGAAATTATCAAACACAACAACCCTCACCTTTGACCTTCCAGCAGAGCCCGCTGCAAGCCACCTTCCAGCAATACAATCCCAATGCAGCACAAGCCATGCAAGCTAGGGCAAATGGCATGTCTTCCAACCACGGATACATGCCGGGGATACCCCACTATTCCCAGTCACAGCCTACTCAGGTTTTGTATGAGCGTGCTCGGATGGCGGCATCCGCAAAGTCTTCCCCAACTAGCCGCAAATCCGGTCTTCCGAGTCAACGTCGGCCCTGGACTACTGAGGAAGAAAATGCTTTGATGGCTGGCCTGGACCGCGTCAAGGGTCCCCACTGGAGTCAAATTCTTGCCATGTTTGGCCCTGGTGGCACGATCAGTGAAGCTCTCAAGGATCGCAACCAAGTACAGCTGAAAGATAAGGCCCGTAACTTGAAACTGTTCTTCTTGAAAAGTGGGATCGAGGTACCATACTACCTGAAATTCGTGACTGGCGAATTGAAGACTCGTGCCCCCGCGCAGGCTGCCAAACGGGAAGCCCGCGAAAGACAGAAGAAGCAGGGCGAAGAAGACAAAGCTCACGTGGAGGGAATCAAGGGTATGATGGCTCTTGCTGGCGCTCATGGGGCCCCCGTGTCGGGTCATGAAATGTCCGCCTCGCCCAGCCTTCCACCAGATGCCAACAGCCAGTCTGTCTTCGATCAAACAGCGGAACAGAACCTTATGCAGACTCTGAGCCAGGAGGTACACGGAAGTCAGTACCCCCAGCAGCACAATCAGCACCCCCAGCACCCCCAGCACTCTCAACACACTCAACACACCCAGCCAACTTCAGACCACATCGATCCTCATATGCAGTTGGGACAGTAAAGGATTCCCATATCATATCATATCATATTTTCAAATCGTCTCGTTTGTTTTAGCTTTTCCTCCACCAGTCTCGTTATGAACTTCTGGTTTGCACTTTCGTTTCGGAGTCTTGGGATCATGAGATTTGTTCCCTTCGGGGATTACCTTTGTTTCACTATGGGATTGCGACACGCCGGATTTACGATTACTTTTACCGCTTTCCAATTGTATGAGTACATAGCGATAGGACCCAAATGATTGAAATGTATTACCACGATGTCCAGCAGCAATGTAAGGATGTATACTTCGTTCATACATAGTCGTAGTTGACAAAGAGAGTCCCAGATAGATGACCGAGGTGGCCCGTGCGCTATCCGTGTGACTTTGAATCTCTCCCTATGAACGTACACCGATGTATGTCGCGCCATTGATTGGCTTTGTACTTGGAAGTCTGCAGCCCAATCTCAAAGGGACAAATACTTGCAGGGGTTCTCCGCCGATATTTGCCCATCATGGCCGACTCTCAATCGCAACCTCCTCAACCCACCCCCCGAACGGATCACATGAGCATCCTCCGTCTCAAGAAGATAACATCAAAACCGAGCCTGATCTGGATGCTTCCATCGACAAGGACATCGAGATGAATACCGAGAACCAGAACGGTGCGAACGCGAACGCCGGCGCGCCTGGGCAAGACCCCATGGCCCCCGCGCCTGAACCCTCCAAGAAGGAAACAAGCTTGCGCGAGTTCCTCAGCAAAATGGATGACTATGCACCCATTGTGAGTAACCTTAAAAATCTCTCCGAGTTTGCCCTCATCCTCCGGTCAGACGAACGGACCCAGCCATCCTCGATCTGTCTCACGATTTAGCTCTTTCACATGTGCTCGAGCTAGACCCAGACCCCCGAGCTATACAATCCCTGCGATCTATAAGCAACCAACAGAATCAAAAACCAGAAGCTAATCTTCAACCTCCAGATCCCCGATGCAGTCACCGCTCACTACCTCACTCTCGCCGGCCTCCCACCCCCAGGCACAGGCCCCGGCCAAACCCCACCTCACCTGGCACGCCTGCTCGCGCTCGCAGCGCAGAAGTTCGTCTCCGACATCGCCGCAGACTCGTACCAGTTTGCCCGTATCCGCGCCTCTAACAGCTCCTCCGCCAACAACCCCATCGGCAGTCTAGCGGCCGCATCTGGGCTCGGTGCTCCGGCCGGCGCAGGCGGTGCGCCAGCTCCCGGTGACGGCACAAAGGGCGGCAAAGCGAACACCCACCTCGGCATCCAGCGACCTGGGTTTGGAGGCGGTGGTTCCGGCGGCGCAGGTCAGGGCCGTACTGTATTGACGATGGAGGATTTGGGCATGGCGGTTTCGGAATATGGAGTCAGCGTGAAGCGAGGCGAGTTCTACAGGTAGATTGATGGATGGGGCGACAGAGCTTTGTCATTTGTGCTTGGGGAGGGTGTTTTTTTTTCCTATTTGCGCATCCCTCTCCCGCACATTTTTCCTTGTGTTTTTATGGGTTATGGTGCTTTGGCGTACAAATGGTCCTGAGTGACCCTGGGATCATGACTGCATTTCCAGTCCGGAATGGGTGGCTGAGTGGATCTAATGGCCGGAGTTTTTTTCTTCTTTCTCTGCTTTATTTTTGGGCTACTAGAATCTATGCATGCCGTGCTACCAAAACCATATATGTAGTCATAGAGTGATTTAAACCATCCCCGATGCTTTCCTCTCCTATACCCATGCGTTAATAGCTCCAAGTAACAGTGTTAAAGGTGGAATTAAGAGGCCAATAAGGCATATGCGCCTATCCAAGTATGGGAACGATAAACGAGCGGTTACACTGTTTAAATCGCAGTTTGCGTATTGGAAAAAGAATAATGTATGTTTGAACTCCAACCCAAAAGCAACTAATGTCACATAGAACCCAACGATATATCTGTACATAGTATGGCAAAATAAAAGAAATGCAATGCAGCTTTCCCGGCGCATAGAGGTGACACCAGGCGATCATGCGAATCGTTTATTTGTTCTTAGACTGCTTGTATGTGAAGCGCTTGCGGGTCCTGTGAAGCAAATCAAATCGTCAGCAACCAGTTATAGCACAATAATTCCCAGTCGGCTTATGTCCATGCCGAGCAAGGGAAAAATAACGAAAGAGGTGGAGACATACGCAACATATTCTCCAAGCTTCCGTCCGACCATCTCCTCTGTCACCTGGATGTCGACATAGGTCTTGCCATTGTGCACGGCAAAGCGCAGGCCGACGAAGTTGGGGAGGATGGTTGCTGCGCGTTTCGTCGTGCGGATGGGGGGTGTGTTGGCCGGAGGAGGGAGGGTGCGTGGGAGAGGGAGACTATTGGAGGTTATCGGGTTAGTTTTTGGATCCAAGATGTGGGATTCCCAATATGAGTGATCTCTTGGGTTTCAATGGTAGGCAGAGGATGGTGTCCATTCCGCTCGGGTTCAAGGTCACGTACGGGACGATGTTTGGGCCTGGTGTAGATGTTAGCGTGTGCTCTTTTTCATGCTTTATTGTGGAATCGAAATCTTCATGATCCAAGCAGACTCACCTTTCCAGACCGACCGGCCGAAAAGGGCGCGTGTGGGGAACATTTTGACTTGAGGTTGTCCGCAACTGCGATGCCGCAATGTTGAAGATCGATTTCGACCTCTCGAGATTATGTCAGCATTTCTTTATCCACATCGCCGGCCCGCTCTACATGTAGATTCGGCTGCATCCAACACGAAAGAATGATATAAATGAAATAAATGATAGAGTTGCTAAATAATACATATATGTATACTCTAGCTAATTGAAGTCAATAGCTCTGAAGCTGCGAGACTGTTGAGCGTTCAACAGTCGCTAGCAAGTGTAACAACGTGCGGTCTAGTTGTATACTCGAATTCACTCTGCCAGTTCCTCGAAGAGTTTGACGAGACTGCGCACGCCTTGGAGGATGTTCTCATCAGGTCCCTGACCAGGTGTCCACTGGGCATGTGCAAAGTCGATTAAGCGCAGCGCGTGGACCTTAGGTGGGTCATCCTCCTCATCTTCCTCCTCCACGGCGGACATTTGCATGGCTTGAGGGTCAATGTTGATATTGATAGCCTGTTGAGGCATCCCAGCACCAAGCTGGACATCGACTAGCTCCAGAGCCTCTTCGGGTATCTCAAACTCCTCATCATCTTCTTCCTCCTCACGAGAACCAGGTGCTGGGGCTTTCTGTTCCTCCTCAATTGCAAGCTCCATTGCCTCTGGATCTCCTTCGTAGACAACCAACACGCTCGCAGAGTACATCCGGCTCTCCTCAGACTCAATGACCTGCTGAAGATTTTTCAGTTCTTCTGCCAATCGCTTAGCGATTGCCTTGGATCGATCTATTTCGCCCACTTTCGCGCCAGCAAGGAAGGTCTCAAACCCTTGCTTGACATTATCCTTGTTGAAAGAGCGGCCATACCACTTGTCGTACCGCCGATAGCCATCCTTTTCGATGACCTCGCCCTTTTTGCCTTCTGCGCCTTCGTGCTTTGTATCATACGGATCTGTTCGGGTGCCGGCATCGGTTTCTCCGTTGTGGCCAGTCCAAACTTTCATACCCGCGATGCGATATCCAAGGCTCCCGCTGGTAGTTTCTTGAGAGACAACATCAAGCTTGGCCCGCTTCTCGAGCGGCGCATCGTCGGCCCACAACCGCGCGCCGAGCTTCACATCCAGCACATTTGGCCGGCGGAACCCACAGGCGATATTTTCCAGCACGATAGATAAACCAGTATCAAGTTCCTTGCCCCCAGAGGGTACCCATGCTGCTTCCACTTTCGCAGGGGAAGCGGCTTGGTGCGCTACGGCAGGGTCCGATGGCGGTTGGCTAGGGTGAGAGGAATTGGCGTCTGGATCACTGGACTCCGGGAGAAAGACTGCGCCGGACTCTTGAGCAGCAGCAATTACCAGCGGTTGTTGTTGCCCAGAAGATGAGAGCGATCCGACGTAAAGGGGCATGAATTCCTGGAAGGCGGGGTGGAGCGCGCTGGATTCGTAGAATTCAATCTCCTGTCGGGTGCATGGTTTCGCGATCAGCGCACCTGAGGGCGTACAGCGAACACCCTCGCTGGAAGATCGAAAAATCCCATTAGCTTGGCTGAAAATAATATATGAAAGTCCTCATCGATGCCATCGGGCTGATCTGTGCGGGGAGCCAGGAACAGAGCGGGGGGGCAACAAACTTACTGTCCCGCAGCAGCATGGTCGAAGGGGACCAGATCTTCGCTGCCGAGCTGTGGCTTTTTCCGACCTTCTGTTTTTGAAGGCATTGTTGCTGGATTCTGACTGATTTGGTTGTGTTCAACGCATTCCAGATGACTCAAACGCGCGAAGTACTGGGGTCCCTGGAAGTGGAGTCCCAAGTGTGGCACCTAGATACACCGTAGACCCGAGCTTTACAACGTTTTGGTAAATCGGACCGGAACGAAGAAGTCTCAAGTCCGAGTCGAATGTATGTATTTAGAGCACAAGTGATCTCCGAGGGACATGTCAAGATTGGACCGTCAGACGGGCCCGACGCATGGGCCATGTCCTGGGCCCTAACCTCCCAACGATCTATACAGCCGCTTCTATCAACACCCTATTCACTATCCGCTGCATCCCTCAATCTAAGCAATATAGGGCAGTCTAAAGACTTGCAGTAGGCAGTTAATACAGTTAAAGTAGTACTTGAGTTTCAAAATGCCATATCCTGCTAGGTCAGCCGTCAGACTGGGCTCACCGTTGAAAGTGCTATCAAACAAGTTTGGGTTCACTATTCCCCGGATACCTGCCCGCTGCTCAGGTGGCCTAGGAACCTTCCCGGCGACTAAGCGACGACTAAGCGACGACTAAGCAGCATCCAAGGTGACGCGGGTCAGGGTGCCTGCATCGCATTGCATCGGTCCCCCTCCTTCCTCTTCCTTTCCCACGTTTCCTTCTGCATCTTGCGATCCACAGACGTCATCTCTTCCAAACCTGATCAGCCCAATTCATCATGAACGAAGGAGGATCTGATCCTGTGCCTGCTGGGGACACCCCCATGCCGACTACCAATACTCCGGCCGCTCATGTTCACCCGCAGGGAGGAATGTCGCCCGAAGACATGGCTGGTGATGGGACTGGACATCTGGGCTCCTCGGTGGCTTCATCTTCTGATGAAAAGGGACAATTTAAAAAGGGCTCAGTTTCAGATATGTCTGCTCTGGTTTCTCGAGTCTCTGATGCTCTTGGCGAACCTGGCTCTGGTCATGGCAGTATTTCTGGCAAATCGGGAGCACTTGATGTCGATGACGACCACGGTGATATTATGGCAACTCAGATTGGGCCTAACCAGCATGTGAGTATCTCAGCCGTACCTAAACAGTGTTTGGAGTATCAGGTGTCCGATAATCTATCATACTGACAACAATTTCAAGATGGCTGGTCTTCCTCTGGATAAGTCACTTCAAGGTCCGGCTCGCGAGAAGCTCAGTAGCAGCGCCGAGCCAGCTCTAGCTAAAGCTGAGGGTGGAGAGGATAGCCAGAAGGTGACCAAGGGTTCGGGCGATGAAGAAAAGCCAAAGGATATCGCAAAAGCCTCCGACACGAAGGATGGAGCGGCAGTCAAAGACACGAGCCGAATTGGATTCAAACATGATCCCAAAGAGGAAGAAGTTCTTGCAGGAGTGGAATTAGATGTTAGGGTTCCAAAGAAAAGAAAGAACCCGCGACGCTCCAAGGCCCAGAGGGGAGTGGTAAGCTTATGACCTACCTGTACCCTGTTTTCTTTCGACAGTGGTCTAACATTCTCTTATATAGAAAGCACCTACGGGCTTCGAACCTTTCTTTGCAGATGCGCCGATGACCCCTAAGGAATTTGAGGATAACAAGAGAGTCTATGATCCGTATGTACATTCGTCTTTCCCTTACCAAAGTACCATCTAACCTTTTACGACAGTGCTCTGCCAATTACCGAGTAAGATACCTTGCAATCCCAGATATTTGTTCTTTTGCATCTCGACACCCACTAACATGTTTCTTTAGTCGGCTTAGTGAAGCCATCATGCGCTTTTTGTACAAGCGCCTTCTTAGTCCTTACAGACGCAAAGTGTTCCTCAAGTTCCTTCAGTATGGTCGTATCACCGTTGGTCCAAGACATAGCCAGGGAGTGACACCTTCCGAGCTAAAGGATATGACCAAAGATGAGGCGATGGAAGCTCGCAGCATGACGGCTATCTTCCCCGAAAACTTGAAAGGATGCACCGTCGCTTTCAATCATGTTACCGCTGGCTACCTGTGAGTATCCCGATTTCTCATTTGCCCCGTCTCCGTCCTTCCAAAAAGCCACAGACTAAATTCTTTGATAGGAGCGCTTACTTCATGGGCCATTACAATCCTGATACCGAGGAGGAAATCAGGGAGTGCACGGACACTATCAAGAATTATTTTTCGTATCTGCTCTACCACAATGTTTGCCCCGAGTACAAGGATGATCTTGAGGAAGGCAGAAAGACCTGCGACCTGGCTGCTAAGGAACTGTGGATGAACCAGCAGCTGGTTCACCATGATGGTCCGGGAAGCTTCAACCGTGGGTGCTCAATGTTGTTCGGTGGTCACTACTTCGAGTCCGTGGGTGATTCCGATACATGGAAAGCAGTTCGGCATGTTGCGGACGAGGAAATCTTTACCATTGAGATCGCCCGCAAAGTCGTCAAATATGCCATTGCAATTGCTGGAAATGATCGGACTGCTCAAAAGTTCAAGATCCTCGCCGACAAGGACGGAATCACAGCCAAAGAAATTGAAGACATCGATGGTTTTGAAGTCATCTCTATCGAGCAGCCAACTATCGAGACCATTGCATTCTACAGCGAGCTCAGCCCCGATCTCGTTCCTGTGGGTAGGGTCATTGCCAAAGAGTTCCGCGATCCTGCCCGTGGCCCAATCGATCTCACCCCCTGGGAGAAGGTTGACTGGGATGCTGGTTTTGCGCCAACCTACCAGTTTGAATTTCTCGTCGAGGCGCCCTTGCTCGTCCATCTCCTTCCCGGAATGAAAATTGTCACGACCGTCTTCGAGACTAATGTCGGCCAGCACTTCTTTGATGAAATCCTGGCTGCTCTGCCGACTTTCTACACGTTCCTTTACAATGACTGGTTGATGGACTATAAGGAGCCAATGCCTGTTGATTTCATCCCTGATGAGGAGGAGATCAGCCGCCGCCGTGCCCAGGCATCGATCTTGCGCCCCATTGAGCCCACTCCGGCTGAATGGACTTTGCACATGCTAGTCCGAGAGATAAACTTCGGAAAATCCCCCGGTGAGAGTGATATGGAAGTCGGCAGGCAGTTTTTCAAGTGTCTTGAGGACGTCGGTTGGGACCTGCAAGAAGTCAAAGAGCTGGTTGGCCTGGAGGAGCCACAGAAAGGGAAGGAAGGATCGACCAAGGAGGAAAAGGGAAAGAAGACCGTTCATGATGAGCAAGGTGTTGAGCAGCTCGCTGGAGAAACCAAGACGGTTTCTCTGGACTTCTTCATCGAGCAAGATCCGGACAAGCCGCTCTCTATGCCTGAGCTAATCAAGGCTTTCCGCAAAAAGAATCTGGAGCTGCTGGTTAAGAAGGGCTTGCCGCCTCCCAGCCAAAAGTTCGCCGAGGGAACCGAGAAGGAGCAACTTGATCGACTCATCAAGAGTTTCCATAACCCGGAAAAGATCAAGGTGACTATCTCGCCGGAGTTCAAGGAGTCCTTCCGCAGGCACCAACTGAAAATGGAACTCAAAGAACTGGAGCCCCTGAAACAGCAATTCAAAGATCTGGAACTCAGGGAGCAAAAGATCAAAGAACAGCTCGGTTTGGGAAGTTCTAGCCAAGGCGCGGAAATTCCGGGTGCGCAGGGTGTCCCAAAGGACCAGGAGCGCGAGGAATAGCTCGGCTCAGCCAAGCACTCGGTCGAGAGATCCAAATTTCGGAAGAATAACATTATCGAAGGGAATAAAATGAAAAATCCAAAAAAAAGCGGAAAACAGAAAGGGTAAGTGAAAAAAACAAGCAGCTGGTTTGAGGGTGCAATGGAAGAGAAATATTGATAGTTTGCCCTGAAAGTCTTAAGGAATATTTCACTGAGGTTGGTATCATTTTACTCTTTACTCATATGCAACACTGGAATTGAAATTCATATGGATATCTATGCAACAGTCACACATTTGAATCGTAGTTTCATATTAGCACTAGGTCAGATTTCTTCGTATTGTTCAAGATAGTCATTTCCCGCTTCAGGGCTTCAGGAGTGGCTTTCCCATAGTCTTCCGTCCTTCAAGGTCCTATTGGGCGGGTTAGAATACAGTCATTACAGTGGCAGGCCGAAAAGACATAAAGAGATCACATACCTTATGCACCTGAGCAATGTCCTCTAGTGGGTAGACCTTGTGAACTTTAGTCTTCAGCTGGCCCGACTTCAGCAGACTGAACAGCTCGTTGGTGTAGAACTCGAATTCTTCCCGAGTCTCAATGTAGCCGAAAAGAGTCGGGCGGGCAACCTTGACACATTTGGGGGAAAGTTTACTATTAAAATATCATGAGTATCATTAGTCAAGACATCACAGAGAAGGAATAATCTTACGGGAGAGGCAGCGGAGGTACAGGCCCGCTAGCATTGCCAAACCAGACAATAGTACCCTTGCGCTTGACAGCCTCCAGGCTTCCCTCCCAAGTGTCTTTGCCGACAGAATCGTAGACAACATCGACACCGCGGCCACCAGTAACTTCCTTGACTTTCTTAACCCAATCCTTGCCTTCCTCGCTGCGGTAGTCAATCACCACATCAGCCCCGAGATTCTTAACCAGCGCACACTTCTCGGCGCCACCAGCAGTACCAATGACCTTGGCACCATAGATCTTGAGTATTTGAGTCAAGAGAAAGCCAGCGCCACCAGCTGCAGCATGAAGTAAAACCCAATCACCCTTTTGCACGGGGTAGGTCTCCTTAGAAAAAGCAAGCACTGTCATGCCACTCAGGAAAGACGCCATCACCTCCTCATCGGTAATGCCCTCAGGGATCTTCACTGTCTTGGCCGCCGCCACAGCGGTGTACTCGGCATAACCACTAGTGCCCAGCCAGGCAACCCGATCGCCCACCTGGAAGCCAGCCGTCTCAGGCCCCACAGCGGTGACGATACCGGCGCCCTCGCGGCCCAAGACCTCAGGCTTAGGCGAGGCGTACAGCCCCGTCCGGAAGTATGTATCGATGTAGTTGACACCGGAAATATTGTTACATACCAGCAATTGACCTGCTTGCGGGATCGGAACTGGGTGATCCGTTCTGAATTGCAGTACTTCAGGGCCGCCGGTCTCCTCGACCACTACAGCCTTCATTGTTGCTGGGACGGACATGGTGCTGAGTGGAGTGAATTGGTTCACGAAGGAAGGAGCAATGTGATTGCGGAGTGCTGCAAGTCGAGGGCTAATACGTAAAAGAGGACGAAACATTGCAGGAAAGCAGACGTGGGAGTAAAAGAGGCGTCAGGTTTGGGGTCCTGAATCGGCATTTGTCATCGTCCCCGCAATCGACGAATCCATGGATGCGATCCGGCGGAATTGTCGCGTTCCAAGGTTCCAGACTCGTACTTTTTACCCGCGGGCTTCTCTTTTTGCTCTCTCACAGCTCTTTCTCTCAGATCGCATTGTTATTTTTGGCTCATTAATTCTACTTTTGGTATTGAGGTGGAGTTTCAGGGATTTGTCTTCCACAAATTCCTCTCTGTGGCTTTTATTATCTGGGATCAATACAGTTGACATGTCGACTGTTTAAGTATATTCGACGTCATTTCCGGCGGGCCATCCGTCGGAAGTACACAACGTACAACGTTGCACTTTTATACAGCACAACCATCCCCCGAGAAGCGAAGATATCCAACAGTTTGAGTTTTGCCCTGTTTTCTCAGACAGGTCATGACACATATCTAGCGCTTCTAGGCGCTACACGGCAAGGTACACCTGTACTCCATACAGATTATGGAGCACAAATCTGGCATGCAAGCCACCCGGAGCCCCATGAATGACCGAACCGGCCACCACCTACGTCCCTGTTGGCCCAGTCAGGGTCTGCATGACAATTCTTAGCCCAGGGCGAAGGAGCGCCTCGCTTTGAATCATCTGCCGCTGACTGCATTACGAAACCTTCGGGAAAGAATACGGAGTAGATCTCCCCCCGCTTCATGCACCTGACACACGATGCAAGCCCATCATTAGCCTTGCACAGGCCAAGGACTTGAAGTTCCCAAACATCAGCCCCTGGAAGATCGTCATTTGTTGCCCAATGATCCAGTTGTCCCATCCAATTCTAAATAAATCCACTGAAACACAACGGCAGTACCCGGGGTGGTTCCACTTCGTGCCCAATGGTCAACAGGCTGCCATCGCCACCCCTTTGATGACGGGGACTCGGCTGTCTGTTTCACTGTTTCCACTACCAATCTAACCTGGTGATTTGTATTCGGCCTGAAGCCACTCCTGTTGGTATTTTTGCTCTCGCCCAATCAACAGAATGGCCTATCAGAGCCCTATTTTCTCAGGCTGATGCCCGATGTCATCCACCAATGCTTATATACCCTTGCACTGCCGTGCTGCGCACGCACATAAAGCATGCATCTTTGTCTACCGTTGTGAAATTTTTTTCTTTTTCTCTTCCAGATGTGAGGTTTATTGTTACCTGCTTTTCTGGAGTTTATTGCTTTTCAAGTCGAACTATTTATACTATGATCCAAACTTTCCGAGCTATTCCCCCAGACGTCAACGCATTAGGTTAACGTCACAAAACAAACATACTCCATACTATTTGTGTGGTCAAACGAATTCGCAGAAATGACTTCCTCTCGAGGCTCTCAACGTGTGCGCACACAATACCCCCCGGCGCCCTGTGTCGAGGAAGAGCCCCAGGCTCTCTCGAAAGAGCTTAACGGCCTGTCCAAACTTGGAGACAAGCCGGGGATCTATGGTGTCCAGACAAGAGGTGCTGTTGATCAGTATCCCATCTTGGTCTCTGTCGACTCCCTCCCTCCACCCTCCACCTCCCCTGCCAGTGTGCCCGGACTAGGGAATGTGTCCTCGGATGAAAGTACAGGGCCGGCGACGCCACCTCCTCAAGAGCCAGTCATCCGAAACACTGTCATGTTTGATACGGGTGAGCGGCCAAAACGCCCATCGCCATCCGTTGCAAGCCAACCCCGAGGCCCACCCTCTCGACCTCTGGCCCATCAACAACCTACCCGTGAGCTCAATGCACAGCGGGAATCCAAGCCGCCCTCCCGTACACGGGATAGCAAATCTAGCAGACAAGGGCCGCCAATAATTAATAATTCACACGGCTCTCGAGGACCGAGTACGCTGGATCGTACAGGTCATCGAGCTCCCGTGCAAGACAAAACATACTTGCAACCACCTAGGACCTCTCTAGGTCGGTCCAACAGTGCAAGACATACGCCGTCGTCGACGCGACCAATGCAAGAACGATTTCGACGGGAGGCGAGCTCGGGGTATTTGTCTGATTCAGCCACCACATCTAAGCCGCCCTCTCGTAAGTCTAAATCGCGTGTGTCGATGGCTCCAACACCAGCAGAAGTAGCGAATGGGCCCACCCTCGCAGAACGCATCGACGAGAAGCTTCGCGAGCGACAAGAACGACAAGAACGACAGGACTCAGGGTCGATATCTGACCCGGAAGCTCGGCAAGTTCCCACAAACACGAAGCCTGTCGACCCTGTCAAACCTGCGAAGCCTGTGAAGCCTGTGAAGCCTGTGAAGCCTGTGAAGCCTGTGAAGTCTGTTGACCCGAAACTCGTGAAAGCATCCATGCCACCTCCAGCTCCAGGCCCAGCTTCTGCTCCTGCTCCTGCTCCTGCATCGCGCTCGTCTTCGCGGGAGCCTCGGCGTGTTCCGAGCATGCGAACTCAGCACGAAGCGCCTCCAGCCTCCCGATCCCGCGCGAAATCGGTCACAGTGGTGCCTAGGCGATCGATGTCTGGGTCTCGCCGTCATTCGCGCCCACCACCCGAGATGACCAAGCCTGCACCAAACCAAATTGCGATCCAGCTCGATCCAGACAGATCAACCAGCCAGCCCGCAACTAGTCGACAGGGTGCCGCATCGCCACAGCGCCCTAATCCCGTAGGCCTGGGTCTTTCCCCCTGTCCTCGAACCATCGCCGTGGCAGGCTACCAAGACTGGTATACTCTCAAGGGCCTCACCCATCTGGACATTTGCCCATCCTGCATGAGTCAAGTCGCCCACTCGCGCTACCGGGACTACTTCATCCCCAGCCTCTCGAAACCAGCCGGTCAAAAAACACGATGCGCCTTTGCCAACGCATGGGCCCGTCTCGCCTGGGCACAAATGATCAAAAAGGGACACGACAGCCTGGAGCTCCTGTACCAAATGACGCGCCCACCACCAGGAACCCGCTCCTGCCCAGGCCGCATCGTCGCCGAACAAACCTGGCACCGCATCTACGACCCAGAAACCGGCACCGACCTCCCAGGCTTCCACGTCTGCAACAGCTGCGCGCGCAACGTCCGCATTCTCATGCCCAGCCACCGCGACACCTTCCAACCAAACCCAGAACCCAGCGAACACGTCTGCGACTTCGTCACATCCAGCCCGCGCTTCGTGAAATTCATCGATCTCCTCGACGCCTCTGCGTCCCGCGCCGAGGCCGAATCCTCGCGCACTCGCCGGCCCGATACGCGCGAGTTCCTCAGCTACGCGCGGCGCAAGGTCGTGCTGCGCGACTGTCGCCGCGACAGACCTAGTCTTAGCACTTGGCATTTTATCCCCTCGCTGCCGGAGATGTGTGTCTGCGAGGATTGCTACGATGAGGTTGTCTGGCCGCTTGCGCGATCTAACCATCCCATTGCGTGTATGGTGACGACGAAGATGCGGCTCTTGCCTGGGGATCGGCCTGGGCGCACACGGGAGGCGAGTTGTCAGCTTTACTCTCCGCGGATGCGGGCGAAGTTCCGGGAGGCGGTTATTCGGGACGAGATTGGGATGTTGAGATCGGTTGCGCAGCGGAGAGTCGAGGCTGAGCGGCGGTTCGTTGATCGGAGGGAGGAGCTGTTGATCTCTCAGTCGAGGGGATATAATATTGATGAGGAGATGCGGAAGGCTGTCGATGAGTGGAGGAAATGGGAATAAGGTAGGTATATTTGTTCTCGGTTCTAGTTTATCGTGGATTTCTTTTGCTCTGCTGGCAAGGGCATGTATACTTCGGGGCATTCAGGGTGTACTCTCGTGTACAATTGGAGGGAATTTTGTTTGGCATTGTACTAGCATAGCATACACTTAGCATTTTCATATCCCTGTACGAAATCAGATTTCTTTTGTCCTCGAGTTCTGTGTTCATATACCCCGTATCAACACTACAGCAGTCGTTGTATATTCCACGAGGAGTACATAGCTGACTGCATTCCGTAACTACATGTAGATATAAGTACATATGTGCCTTCTGCCCCGCACTGAATCACCGTTACAAAGTATTTCTCTCTTCATATCATCATTGTCTAATTGTATATCTATTGAGATTTCTCATGAGACGTTGGGAAACAGCGGACAAAGCAACTGGATATGGATGCCAAAAAGGCAGAAATTCGGGACTTGGAAAAAGGGTTACAATCTTTCTTCTTCATGAAAGCTAGAATCAAAGCACATATTCAAAGAGTAAAGAAAGAATGGCAAGAGATGATGCTATTCCGAGATATGGAACGAGAAGTAGCAAACTGGAGAAAGCAGAGGCAAGAGACGAATTGGACTGGGCCATCAAGTCGGCAATACTCGGGACACGATGGTGCTCGCTATCATTCGAATGGGGATTTCTGATACTTAAGACCTCCTTCAGAGATGTGTTAGACACTACAATTTTACGAGGCATCAAGTAATATTTGAGCGTCTTAGACTCAAGGGTTGCAATTCAGATGATCAATCTTCCATTGTACAAGTTTAATACGACGTACATACACATTGAACAGTGTGTCAACGAGCCATAACCCCATGCTAAGCATTACGCCCCAACTCCATGCCTCGAAAGTAGAAAAATGCAAGAACCCAGGGGGTAAGGAAAACGTGATGCGATGCAAAGAGAGCCCTAACCAACCAATCCCACCAACTCACCAGGCCAACGCTTTGCCCAGATAATAGCACGCGAGGGCATTCTTCCGCCAACAGGTGCAAGCACACGGATCTTGCCCTTGTCCGCATCTACATCGGCGACATACAAGAAGCCCATGATGCTCGCGTCGCGGACTTCAGATGGGGATGCGGTGGTGGGAACATGAGTAATGGCAAGGAGGGTATTGGCCAGAGTAGAAGGAGCAGGGGGAAGGACCTTTTTCAGCGGAATGTTGCTGCCGTTGCTGGTATTTGAGTTGTTTGCGGTGTCAGATGGCTCTGAGAATGAGCCCACGACACCAGGGAGGGGGCGGCGCGGTCTGGGTCTTGCTTTTGTTCTTGGGTGTAATCATTTATACCGCCCCCAGGGAGGAATGAATCGCCTGTTCCCAGCTGGGAGGGGTCGTATTCGTCTTCATCTTCATCGTCGGTTGAGGTTAGGGTGTAGTTGTAAACAGAGAGGGCGGCGAAATCAAGTTGTTGTGCATGAGGGGAGAGAGTGATGGCGGAAGAGGGAGAGGAGAGTGGGATAGGATTGCCGAAGAAATAAGAGCGAATTTGAGACTCGCGGGTTGCCTTGCGGAAGGCTTCATCACGGTCAACACAGCCACCGGATTTGGTCAGCTTGATGACGGACACGTGTTCGTCGAAGACGGCAGCTGTTGCGCTGGAGCTGGGCTTATTGTCGTATTGTTTTGCGACAGTGCTGTACAGGCGCTCTGAGCCCAGGACTAGGATGACGGTAATCGCAAACTCGGTGACAATGTGGTTGATAAGTTCCATGCTGCCGGGCTTGTCTGAACCGAGGATTCCGGGGGTATCAACGATAATTCCTGTTTCGCGCGCATCCTCGTCCTCTGCCATACGACCCGTAACAGAGAGCGCGAGACGCGATACAATTGATCGGTAGACAGCGCCTTCGCCGTCAAGGGGCTTTTTCATCGGATAGCTGTACACAAGCGGTAACTTGACTGGTACGGGACTGGGCCCAGACATGGGACTGCTTCCCCAGCCGTCCTCAACGTCCAATATGGTACGGAATGCAGTCGCGGTCAGTGTGCCAGGGACGCTCAACATGCCCTCTGTCGGGTCGAGGTTCACAACCAGTGGCTGGCGGCCGATTTTCGTCGCATATGCAGTCAGGATCTTAGCCACAGTGGTCTTTCCAGTATTTTCAGAGCCGAGCAGGAGCACGCGCGGGCCATCCTTGCCGATTGATTGCGCCTCTTCCCGCAATGTCTCCAGCGCAAAGTGAATGTTGGCGTATTCCATCATTGGGGTCTCCTCGGCTGTGTACTCGCTCTGGCACCCTCCTGCACCATGGCCCAGTGTCGGGGTGACTCCATCAGATGTTGTTGGTGGTGAATCGACCGCGGTGACTTCTAGCGCGCAGCCATGCCATGTGTAGATTGCTGCCTTTGTGCCCGTGAATGTGTAGCTTTGCGATTCCGCTAGCTCTGTACCAAAAAGCTCAGCGGTCCCATTGAGAAGCTGCGTGGCTTGAGTCAGCGGTATCTCGATCAGATGCTAGAATGCGACGTACCTTGACCTTGATAATGTGACCAAATGCGACTTCAAACCGCCACTCCGAACATGGGGCCAAGGTGATCTGGGATGGCAGTGCAGGGACCTGCGACCTGTCATCCAATGGCTGCGTTAGCTCTAGGCCCGGGAGCGACATCTTATCGATCAAATTGCAAAGCTTCAAGATGAGCACAAAGACAATGAGGAAGGGAATTGTACATATAATATTGGAGATGTCAATCAATTAGGAAGGCGGTGTGAGTAAACAGCCATAGGCGGTCGGTGGGGGCACAAATGGGAGATTGTACCAGGCCTCTACTTTTTGTCGGAGCATGAGATCGGCATACCGGAAGTTTAGTTTATCCTATCCACGCAGTATTTTTGATATTAGTCAGATAGTCATATTTCCTGCTAGAATAGTGGATACAGAAATACAGAGATTTCAACTCCCTTGATTGGACCCCTACTATACTGAATACTACGTCAGTTGACAGTTATAAGCCCGGTTCGCACGAAATAAGGCCGCTATTCACAAGATATAGCGCCTATCAGCACCTAAAAACCTCTAAAGCTGTATAGTAGCCCGCTAAGGCTATATAGCACCTAACCCTAACAATAGAAGTATTAATAATTCTCTCCGCTATAAAGGGCGAAAAACTAAAGGACTCGCCCTAATAGCGTATCTAGTTCGCCCGGGTAAAGCTATATACGATATAAAAATAAGTCTAGAAGTACTATAATCTAGATACCCCCTAATAGAGAGACCGGTTAGGAAAGAAGAGCCTATTAGGCCGGAATACCCCTATAGAGGGACCGAATTAGATAAAAGAGATTAGAGAGATAAAATAGATATCTTTAAAGTAGACTAATCGAAATAGGATAGGGAGATAAAAGGACTTTCTAATATAAATAACTATATTTATACCTTCCTAGACCTAATCTACTATACCGCTATTACCGACTATTAGACCCTATATAAGAGACTAATATACTTTAGAGATCGCTTCGCGAGATTAACTATATATAAGGAGGAAGTCCGAATAAAGTAGAAGGTCTTTACTATCTAAAAGCTAACTAGAGATATTAAATAATAGCTTAAATAATAGAATACCCTAAAAGAGTAAGCTATTAGCCTTAGTATTAATAACGGAGACGTAAATAAGGACTTCCTATATACTATTAAAAAGGTCTTACCTATTTAGTAGTAAGGAAGATATTAAGAGATCGTTATAGATAAGAAAGTCTACTAAATCTATAATCTCCTTAAGTTATTCTATATAATAAATCGAGAAATAGGGATATAAAAGGTATTATCTACTATATCCCTAAAAGGGGTATTTTTAACCTAGTAGGGATACTAAGAAGTAAAGTCCTAATCCTAAACTAAGAAGGTAATCCTATTTAAAAAGAGAAGGTATCTATATAGGAACCCCTACTATTTATATAAAATAGTAATATACTAGTATCTTAATAAGGAAAACTACCCTAAAGGGACCTATATTAATCTAAGAAAGCTAGAAAAGATTAAGTAAAAACTCGCTAAAGAGCCTACTTAAAAGAAATAGATAGAAAAGAAGGTAGAAAAGATATAGTAAACTTAGTAAATTTAGTAACCTTAGAAGGAAGAGTTTATAAATTAAGTAAGCTTCGTTATTACCTCTATATAGTAATATTAGTAACCTTAGAAGGGAGAGTTTAAAAATTAAGTAAACTTCGCTACTACTCTTAAGCCTTATACTATATAGTAGGGGGGCTAATATAAAACTACGAATACGCCCTCTCTCTTACTAAAAATAGAGAACTTATCTTAAAAGATAGATAGATCCTTAATATAGGATCTAGTACCTATATCTATAATAATAGAGACTTTTTTATCGACTTTATACTCTAGATTTCGGATCTTATAATAGGAGATAGTACTATCTAGGTATTAGAAAAGGGGAAGATTAGACTAGTAGATAGATATCTAGTAAAAGGTAAAATAGAGATTATACTTAGTAATACCCTCTATTCCTTTAGCTTCTATATAAATCTAGTAACCTACTCTATACTAAAAAAGAAGGGCGGGATATAGTATTAGTATATAAACTATATTAAGAACCCTAATAATAGATTAGTTATCTATATAAACCTTTAGGATTAGTTTAATCTTTAGATCTTTAATAGACCTAGGGAAATATAGCCTTAGTAAGCCTACTTTATAGAGAGAAAGTTAGTAAAACCTTAGTAGTTAAAAGCCTTATTAGATATCTAGTACCGGAGACTAGTCTATATTAATTAACGAAGTATAGTAAAACTCGCTACTATAGTAGATAGAGTTAGTTTTAATAATAAAAAAAAGAGTCTACCGGAAAGGAGACTATAGAAACGTAGGTATTATACTAGACTTATTAGCTAGGTTATATACTAAGGTAGATATTAAGACGTATTATCGGGTATACTTTCGGACGATTTAGAAGGGTATACTTTAATCTTATTTAGCTACTACTAATAGAGAATAAGTACTATTAGATCTTTTATTTTTACCTAGAAGGTCTTAGGTTTTATTAGCTAATAACCTATAAAATAAAGCCTAAGTATTAGCTAGTAATTAATCGTTTTATAGAACTAGTAAGAAACTAATAGGATCTACTAATTAAAGCCTTCTAATATAATAATAAGTCCTTAGCTAGAAAACCTACGGAATATAGCCTTACTTCTAATAGTATCCTTATATATTATAACCCCCTAAGGTACTCTAAAATAAATAGTTATACTAAAAGATCCGGTAGTATAATTATTACCTATATATATATACTCGTACTTAAAGGAAAACTCTTAAAAGATTTATAGCTAGAGGCCGCTAATACTATAGTATAGTTACTAAATCGTACGCCGACGTATATTACTACCGAAAACCGCTAGGTTATACTATAGGAGGAGGTACGGAAAGAGTTCGTACTATAAGCGCTAAGGATTAATCTATTAAATATTAAACTATATAGAAGTTTAGTATACTATAGGATTAATAAATAGGTCTAGTCTAATAAAATAAACCTACGAGCTAAGATCGGATTCTTAGTTAGTTATATAGTATTAAATATTTAGAAAATCTAGTTTCTATATATTAGGAAAGTAAAGCCTATTAGGGATATAGTATTTAATAAAACTCGTAAATATACTCTTAATTATAATAGATATTAGCTTATTCTAATACTAATATAGTAAGAGCCTTAGGAAATTACTATAGAAGAGTTTACCTAGATACTTAATCGCGTAATAGCTAGTTAAGAGACTAGTAAAATAGAAGAGAGAGATTATCGAGATCTATAAGAAACTTAGTCTAATAATCTATAAGAAACTTAGTACTATAATTATTAAGGATCTTAGTAAGGATCTTAGTAAGAAAACTAGTAGAATATATAGTAGAACTCTCTATAGAGGGAGATAGCTAGTAAATTTAGTTAGCGAGATACTATCTTACTTTAGGGGGTAGACTAGTAAGTGGTCCTACCCTCCCTAAAAACTATAATTATATAGTAAATACCTAAGATCTATAAACTCTAAGCCCCGTTAGGTATATTTCTAGATAAACCCCTTCCTCCGCTTTTTATTATACCGCTATAAGAACCCTATACTACTCCTAGTTAGGGGGTAGATATACCGGAGGATCTAGAGGATCTAGTTAGCGACTAGGTTTAGGATAATAAAGCTATTCCTACTATAGAAGATAAGCTAGAAAGATAACTATAGGCGGAACTTCTCGCTCTAAGTAGATAAATTATAGGAGATATTAATACTAGTAATATTATTAGTAGAAAGCGAAGGCGTTAAGCTAGGTAAGATAAAGACTATATCTATATAATAATTATAGGAGCTATAGACGAAAAGGAAGACCCTCCTATACTACTATATACTTTCGCTATAGGACTATATATTAAGAAACCCGAAATTAGACGATATTAAGATAATCTCCCCTTAGTCCTAAAATACTATAAAGATATTATAAACTATCTATTTTAGGAAGGCTTTCTCGTAATAATAAGAAAGGAAATTAACTCTCTAATAGAAAAGGAAACCTATAAGATTATAGAGAGACTAAAGGATAGAGGTAAGTAAATACTACCTCTTATATAGGTATTTATCTATAAATACGATTAGGATAGTTATTTAGTTAAATTTAAAACTCGTATATACGTACGGGGAGACCTAAAGACTATTTCGTATAAAGAAAAGAGAGCTACTATACTAATAGTAAGGACTATAAAGATAATCTTCGCTCTTATTACCGTATTTAATCTTAACCTAAAATAGTAGGATATTATTACTATCTTTTTAAATAGTATACTAAAAAAAGAAGTCTATATCTAGATACCTAATAGGTTTAGACTACTAAGTAAATACTAGAAGCTCCGCTATATACTATATAGTCTATAAATCTTACTTAGACTATAGTAATAGGAAGTAACTAGTATATTTCGTAAACTAGGTCTATAATAAGCCCTAGAAGATCCCTATATCTTTATCGGAAATAGACTAATAGTCTTCTTTTATATAGATAATATCTTAATTACTTATTATAAAGATATATAAAGAAAGGCTATATAACTAGAGTGAGATCTAGAAGTATACTAGGAATTAATAGATTATAGAGAGATAGTATAGTTTCTTAATATCTATATTATTAGAGATAGGTAGTAAAAGAAGCTATAGCTTTATTAAGATAGCTATATAGTAAATATTACTATACGATATAATCTTATAGATAAACTAGCGGTATATACCCTAATACTTATTAAAGAGCTAACTCTATATTAGGGTATAGCTATAGCCTAAGAGATCCTATTATACTAAAAGAAGGTAGGATCTACTAGATATACTACTATAATTATAAGACCGGATACTATAAAATCGACTACTTATCTAGTATAATATTTAATAAACCTAGGCCCCTAGTACTATTAGGTAGCTAATAGAGTTATTACCTACCTTAATTCTACCCGCTATCTCGCTATTAAATATAGTATAGATTCTAGAATAGACTCTATATAATTTACTAGTAATACTTTATATAGAGATTATCCTAATAGAAAGAGCTCCGCTAGCTATATCTACTAGGTATATAGCGGGCTAATCGACTAGAAGGCTAGTAAGTAGCCTATAGTTACTACCTCTACT